GTCTATGTTCGCTATTAATTTGATTCGTTGGTCTTGACGAAGGAATTAATTTAATAGCATCCTCGTCATCAGATTCATTAACATCTTCAATCGTGACTGAAGGCTTCTTCAAAGGCCGATCTATGGACTTTGGAGCCTCAAATCTCACTGTTTTCTGATTTCCATTGGTCGTTTCAACCAATTTCCCTGGTATTAAACCGGGTTTCTTGGGTATATGCACCCCATCAAATACTAATCTTTTCGTATTTTCATTAAATTGATTTCGTTTTGCTTTCTCACTTTCCTCCGGAGCTACAGCATTGGATCTTAAAGTTCTCATGGACCGATCCTGCTCCTTCATTGGAGTACTTATTTTTTTCCATTTGAACTATCTTGGTTGAACACACGGACATCATCTTCTCGGTGTGCTTCCAAATTCCCAAGTCTATCTGATAGTTCTTCTATTCTTGTCATCCAAACAGCTAGATTGACGTTAGGATTCATCTGCTGATCCATGACTTTATCATCTTCGTCATCTTCCATGTTTGCAAAATAGGATTCAGCACGATCCCATCCCAAGTCTTTCGCCATTTGTTCAATTTTCTTGTAACGAGGTACATTTGGATCGTCTCGAGGCATTCTAGCGTTGTCTCTTAGTTTGTAACGCTTCGAGTCGCCTCCTTCAGGCATCATCCAACCTCTTTTCGTAAATTCCAGCAAGTGTGGACATTCATTCATAAAATGATCTGTCGACTTGCACAAGAAACATGCCCACTGAGTTCCATTCAAACTTCTCGGTGTCGTATTTCTTTCAAATCTATTAGATTGATTCGAGGGACCACTCGGTGGTATCGAATTAATCATTCCTTTAGCATTTTCTTTGGCCATCTGTGCCATTACTGTTGTTAACTGTGTCATAATGTCTGCTCCTTCTTTGAAGTGCGACTGTAATGACTTCACAGCTCTAATTTCTTTCATATTCGCCTCCATGAGGTCTTTATTCAACGCAACCATCTGCTGTTGTTCCTCCGTCAATTCCCTTGGGATCAAACTTTCTAATTTAATTCCCAGAAGATCCTTAAATTCGTCTTCTACTTTGGGTTTCAATGCTTGAAGATAGTTCCTATCTGTCTTGGGAACATCTGCAGCAAACGGTAAATTAATGTGGCCCCTACTAAATGAATTAGGGTTATTAATTGGTGGGCTCGAAGAAGCAATGGAAAGTGTTTGATAGTAGTTATCAAATGAACTCCCAATCATATACTTCTCGGCCGCATTCATTACTTCGTCAATCTTAAAAGGGTCTTCCTTTCGTCTATCTGACATAGAAGTAACTGATACATCTTTCACAACTGTTTCTAGCACGCCTCTCCTTACTTCGGGAGTCATAGGTGCCAAGAACAATCTTACTGCATCACTGTTTGTGATCATTTTCGGTTCATCCATCAGCTTTTTCATTTCAGCATCGAAGAGGAGTCTGAAGATTCTCATCTTCTCCTGTTCACCTGCATCAATTGGATTAAATTGATGGACCAATTGTTCAAGCAATAATCTAGATCCTCTTTCGTCTCCTACAGATTGCGGAAACATATTCTTTAGATCCTTTTTAAATTGATCCCAATTCGGTTTCTTCACCGAATCAAAGACTCTTAATGCTTGTCTCGTTTTATAAGACGTCCATTCTAAAGCTAATCTCACTTTAGCCTCGTCAGATGTAATTCCTCCATGTTCAAATATGCTTTCAGTAGCTTCGAACCATGGTATCATTTGACTTGGGTCAGTTATATCGAATAATGGTGCTGTCTTATACTTCCTTGGAAGTTTCGCACTGGCTTTATCAATCTCAGCCTTAGCTTCAGCTGACAACGCAGGCATTCCATAATTATTGGTAGTCATTTTGACTGGTTCAATCGTATTACTTGTTTGAGAGATAGTCTGATGTAACGTATCTATCAATCTAGTTGATTCAATCGACGTAGAAGATGTTGAAATTGGCTCTGGAGCAATCAATTCAATTATATCTTCTTCAATATCAATCGGATTAATTTCTTTTCTCTTCCTTTTCGGATCGAGATTAGATTTCTTCAAATTCCTCGGCAAAGATGTAAGTCTTCCTCGAGATATAGATGACCCTGTTCCTCTAGAAACAGAACTTTCACGCGATTCTTCTGTCAGTATTTGAGAAGAGGATGGACGACTGGATTCGTTCGTAGGATTTAATAGGGATGTTCGAGCTGATGTGCCGAACGTCGATCTCCCAAATACAACTCCTGCTTTACGATATTCTTCCGGTGTCAATACTCCTGCTTTCTCCGAATTCTTCGAAGTACGCGGTTTTCCTGATGAACTAATGTTGACAGTTCACAGAAATGGTATCACAAAGATCAATACACTTCTACCAAATAATCGAATATAATCCAAACAAACGTTCAATTTAATTTATCAAGCTAATTGTAGCTTCAAAACCACCCCTCGCGGTGGGCTCCAGATAACGAGCTTGCCTCGTTTTTGTGTGAAAGAGAAAGGAAGGAATCTAATGGGCACTCCAACCAACCAATCTAATACACAATATGCGAGTTCACTGCTATCAAATTTATTTAATAGCAAGGGGTAGCGTTGGCAAAGGTTCCGCAAAGCTTTGAGAGCTAAGTAAGAAGCTTTGATCAATCAATTTGAATCGTTCTAAGGATTCGATATATTCCTTTGATCAAGGTAGATTTAGCACGATTTGTGCTTTGGTTTGTATTGATTTGGGTATATCAAGAATTGGGGTTTTGAATCAAAGTAAATTAAAACCGAAACACACAGACCCCTACGGAGGGCTAGAACTATGTGCTGGCACAACCACACAGCGTGATTTGCCCTTAAGACCAACGACTGATCCTAAGTTCGAAGAATACCCAACAACTGGATAGACTTCTCGCAGTCACAAGGAGCAGAACACGACGTTCCTATACTCACAAGTGCCGGGCCCGAATGGCTGCTAGCGAAGAGGTTTCAGTCTGGCGGGAGTGTGTCTTTCCTTTTTACGGATTAGCACTGCAACATCGTCCCAAAATCACTTGTATTCCAGATACATCGGATCGCTATTTATACATACAGAATATAGAGTCGCATAGTACAATTAATTTAATACAATAAACGTTTGGAACCGCAAGGAAACTTCTACACTCAGTCAGATACCATTTAATTTCAATCTACATGTCCTTATTTGGTCCATATTGGTTCCAAGATTCTAGTATACCTCCAAACATAGGTAGGTACTTCAATATTCATTTAATTTAATTGTTTTGGAGGATGACTTGAATGGTGTTCAACTGTCATTGCTGTTCAACACTTACTTCGATCGTTTGTCACCTCGTCCGGAGGCAAATCAGCTCTCCTCGATTCTAATCCTATCAATCTGATTCATCTGGATTAAACTAATTGCTTCTCTCTTTCAATAGACACCCATTGTGCCTATACTCAATCAAGGGAGTTACGCATAGTATTCATTTAATTGCATTCTTCAATATTTTCTACGTCAGGACTCTTTGACATTCATTTGATATGCCTTCGGAGCCTCGCAGTACTTCGATCGTTCTTCTAGTCATTTTCCTCAACCATGCAACTCGATTGGTCTATTAGACTAAACCGCAGTCTTTTAGATTAATGCATGATCTCGTTCTAGAAGGAGTATTTGATAATTCCTGAGTTCTAGAAAGTCATTTCGAGTCAATCCTCGGTTCATGGTCACTTGAGTAAGTTCTTCCAAACTCCTGCCAGTGTAAGGTCCAATAAGAATACCCTTGGTATGTCATACTTGAATGGTCATCCTTCAGATGTAGTCCGAGTCTGGTATAATCCTGCTTGACGAACAGGTAGACTGCTATCCGTAGGTAGTATCGGGGATGGGTAAACTGACCAACTTGTGGTAGTATGGGTATATGGTCCCTTCAACTTATTAGACTGATTCAGTATTGACTTTGACTGTCAATCTGGGTCTCAATTACAGTCCTCTCGATACAAATCTATACGTGAAAATGTCACAATTCACAGCATAGACGTCTAGCCAAAATTTAGGCGTGTCAACGTCAACCTTCAGCCGCGCTATCATCTACGGAGGCCGAATACATCGCACTGTCTCAGACGTGCCAGCAGGCGGTCTGGCTGCAATCCTTCCTTGCAGAGGTCGACCTAACCCAGGAGGGACCTGTTGAGTTGCTGGGGGATAACTTCGGATCTATTAGCCTGACGGAAAACTCTAAGCGACATGCCCTGGTCAAACACATTGACCTCCGGGAACACTACATAAGGGAGAAAGTTGCAAGCGGAACTGTGAAAGTCTCTGAAATTCGGACAGGCATGAACGTTGCGGATGTCTTCACTAAAGCCCTGAATGGGACGATCCACGCGAAGATGGTTGGGTTATTAGGACTGTATCGTGCGGAGCAGGGGGGGTGTTAGACTCCCTCCGCCCGGCGTACGCACAGTCCACATTCTGCTTCCGCTCGATTACATACACAATACTATACAGTTTATCAGCCACCTGCGAACGGCGGACAAAGGCTCCCTCAGTTGTTTTTACATCCAACTGAGGTGAGCCCCATCCTACCCACTTACACATAGCATACTTACAACACATATAGTATTTACCACCTGACAGGTACCTAATAGAGTTGTTTTTACATCCAACTGAGTATTTACCACCTGACACAGGAGTCACTACCAATTGATTTCAAGAATGCCTTTCAAAATGCATTTTCAAACTCGGATGGCTTTTCAAAGCTGGCAGGCACAGTTACTTTCCTTCAGTGACTCCCTGGTGACTCCGACTCCGACACTGCACTCTACCTGCCCCATGACAGATTCCCTCCCCATATTGCATTGTCCCTAAGCTTTTCCACTTGCTGTTTTTATCCCACATCTTACACAGACTTTCCCAGTGCCATAAGTCTCCTGCTTCTACAATCTTTGCTTAATGTCTACTGAAATGCATTCATTTCGTAACTTTGTGTAAACTGTAGCCTACACACAGGATTTTACCATCCCTGATTGCCCCCATAAGGGTTGTAACCTTCGCTCGGAGGAGGAAAATGTGGGGCAGCGTTAGGGAAACTGGCACCTTGCTGAGGGTAGGGATCTGCACCCGGGAATGAGGGGCCGCCACCGGGTGTTCCATATGGGGAAGACTGCGGGAAGCTTACTCCTGGAGGTCCGCCAGGTGGCCCGAATGCACCGGGCGGCGGGCCTGGAGGAGGCGCATAATGATGAGGATGCCCATGGTGTCCTCCATGTCCATCGGCGCCAGGAAAATGGGGTGTGTCACCAGGGAATGAGGGTGGAACATCTGGGAACGGAGAAGGTGAATCAGGGAAAGAGGAAGGTGAGCTATAAGATGGCGCATAGCCTGAAGCGGAGCCACCAGGAGGACCAGGAGGCGGAGCATAGTGAGCACCGCTGCCAGGCATTGAAGGACGATCAGCACCATAGTGGGAAGCCGAGCCACCGGGAGGGCCTGGCGGCGTAGCATGGTGAATCCTACTACCGGACAGTGGAGGAGGATATTCAGCACCATAATAAGAAGCTGATTCACCTGACAAGAGAGGAGGCGGTGCTGAATTATACTGGTGAGGTGGAACAGGTGCTCCAGGATATGACGACCCTCCCAAGCTTGTACCAGACACATCTCTTCTATTCCCGCTATCGAGCTTTCCCAACAATGATTGCGCCTGAGCTACTCCAGGTATCTGGCTCGCATACCCTTGTAGATTATGTTGTGCTTGAATACCTTGATTGTAACCGTAGGTTCCTTGAGCAGCGGGAGTCCCTCCAGCGCCTGCCAAGCGGGTATTTTCATGATTCCGAACGGCGTTCTTGCTTAAACGGCTAAGGGTGGCATGCTGTTTAGAGCCCAACTGTTGAACCCATGTTTGCATATAATGCATCATTTCCCCTTGAATTTTGGAAGAATGATTGGGAAAATCTGGGTGAAACCTAAAATGATAATTTTACCATTAGATAAAACTTACAACGAATTTCGAAGAACACATACATGCATGATACAATATCCTCCGTCAACTCGTGGACGTTAACATTTCGATCATCCCAGGCTTTGACGACGCGTGTTACAGTTTGAATCTGCACCGAAATGTGAGACAGCGTTGTGCAGTCATTGATACCAAAAATCATACAACAATGATTCTTGCTAGATGCCCTGCAGGCTCATTTAGAATGAGATTCTGTCAGAGCACATTAACTTAATTAAGTAGCGGGAATAAAGTGCACCCACGAAATGATCTTTGCTCAAGAACGAATGAGTAGGGTCAGACTGGAATATCTGTGAGTAGTATTCGGTATTAATATTTTGAAACTCACAGCCCTAGGATCATTGAAAACTTCGTATTGATCCTGATTGTCAATTACTTCACCAGAGACAGACTGTAACCCGCTAGTTGCAGTCTGCAATAACGGCTTCACAAAAGGCTATTCCCGTTATGTGAGCGATGAGAAGATTAGCTTTAGAGAGCGCACTTACTTCCAAGGTAGTGAATACGAACACTATTTGGAGTCAATATGATTATCCGCCGCATAAAGTACAATCCAGATGAAGAACATACCAGAGACAGAATCCATGATTTTCTCAATCAATGGCCCTAAGCCAGGAATCCTCTCTATATAAAGTATAAAGGCCCCCAAGCGTCGGATAAGATGAAATCAACATACCTATGGTTTTCTCGATTTTCTTCGCCACGCTATCGCGGAAGGTCAAAACCTAATAAAATCCTCTTTCAAGTGCTCCAGATCAACCCAATGCATCATACTAACCTGCCATAATACGGCATGTAATTCCTGAGGATTCATATCTTCAGGGCGCTTCCCTCCTTGTTGTGGACCTGCTCGTATTCTTTGAACGTTGTCCATTTCGCGAGACATCTCATTTCCAGATCCACCAGGCAGTGAGAAAAATAGATCGCGGAGGACAGTTGCTGGATCAGTAGCACCGCCTGGACCAGAGCGTTGTTGAGTAGCTCGGGCTTTATCAAACTCTTTGTTCAGATCAGTGACTGAAGCTTGACTCTGGGTAGAGAATCAACGGGAGAACAGACGATGATTACAGCCATAACGCGCACCAGATGATCAGTAGCCTCTAAAAGAAAGTATCAGCATGTGATCAAAAAGAGCTAATTCGAGTACCCACCGCCGAGCAACGAGTGAATAAAATCGCTCGACCCAAAGGTTCCTGCACAGTACCTGTCAGTCCATGGCCCAAAACTCCTCGTTGCTAGACCGACCGGTGACGATAGGCGCAACAAGCTTTCCTCCGGGAGCATGTACGCGAACTTGATCTCCGACATGAGTGAAAACGTCGTGGTGGCCCATCGACTGTCACTGGGTGATGAAACTCTCCTGCTCTGGACAACGATTGAGAACTTACAACCAACGACAGCTCGCAGAAATTAGAATGCGCTGTTTCCATACGATTGGGTGGGTAAGTTTCCATTTAGCTGGACAAAATTCCCGTACCAGGAAAATCTTCAAGAGTGTGCATCTAGACCGCAGATAAGTAATACAAATGATTTAGTAGAAAAGGGCTTCAGCGTACTGCTTGGCCAAGGAGCCTGTACGCTTCATACAAATCTTCCTTTCTGTTCTGAGCACGGTGTTGCCTTCCCAAATGAATGCATCTTTCCAACGTCCGACGAACCAATGCTTTAGATGTATCCCACCCGCCATTTTCTAATGCAGCAGATGATAAATCATAGAATCAAGATAAACGGGATTTCAATTGAGATTACCGTTGGCAATGTAGTTCTTCATGCCGGTTTGTGGATCGATCTCGAGTTCTCTTGGCTGTAGATAGACGACTTAGTTTGTCGGACCACAAGAAGAACAAAAACACAAAAAAGTTGACGCACATCAATTGGACCTCTCAACCTGGGGTCATATTTTCGAGCATCTTCGCCTTCTCCATAACCTGCAGATAGATTAGACTATGAGCAAACGATTATCAGTCAGAGATCACCTTTCGGATTATCTATGTGCTCAGTCTATCACAAAAGGTTCAGCAAGCGGAGAGACAGAAAAATATCCACAAACTGACTGGGAGATAAACACCTAAGCGCTCTACAGTGACCTAGGACGATCTTGAATAACTTGTACAAAAGTAGATAGGAGTTGATTTGGATAAAGTTCACCTCGAATTCATGCGTAGCATATCCATGAGCCTATTGAAAGTGTTCAATGACCAGTATTGGGATCGGGTATCGGCGCACCAAGAATCCTAGCACCATACAAAGATTGATAATCGTTTGCAAAGGTAATTTCTTCAATCCGGCTATATCCACAGCCTACTAACAATTTAAACATGGTTCAATCACTAAGAGTAGTTCATTGGATACACACCTGACTATAATCTCGAAGCCAATTCCCAAAATACACACGCTTTACATCCAAACCGTTGAACTTGGTCCCACCTTTACCTATCACACTGGCCAAGGCAAAGCCGCCACCGACTTTCTTCAATAAATCTGCGAGTGCATCTTCAATGTCACCTATCAAGATCCGATCAGTTTGTTCCGGTCTTGCTTTTGGATATCAGGCTACAGACCATGTCGAAACGCCTTTCCTTCAAGATATGCAAATGAAGGAATATTACCGGCCCCAAAACAAAAGGCGCCATTCACAGCAAATATGAGAAGGAAGAGGAATATCAACGAGATTTTGTTTGGCATTGGTGGTGGTTGTACAAGTAAAAGGTCAGTTGGAGTCTGCCTTCAAATCGTTGATATTTGACGCCCTTGCAATCTGTACAGCCTTTCGAACACCACTTCGACATGGAGCGCTGCTTTGATGGCTCCGGATGTAGCTCTTTGTGGTTCCACTGTTACAACTGCACGGCTTGTTACACAAAGGATAATATATTTAACAGCAATCCGTGACAATCCTATAGCTTAGCCGTAGCCATATCGTCCTTTCTAATGGTTACAACCACCTTTCCATACGTCTTCCTATGTTCCAACGCAGCCAATCCTTGCGATAACTTTTCCAGCGGATAGATTTCAGAATAAATTACAGGTTTCGCTTTTCCAGACGAGAATAGGCTGTCAAAATGATTTGCGTCAGCCTGAGTGGACGGACGATGCAGTTGTTTTCAATCAACGCACTCGAGTAGGGCTTTCCAAACTACAGCAATTTGTTTCTTCTCGTGGACTAAGAAAGTGAAATACATATGAAGAGATTCAGAGAGTTTTCTTTTGAAGATAAAAAAAGACACGCACTGCGATATGCTCCCCAATGAAGGCCAACAACGGATATATTCTTTAGGAGAATGAGATTCGACGGTAACTAGACAAATGGTATTTGAGCTTCATCATCTATGGAGAAGGAAACTCGGGACCTTTTCGATGCTGCCAGCAGCGAATCCCACTACCACCACTCTGCCCCGCCATGCTAGGCACTTGAATGACGCTATCGCATGACGAAAGTTCAACTGCTTTGAATACTTGAATTTGTGGAGCTCTTACACTGCACTAAACCCACGGGATCAAAGACTATGTCCACACCAACTTTTGCAATTCGAGATTGAACATTCAAGGAGGTGAAGACCGAAGCTAGGGCACGTACCTCCATTGGTAATCTTCAAAACGTCTTTCTGCCAATCAGGCTTTGAGTAATCAACGACATAATCTGCGCCTCCATAGCGTCTGGCTATCTCTAACTTCTCCTGAGAACCCGCTGCGGCAATGACCTTACCCCCAAGCGCTAAAAGGATAAAAAAGCGGATCACGAAAAGAAAGGCAATTACGTGCAGTCATATTCCTCACCCTTTGCTAGCTGGACCGCTGAAGACGTGTTGAGGGCGCGTGCAGTTTTGCATGAAGCTTAGCCTCACCTGCTATTCCCACCCCACCAGCTGCTGCGGTGATTAATACCCATTCATCTGTATTCCAAAATCAGCGAGTTTCTACTTCGAGCGTTTCCACACGTACCTGGCTTCATTTGGGCTCGACCGACCAGTCCTTCATAGCTTGTGGGCCATGTAATGTACAAACCTAGTTAGTGGGTTATCCATTGCACAGAAATGGAGACAGGTCCCGGCCTTGCGTACCTGCGCCTTGTTCGAATGTTAATTCATCCGGAAGAGGGAGGACAGAATCGAGTTTCACGACCATCTTGTCAGCGTAGGCACCCTGCCCAGCACCAAAGACACGGTCTCCAGGTTTGAATGGACAGCCTGGGGGAATGGGTGAGTTCTGCGCTACCTTCCCGGCGAATTCTGTGCCCAGGACGAAGGGAAGCGGCGGCTTGATCTGGTATTTCCCTTGAGTTTGAAGGATCTGAAAGCAACTTTCGGTATTGGGCGAATGGAACAAATAATATGAAAGCTGACGTCGAAGAAATTGAGGCCTCCGCTATAGACATCTATGAGGATTTCACCTTCCTTAGCTGTAGGCTCGGGAACATCATATGAGAGCTCGATTTTGGAATGATGAGCGAGTTCTTTGACTTGAAGTCCACGCATATCTAATCGTAAGTGTTCGAAGTCGAAATTTCAAAAGGTGAATGGCCAGAGACATCTCAGGAGTCAAATTCGAGCTTAAGATATCCGGGTTCGGCCATAAATACTTGCCGATTTGAAGTGCTCATTCTCACATGGCAGACATGGTCAGGTGAGGGAGAACGAGAATCAAATTGAAAGAGTATTGCGAGGGATGTATTACAATGAGATGTTCTGTTACTACTTTATCTACTTCAAGATGGGTTCGTATTCGTATTTTCCAATCTTTTATTCCGAATTACACAAAGCCAAAGCCTTCGCCACCTTCACTGATAGCAAAGAGGACCTGTTGGCGGAGCATTTCATACGAAGAATACTGCGGCAAATCAATTTGGTTGAAACCTAAAAGATGTAAATTCAGACGAGCAAGTTTCTGGAACACTGAGAAAAACCTACAGGTATGAGCTTGGGGTAGTCGATCAGACTCGCCATATGCCCTATGTATTGAGAACTTCTGAACTCCCTGCACGCCCTGCAAGTCCACGAACCCATTTAATGGCACGCGAGATGTGCCAGTAGCGAAACTCAGAACTTTCGCTCGCTCATCACGATTGAATGATTTGAGAGCTCGCCACCACCAAACAATATTTGGATCCGAGCTAGTGTATCCGTTGTACTCTGTCGCTGCCCGCCACTCATCAACATCGATATCGGGAGTACCAGAAATCAGGAGTTCCAATTCTTGTTCATTGAACTGTAATTCAAAAAAAATCATTAGCGTGCTATTTTAGCTAGCAGTGTATAAAACATACTATAGTTATGAGATCCTTGGGAATGATCTCGTAGAATCCAGCTGACAGATGTTCAATCTGCTCCTTGATCGACGAATATAGACGGTATTGCGCTGAGAGCTGCACAAATTCACGTTTATTTTCTTGGGTAACGGGTATAGCATCACCGCCTTCTTTGAGAGGGACGATACGATTAACACCAAACTGGAAAAATGATCAGCAAGATGACCAGGGAAAAAATGGATCATCAACATACTTCATCAGCCTCTACACTGAAGGTAAGTTCCAACAGAGTAGGGTCATTCTCCAAAATCCAGCAAAGTGAATTGTAGTACTCAGGATCAACCCATTCGACGTCCTTATAATCAACTGGCTTTCCGAGCAGTTGACGGTACAAACTACGAGCAAAGTAGGCATCGAGGAGGCGACCATCATAGATAGCTTTCCCTATAACGCGTCCAACGAACTTGAAGAACGTCAAATGTTCGGGATTGACCCACGAGTTTTTGTTGGGTTGGTAAGTGAGCTTATCAGCTGCACAAGGTTGGAATAGAGCGTTATTGGGATCGAACATCTGGCGGGCGAGGATTTGGAACCACTCCCGAGTTAATCCTCCTGCATCTACACCCTCTTCCTCATAGAACCGTATGTTGAGCTTGCCATACTTGATCTGATCACCAGTTTTTCGCATTATTTGTTGGAAACTGTCTTCGAAAACACGAGCGCGACGGATGTTGAGCTGAATGGTTCCATGATGTTCGCGAGCATGTGGCTTGCGATGCAGCTGCTGAGTAAAGTAGTTCCTCTTGTTGTCGAAGTCTAGCACTCGAGGGTTGTGGACTAACAATGAGAAAGAACCACTCATAAGAGAGGGGTTATTTCGGACCATCACGTTCAAAACCTTTCGATGGGTATCGGTAAAGGTAACAAAAAGATCTTCCATCGATTCCTTGGGAGTAGTCGGAGATCTCGGGGAGGACGTTGCGTGCAAGGCTCGGTTGGCGGAGGAGTTTGTTCCGACATACTTGCACACAACCATTAGAGACTCGATGAGTGGAAGTAGTACGGTAGTGACGTGCTCGGTGTCAGCCTTTTCCTCGATGATTGCTAAGCAATCCCCGAGACTTTTCCAAAGAGGTGCGAAACGGAAAGACTCGTAGATTGCCTGAACTTTTTCCGTATCTTCATTTTCATGATTTGCGCCAATACCGACAGAGGAAGGACGAGGGGAGTACATGTAATCAATAGTCTTCAAAACCCGCAGGAGTTTTGCTTGTATGGAAGAAGCAGCCGAGAATTTGGAGGCCACTGAACTCAACTGAGTTTCAGAAGAGTTCCGAAGAGCGCTCGCCAATTCATCAAGTTCAGAGAACAATGTATGTCCAAACTCCTGCGCTTTGCTTTTGAGTTCTTGAGCAATCACATCGCGGGTGTCTGGTATATAGGATAAATGCTGAATGAGGTTCAAGCTCTGCTGGAAAGTGCGCGATGAGCATTCGCCGACGGTAAGAATGTTAACGATTAGGCGTAGCACTGCATGAGGTATTTGAGGAGGGTTCGAAAGTAGGATCTGCTGTTCCACTGCTTGGAGTGTCATCTCGGTGCTCGGATCTGGGGCCGTAGGGGTGTGACCTGGGATAGGAACGCCGACAACGCATTTAGGGTTAGGAATGCAAAGGAAGAAAAGGTTTGAAAAACTCACTAGCGATACCATCATGGGGAAGTGATGAAGGAGGTGCGGGTGTAGTTTCGACAGCAGGGACAGAATTGTCACCAGTGCCGTTGGTAGTTTGATTGTTAGAACTCTCAGCATCATTTGTGACACTCTTCGAAGTGCTGGGCTGCAGTTGTGCTTGAAGTTTTGCCTCCTTGATCGGGCGAGTTACTGTCGCCAGGAGACCGACGACTGATTCCATAATAGAGGGCGTCCGAAGTAAAGACTGCCGGTCTAATAGTCCTAGCAAAAGAACGATTGGATAATGGGTTTGCGGAATTTGCTTCTCTTTCCCTTTGCCCTTTTTCGATGATGCTCTGCGCAGGCCAGCGGGAAGTTCATGTTCAGTGAGGAAGAATAATGAAGACGAGCTGTTAGCTGTAACAATATATGTCAATGCCTCCAAGCAGCGCTGAGCAATAAGATCAGGCACAGCCTCGGTGTGCCCCCCAGGTAGCACTAGGGTAGTGATTAAATCTGAGGTGGACTTCTGTTTGCCTATAGCTTTCGGTGTTTTGGAATTTCGAACGGACATTTGAGCAAAGCTTTTATCAACAGCGGCAAGATCTCCCGTACCATCTTGCAGTATACTGAGGAGAAGGTTGAAGAGCTCAGTTCTAGTCTTCGCATTTTCGCAAAGATTGACCAAGACTTTGAATATCAGAGTCTTCTTCAGAACTTGAGGGAAGAAGAGTAGCCTTATAAGAGCGGCAACACCAGCTTTGTCAAGAAGTTGGATAGCGTCATGTTGAGGGGCAAATTTACGAACGATGGCGGGAGCACCAGACGTCTCGCGGACACCACGAGAGCTTACATGAAGCCGTCTAGACTGGGCAGTACGATAATGACCCGCTTCCGCTATCACGTGAGGGGGTAGAGTTTGGATGAAGCCCTCGTCCTGCTCCATCAAGACAGCTTGCCGCAGTGTCGGATCCAAGCTTGCTATGAAACTAGCAGGGTCGATTTCTGCTGGTACTCTAGGCACTCCAGACGCGGACTGAGCTACCTCGGCTGAGTGACGAGCACGTTCCATAGCTTCTTGCTGAATAATCTCCGCACGAATTTCAGGAGGCAGCGCATCCAAAAATTCAACACTGATCTGAGAATCTGCAGGTCGCTCAATTCTGGCGGCTCGTTGATCGCGAACATGCTGATTCAGAACCTCTTCCCTCATCTCGTCCGGTAACGCTTCTAAAAACGTAGGGTCGATGCCTGTATCGGTAATATCAACTTCATTATCATGAATCATGACAGTGACACGATTTGTAGTGTTCACTTGCCCAGAAGCAGAAGCCTCATTCTCAGAAGGTAGGCTTGTTACGTTGTCATCGTTGCTCTCGTCTGGTTCAAGCGGTTGCAGTCCAGTAACAGCAGTACCGTCGACCATCTCTGTGTCGGCCATCTCTGGGACGGCTGCAACGCTGACACCAACACTGGATGTCGCATCTTCCATCGGGTGATCTTCTGGAGAGGTATCATGCACATCGGACGGGCCTTCAATTTTTGATGACTGGCTTTGAATAGGTTGGTCAGAAGATTCCACTGAAATCTGGGTCTGAGCTTTGTCTTCTGCCTCTTTGCGTTCCTCTTCTTCTTTTTCTTGTTGGGCTTTAGCCTCTGCATCACGCTCGCGGGCGGCCTCTTCCTCTGTAGCTTTTTGAGCTACTTCGATGGCGTTTGGTAACATTGTATTGACCAAATGATTGGCCAATTTCGAGGCACGGTCAGCCACTAAATCGCCGTGTAGGACCTTAACTTCCTCTGCCCATCGCTGTAATGTGAGCAGGGGATCCAGCGTACGGGCTTGAGAGGAGGTGGGAGGAGTGCGCGTGTTCCTCTCCATTCTTACTGAAGCCGAAATGACCGGTGGTCGACGATGAGGAAGGTGGTAGTGTCTCCCTAGGTCCATGATTGCTCCTGCGGGCACATCGAGCCGGATAGTTTCAGGTACCCCTCCTGCTGCTCCTCCTCCTCCTCGACCTCGGGTCATTATATGATGGAAAAGCTGTACGGCACCACCTCCGACGAGTTCCTCGATTGTTTGTAGAAGCTCAGTCGTTCCACCGGCCATGATTCGTTGCGGATTACGTGCACCTCTGAAAGTAGATGATGTAGGTCGAGCAGCTTGTGAAGAGGCATCTAGCAGTAAGGGGTGCGTAGTAGCTTCGGGGGGTGCAGATCCCCCACTGCGAGCTCGGCCAAACATGGGAGCATGATCTTCCACTATGATAGGTCAGCGAGTTAGATGAATACGATGAAAGAATTACGCACCTGGGTTCCGATGCCTACGAGGGAAGAAGAAACTGGGAGCAGACCCTGCTGGATCTCCGAAATTAAAAACATCGCGCATAATGTCACCACTTTCAACTAAGTCCAAATCATGACCGAAGCTACACGAAGCTATGTGAGAAACAACTTCTGAATTCACAAAAAGGTTGAAGCGTACTCTTCATCAGACCCAGCATCAAGTTCCTCCCCGTCTTCATGAATGATCTGAATTGGTCCTTGGTCTATTCTTCATTTTAGAGCCTGGAAATAGATTGGACTAGACCTACTTACCACCAGAATCTTCGTCTTCATCCTCTTCTCGCAGCTCCTCGGCGTCGACATCATCTTGGATGTCCTACTCATAATAAGTCATCAATGATATGACAGACTTTTCAAACATACCTGCCACATCATTTCCTCGGCTTCCTCAATTTCCTCTTCATCCACCGGTTCGTGAGGGTTTACAATCCCCTCTTCATCTTCATGACCTTCATCAACCTCATCCGGTACAAGATCTTCTTCATCGTCTTCTTCATCTTCCCAACCTTCTTCTTCTGCATCATCCAGATCCTCATCGGCCTCTTCTTCCTCATCAGTGTTCGAAGTGTCTTCACTTCCCGTTTCTTCATCGAAATCCATTTCTTCGTCGTGCTCCCCCATATCTTCCTCATCATCCATGTCCTCATCTTCGCCATGATAAGTCATATCTTCCATTTCCTGTTATGGTATCGAATTAATAAACATTGCACAAGCAACGGTAGGAGGCAAGTAACTTACCCCGCCATACATGCCCAAAGCAGAGTTGCGATACAAGTCAGGCGTTTCTTCACGCGCATCTTGGTTTTCTTCTTCTTCGTCCTCTTCATCAGAAGATAGCGGCGAGATACTTCCAGCTTTCGGACTACTCGATTCCCGAGCTTTTCCAGGTGCGCGACTCATCTTGATAGCCACTTTCGTCCTTGAATGCAGTTCAAGCATTGTTGCAAAAGAATAACGAAGCGTAACTCACAACAATTCCAGCGGTTTCAAGATTGCAACAACTAACGTACGTACATTCGGATAATTGAGGTCAATGTCGGACAACGTGTTTGTAAGAGTCGCAACGAAATTCTTCTCTAGCATGACTTTGGAAATCTGGGTGGGACCATCTTCATGCTTTCGTGTGGAAGGACTGAAGCGAACAGTGAGCAAGCGATGGCAAAGATCACTCAAGGCAAAAAGACGGCCGTATTGTAGCTCAGTGCTTTCAGCGGGTGATGCGTCCTTGATTGCACGGCTGATTGATTCGAGGACAAATTTCCGCACCGCAACGAGGTCATTCGAAATGTCTCTGCCTTCCTGACCAGAAGAGGTGTCTACACATAGAGCAACCAAGAGGGACATTGCCCAGGTGGAAACTGACATCTTACTGCGAGTCTCAGGGCTGTTCGGGGGATTGAGACCATCAAAAGGAACAAGTTCTGAAAGAAGGAAATGCATTGTTGAGGTACGGAATCGTGAATGTGGATTTTCTTTCGCAGGAGTGTTGGTACGTTTCTTTACAGAGTAGCTGAGGAGTGCAACTTTGCAGGAATCATAGGAGAACAATAACTCCGTCATGCACTGCATAAGGAAGCACATATAGAGATGCTGAGCCTTGTCTGTAGAAGAGTCTGCACTGTCCTTCAAACCGGGCACGTGAGCTGCATCTGGAGCAGTATGGGGTTCGACGACAGAAGACGGTGCACTGCTAGTAGTAGAAGGTGTATCGCTGTTGAGTGCCTTAGCTGTTTTCATTAATTCCGCTGCCAAGAAATACATCACTTCATCCACAGACTCTGAGGAATCAGCGGTCGATGGATCGACTTGCATGTCCACGGTGTTCTTCAACTCTTCGTTCTTGGGAGGAACGTCTGAATTCTTGTTTAGAGAAAGTGTGTACGACGTAGCATAGGGCGATCCTAAATGACACAATTTTTGAGTTACCTCAATGAAAGTGTTGGGATCCCGCAGCGCCATTGCACTACAATTTTTCAGATAAGAGGAGACGTCCGGGACTCTGTTGCGAGGATTGGTTAAATATCGTCGAATGGATTGGTGCATAATGCCCTGTACAGTCTTATGGTCTTCGATGATATGACGTAAAATGATAGCAATGTATGATGAGCTACCAGTGACTGGGGAAGTATGAAGGCGGCTGAAGAGCATCCCGAGCCCGTCTTTTTTGACAAATTGCAAGGCATATTCGTGATCTCTCGTGAGCAATACCAGTAAACGCAATGAGGACAGTAGCTCATCGCTGGGGAGATCTGGCATGGCAAGAAGTTTCAGACAGAAGTCGAATACCATCGCACGTGCATCTGTCAACGCAGGGCCAGTCGACAAAGGCTCTGAAGGTATAGGTTCACCTTCCTTAGGAGTGCCGATATCACGAGGTTCTTCGGATAGCGTGAGGAGGGCTTCGGTAACCAACAAATGCGCAGCCAACCAACGAGGAATAATTGGATTCTCCGGATCCATGCTGACGGGATTAGACAACAGAAGAGCTAAAAGACTATCCATAAGAGAGCTGCGTAACTCCGGATCGAGAGAATACGGTGTTTCAGAAAGGACCAGAGCTAATAATCGGCAGCGATTCGCCAGAGGTTGCTCTTGAACATCGTAAGCGTATGGTGAAAAACCTTTGATATCATCGACTATATTGCGAATAGCCTCTGGCTGATGGGCATCACCGGGACGGACAAATGCAGCATGGATGTCGAACAACAAGGATATATGCTCGTCAACCAATGACAACGCCTTCCTACTGATGCCGGCTCTGAGGGGTTCCCTGGCTGCCTCAAGATCTTTGCGCCATTCCTCGACAGTCTTGCCTATTGTCGGTTCCGGAGAAGGTGAGTCATCAACAGGCTCCGCCGGCATTGTAGTGGGACCCGAACCTGCTCCGTCCTCATTTACCGAACTTTCGTCGATGACAAACTCCGCGGAACCTGAAGCGGTGGTGGCAGGTTCTGGTTCCGGTTCCGCAGCGAACGGCAAAAAAGGATTGGCCAGCAGGATTTCAGTTGCTGCGGGTACATTGTTGTGAGTGCGCCGTAAAGCATGCTCGGCAGCGGCACGAGGGAATCCCATGTCGGTGAGCTGGCGGATACGCGATTCATCAAGCACGTTAGAGCGAAAGAAGGTACTGGAAGAAGGTCCAGTTTCAATACTAGCTTTGCTCTCGTCTGAGCTGTTCAAAACTTCTAGTACTGTTTGTACAACAGATCTGCAGACACCAAGTGGGGCCTTGATTAACCACGAGGATTCCCAAATATCTTTTAGTAGCGGTAAAACTGCTAAGCGAAGTCGAACGAGAAAGTTGTGAGGTTCGAAGTAATCATCATCAGTATCCTTCTTGTCCTTGGTGACAACAATGTTAGTTTGACCTGATTCAAACAATGGTTTGGAGGATACTAAAGGATGTAGCAAATGCAAAACTATTTTCAGTCCACTGAACGCATGGAGAAGTTCCTGTGTTTGCGCAGGAGATCGATCCTCTTCGCGAATGGGGACAATGGAACGAATTGAGGATATGAAACTCCGGCTAACGTTCAGCACTGCATCTACGCCGCCAACACGGTAGAACGCTAACAGTTGTACAGTGTAGATGGTATGATTGGTGGTGCGCTCTAGAAAACAAAGGTCAGCAGAGCCAAAGTAGATAGACGAGATCATACCGTCGATTAAGAGGACAGTAACTAGGCCTAACATGACACCATAGTAGATGTACAGAGTGGATTTGTCCTCGACTAGATGTATTGAGATTCAGAACGACGAAGTTGATCAAAAGTTGACTGACTGTCACTCTTAGCAGATAAATGCTTCAGTAACACATCTGCAACTGTTGCGGAAGACTCGATCATCTGCTTCTTTTGCGATTGCTCTGGAGTTCTGCGAGAATGGAACGTTTTGACCATGGCTGAGAATAGTGAATGAAAGATAAACAATTTGTCAGTCAGATTCAGTACACAAGCTTACCTTGGAAAAACGGTGATAAAGCAGTGGGTATGCCGTGTGTGATATGTTTTAAGGCTGTGGCGTTGAACTCCTTTGGTCCGGCGTGTCTGGTATGCGTTTCTTTCGTAGGAGTAGATGTTGACGTTGACGCGCCATTCTCGACAGCACCGTTGGGCGCAGAAGCGGGTACGGAAGGTCCTTGTACTGGTAGGTCAATAGTTCGATGATTTGGTGATTGGTCGAGTGGAGAGGCACTCGGGGTTTGATATACCTCTATCCCTTTCGCAGCGAGGGCTGCCTTCAGCACAATATTTTCCCAAATTCCGGCCCGGTGTAATGAACCTAGGTCTGCAATTACTTGTGGCGTTGTACTAGTCATCAAATTCTGAAGAAGACTGATGGCACCCCGTCCATGAGCGTAGCCAGCGGTGGAGAAAACATCCGAAAGTAATGTAACCCGGACGTGAAGCGTGATCAAGTTACGGAAATAGAAGTTCTTATTGACATATTCCTCATCTGTGTGTATACATCGATATCTGCCAGAATCGAAGATGGTAATAAATAAACTCACCGGTAACATCCAAAAGCGACAACAATTTAGAGTCCTCGGTATCATCAGACCAGAACTCTTGTGTCGCTTCGAGGGATTCTTTTACAAGCTGCGACATCTGCTGAAGTGTCTCACTCATAGCCACTTCGGTCAAGGTGCGCATTGTTTGAACCATCGAATCAGAGGCAACACTGTTAGCAAAATCATAGGGGAGACATGGTAGCGCGGTCAACCTGCCCAAACAAACTAGGCCATTGGTTTGAGATATGAAGTCACGACAATGTGGGGTGTGTTGAAAAAGACCTTCCAAGAACTGATTGAGAAGAGTCAGTACTGGTACCATGACTGACCCTATTAATGCTTACTCTGCCAAGAATGTCAATGAACGATATTATGTTATTTTCATGCAACCTCATGGCCTCCTCGCTGTGGGGCTCAAGCAACGCAGCTGTATAAGCCGGAGGTGGCGGAGGTGATGATTCCTTTCCTTCCGAAGATTCAACCCCTTCCATCTTGTCTACATCTTCGGAAGTAGAAGAAGGCGAAGGTCGGGCGACCGTGAGTTGATACCAGTTGCGAATGTCATCGGGCGGAACATAGGCATGTCCCAGTTCTTCTATCTTTGTCATAGTACTCTTGAGCGCCTGGAAGACAGGAGCCTTGAGGAATGGGTGATGACGAATGAGCTCGTCGACCGCTGTACCAATAAGCACTGCATTTTCCTTTTCCAGAAGAATCTTGAGGTGACGATCAGAAGTGAATATTGAGAAAATGGCTGGAATAATGCTTGGATGGGCAGCAATTAGAGACTGTCCGACTTCGTTCAAACAAAGTGCTCCGAGAGCATTGGGTATAGCTTGAAGCACCTACTCATGATAGAACATTTTGAACAAAAGCAGACATGAAAATCAGAAATAAACGTACCTCGATAGCCGGTTCTAGTCCGAGCTCAATTGACTTGTAGAACGTTTCGGGCAATCCGGCTTCCTGGATGACGGTTAAAGAACCTGGCTCGTTGTGAACGAACGTAGCCATTATGTTGATCGCTGAAGTTCGATTAAGCAGACGAGCCGAGGGTTAAAAGTAACAACGTACCAATAGGGAGGACACTTGGTCCGAAGAGACCTCTGTATTCGATGATTTTCTTAATCGATTTCAATATAGACATATCGATGAGGCCCCTCAAGCCTTCCAATGTCCCGGATGACTGCATCATACGGTGCATGGAACGCAAGATGTGTTTCAGGACAGCAGCTCGTACAACAGGCAGCTCCCCTGAAGAAAAGATTGAGCCCGAAAATAAGCTATAATCTCACAGAACGCACCATGCGATCCGAAAATCTGACGTGATTTCTGCTGATCACCATGTTCACGAATATCTAGGTCCACCTCAAACTGCGAAAGATTATTTTCAGTGAATATTACATAAAATGTAAAAAAGGAATCTACCTCGATTCTGTCAACCAAAGCTTCCACACCATGCGAGGAACAAAACACGGTGAAGGCGTTCGCAAAACTATACAGTACATTGTCAATAAGTTGCATCGTCTTCGACACGACTTGTAACCGCGTCGGTAGTCGATTCTCGAGAATCTGAATCAACAAAGGAATGAGGCCAGCTCCGACAATCATGTTGCCTCCTGATGCATGAGATGCAATGAATGTCACAAAAGACAGCAGCGCTTCGACGAAACTGTGAGGGATCTTGCAGTCGGAACTTGAGATATCACTTATGGTTTTGCGTAAAAGTCCCATCAGTATTCCGTGGTTGACTCCAGCGTTGACCGAAGTGAGAACTTCATGGACCTTGGACCGATACCGCGCCATTGCGTCCAGAGCAGCGATGGCAGCGGTTTGGATGTGAACAGAAATTCCGCGGCCAACCTGCAATAGCTCGGCAACATGTGGGATGAGATCCGGCTCGAACAAAAAGAGAGTGGATAACGCTTGGCTTTCCGGGTGCGTATGTCCAAAGATGGCGATAGAAAGCAAGCGGACATGAACAAGCTTTTCTCTTTCGGCTTCGCGTCCTTTCGCTAGTGTTGTGGCCGCTCGTATACGGCAGAGCAAATCAAACTTCTCCGAATCCGGAATTTCATGTGTACGGATGGCGTCAGCCAGGACATCCATTGCAGTCTTTGATCGTAAAGTTTGCTCGTCCAAATGGACTGCGACTGCGCCTGCGGCGATCGGAGTTGTGGAAGAGAGTTTGCGTGAGGATGAAAGATCATTAGGATCAGCCTCTGGTTTTATTTGAGAGGATCCGGCATCTTTCCGGTAAAAGCTGAAGTCGACTTCACGGGCCTCGCTCGGGAGAGCGTCAATTTCCAAGCTTCCTTGCGCGTTAGCCAAATCGACGAGATCAATTCCGTATTCACGGAGGTGAGGCCATCGTTTGGCCAAAGACAATAAACGTGGCGTAGATATATTCAGTGCTTGTGAGACAGCTGGCTGCGCTGAGTACTGCTGTGAAGGTCTTAAAAGCAGCTTCAGAGCTAGAATCAGAACGTCCAGATCCGAAGCGAAGAGAAAGCTGTTCAATCGCTGTTTTTTGTGACGCTTGAGAAAGGTATTTCATGGTCACAAATGGATTACGCACATCATAAGAGTTGAACATCTTTCGATTGGTGGAGTTCTCGAGCAAAAGTCGCTCGAATTTAAGAATTTCAGAGACCATCTTCTTGGATTCTGTACTGAATTCTCGGACTTGTAGTTTGTCGATATCATATTCGCGGATGACGTCTTCTAGAACAGTGTCGAACTTATTGAGCACCTTTATCCAGGCATTCAGATCGGAGCGTTGCCACTTCCAGGCATCAATCTCCTCCAGTGTCTGAGCCAGAGCATCGTCCGGTGTGTTTATCAATCTCGTTATTAGATCTGCAACTTGAGGAGGCTAGAAAGACAGAGTCCAGTTAGAATACGCGTCCTCTCACGGCACAAAACCATCCTTACAGGTGGAACCGTCCTCTTAGATTTGTGTAGAATCTTCATTGTTCACGACGATTCAGTCGCGAAAACCACGAAAATTCTGGCCGATTTGTGGATGAAAGTAGGTAAAGCACTCGAAGGCAGAAAGCAAAATCTTCGTCACGCCCGATGCAATGTGCAATTTGCTGACAAACCGAGGGCAAGTCTTTGACTCTTTCTGCCTCACCTTCTCGACTTGGTTTTGTACAGTTTTGTACCTCAAGTCAGTCATGGTGAAACGAAAAGCCCATCAGGCGAGCGATGACTCTGAAATCCCTGCCCAATCTGCTGCTGTAGCACCAAGTAAATCGTTGAAACGCGGTGTCAAGAAGCCAAAGTTTGTCATGGTACTGTAATCTTACGACCTATAATCCACATTGAACTAAGGAGTCAAGAAGCAAAAAGACTCTGAAAGTGAGGATGAAGAAGAAGAAGAGGAAGAAGAAGAGCCAAAACCAGTGAAATCAAAGCCTGTGGTGCGTCTCAATATCCCTAATGGACCAAGCTCAACTTACCGTGTTCAATCAAAGCCCACATCTTCAAATAATGGCTCATTAATTAAAGAGAGCCCTGAAGGTGATAAATATATCGACCTAGGAAAAAAGAAAAGAGCCACTGTTCGCTCGTTCGTTCTCTCTTTGTTCAAACTACTCAAATACTCATACTTTACAGTTTCAAAGGGAGTACCTTTGTCGACATTCGCGAATTCTACGGTGACACAGAACAATCAATGAAACCGGGGAAGAAGGGTATCTCCTTGGCACTAGACCAGGTTCTGTTATTTCAGTGCCAATCTCGCCATTCTTATTCTGATATCTATGTAGTGGGAGGTCCTGAGAAGTAGCGCATCGGCCATTGACGAGTTGTTTGCAGCTGAGCAGAAAAAAAAGTAGGCAACCATCGTAAGCGATGGACTGGGTGTGTCAGGGGTATGTATCATACAATGTACAAATAAAGTATATAAATAATGGCACGAATTGAAATTCACGAGATGAGTCGCGTTCCTTCATGGGATTCGGTCCAATATAAAACTCAAAGTTGATGAACGTCTTCCATGTTACGTCTGTGCTTTCAACGACGATGTCTTGAATCAACACTTAAAAGGCAAACTCTTATCTTCATCGTGCCTCCGTCCAGGCAACCATTTCACTCTGAAAGGATTAACAGCTGGACTTACACCCAACGATCTAAATCTGGACATTCCAAGTCAGACCAAAATATTTGGATCGTCGGCTCATTGCTCCTTACTACTGGTGCAGGGATACTTGCATACCACAAGTACAAACCATTTCGACATGCATTATTGGCTGGAAGTCGTTGCTCACGGGTAGCAAGTACGTGATACGTTCATTGCAATTGTTTCGTTCCACTCAATCCCATTCTCAGAGGCCGCTATCTTGGGCGTGATTGACTACAAAATCACTTTTTTAAAATCTTATGCATCTGAAAGCGAGCAGTTTGCGGCGTATTCTGAATGCCACACACGAAGCGCAACAAGACTATTGAAAGCTTTGCTCGCAAACGGAGGTGCCTGAATATAGTTTGCTGAAGCTCGCGAAATTTACGTTCGAACCTCTTTCTAGGCATATTTATCAAACTTGGGCAACATATGGCATCCATAATTGTGCTTCCGAAGGAGTGGACAAGTACCATGAGACCGTGCGTTTTGGAAACTACGAGAAACTTCATCAGTTTATGGTGTTCTCCAGCTTGCAGGATCAATGTGAGCCGACGCCTTACGAAGCAGTGAACACCATGTTCCAATCTGATATGGGCAAATCCATTAATGAGTTGTTTGTGGACTTCGACCCGAAACCCGTTGGTGTGGCTAGTTTGGCTCAAGTCCATGTCGCATCTCTTCGAGAGACTGGCGAAAAAGTAGCCGTCAAGGTTTGTCGCTCATTCCGACCCAATTTGAGGAGTTTCAGCTTACATCTCTGTACTTAGTTGCAACATCCACATCTAGCTGAGTTTGCCGACGTCGACATGGAAATGGTAGAGGTTTCCTTAGGTGTGATAAATGACATCTTCTACTTTCACGACCCTTGACTCTCTCCCTTCCAGGATGGATCAAGTATTGGTTCCCGGAGTTCGAGCTGACATGGCTAGGAGTGCGCGCGGTCCTCGAATCCAACCCAACTTGTCTGACTGGTTGCCTATAGGAGGAAATGCGTATCAATCTACCCAAGGAAATGGATTTTGTCCACGAAGCGTCGAATGCTGCGAAGACCGTTCATGAATTCGAGAGTATCCGAACGTCACTATATATACCCAAAGTGATATTTGCAAAGAAGAGAATCCTTGTCATGGAATACATCCAGGGTGGAAGAGTTGATGATCTAGAGTATCTCGCCGAAGCGAATATTGACCGCAATAAGGTCGCTGTAGAGCTCTCTCGGATTTTCAATCGAATGGTTTTCATCAACGGCTGGTTCCACGCAGTACGTCTCACACACACTGTCTGTTGCTCTTGCTAATTACTAGTTAAGGATCCTCACCCTGGTATTCAAATTATGATATTCCCTGTTATTCACATCTCATTCGCTTGAACAATCAGGGAACTTGCTTATTCGACCCGCCCCTATGCTTTCTAAATCGCCGTACAACTTTGAAATTGTTCTTCTCGACCATGGGCAATATTTTGACATAGACGACCAATTGCGCATCAACTACAGCAGGTTCTGGTTGTCGCTTCTGGCTCCTGCTTCACCATCTGTAAATGCAGATCGTAGGAAGTACGCTGAACTTGTCGGGAACATAGGTCCTGAATTGGTGCATTTCTTCAGGTCTCTTTTTTTATATCTAGGGCTGATTAGAACGTAGTATCCGGTCTTCGAGGCTGCTATGACTGGACGGGCAGCCTTAGAGGGAACTTGGGATGACGGGCAATCTGATGCTACTGTATCTTTCGAAAGGGCATCTGGAATGATGAGTGCTTTACCACAGAGCGAAGAAGAAATGGAAGCCATACGCACTGCTGTAGTTACCCGCGAGGGCTTACTTGTCTCTGTGTTCGACGTCTTGAGAAGAGTTCCTCGTAGAGTGCTCATGGTGCTTAAACTGAATGATCTGACTAGGTGGGTGCTATTACATTACCAGCCCACAGTAATGAACCCGCTTTACAGGAGTTTAGACCACGCACTAGCTACCACGCATTCAAATATTGTCAGTTAGCATCGTCGTTCCTCCTTGGAGTTGCTACTCATCCAAACACAGCGCATTTTCCTGGTTACAGCCAAATTCTGCTTACAATCGGTGTGGCGTAGTGATCAAGAACGCCTTATTGGCGAAATGAGGGTGCGCGGATTATTATCTTTCGAGTTATTGCTAGAATACTTCAGATGTTGGTGGTGAGTAAATCCTTCGTTGCCTCTATCAAGCGTTAGTCACAGTCTTCATCTTACAGGAAATACGAAAAATCCTTGACTTTGGTAGTCTTGACTGAAACCTTCATGGATTCTCAAGCTCGTGCGTATAAGATGCAAGCTTGGCTTCATGGCCTGTTACGACAAGGTTTCAGAGGGGCTCACAAAGCCGCGGCAGGTCTTGAAGTTTAGAAGGCCAATGTACATAGATTGGGTGACAATGCTCTGTACATGTAGTACGTGTAATCCAAGTCATCGAGACAGCAACTGCTTCAGTATGTCCTTAGCCCGATTTACATCCACCTTCCCCTTAGTTTGTCGCATGATCCAGCCGATGACTTTGTTCATAACATTCTCATTTCCGGCTTGTATTGCTGCAATTTCCGACGGCAGTGCATCTATAGCGCGTATGCAAACATCGCGGAGGGAATCATCGTTGGAGGATGAATTGGAATGCTCATCGACAGAAGACAGCACGTCCATTTTTTCTGCCAATTGCCTAACTGGTATATCTGATGGAGAAACGAGCATGCGTTTGAGAAGAAGCTTTGCAGACGGTCGCGTTATTTGCTTCGTGGTGATGAGATCCAATAAGTCACCCATCTGCGCGACAGGGATATATTCGGTGCTGAAGGGCTTCCCAAGAGCAAAAAGTTGTCCAAGGAAGTTCTGGATTATCCTAGCAAACCATATAATTGTCAATCACACACGAAAGCACAAAAACTGAATGCTGACCAGTCCATTACGAATTTAGGATCTCTGCCTTGAGAGCAAAGTTCGAAATAAGCAACCGCACCAATAACAGTATCCTCAACAACACCATCATAGGCTATGTCTCGGACCGCGTCGAGGTTCATGAGGACATCAATATTTCTTTCAGTCACACCAGAAGAGGAATATGTTTGTATTAATCGCAGGCGAGTGTCATCTGGAAGCGGGGGCATCTCCCGGCGTACTGCTTCGATATGTTCCTACATGTTGTTGTAAGTGTAAGCAAAAATGGACATTGTGTTGCAGACCTCACTAAGGACTAGAACTCCGAGATTAGGATCCGGCATATAACGGTAGTCAGGAGCATCCTCTTTTGAACGCAGTTTGAATGTTTTCCAAGTTTCTGAATTGAAACCACGCGTTTCCTGTGGTACTTTTAGTTTGGGTCCCAGCGTTTCTAAAATAGTCTTTTGTCGTTGAATTTCGTACTCTACAACGTTCATGTTAGATAGCAACGCAAGAATGACAACGCAAATAGCAACCTATTGCAGCGACCATGAACTTGATACTGTTGATGTTTTTGACCTCGGTACGCATCCCAGGAGGTTCTCCAGGTCGATTTATGGACACGTTCACATCACAACGCAAGGATCCCTAGATAAGAAGGATAGGCGGATTTGATAAAAGAAAGCCCAAAAGGACTCACTGCTTCCATGTTCCCGTCGCTGACTCCCACAGCGCGCAAAAGCTCCTGCAGCGACCGTACGTACTCTGCAGCTTGCCCTGCAGTCCTGAAGTCAGGTTCAGTGACAATCTCCAGCAAGCCAGCTCCTGCTCGATTCAGGTCAATGAGCGCGGTACGTGTACGAGCATTTGTAATAGACTTCGCAGTATCCTGTCGGAAAGATACAGGTTAGCCTTGTAACATATTGGTCTGAACAACGTACCTGCTCCAATTGTATCTGCTTGATTCGAATAGGAAGTCCAATTTTTGGAGACGTATATTGACCGTTGACTGCGAATGGTGAATAATGTTGAGTTATCTGGTAACCCGTGGGTTGATCAAAGTAAAAGTAGTGTTTTCTGTCGAAGGAAGATTGCTTATTTACAGAGCAGCGGAGAGCAAAGGCTGCTCTGAGGGCAAGATCAAGGCATTTCCTATTCAGACGCGGTAAAGTACCAGGTAATGCTGCGTCAAACGCGTTGTATCGTGTATTAGGTGCATCATTCAGAAGTGAAGTTGGTGCCCTTGAGAATAGTTTTTGACTGGACTTGATCTGGACATGAGTTTCAATGCCAATAATTACTTGCCAGCCGTCAACAAGCCATCGGGACATGAAAGTCGGAACCAAGTTTACACTGTTTATTTCACATACTGTATAGACTCCGAAGGCCAGTCAACCAATGTAATGTATGACACTCGAAAATCACAGGACCATGCCTGAACAACCTGCGTATGTACATAAGTCCTACATAACGATGCAATAGTGCTGCCATAGGATGAGTGTATTACACCCGCAAGGAAACATGTTAAGACGCCTTAGAACCACTCCCTCTCTTCAGCCCGCCGAAGATCTGATTTATTGACATACGATGGGAGGACTGCGCATCTTCATTCTCATGCATGGCTTCAGCATATCTAGGGGACAAATGGAAAATTAATCCAGTGACAAATAGAACAAGACCTTACAGCAGTTTGTATCGGACAAGCTCCCCTTCCATTTCTTCGTTCCGAAGTCTAGCTTTGACCAGTTCATTCTGATCGATGTGACTTCACATTGAAACAGGCCAGAAGATTCCTCAGCTCACCAATAACTCAACATGCTCTACGTTCAGTTGTGCAAAGTTTGACTCGAGTCTTTTTCTGCAGGAGTTGTTCACTTATTGCGACGCATTGAGAAAAGACGGCCGCTCACACTTGCGCTGATAAGGCACGATTGCTGCTCTGAAGCTCATCAATTTCTGCGGTATGTTTATTTTTTTCTCGCTAACAGGAAATTTTGAACCCATTTGAAATATCAGACATTAGACGGTAAAACTTACGACCATATCCTCGTATTCATGGCTGTAGCTGTCCAGCATGAAAGCTGTGATTCGAAGGGAGACAGCATCGTTCACGAATTCGTTTACTTGATATTGTATCTCCTTTTCTTCTTTGCCGCCTTCAACAGAATAAACCTACGTGCATATGGATTACAGTTGCAAGGTTTAACTGAACATCATACCTTGTACCGATCAAAAAGTCGTGTGTTCAGAAACGCAAGGATTTCGTCAAACTTGAGATTTAAAAGTAGGTCTTCGTTTTTGCGAAGGAGCGCAATACTGAAGCCAAAGATGGCTTCGATACCACTAGCCAGGCAATTGTCGTATATTCGGAAAACAATGTCAAGTGGGAAGCTATAAAACCAAAGGTTAGACGGGAACTGTTTGACAGAGAGCGTACCGACCGATAACTGAACATTGTCAGAAACCACTGTGAACAGAACATACTCGATTTGATTCCTTCTCGGAGGAAATGTACATGGAGAACCGGAAGGAGCTCTTCTATCAGGCGGTCAAACTACGATTTGGTCAAAAAATCATCCCGAATCGAATTATCAATCCTGCACACCTGAAACTACACGAGAATTGGTAAAATCAAAATTGGGTCAAGAAATTCTTGCCGCTTACCAGTCGAAGTTGAAGCTTCGGCATCTCAGGTAAAAAATGTCCCCGGAGGTCGTAAACCTGCATCAGACGAACTAGGAGCGAGAAGGCTTCTTCATCTGGCATCTGTGATGAAAAAGAGGTTAATGTAGAGACGGTGCTCACGACATTTCACCTACATTCAGCAATAAGATTGCGACAACAAAAGGTAACCCTTGGCAGTAACCAACTTGAGGATCGTATCTAATGTTCCGGTGACAACGAGCAGATGCATCGTTTGAAATTTGACCTACATTGAATAGGCTTTCAGAACGTTATACAGATTCTCTTGTCCTATACCCTGCCCATCAGTAAAAAAGTCATGATGAGGGAACGTTCTGAAATGGTCTGTTAATTGAAATCAAATACATAGAACGTCGGTATTTGACCTTCCCAAATCACGCAAGATGGCTTTCTCGTGGATACTGCTTTCCTTCAGGAGCTTGAGGTATGTACTCTCAAGTTCGGGATCTTTAGATGCAGCCCTAAACAAGGATGAGCCGAATCGGAGAAAAACATCATGAAACCAGAGACAGTACATCAACTGCCACATCATTCCTCTTAGTGTCGGTGGTATGCCTTTTGCAATAGCCTGCGCTAACTCGTCTGATCTTTCAGAAGCAAATTGTTGATAATCTTCGGACTCGTTGATATTTCATGAGATCTAGAGGAGAGATAGGAAGCCACGAACCCGATATAACAGCACCCCAGAAGTCTACATGGCCCGCGTCAGTTATAGACAGTAGAACCAGGCGGTGGCAACTCACCCCAATCGATACCAGCGCTGAAACCGGGGGTAGGAGGACCCTTTAGATTCTCTGAATCTTTCTCCTTCTGTAACCGAGCAAATTCTTCTTGTAGTTTATGCTGGCCATCTAAACTGACTCGACTTCCTGGTGCCTGCTCATCGTGATTGACGAGAAGAGATATATGACGACCGGAGTGAAGGGTGGCGAGTGATGCAGATTTCTTGTGAGATGAAGTGGAGCCAGAATGTGTCTCATTCAGATCCAACTCGAACGGCTTCGTTGGCAGAAACAGTTCGGCTGGTGTTGTTGAGTCCGTCTGATCAACGGTGCTGTCACTCACGTCCAGGTCTTCCATTTTCTCGTCATCTAGAGATATGTCACTGAGCTCAGATTCCGCGATAGACTCTCGCGCGCGAGCCTCTGCCTCTCCAAAGGTAGCTTGCTTGGGTGAAAATAAAGAATCCAGAGACGCAGGCGGGTCTACCACTGAGCTTGAATTGGAATCTGGATGATCCGTAGACATTTTTCAGCCGCTCTTGGGGGCCGTATCATACAGTATCTAAGGTAAGAGGAACGCGGATGAAGTTGAACTGACGAAGCCGGGACAGTTACGAAAATTGATTGGGCATGTCACATTTTCAGACTATGTTATTGCCTATTATTGCCGGCTCATTCGAAGCAGCAGCCTATAAAATACAAAGTACTGGAGGCTCTTCAGCGTGCTTAGACTGATTCCGGGGCATGGACTACATAAGCCTAGTTCAATCGAGACAGTCGGTGTCAAGCGCGCGCTTCGCTACATGGTGATATAGCATGAAAACCCAGATTAGATATTATATGTAGCCAACTGATAGAGAGTACACCACAAAGCTCACCCGATGATATATCGAAGCGATACACATGTCACACACACACAAAATCATTGGACACCACGACCTCTACCACGTCCTCCCCTCATTGGGCCGCCACGGCCACCACGACCTAAAATATTGATGAGGATATTGATTGCGTTGTAGCACGTATGGAACGGTCTACCTCTCATGGGTGCTCCTCGTCCTACAACAGGTGAATAAGTTGACCAAGAATAGAAAGATTGTTGAAACAAAACTAACCACCTCTATTCCCAGGTCCGGTGCCTCGAGTGCTCCTTCCCACCTCTCTAGCCCGGACCTGTTCTTCCTTTACAGCGTCAAGCAGAGTGTCTGGTATTCGCAGATACTTGATCTGAGGATTATGAAAAGGGTTAAATCAACTGTCAAGGTGGTAAAATATTTCTACGCACTGTACTTCCTCTGATATAGCATTCTTTCAATTTCCAGAACCTGTCACCATCGGAATTCGTTTGATAAACGTCTCGTAAAGTAATGTTCATAAAATTGTCGCAGTTGATAAGGTGACCGTTACACGTTTCGCCATTCTTTAACTCTACGAGCTGAGCAACGGTGAATTGAGGATTGGGATGATGGAGATGGTGCTGGATAGACACACCATAGGCTTATTTTGAGCCGCATTCAACAATGACAGTGGAAGCTGTACAGGAAGACACAGTAAATCTCGGAAGCTGGAATTTGTAATGAATTGCACACCATTGCACACAGAGAAGGGAGGGTTGGAAAATAAGCACCGAAGTACTAAAAGAATAAGTAGGCAGTCGTTGTTTGTGACAGTATCGAGACTGATCGAGAGCGTGACTCATCACCCTCTGTTTTGCACCGTATTACTGGCGATGTTCGAGTCTGTATGGATTGTGAATATATTTTTTACTCCTTCCTGGTACATACTCATTTTGTCTTTCGATAAAGGTAATACCAGAGAGTCAGAACCTGCTGATCATAGATCCAAATTTCGCCTTACTATGTATTCACAATCCCAAAAAAGATACATGCTGATCCACGTAGTTTCAAAGTTTCAAAGTTTCCTTCTCCTCAGTCAAAGTCTTCGGCTTTGTCGACCTTGACATCCTCGTCTGAGGATGTAACGTGCGCTCTGAAAACTAGGAAAATCTCGATTCTCTTCGCTGTTTCGTCTTGGAACCACGCCCTCGGTGGAGCCGTGTAATTATCTATCTCTATCTTCGCCGCAACATTCGGAAATCGCGAACTTCTGCAACAACATTGAGTGTCTATCAAAATGATGCTGTGAATGTGATTATTCAAAAAGAGTTTGACAGTGACGACAGCTTCAAGAAAGGAAGTGCATTTTCGTTCAGCAAGAATCTGCGTTAGTAAGACGCAAATCAATAAACACACCAAGGTTCCCGATATGCATACCAACCTGCCAATCCAGCTCAGAATGCGATTGCCACTGCAAGCCCAATGCGACCACGATTGGAATACATACATACATCATCGCTCTCTGTAGCGATAGAGTTCTTTCTTCCACACAGCATTGAGCTACCGACAGCACTTAGATCTTTCGGGGTGCAAAAGTTGAAACAGGCCAATAAAATTCCCTCCACTCAGGTTGCTCAATCGATCGACCCGATCTGAGCTATATGTATGTAGCTATTTATGCTCCAGTGGTGTTCAAACCCTGGAAAAACATCTTTCCATTTCGTCACCGTCGGTGTACATATCTTGCTGCCCGGTTTATATCAGTATCGTGTTGGACAGCCGCATTGTATGCATAATACTGATCGATATTATTGTCAACGGAATTCGCTATATGATGCATAGTCCTGGCCAAGTTAAAATTTTTACTTTGTAAACACAAATAGAGCAGTTGATGATAGCGCATTCATCACGTCGAGTAGCGTCGAGCAAAGGGATTTTGCTTTCGTTTCCGAGATGAGTGACGGATTCCATATAGCATTCAAGGACAGTAAGAGAACTCGCGAATCAAAACCGAGAAAACCCAAGAGAAGGACGAAGCAAAGATAATAAACATAAGCCACTAGTGTTTTGCTAGGGTAAATGGATGCGATAGCAAAATAAAAGGAATGGAAGAATCAGAGACTAGGAATACATGCTGAATTTTCGTAATCGGAGAACGAGAACCAAGAAAATGAGGAGGGCAACGACGGAAGAATCATTCGAGACTACTATCAGAACTTGACGAAGCAGGACGTGGTAGATGGCGAGGTCGTGTCCGAGGGGAAGAATTTGGGTCCATGCGTGCGCAGAGATTTTCCAGTTCCATTAAAAAATGACCTTCCTTCCACCGTTCGGATTGTTCGGAGGCTTTGTTGATCTTCCAACCAAGGTATACCGAGCACTTTGAGCATGTCAGCTCTTGCATTGTGTGAGCACCGGTAGCCATTAAACGAACGCGGGGCACGGAGAGAGTGACATTGCGACTGAATTATCACTGATAAGATACTGCATTGTGGTAAGATTCTGTACAACGTACATTTCGGTGAATAGAGATGCCTTCCCAGAGAACCCCCTGAATGCTCTTGATTCGGGAGGTATCTGAGAAACATATAAGTACCGATATAGGACTACAGTAAAGAATAAAACTCACAGCTTCCAAGGGAAGGAGAAGAGATATAGACGTGATGACTGTCATACATTCCTTGCAAGCGAGAGCGCGCGGTATGGGCGGAAGCGGTCTAGATGAGGGTCTCTCTTTAGGGACAGAAGGTAGACGACGAGGAGAGCCAGGAGGTTTCGGGAGCAAATCCAACTCCCCCAGAGTGTAAAGTACTTCATTATCGCTGGACGACATGAGGGCGTTGGGGGCGAAAAATACAGTACCTGAGCCTTGAGAATATATATATATATACATCTTATTACCCCCAGGAGCAGATGCGGTGCGATCTACTGATACCATTGATGCATCACCGAAACTTTACCCAATATAGAAATTCAAATGGAAACTGAGTCGCTGACCCTTTGGACGAGAACATTGCAAAGTTGTTGAGAAATCTGCCCTGGCAAACAGCCCGGCGATCCCATGGATTACCTCGGGGAGCTGATGAAGTACCCTGAAGAATTCGAAGGGTTCATCATGACATGGGATGACCTGCGTTCAAACCTTCGTCCTCGATAGTCAATTGGAACTTGGAAGGGCTTTATGCACTTTCCCTACGACTGACTTGTAGAATGGGATCCATGAATGATGATCCCTGATGATCATGAGCCTGGGCATTTCTAAATTCTCGCACTTTCCCGCGTTGGTAAAATTTCCCACCTTCGGTCCGGAGCAAATACTCCTTCGGAGTACCCATCGATTATGCTTGTATATACCTGTATATACACGTTCTCGATCAATGACCATCATCATCTGCAGAGGATCCCAAGTCTTGCTGCCGGACAGTGATTCCCTTCAGCCAGCGACCATCATCATCGAAGGTGATTCCGGAAAGATCGTTGAAGTTCATCGACGACTATTGTCAGACGAATTGTTACCATCCCATGTGCAGCTGATAGATGCTGGGCCGAATGTCATTCTCCCTGGCTTAGTGGAGTAAGGACGTCTATCTTGGAATGATTTCCTTCTGACAGAGAGAATTTCTCAGTGCCCACGTTCATCTCAATGAACCCGGAAGAACTGACTGGGAGGGTTTCTATACCGGAACTAAAGCTGCGGCTTCGGGCGGTGTTACAACCGTCGTGGATATGCCACTCAATTCTATTCCGCCGACGGTCTCTGTAGGGAATCTCTCAGTGAAACGGGCCTCTGCCCATGGCCAATGTTTCACGGACGTCGCGTTCTGGGGCGGTGTTATCCCAGGAAATCAAGTTCTTACGCGTTTTTTGCATTTGTGAACTGTGTTTAATCCTTTACATATTTACAGAGTCACCTCAAGGCACTAGTAGAGGCTGGTGTCAAAGGCTTCAAATGTTTTCTTATCGAAAGCGGAGTAGATGTGTGTATCTCTTATCTTCGTGTACGGAAGAACCTGACCTTCTCCTCCTAGGAGTTCCCTTGCGTCGATGAGGAAGATTTGAACGAAGCTATGAGCTCGCTACAGGTAAGCCAGCATAACAGTGACTATGACTTGACTACAAACAAGCTACCGCAACAGAATGAGCCTACTACTTTACTTTTCCATGCTGAATTAGACAACACACCTCCTTCCAAAAACGAAGAGTCAGATCCCACTTCGTATTCTACTTTTCTTCATTCAAGACCTGATGCTTTCGAGATCAACGCCATATCGCTTATAACGCGCTTACAGACGAAGTATCCTAACCTACCTTGCCACATTGTGCATCTAAGCTCATCGAAAGCGCTCCCTCTGATTCGGGACGCAAAAGCTGCAGGATTGAAACTGAGTGTCGAAACTTGTTTTCACTATCTTTGCCTTTCTGCGGAAAACATTCCTCGGGGACAAACGATCGCGAAATGTTGTCCCCCCATCCGCGAAGCCAGCAACAGGGAACTACTGTGGGATGCGCTCAAGGACGGTACCATAGATTTTGTTGTGTCTGATCATAGTCCTTGCACAACGGAATTGAAAAAGATCGATGAAGGGGACGTCATGGGTGCATGGGGAGGTATCAGCACCCTGGGACTTGGACTGAGCCTTTTGTGGACGGAAGGAAGTCAGCGAGGAATATCTCTTGCTCAAATCATTGACTGGACAAGTGTAAAGACGGCGAAACATGCGGGACTATCCGAACGAAAGGGAAAACTTCAAACTGGATATGATGCAGACTTGGTCATTTGGGATCCTGATGCCGAATTTGCTGTGAGTTTAGATAAACTACATTTTTCATTGAGTTTACCTTCGTCAAATTTGCTATAGGTGACACAGGAATCCTTAAATTTCAAGAACAAAGTCTCTCCTTATGTGGGCCTCAAACTCCGCGGCCGGGTGGAAAAGACGTTTATTCGAGGGTCTATCGTTTATGATCGTATCAGTGGCTTCGATGGACTTAACCCAAGCGGAGAGTTACTGTAAAAGGCGACATACTTCCAGACTTCGGACGTTGAATACTGACTGATATAGCCTGATGTGAGATGCTTTTCCTCTACTAAAGTGACATGAAATTCACATAGTATGTACTATCGAATACCAGCTAGCTTGGCTACTCCTGGTCACTGTGGTTAATCATTGAACTGGTCGGACTCAATACTCAGTGATAATAATACTAGTCCGCTCGAAATTAAAGAAATTGTGACCTCGTAGATATCGATGATATGTACGAGCTTGAGAATAGCCCTGCGAAGGACCAAGGGGAGATGCGACGCGACCTGAAAATCTGGGGGGTACCACTACAATTGACTTTCAGGATGAATACCGGCTTCCGATTATAAGGATATATAGATAAGACGTAGGCTTTCCAGAGGAGTCCACTCGGAGGGCTTCTAGTGGCCTGCCAGTGTAACACCAGGCAGAACTTTACAACACTAACCGAATAAGGAACTTGGAACCCAGGAGGTCCTGGTTCTTGTACATCATCGGGTAAACAAGAGGGCTTTCCTCTAGGCCGCCGTCAGAAGTTCTAAACAGGCTGAGGATGTACACAAAAAAAATGCAGTCGGGGCCGGGCGTCGTACACTGAGTATGTACCACATAAGATCCTTGTTCCCTCAGTAGTCCCAGAGTAGTTCGAAATTTCTTGCCGCGCCATCTTGTCACGTCCAAACTCGGAGTCGACTCGGAGGTGTATACTGCCTAAATTGATTCGAGATGCATGAATTAAGACCGCAGTAAGTAAGTAATCAGAGATAGCTCCTAATTTCAACAAACAATATGTAGGTGTTTGCGCAGCATGATTGAAGAGAAAGACGAGCGACGAATGAAGAGGGGAGGGGGGGTCAACTCTTCTATGTATGTAGTATCTGGGCTCGACTTCTACTACAACCTGGACATTACATTGAATTGGATGTGCGTATATCTTAAAAGAACAATTTTAAGGCGGGAAGAGATTGATAGAAACAAACTTCTGCACATGACATTTGGATTTTCCCACTTCAAATGTAAAGCTCACCATCATTGACTCCGACATGGGAAGGGGTTGAAAGCTATTGAAAGGCGGTTGCCGCATGAAGGGGCGGGACAAGAGCGAAAATCGGATTGAGTTATTGTTTGGGTACTGTCACTGTTAGGCATGTAGTAACGGTGTAGTAGTATGTACTAGGCCCAGGGAGCTGGCCAGCTCACAACAACTTCGGGACCATCTTCAGAGTCATACCAGCTATTCATTGAACAGGTTTTGAATTTGGAAAAATCTGTTGAATCTGATTAGGCCATTTTGAAGATCATTCCTGCCCTAGGCCTCTGAGCTTTGTTTGAATCAAGTATATACTTATTACTTACTGTATGTACAGTGGTGTAGCCTGGTGTAGCTGTTTCCGAAGTCTCGTCCAAAATTGCTTCGTATCATGATTTCCGAATAGCACCCACTGCAGTGTGGAGAAGGTTGCTAATAGAGTGGGTGGAAATTATGATCATTGCTGCCAGAGTGTAAGGAACCAAGATTTAGCCTGGCTAGCCGTTGTTAGTTCACGACTGTTCACGAAGATAATTTTGTTCGTGACTCATAATCAAGATTTAACTCCTATCGTCACGTGCCACTTCGCGTTACGCGTCTATTACCAGTCCCTCTGTCCTACTCTACAGCAGCTCTACAGCGACACACTCTTCCATCGACAAATATCGAACGACACTCTACAATGGCTGGATTAGAAAACCTCCTGCCTTTGATTTATCATGAAAAACAACAACCGGGATCAATGCTCTGCGCCCAACATGCACTCAATTCCCTTTTGCGTGAGCCCCGATACTATTTGCTATTTGGCATAATTTGGGGGAAGTTTCGCTGACTTAAAGCACTTCTCTCTCACACAGAAGGAAACTTTGTTAGTACTATACTTCCTGCATGGACAGTTTGTGTCACGCTGAATTGAATGTGGACTACAAATAGTTCTCAGCTTCAGATCTGTCAGCAATCGCTCAAAATCTAGACGATCTTGAAGGCACTTATGATACCGAAAATCCAAGTTTGACGAGTCAGAATATGGATGATACGGGTGTGTGTCGACTTGTCTTTGGGATTGGAATAAGTATTCACACATTGCTTAGGGTTCTTCTCCGTTCAAGTGTTGGAAAACGCGCTGGATGTATGGGGACTGAGGTTATATTGTGGTTTTTATTTGGTGGTATGAACTTAGCATCTGATTTTCCGTGTAGCTTGCTTCGATGGAGAAGTGAACAAATGCGTCCGTACCAGGATTATCCCGAGTGAGCTGTTCACTGAACACTTTGTTGTCGATGTTTTGCGACTACTAAGACGTTGTCACCCTCAGGCAGGAACGCGCGTTCATTTTCAACTCACAGCAACATTGGTACACACTGCGGCGTTTCGGTGCCTTTGAATCATATCAAGATGGTGCTGGATCTGGCCACTGGTTTAACCTGAATTCCTCCCTTCCAAGTCCGGAATGGGTTTCTAAATTATATCTCTCAATGTTCATACAAGCTGCTGAGACTGACGGTGCGCATTAAATATCATCGTGCCTTTCCTAGGAGACTGAATAAAGTTGCTGGTACTTTCAGGATATTCTGTGTTTGTAGTGCGACCAACGGATCCGGAAGCACCGCATACTCTTCCAAAGACAGAAGCTGATGATGTCGCCTCTACTCTCCCTGATCCTCCCGGTGCACAATCTGTTACACCGCGAACACATGATGCGGATGCTATGGAATTTGAGGGTATGGAAGACGAAGATATTGAACTCCAGATGGCCTTACAAGCATCACTGGGACATGATATCCCACCCTCACCTGCCGACCCACCCCAACTTTTACGAACTTCAGTTCCATTACCTCTAGTCGATTCTTATCCACCATCAACGTCTGGATCCGGGACGCGCACCCCTTTGCAACAAGACTCTCTTCTATCTCCCATTAGTCCAGATGTGCCACACGATCCGGCCTCAGTCGAAGCATCTATAGCACAGAGTCGAAGGATATATGAAAGGATGTTGGCAGAACAGAACCTAGCTCATAGAGAAATAGCAGCTGAGGGTGGTGGAAATTCACGGGTTCGGAGGATGCGGGAAGAGGAGGAGGAGGAAGAGATGCTGAGACGAGCTATTGCCGAAAGCGAAGCTATGGCGAAGGAGGAAGGGCATGAATTGGGCAGTATTGGTGACGATGAAGGTGGAAGCCACGTGGACTTAGATCAGTCGCATCTTGCACCACCATCTACTGCAGGACGTCGCGTGTATGACGATGAAGATGCGGAACTTCAAGCTGCCCTCCGGGCCTCATTAGAAGGCTGGAATCCGCCGCCAGAAACAACCACTGTCTCTGCACCTACTGTGTCGCATACATCTCCTTTACAGTCTTCCGACTCCTCTATGACTGATGATGATGAGTCTATTGCTTCTGAAGACACTGCGCCTGCAGAATCTTCTGAAGCACCCGTCAGTGTGGAGGAGATGAGAAGACGAAGGTTGGCTCGTTTTGGTGCTTAGAATATGGGTCGATTAGAATGGTGAACACTGATGAACACTCTTGAACACTTCTGTACTGGGTAGTATGTATCCCCTAATGTCTTGTATTTGTTCAACGCCCATGTATTAAGCGCCTCATAGTAACACTGTCAGCGTCTAATCTTGCTTGCGCGGTACCACCGTTATCCTCTTCACTACCATGATTATACGGTACTTTTCAAGCCTTCCGCCCGCTATTCTGCTATTACTTTCATGCTATACGCCAATAATATTAGCGGCCGATAGCTTCAACTGTGTATTCAACATAGACACCACCAAATTCGATTTGAGTTCGCTAAATAATGAACACAAAATCACTCGGTCGCGTTCTACACCACCGTCCACTATGGTTGACTCATTGACGTTCAATATCTGTGACAACTTGACGATTCAAGGGGAAGTGGCAGAGATAGATCGGGTACGTGGCCCCTTGCTCTCGTGTCGTAGTCACGATATATAACTTTACTTGCAGTGCCCTTCAGACACCAGGGTCTGCTTAACAAAGATAAACCAAAAGCAGGAGCAAGAAGATCGAATAGTTGCAGTGATTCCTTTAGGCGATGGTCTGAATGTAAACCTTACAAAGTTATCTTGTGCGTGAGTTTCCCAGAATCCATCCTGCGCTCACTCAAAGCGCGAAATCTCATATATCATCTTTCTTAGCTCCTACTGGTCTATCCATTACCATGCATGGACAACCATATCCATCTGGTTCCGATAATGCCAAAGACCAAACCTTCAATCTCAAACTCATCTGTGACGAGAACGCCAGCGATCCGAAATTCGTGTCGTATGACGGGTCGTTAGCCGAAGTCGAATGGACAAATCCTGCTGCCTGCGGGTCAGAAGTAGGTGATGGCAGCGACAATGATAGTGGAAATGACGGCGACTCTGAAGGTGATGAAGAAGAAGAGAGTGTAGGAAGCGGTATCGGCTGGTTCTTCCTTGTGTACGCTATCGCGCGTGCTCGTCTCTGTTAATTAAACGCTAATGTTTTTTGCTCCACAGAATTCTTTTAGCTTTCATTGCTTACTTTGTGCTCGGTGCATACCACAACTATACCACCTATGGAGCAACTGGGATGGATCTCATTCCGTAAGTTATTCCTTTTCTCAGAATCTCTGTCTAATATCTCAACCCCATTATTTCCCTCAATGCCCAGTCACCGTGACTTTTGGCAAGAAGTACCATACATGATGAGCGATGTCGTTTCGCATCTGTGCTCTTCAGCTAGACCACGTCGTTCGTCGAATCGGGGTGGTTACATTGCTGTTTAGATTTCTGAGTTTAAGGATATACTACGCAGGATACCTACATATGTATCGTATTCCCTTCTGTTACATGTCTGCTCACTTGTACAATGCGGCAAATGGTATGTTAGAGAAGCGTAATCAGATTCACGTCATCATCCCACGGTCCTGCGCTCTTGGCGTGACGTGAAAGTTGATTCGCTCCCGGACTCAGACAGAGTCAACCCGCGCAATTCCTCATCCCACGACAAATTACAGACCTTTATGGGAGGTAAAAACAATTTCTACGTTGTGACTGTCGGGAAAGATGTTGGCGTATTCAAGAAATGGTGAGTAGCGGAAATGCCTCAGTTGTTCATGATTTGTATCTATATAGTGTAGGCTTCAAGTGTCACGCGTACGCGAAGGAACAAATTGCGAAGGATATGAGACGCAAGAAGAAGCAGTCAAAGCATTCGATGAAGCTCTGACAAACGGCTTCGTCAAAATTAGTGGCTCTTTTGACCACCCGTACCAGAGCCCTAGAATTCATCCTCCTCTGGATTGTCCTCCTTACTCCTGTGGTCCTGCCTCTGTTGCTGTCCCCAATTCTCCTCCTCCAACACCAGGACGTGCCCGTGCACGTTCCATTTCGACTCCAGCTCCGGCTCCTGTTCATGTTCCCATCTTTGCACCTTCTACACCTTCTCCTAGTACCTTTCTACCTCCTTCGGTCTTTGAGAATGCGTCATTCGGTGACATTCCAGGATATGCCCAAAATGTTACAATCCGGTCTCCGAAGAGGGAAAAGGCCCCTATCAACACTCCCACCCTACTGAAACAGAATAAAGAGATTCAAACAGTGGGTAGGACAAAAGGTGCATGTGCTCAGTGCGGCTGTGATTGCACAACGGACCCCAGACAGAAACAGCAGCAGAATGGAGCCAGCTCCTCTCGCTCTACAAGCGACCCGTCGCAGAGCGCAAAAGGCAAACAATCTACTCGTCGAGATGAACTTAGTGTCATCAGCTCGGAAAGCGAATCAGACGACGTGTTCACACGTTCCTCGAGTTCAGATGAGAAGAAGGCACCAATCACTCCTCGTCGTGCTCATACTCGAATTCCTGCAAGTGTTCACAGCACACATAGATCAAGCATCCGAGCAAAGCCTGTTTTGCGTACGCTGTCAGCACCGCCAAATAGTAGTAGCTTCGCTTCACCACCTTCGTCGCCTTCGCGAATTCACCAAAAATTGAAACCCCAACCTCCCGCTGCCGCTGCCAGTAGTCCCCAACCAGCTGCTGCGACTTCGCGCTATCACCGAAACCCAAATACCCAATTTCCTACTTCCACTACCACCACTAACAGTAGTTTCCAACTACCAAATGCTGTGATAGATATTTCGGATGTTGAATCCTATCCTAGTTCAGATTCGTCTGTTTCTGGCTCAAAGACTGATGAAGAAGAAGATTCTTCCGGACCAGAAGATGTGACCCCCCTACAAACTCGACAACGACTACTCAGTCCTCTGACTTCTCCAAATTTCAAGAACGCAGTGTTGACAGATGGTGTCGGTGGTGGTGTTCACAGACACCCTGATGTAAAGGGTAAAAAAACGACTGTCTCAAACTCCTCCCCTTCTGCACAGCGCAAAAGGAGTCCTTATACCCCGAATTGTACAGCGGATGTGTTTACTACTGGGACCAGTCTTGGTGCTGCCGCGGAACATCTTGTTTCTCCCCGTCAAGGTCATACCAGTTCTTCTTCACCACGTGTATCCCCTGTTTCAAGATTTGGAGGCTCCGAACTTGAACAAGGTAGTAGCAACGACGGTGTCAGCAGCGCGTTGGGTCTATTGCACCAGTCCCCTGCACCGACTAATATTAGCGCGATGTACAATGTCATTTTAGATCCCAGGTCTCCGATCCTCCGAAACCGTGTCATGGCTTTAGGGGAACCAAAGTAAGTACTTGCGTAAAGGACTCACACTCCGAGTTTATTCATCTCGGGCTAACTTGAGGTTTTTTAAACGTAGCTCCTCCTCTTCTCCTTCTTCTACTCCCTTTGGACTGAGACCTTCGCCCCGGGCTAAAACTCGAGTTCCAGGTCTGAGATCCCCTGGAAAGTTAGTTTTGCTTGAAAATTAGCCTGGAATCAGCTCTTGTTATCGTGTTATCGTGTACACTTCTTGTTAACCTCTGTAAAATATCCATCTTGGTATTGTACGTATGTATCATTTGTATGTTGTCGAACCTATCTCTAGTACATAGGCTTGAAGTTGCTTGTCCAAATCAGTAGCCCCACTTTGCTCTCCTTTGAATCCCATCCTCAATCAAGAAATCGTTGTTGGGGGAAGTCGGGAGCACCAGACGGTTATTAGGATGAATTGGCCGTGGTAAAAGCAAGATGCAAAGTGTATCGAAGAGTACACGTAGATATGTGTACAAACGAGCCTTAACGAGCTCGTTGGCCGGGAACAAAAAGCGAAAATCCTGGAATACCAAAATGATGAGGCCCGTAAACTACCGGCGGCAGCTTTCCCCCTTTCCCCGCATCTTCCATAACCACCAATACCAAAATTCGAATGGACTATTCATCCGATTTCAGTCTCGAAACCAATGGCTCTCGCCTGTTGTCAGAGTCTCCAATGCTACCATCCAGTTCCTCGTTATCATCATCATCATCTCAAGCAGACTTGTCCTTATCAGAACTCTCCATTTCAGAACGCCGGCCAGAGTCCCCATCATCATCATCGTCTAGTAGGCCATTCAGTCTACTTGCACGACCGGTATCTCCTTCTACACCTGTTCAGACGCGTCGGTCTAACCCAAAAGAGGTTGGAGATGAAAACTCAAACGAACACGAAGACATGGAGGACGATGAAGACTTTGGAGAAATAACGCAAAAGCAGATCACTGTCGATGATGAACAGGCAGCTACATCGGATTCGGAAGAACGCGAACAAGTGATAAGAACGAAGGCAAAATTATTACGCGAAGATAAACTACAAAATGACATATTTGTTCTGCGGAAGCTCAATGCTGCGTTTTCCTCTTTCAATGAGGCGTTAGAAGGTGTGGGCGACGCGAATGAGGCGAGACTTTGTTACTACCGACGTTCTTTGCGCTAGAATAACTGATTTCGTCTTTCTTTCGTTCGGTCGTTTTCTTATTTTCTTGTAGCGCATATCAGAACAACTCTCCCAGACAGAAGCGTTGTTGAACAGATACATGATGATATTAGCCAAATCAGAGGAAATTTCACGGTTAATCTTCGATGAGGACTGGGAAGGGGCTGAACAGGTTCGTGATAATTTATACCATTCTACCCTATTTGAATCTAATCTGGCGTAATAATGGAATGTAATGAACTCAAAATATCCATCCATCTATCTATCAGGATGAAATGATACTGCGGCGTGAAGAGGAGGAGCGGATCGAGAAAGAACGAAGAGAGGCGGAAGAACGAGCTTTAGCTGAACAACGAGAACGAGAGCGCTTGGAGAGGGAAGCTAAGGAGCTACAGGAGCGTATAGAGAGAGAGAGGAAGGACCACACTGCATCATCGAGAGGCGGAAGTGGTGTTAGAGGTGTCAGAGGGACGCGCGCTTCGACTAGAGGCATGAGGGGTGCCGTGTCGTCGACAAGAGGTTGTGAGTTTCATTCTCCCCAGTGGCAGGTTTCTTTCCTCCTTATGTTCGCTCTTACAGCTTCGACTAACAATACAACGCGGGGACATTCATCCGGACCGTCACGGGTACCTCCACCCGGTCGCTTCGTCCGAGGAACAGTGAGACGAGGTTGAGTCTCAGTAAGAAAGCACGTACACGCTGCTGCGGACTGCCTGACGATTGGTGGTTCAAATTCGTCCGACAGATAACGCATGTACGAGGGAACCTTATTATTATAATATTAAACACATGAGGACACTGGATGGAGAAGAAACCGTTACAACGTGTAGTAATGTTGTGAAACATGCGTGTAAAAGTAAGTCGTGAAAAGGTGGTGCAAGAACGGCAAGCACATGGAGTCATCCGCAAAAATTATGAACAGTAAGTATGTAATGAAAGAGAACCGTAACCTAGCAAAAACTCAACCCAATGAAAGTCTAATGTTGAAAGCACTTCGAAGACACCGAAGGAGATGCAGATTTCAGATGTATTTCACCTTCGTTGTTTGCTTCATCCAATTAATGACATCCCTCTGACCCTCCTGCTCTGCCTTGTCAAAAAATTGGCGGTCGAGCTGAACAGTCTTGAGCGGTCTACCCATCTGAGTCCTGGCACGCACGGCTTCGGCGACTAAATCAATCTTTCCCTCCTGATCCTGTTCAATGACAAGCTCTTCCAGATGAGGCCACACCTCAACATTATAGGAGGTCGAGGACTGAAGTCGGCGCGCACCCACATCTTGTGTTCTTGCTCCGCACAGCAAATGACAGAAGGCGCTAGAGTACACCCCTTTAAGGTGAAGACTTGTAAGGCGCGGAAACGCTCTCACAAGACTCGAATCCACGTATATGATATCTTTGACCCGGTCTAAGATAAGGCGCCTAAGTTTTGGGTAAGATTTCGCGTAACAGCGAAAATACACCAGAGATCGACACCATTCCGCTGTTCCAAAATCCTTGAAAGTGAGCTCTTCTAGGGCAGGCAAGGAAAATATTTGTAAGAGGTGGATGACGTTATGTGTTGAAGAAGAGTCGTGGTAAATGAACCTAAGTTCAAGGGTACGGAGACAAGGTATCTTGATCAGCGGTCGCATCATGCTCGAGTTACCGCTACCCCTGTCCAGGCGGGCGAACGCGTGTGTGTCAAAATGGAGCTTGAGATTTTGAAGCTCGGGTGAATTTGAGAACAAGTTCTGGAAATCGGTATGGTTTGGCCAGATAACGAAGCGGAGTTCGAGCGTTGTAAGCCCTCGTAACGGACTCGCACTCCAACGAAGACCCACTCGATTGAGACTTACTGTGGAGAGGCGCGGGCTCGATTTGAAAAAACCGTGCGGGGAAATGTGGGGCAAGTCACCGTCGTGGAATTTGTGGGCAGTAATTTCCAATGTCTGAAGTTCGGGAGCGTGTATATCCTTGAGATGAGACAAGATTGCCGGCAGGTTCTGTGTTTGAACGAAAATGGATAGGCTGCGCCATCTCTCGCTTTCACTTGACAGTTGGCGGATAGTGGTCTTACTTGAAATATGCGTGAAGTCTATCGTGATGTCCAAAAGCAGATTTGAGGACCTCTGTAGAGCAGAGGTTATACTGCTCATTGGTTTCTGAAAATCAGCCACGGACGGCAAACGGTCGAGGTCACTTCTAGAGCGTGAAATCGACAGATTCGTCCAGAGTGAGGGCGTGTGCTTGACTAACTGCCTCCATCGCCGACAAGTTTTCATCATGGTCTCCGCGAAGGTAGGTGATCTAATCGGAGGAACCGGACTCAGAGGATATCGTAGTTCAAAATGAGGCAGTTGTGATCCGAAGGAGAATATAAGCGTAAGTAGTTCATTCGGAAGCTGGTTGATGAAAGCGATGGGTAACGCTGATGGAGCAACACTTTCAACAAAAGACGCCTCGCTATCACTGGCGCTCTAAATGATTGATTTCAAAAGATGAATCACAATAGAGACTATATGAGACTCACATCAGTGTCTTTGTCCCAGTCATGTATTGATGGTCGTGTGCTGCCGAGAATATCTGCTGTCATGCTTCTCGTAAGTTCCCTAACATTCCCGTTGCTATCCCCGACCTGAAATTGTATACGCCCGCTATGCTCCGTCTGCATGATGGTCTCGTCGTCGGCGTCAGGCAACTGGTTCGTCATATAGCCTGAGCTGCTTGTCCCAGCATACGGAGCTCCACTGGATGACGGACGCTGTGAAACGCCTAAAGAGGACCTTCTACCGGTCAGGTCTGAACGAGCACTGTCCGAATCTTCACCATGTTTCAAGTTCCTCCGGCCCCGTCGTCGTTTCAAGGTGTTTTCTAAACTAGAAGGAAGAAGGTGAGCGACATTGAAACTGAGTGTTGTGTTCAAGTGAGTAGTTGATACTGACTTTGGGGGAGCAAGGTCCATTGAAGATAAGTGAGAGAATAGGGAGTCCAATGGTCTGTAGGAGAATCTGGAGGAAAATAAATGAAATCGGAGACAGGGAATGAGGCTAAGTATCGAGGAGTACAAGGACCGCGACGTTAGAGGGGGGGATTATGAGAGCGACCGGGTAAAGGGTGACAGCGCAGGATACAGCACCTGCGACAATGATATGTGTAGATAAGAAAAAAGGAGATTAGATAAGATGAATCGCGCTTCCCGTGATCGTGCAAATATCAGTTCATCATTGAGGCTCATGATGATCAAAACTCTCATTAAGCCGCCAGTTAGAGATCAACCAGAGAGACCTTCCTATATCACCATCATCTTTTTCCAAGCCTTTCTTTTCAAGCCGGGCACGTTGTATAGTAGGACAATCTACTCGCACAGAAGAACCGTAATCAAAGTTACCACTAGATAGAGGACTAAACCGACTCGACGATAATGAGCAGCCCAGGCAGCGGGAATCACTGTTCGTTTGTTCTCCTCGCCGAATTCGATATCATTGAAGGCGCACAGCTGAAATATCAGTTTCCTCAACCACTTGGTATAGACGAATCGTATGTGGTCTTTCGGGTATGGTAGTGACTATATCCTTATGTTCAAGTCAACAGTGTGTTAGCAATGTCTATGCTGCCCGATGGAGCAGAAACACAACTCGACGATTGGACAATATTCTTTCTGAATCAAACAGATTTCAATACAATCGAGCCGGTGTTGGCGTTGGAATCCGATTCTGATTCATTCTTGGAAGATCAAGCTGGAGATCACGCTGGACAGGAGAGGAGAAAGAAGAAGAAGGAGCTGTTATGTGTGTTAAATCTGGTACGGACCAAACACGATAAGACTCTGAACCGAGGAGCGAAGGTACTGGCCCTAGCCATATGTACGCGACATCCGTACATACAGATATTCAAGGTGCTTTCTGGGCTTTTTCCGTGATACCATATTTAATCCATTTCCCAGCCGGTCCTCTTAATAGCCCTCGATGATTACCTCTCAAATCCTTCACAGGATGTTCTGGCACGGCTTTTCGACGCTGTTAATGCGATAGATTTCACTGTCGCCCCTGTGCTGTCAAGAGACGAAAAATTGGTAATGCGGATGAGCGAACGGAAGGATATCTTTGCAGAAAGACATAAACACCTGTACACCAACTTCACTTCCTCCTTCACTCAACATAAAAACAGTAACTCCGATTCCAGTGTGAATAATCAGAGCCTACCTATTCGTCCTCCTGTCAAAGAAGATCCTGACTTGAATATTCCCGGAGATGTGTCATTCGGAAGCGCCGTCTGGGTAGGAGACGAAAGTGCGTTTGATATTTCTGGCACTACTTCCGATAGCGATGGTGCCACTGACGGAGCTTCGACCGTCATTGGCTCGACCCGGCAACGCAGTTCGACTGATGCTTCATCATCATCATCATCATCGCACTTACACCTTCCTCGAATACCAATCAGCCGCGCTGGATCATCCTTTGGCTCACACGATTCAACTGTCAGTGGCACGAAGGTTGGGGGGACGTCGTCCTACATGGGTGCCGGAAACACTATTCAAGATACTCATTTCTTCAACACGACAGTGGAGTACAACGACCATAAACTCCCAATCAAAATGCCATTGTCGACTTTTCCGGAGGAAGTTGGTGATGTGCGTTGCTCGTTCGATGGCGCTAGTAGCGAATTCTAATGACGCGTACTCACAGTATTCGCTGATCACACTCATACGAACGTTCTCTCAACCTACTTCATCCACCTCGTCGTCTTCGACAGCGTTACATTCCGCTGCGCACCCATCACTTATTCACCCACATCTACATACTTCTGGATCCTCGACACATCCAATCATCATACTCTTCAATGCTTTAGTAACGGGTACGTCCAAATCATGCTTATTACTATCTTTGCCTTCCTTGCCATTTTTCGCAAGTGAGCTAGTTGTGCTTACATACGGTGCTTCACTTAGGTAAGAACATAATATTTCTAGGACACAAACGTCCCGCGGGTGAAGTATCATTATTCGTGCTTGCTGCATGTGCTCTGGGGAGTGGTTGCGGCGTCGTACTTCGTGGATTTGTTGAGCGGGCTTTCCCTTATGCGAACCTGAATAATAGGGATGAGTGGGAAAGTGTGTGAGTGGCTTTCTGGCCGTCTCTAAAATTTCATTCGATGCTGATAACCGTTCTACACAGACCAGCTTACATTGCTGGCGTGACTAATCCCATTTTCGAGGCTACTCGCTCCTGGGATCTCCTCTGCGACATCAGTACAGGGACAGTGTCAGTATCGAAAGATATTTGGGCCAAGTGGCCCGTTGGCGCTGGGATGGGAATCAGCGGTTCTGCAGGTGGAACTGGAGCTGGCCTGATTGCACCACTCCTGACGAGGACAGGTACGCTCAAGGCTGAGGTCACAAATGACGAGGTTCAAAGGGATGCCGCGTCTAGTGTGAAAGGTAGATCTGTTTCGTTTCATCCATTGTTCTGTTCTGGACCATGCTAACATTCCATTGTAAAGGAGAAGTCAAATACGCAGACTCAGGAGGGGTAAATAGTGCAGATAATATGTTCATCGAGGATGTGAGCATCGTTGTGCCTGAGCTTTGGCCCTTGCCTGATTAGCCCACAGATTAAAACTGCAATTGAATTTCACTACGGCGAATCTCTCGTACGAGTACGGTTCACAGAATACGTCATGCGATTCGTGAGGTTGGCTTCACGATACGAAGAGGAAACCTATTCCCCTGACCCTACAGAAAAAGAGGGATCGTCGAAGCCGAAAACGAAGATTGGTTATCCATCAGCCCCATTCAAAGAGGGCCAAGTTGGTGGAGGACAGCTTGGTAGTGGCTTGGTTTTCAACGATGAAGCTTTGGGCATCAGGGAGCTCGTAGCAAATGCAAGTCGGATTGAAGGATGGAGAGCGACGAACAGCTATCGTTATTTTGTTGAAGACTTTGCTCATCATCTCGCGCACGCACCAATTCGCAACTTCGACGTTTTCCATCAAATTCTTCGCCTTAAGCATGCGAGCGGGGCGAGGAAGATGAGTGACGCGGAAGCACATATGATCATGAAGGGTCTGGCGGATGGGGTGAAGGGGTATGACCAGGTCGTCGAGGTGCGTTGTCAAACGGTCTGATCCTCTTATACCTTACCTATGCGTTCCTATTATTCGTAGTTACTTTCCTACCTGACGCCACACTCTGGCGGCCTTCTTCCGCTAGCCTTTGGGCTATTTCATCCGCGTGAAAGTGTACGGGATGCCACGGTCGACTTGTTTAATCAGCTGAGGGCACATCCTGTGAGATTCTCTGTACATGTCCAGTCCTTTGTGATCCTCATACTGCAATCAGGTCGGCGTTATTTATCTCCAGTCTCTCAACCACTTCCAGCGATATGCGTACGTCCGCCTATCTCATGCACGGGAAGTGAAGGAAAGGAAAACGGCTGAACAGCCCCAGCACCCGAGTCAATCGTACCAACAATCCTACTCAAGTCAATACTCAAGTGGACAGCAACCTCAATTTGCTCCTGTACCATTCGGACGGAGCCATTCGAATTCGAGTGCGAGCATGAGTTTTGGATCTCCTCTAGGGGCTGGTATTGCTCTGCCATCGTCGTATGGCGAATCCAGGCTGAATGGGGCTTATTGAATAAATTGTAGTACCTGTAACATATGTAGGGTGTACACGGGGACACGGGGGGTTCTCGTGTATCTTATCTATATATAATTTCAAAATCAAGGTGACCGAAGGTTAGATAATAGATTAGATAGGACTTGTAAATTTTTTAAGCATCACAGGTTTTCATGCCTCCTACAAAACGGAAACACTCGGATTCCTCTGATGAACGCTCTCTTTCGGACTTGGACATCGATGGGATTGACAACGACCTCGAGGACGACGATGTTGACATCTCCTCAGCACTGACCAGAAAGAGATCAAAAAATAATTCCCAACAAAATCAGTCCGATGGCGAGGAGGATTTCAGCATTTTCTTGCAGGATGCTATGGCAAAGCACAATGTGAAAAGCGGTACTGAACTGCTTAAAAAAACCAAGGGTAAAGCTAAACTCGTCAAGGGTGAAGTCGGTGGAGGTAGCTTCCAATCCATGGGTACGTCCAGAATTAAACAGAGAATATAGACAAATCAACTAACTGTGACATATTCCAGGTCTTCTCCCTTCATTACTTCGCTCACTAAGTCTCCAGGGCTACCGAATACCTACTCCCATACAACGATTGGCTATCCCAGCCTTGCTATCTAATCCCCCTCAGGATCTTGTAGGCATGGCTCGTACAGGTTCTGGAAAATCTCTTGCCTTCCTAGTTCCTCTGGTACAACGCCTCGGAGGGCGTCATGCCACAACGTTTGGTGCCCGTGCTCTTATTCTAATTCCGACAAGAGAACTTGCACTCCAGATTCTCAAAGTTGGGAAAGAATTGGCAAGAGGATGGAATCATGGCAAAGGTGACCATGCTGGAGATTCCAAAGAAGAAGATACCAAGGGTCAGGGTTTGCGCTGGGGCTTAATTGTGGGGGGAGAAGGGTTGGACGAGCAGTTCGAGATGATGACGAATAATCCAGACGTGTAAGCCAATCTGTTTTTTTCTAGGGATATAGCTTATATGTACAATATAGAATAATCGCCACGCCCGGTCGCCTACTCCATTTGATTGTGGAAATGAACCTTGACCTGAAATCCGTCCAATACGTCGTTTTCGACGAGGCTGACCGTCTGTTTGAGATGGGTTTCGAGACATCCTTGACCGAGATCATCCACCGGCTTCCTTCATCCCGACAGACTCTACTTTTCTCCGCGACACTGCCCACGTCCCTCGTTGAATTTGCTAAAGCCGGTTTAGAGAACCCCAAACTTGTACGGCTTGATGCTGAAAGCAAAATCAGTCCCGATCTGAAGATGGCGTTTTTCTCGGTCAAACAGGCAGAAAAAGATGCATGCCTGGTGTCTCTTCTCAGGGATGTTATCAAGGTTCCACTCATAGATTCATCACAACGGGAGGAAGAAGAAAGGCACGACGACAAGGGCAAAGGTAAGGCCAAAAAGAGGGAAACAATGCCTCATCAAACCCTTATTTTCGTGGCCACCAAACACCATGTCGAGTATCTCTTAAATCTTTTGACTACAGCCGGGTATGCTGTTTCTCATATATACGGCTCTCTCGATCAGGCGGCACGAACATATCAGATGGACCAATTTCGCCGCGGACTGACGAGTATCCTAGTCGTAACAGACGTTGCTGCTCGCGGGATCGATATTCCTGTTCTCGAGAACGTTGTCAATTACGACTTCCCCCACGGTGCTAGAGTATTTGTCCACCGCGTCGGTCGAACTGCTCGGGCTGGTCGTCAAGGCTGGGCGTGGTCGTTTGTCACCCATACCGAACTTCCTTACCTGATAGACCTTCAATTATTCCTTGGCCGGCCGTTAAAATGTGAAGTGACAGAGGAAGGCGATCAGGTTTACACCGAGTCGATGGTTCTCGGCCCAATGGAGCGTAGCAGGATAGATGAGGACATGGAGTATCTCAAGTCGCTAGACGATGCCAACCACTCTCTGCCTTCGTTGCGCGATGTGATGAAACGAGCGCAATCTATGTACGAGAGGAGTAAAGGGAAGGCTAGCCCTTCAAGCTACAAACGAGCCAAGGAGATGATCAAAGACCCCAAATGGATCTTGGCAGGATCTGACACTGGCATTAACCCTGTACTACTTAGAGGTTCAAATGAGTTTGAACGTCGTGCTCAGGTGCAAGCTAAGCAGACGCTTCTACGCGCTGTGAACTCTTTTAGACCTGCGGAAACCGTATTTGAAATTGGCACAAAAGGGAAAGCCAGTACTGCCAATGCCGCCTTGATGAAGGAGCGCCGAAAGGCCCTCACTAAATCTGTACAAAGAGCTCAAGCTGCTACCTCATCGGCCTTGGCCGAGGATGAGGTTCTGGACGCTGTAGCTTCTACTAGCAAAAACCTGGAGATGGCAAACGAGGACGATATCGCGGTAAGTGTTCATGCTCCGTGTTGACTACTGGTACCGATATATACTCTCCAGGCTGTGTTTGACACTAGCAAAAATAAAGGTTTCCGGGATCAGGAATTCTACATGTCTCATTACCAGAAAGATGCTCTAACTGAGAAAGGGTGAGTCCTTTTACCCGTAGAATTTGGTCAAAGTTCAAACCATCGTCCCCCAGCTACTCCCTAACGGATGGCGCGTCATTCTTGGAACAAGCCCGCGGGGCTACTTTTGATCTCGCTGGCGATGAGGGCGTCGCAGACCGTAAAAAACGCCAGCTGAACTGGGACAAGAAGAAGAAGAAGTTTGTCAAAGGTGGCGGGGTGGGTTCCGACAATGTCAAGATGGTGAAAACGGAGAGCGGTACAAAGCTTCCCGCCACGTATCGCAGCGGTCGTTTTGATGAATGGAAAGCGAAGACTCATTCCAGTCTGCCCAGGGTAGGTGAAGTTGAGGGTGAAGGGGTACGATCTAGGCAAATGTCTGGTCCTGGTGGACACCGGTTCAAGCACCAAAAGATCACTGAATCTAAGCCGCTCGATAAACGTAACAAAGATTACGAGCGAAAGTCGAGGCAATTGAAAAAGCGAGGAGATGCTGAGGCAGGAAACTCAGGCGGTGTGTCTTCTTCCCAAGTCAAGGGAGGACGGACAAAGGTCGGAGGTCGGTACGGAGGAAAGTCGGTTGGACGAGTCAAGTCGGAGCTTAAGAGTGCTGAAGACATTCGCAAATCGCGGAAGGTTCAGGAGAAACGAAAGGCAAAGAATAATCGTCCGCCAAGTCATCGTAAGGGAAGGCGATAGTATACCGCTCTAATGATATGTTTCATTAACCTCTTAAAGGCAGACCCTTTACTTCTTGAACCTTTCGAGATGATAAGACGTTAATTACATACTTCTAGTTATCATTCACGGTAAAAAGAAACGCTGAATGCCCCTCCCCTGCCCATCCCCGGCTCGAGGTATCACTAATATGCCGCTTTCGCTCGCGTAACTTATATAATCAAAGAGAAATTGCATGAGTGAATTCTGGCTCGCGAGACTAGAGAAATTGTTGCTCTGAGTCCTACGTTTAATTTGGTGGATCGAAACGCGTTTGAACGGCCTCGCAGTGCTTTAGTGCTGCGATACGCAGTCATTTGAGCAGAAATGACGTGCTGCCACTGCCTACTACCAAAGGCATTGTCCGGGCTCCAATACCCGCTCATACACGTCAGTCAAACGTGGTGGGAGGAGAATTTATGAATATATAAGATGAGGAACTGAGTTATTGCTTTTTCTTCATTTCTTCTTCCGTTCTTTTACTTCGCTTTAAAAAGCTTCATAATGAACTTCACGACTCTCAACATTTTCTTTGTCGCCGTCTTTGCTTTCCTTGCCTTGATTCATGCCCATCCTGTCTCTTTAATTTCCAGAGACGTCTATGTTCCCGAGATATTAACACCGATAGCAGGGGACACATGGGTCATTGGAAACACAGAATCTGTGACATGGTGAGTAGCTTCAATTAGTTCGGAGGCTTCAAGCCTCAAGTAACTGGAAAGGAATGTATCCTCTCCTCCAGCACAGATCACGAATCCTGTTGGACAGATTCTACTGAGGAAGGGGAATCTAACCCAGAACGGTATGTGCAGTGGCAGCGCACGGTACTTGTTCATTCAAAGTTATTCTGACAAAAAAAACCAGTGACGCTCGCCGGGAATTTCAGCATCCTAGCAGGAAACGTGTCCTTTATCGTTCCATCCGTCACCCCTGATGATGATTACAGTGTAGTTCGTGAGTAGCCAAAGTTTGAATCAGTCATACTAGGATCTCATCCTCCTTGAAGTGTTCGGCGATTCCGGCAACTTCAGCCCTGTATTCTCTATTGTGGCGAATACCAGTAATGCTCTCTGAAGACTGGCTGAAGCTTTGAAGATCATAATGGATGACGATGTCGGTTCATGGACTTATCCTCATGGATCTTATAATGGACTTTCTAGTGGACTTTTTAATGGACTTTGTAATGGACTCCTTTCCCTTACCGTAACCTAGCTGTGTGGGATAGAGAATGAACAACCTTAACGACTTTGCGCGTATATTATCAGGCCGCGTCAGAATACTCCCATTTTGCCCCACCTCCTGGCACCATAGGTGTTTTGGAATTTTGGAGTAGGTCCACATTAACGCTCCGGAGTGCTGCTACGCACCACTCAGGGTAACCACGGTCTCCAAAATAACCAGCAAAGAAAGACAGGAGATAATCAGGAAAAGTGCCAGCTATGATAGCTTCTCGAGCTCGACCCATCACTTGCGCTTGGAAGACGATATTGTGTATGGTTAAAGCTGAAGATATCCACTGATTAGTGGTCTCATCAAATGAAACAAAAGCATTAGTCCAAACCGTGCGCCGCTGTAGTTTCGTGTGTGACGATATGGTGTAGAAGGGCTCGCGAAGTGCCATCTTTACAGGTTGGGCAAGGACATGTGGAATCTATAGGGTCGAAATCCTTCGCATGCTTTCCCAATTCTGGAAGGCATCAGGCATGAAATACCAGAGTGAAACGAGTGGAATACAACGAACTCAAATTAATCGGCCCAGTATGCGTCAGAGCAACTCCAAATCGAGCTGTCCTCGTTGGAAAAACGCAATCTGCCTTGGCGTTCGAATGAGGATCCATCAAGATTCTGCATTGAAAGGAAGCGTTTCAACTAACCATGTCAATGCCCAGCGCTATACAGACGAGAAGATCTACGAGAAATCTGAGATTGTCGTGGATGTCACGCTGGAGTGTAAGACCCACCTTCAGCAAAGCCGATTCCCATAGCATAGCGCGGTCCTTGACAAGAAATTGAGCAACGATATATATAATATATAAGACGCGAAATGCAAGCTTACGATCTTCCGGTAGTCTATCTGCACACTGTTTGATTCTGCTTTAAGTGAGCACATAACCCTCAGCGGTATGATAAAGCCCTACATTTTCCAGAAAACATCTGGGACAGATATAAGTAGCTTTTTGATAAATTGAACACAATTTCAGAGACCTTTCTCTTCCCCTCCCGATAAACCTCCAATCGCATAACCTGATACTCGATCCTTACGTTCCAACATACCATCTAGGCACTTGTCGCGAAGATTTGGGTCTAACCCTCCTTGTACTATTGCGAATAAATTTTGCGCGTCCTTTCTTCCTGCAGACTCGTGCTGTTGTATACAACGATCTAGCCTGAAGATAATATGAGTCATGGCCGGAAGATTCGAAAAGTTTTGAACAACCATCTTATCGACCGCTTCATTGCCTCTTCAACGCGTGGACCTTGAAGAAGACTAGGCACTAAAAGTTGAAATCAGAGAATGATATACCCAACAAGCGATTTACACTTGCCCACATCGTCAAGTTGCATGATGATATCGGCACCTATTGCATGCTGGATAGAGATACTTTCTTCTGGCTGAATGCCAGCGGTTAGCTGCTTTATATATTAAAGAAGATACTAACTGTCAATATAGTGGACTCTCCATTAAATGGACTTGAGAACACGGCTCCTTCCTCCGTGATTGTAGTGAACTTGCTCAGAGAAACGAGTTGAAATCCTCCACTATCCTAAGACAGAGCAAAAAAAAAAAATAAGGATATGAACATTTCTGGGTTTTAGTACACATACAGTGAGCATATTGTGTCTCCAGCCTTCGAACAAATGGGCTCCCCCAGCGACTTTCAAAACATCAACTCCAGGCCGTAGATTGAGATGATAAGTATTGTTCAAGATGAGGCTGATTCCCAATGACTCTACTTGCTCCGGCGTGAGGCCTTTTATTGCTGCTTGAGTTGCTACGGGCATAAACGTAGGGAGAACGGTTTCCCCATCTACAATCAGGTCAACGAATCATTGAGGTGTTTCTTGAGCAAGTGAGATTTACGAGCCAAGACCATGCGTGAGACGCGAGCGCGAGTGGTAGGGCATTTATGAATCACTTGGAACTCCATGCGATCTAGAGAAGAGAACTGATACTAACTTGAAGTAATAGAAGGCGGCAAACTTTGGGCGTTTGACCGGCGCCTACTTAAATGCGGCCGGCTAACCGCTTCAGACCGTATCGGGTAATTATTCCGACGCATTGTGTTAACGTTGTCCGTCCTTCTTTCACTGTCATCATGAAGGTTATACCCTTGGCCATTTCGGTTTCATCCTTCGCTTTTTTCTCCAATGCATTCTACCTGCCTGGCGCTGCGCCTCGAAACTACGCTCAAGGAGAGCAAGTAGACCTTTTCGTCAACGCTCTAACTCCTATGATTTCAGGAAAGGACGACGCAAAACTGGTGCGTTTCGCGTACTGTCATGGACTACATAAACTAACCTTCCCCCAAGAAATCCTTAATTAATTGTGAGATTGAACATCAGTGTTTAGAATTTCCAAGTTCATCAGTAATCAGATGATTACTATAATCCGAAATTCCATTTCTGCGAGCCAGATGGAGGGCCAGTAAAACAGTCCGAGAGTTTGGGTGGAATCCTTTTCGGAGACCGCATTTTCAGCTCCCCGTTTGATGTAAGTAGGAACTACTGCCACTCTGGTATCTCCGCTAACGCGTGTCGCAGATCAAAATGCTAGAGAGCAACCAGACGTGTCAGACTCTCTGTAAAACGACTGTGGACGGAGAGAGCGCGAAATTCATCAACGACAGAATACGAGGTGTGTTAACTGACGTCTGATATCTATCCCGAGTCGCTAATCTTGGTCACTCATTTGAAAATTTGTAGAAGACTATGCATTGAACTGGTTGATTGACGGATTACCTGCAGCCGAAATGAAGATTGACTTGAGGACAGGAGAACTGTTCTTTGACATTGGCTTCAATCTAGGAAATGACGACGAACCCTTCGAGGAAATGCCGGCTTTAAATAACCACTACGAGATCGTACTGAGGTCCGGGTCTGCTTAAAACTGCCAGCCATGTTCTTACGGATGTCCCTCGCAGATATCACGAGTACGCTCCTGGCGATTATCGCATCGTCGGAGTCCTAGTGTGGCCCTACAGTATTGGAGGTGACCAAGAAGGCCCGGCAACCTGTGATACCGAAAACATCAGCCCACTGGTTCTGAGCGAAACACAATCTCAGACTGTACGTTACACCTATCGTGTAACGTGGAACGCTTCATCGACCCCTTGGGCCACTCGATGGGACAATTATCTCAAAATAGCTGACCCTAGAATCCATTGGTATACACGCTCTCATATGTCCAACCACCTCTGGCTGAGAATTGTTCTTAGGTTTAGTCTTGTTAACTCTATCGTCATTGTCGTATTTCTTCTCGTCATGGTCTCTATGATTCTTTATCGTAGCGTCTCCCGGGATGTGCGTACTGGTTTTGTTAATCTGTGATCTTTCGCTGATTTTCTTGTTATTTAGATTTCTAGGTACAACGCAAGTGACATGAGTGTGGGTTTACGTGTCTCAACCAAAATTCGTACATTGACTGACATCCTCCAAATACAGGAGGATGTTCAAGAAGATTGGGGTTGGAAACTCGTACACGGGGAAGTTTTCCGTCAACCTTCACATCCCATGCTTCTTGGCATTATGTCCGGAAATGGTGCACAACTCTGTTCGATGGTTGGAGTAACTTTAGGTTTGAATATATACGTTCTTGTTTCACTGTTTGTTTGAGTGTCTGTTGAACAGTGTTTGCGTTATTGGGTTTCCTTTCTCCTTCAAACCGTGGTTCTTTGGCCACCGTGATGATGGTGTGCTTCTCGTTCTTCGGATGGTGCGTTCCTATATTCTTATTCTGGCAATAGGAGCGACATTGATGTTGTACACACTAGCATTGGTGGATATGTTTCGAGCCGTGTTTATAGTTCGCTTGGTGGGTCTGACAAGCGCAAAAATGCGTTCCTTACGGCCACTGGCCTGCCTACGTGTGTCATAGTTTACAATGCAAAAGCATGATTCCTGACTTTTGACAAACAGCATCGTCTTCATGATAGTATTCTTGTTAAACTTCTTCCTTCTTATGGCCAACTCCTCGGGTGCCGTTCCATTTGGTTTGTGGTATTTTATTGTGTCAACGAAATCTTATCAAGGACCGGTGTTTAGGTACACTGCTTGTGATTGCTCTCCTTTGGTTTGGTATTTCAGCTCCGTTATCCGCTGTCGGTTCTTATTATGGTACAAAACACGGTGTAAGATTCATTTCTAATATCTTTGGTCTGTACTGACAGTTGCTTCATAGGCTATTCACCACCCTGTGTATGATGAAATTGTTCACGATTGGTCGTTTGTACTCATTATATGTTCAGGAGAGTCAACCCCATTCCCCGCCAGATTCCTCCGAGCCCGAAGTATCTTCGACCTTGGGTGCGTTTTTTATTTTGACTACGATTATGTATTCACCAATATAACACGAGTTTCTAGTCAGCGGCCTTGCTGAGCGGTATACTTCCTTTTGGTAAATCAATCTGTTCTCGTGTCGATACTCTGGTAGATTGAATTTATGGTTCAAGGTGCCGCGTTTGTTGAGCTCTATTTTGTCATGTCGTCGTTGTTTGCCTCGAAGGCATACTATGCGTTTGGCTTCGTGGCATTGACGGGTGAGTCCCGTTCTCAATTTTTATCATATCATCTTCTCACAGTCCATCTTAGCTGGCGTCATGGGCATCACGGTTGCAACAGTCAGTATCCTGTTCACGTACTTCATGCTGTGCGCTGAAGAATACCGGTGAGCTTGAGGGTCACTCGGGGGAATCCGAACGTGTTTTGACTTCCACTGTAGATGGCACTGGCGTTCGTTCTTGATTGGCGGAGGCAATGCTTTCTGGGTGTTGGCTTACGGACTGTTCTATTGGGCATCACGGTTATCGTTAGGCTCGTTTTCGAGTGTCGCGCTCTATATGGTGAGTAGCCTTTGCCTACTCTGCGTCGAATAACTCGTTATGCATTTATATCCAGGGATATCTCCTCCTTTTGGCTCTTCTGGATTTCCTTGTAACCGGTTCGTATTTTCTTGCCATACCCCGATTCTGCTGACTGAATCGCCCTGTATCAGGTACAATCGGCTTTCTAGGTATGCCACGTCTAATATCAACCGTTGCAACGAGTTCCAATCTCTCTTTAGCTTCGTACTGGGCGGTTCGCAAACTGTACAGTGCAATCCGAATCGATTAGTGTATGTGTATAGATATCCCAACAATTACTTGGATCACGATATCATAAAATGATGCTAATTACCAGCAGTGGCAAGTAGTATAACTTTGTCCTTACCAGCTCTGATCATCACCGCACGACCATCCAGTAAATGGGATTTATGTAGAGTAAACCGTATGTCTGGAACAACCTGATCGTTGAAATAAAGTCCTTTTGATTGCGCCAGTTGTCGGGCAGCAGCTGCGTAATGAATGAATGAGGGATGACTGAAAACCGAGTCAATTACATGCGTACTCACAGGTGGATGATACGAGGCCGTACTTCGAGGCCAGTTTCACCACAGGCACAGAGGTTAACTCCGTGTCTTCACACAATGTCATTCGAGGATCACCTCTAAAGGCGTCAATGAGAGTTTGGGCGTCTAAAGTGCGAGTTTTTGAGTTGGGATGTCTAAACACAGTTTTGGACATTGTTTCGGCGGATAGTACACCTGGAGCTGATGAGAAGAGGATGAGAGGTTTGCGTCGTGGAACCTGCAACTTGTCCCGTACCCCCATGGATTAACTCAGTCACTTCAGCTGCCAATCGCCTTTGTGCAGTTCTTTTATCAGGTTCTGACTATATCAACGTCAACAAATGAACCGCATATATGTAGATCAAATGCCTTACTTTGTGTACTTCCATCACCATTTGTATCTCTGACAAAGGCAAGAATGTGAAGATTTTTAGATACTTTTCCACATCCGCATCTTCAACTTTGAGGAAATACTTTGCGGCGAGTGAGAATTCATCGCATTGGCTGTTCGGAGAAGCACACCTGGTAAAGATCGAAGACACTAGTTAATTTGGGATCCAGCCAAATCGCATTCCCTGCGCTCTTGCCAAACTTCTCGCCAGAAGCGGTCGTGAGCAAAGGTGTAGTTATACCAAATGCTTTTTGATCTTCTGAGGATTTTGATGGATTCAAACGATTAATGAGCTCGAGCCCGGCCACGATGTTTCCCCATTGATCTGAGCCTCCAATCTGTACGGTACAGCCAAAGGCACTATGAAGGTGATAGAAATCATATGCCTGGAGTAGCTGATAGGTGAACTCTGTGAAGGATATGCCGGCACTTGAATCGAGACGTGTTCTAACGCTATGAAATAAAATCAGAATCAGCAAAGCGCCTTGTGTATAAGATGACAACTGTACCTCTCTTTGTTTAGCATGGTGTTTACTCTAGCATGAACGCCAACAACACGCAGGAACTCAAGCATCGTGAAATTTTGGTGCCATTCCAGATTACTTTTGACTTCTGGGTCGGATGTGATATCCGAGGCAGAGGGAAGACGACTCTTTGCATACAAGAGCCCACTGCGAAAGAAGCTCTTGATGCTTTCACTTAACAAACCAACATTTCTTTCGATCTGCGCAGCATTCGCAGGTCCTCGTTCGGTCTTCCTTCCCGAAGGATCTCCTATGAGACCGGTAGCGCCACCTATCTGTGCAGCGAATATTTTCAACCGTAGAATTCATCAGCGAAGATTTAGCGCGCCTCACGAGTGGAATGATGGTGTGCCCGTGAAGTTGAAAATGCAGTAGACACATCAAAGGAACGAGATTCCCTATGTGTAAGGAAGAAGCCGTGGGGTCAACACCGCAATATATGACTTGTCGTGAGCGCAACGCATTTTCTAGCTCTGTGGGACTATATTTCCATGAATGAACATGAACACTCTCCAGGACACGTATATACCTGGTCACTTGCTGTATAAAACCACGACTAGACAACTCATGGAAGACATTACTGAAGGACCTTATTGGTGGTATATGGCGAATTGAACGCACTGCCCGTCCAAGGGGAAACTGAAAGAGCATGCCAGAATGTCACATGATTTCAGTGAGTCCGAAATCATAAAAATCGACAAGTCAAACTTGACTTGGCACCACGCTCTTCCAAGTCCCACATCCCTTCTTCTACTCCCTTTTTGCTCTTCCTCAGCTCTCGTCTCGCTGTGACATATGTCTACAGACTCTGGACCGTTATCTGACGAGGACAGCACCATGGGCGATGGTGTCGACCTCAATGGCCACGCCAATGGCATCGGTAACGGTTCCCACTTACCAATGAGTGACGATGAAGATATGAGTTTGGTGAAAACTGCTTGTCTGTTGTTGAGCTCAATAATTTGACTCATTAACTATCCAGTTGCAGACTGTACCACCTAGGAGAAATCTGAAACGCAAGAAATCCAACTATGCCGAGTCCTCTGACGAGGATGATATTCCTCTCGCGTCTTCTCCTGCTAAACAGCCCACTTCAGCAGCTATACCGATGCCTGGTGCCGTCGCAGCCACTACAGTCCCTTCTTCTAAGGCTTCCAAGTCGAAACGTCTTGGTACTAAGAAGGAAGAATCTGACGATGACGGCTATTTGAAGAAACCGCAGAAGAAGAAACCCCGGAAGAAAGTAAAAAAGGAAGAGTCTTCAGATGACGATATACCTATCGTCGCTCCTAAGTCCTCTGCCCGGAAGCGTAAAGTCAAGCCGGAAAGTGAGGCAGAGTCCTCTGACGAGGACAAGCCCATCATTAAAAAGACCTCAGCTAGAAAGACGCCCGCAAAGAAGGCGAAGAAGGAAGAGGATGTTGAGCAGCCCGCTTCGAAGGTCAATGGTAAAGCGAAGGCAAGAGAGATAAACGACGGCGAAGACGAAGGCAAGGGCAAGGGCAAAGGAAAGAAGAAGAAAAAAGAAGAAGAGCAAGAAGAAGAAGTGTATAGGTGGTGGGAGGCAGATCCCAACGGCGATGGCTCTGTCAAATGGCAGACTCTTGAACATAACGGTGTCATCTTTCCTCCTCCATACGAGTCACTTCCGTCCCATGTCAAGATGAAGTACAACGGTGGGCCTGATGGACTTACTCTTATTTGTACTCAGTCGTGTCTAACATCTCACCGTCATAGGAAAGGATGTTCGTCTTCCTCCGGAATCCGAAGAGGTTGCAGGCTTCTATGGTGCTTTGATCGAGTCTGATCACGCGAAGGACACCGTATTTAACAAGAACTTCTTCAACGACTGGAAGGAAATATTGAAAAAACATCCTCCTGTAAGCGGTCGATACTCGAAGTAGGGATCTTGCTAAATAATGTACAGCTGGATGGCACCAAGATAACGACGTTTGAGAAGTGCGATTTCCGTCCCATGTTCGACTATTTTGAGTCGGAAAAAGCTAAGAAAAAGGCGTTGAGTGCTTCTGAGAAGAAGGAGCTCAAGAAAGCCAAAGATGATATGGAGCTCAAGTACACTACTTGTCTCCTGGATGGCCGCAAGGAGAAAGTTGGAAACTTCAGAGTTGAACCTCCGGGGCTATTCCGAGGTCGCGGTGAACATCCGAAGAAAGGTTCTCTCAAAGTCAGTGCCTTTCAATGGTTGTACTTTCGTCTACTAATAGCGTGGTTCGTAGCTCCGTGTGCGACCCGAAGATATTACCCTTAACATTGGCAAGGATGCTCCTGTACCTATTCCGAACATGCCGGGCAAGTGGAAATCTATTCAACACGATAATACCGTTACCTGGCTAGCGACATGGACCGAAAATATCAATCAAAGTCACAAATATGTGTTTTTGGCAGCGGGTAGTTCTCTCAAGGGCCAAAGTGATATGATGAAATTTGAGAAAGCCCGAGAACTTAAGGTGAATAAATCTGTATGTATTCAGGCATTAGTTCGCGTTCTCAACAGTTTGCCGCTCGCGTTCCTCTTCAGAATTATGTCGATCGCATACGAGCTAACTACTCTGGCGATCTACGGTCTAAAGTCATGGCAGAACGACAACGGGCTACTGCTATGTACTTCATAGACAAGCTTGCTCTTCGTGCTGGAAACGAGAAAGGCGAAGATGAAGCTGACACCGTTGGCTGTTGTTCACTCCGTTGTGAACATGTTACTCTTGAGTCCCCGAACTTCATCATCTTCGATTTTTTGGGTAAAGACTCCATTCGTTACTATAATCGAGTCGCTGTCGATGCCCAGATTTTTAAGAACATCCGGATCTTCAAGGAGAACAAGGAAGATGACGATAGCTTGTTTGACCGTGTCACGGTAGGGTTAACTTATTACCTCGCTAACAACCTTGTTTCTAACATAACAAGTAGACGGCCTCCCTGAATAAGCATCTGAATTCCGAGATGAAAGGCCTGACCGCCAAGGTTTTTCGTACCTACAATGCCTCAGCTACGTTCCAGCGGCTGTTGGACGAAAGCGATCTTGAGGGCGCAACCTTACAGGAGAAACTGAATGCTTACAACAAGGCAAATCGCCTTGTTGCTATTCTTTGTAACCATCAGCGTAGTGTACCTAAGACTCACGACCAGTCGATGGAGAAGATGCGACAGAAGGTAGGTTGATTTCCACCCGAAGCTTCATCATCTCAAACCCTCTTTCGCAGTATAAAGGACTTAAATATGATCGTATGAAACTTCGGCATGGCTTGTTCGGCATGGATTCGAAGTACAAGAAAATAGACAAGTATAAGGAAGACGAGTCAGACATAGATGATGACTGGATTGTAGAGTACGAGGAGCAGATGAAATCGAAGGAGATCGAGAAGGCAGAGAAGAAATTTGCGAAGGAGAACGAGAAACTGACAGAGGATGATCTCAAGCCACAGCTCGATTCAGTGCTTGAGGCACGCATACGACATATTGAAGAAGAGTTCAAGAGACTTGCCAAAGAACGAGGTAAAACTACTGTGGCGGTGAAGGGTAACAAGACACCCGAGAAACTTATGGAAGGTATTGACAAGTTGACTGAGAGGATTAAGAGCTTCAAATTGCAGATGGTGGATCGTGACGAAGGCAAAGAAGTTGCTCTTGGAACCAGGTGCGGGGTTTGACTTTTCAGTTTGACCTATCCTCGCCTCAAAGTTTGAGCGTTATCCTCATTTTAGTAAAATCAACTACCTGGATCCTCGGTAACTTGAATATTCCCAGTTTGATATGTTCACTGATGCTTGATCACTCTAGTATCACCGCTTCCTGGTGCAAAATACATGATGTACCAATTGAAAAGCTGTTCTCCAAGACGCTACAGGTCAAATGTTCGTATAAGCCCTTCTTTCGCGGAACCTAACCTAACGTGGAGTTGTACAGTTCCTTGGGCTATGGAAGTTGATACCGAGTGGAAGTTCTAGAGCTCTGTACTGTTAACCACACATCATTCATTATTATTCGGGGAAAGAACATTGCAGCATTCAAATGTTCTTCGTTGGTTACATTACTTAGAAGCATGTTTATGGATCATAAATTCTGTTACTTGTACAATCGTTTTGTACAAATCGTTATTCAATTGCAGACTGCACACGCGCGTTCCGGCACGGTCATTTATTGAGAGATTCATTCTTGCTCTCGCTCTATCATCTCGTCATGGCTCAGAGTCGCTTTGCCTCCAGATCTATGTTTGCTGCTCTAAGTGTAGAGTCTAGCGGAGAGGAGAGTGAAGAGGAGATTTCGGAATCGGAGGTAAAGTCTAGTGCTACAACTTCAAGGTAAGTTTTTTTATTTCCGTTATTAAAACGGATGAGCATGTTCCATCTTGTAGTGCAGCAACAGAACCGCCAGCTCCACCTGTCAAAATGTCGAAGACTGCCATGAAGAAAGCAGCTAAAGCAGCCCGTTTAGAAAAATTGAACTCACTAGCAGCTGAAAAACCGAATGGCGAAATTACTGCGAATGCTGTGTCCTCCTCAGATTCAGCAGAAGCTGGCTCGTTTACTGGAAATCTAGGAGACTTAGAACCAGAGCCTCCTGTGGATTTAGTGGACGAAGCTACAGTCGTCTCAAATCATGCCCTCGAACCTCCGGTCACAATTCCTCTAGAGGCTGCACCTCCTTCCAAAGACCCCATGGAACTTTCATACTCTATGCCAACGCCAGAACCAGGACCGTCGTCGGAGTTGGAAGCATCACCTATTGCACCCATTGAGGCACCTTCCTCAAAGCAAGACGCCCCTCCGTCAGACCCGGAGAATGTAAAAAAGAGGCAGAACATATTTACGCGTACATTATGGACGTTTATCATGATTGGAATTTTTATTGGTGCGTCTCCTCGTTCAATGTCATGGTTTCATATAGTAACACATTTTCAGGCCTCTTACTTATGGGCCATGCATACATGGTCTTGCTTGTCATGCTATGTCAAACACTTGTATATCGCGAAGTCACTGCTCTATTCCTCTTGGCGCAATCTGATAAACGGGACGAAGTCGAAGGCAAGGACCCTTGGAGCAAGACGCTGAACTGGTACTTCTTCGCTGCCACGAACTATTTCCTATACGGAGAGAGTATCATATACTATTTCAAGGTGCGTTCAGCCTCTGACAATTTCGTCGCAAAGCTCACATCGCGTCCTCCTTCAGCATGTAGTCTTTTCTGAAGCACAACTTCTTCCCTTCGCAACCAACCACAGACTGATCAGTTTCGCACTTTATACCATTGGCCTTATGGGCTTTGTGTTATCTCTCCAAAAACGTTATTTGAGAAAGCAGTTCGGTTTATTTTGCTGGGTCCACATGAGCTTGCTGCTCATCGTTGTTTCAAGGTGCTTGCTCTTCATCATGGAGCTGTGAAATACTGAACACGTCCTATATAGTCACTTTATCGTAAACAACATCCTCGAAGGCTTAATTTGGTTCTGGGTACCAGCCTCCCTCGTTATTTGCAATGACGTATTTGCCTATATTTGGGGAATGTCCATTGGACGAACACCGCTGATCAAGCTTTCTCCGAAGAAAACTGTCGAGGGATTCGTGGGTGCTTTCATTAGCACAGTTCTCTTCAGCTTGCTGTGGGGATCCTATTTCATGCGCTTCAACTATATGATATGTCCGGTCCACGACCTCGGTGTCAGCGCTTGGAGCAATGTGCAATGTGTCCCCAATCCAGTGTTTGTATGGAAGGACTGGCAGATCCCAACACCTCTTGCTACTGTCCTCTCTACTACAGTATGTTCCCGTTTGACTCTGTTCGTTCCGGTGCTAATAGTATCTTCGAAAGCTTCAAACGCAAATCACTTCGATCTCATATGTGCCTTACCATCTTCATCTTTTGTCAATGTCGTTTTTTGCGTCGCTCGTAGCTCCTTTTGGAGGGTTCTTCGCATCAGGCTTCAAACGGGCTTTCAATATCAAAGATTTCGGGCACAGTATTCCTGGACACGGTGGTATGACAGATCGCATGGATTGCCAGTATGTTGATTTTCTGATACGTCTACGACGAGGATTACTATTATTTTCCCCCCGTAGATTCTTGATGGGGGTATTCATGTATGTCTACTACAGCAGTCTGATTCGCCAGCACAACGTGACGGTGGGCTCCATTCTGCAAAAAATCGTCAGCGGTTTGAGCGTCGATGAACAATTGGAACTGATCGTGGATTTGAAAAAATATCTTGAAGGAATGGGGGTACCAGTGCCTTGTTAATGATTTGTATGCAACAAAATTTGTCGTCCGAGTAATTTAGTAACGTAGTAGTAATGACACGTTGGACTTTTTTTCAAGTCAAAGTCCATCTACATAATCCTCCAAACTGCATGGCTTTCCGACCTACAGCTGCACTGTAATCCTTCATGGTTAGCCCTCTAGCATCTTTTCCGCCAATCTCTTTGACATAGAACAGAGACACATCTCCTCCTGCTGGTACATAGACAGTGGCACTCCACCCTCCCGAGTCATTGAGAACAAGTGGTGTCCGACTTCCATCAGGCAAACTAATGAAATGGACGAAGTTATCCGCTTCGGTAGTCGATAAATGTTCGCAAAGTTTGAAGAGGTGAAAGCTAACCCAGGATTCACCCTGGATATACTTTGTTGAAGGCTGCATGTATTGGGGAGAGAATTTATGGGTATGGAAGTCGTTAAATAGCAACGGCCCTTCGGGCTCAAGGATATAGTCTTCCCAAGATATAGGACCACCTTCTTCATCTGATATAAGTTGGTACGCAGGGTCTTCAGGATAGTGACGTTTCCCAAACTCAGCATGAGTGGAAGTGAACCAGACTGGATTAAAGCCCTTGCAAAATCCTGAGCTATCAACAGCACCTGCTCCCCAGCAGCTGTCAATGAGACGCCACTCTTCGTCCATTAAAGCACAATTCCAAGCATGGTTTCCTTGATACTGAGGCACAGGACCGCCTGACTCGGTAGGTGTATACCCAAAACCTTTTCCATGTCCAGTGACTTTCATCGCTTGCAGTCCGGACCGTTCAGCTAAGAACGCGAACAGACCGGCGTAGCCATCACATACAGCCAGACCGGAATGAAGTATGGATTCTGGAGTGGAAGCCTGGACATTACCGCAAAAGAATGCATCTGCATCGTAAGCGATATTGTGATGAAGCCAAGTGAAGATTGCTCTAAATTTCTCGGTCTCTGATTCCCAAGGAGAAGTTAGATCATAGGCAAGATGATCTAGTGAAGTGACACTGTGTCGAGGGAACAGAGAAGCATGTTCATCTACCAACGAAAAGTCATAGCACTTTATACAGCTAGATTCTTTCTGCTCTGGCTCCTCGTATATTATTTCAGGCTCTGGGGGAGGAGTAGGGAGTCGAACTGGTTTTGGAGGTAATCGCCTTCCAGAAAAGGGAGGAGTAGAGGTACCTTTCGCGGGTAGAGGTTGTTCGGATGAGGGAATTGGGGGAGGTTTCCTACTGACAGCACGTACGAATTCGGAACCGCGACTTTCAATCTCGTCCCAAGTAGGACGTTTTGATTGCGGTACGGCCGGAAGAAAGCTTTTCCGACTCGGCGCAGGAGGCAAAGTAAGTTCTTCAAGTTCTTTCTCTGACAGTTCTTCTGGGGTGATTAACTGTGGTAAAGTGGATTTCCCCGTTGATGTTGAGCCCTGCTTCAACTGTAAGCTCGCGATCCGAGCAGCGATACCTAAAGGCTTAGCATTTTCTTCTTCATCTTGAGAAACCGGCTTAACGACGTATGAGGGTCGAGGAGGAGGGGGAGGGGGAGGTGCACCTCTGCCTCGTCGAGCAGGGAGAGGGGGTCGTGGAAGAGACATTCTGACCCCAATTTCCATTGAATCTTGATGGTTACTGTAATACGACGTGAGAATAGGTCTTATATCGCCGCTACTTCGACCAATGGCAAAGCTCCGGTTACATCGCACTATGTTAATCTCTTTATACGTTCTCTGGGTCAATTTACATGAAGGATATGATTGACAAGAGCATAGAGAAACAATACAGTGGCATGGACATATAGGCGTAAAGGAGAACAATAGCCAGAGATAGTTAATAACCGTAGTTCATTTTCTGAAAGGGAGCACGATTATGATCGAGGCTTCTCCTAGAAAGACGAGCCCAACGTTAGATACTTGACGGTGTGAAAAATGATACGTAGCGAACCTTCTTCTCTTTCCAAAGTGCAAGAAGACCAACACCCGACACCTTGACGACCTTGAATCGGACACCGGGAATATCACCCTTGGCCTTTCCACGACGACCGAAACCGGAGATCAGAACTTCGTCGTTCTCATCAACAAAATTCAAGCAACCATCGTTCTTTATGAAGTCAATTGATCGGGATGTTCAGTGCCAGCAATCAGAATACGCACGGGAACGAACGCAGTGACTTTCTTTCCGTTCTTAATCAACTGTACCCTGACACACTTTCGGATGGCAGAGTTAGGCTGTTTGGCTTCGACACCGACTTTCTCGAGCACGATCCCCTTAGCATGAGAGGAACCTCCTGTAGGTGAGGTTTTGTAGATATTTCCTAGAGCACGCTTTTTGTACGTTTTGTCCGCCTGGGATCGAATAAATCTTCAGCCCAAGGCCAAAACTCCTCATAGATAAGACAAAGAACACACCCAGCGGTTTTCCCTGCGGTCATTTCTTAGCTTACGAGCGGCTTGAAGTCCACGAGGTTTGTTGGCTGTTAAGAAAGACCCATAAAAATCAGCAAGAGCACAGCGTTGAGGATACAGCGATTAAGACTAACAGCCCATTGTCGAAGGAGGGAGAGCGAGGTTGCAACAACTTGTACAAACAACAAGAAAGAAGCCGGCAACTCGCCGTGATTATGCAAGCATAAACTGTATAGCTGAGAGGTCACATGCGTCGCGTCGGAAAATTTTCGCATGGTTCATTAGCCACTCAGGATCTTGCGATATGAAAGACATCACACGAGTGTTCGTTCTTCTCTCCCCTAATTTCTAGGGTCTTGATTTCAGAACAAAGGTCCTTGATTGCTCGCTCAACATTGGGTTAGAGCGATTGAAAACCCACAGAAGTGCTAGTAACAGGGCCCGACTCTTCTTCTTCTCTCATCAACGGGGACTCTGGGTACATACATACGCGGGTAATGACCGATATGGCTAGGAACAACTAAGTGGTCAACCGGTACCATGGTCTGATTGTGTCTGATCATTATTATCAATAATGCCCGACTGTAGTCCGATTTTCGTCAGGCGGTCACTCTCCATACTACCTTCTGCCTTCAAGTTGAAGTACTAACTATCATGCCCTATCGTGCCTGCTGGCTTTGAAAAGCCAGGGGAACACATCCTGCCTTTCTTATTTTACTGCACCTATGAATGCCTGAAATACCTAGTCCTCTTAACCGTCAAGTTTGCAAATTTCCTGAAAATAAGTTTATTTTATGACTGCAACGTGTGTGAGTCTACCGCTATACTAATAGTGAGTAAGTTCAAGTTCCCACGCTACATCGTCAGCGCGTCTATTCATCTGGGCGTCCAATTGCGAAAATGAGTCATATCCGAATTTACTCTCTTCACCGTACTACATAAATGCCTCCTACCGCGACAACATTAGAATATGCCTCCGAAGCACCAAAACCACTGGTTTACTCGCGCCTTGCGAAGCATCATTTGCTAGACAACCAAAAACCTGATTATCTACGACTCATCCTCACCGCAAAAGTGTATGAAATATTGAAAGAAACACCTCTCGTTTTGGCAACGAATCTCAGCGCGAAACTTGGCAATGAGATCTGGTTAAAACGGGAAGACTTACAGGAAGTCTTCAGCTTCAAGATCAGGGGGGCGTACAATTTCATGGCCAGTTTGAACGATGAGGAACGATGGAAGGGAGTGATTACATGTAGCGCTGGTTAGTGTGCGTAATCTTGACCTCACCCATGCTCATTCATTGCTGATCTTACGATCAATTTCTCTGACTTCATTTTATGTAGGGAATCACGCTCAAGGTGTAGCCTTGTCAGGCTCAAAACTCAGCATACCATGTACAATTGTTATGCCCCGAGGTACGCCTAGCATCAAAGTACGAAACGTAGAAAGACTAGGAGCCAAAGTTATTCTACATGGTATCGACTTTGACGAAGCCAAGGCGGAATGTGCTAGACTTGCTGATGTCCATGGGCTTGTATTTGTTCCGCCCTACGATGATCCGTTAGTGATCGCAGGGCAGGGCACTATTGGGATGGAAATCCTCAAACAATTGCCTGATTCAGATAACCTAGAGGGCATATTCGCCGCTGTAGGCGGAGGAGGATTGGTTGCCGGAATCTCTGCGTACGTAAAACGCATTGGAAATCCACGCACCAAAGTATTTGGAGTCGAGACAGTAGATGGTGATGCGATGGACAAAAGTCTTGCTCAAGGGGAACGAATAACTTTGCCTGAGGTTGGTCCATTCAGTGATGGAACCGCCGTTAGGATAGTCGGCAGTGAGGGATTTCGCATCTGTAAAGAATTACTCGATGGAGTGGTAAAAACCGACAACGATGCGATCTGCGCCGCGATTAAAGACATTTTTGAAGGTTAGTCTCTTCTTGCATTGCACATCCGTTAAGTATCTGAAATATATTTTATAGAGACTAGGTCTATTACCGAACCTGCTGGTGCTCTCGCTGTAGCTGGTTTGAAGCACTACATTCTCAAAAACAACCTGGTCGGCGCTCAGAAGAGATTCGTTGCGGTGATCAGCGGAGCCAATATGAATTTTGATCGTCTGCGATTCGTTGCAGAACGTGCAGAGCTTGGTGAGGGCCGAGAAGCTCTCTTCAGCGTCGATATACCCGAAAAACCTGGCAGGTAAATTCTTGTCAAGTGTAACTTGTCTGCAACGCCGTATAACATGTGTTCTAGCTTTCTTACACTCCATACAGTCATTCATCCTCGGGATGTGACCGAATTCATTTACAGGTACAACAAGAGCACTGCACCAGATAGAGCACATGTGCTTGTCTCCTTCAAAGTAGACGCAAAAAAACGCACAGCGGAAATCAAGTCGCTGTTGAACGAGTTTGAAGCTGGAGGCATGAAAGGCTACGACATCAGCGATAATGAGCTTGCGAAGAGTCATGGGCGATATCTGATAGGTGGATCGCAGCCTGTTCCAAACGAGCGCATATTCCGCTTCGGTCAGTCGACCTAATTCTGGACTCGTTAGTTTCAACATTGACCCCATTCGTTTGATAGAGTTTCCCGAACGACCAAACGCTTTGCGCAATTTCCTTCTCGGTCTTCGATATGACTGGAACATATCTCTGTTTCATTACAGAAATCACGGCGCAGGTGCGTAGCTCAATATCACTAATGCGCTGAGCGTGCTGATTTCCATTACTACTAGACATCGGAAAGGTTCTGGCTGGAATCCAGGTTCCCCCATTAGAGAATGACGAGTTTGATGCATTCTTGAAAAAGCTCAATTACACGTATGTGGAAGAAACTGAGAATCCGGTGTATAAACGCTTTCTGCACGGTGATGAATAAAGTACAGCATGTTGTAGAAGTCTCAGAGAATGACGCCTAAACGGCCTTTCAACCATCCTTCTCTGAGGTATGCAGGGCAATATGAAATGCAGCAAGTGAAATGTCAAATATGCTCATGGTCTGAGCACCGAAAGTTAACATTGTGATGACATACGTCTGATGAGATACGCACATTCTAGCCTAATGATGTTTCTCCTCGACTTTCTTGTGGGCACTCAGATAAACATTGTCCGCGATCACATACGCTGTGAACGCGACTACGGCGATTCCAAATCCAGGGAACAGGTTCCGAAGGACAGTTGTCTTTTGGAAAACGGGTGACTTCCTCCAAGCATCTAGTTTTGCCCAAGGATCTCTGTACAGTGGAAGATTTGACATCCTACAAGTTACTTGAGATGAATGTAAGCAGAGCGATATATCAGGTACAACTTACTGGAGGTTCGAAGATGAATGTCTAAGCACAAGTTGTGAAAACGTGAGCCGCTGGCGGCAGAATTTGCCTATTCCGGCAATCTGCTGTGAGAATCCCGATAATTGGTTGGTCCGAGCGCTTCGTTGACCCAAACATTTTCGATGGCACAAGTAATGGGCCCTCCTTTGTCACCAAGAGAGACCCGACGTTCCGGTCGTCGCTCCGGACCTTCTCTTTCTAATTCTCACTCACCGGAATCGGACATCTCTCCTCGATTAAAAGAACCTGCTCAGCGACCCCCTTTAATTTCTACTGCTAGTGGAAGTAACGGTCGCCACAAGCGTCCCAAGCAAGAAGACACGGACGATCTGACTGAAGATCGAAAAAACGGCACTGCTCATTCGGTGTCGACGAGTTCCAATTCTTCTACCCAAGGATCTACCAAGTCTAAACGTAAACCAAAGGAAAAACTGCCGCCCCCAGAGGAAACATCAGATACAACCAAGCCACCTTTACTACCACCAGAAATGGCAGCATCTGAAGGACAGGAAGAAGAAGAGGAAGGTGGCATTACGCGTTGTGTTTGTGGAAACACTGGTGTGTTTTTTTTGTTTTATCTGTGTGTACAACATGGCCATTTATGTGATTTCGTGAAAGGAGAAGACGACCCGGATGCTGGTGAATTCATGGTTCAATGCGAGACCTGTAAAGTCTGGCAGCATGGATTGTGTATGGGCTTCGAGTCCGAAGACCAACTTCACGACGGAGATTATTATTGCGAACAGTGCAGACCTGATATGCATGTAGACCTCCTCAAGTGTGTTTTCCTGTCATCAACAATTATACAACGATGTTGACTTCACATATCAACAGAAAACTGTCTCGTCGACCACGACATTCGTCTGCAAACTCGCACCACACTGCGGGAGCGAATACTCGCTTATCACGTTCTAGGTCTCCTCACCCACCCACCAAATCACAACCGTCTAAGCGCCGAAACACCATGAACAGCGCGTTTGATGAAAACCTGAAGCAAATTCTCGAGACCACGGCAATTGAAGCTGGAGCAGATCCAGCCACCATTCACGTCAACGACCAGCCAACTGCTTTGGAGTCTGAAGAGCTCCCTGAAACAAATAATCGCAACAAGAAACGAAAACGAACAGAAAATGAAATGTTGGTTATTACACCTAACCTTTCATAAGTTGGCGCTGAAATTAATCACATTCAGGACCACCACAAAGAAACGCCGGTCAATGTCTACTACATCTGATCATCCACCTACTGTCAATGGAAACGAGGAAACGCCCGTGTTCTTGCCACCACCACCACCACCGCCTCCTGCTTCAAAATCCGGTGGTCGGAACAAACGGGGCGGTCGCAAATCTGCGGTAGTCCATGACGTACCCGTGGATAACGGCGACGGTAAGCGAAATACAATCTTCTGAATGTTCACAGAAGATACTCATGTGAGGCCCGAAGGTGTTGTTGTCCAACCTGCCGCAAACAAGCGTTCAACAAATTCGCATAGGAAAGGTGCTAAAGGAAACGCACGTCCATCCCAATCCCAGTCGAATACAGGAACAGGTCATGCTTCTGGTTCCCACGACTCTAGACGAACACAAGGCAACAACACCCAAACCTCCGTTGACTCTCGTGCATATCGCAATTCTCATGCGTATGTCGTCTCGCAACAACCTCTATACACGTCTTGGAATCTCCCAGACTACCTCTCTCATCTTGAGGAGATGCTTCCGACCGATGTACCGAAACCTCTCGAAGTTGTTGCCGGAGCCACAGGACGTGAAAGTATAGAGCGAACTACGGAACGGGGAGTGAAGGTCAAATGGCCCAGTAAACGAACAAGTGTAGCGGATATGAACAAAAGGGTTAGAGCTCTTGTCGAATGGGTTGGCAGAGAACAGGCTAGTGCTTCTGATCGAGCTAGACGTCACGAAGCTTTGGAGATTGCGCTGAAGAAAAATGCAGCGAATGCATTCAGAGGAAATGGCGCGTCTGGTGCTGGGTCATTTGATCGGAGTGTACTTACTGTGTCGTCCTTGGACCGCAATGCAGAAGGAGGCTCGAATCGGCCTGGCATTCCAGGTACCTCTTCGATGAAAGATATGGAGGCACTTATGGAAGAGTTGATCGGATTTCAGGAAAAATTTGGACCTGGGGCAAGGAGAGAACGTCGAATAGCTTCATAATACGGACAAATGCTGAGCACTACTTATTGTGTTCCCAGATAATGACAGTGAACTACAGCTTTGAAACATACTGTATATTGTTATTGTATCGTCGATGTATCTAGCCCTGTATTTTTTCTATCTCGGCGAATTAACGAACATTGTTGAATATGGAATGCTCAATGAATTCATTATATGATGACATATTTCATTTTAGTAACTAAACAAACCACCTTGAGTTTTTGATTCCTTCACATTACTTCGAGCTCGGGCTCAGGCAGCTGTTCGTTTCGCCACCCATGTCTTCCGAATTCCAATACCCGAATGGAGCTGGAAGCTTGCCACGAGAAGACTCCCTGAACCTCTCCGGCAGCGAAGACGACAATGACCACGGCGGAGACTATTCTACGCGTATGGAGGAGCTCTTCGCCGACGACGTGCAAGACTCGAATGGCCATTTGGAAGACGAATCTGACGATGACGGGGGCTTTCTTTACACTGGAAATGATGCGGATCTTTCAACGAGCTACCGAGACCAGCTCCGGAACGTCTTGGAAGACGACTCTGACGCCGAAGTTCATGAAGTAGAAAAATCCCTCATGGCAGAGGATCCTACAGAGGAGGTACCATCAGAAGATGAAGAACATGACCCTCTAGTATGCTTTTCTAACTGATTTTCGGTTAGATACTTATAATAATTGATATTAGGAAGTTCTGTCTGACCAAACACATTCTACACCAATCACGACCCCTCCAAGATTAACATCTCCACCTCCCGCAGATACACCTTCGAAGCTTGCGAAGCCTTTTCTCCATCCAACAGTGTCTCGACTACGGTCATATACACCTCAATCTTCCCGTGTACCATCCAACAGTAGCCTTGGAACAAATGCATTACATGCTGCTTCCCCTGCTCCTTCACATTTCTCCTCGATGTCACGCATGTCCTCCGTCTCAAACTTCCACTCACCCTCATCCGCTGGCTTCTCTGACTCTGCTGCTCCGAACGGTCTGCCCAAAGTCTCCGACCGTGATGTCTTCAAATGGACAGAACTCCGGAACATTAGTAACTATATATACTCTGCCTATTCGTCCAAAGCATCCTCTGTGCTCGGGACTGCGCTGGGCACTCCCACTGTTCTTTCGGCGAATGGGTTGATATGTGTTGGGACGGACGACGGAAAGATATGTGTTTATGACTTCAGGCAGACGTTGAAGTGTATCTGTTATAATCCTCACGCAGGTCTGTGGCTCCTCTTTTCTTCTTTACTCCCTCGCACTTTCCCTGACACCTTGATAAGGGCAACCCGTTGGCGCCGTCACTGCATTAGCGCTATCTCATGATCATACATACGTCGCATCGGGTCATTCCTCTGGATATATTCAATTATTCGACTTGAAAGTTCCGCAGACTCCTGCTCGCATCGTCGCACCCACAACACTCTCAGTCGTGGCTTCTGGACGTAAGGAAGGGCACATACAAGGGTCAAGGATTATCAGCATCGGCTTCGTGGCTGGAAGGCATACCGCTCTTGTTTCTGCGGATGACCATGGACTCGCCTTCTACCATAGTCTAGGCAAAGTACTCTTTGTCGAAGCGCCTGACATCCTTCGTATCCTAGGCAAATATCCCCTCGACGGACCGCTGGCTCCCGACCCATCATCTCCCCAACCAGAATCTCCAAGTACCCCAGTGGGAGGGAGAAAACGCTCGCGTTATACTATTCTGGCTATGATGCCTCTTCCACTGGGTACAACATCTCATCCTACCGATACATACCAAGCTGTTGCTCTATTGACTCCCCACAAACTCGTAGTCGTCGGTTTGAAGCCGACGCCAAAGACATGGTTCAAATTTGCTCGCGACGATACAAAGTCACAAACCAGAGTTAGGTCAAGAGGTACTCTTTGCTGGTTCCCGAGTATATTACCCAATACCAATAAGGACGGGGGATTACCACCAGTTACGGAAGAGCCCACTACACCACTACTCGCATGTTCATGGGGCCGCGTGATGCACATTCTCCGTGTATTCGAGTCGCGTTCCAGACAGCTTGTCCGTAATCCAAAGACAGGCAAGTCGATCGAACATGAAGTCGGAAGCATTACCTACCTCAATGCCGGGAAATGGACAGCAGATGAAGATATTCTAGCTATTCAGTGGCTAAATGTCAATGTGGGTTCGTTCGCTTCATGTTGTCCATCGTAGAAGTATGTACTCACGACGAAGCATGAATTAGCAAGCAATCGTAGTTTCTGCCTCGGCGTTGCAAGTGTACGACCTTAGTCGGACCAAGGTCATTGAGCAAATATCGTTCGATGGACTATCATTAATGTCGCCGTCGCTGCGGCTCACTGTATCAGGTGCTACTTCGTACTCTGAGTCCGTTGGTGATGTTGCACACAGTATACGGGTGTATAAGGGCAAAATCTTCATCCTAGTACGTGTTTTCCATCTCAGTCTCTATTTTTCCTGATGATTGGCAACAGGGGCGAGAACAAGTTCGAGTAGGCACACTCCTAACGTGGGCAGACAAAATATTAAGTTTTGTACAACAAGGCGACTTTCTCAGTGCGATAGACCTCACTCGGTCCTATTATACTGGGGAAGCTCCAGGAAATACTAACGGTCTCCCTGACGATCCTCGACTTCGTAAAGAAGTCATCGGGAAGAAGATTTGCGAGCTGATGACTGCCTCTGCCAACTATGCCTTTTCTGAAGACCGAATGACGGACGGAACGCACGACGGTCCTGACGGACGTGGAGTTGACCGAACATCGTTGTTTGAGGGTCTCGTTTCCACATGCGCTCGTGCTTGCATTGCTCTGGACGACTTCGATTTCCTTTTCGAAGACTTGTTCCAACTCTACGACGATCATTCCATCTCACAAATATTCCTCACCCAATTGGAGACGTTCATCCTGAATAACGAGATCCATTTTGTTCCTCCGCGTATCACACAGCGACTAGTGGCAATGCATGACAATAATTCCCGGCCTGATCTGGTCGAGCGTATCATCTGGCACATAGATGCAGAATGTTTGGATAGCAATCAGGCTGTACAAATATGTCAAGCTCACCATCTGTACGATGCTCTTATTTATGTTTATACCCGCGCATTGCGGGACTATGTTGCCCCTGTGGTAGAACTTCTAGGCTTGATTCGAAAGGTGAATCAATACCGACGGCACATCGCAGAATACACAGAGTCGTCGATGTCAGATATGGAGCCGGTTATCCTGAATGCCTACAAGATATACCCCTATCTCGCAAACATATTATCGGGTCTTACTTATCCTAGTGAACAGCCTCTCGGGGAGGAAGAAGCACTACAAGCCAAAAGGGATGTTTACACCTTCCTATTCTTTGGTCGATCGAGTGTTTGGCCTGAAGGCGGTGGAGGGAAGTTGGTTCTCACAGCCGACGAGGAAGGTGGTTTGGAGCCCACTTATCCTTATGTCCAACAATTACTACGATATGATGCCGAATCATTCTTGCATTCACTGGATATCGCTTTTGAGGATGCATATCTGAACGAAAAATCACCAGCAGTAGATCGTTTGGTTGTTGTCCGCATCTTGATGGACATAGTAGCCACCGGTAGCCTAACTCAGACCGACAAAACCTTCGTACATATCTTTATCGCCCGAAACATACCTAAATACCCGCAATTTCTCCAAGAGGCTATCCCGTTTTCGACTCTCCATAAAATCCTTGTCTCTCTCGCGGAGGATCCTGATCCCGATACAAGGGAAGATCGCCAATTGGCAGCAGAATACCTACTTTCGGCTTACAACCCACATAATGTTCCACACATGACGGAGCTTTTTAGGAAGGCTGGGTTTTTCAGAATTCTGCGAGGGTGGCACCGGCAAGACAAGCAATGGGGGCCTTTGCTTCTGACGTTTTTACAGGATCCTACACTCCCTTCTTTCGAGATGTTCCAAGATCTGGACGAAGTCCTTCATTCATCTACTCGTTCGTCTTCCAACACCCTTCCCCAAGAGCTGGTTGTCATAATACAAGATGCTCTACCTTCGTTGATACGGAAAAGTCCATCCAACACCGCACTGTTGATCGACAAACACATTCCATCCCTGCACGATCAAGCAATAGATTCTTTGGCAGAGAGTAGTGATGAAGATCGATTCATGTATCTCCATTGCCTTCTGGGGCCACCTGAAGAGGAGGAATACGCTCACGCTCACCATCCCTCCCGCAACCTTTCGCTGCCGCTTCGTCAGCTATACATAACGTTGCAGTGTCGGTTCCACCCAGAAAACGTCATTCCCATCATGCAATATCTACCACCTGACATACTAGATTGGGATCATGCCATTACAACTTGTGAGACTAATAAGGTTTTCGACGCAGCAATCTGGGCGTTAAACCGACAGGGGAAGCCTCTGGAAGCGCTTGCGAAAGCTGATGCATTTGACCAAAGCCTTTCACTAGAGCTCATCAATATCTTCCAGGCTGCTCCAGATCAAGTGTCCATTGCTGATGTTGGTTCCACTTTACGAAGCTTGGAATCGATTGGGCGAACTGGAATCTCTATGTGTATCGAGCAATCCCAAGATCCTTCAGCAATGGACATACCCCTCGAAGATATCTGGTTCAAACTTCTTCACAGTCAAATCAACTGCGTACAAACGATAACAGGCTCCTCCTCCCCTGAAGCGTTAGCTGCGGATATACATACTTCCTTTACCAGTGCGATTGTACAGTCCGAGTGGAGGGCACTTTCCACTCTCCGATCTCTAGTTCAAGAAACCTTTAGCGCTCTTGTATCGGTTACAACCACCCGCGCAGTATCTTTCCCGCGACTCTTCAATCGACTTGTGAATGCTGCTACGCATTCACAGGTAACAACCGGTACACAATACACTGAGTTTCGCAGTATCCTCACCGGAATGCTGGAGTCCTACCGTTCAGATGGCGATATGCTTATAATCACCAAACATCTCCTAGATAGAGACCTATTCGAGACGTTGGAAGATGCAACGCGGGAGCGTGTACGCGGTTGGACCCCTTCTAGAATCACCGACTGTTCCATTTGTCGCAAGCCTTTATTGAAGCGGTCTAAGGGTCAGCCTGATACGGGTGGTGTTTCCCTCGACCAGAGAATTGTCGTGTCTCGGACAGGCTCTATTTATCATAATCGATGTTCTAGTTCTTAGTATTATATGTGACCTTAGTAGTAGTAGTTATGACCTAAAAGTATGTAAACGATGATCTCTGGATGGATTGTCGTAAAAAATAGGAATCGCGCGAAGGTATAACAATTTCAGCGGGTATATTGACATTTCATCACATAGAGGCAATGCTATCAAAGCCTATTACGAAGTTTCTGGAGCTACGAAGGAACCCTCATTTAAAAAGAAGAAATGAAAATCAGAGTTAGACTTAGACTCACGGTCATTGCTTTGCACCAGATTACTCAATACTACGAAGGCTTCACTATCCCCTGGGATGATCCCCAGCGTTTCAGCGTCTTTTCTCAATGCTTCCACATCCAGTATTAGCCGTACCCGAATGCGTTCTTCATCTCTGCCCTCGACGTCTCTTGGATTGGCACTACCGAACAGTGAAAACGTCGTGTTTTTTGGTCCTCTTTTGAGGCGGCGTAAAGACTCCTCTGCTTTCTTCAAAGTTGAAACATGTGAAATATACCTTGGTGTTTTGTTCAATCAGACAGGGAGGAACACTAAGATTTTCACTCACTTCTCACAGACGTTCTCAAATATTTGCTTAGACCAAGGGTCAAGATACTCGGTCTTGAGAACAGCGCCAATTCCATCTTTTCCACTCAGACCAAAAAATACTTTTAGAGGTCGCAAGACAGATGTTATCCAGGGATGTGGTTCCGTCGGTAATTGCTTGTTTGCCTTGGCTCTAAGGTCTGTACGAATCTTTTTAACCGCATTCAGAGGGACAATACATCTCTCCGTCAACACTGCAATAACAGTGCTAGACATAGGTCTTATTAACGCAGATAAGGCGTCAACAGCATTTTCCAATGCATCTGTACTAGAAATTCAGTAATGTAATAACAATCTCCATGAGGACTGATATTCACCCAGCGATTTGCCGTCCCCATCTAGCTCATCCGGTTCGGGAAGCATTATGCATATTTCTTCCTGCCAGAGATTCATTGTACTGAATTGCAAAGTCTTGATGTCTGCGATTAAGCTGACATATCTGAGGAGCAGGGATTCGTCGGCGGAAAAGGCTTCCAATGACGGTCTTTCGGAAAGCCCTGGGGTAGGGGACCTGGTATTTGCTTCGGAAACCTGAGTAGAGATTGACATGAGCCCATAAAGTATTAAGAGTATGAATTTATTGACCTTTCCTGTGTTGATAGTATTGACGCTATTCAGAGAACCGTAATTAGTGTCTTGAACGACATCATTCAGCCAGACCCGGTATCGGCTCAGAAGCTTATGCGTGGATCAGTTTCATGCGAGACGGATATTCCAGATCACGCTACCTGGAGAGTCAGCCTCCAAAACCTATGACTCAATTCCGGAATATATATTTCAGCGCTCCAACAGGCGGTGAGAGCAACCCAGACAGACGTTGCCTGAGGAGTAATAAGGGAGTCGGCGGTCCCTACATAAGTAACGAATGAGAATGGTTGTTATGAGCAGAATGATTATACCCACCAGGAGGTTTTCCAGAAGGCTCGACAGGGAGTGCAAGAGCGTCTTCAACCTTGCTGACAATCTCCTTCCACCGCATTTGGAAATAGACGGGTAATTGCCAACGTTTCTCGAACATGGAATAAACAGGATGTGCCCTCATGCTCTGTACTGACTGTGCGGAGGGGGCCATAAATTCCAAAGAACGAATGAACGCTTGTGTGATCTCGTAATTCTTGCCAATATGATAGATAAATACAGTGAATTGGGACAGTGGCATTTAACTTACCTTCCGAAATTCATCTGGTCTACCAGAAGCAAATACAAAACCACCAAGATCATCCATAATGGCTTTTCCAAGCTCATTCCATATCACATTTGCCACAATGTCAAATCCCAAACCATCTCTCTTCCTTCCGTTCTCCGCGGTGTCGATTTGGAAAGGATCAGTAGAAGAGCGCGATTTGACAGAAACTTTTTCAGCAATATCCATGATACTGCTGAAGTCTCGTTCCACAAAACGAAGGATCTGGGTGTACAACTTTGCCAGGGGGTCATCACTATCGTCCAAAAGATGGGAATATGGTGATTTTGTCTTCCCAAGTGATGGAAAGGCGCTTTGTTGGGTGGAAAATGCAGTGAATGGTGTAAAAGGTGTTCTCGGGGGCATCGAAGAGGAAGAGTTTGAAAAACCCGATCCCATCGATGAACGAAACGGGGTGTGGGGTAGTAAGGGAGAGTGGGGAGCTGATAATGCACCGGTGAAAACAGTCTATGGTATCCAAATCAGACTCCGCCCATAACATAGTTCCGATTACATACCTTTTTTATGAACGGACGCATTACCTCTGATCGAAGTATCTCTTCTGCATCCCGCCACAAACCAAGAACATCGTACGTCCTGATACACTCTGTCAAGTCCGGCAATATTTTGTTCTTCTCCAACTCCGATAATTTTGCATCTCCTGCGATTGCGGAAAGCGTTGAAGCGAATAGAGCGTCAAGGTCTGATGACAGTGACGACTGTATTCGGTCAATTTTCTATAAAGTTCTTTCAGCTAAAAATTAACGCGCGCGAAGAAAAGGTCTCACAAACCCATTGAATCTCGTCGACAAATGCACAATTCTCACTGCGAGCCTTTGAGGCATGATATAAGAGCTGTGTGTACTCCGCCGCAGCACGATTTAGATGTTTTGCTTTGTTGGCCGGTGACCTGGGGTATTCGTTCAAGATTTATTTTTCGCGAATTATGAGACTTTGTACCTTTCATTGGTGTTCTCTGTTGTATTTGACGTAGCAGAAACCTTGAACTGCTCATATTCGACTGGCTCCTCATCTTGGCTAGGATTGGTGATGGAGAGTAACGATTCCAGACGTGTCACTGATTCTGATATCTTGAGTAACAGATGTAGAAGGGCCTACGTGTCGACAGTTATTTAATTTCCTGCCAGACTACGATGTATATGTACATCACCTTCTCCTCTCTTATAACAGTCCTTTGTTCCAGCTTGAGCATAATTTCATCTTGGATAGCGCGTAGTTCGGTTTTGGAAAGCTATGTGTGTTGAGTATCGGATTATATCATTATGCCGCTATAATTGATACTGCAACTTACCGATATCTCTGACTTGAGCGCGCCCAATGGTTGCTTCAGTCCGGTTAATCTCTCCCCCTCCCCTTTGAGATCAGTGCTAAGACTGATAAAGGCCTCATAGTCGTCGTTGATGAGTTTCACGAGTTCTTCCTTCAATGTCGCCAGATAATCCCTGAGTTCCGCGCGAAGATCCTGCAAGGAGGTATGTGACCTAGAGAGAAGAAATGCCTCGACATCGAATTTTTCCGCAGAAAGGAATGGGTTCTCATGTGAGAGAGGAGTGTATATTGGCAGGTCGTGACTGGAACCGTCTTGTGGATATGACTGAGCAGGATGGGACAGCTCCCTGGTAGCAAGCTCTTCCGCAAGTCGCTCCAGTTGAAACGGATCTGCAGAAGATGACGAGGAGGCTGCGGGGCTTAGGACGGACATTGTACATGGGCGCGTTGAACCTGGAGCGACTGGCTTAGCGCCTCGGCTCGAAATTAGCGCCATAATTTATGAATTATCTTAGATCCACTACACGCAATCGTCGACGTTACTTGTCTTCTCCGTTCTCTGCATCCTGTTCACGATCTCAAACTATGGCGGACGAGCGTAAGTGGAATAAAGTGGGCACATTAATTTCTTCACGTCCGACCATTTATTGACTGAATGATCAAGCTCAATGTGACGATGAAGATCTTTCACGAAGGGTTCAAGGAAGAATGCAAGTTCCCTTGAAATTTCCCAACAGTCTTTCTGTTTCTTATCCAAAACGCCGTCCATGCCAGTTAATGCATTATATGAAGTGGGACCACCTTTGCTACTTGACTTGGTTCTATACTGATTCCGAGTCTGGACGATGCATAGCTGTCCGACGGCTCCTTCAATAAACGAGGGTGGTCGCTGGGGACATACCTCGAGAATGCCAAACGCTTTGACTATCGTGTGTGAAGGGCAGATCGACGTTATGATAACGCCTCATAGCTTCAATGCATTCTAGACCTCACTATGCACCATACCATTGAAGAAGCATACATATTCCCCATACTAGGGAAACGAATGAAGCAGTTCTCCGAATCAGAAGGACTCCACTTGGAATCTCACAAGGGTATCCATGATGGTGTGTCTGACCTTCCATTTCAGAGACATGTAACCGAGCCAAGTTTTCATAGGCTTGGAACGACTCAAAACTCTTGTACAGCAGTACAAATCAGGACCACACACCTATAATCCCACCGAGATGCGGGCATGTCTTGACAGTTTTCGTGAAGTTTTGTTCTCCCATCTTGACCAGGAGGTACGCGATTGATCTTCTTTCAATCCTCTGCTTTTTGAACGACATCGAAGGTCGAAGATTTGCGAGGAGACAACCTTAAGAAATATTTCACACTTCAAGAAGTGGAAAGTATTCCAATATAGCTGGTGTCACTCAGTTAGCTATATCACAATTTTCGAAGGTCAATCATAGTATAATGTGCTTGATTGAACATACGACAATCTATCGCCAGAAGATCAAGGGTGGTCTCCTGTATCGTGTATGGAGAAAGCTTGAGAATGTTCAGCTCGTCGGGCATTGAGAAGTCGTAAGGTTCGAGGGATGCGGATTCTTTTGATGAACAGGAAGCACCACGAATAACCTTTTCCACGCCGCATGGCTTCGTCTGTAGACAGACGATATGAAGTACACAGGCGTGTAAGTAGCCAAGCCCTTGTCAGTACAATAGCCAGTCAATCGCGGAGGCTCTGGGTAATTTCGCTGTCTGGTCCATTTCATACCGATGTCTAGTCGGAAAGGAACAGTTCTGATCTTCTCACTGCAATCACCGTGGAGAAGACACTTCCGCCTTCTCGAAACAAGCGGACGTCCAGGGAACCGGTTCTTTCCAGCAATAAAGAAAAACAAACACAGGCAGAAATATCCATCTGCCCTATCGGACCTCCGTGGTCCTGTTACAGTATACCCGGTCTAATGCTGCCAATGAGGATGGACATGCCACACCCTTGTCAAATATTGAGGATCCAGTGAATTTTTTAGATCTGGCGATCCAATTGAGCGTGCTTTAACGGCCGCGGCGGACCTCAAGTGCTCAAATTTTAACCGCAAAATGGTCCTGGGGTCAAATTTTCGTCAAGAACATGAACTTGGCACTAAACGCGAGATAAAGAGTAGCTTTCAGGGTATTGTTCGCTGTTCAACCGCTCTACCTTTGGTCACTCGAAAGTTGGAGCGACGTTTGAGATTCGGCAGCGACTCGCAATCCTATCATAATTATGAGTACCCATTTTCAGTCGAGGTTTGTAGGGTATGTGGTATTGGTGATTGAAGGACTGTCTGCACCTCCGTCTGCCACTTCGGTCTGATTTTCGGTCAGACCTGAAAGAGGCATCAAGGAGCCACGGATGCGAAAGAAGGCTGACTCAACTCCTTTCAATTCGTGATTATATATAGAGAAACTGGCCAACCGACATTGGAGGACCGCGAAGAGTATACACTCCATAGGGCCGTTGACCTGCCGTTGACTTGGACAGTTTCTTGTGTACCTCTTCACCAATAGAATCGCCTTTCAAAACCGGCCAAGAGATTCTTGTTTATCGCAACACTTACGTGAATGGACATATCTGTAATGATTTTTTGTGATGATTTTTTCCCGGTAAAACTGAGAGCCAAGCTTGTTTGACAATGCTACCCATACATGGTTGTTAGTCGGTGATTATTGCCACTCCGTTGCAAATCTTTCTTCAAGGGTCAGTCAGTTATTAAAACTGTGCAAGTGTACGGGCCTATTTTGACTCAAATGTGATATGAGCCCTGACCTTTCCACCTTTGTAAGTATGTACTGCAAGGCTCCTGCCCGAGTGCAAGTATATCAGATTCGTAAGCTTGCGCCTTGAGATAAGCAGTAAGGGCCGTGATTCCAACGGTGTACACAGGCTCACCGAAGCATATTCTAGCATATCATAATCAAAAAAAAATAAGTAAACAATAAGGATCGATAAGAAAGTGATAAGAGGTTGTTCCTCCTTCTCTGCCTATCTTGCCCTCCTTTGCTTGAGTATCACTGATTGCAACCTCGAGATAGAATTTGTTGTTCAGCATGCATTGTGTGCTACTCAATGGATAAAGGGATAATTAATTCAAGAATGGACAGCCAGTGAACACACCCTTTGAGCTCAAGCGGGCAGCTGCTGAAAGGTCCAGAGGGTTTTCTTGGGTAAGTCAAGAAAGTGCTAAATTGCACAAAGCAGATGAAGGAACCACCCCGATTTAGGCACAGACCGCCATGCGATCATCAATTTCATTCCACCGACTTCCTTTTTGGGACATTTGAAATTGCTCGACTTCTGGAGCTGGTTAAACTTTCGACTAGTCTGCTGGCCAACAGTTACTCGAAGAATGTATCTCTCTGCTGCCGCTCGGCCACATGTTTCGAGCAGGCATTGACGAAGCTTAGATTTGATTCTCTATGATAATAGCTCGCTTACGTGTGGAGTCGTGTGTGGAGCGACATATTATACTTAACTTTTCACGTTTCACGCCTTAGGCTCCACTCCTGTTCCAAGTCTTTGTACAGAAATGGTACGTCTTTTCGCTATGTTCTCTGTATGTACATAAGCCAAGGATTTCTACTACAGGTGAAAGATTCAAAGAACAACACTATTATCCCGTTTCAAGTTGCTGACCTTCCTGTAGAACTTATCAGGTCGGTCTTCCATTTATGAATTATACTTCGAGCAATCGATTCACATCATATAATCACAGAGAGATCCTTGAGTTTGCTGCATTCTCTTGTAGCAAAACATCACTCGCCCTGACTTTTGTGTCTTCAACGTTCAGAAGGTGGACTCTGCCCATTCTCTACAGCACTGTCGTCCTTCGAACTGCTAGTGATGTCAAAAGTTTCTTGCATGCCCTGACATCTTCCTACACGCCCAACTCTCCACTGATACATACTACCCCACTTTCTCAGAATGTGAAGCATCTTGCTATCTTCGCACTTGGTCCCCTCCAATTTATCGAAAAAATCATTACGTGCTGCTCGAACGTGCAGAGTCTGGCGTGCGGGTTCTCCTTGACTAGCTATGCCTCCATCAGGCTAAAGCTGACTACTACCATTATTGTCGAAGTACCTCCTCAGACGCAAATCAGAGAACGGCATCTACTTGGACTGTCTTGTCGCGACTCAATACCATTTTCCCTGCTCAGCCAAGATACCACTCATCTACATGTTCAGATATCCTCGCTGCAGGTCCTGCTGTCTCTTTTGCAAATGCATAAACAGCTACCAATCCTGTCCCACTTGGCATTGAGAATACCATCCACCTTACTTGCGACGCGTCACTCAGCCTCGCTCTTTTTTAAAAGTCTCCAAGAGTACAATGGGAATCTTCGTACGATCCTCGTACTGATCACAGATCGCTCAGAAGCGTTCTTCGATGAATGGGATGTCGCAAAGAGTATGTTAGATGCGAAAATTGTAATCGAACGGGCCTCGGGCTCAGCTATTTCGCAATGGGAAAATCAAAGTGTGATAGGCAAGGGCAGTCTATGGGCTTCCGCCGATGCTGAGGTGGAAAGAAGGATGAGAAGTGACGGTGCTCGCCGCGAACGAAGCTTGATTATGACATGAAAGAAATACAGTTAGATCTCCCAAAAGTACTGATATCCATATCCATGTCTTTATTTATCACTTTGTGTGGTCTCGTACTTGGATAGGATAGGAAAGTTGAATTGGTGTCGGGGTTCAGGCGGTTAGGTAGTATTACGGCATCTACCTTTTCCTTTTATACTGCTCCAATCTGGCTCCAATGTCGGCCCAAACTTCAGATGTTGTACCACCAGTGAATCGCCATAAGCTTACAGCGGTTGAGCGTCAGCGAGCTCAGCTCGACAAACTGCTCAAGGATCCTACCAAGGCAGCGTATGTCCCTCCACCGCCAAAAGAGAAGACCATCCGCCCTGCACGAGAAATGATGAAGAATGTCCAGGGCTCCAGCGCCGGCGCAGGTAGCGGAGAATTTCATGTCTACAAAGCAAGCAGGCGGAGAGAGTATGAAAGAATAAGTTTACTCGAAGAAGCAGCTCGTAAAGTCCGTTCATTATTTCACCTACCCTCTCGATTCAAACACTGACATTTATATACAGGAGGTTGAGGACGCAGAGTTCAAACGGAAAAGGGAAGAAGCAGAGGCGAATGCAGAGGCAAAGACTGCGAAGAACCGAGCCAAACGCCAGAAGAAGAAAGGAAAAGCGAAGAATGCTGGTTCGGAAAGTACTCATGGAGCAACTTCTTCACAGAAGGAAGGTGCGGATGGAAATGTCATTCCATTCAAGAAGAGGAGATTGGTGAATGGACGCGAGTTGGTGTTTAGGAAACAAGGGGAAGATGGAGAAGACTCCGATGAAAATGAAGATGAACAATCCGTCCCAAACCACCCTGCGACTGAGGCCTCCGATCCGCCGTTAGGCATGAGCGCTTCGGATACGAGGCCACCCCCGGTAGCTCCTTCGAAGATCGTAATTCATGAGGACGATTAATTCTCTCAGTTCCTCTGCGCTCATGCTTTTTCTTCCTACCAAAAGTCGGGTCAAAGTGGTGCATCTATGCATCAACCCCGGGAAAAGCAATCAGGTTTCGTCTTGGCATAGCGCTTGTATCTTGCGTATGGGTTTTTTCGTTGTGGAGTGATAATTGTATCTGAATGTAATTTACAAGGCTAAAAGAAGACCTCAAACAGTTGATTTAAGATTGGCATAGTCTGAAATTTCTCCGTGTGATACCGACCCCCCAGGCATATTGTTGACCTGGTTGCTGTGGTATCAGCAATTTGCCGTACCAGGTCATATCTCAATACTTTTTGAACGTCCTACAATTCAGTCTTCAATGCTCTGATGACCTCAAAGGTTGTAAGACCGGTCAAAATGCATATGTTCCAGCTCCATTTTCATCCGAAAGTGTTCCGCCAGCTTTAAATTAAACCGAGAATCAACCACTGTGCAGTCCAGTCTTAGCTTGCCGAGACTCCTTTATTGGCCTTTAATATGGAAAGGTTTGGGATATAAGAACTCGTTGAAAGTTTAGTGTCTTGCTATCGGTAACAGACCATGCAGCTGTCTCTTGCTCTTGCTTCCTTGGCCGCTGTCGTGTCGCGTCTTCCCCAGGTAATTTCAATCTTTGTTCAATAGCATGTAGAGATTAACTCGAAGCTGTAGGTCTCTGCCCACGGGGGCGTCCTGTCCTATAAATTTGGTTCTGCAACTTATCAAGGGTTCGTAGCACGAGTACGATATCTACGTCTTTTCCTGAATTTCCTGTAGTTTTGTACCCTACAACACGCCCGTAGGACAGAGCTCTATCCAAGTAGGTCAATTGGTATCATTATTCAATTTCTGGGGCTCAAGATCTTGGGTCACAGCGCGAATGGGACACGGTATGAGAACTGAACAATTTTCAGATTTTCAAAGACCTTACTGACATTTCATTAGTATAATCCTATCACAGGTACATTTCTTACCATATCTCTCATCCGTCATTTATTTAAAAGCTGAGTGTTCAGACCCTACTGATCCAAGCCTGTCCTGCAACATCAACGGCGCGACACTAGCAGAACAACTGTCGGCCACCGTCGCTGGTAAAAAAACTTATATATCCATAGTTTGTAATGTGTCTCATTAACGTCGATGCACTGGCAGCTGGTACCCAAGTCACAGCTTATTGGAATGCTTGGCCACATACCATCGGAGTCAGTACTGACTCACCTTCATAAAAAATTCTTCGTGATCTTTAATCTCGTCCTTTCCAGCCTGTCATGGTCTATATGGCGGCTTGCCCTTCTGGCTGCACTAACGCCGACACATCCACTCTGGAGTTTGTGCGTACTACATCCTGCTCCATATACTATTCCCTTATCGGAACCTGGCTCCTGGTCTCAAAATTAGTTCAAAATTGACCAAGCCGGTCTCATTAGCGGTGATCTTGTTACAGGCCTATGGGGCATGGGAGAGCTCGTCCAGAATAACAATTCTTGGTATATATCGTTGAAATTGTTGTTTAACATGCAGCATTTCATTCTCTCCTAGGACTTCCACTATCCCAGCTTCCTTGGCTCCTGGAGAGTATATGATCAGACATGAGGTGTGTGAATAAATCAGAGCGCGAAATCATGCCTATCTTAATTACTTGAAAAGTTGTTGGCCATCCACACCTCAGACCAACCTCAATTTTACCCGGAATGCGCTCAGCTCATCCTTACTGGAAGCGGAACCTCCACACCGTCTAGCTCGTACCTCGTCACGTTCCCTGGTGCCTACTCTGCCTCTGATCCTGGAGTCACCATTGATATTTATTCCAACGAGAATGAGACTAACTACACCATTCCCGGGCCCGCTGTTTGGTCCGGATGAGATGTACGAGCATGGGTGTCCAACGTGTATCGTAATTCACAGATAGCAATTGCGTTTCTTTTGTCTTTATCTTCTCAAATATCTTCCAGATTTCGGAGATTCTACATTTTCAAGAGCGTCGTTCAAGTCGTATGTAGTTTCTTAGTCTGAATTACTTACATACTGTACTTATCAGCGCTTATTTATTCGCGAAATTTTTCCCAACTATCACAATGGAGCGCTCAGAATCTGAAGAAACTGTACACATCTTTACTCAACTCGGCGAATATCTGATTGATTCTATCCTACGTGGAGAATCCATCGATGCAATCAAACTCATCGTGCAAGAAGGAGCTCCACTTTGGTACCAAACTGAAAGTGAAGGAATGTCTGCCCTCCATGCAGCAGCTTATATGCAAAACACCGAGCTCGTTCAATATCTCATTGACGAAGGGGCCATATGGAACTCTGGTAAGCTGCTTTCGCGTATACAAGAGTTTAACCTGTGATCTGACATCGACTACAGTGGATAATCTCAAATATACTGCGGCGGACGTAGCCCTCTCATTCAACAATGAAACCATCTACACGATTATACGAAATGCGGGGATCCGAGCTGGTGAATCAGCTTCGATGTTCTTCCTCGTCCAAGTAACTCTGAACATCAGGCATTCGCAGAAATGCTGCTCACCTTGCTTTCCTCGCGTTCCGAGATTGAGGAACCTTCGTCTCTCATGATCCGATCCGAAGACGAGACTGCAGCTGCATCGACGAATGCTTTCCTAAAATCAAGACTGAACTTTATCAAGGATAAAAATGGTCAAGAAATATGCGTTGTGAAAGTGGGCGATGAAGAGATTGGTGTTATGATGGGTTGGGAACAGGGAATTATGCAGGAGACTGTGAAGAATTTATGTGAAGATCACCCGTCTTCAGATAATCTCAAGGTCTTGAACATTGGATTCGGTCTGGGCATTGTATGTGTTTTCTTCCCCCGCTCGTGACTCGGACAGGTGATAACTCTTTCGTAGATTGACACCCTATTTCAAGCTCTTCCTACTCGTCCAATTACTCACTATATCGTGGAGCCGCATCCCGATGTGCTTCAGTATATGAAAAGGCTAGGGTGGTATCAAAAGCCCGGCGTCAAAATCCTCGAACGGAAATGGCAAGACTCGATACAAGATCTATTGGAAGTGGGTGGCTTCGATGTGGTGTACACTGATACTTTCTCTGAAGACTACAACGCACTTCGTGGGTTCTTTGAGCATCTGCCCGACTTGCTCGCAGGTCCAGAATCCCGATTCAGTTTCTTCAATGGCTTAGGCGCGACCAGTGAGTTTCCATACCTACTGGAACTCATTACGCAAATTGAGTTCTTCACATATCCTGTCCAGATGCACTGTTCTATGATGTGTATACACATCTTGCTGAGCTCCATTTGGCCGATGTTGGTATCGATGTGTGTTGGAAGGACGTCATTGTATCCGACGATAAAAATTTGGACCGCTGGGGTAAAACTAGAGAATATTTTCTACTGCCTTTGTACCGACTCCCGATAGGTCGCATGTCGAATTTTGTGTAAATCAGAACACGAAGTTGATTGTTTACATTCATTAGAATGCAGTCTGTGCACAGTTGATGCTGATATACGCTGATATACGGCAACTGATTTAGGGTTGCTAGTGCTACATACTGTATCCTTTATTATATTTGTTTCATCAACGTGATGCCAACCAACCTTTCTCTCCTTTCATTGTGTCCACCTTCTCTATTTTTTTCCCTTTGTGTTCATCCTTCCTTTGTGTTCATCCTCCCTGGTGGTACCCTCTTAACTTCGACAGGATCGATTCTTCCAGTTAAAACGTTCTTATTCCCTTCCTTCTCCAACTGTGCCCGCTAGCGGTCACTCCGAAAGACGCCTGTACGAGTAAATTTTACTCTCGTTGACGAACATGGACCCTGGATATTCCACTGCATATTCTGTCCCACATAGAACTGCTGGTGACATTGTGCTCGTGCGTCAATGAGTGTATTATCTACGAATTTGATCTACTGACTTGGCTTCAGTATCTGTCTACAAACCAACCAAACCCACCAGTTCCGTTTGAGTTGCAGGACCAGGTGCGTCGAAGGCTTTTTTATAATTTTAGCCATCCCATTGAATCCTCATCTGGTTTAGATGACTCCTGCAGTTTGGTTGACGCGTCTCACTGCGCTTGCCAACACCGCGCAACGGTATTCGAAACCGTGGTTCGAGAGAATTTGGACCGTCACTGGGATTCTGTATGCCATCGATTTCCTTTGTTCATGCTATTGAGCTAATCATGATCAATTATGTAGAGCTTCGCTTATTCTACCTGCGGTACTGTACAATGTCATTTACAACCACATGAATGTGCGTGGTGCAGACGGGAATGTTGACTTCGCTCGCTTGTCCGAGGTTAGTACATTCTGATTCTGCGAGATTCAAGCATCTCAAGTGTCACTTTCTTTTCTCTCCCAGAGTCGAGTAAGTACATGGAAGCAAGGTTTTCGGTTCCGATGATCTGATAAAATGGTTCAATAGATGATCACATTTGCCTTGTTTATTGGAGTCTTCTTATTCTTCTTCACTCCAATAGCAATTTGGAAGTTCATCGTGCGTTACTACAGGGCTTAAATACCGATGCCATTTTCACTGACGATTGTTGTGTAGGGCCGCAAACAAGTGGATAGATTGGTGAGTAAATGGAATGGGGCCGATAGAATGAATTATGGCCAAAACGCTTCGTCAACTTGGAAAGCGCAGAGTCCGGGTATTTTTAGGAATAGTACAGTACGTCGAACGTGTTGCCACTTGACGATGGTCGATGATCATTATTGGTTTTTTTCGTAGATCCTTACCATAAGCCTCCCTGCAAGCATGAAACCGACCTCATTTCATCCCAATGCTTATCTTCCATCTTACATCAACGGACCCATTGACCCAGATGCCAGTTACTACTATCCTTATAAATCCGAGCCAGGGCTCCCAAGGATGAGCGTTATCGGAAATGTTCCATTGCATATTGACGAGAAACGGGGATTTGAAGACTCTCGAGTTTAGTCGGATTGAGTTCGACTGAACAGTCTAGAGATGGAATGAAACTTGTCTCTGAACTTCGAAGTTTTCGTGAGGAAATGAAGTAGCATGTACCATGTATGTAGTAGTAGATGTCAGATGATCAAGGAATTTTGAGCCAGCGACCACGTGTTCAGCGCTCCTTCGTCAATGACCATTTATAGTCTGTATATCTATGATAGGCGTGTATCACTTGTACTCAGCTCCGGATTACTGACAATGATACTTCAACTTAGGCATTGTACCTGCGTGTATTATCATGATTGGCACAGAACCCGTCGCCCAAAACTTGCCGTAGAAGGAGGCATCCTTCCGGCAGTTTCGCAAGCAGTCGTTGCTCTTGCCGCAGAGACTAATTCCTCCACGCTCACAATATATTCAAGTCCCAGAAACACCTTGACATCTGCTTCAGGTGTCGTTGTCGCTGTCAACGAAATGAATGCCCAATCCGCAGTCTCTCCATTACTGCAAGCCCCTCCATCTCCGGTTGGGATATCGAGCACCGGTTTAGCCTTTGATGAAGAAGTCAAGCTTGTGTATGGCGTCGTACTCTCTCTTCGGAATATGATCAAGAAGCTGTCCGGCAGGTACGGCGCAACGTCTATCATTTCCCGCATACTCCGTTCACCGCCAATGTATTCAGAGACGAGCAATTCTTGAACTATAGGACCTCCGCCTATAAGCTGCATTTGTTCGAGACCCTTTCCGGATACAAGTTTGTGATGTTGAGCGATCCCGGAACTGAATCTCTGCGATTTGTCCTCCGTCAGATATATGTCGGGCCTTTCCTTGAATATGTGGTCCGAAATCCCCTTGTCAACATGGATTCGAAGGAGTACGGCATCGATAATGAATATTTTCGCACCAGTGTAGACCGTATGATCAGAGGCTCGTCGTTCTTTCCTTAACACCGCTGTTTAAGTCAATAAAGATACTGAAAATCACTAATATAATGTACAAGGATAGTTTCATCTATGCAAGTGAATGGTGCTCTAAGGCTCAACAGCGGAAACTTCCTGTTTTTCGAACTGTCTCCTTAACGTGCTCATGAGAGAAGCCTTCATCTCTTGCTCTGGCGCGCTTTCCCCTTTCTCATCGTCTCCGGCAACAGCCTCGTCCAAAGCCAACTTCATCTCGCTGAGTTTCAGCATATCTTCTTCAATGGTTCCTCGCGAGATCAACTTGACAACTTCAACGTCCCGCTTTTGACCTATTCGGTAAGCACGATCTTGAGCTTGACGATCATTATGTGGATTAAAATCTTGGTCAAACCTGCGGGGTTGGCCAAGGTCAGCCCGAGTTACCATTAGAGGATCAATAGCACCAACATGATCACGACTGAGGCGGCAGTGAGGTTGATTCCCATTCCTGTTGACGTTGGATCGTAAGAACAATTGAAAACAGGAACCAAGGTTAATATGTACGGACCGCCGGCTTTGGTAGATAGTAAAAAGATTGAAATAGATTCATCTTCAGTGAATTCGTCTACCAGGGACTGGCGGACGTCGACAGGCGTCGAACCTGTGAGAACAAGGTATCGAATATCTCTCTCCTTCAGTATGACTTCGAGAATATCAAGAACTTGAGTGAACTGATAAGGACATCAGCCATTGCCAACGGACAGAAGACAGACAGGAGGGACTTTACTTGGGAGAAGATTAGAATTTTTCGAGCCTCCTTTTGGTATTCCGCTAAAAGGCTCAAAAGCATCTGAATTTTGCCCGAGTCCAGGAAACAATCTGATGGTTGTCCAAATTTACGAGTGGACTAACAGGAACGGTTTGAACATACAGACACGGAAAAGCCAGTGGGAACTACCTTGTACAAGCCACAAAAGTGCTGCAGCTCGGCATCTGTCATAACACTCATGTCTTCCTTGACAATATCGAATAATGCACCGCGTTTCTTGAAGTCAGGTTCCTTGAGAAGCTGCTTTGTAATAGAGCTCAGGATATCGTCGGTAAAGCGAGACCTGAAGAGCATGGGATGAAGGGCCGCTTTCCGTAGGTCCATCAGAACATTGGCACTGTTCTCGAGATACTGTTTCTCCTTGGCCTTGGCGGGAGGACGAGTCTTCTTCGGCGCCTTGCCTCGCCCATTTGTATCCGAAGTCGTCGCCGAATCGACAGGAGTTTCGGATTCGAGGACCGTTTTCCGAGAGCGTTGCAAAGTGTCATGGTAGATAGATTTTTGTAGCGGCGTGATTTCGCACCATTCGATTCGTTCCGTTTTCTTTGGCAGATCTTGGAGGACCTGGAAGCACGGACTCAGCTGGAGATATTGAATCTTTATTAAACACTTAGTGTTTACCTGGTCTTTGCGTCGACGGAGAACAAACGGTGTCATCATTTTCTTTGCTCTAGACACGCGTTCTCGGGCGAGGAGACTAGCTTTAGAGTCACCTTTAACCTTGAATATTTGTCGAAGATCATCCAGTGCGTCTCCAAATTGATTCGGCAAGATGAAGTTCATTAAAGACTGTTATCAGGCTATGAGAATACTGGTAGATTATGGAAATCAGGGCATCTTACCACAAGCTCTTGAAGGTTGTTTTGTAGAGGAGTTCCGGTGAGTAGAAGGCGCCATCGAGACTGGACCCGAAGCAGAGACGAATAGCGTTGGGATTGGAAATTTTTGAGCACATGTCCTTCATCGAATACACAGCACTGAAGGCTTCATGAGGACATGGGTAAAGGAGGAACAATGTAGCAAACATACATCCCATTCAATGCGCCGGAAGAATTTTCGATCGCTATCTCCCTGAGCCAGGTTGTACGTTGTGATGAGAACGTCCCAGCCGTCATCCTCGCTCCCTGTCATTGACCTCCTGGTGTCTAGAAGGGTCTGACGTAGTTCCACTCGTTCATTCTTTCCCCCGTAATATACTTGGACCGAGACGGAGCTTGCAAACCTGGCAAACTCCCTACACCAATTTTCCAGTGTGGATGATCTGTAATATCAATCTAGAAATGAGAAAAGATAGATGACAATAGCAATAGCTAAAACGTACGGCACGACAATGAGATGGGGTCCCTTATTCCCTCTTTCCCGGAGCAGTGCCAAGAAGCTGATAACTTGCACAGTTTTGCCAAGTCCTATTCAAGACGTGCAGCATGCTTGTCAGCCAACTGATTTCAGGATAGAAATTTTCTTCACTCACCCATCTCATCAGCGAGGATGCAACTAAAATTACTTCGATAGAGAAGATGAAGCCAATTCAAACCCAGAAGCTGATAGTCCTTCAGCTTCACGCTGTCTGATAGAGATGCAGGCTGCTCGGAGATATATCCTTTAGGTCTGTGTTCTTTGAACGAGGGCATTGTACGTAGATTGAGGGCGCCGTCTTCGACCGATTCCGGTAGCGTGTCAACTTGTTTTCCTTTGCCTTTGAACGGAATAGTTGTCCAGGTTGCGATAGAGGATTGCAACTTTGCACCGATCTCTTCACAGCCCTCGAGGATTTCATCGACGGCAGTGTATCCCTTGAATATTTCAACGGCCTCGTCTATCAAACGAGGGCTCAGCCCAGCAGGGCCAGCTTTTTTCTTGCCCTGCCCCAATTTTGTATTTAGATCGTCGACTGACTCGAACTCCCGAAGATCAATGATAGCTTGTGCCTGTACTTGAGTACAACCTATAACACATTCTGAATTGCGCGATAAAGAATGGATCGAGAATAACATACCAGTTAATTCCTGAAGAGCTTCTGCGCCTTGGGTGTTGAAAAAAGTTAATACCCGAAGCTCATGGTGAGACTCCTGCCTACTGCGTTTATGCGACCGCTCTTCCTCGCTGTCATCCATTTCCACGTCCGAATCGGAATCAACTATCATGTTCTTGTTGCGCTTCCGACGAACAGGCTGCGACATGGCAGGAGATTCGGCAATCAGGTCAATGGGAGGATTTTTGACCGAAGGGGTTGCAGGAGGCGCTACCTTGGACGCATTAGGCCGGTTGGCGTAGATCGAAGATTTTTTCGACTTTTCTTTCATGGCTGCCAGCTTTGCCTTATGAGCTTCTTCGAGGCCATCGACTTTACCGTGGATCCCAGTTGATGCTTTCAAAGAATGAGACGGAGAAGATTGTAGAGGTGTAGAAGGTTTCGGGACCCATGAATCATCGGAAGCTAGCTGTGTAGCCAAGCGAACGTCTTGTTTTGCATGCAGCCATGCCGCCCTCACTCGGTGAGACGGTACGCCAGGCATGGTCATATTGAATCGTACGAACTTCGGATCTAAGAAGATATCGGCAGGAGGGCTGGAAAGCGGAGGTTCCGCGGAATCAGCGGGGCGACCTCGAACAAGACGTGTTCGAGACGAAGATTCGGGCGTGGATTCTTCGGAAGATGTAGAGCCTGCATCGAGTAGCGTACGACGCCTCTGACCCGGACGTTGGATGCCTGGTGAGTCTGGTGATCGCGCGATGGCCAGATTGGACGGAGCATCGCTGAGGTTTGGGCGTTTTCTAGGTAGGCCACTTTCGCTTTCTCCTGGGCTGAACGGCCGTACGTTGGAACCTCTCTGGAAGTTATTTTGGGACGTGAACCCACTAGATACGCTCAATGGGTCATAACTAGGCGCTAGTTGCGACAAGTTCCATGATCCAGCGAGAGCTGCCCCATTGCGAAATGCCACGTCAGGCCAGCGAGGTTGAGTATAGGGTTGATTGGGGTTGCGATTTACTGGGGAGTTTAAAGGGCTTGAGCTAGGAACCAGTACTGTGTCGTTTGGAGAGCCGGGAGTCTGCGGAAAATAGCGTGAAGAAATTGTGGCATCCCGCGACTGCGCCGGCGGAGCCGGGTAAGACGACGACGACGACAAAGAGGTTAATGGAGACCCAAGGATTTTTCCCTGCTGTCGTTGAAGTCGTATGCGGTCCAATATATCGGCTCTCTGAAGTGGGAGAAGAAAACATGCGGAAACACCGCTATCAACGACAATTCTACGATAAAACGAGGTTAACCATGTACCTTGGCCGCCTGATCTGTCGTCGACATCGTCGACTAGTCAATACTCAGACAAGAAGAGTAGATTTCAAAGATAGATAGAGAGCGAGCAGTATAGAATAACCGACTCGTATATGAGATGATAATGTTACAGTGCCAAACTCTAATCTCAAGTTCAAGTCGGAGAGTGAATTGTGGTGGCAAATAAAGCACGGTATATTCACATAAATGAGACTACAATAGCGAAAATGGACTACGCCTGACACCACAGAGTATAGGACTAAAACTCCCTCCACCACACATATCGTTCATCGTAACACGGAAAAGAAACCTCATTGCATACACAAGGTAGGGCGGCATAGCTTGACCGAAGTTGCGACGTGAGAGAGAAGGCCGACGATGAAGGGCGAAAAGGTACAACATAACCGTTATATATGACTGGGATGCGTGATCGGGTTATGCAGAACCGGGTCCACGATAGAGAAAGCAGTACTGAAGCGAACGACGGACCACGCTTGAGGACCTAATCGACAATCGCGTGATGAGAGAAGTTGGAAACCAGGATAATATGCCGGAATTGCAATTGAAATAAACGATTCCATCTATGATTGAGATGCTCTATCACCAAGATTGAGCAGCGTACATGAATAAGTCCTGAACGACGCACCGACGAAAACATCTTGCTTGTAATACCCAGAGAACGACATCAACTGCGGACAGGTGGGGGATAGACCACTAACGGTGTTCAGAGGGAGAAGGGATGGTAGGGATGGCCTGGATAAATCATTGGCAATCAACTAGAAAGCTGGTCCTTGCGCATAAGTAATGCTCCTCGATGTACCTTCAACTTGAGGTTCAAAGATCTAAACGTGAGTATCATCCGATGAAACTTGTAAACAACGTAGATATGTTTCAAATGGGTAAGAAGCCCAACCTAACCGCAATTCTGTAATAACCTCTGCTTGCGCAAGTTTCATCTTACCCCCTGCGGCCATTGCATTTGTGGGTTACAACTGCATGAAAATTGATCGAATATTGATCTTTGAGCTGCATTTGAACGGATTTTGATTAAGAAAGAGGTTTTGAAAGTACTGAAAAAAACTGCAAAAGTAACCGGAACTGCATTTCCTATGCAGACAAGAAAAGACATTATGAGGGAGAAGGAGGAATAAGGTCACAAAACATGGAACAATAAGCATGTTGTTCTGGGTATATTTCAAAAAGTGAGATATTTGAAAAATGAACCGTCGTAGCTTCAGCGAGATGGAGGTTTCGGTTCAACGTGCATCTCCATTGATGTGGGCTTATATAGTCCCGGGCCTGAGGCACGTGTCTCTTAATCCGGCGGTATTGCCGATTGTGCCGAGCAGCGCAGCGGCACATGCGTATACACCATTGGCATAAGACTCAAGTAGTACCTCACCTTCTCTTACCGCCATCATGTTGGGAGTGGGTGAAATTATCACGCTTCTAGTATCACTTGCTATCTCTTTTGCAATATTTGTGCCTCTTACGGGTGTTTTGGTCAGGTACGCTCAGTTGCGCCCACGAGCCTAGTCGAAACTCTCATCCATTAGCATTGGCGTAGGTTCCGAGCTCAGTATAACCCTCGTGGGCTTCAGCTCGATGTTGAGGGTACACCACAGCCACATACAGGTCAGTTCCATTCTTAAGTAGGTATGATCTGGATTTGTCTGAAGGGACATGGATAGGCCCAGTAATACGAAGTTATTTTGCTATGATGAAGAGGGTTTATCGGATTGAGGGATGGGCTGGTCTTTACAAGGGACTCAGTAGGTGAAAATCCACTTTTACCTGGTGACCAAACTCACTATTACTCAAGTGCCGACTCTCCTCAGCACCTTGTTTGTGACTGGGGTTATCCTCACTTTCATGGATACGCCCAGCCCATCGCATGGCAGATACCACGCTCCGAATACGTCGCTTCTTGGCACACTTTTTTACAGCATCATCATGATGCTCATCTCGCTCCCAACTTCAATCATCACGTATCGGTACGCCAAATTTGTCTCGGAATGTGGTTTAGGGCTGATGGACATTGTAGTTCAATCACTACGCCGTTCAAACTATCCTACTTAAACGCTGCTCAGTCTTTCCGCGCTATACTGACTCCTACCGAACGCCGCAGGCCATGGATTCTTTACCTTACTCCTGGACTGTTAGCTTCGGAAGTATTGCATATCGTCATCGTGGTGGTTGGCCTAGGTCCTCTTCGTCGTCTGCTTCTGCCAAAACCTGAATTAGGCTCCTATCCGGATTACTCCCTCACAAAGCTCGGAATTTACATTGTCGTCGTGCTTATTACCACAGCTGTCCTTTCTCCTCTAGAGGTGATGTCTATCCGTCTAGCCATCCAACGAAACCATGCTTCCGCAGAATATAACTCTGTATCTCAAGAAATCGAGGGTGATGCAGAGGACAACACCGAATTTTCCGGGAATGAAGAAGACGTTATAACGTTCGTTTGTTTATGTTGTCTGAATAGTGTATACAGAGTGAAGCTTCTTTTATAGGTTGCGCAGCGAAAGTGATCCATACCTTGGATTAGTCGATTGCGCCAAAAGGATGGTCGACGAAGAGGGTTTCAGCTCAATGTACAGAGCCTGGTGGATTACTCTTCTGGGTGGTTTGGGCAGTGTGGCTTCTTATTAGACTGATCACGCTTTGATTTTGTACCAGATCGTAGTACTCAAACGGAGGACCAATGTAATGTCTAGATCTCATTTCGTGAGGCTGAGGAAATGTAATCATAACTTTGGCTATGTCCGGTATGTATGGTGTAATGGGAAAATTGTAGAATTCTCTTCTGCTTTGGAACTTATCGACCGACCTATTGGCACTAACCTCAAGACTTCTGGAACAGTACCAGAGAATTACACAGAAAGTTCCAGATGATGGTAAGCTAACTCCCCCTGCAATAATTCGGGCGCTGAACTCGCCGTCAGGTGCAGCTGCAGTGTCTGATATGTACTGACATATACGAAGCGTGAATCCTTCACTGCTTGAAGCCTCTTCGAATCAAGACCAGTTCGACGTGAACTCATGCTCGTCGGCTGGAAAGTGTCATTCCGTCTCAATCGCGGCAGAACTCATTCTTCATTGACATCCTACTCCCGGGCCAGTAGGTAAATATGCTCTTTCAAGCATTGTCATTCGGTTACCTTGCCGTTCGATTTTGTTAAAAATTGTGGAAGGCTGTGTGCTTACAACACCATTTCTTTTTTTCCCCGATGCCATTTGGCAGACGGAATATAATCGGAATGGATGGTCGATCTTGTAAATCAGGCGGCAAAATTAGAATCTGGCAAGTTTTTGCATTTGTTGGGCCTTGTTGAGCTCGATATCAAACTGGTATCAAGGTCACAATAGGTCACTATCAACACTGGACTGAATACCAGAGCAACTCGGTATCTCTACATCTATGACATCTGATGAAGTTGTTGGGAGATTCGGTTCCACTGAAGTCAGCTATCGGGTATTGGCCGAAACGGACGAAAACCTGGGGTGGTTTTGGCTTGGACAGTGAGCTACATACAGTCTATAAGAGAACTTTGGACTGATTGACTGCTTGATTGCCTTGCCTGTCTTGTTAAGGCTTATCTGTACCAACTCAGCTTGGCACCCCCCCAAAAAAGAAAAAGCATATCGGCAATTGGGACTATTGGAGTACGTATAACCTCAAAATTTTATCGGAATACATGTAATAACTTGTTTTCTTCATCTCTGAGTAACGCGGCATCTCAATGCGTACAAGCCGACAGTGGAGCAAATTTGTACTACTGATTACAAGTCCTCACAGGCTTTACTACTTGCATTTCGGGGCGGAACCGCGCGGGGAATCTAAATGTTAAACGGCCTTAGATTGCTTTCGCACCCGTACACGACGGAGGAACTACCCATAGTACCGGTGAGAGGCTTCTCTTTAGTATTTGTTCTTGTCAGGGATTTTGGCTACCACTTGGCTTTCCTTCCTTTCGCAAAAGGCACTGAGAAATTCTGTCATTGTTCCATGTGATGTTACGAAGTTCCAGGATCACGGATATTCAAACGCCTTCCTTCGAATAATTCTGTTCTGTATCGGGAACATTGCCTTTTTGAATCATATCATGAACTTCCTTTTCAGGTTTGAAATGTACGATGCGGTTTGGGCTGCCAAGGATTCTGGTTTCGTACAAATACTCCACTCCTTCACCTTTGTACTAATCACAAATCCGGTGTATTCCCTCTAAAAGCAAATGTCTACAACAACAACCATCAAACGTAAAAAAGGCCCCTCCGAAAAAAGTAAGCCTCAACCAGTGCTTGACGGTGATCATCGTAAAAGGTATGAACCACGGATGCTCATTTTACAAGACGATACTCATTACTCCCAGGTCGAGAAATCGATGCATTCGCAGCTGTATCAATTGCCGTGAGATTTCCCTTTCCTGCTTCTGCTCTAACATAAGATTAAAAGTACACTCCAACAGACGCATCGAAGCGAATGGTAAGAGTCGAATTCGGTCAGTGAAGGTTGTCGGTAATGAAATGTCTTGGTAGTGTGATCGAAAACGACCTGCCTGTGCTCGTTGCACTCAGCTTGGATTGGTAAACTCCATTAACTTTGCGGTTCATCGCGCATAAGTAATTCCTCCATATCAGACTGGACTTTGCGTATACGAAGTTGACGACCCTAATCAACGATCCAGCACTCAAGACGAAAGTTCAAGATTACTCGAACGAGTAGCAGAGTTGGAAGGCGTGATTCGGGAAGTATGTATAGGCGCAAAGTTCGCTGGAGAGAAGGACAGAGCTAATACACACTCAGTTAAAGAACAAGCCTCATCCGCGGTGGATATTCTCAACATGCAGTGAACACAGTGACGACGCATCCAATGTCCCCAACTCACCCTCATCGAGTCTACCGTCACCCGATATACAAGTTCAGGGAGCGTCTTCTTCTCAAGTGCCCAGCGTAGAAGAGAGTTACCTTACTTTGACACCTGCACTATCGACATCTCCTCCGAGCTCTCCTTCTTCTTCTGCGAATACGCCTCCCGGCGACAGTTCGTCCCCACATGCTATGATTAACGACGATCCGACTGGACTCAGAGACCTGGACATCTTTGCGCAAAGTCTTCCTTTTTTAGGATACAGCGAAGACAATCTGGTTATGCATCAACAATTTACTGGACTAGGAGCCGTGAAAACCCCTTACTCCGTTGGACAACCATGCAACTGCGTACTGGAACCCTCCAACTATCACACGATGCTTGAACTTTCTCTGCGACTTCGTAAGGCTGCTGCACTATTGGCGCGGTCTCCTCACCACCAGGTAGGAGGACATTGTCTCCTTAATCAGCGGCTTTCGGAGCTAGATGCTCTAACAACGTACGTCAATCGATTACCGAGCTCCGTGTACAATTTGAACAGCATGATTATCAGAAACACCTTGTCCTTAGTTGATTCGCCGCAATTTTCCTATAGCGCCCATCAAGCACTTCACCCGCCGACAGTTCATCCATCGATTTACACCTCTGCAATCACAGCGTCGCGGCTGGATACCTGGCTTTCTGGTGCCATCGCAGACTCCAACAACACGGGAAACGACTCGCTCATGTCCTGGGATCCTCCAAGACGGCCGCAGTAAGTAAATTATAGAATTCTCTTGGCTAGGTTAGGATAGGATATGTATTATACTTATCATGACATACTGTTCACCGACGATACCCCCATATTCTGGATCAGGAGAGACAGTTTATTCAACTTATGGCATATGGAATCATACATTTGCATCGCGTTTATATCCGTGTAGTTTAGATCTAGAAGGATAATGTGATAACAAGTTACGACTGCTTCGAGATGCTCCCCATTTCCAAAACTCAAATTCTGAATAACAGTCATATGAGCCAGCCGTGGTACTCTCCTCTTTTTCCATCTTGTAGGAGTTGAGGCCATTGCACGACAAACCTAACGGAAAGATGAGTGGCTCTTAACTATATAACTTCAATGCTTCAAATAACTTGCCTGTCGACCAAAAAACGAAGTAGCTTTCCAGACAGTGATAGAGTCTGCACCCGGGCAAATGATTCGATATACACCATTTTGGGCGATGCCAGACCGAAAAACTCCAACTTGTCCTTAGTAATTAATCCCAATTCTGTCCATAAAGCTTACCTTATTCAGATACACCGCAAGACAAAGAGTTAAGCAGGTCCCTGGGCCGTTAAGCACAAGTACATCTGCAAATTGACCTTTTTGGTGACTGGATGCAAGTGCTACGTGGTAAAAGGATTCGATGACGGAAAGGAGGGCCGTGAACGGAGTCGTCAACAATGATTGATGTACTTTTCGAGCTCGAGGAATAACCAGAAATGTATATGCATCTGAATTCTTGGTTTTTATATGTAAGGAAACCAAAAAATCCACGGAAATGCAAATGCAAAGATTACCTTTGACGTTGAGTGAGAGCTCGCAGCCTTTGTGGCTTCTAGTGCTGCAGCCTTCCGCTCGCTGAGCGTATCGTCTCCGCTGATTATGTATATTCTCGGGAAGTATCTGTCAAAGTCAAGCGAAGAAACTAGGGCTAGCATTTCGCTCGTATGCCCCCCTGCACAACATCAGAGTTCAGCGCATCCAATGAGGTTTTTTACTTGCCCGAACCCAAGAAAACTGCAAGTGTTCTATTTTCTGCGCTTTTCTTCGGTCTTTCTGGGACTATGGGTTTTGGCAGGATGCAGTAAACCCTGATACAAACAGTTGCAACCAATAAAACAGCGCAAATAATGATGTAGAACATCGCAATGCTTAGACTGTCACGACTTGGATCGCTCCTATAAAGAATGAGAGCTTGAGAGACTAACATCTCTGATCCCACTTCACCTACCTCGACGTCTTTAATGAAACTTGAAAGTTATGGCTCGGGCCGACTTGCCGCGCGTGGTTTGACAACTCAATTTGAAAACATTGCATGTTCCCCCGACGATCTAATTGCGAAGCATCATATTCTAAATTATCTATCTAAGTGTCTTATCCTAGCCTAGACCATGGTACAATTGCCACCTACGATAGGTTCCAAAAGAATTTCAGTGACTGGATCGACTGTCACTGCGCCATGCCCAATCTTACTATCTGAGACTTAATAACTTCGTCCTTAAGTACCAGCTTTACCACCGACTCGGAAAGAAGGAGTCTTAGATAATGGGGCGCACTTACAGCTGTTCCCTGATTTGCCAAGAACATCTGAGCATTGGATTTCGCGAAAAAAATCTTGTCAAACTACAAACCAGATATCATGAATTCACGAGTGGGCTTGGCATCCACGCCCATCATAGGCGGAGAAAACGTCTCCTTCGAAAGGATTTTACTTGACCAATTAGTCCATCATGGAACTGTCCGTAGACTGAAAGAAGAGCGCAAAAGAAACAATGTAAGAGACTGGAAATCCATAGTTTATTTTAGTAAACGCAGAGTCCGGCTTTTCCTGAGAGAATGATGGAAGAAAGGAAGCACGCTCGTTTTGTCCCAAAAGCTGTTGAGCGTGGTAGATACAAGGTCGAGGGGGACATTCATTTTGGAGGATAATATGTATAGTGAGGCAAATTGTATTATTGACTTTGTTGAATATTTCGGTTTGAGATCGAATTGGAAGCATTATCCAAAAGCAATTGCTCTGTTCCTTCGGGAATATTGTTAGCCAGACCAGTTACAAAACTTGACACTCTTTATGGGGTGCCACTGTCGTAGTCCACTAAAAACCTCTGGAAAGAAGCTCAGGGTCTCCCATTATATCTGGAACGGCCGCGGCGGATGGAATAACTATTGCCATCGATCTATGTAGAACACAATGATTGAAACAAGGTGGTGTGCTCGGACCCAAGAGGATTATTGACAGTCAACGTGTGGTGCAAATGTTTCGGAAGGGCGGCATCGATACTGGAAAGATTTGCAAAGTATAATCGTAAGTGTATTAGTGAACTTTTGAGCAATAGATGCCCCAGTGATTGGACGATCCGATTTGGAGGAATGCGTAGCGATGCGTAGGCGCCTCGATGCCTGAATTCGATCACTAGCTTCTATCGTTGTGCGCCGCATCTGACAGTGTAAGATTTACAGAATGTATCCACAACTGGGTGATTGGGATATCAGGAACAAATCCCAATGATGGAAAGAGCGGTCGGACTGACTGAATATAGGCTGAGAGGTGACCGGTGAAGACCCACCAATAGCGATACCAAGCGTATATGATATATGATTGTGAGGCGTCTTCAACTCAAGAAGGCCTCAATCGAGACCTATCGAGACAGACGGTGCATTGGGTAGTATGAACCTACTTTGTTTGAGCTAAGATGGAAAGTGACGCAAACATCTCAAAGTTACTTTTGAATCTTGCAATGAGTGCGAGTTCATACTAATAAGGGTCCACCCCAAGCTACTAGTAGTACCAAAACAACCGGGTCGAGGGAGTAAAGTTGCTGAAGGACGTGGTGATCTCTTCTGCGGTGGCCCATTACGTGCTTTGTTCTATCAATTAAAGAAAATTTCGGTCAAAAGCCAGAAAAAGAGATAGTCATGGAAATCTACTTACCTCAAAATCCGTCAGAAAGTTTGAACATACACTGAGTATACACTGCACGAGCCCCGGTCGGAGAACTTAAAATTTACCGCTTCTCCCAAGGAGCCGGAACATTCAACAGTGCGAGTATGTGTATAAGATATGTGAGGGCCAGCTCTGGAATTGTAATAAAATTCAGCTTTCAGAGAGCTGCATCAAGATTCAATGGGTTGACAATTGGCGCGGCCGGAAGCGGCTGGTTTGTGGCGTGACCTCAAGTTGACGCAGTGTGCCATTTCATGTCGACTATCTCGACTTTTTTTCCCTCTTCTTCTTCAGTCCCTATATCAAACGATTCGACCCAGGCAAAATCCTTACCATACCCTGCTGTTTCTCGCTCGCAGACCCCAGTATCTTCTCCTCTTGCAGGACCCTCGATCTGGCGACCTCCAGCTCATTGGAATCTTGATACCAACGGTCGTCCAGCCAATCCGCCTTCCAACTCTATCAAGAAGCCACCGAGAAATAAGGTTAGGACCCCAGAGGAGAGGGACACCATTGCCGAAACCTCTGCGAGGTAGGTCTATCCAGATTGAGCACTGAGAATAAACCAACTAACTGATACACACCACATAGATTTTCTTCGCGAATTGTTGCAGACCATGAAGCCGTGTTGAACCCAGACGTGGAATCGCCCTTTGTAGATACAATCGATGTCGTGAACAGGCTCTTGCCTTATCACATCTTTTTTCAACCCAAGGAGGATCTAGTACCCCTTCTTCGCGACAGAAAGGGCAAAACGAAAGCTGCAGAAATTGAAGATTTAGCAGGTAATTTCACTGACAGCCGCCAAATCGCAGTGCTCTGAAGCTTACTTTAGACACTAAATTTGCTCTGGATTGTCATCGGCGCCGCAAGAAATTGGAAGACCGTTTTCGAAAAGCTAGAGTCAAGGATGGCGCAGTACGCTAAAAATCATGGAACATGTCTTTTCTTCTTATGTCTGTCATAGGGATCGGGATTTAACTCTCAGCTCGTCGTCCTTACGCAAAGTGTGTTAGATAGTGACCGTGCGGAGGTTGCCGCCTTGAATGCCGAACTTCGAGCAGCGAGGAGTGAATATGATCGTTTAGAACGCCAAAAACGGGCGACATCAAACCCTCCTCCGCCTACACCTGCCTCTCGCACATCTTTCTATACTGCACCGACACAATCGGCTGTCGCCAACGGACAGTCCGCATATTACCGACCTTATCCATATACATACACTTCGACATTTGGAACCTCATCTCCAGCTCAAGCTGCTGCTGCTACACCTACATTTTCTGTGGCGTCCAATGCAACCTCTATACCGCAAGTTAATACGTCGACCGTCCCACCTCCAGCCACTTATCCAACAACCTCAGCTATTCCGGTCCAATTGCCTATCGCTTTCATGCCTGCTCTGAATCGTCTTGGTATCATACCTGTCCCTACAGGCTCGGTCTCTGCAGGACAGCCACAACCGCCCGCTGTCCTTCGTGGATCTTCGTCTAATGGGACAGTGCTGAATCTCGAGATCAATGTCGCGATGTTGCAGCCTTCACAAATGAGTGGGCTAGCAGTAATTCTGAACTCACTCATGTCCCGTTCAAACTCGAGCAGTATACCCTCTGCTCCAGCGCTATCTTCTGGCTCATCAACCGGGGTTTTTCCGCCTCCAGCAGACAAAGTTTCATAGCATGTTATGTAGTACGTAGCGGTCCATGCATTGAAGACCATATTCCCTTTGTTTTTGCTACATGTATCTACTCCCAGCAGAGATTTTCAGATACATACTGTTTGCCATATACATATGTAGTCGCTTATCCTTGAATCGGATTTTTAGTACTGCCTAGGAAGATGCCTCGAAAGGTCATAAACCAGTCAATCTTCGGAAGTATGACAATATACATATTTTCATCTGCTCCTACAACCTCTTGCATGGACATCCACCTTATTTCAAGTTGCGTAGTACAGAAGATATTCAATGGAATCCGCTATTATCTAGCGATTAGAGTTTAATCATCATACTGACAACACCTACCTTCTCGACGATCAACGTAAAAAAGCTGTGTCCATTGCCCATTCGAGCATCGTGATATGAGCTTAGAAGCCCGTTGTCGTGGAACATGTCAGGACATGTCCCCCGTTGGTCATTTTCAGTTGCGTTCAACACTCCTCGCTGTGAAAGTAACGAAAAATGAGCAACACCAGAAAGAGAAGGCAAATACTTAATGCACATACAACAAAAGCAGATACCTCCAAAGGCATTGCTCGTCTGTCGGGTATACATGATACATACCAGACGGCAAACACAGATGTGAAGGAGAGGCTATGACGCGCAAAGACAATAGCCGTGGTGTAAAAACAAACGACGAATTGGCAAAAACAGATTTAGAGAAGAGAATTGTATGGAAAATAATTCTTGAGCCGGTCTGATGCGACAGACGGACAGTTGATGTTGATACGCTACTCGCTTAGCCCAGTAAGCGAGTGCAGATGGGGAGGGGTCTGGACCACTCCCTAGCTCTCCCTATTAGTATTTAGACGGTTCTTCTCGAGTTCTGCTCAAAATTTGTTGATTGGACGAGCTCGCTTAGGACGTTAGGAAAATGTACTGTCTAATAATCCTTACGGGAAATCATCCAATGAAGGAGGCGATGAAGGGCGATGAGAACAACAAGGGAAGGAAAAATAACTATCACGGCCCCATGCCGGGGGACCACGGATGTATGCAAGGTAAAAAAAAGCAGAACGACGGAAATACGAGTTCCTAAAGAAAAATCAGAGGAAGGAACAAAAGCAGTCAAGCGCTGGTACCTGAGCGCTAGCGCCCATGAATAATCACTAGTCAATCAAAGGCAGTCTTCCTTATTCATCGACAATGGCAAATTGCTCTGAGATTGGGCCTAATGCTGCTCCAACCCCGACTTTTGTTAGGAGAGCAAGGTTACAACGTCTGGGATCCAGTGGCCCTCAAAACGAAACTGTCTCCTCAGATGTTCCTCTGATGAGTGAAAGCATACCTTTCAACAAAAATGTGCACTCTCCACCGGACCCAAACTATGGCACTCTCCCTCGTTCATTATTTCATCGACGTTCTCTCCATTTCTCGCGTCAGCATACTCCTCCTCGACTATCCAATGTACCGGTGCCTCCCAGAAGCGCTGCCGCTTCTGGGCCTTCTAGCCCTATTAGTATGTTCAGTCCATCCTTGCGGAATTTATCGAATCTATCGTTCTCTCGCATTGTATCCCAAAGGCCGATTTCTGCGTACGATGCAACTTTCAACTCTGATTCAAAAGACGACGGTGGACTGGGAATGAGTATGGATGCAAAGAAGAATGGTGTCCGCGTTTGGTACTCGTCGTACAGCTCTATTGACTGGATGCATGATGCTATCAAAGAGTCATTGCGCTTTTCGCGTCTTCGAAGGAAGAAGAATTTCAGGGCGCGTATTCGTCTGGCTGTTGACCGGTATGTTCTTAAATATTCCTGTCAAAAATAACTGTTTAATTATGTTTCTCCCTAGCCTTCTTGGCTGGATTATTGTCACGATTGTGGGATGCTTAACCGCAGTTTTCGCGTTCCTCGTCGTGACTAGCGAACGATGGTTCTTCAGTCTGAAAGATGGCTACTGTACCGAAGGCTGGACCAAGGCCAGAGCGCTCTGCTGCCCCCAAACGGAACTATCAATGCTCTTTCCAACATCTACAACAGAAACAGAATGTCAAGCGTGGAGGCCATGGTCCGACCTGTTTGCGTGGGACGGAGGGAGTGGCAGCATCCAATTTGTGGCCTACACTTTCATTGCTGTGCGTATTTTATGTTATAGGTATATCATACATGATTAATCTTGATTAACACTTACATCCGGAAGCTTTCACTCGCTGTATCTTCGTGTTGGCTGACACTACTTCTCACCAAATCGACTTCGTTTGTGACGCGAAAGGAATCGGGCGTTTTGGGCCCTGATTTCCATGATGGATCCGAGACCACTGCCGCCCCCCGTAAGATATTTTACTATGTAAGTTACTCAACAACGTTCATGCAAGTCTTCACATCATTCATCCTGCTTCTTAGGCATCTGGCAGCGGGATTCCCGAATTAAAGGCCATTTTATCTGGTACTCGCACTCGCGTTTCCTTGGTTGTCAAATATGTGCTCATGTTGGAGCGTATTAGGTTTCGTGATACATGGTTATCTAGGAGGACGCGTTCTCATCGCAAAGTCTGCTGGCTTGGCGCTTTCCGTGGCGTCCGGATTACAGCTTGGTAAAGAAGGCCCCGTAAGTGTCAAAAAAACAGAAACATACTTTCAGTCATAGTTCATTTCGTTCTGTCCGATTTAGTTTGTTCATATCGCATGTTGTATCGGGAATATCGTCAGCCGATTAGCAAGTAAATACGAAAACAATGAAGGCAGGAACATCTACTGTTGCAGTGTGACTTTCTAATCTCTGTTTATAGCTAAGAGACGAGAAATTCTAAGGTTAGTTCGTTGCTCTCATCGATCAGTCTGGAACTTTATGTGTTGTTCTTCAGTGCTGCTTGCGCCGCCGGAGTAGCGGTTGCTTTTGGTGCCCCGATTGGAGGCACGCTTTTCAGCTTGGAAGAAGTTTCCTATTTCTTCCCTGCCAAGGTGATGTGGCGAAGGTAAATTGTCTCCATCTAGTGTCTTCCTGTCATTCATGCCTAGGATCAGCTTCTTTTGCGCAATGATTGCGGCCATCACTTTGAAATTGCTCAATCCTTTCGGGACAGGTAAACTTGTCTTGTTCCAAGGTCTGACCTTGGATTTCTTCTATGTCTCTCTGCTGTCCGCTAAGTAATCTCCCTTTCCTAGTAACATATGATAAGGTATGTCGATTGAGATTTATGATATGACGATCTGTTCATGTCCTTGGGTGATTTCAAGGACTGGCATGCTTTTGAATTGTTCCCTTTCGTTATATTAGGCGTGTTCGGCGGTGTCTACGGCGCATATTTCTCTAAGCTCAATTTTCGCTGGAGCCGTGACGTCCGCAACGCGACATGGCTCAAGGATCACCCTGTGATTGAAGTGTTACTGGTGAATGATGTTACTTATTTTGTGATACTTGTCTCATGTTGCTCGATGAACAGGTTACTCTTGCTACTTCTGCATTCTGTTTTCTTAATCCATATACGCGTATGGGCGGTACGGAGCTCGTTTCTGCCTTGTTCTCTGAGTGTCACAAAGGCGTCGAAGACGAGTGGGGTCTCTGCTTGTCAGATCCTGGTTCTTGGTCCCAAGTTACCCCGGTAGTCGGTGCGCTTCTATTGGCTCTTGTCGTCAGAGGTGGGGGCCTTGAAGCTACCTGCAAAATATACGTACTGATTATCGCGGCAAGGTACTTTGACTCTGGTGACATTTGGGATCCGATTGCCTGCTGGGATCTTCATCCCCTCTCTTGCCGCAGGTGCACTGGTCGGCAGGATGATCGGGATTCTCCTTCAATTCCTTCGATATCAACATCCAGATATGCGATTTTTCAGTGCCTGCAGTGGGGATAATTGTACGTTCCTCCTTGTGGTACATTCTTATGCATACTGACGTTTTGGTTTGGAGGCATCATTCCTGGATTGTATGCAATGGTGAGTGCCTTAGCTATGTAAATGGCACTGGTCTGAAAATTTCCGCTGGTAGGTCGGCGCTGCCGCTAGTTTGGCTGGTGTCACGCGTACTACAGTATCTCTCGCTGTTATCATGTTCGAGTACGTATGCCTCATTTTGAAATGGTGTAGCTCGTCAGTGAATTATATCTATAGGCTGACCGACACTTTGTCGTATACTATCCCGATCATGATAGCGGTCCTTTGCGCAAAGACCACTGCTGATGCTCTTGAAGAGAAAGGAATCTATGAACTTGTCATTGATGTAGCCCGTCTTCCCTATCTAGACTGCAAGAAAACTTTTCTGTGGGGAGATCGTCAAATTGCAGATGTGGTCAGTGACTTCTTGTCTCCTCTCTTATCCTCTTTCACAACTATTGTGTGTTATAGATTATTAGGGATGTCGACGTTATTAGGCTTGATCAGGACAATACGGTCAAAAGTCTTCGCGACAAATTACAAGTATCTCTGCAAGATGATGGAAATCAGGATGCCGTATTCCCTATCTTGCGGGCTGACGATCACGATGAGGACTCGACAAGACTTGTTGGTGTAATAGGCGCTCGGGAGCTCGAACATGCATTGTGTTCGTTTAATCTTCCACATTTCCGTAGTACAAAACCCCTCATCAATCTGTACAGGCATTGTGGCTGACCATCCAGATGAGACTATCACTTTTCAAATAACATATTCTCACCATCCTCTGGCTTCGTCGTCATTTTCGTCTCTACTTGACGATACGAACCGTTCTAGCTTCGATATCTTTGACTTTTCCATATATATGGATCAGGTAGATTTAGTTTATTCACGATGCCATGAACTGACCTGACAATGATTCTGTCTCTCAGGCCCCTCTCACAATTACTCTCAACTCTCCCCTTGAATTGGTGCAACAGTTCTTCGTCAAACTAGGCGCTCGATATGTCATCGTGACGGATATGGATGGTTACTGTCCGTGGTCCCTCGTCTTGTCTACTTTTGTGACCCTGATCTTGGCCTCAGATGATGGAATTATTGACAAGAAAACCTGGCTCGCCTTTTTGAATGAAGCAGGCGATCATTGAATGAATCCCAACCCAAGCTACTTGCAAACGATACCCCAACAACATTCTATTGTACAACAAATTCCATTACCTGGGATTATTGCCCATCTTCCTTCATATCTCACCTCTGCTTCTAAATTTAATGAATACTTAACGACCTTGGAACATACTGCATATGGATTTACACTTAATAGTACTCGTTACAAGCAAACACGGAGTGGCTTAATCTTTGACATCGATAAACGTTGTGAATCGTATACATAATCCTCTGTATGTACACATCAAACCGGAAACCGTACCCTCTACGAGGTTTCGTCTCCTAGTGCCGGTTTGATCGACTACAAGCTATGTATGTATGTATCGGCTTTCTTGCCCCCAACATATCATTAAATACTCTGGGAATCAGACCTATGTAGATTGTCTAGAGAGGTCTGGGTTCGTCGGCCTATCTGGTTCATCATGACAGCGTCCGGCCCGAAACATAGGTATTCATGTGCTGCTCAGCGTGCAACCACTATTGGCACTTTACGATGGCCTTGTTATCTTGTTTACAAACCTTGAGAGCGTGAATGGCCGCCGAGCAACCTATCCCAGTCTACACCAATCTCAGTGATCTCTATGGAAGCCTTGGGACCAGTCTGAACCACGCCGAAAAGTGGAACAGTATCGCAGAGGAATTCCAGCAAAGGTTTGGTCGAAAACCAGCCTATATTGCTCGTGCGCCAGGACGAGTGAAGTATGTTACTTGCCATTATCTCAATTATCTGATTTTGAAGGTTCCTCTGTAGCTTAATTGGTACTTATCCTCGATGGAATCGAAGCCCGATGTAGTACTTACTCAGTATCATAGGTGAACACATCGATTATTGTCTATTTGGTGTACTCCCAGCAGCAATCGAGCGCGATATCTTGATTGCTATCGGCCGAAGACCAAATCCTAATGCGGAAGATGCTCCAGGAAGTGTTGTCGCTGAAAATGTGCAGACAAAATACACCCGTCAGGTCTTTGCCCCAGCTCCGAGACGACGGGCAAGTGTCTCTGAGGAAGAAGTCCGTCTTGAGGAGTGGCATCTGGATATCAACACTAAGCAACTGCGATGGGAAAGTTATGTCAAGGCCGGATACTATGTATGTGATTCATTGATTTTAAGCAGTTATACTTCAATACTCCAGAGCTAGGGCGTACTGATTAACTACTTCGCTGGAGGACAAAATCCAGCTTCTGTCGACCTTCTTGTCACTGGGACTGTTCCCGCCGGGTCAGGACTCTCATCTAGTGCTGCGATGGTAGTCGCGAGTACTCTAGCATTCCTTGCTGTCAATGAGAAAGTTCGTACTTACTTACAGTCTATTTCATTGTCTTCTCACGCCAAAATATGTAGCTCGAAGCCAACTTTACAGGTAACGGTCCCAAGATTTCCAAGGGTCAGCTCGTCGAGATGGCTGTTGCAAATGAGAAGCGAGTTGGGGTAAATTCCGGCGGGTGAGCACTTCAACTGTTGTAAATGACTGGTCATTTGCGGACCCATCCCCATCTTGTAGAATGGACCAAGCGGCATCGGTCATCTCCGTTCCCTCCTCCGCCCTTTATATATCCTTCTTCCCAGAACTATCTGCATCTGCAGTACCTCTTCCCACTGGGGCTATCTTCATCATTGCCAACTCACTTGTCGTTTCTGATAAAGCCGTTACGGCCAAACACAATTACAATCTTCGAGTTGTGGAAACTCTTGCTGCAGCTCGTATCCTTGCTCGTCATTTAGAACTCAAGGTTGGAAAGACTGAGAAAGTCACGCTGCGGGAGGTTGTTGGACGATTGGCTGGTGAGGTTGAGGAGGTTGGTGCGATGCCTGTAGAGTGGCTATTGGAAACATTGAAGAGAATGGAACGTGAGATTGAATGTTTGAAACCAAAAAAGTCGAGTGGTGAAGGACAGTTTGGTGTAACGATGGAAGAGATGATTGAAATGAGCGGTATGACTGCGGAGGAATTTAAGGAAGTGTATCTGTCGTGGGTGGAAGGTAAATCGGCAGAATATTTTACTGCGACCATTTTGAGCTCACCGTTTCCATCTACTCAAAGTTGAAGCTACCCAATTCCAGCTATACAAACGAGCGAAGCATGTCTTTTCCGAAGCTTCACGGGTCCTTCAGTTCCGCCAGATCTGTCTCGCTGCTGAATCATCTCCCTCCCCATCGGATGTAATCAAAGACCTCGGAAAGTTAATGAACGAATCACAGACCAGCTGCGACGAATTGTTTCAATGCTCATGCCCTGAGCTCAATGAATTAACAAACATCGCAAAAGACGCTGGGGCCATTGGTAGTCGATTGACTGGTGACTATGACATCCTTGCTACCCAGTGATACCAATTGATGTACATACCATAGGTGCTGGTTGGGGCGGATGCACGGTGTCTCTCGTTGCCGAGGGTGATGTAGACGCTTTCATCAAGAAAGTGAGCGCAACATACGGACCATATAAGGGTCTTCAAGACACAGCACTTAGTGAAGTCATCTTTGCTACCAAACCGAGTAGTGGGGCCTGTGGTGAGCTCTTACCAACTATGGAAACTTCCTCGGCCGCTTATAAGTAACTATTCATCCGTCAGTGTACAAATTCGAGTAACACACCAAATGGCGAGCAGAATCATGTACAGCAAATTCAGGCGAAGTCGAAGTCGCGCTAGGAATTTCAGTAAGTATACTTAGTACACAGTGTAGAATTATGTAAAATGTATGTTTTGGATGCACGAAGTACTGCGTCAATTGTGTGAAGCACCAATAATTGTTTGACCATTCGAGTAAGAACATGAAGATGTTTCGGTTATTGCAGCTGAAATGGGCACCTTGTGTAAATCTTCACTTCCGTTCCTCTACAGCCCTCCGGCCCTCCCTCTTGCCTCCCTCTGCCCATAATTTCAACACATCGTTACTCACCTATCCTTCCTTATGCTCCCCAGGTCCTACCCTCCCGGGCCTTTGATCAATGACATATAAGATTAAAACATGCAACAGCTTCATACCATATAAGACTTGATCGTCCCAATACTCTCTTTTCACTTGTCCCCAATTATCTGAAGGACGAATGTTGGGCTATGTACTGCCGAGTTCTGGAACCTTAGGCTGGGGTATGGCATACTCCACGCCGATGAGCAATGTAGGTGAATCCTTGAAAGGGTGATTTCTTAGTTGTTTTTTTTGAAAGCATTTTTCAAAAACAGCAACAACAGTAAGTACATAAATTATGCATCATATGCAGTCACATTCTCGGCGACCGGTTCCACCACGTTGTCTGTTGTCTCTGCCACTGAAGCGGGTGAAGGAAGGGCAGTTGCTATCCATCCGCTTCTGAACGACATAACGGCTACGATTAAATTGAGGAGGGCAACAACAGACTAACAAATTCCCGATCAGTAACAGCAAAGGACATGCTAAATTGTTTTGACTCACATCATGCTTGATCAATGTGCTTCCAGTGGACCTGGAGAAATAAGGATCAGAATGAATTAGAGTTCGCTGAGAGTGAATATCTTTACCAATGCAAAGCGAGCGGGAAGTTGATTACGTTAACCAAAAGGTCACTCCAGTATGCATGCCAACGCTTTTGTATCTCCTGCTTCTCTGCCGGTTTCAGACCAGCCTTGCGAAGTGCATGGTATTTTGCTTGGAGCAGTTTCCTGTCTTCGCGCAAGTGCGCAAATTGTAGTGCGACGTAGAACGCCCAGCATCTGACGGACCATAGACCTAACTTTCCGGCATTAAGTTCGAGTCTGCTCTTCTTAGTTAAAAATGGAGACAGATCAACGGTTGACCTAGATGGAAGAATATCGTGCGAGACAAGGTAGCTGAGATGTTCGAGAGGATAGTATCCGACCATCGACCAGCCCTGTAGGCGCTCGATATTGAGCAGCTTTCGTGTGGGTTGGGCGTTATGTTCCAAAGAAATCATCCATTTGATAATCGTGAGCAAACCTGTATAGGGATTGAGCCTTCAATAACTCGTTATAAAAGTTACGAACTAACCCCAGAATCTAATTTTCTTGTCTCGTCAAAACATTGAGACGCTTGAGGATGACTGAGAGGCCTACTTACCTCCACAAAGTCCTCGAATCAGATATTGTTCCGGCCAATTTTGATACCCGGGCAGCGGCAGAGCTAGTAGTACCTTGACGTGAATACACTTTATTGCGAAAACGGGCACGCTTGTTGAGCAAGGGCACTAGAAGCTTGAGGGTATACTCGATAATTGCGAAGAGTTTACTGTGCAGTTTATTATCAATGTTGATTCTGAAAGCTTGTAATATACACACTCGCTTCCGCTCCAAGTTCCTAGGTATCGGACGAGATGGTCAGTGAATTCTGAAGGAGCGAATACTGAAAAGCAGCCTAGTATAGTGTCAGCGACTTTGTCCATCGTTGAGGGTTTCGTGTAGGACATGATGGAAGAGCTACGTTTATGATTTTGAAGAGGTGCTTCCCGTTAGATTCTTGGCCCGGCTATCTGCCGGCTATATCTCAAAGAACCGAGCTAATCATGTGCTTTGATTACATCAGCATGGGACTATATAAGCACGCGACCTAGCTAGTGGTTTCCTTCGAACAATTTTTCGAGGACATAAAAGTTCGGGCTCGGTTTCAGCTTTTCCGCCTCCTTGTCCGCGTTCCCGTCCTCAAGATTAAACCAAGGTGCTAATTGGCGCTGGCTCCCTCATTCGTGTCAGAACTATCTTTGTTTGATCTTTTTTCCCCTTACGTGGAGGCATCGCTTCGGCTGGTCGCTCATGATGCGGAGGGAATGATCGGTAGAAGGTAGTTGGGCGTGGTGGGGGGTCTACATTATGTCCAGTGTTTCTCCAGATCTTTTCATGAATGATCTGGTCCTTTGAAAGTTTATGCCATTGTTAAACGATTTTCTTATTCCAAGAAACTAGTAAAGCTTTTTTAAATCTACAAATATCGTAAAACGCTGTAATTTATAATACAAAAAAAAATGTTCACATTGCTTGCGCTCCGCTCAGAAAAGATGACGAAGTGGTTCTCAAAGCTACGGCCTAGTTTTGGAGTCTTCAAGCTTTGAAATTGAAGTTTTGTACGCATGAGCGCTAGGTATTTGTTATCAGGGTTAGGGTTAGCGGTGAATTTGTCCTCCATCAGTTCTGCTCAAAGCTTCAGATACCGTTAGTACCATGGCTGGACTCGGTGTTCCCGTCAAATTGCTACATGAATCTTTGGGACATATCATAACCGTTGAGGTAAAAACTGGCCAGCTGTATCGTGGAAAACTTGCAGAAGGTGAGCGATCGTTGATCTATAACATTCACTTCATCAACTGACTGCTTTTATTGTCCGTCCCCGTAGCTGAAGATAATATGAATATCTTTATGAGAGACGCTACGGTGACAGGTCGCGATGGTCGTGTTTCGCAGCTGGATCAAGTGTACATTCGAGGCAGCATGATTCGTTTCTTCATCGTCCCGGATATGTTGAAGAATGCTCCAATGTGCGTGTTCCCTTTCGATTAGTCTATCCGCTGATCTCAAAAAATCAATAGGTTCAGGAGATCAGGACCGAATGGACTAAAGGGAAAGGGTATCGGTACTGCGCGTGGGCGTGCAACCATTATGCGAGGTGTGTTTCTGTCGTTTTTCCAGCCCCAACGTATCACTAACTTGCGATCTTTTTTTTCCAGCCAACGGTACGTTTGATCTCAAGATATACTGCGTGTCGCAGCTTTTTCTGATGCAACATTTCTTCATTCAGCTCGTCGTGGTCGCGGCGTCGCACCAACAGCTTCCCGGGGAATCCGAAGATGAAATCAAAAGTCGCTCTTGCCTTTTCATTGCTTGTTACCTCTCAATCTCATTTTTTGTTGTATGATATCCACCCCTTGTACTTTCAAAAGGAATTTTCCTCGTTGCGAAAAAGAGACAGGACAAGTACAACATGCAGTGCTAAAATTATCCCGGTGATTTATACACAAGTAGGTAGGGCAACATAGGGTAAAAAATAACAAACATAACCGTAACGAGTACATGATTCAGGAAGCGACAGGACGTTTGAGTCGGTAATACAAGGTCAATTCGGTGGGTTGTCTCCATACGTAATGTCGCACAGTGGCGAGAGACATGTCCAGAGGTAGTAGCACGTCGTTGCACAATATCTCGTAGAGATCTTCTGCAGTTGGGCGCTGACCGTGCAGATGCTGACTTTCTATGGAAGACCTGGGCGAGGTGGCAGCCGAGGTGGGATTTGACGCAGCAAATTTGTCTAATTTATCCTGAACCTAAACACACCGAAGTCAGTGAGTCTGCATTTGTTTAAAGATTTCTGACCTACATGGATGACCAATTTTCTAACCCTTAACCAACGATTAGCTGTGAGTTTAGACTGTTGTCTGTAAATTATGTTTAGCCCAAGCACCAAAACATATTCTGAATGCTTACATGTTTAGCAACTCTGGCAACTGTGTCCCATCTGGATCTTTGTTGGGCCAGGGAAGTAGGATAAAGCTGACTTTGACCAATGGTGGTGCCGAAGCCAGCTTATTATGCAGAAGATACTCTAAGAGCCATAAGGGCATAACCTCTTCCAAAATAGATGTATCATGACCAGCGGAGTTCACCGTTCCGCGATAAAGTGTTGTGAAACTAGGCGGATTTTCTTCAGATATTATCAATGTGATATGGGGTGGCAAATTATGAAGAGGTGCTTCGTTTGACGGAGGCGGTGTGAGCGGGCGAGAAAGTACTTCCTGGAGCGGGGTCTTTGTCCCTGATGCAGCTGAATTCTGTGTCGGTGTTTTCAGCCGGTCTGCCTGTGATAGCGTTTAAATTCTCACCTCCAGCATAGTTTCTGCTGCAGCTGGATCGTTTGCCACACTGATCGTATTGGCGGTATCTGCGGAAATTTTTTTATTCTTTCCAAAGTTCTTCAATCGGCCCATCAGCCCACTGGAGGGCGTCGTTGGTGTCTGTAAACCGGCGTCGATTTTTGAAGCACCATTCCATGCTGGAAGTTCATCCGGAGTCGATGCTGTTATCGAAGGTCTGCGGGTAGGCACAGAAAAGTAATCTCCGTGTGCAGATGACTGGTGCAAGCTGTCCAGCGTACCAGACCTATGTCTTCGCGGCATGGGAGTCGCATCATTACTATGAATGGTGGGTAATTGAGGTATAGCTGGTAGGGGCAATGCATTTTCTTTAGGAATGTTCAATGGTATCATCGGAGTGAGTAAGGGGGAAGAGCGCGTAAATCCAGAGACGGTTGGAGCAACGGCCTGTAACATCTTGCTGGATGAGATGACAGAAGCACTGGTTCTTGAAGAACGAAGTTTAGACGGATCGTGGGAGGTGTCATGATTACGGTCGCGACTGCTGCTCCTCTCGAGCTTGCGTTGCAGACGTTGTTCCTCACGAATAAATCCCAAAAAGAGGTTTTTCAAGACCCATTTGCCAATGTTCACTGTTCCAAATAAAATATGAGTAAGTTTTATTGGAGTTTACAAAGGATGAAAACTCACATTTGGACTCATCGTTGACGTATCGATCATGGACAAAACCAGCTTCATCAGCATAGACTTCTGCGTCAAAGCAGCGTTCAGTGACATGAATCGTCAAGACTCCGCTCTTGGTATCTGCCGTGGACCAAGGTAAGACGACTACTTCGTGCTCTATCCTCTCTCGGACGATCTCTAGTGCTTCTCTAGGACTTCTCTCCCGTTCGTTGGTTCTGTCTCCACCTCCATCTCCACTACTGGTCGAGCTTGCAGCACGCACACTGGCTGCCGCGACATCTTCCTTGGAGAACTTTCCTTTACATACACATCGGGCGATGTCCCAAACTTCCACCGTACCCGAAGTGTCGACCGTTAAAGCATGAATTCTATCATTGAGGATGATCGACCTCACCAGGCCGTGATCGCCACGTATCACATCATCTGGCTCAGTGTACAGTGGAACAGCATCGGCTGCAATCTCGCGGTCTTCAAACAGCGCTCTAGCACTAGGAAGTTCCACGACAGTCTCTGAACGGTGAGGCTGCGACTGTTTATGTTGGTTTGATTGAGCGAACGTGGATTGTACAGGTGAGCGAGGATTCGTCTTCGGGACAGACATGACAGAAGCGGCGGAATAGAGTGTCGCAATTTCTGCGTCGCGATCTTTGGAGGTTGTGTAGAAACCAAAAGGGTTGTTGGGCGAGGTAAGTTTTACCAGAGATTCAAAAGGAATACCGTACAACGTTCCTTTTTCAGCCTTTAGCTGGTCGTATTCTGAATGCATGGATCGGCTAAGAGAAGAGTTTTCTCCGTGACCACGCCGAGCAGAGGACAGAGTACTAGTGGGTGACTCGGGTTGCGAAAGCCTTTTGACTTCAGAGTTGAAAGGTGCTCGAACACCACGTCTTTGTGGTACACGCCATCGCCTGATCGTTGAGCTGCCGGAAGCAGTCCAAAGAAGGTTGTCATCCAGCGCGACGATCTTGTTAATCCCTTCTGCGATGGGAGATTCGTGTGTATCCTGGCAGAGCAAAATACATTCGCCTTCAGAGACATCAGCACAGTCCTCAACATCTGTTTTGCAAACGAGCCCAGAGCGATCACCGGAGTAGAACATTTCGAGGGATGGATGAGAAGAAAATAGGGACCAGACAGAGTCGGTGTGATGAGTGAATGTATGAAGACAACGTTGAGAGGCAAGCGACCAAAGCTTGATAGACGCGTCCGCCGACCCGGTCAAAAGCTTTAAAAGGAAAAGTCAGCATAAACAAAAGACAGAGAAATGGCTACACACATAACGCGAGTCTTCAGATATGAGTATGGCACGAATATTGTCCGTGTGTCCCACAAGCTTGCCTGAATATACGTGAGATAGACTGCGCCAAGAAAAGATAGGTTTTCTTACCGGTTCTTTTGCCAGAACGGGGGTCCCACAAGCGCACCACACGTTCAGGCGATCCTGATGCGATTGTATGACCGAAAGGATCTGCGGCAAGAGCATAGACCGATGATTTGGCGGCGGAAGCATCTGCTGGATTGAGGGTTACGAGCGGTTGCGGATTTGAAGACCGCGCAAGATCCCAAAGCTTGATTGTTCGGTCAAAAGACCCTGACGCTATCCAATTTTGTTCCCGACTGCACAGATAAGCGTTGAAATAGACGAGCAAATGCAATAAAAGTCATATCACAAACCAGTATGAAAGACAGCGAACGTAGTCACTGTGCGTCCCAATAATGGAGGGATCGGAGGGTGTTTGGGAATGAGGATTCCAAGCCTTGAGGGTTCCGTCAGACGAACCAGAAACGACTATCCATAGTAGAGATTAGAGTACAGCAGATATAACCAAATTTAGAAACACACCTGTCTGGTTGTAATTCACGAGACAGAGGTCATTGACCCATCCAGTCAAAAAATGTAGCTGAGCACACTGGCGAAATGAACTGGGCTGTCCCGCCCGGAAAGACTCAACATCCATTTCCCATTGTTGCTCGTAAGAAAGCGCAGATCCCTTCCTTGTAGCTCGCTTTCTTCTGTCCACAGTTCCAACAACAGTTCCCAATATATCTCCTGAGGATGTTGGATAATATTCTTCTTCCGAGTCTGTTGCATCGTCCTCCCAGCCAGTCATGGCTTCCCACTTGTGTCTTCCCTCATTTTCCTTCGAGGTTCGGTTCTTCATTGGTAATTGCAGGTCCCAAGAAAGCACCAGTCCGTCTCTTCCTCCGCTATACAAGATTCCTTCAGGTGCAGAACGCCCCGCGAGCTGCGTTGAATAATCAAGGGCAAGAGCATTTACTCCAAGTCGATGCCGGGGATGTCGAGACCATTTGGGGTATTCATCGAGTGAATTACCAATGACACCACTGGCTGGTATCAGCAGGGGGCCAGCCGAGCCCAAACGGGAAGCGCCAAAAGAAGGAAGTTCTAACCGCGGAACAGGTTCTGTTGGAGGAGGAATAACGTACGAGACACGTCTTTTGGCGGACATCGATATAGCGGTATCACATCAAAATCTATGTTGAACTCATTGTGAACATTTGCGAGCATTGGCGATGAGCACAATCAATCATTGAAACCTAGGCAATTTCGCGGCCCGCAGCAGCACCCGCCGCCTCTTCCGGACTTGAGAAAAGAGAGGTATTTGCCTGGCAAGCAATAGCAAGTATATACAGTAGTATTATTTGTAGATATACGTAGTGGAAAGGATGGGGTATCAAGCTCAAGCCTGAAGCAATTATTTAACGACGTGCTGTAGGATTCCTCCTCTCAAAATAATTACTGATCGCAGGGTTTTTGTCCGCTTTTCTAGCAGCAAGTTGAAAGTACAAGCGCATTGACAAGTGATGCAACGCAGCTTTTGTCCTAGAGCGTTCGATGTCTGTTCCATTGTCCGCTTGAAGAATCATCCAGTTAATTTTCAGGCCACGGGTGAACGTATGTAAATAACGAACTGATTTTCCTTTGTACAAAGGTTATGCAACGATTCAAATTTTCAAGAGGTGTATCGATTTTATCTTTACTGGGGCTAGCCTGTACGGGATGTTGAGCCTTGATCGCAGCCACAGCCGCTATTTCACTGGGGAAATAACTTGGAATATCTGTCAAAGCAACCGCGAGGATCTGTACATAGTGCCCAAGTTCAACGTAGTCTGTATCAAGGTTGATCTGGAAAGCCTGGCAGACCGGTGTCGCTCCTTGAACGAGTATATCGGACAGGTCTTGGACTGCAGGTGCATGACAGTATTCAGACTAAGAAAAAGATGGCACTCGTATTGAGATCGAACAAGAATGAAGTGAATTAGCCCTCACCTCTGTTACTTGGGTTTTACCCAGAAGCACAGAACGTGCCACCCAACGTGCAATCCGGGTGCTGCGACCCTCGCTACCAGTCAAAAGAGTCACGATACGAGAGATATTGAAAGGGTCGAATTCCTTGATGTAGGTTAGAATTTTCGTGCAGATAATCGGTTCCTATGGAAGTTCCTCAGAATTAGAACCGCGCGTATAGTTTTTCGTAAAGTGAACGTACAATGTCAGCAACGACGTTTGGATCAGCAATCGATTGGAATATGGCGTCTAGTACAACTGCGATTGCAATCTGCAGGGAAGCGGAAGTCGATGGATCAAGAGAAATTGCAAGCAAGATGAGTACGAGTTCAGGGATTTCATTGATATTCAGAAGACGAGAACTGTCAAGATACAATTTCAGCGCAGACTCCCAAACGATGTTAGGAAATGGCGAACTCACCGAGCAGAAGATTCTGTCAACTTGATGAGCCGAAATATAAGGGATGCCCTGCTATCAGCATCTAAATTCGAAATTTTACTGCCGGCCAGATTCAAGAGTTGCGAATACGCTCCCAATCGCGAAACAGCATTCAGAATATCCTGAAGAATGATCCCGGGTTCAGGACTATGAGAGGTGATCCAGACGTTGCGAAGCGCTTCGTAAGCAGCAGATGAAAGTCTGTCGTTTACAGGAGACAACGCTATGAGTGAATCAAAAAACAATATTGAAAAGAAGAGAAGTAAAAGGGGTACCAAGATAGGTCAGATAGCTGGTCACCCCGCGAAGACACTCAGGATTGACCGTAATCAACAATCCAGAGTCCAGAATAGCAATCGCTCGTACTTGGTCTAAGAAAGCATGAGTCCAAGCTCTTTATGGTTCATGAGAACCTACCCCTTGACTTGAGCGCATTGTACAACTTGCGCAAAACGGGAGATTTGGTATCTTCTCCAAAATCTAAAGTAGGTTCCACATCCATGTCCACATCATCGCCGGCCGACGATGTGTTGTCTCTCCAGAACCGAACACCAACTTCGATCTTTCTGCGCTCATCTGCTTGAAGATTCTTTTGTTCGCCATCAAGAATATCCTTGATACCCTCACTCTGTTCCCCAAAAAGACGTCGTCGATTCCCGTCATCCAAATCAACCTTCATGTCATCCACTTCTCTTCCGAGCCAGGCAGCAGTTTTTTGGGAGGGGGTTTCGAAACTATCATACCCATCTTCTTCATCCATTTCGAGGAGCATTTGACTTTTGGGGAGTATGTTTTCCGCCGCTTTGATGAACTCAAGATCACTGCGTCCGCTGCGGTCGTCTTCACGTTTTTCTTTGAGCAATGCAGCGAAGGGATTATGTTTCTTCTTGGTCGCAGCTTGTCGCCTTTCGGACTGGAGTACCGTAGGAGAAATCATCTTGGATTTGGAATGAGCATTAGTACTCCGCGTATTATAGTACGTATTAACTGCTGGAACACTGGGCGCCCTAGAAGAATACTTAGCGAGAAGAAGAGAAGGACCAAGTCAGGGCACTAACACTTCCTTTGCCTTGCCTTTTCCCTTGACATTGATTTCCAAAGGACGCAACTCTTCGTCAGTATCACTATCGCTGAGCGTGTCTTTGAAAGGCCTGATCTCCTGCTCAATTGGACTAGACTTCGCCGCTGCAATGGCTTTAGCTTTTATTGCGGCGATTAGTTCCTCGGTTTTCCTCGCTGTTTCTATGGCTGCTGGTATCGGAGGTAGTATTTGGTGATCTAGAACGGTTGTAGGAGGAGGTGTAAGTTGTTGTTGGGATGGAGGAGGTGTACTTCTTTCTGCGCTAGAAGGTGACTGGTCTGTATTAAAATTCGACGTCGGAACCTCGTCGACATTCATCCTTTCTGGCAAATCAGATAATAGTGGAGATTCATTGCGCCATTTGGCCACAGATTGTTTCGAAGCCTCTACATCGCGTCTAACACGAGTAACACATTCCATTTCCTCCTCGCCAGAAACGCTCCCTGGAACCTCGTCAATCGAGGATGATTCTGAGGATGAAATAAAATTCTTGGTCCGAGACCCGTTCTTCTTGGTCGAAATTTTTTTGGAGGAAAAGGGGGTGGGCGGGATGGCAATAGGTTGACTCTGTGGAGGCACACATCCTGATTCTACGCGACTGTTGGCTTCTGGAGTACTTGATCGCATTTGAAGTCGGTTTTCTGGTGATAAAGCGGAAGTTGAAGGTTCGGTAGGTGGAGAAGAAGTGGTTGGTTTTGGTTGTTGTTTCTTTGGCGTATTGCTTTGACCATCTGAAATATTGTCAGACTTCGATCGAGTGGCCGGCTTACGCGAAAAGTAGTCTGTGATAGGTTTGCTGCCACTAGCAGACGCATTTTTGGTTGCCTTTGCCATGCCGTGCACTCGAACTCAACGTGGACCGTGTAGCTGGTGAAGACGCGTTCCAAATTCAATTCTTCGGTCTAAGCGTGCTACATTCGCACGCCATCCACATCTCAGGGCTTCGCAGGGTCATTTTATCTACAGACTATGTGCGTCCATTCTGCAGTTCTCTTGCTGTATATTCAAATGATCAGAAGAGTTCTACAACTCCTCTGCGGGGAGACAATATACCGACTACTCTACCCTCAAACAACAAATCTTTTCCAGTAAATTCTCTCGCTACGAGGTCGGCATCCTGAGCTTCCAATTCAGCCCCAAGTAACTTCTCTACATTCACAGACCCCAGAGCAATAGCTTCCTCCTTGCTCAATGTTCCGTTCACATCAAGGGAAGTCCAAGCGACATCGAAAGGTAAATTTCTGGCTTCCCATATTTCTGCAATCATGAGACCCACGGTCACATTATGTGCCATCAATTTCTGGACGGCATTGGATGAAAGTGGAGGGCCCGGTGCACTGGCATACCCATCATGAGTGAGGTGACAGTAGGACGAATAGACAGCTCACATTCTACGCCTGTCCCAGGTGGTGGGGAAAGGTCGGGGAAATACAAGTACTCCTACTTTAGCCTTTCCCAAATATTCTGCAAGGAGATGAGCTTCATTCGCGCCAGCTATAGTGAGTTTGATCTGGGATGATTTCGCCGCTTCAACCTCTGCCTTTAGATTCAAGAGAGTAGCAATGACCTATGCCCATAATCATAATCATGAGATCATTGCCAGAAGGATAAATCTAAAAATCGAAAGCAACTCACATCGGCATTGTGTACTTCCACAACCAAAGTTAACGACCCCTATGTATTGACTTTCAGATAATATCAAAGTCGGAATACGCTGCGCAAACCTCGGAGACTTTTCTGAACCAAACACCCGCAGGTCCTTCTGGTGGAGTCATAAGCAATTTCCGCAACGTTGCGATTTGTGTGCTAACGCTTGGTGTGTCGTCGAACCCAATAGCAGTATGCAACGCGGTGACCTCCTGCACCACAGCACCATTCTCCAACTTATGGGAAGCTCCAGTAGAGAACGCCGTTCCAAGACCAAAGAAGAAACCATAGTGACTCGGGGCAGTTATTCCTGTAGTCACACCAGCTCGGTACGCGTACAAAGCATCACGAGTATCGAACAGTAGTCCATCGACCGCCCGGACAATCGAGCCCCCAAGGATCTTCGGTACGCGTTGCGAAAGAGGTTCAAATGCAAAACCATCGTTGGTGGAAGGCTCTTGATTAATATGTTCGAGGCCAAGCGGAGCGCCGTATGAAGTTAGTGCGGGTTCGATTGATCCCCCCTTTAAGTCTACGAAGAACGGTTTAGAGTCGGAGGCCAAAACAGCTTCCGTAAGACATGTAGATTGATTTCCGGTGCATATTAATCGTCCATTACGCGAGACGACTACCCCGCCAGCGATAGCAGTAGCAGAGTAAATTTCCCTGACAGTGCCAGAACTCCGTACGAAAACGTTGCTCACGTTCGCAAATACCACGACTTCGGCTCCTTTAATCGATCTTAAGGGAGGAAGACCATCATATTCCAGCGTCAACTGGGTTTCTTTGTCGAAATTTGGGACTTTAGGACTTCTTTGAAAAGCAGGAGGCTTGTCGGAAATATAGGGAGATTCGAGCTGAGAAATTCCATCTATGAAGACTTGTATTGGTGTAGCACCAAGCGCAAGAGGGTGACTATCCCATATCACCAAATCTGCACATCAAATACTGAGCGAAAAACTTTTGGAGAAAGCTGACTCCCTACCGGCATCCCAACCTGATTGAATTATACTGCTCTGAAATCGAACTCAGAGATAGATGATGGCTCACCCTTTCTAATGTACCCAATCCTGTGACCCATACCTATAGGAGACCTTTGAATAGCAGTCAAGCAACATTCACAATACATGCATACCCATGGTTTCTGCGGAATTGCTAGCGAAATGCAAATAAGTATGGTTCAGGAAACGTGTCACTGATGTCAGTCTTCACCTGGTGATAGAGGCCAAAGCAAGGTTCTCGGGCAAACCGTAGTAATGCGCCTGTGTGGAGACGACATCGAATCACAGAGCCAGTGCACTACACAATCTAGCCCTCACCTGTTGGGCTTCATATAGAAGATGTCTACTATCCAGAACAGGATGGTCGCTCTACAAGTCACTTGGTTAGCTCCGCTTTCTGCGAATATGGTAACAAAGCGCTAACTTTCATCAGGACAGTGAACCCATTTTCAGCCAATATACGAGGTGCAAATTCAGATCCTCTGTAAGACTCCCTCTTGTAACGAGCGTTCGTTGCGAATAAAGCAATCGCGGGAGGTTTGTCTAGGGTCTCCTTAATCAACATATAGAAGCGCAAAAATAAATCGTTATACCATAGGCCCGTTTCAATAATTCAGGTGTTAAATATGTTTCCGAAGCATGATGAAACGCCGCAATGGGAAACTTGAATTCATTCGAAAGCTGCGATTTGGAAGATCATTCATCAACAAGTCATCGAATCTTCATATATGACACACTTACCCTAACCAATCCATCCAAGTCAACGGCTTCGTAACAGTGTATGTTCACCTAGCAGAAACCAGAGCCATCAGAAGAGTGTTCAACCTTGCGCATAAGTCTAAGTTACGCACTTTGACCTTGCCTCGCAGTACATCAACTAGTGATTCCCACTGTAAATCCTCTGGAAAGTCTCCAAGATGCTGCAGGTCGCCTGCTTCTACCTTACTGCAATATTCATCTTGCTGCTTCATGATTTGCGTCGCTTTGTTATAGCTATGGTTCGATGGTTCATGAGCTCATCATATCAGTCCCCGAACGTGATTGACTTACGCTTGACGAAATGCCCAGATCGTGTCCATTCGTGTAGCCGAATAGACCCTACCTACAGGCAGTTCAGTCAAAGTAAATCGAATCATGTAGATAGTCTGTACTCGGATTTTCGCCTGAGAAGTGAATCGCGTCAGACCCAGTGTGGAATCAACAAAGTACTTACCACACGCATGTCTTTTAGATAGGCGTAGCTGGGATGAGTGAAAATGGCATGATACCTGTATTAACACTCACTTCATGTGCCTCCATCGCGGAGGGAGCGACGCGTCCCAAGGCTCTGAAGCATTGATCTGATATGGTGGCTCTAATAACATGGAAGAAGGAGAACGCTCTGTTGTTTGGCGTAACTTTATGACATAGGCTTGGCCACCTATAGCATCAGCAGATCCAGGTAGTACAAGCGAAGTGGTTACACCGCCAGATATAGATAAAGCATAAGAGTCATCATGGGTGTTCAGACCGTCTAGAGAACGCATCCAAGGAAGAATTGTGCCCTTGATCCTGGAAGAATGTAAGAACGTGAAGAGTAAATCTGGGTATAGACACACGAATTGTCGTCTTCTGCACCATCTAGAGCAGGACTCGCTACATACATCACAAGTATATATCAGTGATGAGGTCACGCTATAAGGCAGCTAAAGACGCACGAGCATCACCGAGATGAGAGTGAATATCAACGATCCCTGGGGTCACCCAACGACCTCGAGCATCGATCACAGTCAAATCACTTCCATATGAAGCTGTCCCAAAATGGCCCACGCCCATAATAAGTCCCTTGTCTAGAAGAATGTCGCCGTGAACGGTTTTGGTTCCGTTGTTTAGCCCAGTCCAGATCATCGCATTCCTGATCAAGGTTAGTTTGGTTCCAGGCGCAAAACGGTCGGATTGTCTTCGTCGATGAAAGTTGGGAGGTGGCCCAGGAGCCTGCCTCAACGACTGACAGCGCTGGAGTGCCAAGGGCGCATTTCTAGCAGGGAGGTGGTGCGGTTTGTTGAAGGCGAACGCAAAAGAAAGTAAGACAACTATCAGAAGAAGCAATATCTTTGAACGAGGCTCGTTGACCCTTGTGAAAGCGAGGTAGCCTTTCTCCATCTCAAAAGAGACTGAGAGCTGGCGCTGAGTTCCGTAGCAGAAGAAAAACAAGGAAACAAGTTTTAATTGGTTGACTAACGTGGAAAGCTTGGAGTTTTGCGGTCCGTGTAATACCCGATGTCAAAGCGTACAATCGCGGATTTAGAGCCTAACTGAGTAACTCTTCCTCCTCCTCCTTCTCCTACATACCGTGCCTCTGCATTGCGTTTCCTTAGTACAAAGTTGTTTGGTTAATCGGGGACATACTAGGCCTATAATTCGTAACACGCGCGGGAAATTGATTCTGATTAATCGTTGAATATCGTTGAATGTGTTGGCACTTTTCGTACTATGTAGCGATGACACTGATATAAGACATATTTTATCCTGCAATTTTACACAAAGGTGCTAAACATCGGGGTATAGAGAAGGTAGGTGTCCTTCTTTTTTTGACTAAATTGTGAGACTGAGATGTACCCAGAGAAAATAATCATATCTGCCTGAATGACCTAGCAATTTGTACCGATATTTCCCCATAGTATGTGAGAAGTGTAATTGAGGGATATCGACGAATGAAATTGCAGTTCATGGAAAGAACTAAGTTTGTGCTCCCTTTAAGTCCGAACGAAGTAGATCACCAATATGGAGTAGGTAGCAGGACTCGGGCTGCGGCCCTGCAGGTAGTGTCAGGTCTACTCCTCTTCCTAGAAAGTCTCGGAGGCAAGGATAATCGTAAAGGTGGCACTCATGCTGCAGGGCGCCAAGCAATCGGGTGTTGGAGATGATGTAATCAGGTTTATCCAACGCTCCCGGAGTTCCAGTTTTACTTTCCTCTTTTCGTTCTTCAACCAAGATATTTTTTGCAAGTTTTTGCTCATTATCCTTATTGGCTCTAGTTAGCCTCAATTTGCATGGACGATACCACCTCCTTGCCCGCTTCCTCGAACCAGTCTTTACCAGACCCAATACCTGCTCATCATGCTAGTCCAGTGGTCGCCTTCATCATAGGCCTTGCTATTGTCCTACTTGCCTCCATACTTAACGCTGCAGGCTTAAACCTCACCAAACTCGATCATGTAAAACCACCTTATCTGTCGAGACCTCGTTGGCACTCATCCTGCTTTGGTAGGTTCGAACTAGTGCTATACCAAAAGCTTCGCGACGGAGAGACTGGTTACGACCTCTTTGGCTACTGGGAATGGTACTCTATATGTGAGTCTCTATGAAACTGTTATCCAGACTACGGCTCACTGTTGTTCGTAGATTATCTCAACTAATTGGAAGCACTCTCGCACTGGAATACATGCGTGCCGGTGCGTAATTTGCATTCAACATATAGATATGTTTCTCAAGTTTCCTGTCTATAGAATATGTAGCTCCTTTGGGCTCAACATCTCTCGTCTTCAACTTTCTTTTCGCCAGGTTCCTCGTCGGAACACCCGTTACCAGTACAGACATCTACGTGAGTTTCGCGTGTTTACGCGTGTTCGTCGCTTGATGTATAACCAGGGAACCATCATCGTCGTGCTTGGCGTCATCGGAATTGTAGCTTTTGGCTCGATAAACAGCGGTCTTGCAGCGGAAACAGATGTAGATCATCTAACATATCTCTGGAGGAGGGGTGGCTGGCTGGCTTTCTTCTTCTTCATGTCCTTTGCTTTGATCTTGCTACTGTTAAGCACATCGCAGCTCGATGCCATCCTTGCAGCTCGCTCCGAAATAAGCGCTTTGCCCTTATCCACTGCACGACCCAGTGCTACTCCGTCAAACAGACGGGAAAACACTCTTATCGTGGTGGTTCGCAATATCAAAATGGCTTGGATCTATGTTACGATGAAACTAGGTGACTTCCTGGAGCAATGGAATGCAGCAAAAGATGACAAGACAGTTGCATGGAGTCTGGGTATTGCTTGGGCATGTGCTGGTGGGGGCTTAGCTGGGGGCACACTAGTCTTGTGAGTGGTAATTTCACAATTTTTGCGAAGGCTAATATCCCGCAGTGCCAAGGCCACGTACGTCCTAGATGATGTCCGCTTATCTCGAAAGCCTGATGTTTCACAGTGTCAAGTTACTCTCTGGTTCCCTGTCGCACGAAAACCCTGGAAATCAGTTCGGGCATGCTGCACCCATATTCACTATCATTCTTTTAGCCTGCACTGCTATACTTCAAATAATATGCTTAAACCGTGGTCTCAAGGTGTATGATTCTACTTTGGTCGTTCCCGTGTTCTATGGTGTGTACACCGCAACTGGGTGCGTCTCCTCAATACTTCTATCAGTTCCGCTTTCTGAGAATCCACGCTAGCTTCTTGGATTCACTGGTATGCTTCAAAAGTGAATCTTGTGTTAAAGAGCCTAACCCGTCCATGATCTTAGATTTTCAACGATGAAGTTGATGCCTATCAGTCATGGACCTTATTCCTCATCTTTGTTTCCATCCTCGTCCTCATTTCCGGTGTGGTTCTTCTCACTCACAAAAAACCTGAACCCGGAGCTCCCATGAAATCCGCAACCTTGGCGTCTGGTTCGTTACAAATGCCCAGATTACGCAACCGAAGTTCTCGGAAAGTGTCTGGCTCAAAACCTGATCTTGAAGCCGGCGATCCTGATGATGATGCCAGCGTCCACAGCGGCGAGAATGGGGCCTTGTGGGCTGTCGGAGATGTCAGTGATGATGAAGGGGAAGATGAGGATATCGATCATCACCAACATCCCTTACATGCACACAGAACAGTGTCTGCTGCACGGAGTAATACGAGATTGGCCACGCACGGGGAAGAGGGAAGAGGGCTAATTGAAGATAATCTCGATGATGATATTGAGTCTCCACACGAAAGGTCTCGAGATTCACAAGATAATGGCCGCAGTCGCTAAGGCAATAACGAGCACAATTAGACCATGACATACATAAGTACATGCATATTTATTTACACTAGGAATCATATATGTACATATAAAGTCCAATGCTTCTAATGTTAACATTTCATGCACAAGGAAAAATTCGGAGGCTGCAAGTGAGAATCAAAGATCCAACTCAATGTCCCAAACCGGGCTTGGTTCTCTAGGTGGCTTATACGAAGGCTCGGCGACGGTGTTCCCTTGCTCGACCCCATCATGGGGCTCATTGCCCATAGGCTCTCGAGATGGAGATGAAGCCATAAAGGCTAAAGTGTTCGTTGCATGATTCCGAAACGGTTTCTCGAAGGCGTTTTTGATGTTCTTAACCTTCACTTGGCCAAAACCAGGTAGATTGGAAAGCTGATCAGGTGAAGTTCGCGCGATATTTGCAATACTCTGTTCAGTATTTTAGTTGAAAAGGGTTCATGATACGGCGGCTGATTGACACACATACCCCGAAAGAACTCCTCAGAGTCTCAACATCGGTCTTGTTCACTTTACTGATGCTGGTCAACGAGGTGCGTAACATAGAGGCATAGTCCTTGTCCACCCGTTCTTTGATCATGTTTGGAGGCTTATGTTCGAATTGCTTGAAGATGGTAAGATAGTGGCCGGCCTCTTCAAATCTAAGGAGTCGCTGAGCGTACGGGAGAGGGCATTCATATGCGAGAACCTACGAAAACGCAACGATGACTGTGATGTTGTTGGTTAAGCAAACCTGTACATAATGAGCGACTGAATTGGAAGCCGAATGAAACTCACTTTCGTCAATTCGCGAATGGGATCTTTGTGTTCTGACTTTGAGACGAGCAGTCAACGAAAACGACCGGGGAGGGAAGGTGGTAGTGCTCACAATGTCGGAAAGTATCAATAAGATGCGTAGTGTGTAATGGTGCGCAAGCTTTTCAATGCGTGTATGTATGTACTCCGGATGAAGACGATGATATTTTAAACTGGGCGCAACACATCAATAGGGAGAGGCAAGCAGAGCATTCAAAATACCTTAGGAATAGCACTCCCGTAGTTCGACCGACTTGATAGTCTGCTACGATATCGCCATATTCCTTTCCAACATTGCGAATGCATTCTAACACAGGGTTTCCACGCTGGGAAAAAAGGATATCGCCCTTGTAACATCATCTGAACATTTAAACATTTGCGTACCTGTAAAGGATTCACGATGATATTGTTTCCCGAACCAGGTATCACTACGGGAGGCGCAGGGCGCGATGATGAGGACGAAGACATCAACACAGACGTTGATGCTGCTGAACTAAGTTGTCACAGATTCGCGAAGCACGTGCAAAAGACATGACCGTGGAATATTTAAATTATCATTTAGACGCGATGTAAGATATAGTAACTGTATATACACGATACACATTCCGTTCTATATACCAGAATGTATGCTTAGAGAGGCTTTTCCAGCTGAGCCTTTATGAAGGCTTGTATCGCTGGAAGTCCTTTCATGACAATTCTTACGGGTTGCAATTCTTCTGTTCGAAAATGAGTCGAGAACGAGTGAAGGTTTTTTGCGTTGACATACCGATAGGGCAAAGCACACCGTGTTTCTTTATACTGTGCAGAGCCTCCGGTCGGAGAATATGGTGATTTGCAGATAGAAGTACACACGAACACTGAAGTATCATTATACTTCCCTGTAACCAATAAAATATTTTTGAGATATTTACCTTCGCGTACCAAGATCGAAATTCATCTTTTTTAGGCGTGACTGGGACCTTGGCAAATCCCACGACTTGAACGACAGCCTTGACATATCTGTTGATAGAATTAACTAGACAAAAAGGACGTTGAATACACTGAGCCAGGTCATGACAAGAAATCACTTACACCGCGCATCGATAAGGTTCATCAATGGTTGACATGCTGGTCCGTGGCCAATGAAGACTATCTTCTTGGCACCCGAAAGACTATTGAAGAGCGTTAGTCTGGAGAAAATTTGATACCTTCGATCGACTATTTACTGGATGTAATTATCCCACAGATAAGTTAGCAAGGCTGTCGTATCATCGTAGCGCTCCGCATTCTTCTTGTTTGATAAACGCTGCAACATGTTTTGTTCAATGGGGAATAAATGACCCCCAGAAATGACCCACCTTGCTATTTTGTGAAACAGAAGTGAACGGTTTGGGGTATAGGTTAACATCAAGTAGTGCATAGCCCTCTCCATTTATCCACCTCATCAGCTCTTTTGTAAAGTCAAGCTGCAGAAGCTGTGAGAACGGCGCAGGGAGCTGATCCACATATGTTTACCAAGTAGGAACGTTCCATATTCAGATCACAAGTCATTGCAGACTCGAGCTCTAGCCGCAAATTACCACTGAGTAGTAGAGATTAATCACAGCATGAGCATTCGGGTTGCGAAGACCCACAATTCGTGAGCAAGTACCACAAGAGTTTTGTTCTCAAATAAATCCGGCCTGGTGTTGTTTTTGGTAAATTGAACCAACTACTACATCGAAGTTGCATCACTTACGTGCATATAACTTGCCCAGCGAAAGGGTTTTGGAGAAAGCTAAGCAATGGAACTTGCATCATTTTGTAATTCTTATACAAGTAATGTGCACGATGGGCCTGCAGAACTTCTGTAATCAAGATGAGCGTGGGAACCTCACTCGGGGAAAGGTTTGAACTTACCTGGTATCGAAAAACTGATTGATTCAACCTCTATAGGATTGATGAGCGAAAAAAAAGTTTGTAAACCAGGAAATAATTACCCTCTCGGGGTTCACAACTATTGGCATCAATGTTTTTCCAATACTTGCTCTGTTCTTTTGCCACCAAATACACCGTCTCTGTTGCTGTTTCAGAGGCATGCATTGGTGGTAAAGGATCAGGAGCCTCCCCCAAGATTACTTTGGTAACTGCCAATGCTGACTTCATTGTTGCATTCAGGTTATAGCCTCCCTGAAAAATATCATTACTTTTCATGTGCAACTGTGGAAGCTGATGATCATACCTCTAATGCAACAACTAAACGCCCTCCTGCAAGCCCAGAGAGCATATGGGTCATATGAGCATAGCCTGCAGGAGAAACTTTGCACTCTCCTAATTCATCACCAAGTGCTGCATCAAACCCAGCTGAAACTATGGAGGATACAGGATTGTCAGAGGGTCATAAATGAAAGGCAATTTTAACGCACTGATTACCAACTCAGGAGCAAATTCCATGGCTATTGGCATGACAATCCTCTGGAAAGCATGGATATAATCTGGATCACCCATGCCCTTCTCTGGCCAGGGTATGTTCACGGAACTGATAACATAAGAAACCCCAGTTCGAGACTTTGAGTGGCCGCAACAAAATGCGGACTTACAATCCCAATCCTGAGCCCTCGCCACAAGAAGTCATACCACCAAATTCACCACAGGGGTAGAAATTGCCGCCTTCATACCGATGCAGTGATATATATAACACAGATGGATCATCATTGAATGTCCTCTGTGTCCCATTACCTGACGGCTATGTGTATGAGTATATGCTGCACTTCGGTGTCAAAGCATACCCACCATGGTGTACATCCCTGAAAGCAGTTTGAGTTTCACAAAATGGCATAATTCAAACGCTTACCAATCCAGAATAAGTATTCGTTTGATAGGCGTTAACTCTTGCACCACTCTAGTAGCTACAGCGACATTATTGAAGAAACAGAAACCCATAGACTGATCAGGCTCGGCGTGGTGACCCGGAGGTCGACAAATTGCAAACACTTTTCTTAATCTACCACGCGCAACAGCCAGACATGCTTCAATGACGCCTCCACAACTGAGCCGAGCTGCTCTAGTAGTACCTGGCATCACATAGAGAGAAAGTTGCTCATAGTATGCTTCGGAGTCAACAATCTGCTGTTCCGACATGTCTGAGTATGTTGGTAGTTAGTTGATTATGCCATAAGAAAACGCGTATCATGTATGTGACTTTGTATCGAGACAGATATTTGCAGAATTCGAGAAGGGGACTAGAACTTACACTGATATGCCTCAATCAAGTCCCAAGTAGTTTGACTATGAACAAGAAGAGCTTCCGCCTTTGTGACGGGGCGTATGGGGAGCCACTGCATTTTGGTGTTGTATTTTCCGTCAACAATGGCCTGCCAAATACGCGTAATACGTTCTGGGGCTTCTTGATGACCACGGGGATTGAAGTGAGAGGTCATTTCGGAGGAGTAGACGTAGCCAACTGTCAAATCCCTGGGTGGCTGAAAAGGTACAGAGGCTGATCGTTGCGGGGCGCGTTCATCAACATCAACATCCATCGCTTCGTGATTGTCAGCCATGATTGATTCTGAATGTCCTGACCGAAAAAGTTAGAACTTAGTAGGAAATGGTAGAAGGAGAACGTGAAGTTTGCACATATTTACATTTTGGCTCGCGTCAAAATTTCTCACCATACAAAGCGTTTAAGCGCGCGGAGGCACTAACACTCTTAATGCTACTGTATGAGACTCAGATTTAAACATGGAATTAATACGAATCTACTATATCTTGTCATACACTTGGCCGGGGGTCTCCACCATTATCCGGGCTATAGATACACATAAGGTTGTTTCTCCCGAGGTTGTTGTCCCAAGGAACGAAGCTATCGTCAGGCAATTTCAGGTTGCGGCTCATGGGGTTCATGGAGTTCGTAATTTTCCTGCGTTTCTTGGTATATCGTCATCATACTACACACCGAAGATGTTAGAATATGTGTGCACGAATAACTGAGGCAAAGTCATGGGCGTACTATGAGGTCCCAGGTCTACTGTGATCATTGGTGACTACTGTCGTGAATTCAGGCAATTCCGTCGAAATGTCAGGTTCTGCAATTGGAAACTTCTGTAAATTGAGAATGAGGCGACATTCCTAATAGTAGTTTGCGATGAATACGACCAGGTAATCAAATAAATGGGAACAGATAATACACACAGTAACACTTATGATGCTGATAGACCATCTGGAAAAAATATGAGCGACACATTGTGACAGGCGGGGGTAGAGTATGACATACACGTATTCAGAGGGAGCAAACGGCTCTTGCAAAATATGGTAAAGCGCCATGAGCAATGAAAGTACTAGAGGCTAGTTAGCAGATATTATGAGAAAAGAAATGGCGACCGAACATACAAAAAAATACAAAGAATGCCAGCGTGCCGTCGCGAAGCATCAGTTTTATTATCCGCGTTCCTTCCCAATGCCCGCGTTTATACATATATCTATATCTTGCCACCGACAATACGACCAGTACTGTCTGTGAAACCAGAGTAGAGATGCTAAAAGGGTGATGTTTTAATTGGGGACTACAGCGGAACGAAATCTTCGAACCTAAAATATTCAAAAGATCCTGGTGTGGTCGTTATGATCAACGAAGGATTGAAGGAAGGTGACGGAAAGGTGAGGCCAATTCCCAGAAAGGCAGCGAAAACCTCCGCCAACATCAAAGCGATGAATCCGTATTTGACCCATTTATTTTTATTGTAAAGGGCATATACTAGTATTGTTTTCGTTAGTAGTCAAAGAAAATGAGTTGTACTACAGATAACTCACCTCTGGCTATCATAACAATTTCTGCTCCAGCCATGATCGAAAAAGCCAACAATCCCTGCAACGCAAACCATATTCTGAGGCTATTGATATGCAGGTGCATTGTGCTGTATGTTACGATGAGTTCTAGCACTCGTCCAGCGCTTGGACACGAAGGAGTCAGTCTACTTTGCGAATTCGACAAAGCATGAGTAATTAGTCACTCACAATAACAAGCTCAATGCGCCATAACGAGCTAGTAGAAAAGCCCATTTGATCCAAGAATGCCTTGGTTTGCTGCCGTCATTGTGAGTGAGGGAAAATGAGGTCAACGTTATAGCCCGTCTACCTCCAGATAAGATCGACTTCATCATCCAAAGTGATTAGAATTTCCCTATAGCGCCTTGGGTTGGTTCAATGTCATCAGTTCAATGAACAGGGCTCACCAGACTAAAAAGAAGAACGCGGCCCCTACGTCAAATGGGTCCAGCACAAATTGAGCTTGAAAGAGAAACGATTAAGGGGGCTTTGAGTACCTGTACTGGATTCTAAATCTGTAATGAGCCTGCTCGCTGGAACAGGCATACAGAGGCTCTAAGCCAATTTGACCTGTTATGCCAGCTCTGAGTGTTATGGTACTCGTCAGAGTGTGAGCGACCAGTCACTAAATGGCGGTTCAAAGCAAAGAATCGTTCACTTCTCCATTTGATATTAGTGAATTTCTATGTGCTAGGGTCAACCGTGTGCGTGGATGATGGATGATGATCAATTTCTATTGGAACGCTCCCGGATGCAGTTCAATCAAAATCCCGTGGATATTCGGTGGCATACATTTATCGCCGAGCCTCCGTGAATACGTCATCCCGCCTCCGTCCACCCTCGTCCACCTCCGTCCTGCAATGCAATGTTCTGCACTTCGTGAACCTCCAGGCTCGTTTGGTTTTTGTCGTGCGATCTGGTTGAGGGGCACGCAAAGACGCGAGTGCAGATATTGGTTTATGGGTTTGTCCCAAAACGCTACCTTACTAGAATGCTGCCAAGTACTAATGAAACGAACCGTCTGATTAACTGGCAATTAATCTGTCAAATTTGATTCCAATCAAACCGGATTCAAACTTCGATTTTAAGCATCAAGAGGCGTCAAATCCAAGTACGCACTCAAGCTCAAGTTCCGGCCAAAACATTCTGCCCGGGGTAATCGATATCCTCGTGTTCGTCGTGTGAAGCGCTACAGAACTAAGATCTTTGAATCTTCTGGGTGTAATGAGTCTGTGAACGTCGTCGGAAGAGGTTTGGCAGCAGCTTGGGGCAATTGACTTTTGACGTTAGATCGGCCGGGAGCAATTGCTAGGCAAACGCCACCTACCCTCACCCGACCCGGTTCTCCATAGGGTTCTCCTCCTCTACTATATTCAACATGAATCCGCGGTACACCTATGTACATACAAGCAACATGATACATTATTACAAATGAATATCCAAAAGTCCAAACGTCAAAAAATATTTTCTAGATTTATGTATAGTTCCATTCTGATCATCGGAGTTCTGGCGATTCAGTGAGAGCATACCGCGGAAGCGGGTCAATTTCATGAGAAGTGGGAGGACCTGCAGCTGTTTTGATATCTCGGTTTTGTTCATTGAAATTGCGACTAGGAGAGGGAAGAGCATCATCATCCTGCTCATGTTGACGTAAGAGTGATTTCTCGTCTTGCGAAATTTGTTCATGAGTCCAGGAGCCTCCGCCGTATCCCTCTTCGATAGCGGGGGCTTCATCATGGGCAGCATAAGAAGAGGGTCCGGCTTGGTAAGAGGGGTATCGTGGATGTTCTGTATCCTCGTACGGGTTGAATTCTGCAGTCGACGGCGTCGTATTATACACAAGGTTTTTTGGCATCAAAGAAATGTCATCTCCTTGGTCTTCAGATAACGCCGAGTATCGTCCCCTATCAAAGCTGGGCATCATTGGACTTCGACCACCGCTAGATCTGCCTGCTCGGTCAAGGAGAACCATGCGAGATGTCCGCGCAGTCGACTTTTCAGTCTTGATCTGATGAACGTAGCGCGTGACAATGAGCGCGCCGTCTGTAGTGCACCGCAAAAATTAAATGTGGGCCGGCAAAGAAGGTATTAGAAGCAACGCACAAAGTTCTATAAACAACACGAGCAAAGCAACGACGATGTATATAGTCTTGAAGTCCGAAAAGATCCCGGTACATTGAGCTTGTGCACCAGCGTTTTTAACCGTATCATCACAAGCTTTAGCTATAGCAGTCGAAGAAAAGTGCAAGACGACGTAGAGGAAGAAGCCAGCGACAGCGACATTGACGACGAAATGAACGTATATGAAGTAGGTGTAGATGAGAATGAAAACCTGTTTTCGAACAATCGCCCCGATAAATCTACGGATCGGAATGTGGATTGAATAATGCGATTCCGGAAATAGAAATATGGTCACCTACCCAACAACCGACGCGATGAACAGCAATGTCTCGACAAGACCAGCCAAAATGAAAGCCGTCCTTTCATGAGGATCCATGGAGCTTGACGTGTCTCGAGGAACGTAAGCCCATCGCACGTTCGACAGAGTAATATTCACATACCAGACACCTCAAACCAAAGCAATATAGACAACAACCCTCCAAACAAGATACCGAGAAACTGAACGTTCGTAAAGATCGCCACAGTAGGGAAGAGTTCAAAGACAAGCACGCACAGACATGGAAATAACGCCAAAACGAACCTGAAAGTTATATGATCATGAAGCATGACTGAATGTGTATTTACGACGTGACATACGGGAAGACAACAACAGAATGTTTTTCCATGGAAAATAGCGTCCTTAAAATATATTTTGGCCATGGAGATCGAAAGGACACGACGGTGACAAAATCTGGATGAGGGAACGGAGAAGAAAGATATTTAACAATGCAAGAAGCTCGTGTCACTGCACTGCCCGGCGCTAGACAGGACTTTATTGTCCCAGGTATTCCTAATTGGGCAATGATAATCACCACGAACTTGGTGAAGTCCTGGCGAAGTCGGACTCGAACGACACTTATCGGGATACTTGTACATATCATGTCCTTCCAAAACACCAGTGCTGTACGCTTAGCCACAGGGTAGGAGTATGCAGTACACGGTGACCGCTGGCAGACGCGCTCGGCATAGGGCATGCATTCGACTCGACATGTATCCTGTATTGCAAAGGCTATGAGAGGCTCTGCAGATACCAAAATTATCGATGATGATGTCCAAAGAACAAGAATATTCATTTAATTAGGCGCGCAGAGCGCTTGGTCAGGTGCACAGGTTCCGTAGATCTTCAGACTCGTACGACGACAGAGGCCCTTCGGTTTCGAAGTGTCCCCGCAATAACATTCAAGAAGGATTGGATATATGTGATGCCCAGACGCTATCATGTACAGCGAAAGCATATCATACAAGCCGTAAGCCCTCGATCATTGTATAGTCTCTAACGACTAATTACCAACTTGTGCACAGCTCGACGCCCTCTTATACCAACTGTTTTGCTTCTCTTTCTACCTATCGCCATCGTTGTTCACTATGTTTCTTCGACTATCTGCTCAGCTCGTGTGTGCGACGACGAGAGAACTTTCCCCAACAATGTCATTGGGAAGCTTCTTCTTCTTTCCCCTCTTCAGCAACAGTTTTAGCGTGTGGAATCACGCTACAGTTGGACCGACAGAAGGCAGAGCGGTCGTCCTGGATTTCGTTGGACTCGGTGTGTTTTCAGTCATGCCCATGTTACATTCAAACTCATACCCGGAACCATTAGCTTATGCACCAACAAAATTCCAGTTGCTATTCGTTGATTTTTCCATCATTTTCATGCAGGTGCTACTCACAATTATATCCTTCGAAATGCACACCTCAGACAGTAGTACGGCGGATTCCAATGACTACTTACTCCCGGCACCCACATCACCTATACCACCACTCCTCCCGGCATCGGTTTCGCTTGAAACGACATTTGCCAACCAAAAGGCATTCGAAACTCCGAATAACGAGCCACAATACATTTTGGACATACGAGTCTCATCCATATTTGCGCGTCTACGAAGTACACCTGCCATGTCCCGCACTTCCAATTCACAGGATACACTCATACCATTCCCCAATACGACTTCGTGGCCTATCCCAATCACAATGTTGATGCGAACGGCAGGTCGACGCCGCCAAACGGCAACAGAGAGAGCTAATGCTCCTTCGAGAGATACAGGGGAGGACCGGGACAACAGGACGGTCCCTGGAGGAATGAACACTGAAAACCTGGATTGATGTATTGTTGGCCTGTTATTCGAATAATATGTACATTATACAGCACATACTCGCGGAATCATCACTTTCGTTTCATCTGAGGAGGTCCGATGAGTTTTGTACCAGTGAATGTTCAAATTCAAAGCCTACTGCTTCACGAAGACACTGCCCAAATTTAGCAAATTCTTCTTTGCAGATGTCCTTGCGGACGTCGGTATAAGTTGCAAGAATGCATTTGCCGTATACAGAGGCTTGTTCAGCGCATGTGGTTGTTGCATGGACCGCAAGTCTTTTCAAAGGCTTCGTACTAGTAGTGGCAGTCAATGTCATAATTCAATCTTCGCAACACAGCCACCACTCATTCACCTCTACCACCATTGCAAATCCTTGAATTCGGGTTGAACCTTGAGCACCCACTAGACACCCACTCCTGCTCAGGCTATGTTGACATGCTCAATATCTTACTCCTAATTGCTTGCATATGCATTACAATAGCTTCTTTCCTTTATTTCTTCTACTTTAACCGGTTAATTGCTTGGTTCATCGGGCTAGTCATTCGTCTGGTGTATTGGAACGACGGAGCGTCCAGTATATGGCTTGAAATTGGTGTGTGTTCGCGATTACTGCTTAATAGTCTCGTCCTGATTTCTCTTGCTCAGGATCTATTCATTTCTCCATCCTTAGTGGAAGGATACTCTTCAAGAATGTACGCTACCATTCAAGTAATCAAACTGTCAAGATTGTCAAAGGCCAAGTTGCCTGGCGGTATTGGATACGGCGACCAACGACTGAAGAGGAAATAGGAATGTCTCTAGGAGGAGGGGGAAGTGCGTTTCTCGCGTTCTTGCGTCTGTACAATGCAACGAATACTCAAGATTTTTGTCCAGAAATCGCTCCTAGGGATTCTTCTTGTCGCATCCAAATAACGTTGCACGGATTCGAATGGTTTTTATACAACAGAACGGCTGCATATGATAATATCCTGGCACAAATGCGATCTCATAATCCTGTGAACTCTCAAAGACGCACTTCGTTACACAAGTCTTCCGGTTAGCCGTTATATATTTCTATGATCCAAGTAACCCGACCAATTAGCTTTTCATGGTGCATCTGTAGGCCTAAACACGCCTGTCGCAGCCGCGTCGCTGGTTCCCAGCTCTTTACGTACTCGCACGCCAATCTTTCTTACCAATTTGGTAACATGGATTCGAGGACAACTTCCGAACCTTGACCCGAAGGATCTACTACCACTTGGCATCGATATAAACAAGGGCGCTATAATTTGCGGAAATCCTTCCACTCCCAATCTGCTCGTGGCGGAGTTTCAGCATGGGTCAGGTACTTTTGGGATTGTTCCAGTACGCCGTTGCAAGTTTTAACATGGTGTTATGTTCCTAACGCGATTTTCAGTCGAGGTCGAAATACGATCTGTATAAACAGATGCTTACGCTGAAATTCAAACAAGCCCTGGTTCAATTTGTGGAAAATGAGCATTACCGCGACTCTATGACATCTACAGGAGAAACCATTGAGAATCAAATCAACAAGTACGCTCTTCCATACTTGCTACACCTCTTGGTCCCACGTAAACTATCATAGTTACGATCTCAGGACACCCTCCACACTGGCTTCCTACCATACTTTTGCCAAGATCTGGGATAGCCTCAAACTTTATGCTCCTGTTCTCAAGTATCTATCAGCGAACCCCCGCCGTGTTATGCTCCCGACATCGCATCTTCGAAGAAGAGCCAACAAAAAGAGTCTAGATGAAGATACTCCCTTGGGGATTGACTTCTCCAAGTTTGAGTATGCAATTGAACGAAAGATTCTTGAGACATCACTGCTGGAATTGTGTTATTATACGGATGTCGTTGGTCTCGTCCCTAGAGCCTCAATCACGCAACCGTCTGCGTCCGATCCTTTTGACATCGGTAATGGTGATATTGGGCCAGAGTGGGGAGTGGATATCGCTGTGAATGATGGGACTTTGAAATACGGCCCTTGGGCAGACAGGCAACGGTATGTCGGCCACTCTATCCTTGCAAAACAGTCCTCTAAAAGCAAATCTACAGGGGAGAACTACAAAGAACATTTTTCCCTCCCGTTTATAGCGATTCGCAGGAAAGTCAACGCCTACAGCCTGGCGATTCACGAGTCTGGACCGCTATGCGTGTCTTTCTAGAACTTCGTGGCGAAACGACTCTGCATGTTCCCCTGCGTGAGAGCTCGAAGGTATTCGATTGCTCCTTGGTTTTCTAGTGTCTATGACTGAAGTAGGTCTTTCTCAGAACTGGCAATGGGATGGAGTCGTAAAAGAAACTGAACGACCTAGAAAGCGAGAACCTGCCTACTTGCACCTTACCGCTGGTGATCGGTCATCCATAAGCTACCTTATGCCTATGGTCGCTAGTAAGAGAGGTTACGAACCTATCCTGGAAGTCCATCTCGACACAGTGACTATGACTTCGAGTTTGAATGATATTCGACTCGTCTCTGCTGAATCATGTCGAGTACGGAGTCTGCCTCTCCCATACGATTATCATAGATTAATGTATCAACAGGTTCATTGTGAGCTACCATCTCCACTGAAATGGAAGGCTCAACGTACCTGGAACGTCGGTGTAACTCTCCGGCGACCGACTTTGTATTTAATACGCGACCATATTAATATGTTTACCGATTTGGGGAAGGATTGGTCCTCAGGCTCTCCACACGATTACCAGCGATTCATTCCCATGATCTATCAAATTCAATTGGATATGCATTACTATGAACTCAATCTTTATGCAAATGACCAGAATATCATCGACAAGCCGCTTGTTGAGGACGAGAACGGTATATCAAAAAGTTTTTCACCTCCAAGGTTAGAGCTAATGTATATTGGTCAGCGATTTTCACTCTTGCTGGTGTACGATTCAGTTTCAATACGACCATCCCCTCGAATGTCTACCGACCAGAATCCACGACCGTTCCGCTCTCAATTGATGTTCCTGATGTTTCTCTGAAACTCTCTCTTCCCCGTTGGAACACGAATGCATTACACGCGCCAAAGAAAGGCAATACTTTGGCTAAGGTAGGATCGTTCCACATGGATGGCTCTTACCTGTATTTTGCCGATTTTCATGAAGAACACGTCGAACAACTCGTCCTGACGATGAAAGTAAGTCCCTTTTTGCAACTGAACCTGCCGTTTCCAACCAATATTGTTACGTCAGGTCCGCGATATCATCTTCAAAAGTTTAGGCTGGTCTATCCGCTACTTCATGATACTACGCGACAACTACCTCGGCTCCTTCACACATTTCTCTACCTTGTACGAATATCTGCGTAAACAGAAAAGAGGTGCTCCACTAGGCGATCCTGTTGTACAGAAATTCCGCCCCAAAACGGCATGTATCGCTACGTTAATAATTCTTCTTCCTAGCTCATTGATTGCATTCTCTAGAATAATATGATGCAGGTCGAACTCGGTATCAATGTATTGGATGGCTTTATTGTTCTTCCCGTGGGACTCCCGGGGTATGAGATTGGTTTAGATATGCCCGCAGCACCACCGAATAGCATCGGGCGTTGCGTGGTTATCACGATGCCGGAACTCAACCTACAGTTACGCTTGCACGATTTGTATATGGGTGAGTAGGACAGAAAGTCTTGCGTGATTCGTCATACAGTGTTGAATTCATTTCAGAAATGACCCTCAACATTGGGACCATTAGTAGCAGCATCGAAGAGCAGTTTCCCGAGACTCTTACCTATCCAGAAATCAAGGCCAAGAAGGCGCACGCTGTTCTGATTGTCGACGGTAAACGACTTATTCTCAATACTCGCCCGTGATATGCTGATGCGATTATTGCTCACAGGCATTGACATCGTTGCCAATAGGTTGTTCGGTCCAGTACCTCGCACCATCACTTATGTCTGTCTTTGGGAAATTCACGTGGGCGGCATCAAAGCCTCGTTATCTGCTTATCAAGCGACTGTCTTCCAAGCCGCTGTTCGAGCCCTTGGAATCAACTTCACGGATCCTCTTAATGCACCTGCCGATCAATATCAGACTGGTATTTATCCTGACAGTATGTCCGATTCATCCTGTTCAGAGATTGTATCTGATCATAAGTAATCAACAGTAACATTCGTGAAAGTCTCTTTGGAAACAGTCGAGATTCTCTGGAAAGCAGGTTGTGCGACAGCGCACGTTTCTGTACACAAAGGTCTGAAATTCGACTACAATGATCTTGGAGGCCAATTCCACAAAAAACTCACCAGTATACGATTACCCCACCTCTCCGTCAAGGCACTCCTTGATTATAATGCATCTAACACTTGGCTTGAAGCTGCCGAAATCGTCACGGATGTCTTTCTTGACATATATTCTTCGCCCGCTGGCTGGCATGAAATGAGCGCAACACAAGCAGATTTTGTGTGGGAGCAGGATCGACCCACTGGGAGAGTTGACCAACTCATAACTATGTTGAAGACCACGCGATCTGTATCAGGTCAGTGGACTCTAACCTCGGCCTTTGCTATAACCATGGTAATCGCGGATCCAGGAATTCGTAAACACTTGAAAAATGTCTACATGCCGCAGCCTACAAACCCACGTCAAAATGCTTATTCGCGGCGTCACTATGAACATCATCCGCGAAGTGACATTGGACCAATCGACGACGTAGTTCAGTCCTCTGAATCGGACGGAGAAAATCCTAGCGGTTTCGCAGATACGATACGAGCTGCTCGTCCGCTGTATGTTGTCTACGAGTTTTTCTATCGAATTTGCTGGTGAAACATTCCGCCCATAGGTTTAGCTCACATACTCCGGATGAAAAAAACGAGGAAGAAAGCTTGAGTATCGGAGACGAATCCGACAATGAGGATCTCACAGATCGTTCGGATGGCGAATGGTCAGATTCAGGTATGGTCTCAAGATCACGTTTTATCCAGTGATTGAATTTTGTCAGATAACGAACCTGACTCTAACGCTCGCGCCCTCAAACAATATGTCCACCTTGTAAGGCACTACATTCTGCACCGTGGTGATAGCCCATCACTCTGGGAAGAGGGACCTTTCATACCAATAAGAGTGAATGGTACTCTCGTTCATACAAGTATGATATCTTCTTAATCAATTTTAATATACAGGAAAATCAATTCGCATATGCGAAGAAACATCTCAATGCTGAAAGATCGAATTGGACACCCTTCGCTTTCGAGCCCCCGGATAATTCGAAGAATACCATCACAGTCAAATTTTCTCAACACGACGGTATTGATCTCAAATTGACGCCGTTGATCGTCAACGTTCTTGAGGCTTTACAGTCTGATCTCGAGTCTACAGTGGGTGTCTCAGCGGGCTGCCCTCTTTCGCCAATCTCATACGTTTCTTTAGCATTTCAACGCGGAATATTTGACTGACAGATGGTTGTCTTCATACATTGGCGACTTTCCAGATCCTTCCAAACCCAAGGTTTCCAGTCGCACAATCTTGGACATTCACTCTGAATCCGTCGCTTTGCACGTATTGCATCGCCTTGACGTCATAGAAAACGGCCCTGTTCACAAAAACGACTATTCGGGGAGATTTGCCTACCTTGTATTCACTGCTTCGAACATCCAAATTTCCGGAAATGTGTCTGTTGAGAATCGTTCTATTGCCGCCCGCTTCGCTCGCACGGATATGGATTTGACTAGCGTTCACAGCGATGGGCGCGCCGCAGCAAAGCAGCCAGCCCTTTCCTTTTCTGTCCTCGAATTTCAAACCACACTGTTCAAAGATAATCATGAGTTTTCCTGCGCGAAATTGACGGCGGAGCTTTCACACTCACTCCCCTCATTGCTTATCTCTGTCGCCAATGCAGTCGAAGGTGATCTACCTCGACTGGTTAGATTACGGAAAAGAGCGAGCGAGTCTTCCTCTAATGTGATTCGATCCACCATCTACCACATCCTTCATTCTTCTAGCAATGAGTTGGTCATTGATCCTTTGTCCACAATACAGCCTTCTTTCCTGGTTCAAGTTGGTCTACCGCAGATGTTACGCGTCGATCCGGCGTTTCGATTCCTTTTTCATTTACGCGATTGTCTTTGGCGTCTGCGAGAGGTCAATCCCACCTGGGATATGGACCGGATCGAAGCTCAAAAAGTCACGATAGATGATGTCACACCTCTTTTAAGGGATCGCCTCCTCGCTTTGGATCCAGATGCCTACCACACATCACGATTAGAGTCCCTTCAGCCTTTGCTCCCCTTCATTAAACCTGCGACGAATCGGCGAAAGGATGAGACTCATTTCTCATTCTCTTATGTGTCAATCAAACTAAATTCTGTCGAATTGAAAGTCGCTGACTCAGAGAATCGGACCCCCTGCCAGATATCCTTATCTGACATGTTTTCCGGCTTGCGCTTAAGACATCACCAACTTTTGGATGAAGAGGATGAATTTCGTAGACTGGCAGCTTCACAGACGTCTCTCCGTTCCAAGTCACCTGACTTGGTTCAGAGAGCCTCAGTTTCCATCGTTCTAGGGGACATTCAGACAACAGTTTATCCTTATCTTATAAACTTTGTTCAAGAAATCATCCGGGCTCAGAAACTCAACGCAGGTGCTTCTTCCGCCAAAAAACTTAAGAGAGCACGGTTCAAACCATTCAATGTGGTGTACATTCATGCTGTTCTTACTATCAAACGATTTCGGTTGCGCGCTTCAGCCGAGAAGTTGACGTTCGAATTCGGGATTTCAGAATTACGCCACTCATCAACTGTTCTCATCCATCATCACTCAAAAAAGCAGTCAATGAACCATTCACTATTGTTTACAGAGATGTTTATAAAGGCTCGTGCAACGTCTGAGCCTCACGAACACGATGATCTCGCGTCACTAACGATTGCAGATTCTCTACTGAGCTCTGTGATGCGAAATGAAACACTGGATCAGAGCATCAAATTGGCGTTTAATTTGAAAGCTCTACGCTTCAGCGTTCCACGCAGTGCATTGCGACTCTATCATTTCGTGGAGCAATGGAGGGCAGACTTTCTCTCGGGCATCGAGAGTACAGTGCAAGCTCTTATATTAGAAGTCAATAAACCGTCTACAAATAATGCCCGTCTCCCCCAGTCACATTCAACCTTTCCAAAGTCTTCGACTCTCCAGATCGATGGCCAGGTCTCATGTGCCGGCATTTATCTGCGCGTCATGCACGATACCTGGCTTTCTTGGGAAGTTAATGATATTAGCCTCTTTCTAAACTCTCTGGCAAGAGCTCGTCAAAGATCTCATGAATTCGGTTTACAACTCTCATCACAACTCTTCGCCGTTTCCACGGAATCATCAGAGCCTTCCTACAAAACTCGCGTGAAGTTTGAGTTTCCACCTACTCTTCTTTCTGGTCATATCGATCAATCATCTATCCGTATAACTTCGTTCATACACTTTCTGGAATTGAAAGTGAAACCTTCCTACTGGGATACTTTGTTAGCGGTACAGCAAAAGTTTGGCCAGGATTTCAATGATCTACTGGTGGTGATCCAGCAGACACGATCCAAAAGATTCCCAGCTCCTCCGGCTTCCCTTTCAAAACCCGAAACTACTACACAGACAGACTTTTCAGTGTTCGTACAGATGGAAGGGTTTCGCATTGGCTTTGAAGGGCGATCCTCTGTTTTGTATCTTGAATGTCCTGGTATACGATCCAAATTTGAGGGTGTTCCCGAAAAAGCTTGGTCTGTCGTCGTGACTGACTTGGCTCTTTCTCTTGCTCCACGTTTGAGCATGACCCCTCACTCATTTGGGCTTAACAGACATCAACGCAGCGCATTCGTTATCATCGATTTCAAGATTCAATCAGAGAGCCAAGGATCTGGGAGTGAAGCCCTTGAAGTTGTCGTTACGAAGATTCATGCTGTGATGCAACCAAGCTCAATTGGGGAAATGGGTGATTTCATAGATGAACTTCAGGTGAATCTACTTCTTTAAACGGGTCTTATTCTGGTTTGATCGATAGCCTTGTACAGGAGGAGATGATTGACCGTCGTGAGCAGCGCACTCAGGAACTAGCCGCATTCAAACAGAAGACACAACGCCTGATTAAGACTTTCGAAATCAAAAATCAAGAGCCTGCACTGTCTGATAGGATTTCATGGCTGGACAACTACATCATCCAATTCTCGTTGAGTAACATCGGAGTCGCATTTCCTCTCGCCCATGATCACGATATGGACTTGCCCCCGTTAGGAAGTCATGACTCCACTGCGGTACGGGCATTCTTGTTTTCCATCAAATCTGTGAAGTTCGGAACGCAACGTGGAGAAACTGGTGAAGCGGGAATGGAAAGCCTATCGTTCCAATTTGTCCCTCGGTATATGTTTTCTAAACTCCTTAGTGTCAATGAAGCTAATGGATAATCTCTAGCTTCAGACAATCTGTTCCCACTGATTTTTTGGGTGAAACCCATGATACCCGGAATCGATTGCTATACCCCACAATGACAGCTCAGCTCAGGTCCTCGAAGTCCGCAACGTTCAATCAAATCTATATGACTGCCACAGTCAGTGGATTCGTTTTGAATATGGATTCGACCATTCCGGATTATGTGTTTTCGCTGTTTGATGTATATCGCCACGGCAAAGAGCGTGTCCAAAGGTTATCTGCGAGCATACCTCGAGGAGGTTCAAGTATACCGAACGCTGCGGTATCCAACAGGCAAATTAGTCACTCCGCCGCCTCTCCCGATATATTTGCCTCTCTCACTTTTCAAAGTGGTAAAGTATGCATGTTCAGTACGGATGCTTCAAAATCCTCCCGAATCAGAGCCTACAGCGGGACATGGGATCGTCCGGAAGAACCCATAGGAGATGTTGAAGCAGAAGTTTTCAACCTTCCCGTAGTTTCTGTTTGGGCAGAATATCGAGCTGCGCCACCTTCTAGGCAGGGATCAAACACAGAAATAGAGCCGTCGATATTGATATTCAAAAGCACGGTCCACTCTAGTCATAACACGCTCCGACCCATGTTGCTACCATTCGTTACAGAGGTCGTCACCCATGTCGAGGCAAGACTTCGTACTTCAACTCGCATAGATTTGCCCTCGTTAGCAGTAGAGCCTGCCGTCCAAACCGAGGTTACTCCTGTTCCTAATGCTACTTCCACCCTTCGCATGAGTTTCAGTCTCCGCATCGATCAATCTCGATTAGAGCTGACTTGTTTACCTGATGTAAATGTTGTCGCCGCTGTTAATTGGGACAGTGGAGGGTTCATGGTGAATGTTTTACCTGGTTCTCGGGACGTCACCTTTACTGGAGTTGTTGGCGGATTGACTATTGGACTGAAACACGGATTCTTGAGTGAAGACTGTCTCAAATTAGATGCTCGTAATTTGGCCTTTTCTGTGGCTTTGGGAAAACCGTGCTTCCAGGATAGGCCAATGCTCACATCTATCTCTTTGGTGGTCGACACAGAGTTTCTGGGGGCTGTTCGGTTTTCTCGACTACAGGATATTCTCTGCTTCAAAGCCGTTTGGCTTGATCGAATACCTGTTTTCAATACACATAACGACAATGACGATTTGTCTAAAATCAAGCCCAATCACGCTCCTCCTACTACGCCCAATAATAAACCGGAATTTGACATTGCGATACTCGTTCGCATCCGTCGAATCAAGTTAGAAGTTGACCTTGGGCAATCCATCAGTACAGTAACTTTACACCTAGAAAACTCTAATCTACGCACCAAACTCACCCAGTCTTTCCATGAATTGTCCATTCGGGTTGGTCACCTGGCAATTACCGCAAAAGGCAATGTGGCCGGTTATGCCAACGTGCCGAATTGTGTATTTCAAACCATACAATGGGTTGGAAAACCTCCCGTCGAAGATGGTACTCGGGATCGCATGCTGGAACTTCGTATGATGAGTGGACCGTTGATTGTCATGCTTGAATCGGACTATCAGAAGTTGCTGCATTACCGGTAAGCGCGCACCGTAGTCGGGCAACATGGTTACTGAATGTGAAATGGCTTTTAGAGCTGAACCTTTGGAAGTCGACATCCTCGATGATTGGTCCATCCCCAAATCCAGTCAAACTGATCGTCCTTTGCGTCTGTCGTTTACAGTCAAGAGTAAAGAAGTCGTGGCAATCGCTACTGTCGGGACTATTCCAAAACTCCTAGCGTACGCGAACAAGTTCAAGGCGAACCTTGAGGCTCAAAGAGAGGGAGCGAGCAGGGAATCAAACACTTTCCGAATATCCAGAGCACCCAAACCTGATAATCCTCTGTCTGCAGTTGCCGAGGCCATGATAACCTCAGCTCGAACTCGTTTCAAAGAAGCTGATGCTATTTTGTCGTATACTATCCGCCAGCACATGAGTTTACGTCTGGATTTACTGTGCCTCGTCGTATTCCCTCGGACCATGGGAGACGCAGAGGTTGCACAATTTGTAGGCCAGGACGTTCGCGGTAGGCTCAATCGTCTAATTGAATCTGCGAGTACTTCCAGCAAGAGGGATATCCGTCTGTCGTTCTCTTTCATGAGGATATCTCGGTTCACACAACTCGGACACGCGATTATGCCTCCAATCACTGAGATCTCGGATGGAAGGCAGTGGTTAGAAGACTTATTGAAGGATGCTAATAACGCTGATATCGTTGGTCTACCGTCTATGATAATGCACATGGCTAGCACAGAATCCCAGGAAGGTCTCCATAAAACACTTGCTTACAACTTTGACAGCCAGTTTGTTCGCTTGAAGGGTGTGCAACATAGCGAAGACATTTACATCACCCTCAACGTTGGCTTATATTCATGGTTGACCGTGTTGCGAAAAACGCTCAGCCGGGAGATGGAACAAGTTCAAACCGCTGCTGACTGGAGGATGTTTGCAGCTAACCCAGTACAAACTCGAAGAAATATTCCAGAGCCACTCAATTTGGCCAACCCGCCCCGCTCGGCCACTGTACCTTCCCCTACGAACGTATTCTCACCTCTTTCTCCCAAATCTGCCTCGGCAGTGACGACTAACTTTGGAAGTTCTCTGGATGTAGCTTCTCTATCCAAAAGTCAGTCGGAAGCCTTTGCCCCTTCACCAACGGACGGCGAGGGCGAAGCGAAAGCTTTCGTCTACCGACCGGGCCACCGTCGCATTGAACGCTTGACAATGCGGCAACTGGGCGAAGCAACTCCGGATGTTATGCACCCCTTCTTCATGAAAAAAGCTGGATTCAGCTTGGAAGATTCGCTCCCGCAATACGTTCATGAATATGCCACGGTGCCACTTGAAGAAATCATGGAGGTGTTGCTGAGATTGTATAGCAGACAATTGTTAGCAGCCACTATATGACAGATGGCTTAAATCTGGATCTTAATAGTAATACTGTACAGCTCAATCTAATTATAATGCGCATTCAATGTACAGGTACATAGGTGGAAAACTATTTACCACTGAAAACACTCATTAGAGCGAAACATCCATACAGTAGTCCAACAGGGTAAGCAACAAGAAGCCGCTGATCTGACATTCTCAGTACGGCTACAAATATCCCAGACGCCGAGTAGGTGCACCATATGATTGACACCAATGACAGAACGTAGCCAAATAAACCGCTGGACGCATCGTCAGCACCTAAATATTCTTAAGACAAGCGGACCCACGTACTCCAAAGTCATAGCTACACTGATTCCACCCACACCGACCATTGGTAGTAAGCAATATCCCAGCACAGATGTAACACGGTAGGCATCAATAGCCTTTTCAGCCATAAGATTGAGGAGGGTATAGATTGAGATGGAACCTAAGAGACCAACGCCGTAGATATACCCGAAATTTTGTTTTCCAGACTAAACGCAGATCGATTATTTAGCGTATGTCTTTCCAAGTTACACTCACTTACAAACAGAAGAAATATTCCGAAGCAGAATACGAAGATAATGGGTCCGGCCAAATCAGCGTCGTCCATGATACGTTCGTCAACCTGACTGAAAGGATTCAGGACAGTTAATGTTTTGGCGCGTATATGCGAAAAGTTGATTCCGAGTTCTGAAACGTGGCATCCTCAGTAAATTATAATTGCAATGCGACATGAGTACATACCTTCTAGCAGCGGAGGTTCCCCCTCAAATCCACCTGTACCAAACGCTGTCCACCATCCTCCTGCAGGTTGAATATTACCTCCGTAGGTAGGTCCACCTTGTGCTATATTGCCTTGGGCTACGGGGGCCATATTCCCGTCCAGACTCGGTCGCGAGCCAGGATAAAAGGCGGGATCGGCTGCGCCAGGAGAGTAAAACTGAAGAGGAGTAGCCTGATTTTGCTGAGGGTAATACGCGTTCTGCGTTGAAGAAGAGCTGTATGAGTTGTCAATGTCTTGCCACATTGTACATGTACTAGTAGTAGAGAATTTGTGCGGCAGTTGTGGCACGTGGATCCACTCTCTTTTTAATATTATTATTATTATCCCTTTTCAGTACATCCCACTTGAAGTTTTTCCTCCCTCATTATGGTAAGTTTTACTTGCTTTGGAGGGACATTCACTGATCGTTCTTTATATTCTAGCCCCAGGTAATGTTTCATGCTAACGGCAAATTTCAAAATCGCTGACCTGCTTGCAGAACGAGTATATCGAGGAGCACATCAAACGCCATGGACGGCGGTTAGATTATTTCGAACTCAAGTGTGTATTCATCTTTTCTGATCACTTATTTGACTCTCATCGACATACGTACCCAGACGTAAGCGTGAAGCTCGCGCGGCCCATAAGTCGTCTGCGACTGCTCAAAAGGCCTTCGGTATCAAAGCCAAACTCCTTCATGCTAAACGACATGCCGAGAAGGTTCAACTCAAGAAGACTCTCAAGGCGCATGACGAACGGAATGTCAAGCAGGCAGATTCTTCAACTGTTCCGGATGGTGCTCTACCTACATATCTTCTCGATCGTGAAGGCCAAAAAGATGCTAAAGCTCTGTCGAGCGCGATCAAGCAGAAGCGGAAAGACAAGGCTGCTAAATACGCTGTACCTTTACCCAAAGTCCGAGGAATTGCTGAGGATGAGATGTTCAAAGTGATGAAGACAGGGAAGAGTAAAAGCAAGTCGTGGAAGCGGATGGTCACGAAGGCGACATTCGTTGGGGAAGGATTCACCAGGAAGCCGGTGAAGATGGAGAGATTTGTCCGACCAATGGCTCTCCGATATAAAAAAGCTAACGTTACTCATCGTGAGTAGATATCTTTCTCCGTCCCTCGATACTTTCGCTGACACTGGTAACCTAGCCGACCTAAAAGCAACATTCCAGTTGCAAATCCTTGGTGTCAAGAAAAATCCGCAGTCACCCATGTATACGCAGCTCGGAGTTATGACCAAAGGAACAGTGATAGAAGTGAACGTTTCTGAGCTTGGCATGGTCACAACTGGAGGCAAAGTCGTGTTTGGAAAGTACGCTCAGATCACGAATAACCCCGAGAACGATGGTTGCATAAACGCAGTTCTTCGTGAGTTTCAGTTTCTGCCCGTCGTCTTCTTCTAATTTGTTCTCTTTGCAGTCGTTTGATGCTTTCGTTACTATATGCTACGGATTGTATTTTTACCCTCATCACTTACACGTACACCGGTTATTCCTCGAGTAGTAATAACTCATCACTACAAAGCAAATGTAGAACGGCTTTTGAAACAAACAGTTGCTGGCTGTTCCTGGTGGCAGGTACCAGGTTTGTAAAAAAATTTCCGCAGCCCATTGAAGGATGGTTTTCGCTCTGGAAATCACTGTTCCATGAGGTTCTTCTGACTACCTGCAACTTCATGATTCTCCTTCTGATAAGTTAATGATGTTGGAACTCGAAGTTTAATACTTCCATTCATTATTCCTGGAGACGACTACGACCGAACCCGAGGCTCCGACGTATCTCCAGGTAGTCAGTGGAAATCCAGGACCACTCAAATCTATGTACATAATGGCCCAAGAAAAAAATGCTAAGTTTTACATTAGCTCCAAAGAACCCTGCTTAAGAGCCCACCGTTTATTCTACCGTTTTGGTCGATACAAGATTTGTTTGTATGCTGGGATCGGGATGGAGTACGACGTTGATCATCGACAGAGGCAGTTGCTAACACATATTCACCGCTTGCCGCAGTGAAAGTAATATTTGAGACTAAGGTACTCGTTGTAAGTGGAACGAATGATACAATGATGTTAAACGTATGGAATTACAGATACAACATGGATGAAGGAATACGAAAAGTCTGATAAGTTAAACAAAACGAACGTATAGACTAAAGACACTGAACGACCGAGGTGATGGGTTGTAAATGGGCTGTAGCTCTGAACACGGCGGGGATTAAGGGAAAACCGGACGATAGCCATTCCATGCTGTATCTGCCGTGTCTCTGATAGTAGTGAGGAACATTAGTTATCGAGAATAGATCGTCAAAAAATTACCTACCTAGTAAAACTGCGTTTGTCATATTCTGGAGATGTTGGCAGTGATCGTGCGTCAGAGGTAGGAAGCTGCTGAGAAATGTTGAGTTCGTCATTAGCCTGGTATGAACCGTAGGGGCTATAATCATGGCGAGATGAACTAGTAGACGAATATCTGGGATGAGCAGGTTGCGAAAGTGCGAATGGAGATCTCTTTATTGCTTTTATAAACGGAAGAGATTCTCGATTCGGTGCTGGATAGTTCGAAATTGTATGCTGATTCGAAGGTATCTGTGTTGAGGAAGATGGATTTGAATATGTAGGCCAAAATGCTCTTTGCCCAAGGTATGGATCTGAATCACGTCTAATCAGTGGATTAGAAGTTCGTTCGAACGAAGCGGTAGGGATTGAATAAGAGTTGGTCCGCAGAGGAGAATAGTTTCCAGGAGGCAGGTTGTTCCAATCAGGTTTTGACAACGTCGGTAAACTCGGGGCATTAGAGGGTACCTCTGGAGAATCCCAAGACCACAGTGTTCGGGACCCTTCGGAACTAGGTAAGTAGCTGGATGATTCTTGACGTCCAGAAAGGTATTGATCTGCCGCAGGGGAATCGTAATGAGGAAAAGACGCTCGGAGGTCATCTCTAAAGGAATTTTGTTCGTAAACTAACTATCACTGGGAGGACGAGTTCCTTACAATATTTGAGCAACACTGGAATAGTGAGGTTTGGCCCATTCAAGAGCGTTCAAGAAGATTTCAATATCGTCCTTGGCACTCTGTATAGCTAGCGCATACCGTGGTTTCACGTCCTCAGTGGTAGATATACGAATGGAACGTTCCGAAATTTCCTTTGCCTTTAAGTCCCAAAGGTGAACGATGAGCACCGCAGTGCAAACGTTGCACATTGTGATCAAGAACGCAACATTAGAGAACCCTCGCAGCATCTGTTCCTGAATAATTCGAGCACATGATTTAGCCGCATTGACGCATATTGGCAAGGCGGGCGTCGAGAGCGCTGACGGTTTTTGAGAAGAGCGAGGTATCCGAACGCCGCGGATACCCGGTGGTAATATTTGTGAGAAAGGTATGAATGTCCGATAGATTAGAATGTAAGCAAAGTGATAGGACAGGTGGAGGCTGGCAGATTGATTCGAGAATATCAGATCGTCGGTTGTGACTGGCCATTGAACTATAAGACATCGTGAGCAACAGGAACTCATGTATGAGAATAAACGACTAACGAAATTCTGGGAGGGAATTGAACCATTCATCCAATGCTATGTTGAGCTGTTTTACGAGAATTTCAGGCTCTGGCAACGTTCTGCGTCCTAGAAAAATTTTCTTGGGATCGAGTGCATACTGTTTCCATATTAGAAGATCCGATAAGGTAAGCGTATAATGATACACACACCAGTGTCCTGAGGGCAAATCCTACTATTTGTGTAATTCCTATCCATGCATTGAATGCGGTAACTCGTGAAGGCAGCCCATTGGGCTGCTGAAATGCTAAAGTGGGGTCCTCTGTCGACCAGAATTCGTCATCAACTTCTAGGGGTAAATCTAGATCATAGCTGCCGAAGTTCAAAAGTTGTGTGGTTGATACAGAAGCTGGAATGCTCACTCTTCTTCGCCAAGACTACAGGGTCTGCCTAGACTTGCGCTTCCGGTGCGATCTAGAATCACTAAAAGCCAGAAAGCGCGCTTCCATAGTTCTTCATCAGCAGTCGGAAATCGCTCATATACTGCCTTTCGGTGTGCGCCTACATCCTGAGCTTTGCGAATACCGACGGTTACCATTGTCCCACCAACAGCATAGTCTGGAGTGCCTCGTAGATACCAGGCCACAAGCTGCAAAATCGTCAGCACAATGCCTGGCATAAAAGAAAGGACTGACCGAAAAAGTCTGGACTTCAAAAAGCGTGGCGGTACAAAGGAGGCTTCGGCGAGCACGATGAATGGCTACTCTGTTTCAGCAAATAATTTAGGATATCATGGTACTCAACGCACTGACAGATAACGACATTGAAATAATCCCATCCTGCCTTTGTCCAATCCAACCTACTTTTGGTATGGTCACGAGGAATTACTCGGGGATCGTTACTCCACCGACTTCCCAGAGCAAAGATGCACATCGACAAGGCACTGAACCAGATGTCTTTATTGTGTAAGCGCTCTCTCCATTGTCGAAGAAAAATCTGCTGATTGAGGAGGCTTAGCAGAGGATTCACGTGTAGAAAGTAGTGTTCGATAAGCTCCTCAGCTAGGTCTGGTTCAGGAAATTGTTCAAGAACAGAATCGAGAAGTTTTGGTGAATCTACGTGAAGTCCTTCGTAAACTAGTTCCCACTATATGGAATCAATGAGCGATAAAATTTTAACACTTGTCCAACCGCTTGCCTTAGGCGCACGCCAAAATTCTAGCCTTCGTAAAGCGTTTGATATTTCCGGACTAGGGGATGTGGTTGACGTATTTGAGCCACTGCTATGACTGAACTCTTCTTTCTGAGCCATGATATGGGCCTGTTTCAACTTCCTAGTAGCATCCACCAGCTTGATGTAGCTACTCTGACCATGAAATCGGTCATAAGGTCCGGCGCTTTGTAGTTGGGAGTGGCCTGAGTGTAGGGTAAGGCGCTGCATGCCCTTTTCAAAGTTGTCCACCAGTTCATCCGCATCCGAAGAGTCGTATTGACTTGACGAAGAGTCTGCGCTGTTGGTGGCGGATCCTTGTCGCGTCCGACGATATGGAAGCATTTTTGAGCTGGTGGAAGGATTGGTATGGATTTTCAAATGAGAAGACAGCGGGATGGATATGTTCGAGTCAAGATGAGGTGCGAGTTTTGGAGGCGAGGACACACGTAAACGGGATTTCGAATGGGAAATTTCAGAAGAAGGCTTAGGGTCTTTCCAAGAATCCCTTAATACTGGCGGTCCTAACTCAGCAGAGAAGTCTTGACCAGGACGCAACTGTATAAAGCAGGATAAGTCCGCATACCTCTTCCAGACGGATTTCCAAATTAATTACCCTCTGCAACAGAATCTCCATCTTCTCTAATTTATCCTCTAACCCTGTTATATATCTGCAACAAATCCATCAAAAGCCGAAAGCTAGACCGCGCATATACGTACAATTTCGGTGGCCCTCTTGGGGTAGATGCTTCGCTGGACCGAAAAATTAGTAAATATTAGATGAAAGATGCTCCGAGACACGTACACATAAGTACACGCTTTCTTGTTTTGCAGACAATTAGTACAGATATTGTCGACCTTTCTGGGACCATCGCATCTCGTCTTTCTGGAGCGACAAAAATCGCACGCCCTTGTTCTATTCGAGATCTTTGTCCCAGATGAACGCTTGTATTGGTCGTCTCCATGTTTTGACGATTGTAACGATGGATGTAAGATTTTAAGTCCGGAATGAAAGTTCATAGAGTTTTCTGGGGGGCCATAGGATCCTGGGCGTTGCATGCAGAGTATGAGGCGAAGTGAAATGCGGCGGGAACGTATTGGCAGTGGTTGTATGGGATGTGAAAGAGCTGATTCGAAGTTCAGAAATTAATAATGGTAATATGTATCCGGCGGTACGTTCAGGATTGGTCCGGCTGTATCGGCTTGATTACAGGCGATCGGTTGACGGATCATCGATCAGGGGTTATTGGTCACCCCTTGGATCTGCAACGGAAATTATTTGCGGTTGAACTAGTGTCGAACCTGACATCCAAACTGAGAGAACTTGCGGAGAGTTGAGGAGAGCTCTAGTAGTTATTTGGGAAGTGTTTTATCAGGGCTGACCGGTCATGATGTGACATAGATCTGCACCCGCGATAAATTTTTTTCCGACATGTTTTGAACATAAGAGTTAGTACGTCATGCAGAATTCCAAATTTTCCATTCTGCTCCACTTTTGATTTGTGACCGACAACACTGATCGCGCAGTTGCAGCTATACATATGCACTGTTGCTGTACCAGAGTGTATCAGTCGCAGTATTGCGTTAATTTGGATTTCTCTCTTGATTAGAACTCAAGGCGACGAATACTGACGTGTCTTTTTTTCACAAAATCTTTTCACAAAATCTTGATCAGCAACCTTCGTTGATTTCCAAGGGAACATCTGGAACATGCGGTAGAGCTTGGCGTTTATAATCTCTTCAGATTGTTGTCCAAGTTCAAAATCTAGGTTCTCCAAATAGGGTTATCCGCAGTCACGGTATTTACGATCCGATGATCCCAACGATACCGGAAGCTGGGATTGACGCTATGTTATGCTGGCGAGTTGAGGATGTTTCGGTAATAAGCTGTAATAATAAGGTCCTTTTCGACCCACTTCACCTCGTAACTTTACATTAAGACAGATAGAGCCCTACATATAACTTCAAGTTAGCGGTGGGGAGTCGGGAGTCTAGAACCGTTCATTGTAACAAAATATGATTGAACATCTACTTACAGGTAGGTACTGATTGGATCTACCCGTAGGAGAAAGAAACTTGATCAGCATAAAGACTCATATATGTAGATGATTAACAAATCAATAGATAGATCGATTAGAACAGTAAAAAAAATTGAGGAAGGAAGAGAAAAAACCACCCCCCTAAGTCGTCAGACAGAATCTTCACTTGTATTCGACACGGTAGCAATTATTAAATCTTTCTGTCTACCTGCTGTTCCGGAAGGTATAGACAATTGTGTTCCCGTGGTAGTCACATTGTCTCCATTTCGCTGCGCTGCGATGAACGGTCCTAGATGGTGCATATTGTAACCTGCTGAGTGTCGCGAACGACGCGTCGTGGTGGTAGGAAATGTGCTCGAGGAATTGCGAGTCTCCCCGGTTGGCGCCATTAGACCGAGACCGATACGGACGATGATCATGGAAAACACCAAGCCCTGCCAAGATACAGTTTGAGAGTAGAATTTATTTTAGAATTATGGAGGAACAAGAGCAAGGTCGAGCTGACTCACAACAATGGGTGATATCTTTATGAGCAGAAAGATATTCAGGATAACAATCAAAATAAAAATGAATTTGGACTGACCGCATCGAGGAGGACATATTGAAACCAAGATTCGGCTTTATACAAGATGAGCAGGGAGAGCAACGTTGCGGAGTAAATCGCTCCAGATTCAATTACAAGCAGCATCACTGGATTCCAGCTATGGTGGGTGAAATTCATCACCGCGCGGTTTATATACCAGATACGGTATGCAACAAGAGCTGTTTAGAATAATTTGCATGAGTGGCGCGAAGGTAGGTAAGGTAATCGGCACAGGCGCCGACTAAGTTCCCTCGTTGAGGAATAAGGAGGTGGATTTAAATTTAGTAATAGACATACCGGTACAAATGAAATTGGTGGAGAGCGTAAGCGAAAAGAAAGACACTATCCAATCCTGAAGCTGGAGAGCGAACACTTCGGCGTCTTCGATGTGCGCGAATGAGTACAAAATCCCAATACCGCTTGCTGAAAATGGCATGATCAAGAAAAAAAGTGCGAAACTTCGACTTTAACACGTACCTGTGCTTCCTAACAGGAGTAGAGCCGGGCAAGCGACGATATACCATTGTCTTCCCCAAACAATGTAGCATCTCACAAGCTATGTAACGCCCCCGTATTTCTTTTCTTCAGATCCAGTCGAAGATTAACGTTTGACGCACCACAACACTATCTCCCACCAACGTCTGCGTCACATAAATCGCGCTTCCGAATACCTGGGTAAAGTTGGACAGGATATTGAAGAACGCGGCAGGCCCGCCCTCTGCATTCCTATACGTGATGAAAGCCATGAAGACGCGCGCGTAGTTGACGCTGATGTGCTATTGGGATGGTTTCAAGTGTGGCGTGATGCAAGATTAGCCAAATGTGCTTCCGCGGATTTTAGGCGTACCATTGTGGCGAGGACGAACATGACGACAGAGGTCCATAGCAGAAGCTTATTGATACTTTGGCCGGCAGGACGACGCCATACGAGAATCCAGACTGTCAGGGCGAATACGACAGTATATGCGCCTTCGCCACGAAAATTGACTTGAGTTCGTTCGGGAAAGGGACACTTGTAACCTGAAGACATACCGTATAACAAAGTTTGGATAAAGATTGACACGAGTTTTGACTAGGCGAGATGAACAGTCGGTTATTGATTCAGTAAGTCAAAGAGAAAGGCTACCTCATCTGCACCAAATGCCATTACAGTTCAGATTCTACGCAAGGTCTTGAAGGAAAACGCAAAATGATTCGAAGTTGGCCCAAATTCGTTCATATAGGACGTCGAATGGAAACTGGGTAAGGAGTCCGAACAAGAAGAGACTTCTATTGGCGATGTAGCTCCTGGCTATGAATCAAAAGATCTTGTTGCTTCCGAGCGTAATTTTGTGAGCAGCGCTCGGCGGTAATAAGTTCCGGGTTACACCAAGTCCTGATGACAGAGAAGACCTGAAGAAATAGCAGATAGGTGGGTACAAGAAATATAAGTACGAGATGGAGATGATGAGGAGGCAGCTGAGCAGACGGTGAACCAATCGAAGTACTTATAAAATTCCGATCGACCTTTGACGTCCGCTTTTACCTTAATTGCCTAATCGCTACTGGAATACACACGTCTTGGAGCCCTTCAAGCCCCGTGGAGCTTATCGAATGCCATATGCTGAGATAATTCTTGACCTTGCCTCATGTAAACAGCGCAAAAGAGTAATGAAGACTTTGAAGAAGTAACCGAGCATCAAGGAGTGTCCAACTCAAGGCTCACCCACTCTCACCCACCACTGTCATCGGACCTTGTTGTCGCCTTTTTTGAACAAAGTCTCTCAGCGAAAAACCAAAAATAATAAAGCCGTAACGGTTCCACACAGAAAATTTCGTACAAGGTGACGAAGGACAAATTAAGACGCATTTTGCTCGGGCTCGGGTGGGTCTGGCATTCTGGTTGCGGTGACTTATAGTAATGGTTCAGTTATGAACGCATGATACCACCTTCTACCATATCCCATCCTAGTTGGTCATACGTCCAGCCAAAACAAGAACCGCCCAGGTCAGAAGAATGAAACCCGCAAACACTGTGATGCATTCCCGGCTGGCGATGTACATTATCGAGGATTTGCATGTCATTGTTATCGAGGGCAATCAGCTGTGAAAATTGGATTAAAACACAGTGTTGTTGGGCAGTCAGAACATTCACGCGTTCACATACCGTCAGATTCTCGTTCATATGTGTTTCGTGTGTCGATTTTGGAATGATCGCCGTCCCTCGGTTCACGCCCCAACTAAGCAACACCTGTGCAACAGACGCATCTTTCCGTTGGGCTATCTCCAACACAGTAGGGTTAGTGGCAAATTTATGCTTCCCGACAGGTGAATACGCGGTAAGGAGTATATCACGGGAGGAGCAATAACTGAGTAGCTCGTGTTGGGGAAGACAAGGATGTAGCTCGACTTGGTTCGTAACGGGGACTATACGAGCGTTTTGGAGGAGAATGTCCAGATTCTTAATGCTAAAATTTGATACGCCTATTGAGCGCGTCTTCCCTAAATGTTTAAATGAGAATGATTTCCAAATAACAGTAAATGCTAGGTGCACCAGTTTCCACCAAGCCCTCCATCATTTTCCATGTCTCGATAAATGTAGGGCTCTCCTCTGGAGAGCAATATCGATCATGAGCAGCGTCGAAAGCCTGCGGCCAATGCATTAGGTATAGATCGACATAATCCACACAAAGCCGGTCCAAGCTATGTTGGAGAGCTTCTTCCGGGCGACCGTGATCCTCGCTCCTGTTTGCGCTGAAATTGGAGCAAGTATCAAGTGAAAAATTAAAACCACTAACGAAAGCTTGGTGACCAAGAAGAGTTCAGAACGAGGAACATTGGATTCGCGAATTGCTTGACCGACAGACCGCTCGTTCCCTTGAGTACAGATTGAGCAGTGTTGTGTTAAAGAAGATTTTGTTCTTTTACCGTAGTTGGAGGCCTGGTTTAGTGATCAGCAACAACAATAACATAGATTTTTTGACAGGTCGAAAGGGCTCACTGTATCTATGAGTCTATAGCCCAATCGTAAAGCATTTAGAACCATTTCTGTAACTTGGTGGCTGTCGCCGACAGTGCCCATCCAACATCTTCGAAAACGAGGATGGTCATGGTAAGGAACCAGGTATGTTTATCCGATGCACTTCAATTTACCCAATCCCAATTGCTGGCACCTTCTTCCCATTATTGAGCTTGAACTGGGGAACGCTGCTTATCGACATTGAAAGCTGACTTGAGAAAAAGAAGCACCATAATTACATATTCACTATCGATATCCGTAAACTTGGAGTCAATCCAGAGTCACACTTGCAATGAATGATCACACCTTTTCAACTCTCAGCAGGAGTATTCAGACTGCATACTTACCTCTTGAGTGCAGAATCATCTTCGTAAATTTGAATTCTCTCGTCTCAAGAATCTGGTCCGACAGATAGTCCTCAAAGTCCCTAACTGATCAGCTATCTTACGAAAACATTGTGCTCCTTATCGTAGCCATGCACTGGTGTTTTCATTTGTGAATTAGTACTGCTGAAAGGGAAAATCTATCAGACTTTCGGTGCTGGTGCACTCATTGCCCTCCGAAGATGGTCCTGTGTTCTCATCATTGAAGGTAAAGATGTAAAAACTCAACTATTCGCCACAACCTGGACAACAATGTATCACGTCGTGCACAAAAACATCACAATCCGAGCAGAAGTCTGTTTTACAATCCGGACACCGATATCTACCTATTGCACTCATACCATCAACTATGTTATGCAATGCCGTCGTCGGGAAGATTTTCGAGCATGCGTGGCAGGAGGGACTTGTCGATGGATCTGCGACGTTGTCAAAGGATGCTCTACAAAAAGCAAATATACGGGTTGAGATATAATAGATTCGTTTCACTGAGCAATGAACAACATACACAGCAGCATAAGGCTTCACCGGAAACAGATGATGATAACTCCTTGCCAGATGCGGTGAACTGACAATCATGAGCCCACAGATATCACAATCCGTTGGTACGTCGCAAATTTTAGCAAGACAACGTGGGCATAAAAAACCTTTGCTCCTGAGCTCGGAATGGCAGACACAGAAACTTGGTGGTGAAGTATCTGGTAGTCGCGTTGGGAATCCCATCATTATTAGATCAGCGGCAGGATTCGTTGATGATGATACTCCTGCGCCTCCAGTTGCGGCGGAGGAACGGGGTAAAGCTCGTTGTGCAGGCGGAGGAACGAGCTCAAAAAGTAGGTCTTTGAAATGACCTTCGTTCAAAGCGACACCGAACTGGCCTAAACAACACGGCCATTCAAATCAAAAGATGTCAAGAAGAAAAAACAAAATAGAAACACCTACCGCCGGTTTTATCACATAAGTCTCGACAAATCTTCATTTCAGCAGCAAGAGCCACGATCGATATTCGGATTCTGTTTTTGACACATTCATCGAGAGTGTCATGAATGTTGCCTGGATCGCAGGTGGTCAAAGACCCGAAGATGATGAGAATTTCGCGGGAGGAGTGGGTCGGGAGGTGACTTTAAGGAGGGACGGAACGTCAGAATCATACGATGCAAACGGGATTGAGAAAACGCGTAACGAACTTCATACTATTCCTAGCCATTTCAATAGAATTCTGGAGACTCGGTTCGCCGATTGGCTCGAGTTTGTGTCTGTCCGATATGGATTTGAGGACATCTTGCGGATTACCTGTAATTATCACGATGGTGAGGTCGGCTGGCTACATCACGGTTTACATATCACACCCTCAACTCACCCGACATGTCACAAATCCGTTCTCCAACGCCCGCTCTCATTCCGACGACAGCCATCTGTCCAAGAGGATTCTGGTCGAACCATTCCAGGACGAATTCGCGTGCATACTGTAAAGTCACTGCGAAACGCGTCGGCCGCATGTCCCGATCCATCATGGAGGAGGATAGGTCGATTAGAAGGACCATATGCCGGATGATTGTGCGTCTGATGGCATTCTGAGGTTGAAGTAGGCTTTTGTGTGGACCTTGTAAGTAAGACCTCTGCGTGGCATACCATAGCGGTTACTCACCGTTTCCGCCTCCCTCTAGCCATCCAATCATTCACAGCACCTTGCAGGCTTCCACCTTCGTCTTCCTGTACAGTCTCCCATGAACGAGCAAAGTTTGCCTCCCAGGTGTAAGCTTGCTAAATGGAATCTATTAAGTCTGGTGACTTTGAGAGAGAATCCAGAAACGCACCACGTCCTTCGGCTTGCGTTTCGCTTTGTCTTTCTTTCGTTTGTCTGTAGCCTTCTTTTTTCCTTTTGTTCTGCTGCGTGACACACCGGCTTCGTTTTCTTCGTAGTCGGATATGGATATGTCTGAATCGGAGTCGACATTCATGATTGAGAAGTGATTATCGTGGTTCAGGTGGAAGAATTGGTATGATTACCAATGTACAACACTTATGAGACTAAGTATCGATATTCGAAAAATAAATCTTCCCTTTCATCCATTGTGTGGCCAGTTCAACAAGTCACGAATGAACACAGTTGTATCCGCCGCTCTCATCAGTGCTTCACCGACTAATACAGCATTCACCCCTTGGTCCTTGTATACTTTCACATCTTGAGGTCCCGAAATACCACTCAGAGCACACAACAACACGTTCTTCTCCCTCACCATATCCACCAATCTACTCGTCGTGCCCATGTCTACGTTAAAATTATGCAAATTCCTATTATTCACTCCGATAACTTTTGCTCCCAGCCCGAGTGCCCTGGCCATCTCTGCGGCATTATTTACCTCGACCAAAGGTTCCATGCCAAGAGACACCGAGTACGCATAGAGACTAGCCAACAGTTCTTGAGTAAGCATGGCCACAATGAGAAGCACAGTGTCTGCGCCGTGCAGACGTGCTTCAGCAATCTGATATTCATCGAAAATGAACTCTTTGCGAAGGATAGCGGGTCGATTAGGTAGTTTATCGACCGCCTGACGGACCAGACGCATATCGAGGAGGGACCCTTTGAACCATGTTGGCTCTGTCAATACAGAAATGACCGATGCGCCAGCTAAGGCGTAGATAAGTCCTTGCTTCGCTGGATTCGTGCTCATCGCAATCTCGCCCTTGGATGGACTAGCACGCTTTATTTCGGCCATAAGAGAGAGCGATGGCTCGGCGGTATCGATAGATGGATTTGACTTGAGTCGAGGAACTAAGGAAATCTGAGTTGGGGCAAGGCCCATGTCCAGATAAGTTTGAATGTCTTCCGGTTTAGTCCCAGGCGTTGCTTTCGCGACTTCGACGTCCTTTTGTCGCTGGGTATAGATTTTTTCTAGGATTGTAGGCGCAGACATGGTTGGAACTAGTGCGTGAGTGTTAATCCGAGCCTAATAAGTAGCAGGATAAGTATGTAATCGTTGGAGCTTCTTGATCTCGAAGCAACTCTCATCTTCCAGGTCAAGTTATTTATGTATGCATCAATTCAAATTTTCTTCAAGCGGCTTTTCATAGCTTTTCATAAATGCGAAGATCGTTGTGTTGAATCTTGGTTGAATCGTAATATACTAAAAATACAGTGCGTGACTACAGGCTACATAAGAGGACAAGGAGAGCAAGACAGCAGGATAGCAACAAAAGAAGGAAGGAGTCCAATTGCCTGATTGGAGTACATATCGTTTGTGAAAGAGGCTCGTGTAAATATCATAAATCATATATTTGTGGGGAGTTGAGATTCATCGACTCGGGTGATAGAAGGTGGCATAATTTAGGGAATGAGGAAGGTGATCAAAGGTGATCAAGTTATGATTGCGATGCTCGAGTGACTTTGAGAATGCCCCATGTAGTCGCAACAATAGCAACAACGGAGGCAATGAGGATGCAGAGTGCAGTAAGGCATCTCCGGGCCCATTTAACTTCAACAGAGCGCATTCTGGAGACGATCTGCTGTTTCTCTGCGGGGGTTTTTTCGGGTAGCCATGCAGCTGGAAGCGAAGATGATGATGAGGAGGATGAAGGCTCTGGTGCTCGCAACGGAGTCAAAAGAATGAGGGCGCCCATTATCCAGAAGGGCGGGAACACTGTAAAGTAAGTGGTCAGATTCAATGCTATTAGATGAAGATAAGCACTAGTACTCACGGAACCCAAACTTGAACAGAAACATGGCCAACGTTGCTGGCTCTGTCTGGCGAGTCTCGTATGCAGGTGGCTCGACATATGCCGGTGGCAATAGCTCTGATTCGGATGTGAATGATGACGAACTCAGAGGACGGTCGTGTTGACTTTCTCTGGTCGCTGTTTGGGAGAATGTATAACCGAAAAAGGCATCAAGTGGGCTGAGAGGACTTGAACACTCGTAGGAGTCATGGGTTACTGCCGCGGGCAGTGTGGCAGGAATGGTAGAAGGACCAGCGGTTGCGTTAATGGAAGACATCCTAGTACAGGGTTTTGTAGGAGATTGTAAGATGGAGGATGAATGTCTTCGAAGTAGCTAGTGCTGAGAGAACTCGATGAAGGAGTCGGTTTGTTGGGGGAACATACTCCGATGGGCCACCATTTATATCAGACAATGTCGGGAACCAATCCATGGTCAGGTTCAAGAAGTGGTTTATCGCTAACGTAACCACTTCGCATCACGGCCAATCGCTTTTATTTCCTTTCTAGGTAATTTTAGTTTGTATATAGTTTCCATATGAGGCAAAAATACTCGACGGCGTCGTCAAGGTAGAGCGAACAATAGAGTTTCCCGACTATCAATCGTTTTCAGACTAGTGTATGGTTACCGTATTTCCCTATTATGGTAATTGAAGTAGAGTGGCTTGCGGAACCGCCAGTAGTGACCCTCAATCTTGCGACTGATTTAAGGCTAACATGCGACACACAGTCAGATGTGGGGCGGCAATTCCTGCGGTTATTTGATCAGGATATGTTTCCCATAGAGGCTCATGCACTCACCATGCATAAAGATAAGGCCTCTATCGGAATCATGGACAATAGAAGTAGACGCTGATACGATTGTTCCATCATCTTCCAGTATCTGGATGTCGAAGCGAGTATGGCAGTTCAGTAAGAGAAGACGCTCTGGAGATATTTCGTCAACTTGATCGTACTCACCTTCTCGACATTGTATTTTTCGCCATATAAAGAACCCGGCCCAGTGTTGGCTGAAATTTTGAAGGCTGCAACAGATGCGAGATGGTGTGGATCTTTACTTAAATTCTCGATGTTATCTCGAATTTTAGGGAAGGCTGAAGGCTTAGATCAGCTTATACGCCAGTGGAGTTGTCAAACACATTGAATCCACAGACCTGCAACCCATAATTGATCTCGGTTATCCAGAGAAATGTTGTCCAAAGCCTGGCCTTTCTCATTCTAATGAGTTTGTGATGAATTCTGGATATAGGACGCGTGAATACCGATAGGTACAACATCCTTCAACAGCAGTGAATTATCTGACTGTCTTTCAAAGACATTGATCTTCCCGCCTAAATTACTCGACACGTATATCGTGTTATTGGTGGAAGCTTTGACGATCCCGTTACTAGAATATAGTCCCAAAGCCACAAATTTACAACCATGATCTAGATGGCAATATCCAATGGAAGTTGTTGCAGAAAATAGGTTCTGAATTGTTGAGGCCTGAAAGAGGTGAGATTAAACCATTAACGTGTAAAGAGAGCTAAAGAGCACTGTCGACGAACATATGAATTCGAAATTTTTGAACCCCGATCGTTGGTGAAGAAGAATCCTTTACCATCAGCTTCTCCAACAACATCATTCGGTGACACTATAACACGGGGATCCCTGACAGTGTTGATGTGAACTAGTCGATCTCCTGCTACCGTGGTCTTGAACACTTCAATGACAGAATCGGCACCCACTTTCCTTGGATCTTGGCCAGCTGGAGGGGCGCGGTGGTTTATCACAAATACAAAAAGTTCACTCCCACTGGAAGTAGATTGGACAACATCCATTCCATGCACAGATATTGGTTGATCGCTATTGAAGTTCTCCAGCTGAAGCCTAGTGACTTTTGAAGTGGTCGGATCATAGGTGGCTACATAGTCGTCGTTGGACCTGCCCTGGACATTGAGTTGGTCCATTGCTGGCGTCCACGCAAGTCTGCTTTCCGGAGTTGAGCAAGCTAGATACAAAAGACCAGAAGGCTGGTGTAACACGATCTCTGTATCGGACTTCAGCTATTGATACGTTGCCAGGATTTGGAAAACAGATACACACTCTCACAAGCCTGTAACTCTGGGATATATTTGCAAGCGGCAGCATCAAGCCCAAAGGTCTGCACAGTTCGAAATAAACCAATGACCTTTACTAAGGGGCTTAGATATATCTGACATAGGACAGCGAGCAAAGCAGATACGACGCATAAGACTGTGGTTACGGAACCTGGCATCGGAGTTATTGATCAGATGAGAATATCTCGATGTGATATTTATACAATTTGAAGTTCCCGAGTAGAGGGTGCCACAAAGGAATGACCGAACATGACCGAGAGCGTATGTACCAGGTATGTACCGAGAATACGAACATCCTTCCGGTTCTTGATTGTTCCCTTTATTAATCAGGTCTTTCAAGACAGGAGTTTCGCAGGTGATACCTAGACAACATTTTGAAAAGGCAAGATTGTTATAATTTATGCAACGCTCATAATTTAGTTTTCTACTTGGATTATTTGACTTCACAGACAGTCAAATGATGCGAAAACACCCCTTCGTCGAATGATTAGTACACATTCCGAGTCACAAAAGCTACAACCGAAGCTAGGACTCACCGTGCATGAACAAGCGACCACGCTCTGCATCATGAACTACAGTAGTAGCTCCTGATGCGATAGAACCATCATCTTCATATATCTAATTACAATTTGGCAACGAGCCACGCCGTATTTGCGGTTCAAAACTCACCTTTTGCACTTTATATTTCTCGCCATAGAACGAGCCTTGGCCTGTATTTTTTGAGAAGGTCCAAGCGCACACTGGTGAGGGATGTGATGAATTCTTAGTGTGTTCCCAGAGATCTAATGATTTGGGCATTCCTGAAAATAGTTTTACATTTTGTACGACTGAAGGGACTTTCGGGTACTTACCGGCAGCAAACACAGTTCCTTCTTTGTCAATAGAGAGATTATCAATCGGGGTATCTGGAAAGTCTTTTAGATGAGTCTGTTAACACAGAACGTTCATCAATGTACACACCGCAGTGAACGCCCTCCAAGAAAACCAATGAATCGTCGTCCTGCTTTTCGAACATTTTCAGCTCTAGTCCACTAGTACTGGCAACGTAAACTGTGCCATTTGTAGCTTTCGCGATTCCATTTGCGGTGTAAAGGTTATCGACAGCAATTTTGCACCCATGGTCAGAATGACAGTAACCAACCGAGGAGAAGGAGGTCAATAGAGTTCGCGCTTGAAGGGCCTGCAAAAAATAGATATAGTGAATTTGGGAGGAGAGATCCTTGATCATGTTTACATACAAATCCAGTTTTGCGGTTGAACCAGTTGGTGAAATAAAATCGTTTCCCGTCAGAGAAACCAGCGACATCGTTGGGTGCGATGATAGAAGAATCCCGCACAGTCTTCAGATGAACCAAAACGTTCCCGCCCGCAACGGTCTTGAAAATCTCAACCACGCTGTCAGCGCCCACGATCGAGGAATCCTGGCCATCTTTACGCGGTCGGTCGTTGATAAGGTAGACAAAGAGCTCATTGGGATCTTTTTCGGAAGGAACGACATCCATACCAAGGACAGCAAGACCATTTTTCTTTGTGTCAAAGTTCTCCAAAGTTAAACGCGTTATTTTGGATGTACTCGGGTCATACGTCGCGACGTAATCTTCGTCAACTGCAGACTCAAAACGATCGACAGCGGGAAGCCATTTGGCGCGGTTGGCAAGAGTCGAACATGCAAGGTAGAGTAAACCTGTTTCCTGGTGTAAAACAATTTCTATGGAATGGTTCCAGTTAGGATGTAGATGTGGGACCAGAATTCAGCGCCACGTACTCTCACAAGCCTGTAGCTCTTCGACCCTTGAACACTTTCCGGCTTCTAGACCAAAATTTTGGACAGTATAAGAGAACCCAGCTGAGCTGATCAGCGGGGCAAGGTAGAAATGTATGACTGGAATGACCACTGCCAAAAGAGAGAAGACGACGCTCCAAATCATTGTCATAGTTGCGTCAAAAGAATCAAATATATATGACAGTAGTTCTGATGTACGCAAGATCTTGTATAGAATACAGATAGTGTATGTATGGTGCTCGGGCATGACATGAAGTCGCGTCGCACTAACCCACCAGACGACTTTCATACCGGTGTATATAATGATTAAACGAGCTTTTTGGAGTTTCGTTCAGTCAGTTCATGGACCGTGTTACGCACCGTCTTCCAAGCAGGACGAGGAACGTCAAACGCGTCTGTCAACCTTGCATAGGTATTGCCTCCAAGCCTCGCCACCGGTCGTAATTTAGCTGGATCCAACGTCAATCCATTCTCAGCGAGCACAGATTCTGTTACGTGCACTTGTTTAATGAGGCCGAGCACAAGGGTATTCGTGATATCGGAAGTCTTCAGATCAGAGATATCGTGCGAGAAGTGCAGCTGTGTTGATATTCAGTGAGATGCAAATCATTACTATGTAGGTACCTACCTGACACTCCATGCTGAATAGACTTTCCTTCACGCAAGCAGGCTTGACTTGGGCCTGGGGACTAGAGTCAGCACAGGAGTGAGATGTCATATATGTGTGCGACTAACGCTTGGCTCCATTGTCAATCCGGATACGATCCACTCGTCGATGTCCGCAGGAGCTTCGACGGCAGTCGCATTAGCAGCCTCGATGAAATGCTCGCTGATGATGTTCACCGTAAACTCTTTGGTAGCTAAGATATTCTCCCGCGTGTCTTTGGGCCGTCTCGGGGATAGGCTGAAGGATACACCGAGAAGCGGAGGGTTATGTGAAATCTACAAGCAATATATATTGGCGTCAAAAAGTGTTTGCGCAGAAGAACGTCAGGTTACTAACCATGGAGAAGTAGCTATATCACGGAGTGGCAATTCTAGAGTCTAATTGCAGTTCGAGGAGAAAATACGTGCCTAAACGGCGCAAGATTCGGAGTTCCATCTTCTGCAATCGTTGAGATGAAAGCGACGGGGCGAGGAATGATCGCAGATGTTAGAAGTTTATACGAGTCTCTGCACGCGTTTCAACAAATATAGCCGAGCAAGCTTGATTCAATTACTCACTTGGTGCTCATATCATCCAGATTCCACGTAGTTTTAGGTGAATTTTCGTGTTCTGGTGAGAGTCCAGTAAACGCTCCGTCTCCAACCTTCCATGCGGGTAGTGGGGAAGTAGTCATCTGAAACGACTTATGGAAATCGAAAGGCTTTGTACTGTTCCATCTGCGAGATTCAACACGAGTAAAACACGAAACAAGGGAAGGTGGTGGTTTGATAATGAAGTTCATCGGAAAGGCTAGGGGTTAATTCTCCCACACTTCCTATATGATGAATGTGAAGATAAACCTCTTATTGACGATTTTTCTCAGCAGTGAAATATTACTCTTTTCCCCTCACTAACGTTCATTCTCAAGATGTCCATTGTCGATTATTCAGTTGAATACCCATCCACCGAGCTCCAGGTTAGTGCTATGGATCGCCAATCGTTATCTCAGAATATACTTTGGTTAAATTTAGGGCTTCTACGGATGGACTGACACCCTACGAGGAATACAATATGGCCCGGGATCGGTTTCAACAGCTTTGCCCAAGTTCTTCAAACTTTTGGGAGTATCCAAAGCTCTGGTCCTCACTGGAAAGAGTCTATACGAGAAGGCAAGTAGATCCGATCAAAACATAACCCATCCCGATCTCGAATCAGAATTTGGCTATAGACAGATGTAGTGAAGAAAGTTGAAGGCTGTCTCCAAGCCATCGACGCGTATGGTGCAACCTTCCACCAGATCGCTCAACATTCGCCCATTGCCGGAATCAGAGAAGCAAGCAAGGTTTTTACTGACGCGGGCTGCGATGTTATTGTCTCAGTGGGAGGAGGATCTCCAGTCGACGCTGCCAAGGCTATTCTTTATTATTTGCAACAAGAGCGAGGTGGAGAGACGATGCCCCAAATTGCTATCCCTACAACATTGAGTGCGGCTGAATACTCTGTAAGGTCGAGTCCGAGGCCTGCTCGAGATTCATTTCTAATTTATATCGGCAGATCGGGGCTGGGTACACAGACGATAGTGGAAAGAAGGTGGCTGTTAGCTCTCAGAAACTGGCGCCCGCAGCCATTATCCTTGACGCGGAGCTCACATTGGCCACGCCCGAAAATCTATGGTGTCACATTTCATCTATTGCCCTTCAACACCGGCTGATGATCTATAGGCTCTCTACTGGAATTCGGGCCTTAGATCACTGCGTAGGCAAGTCTTGTGAACTACTCTCCTTGTGCAAATTTTGACTGATATCGGAATGAAGAAAATCTCTATCGACCACTAATCCCTCCTCCGCTGAAGGTAATGGGACTCTCTGCTCTTGCAGACTTGTTCAAGTATCTTCCCGAATCCAAGGCCGATCCAACGTCTGTGGAAATTCGCCAAAAACTTCAGATAGCAAGCTGGATGAGTCTCTGGCCATTGAAGCTTGAAAAGTACAGTGCGCTGGGATTGTCTCATTCGCTCGGACACAAACTTGGTGCAGCGTATTCGATTCCTCATGGGATCACATCGGTAAGAAAAGGAAGGGGTAAGATTGAAAGAGATGCAAATTACTGATCCTTTTGGTTCCAGTGCCTCACACTTGCCCCGGTCGTGGAGCTCATGGCGGAAATAGGCACGGAACAAGACAAGGAGTATCTCGCCAAAGCACTTTTCTATCTGCACAAACCGAGTACTGGTACAGTCGAAGGTGATGTGCTAGAGTTGTCGGCGTCTATCAAACAGTAAGAGAATATTTTATGGCCTCAGTTAGATGATATCATCGACCTCGACTCCAGGCTCGTGGCTGATCTGGGCCTATCAACGACCCTCACCGATTACAACGTTCCTCGGGATGATATACCAACAATTGCTCGAAATACCCTGGGTACCGAAACACATCCAGTGTTCCCTAAAGTTGTCAAATTATTGGAGGGCTTGTATTGAAAGAAATTACTTTTCGGAGTGTCTAATTCGGAATTCCGTGTAAGAATAACGGCGGGTACCTATCGTAACCTATATAAGCGAGGATGCAGAATGCCACGATGTATTAAGACGTGCGATTTGAGAGCCATTAGTCTAGACTTTCTCTTTGTCCTCCAAAACGCGGAGTCAACTTATATGGGGCCCTCCGGCACTTGGATTACTACTTGTGGAGACGATGTTTGTTTCTCCTCGACTCTCACTTGGTCGCCTTCCTGTATCTCGCCCATTGTCAAATGTGTGCCTCGGCCTGAGAAAGACTAACGTGTCACTGCGGAGCCAATTACATTCCTTCCATTCTCTTTCCTTTACATCGGTGACTCTGAGTTCTATACACTACTACCACAAGCACCCAACCATGTCGCGGAGACGACAGCATTCCACACACGAGAACGGGGAAGCAGAGACCAAGAAGGACTCAGCAGAGCACAGGGATCATGATCATGATCATGACCATAACCACGAACATTCACATTCACATTCGCAATCTTTCTTCAGCGGTCATTCTCATGCGGGAGAGTACAACTATGGCGCAGAGAAGATTATGGCAGCCTGGGAGGGCTCAGGTGAGTTTGTTCTTCATTCACTATAAAGTACGGGACTTAAGGGATCAAGTACAGGCGACAAGGGGTCGTCTATCACTATCTTGGGTCTCCTCTCCAACATCGCTTTGGTGAGTAGTGGACTGGGCTTTCCAACCAACGGAGTTTGATAGTATCAACTTGTAGACTGGGGTCAAAGGCACCGCAGGCTGGTACATGCACTCTGCTTCTCTATTAGCAGATGCAGGGCATTCATTAAGTGGTTTGTGCTCATCATTGTTCATCTTTACTACGACTCACAGTACTTTAGATCTTTTGGGCGATTTCGTAACACTATTCTGTTGGAAACTCTCTCGAAAACCACCTTCTGAATGGTACCCGTACGGCTTCGCAAAGTTCGAAACGCTGGGAACAACGACTGTCTCATTACTTTTAATCGGAGGAGCTTTAGGCATCGGCTTTCATTCCTACCACATCCTTTTAACTGCTCTCAGTGAAACTGCCGCTACTCTTCCTGCCGGTCCTATACAATCAATTCTTACGAATGTAACATCTGCAGTACCAGACGTGCCGCATGTCCTCTCTCATCATTCACACGTCGAAGCCGTCGACCCTAACGCTGCTTGGTTCGCTGCCATTAGCGTGCTGGTCAAAGAATGGTTGTACCGAGTTACGAAGGCCGTAGCTGATGATGAAAACAGTCCTGTCTTGCTCGCGAATGCTATTCATCATCGTAGCGACGCGTATTCGAGCTTTGTCGCTCTTTTCGCTATCCTTGGTTCTTGGATTTTCCCCAAGCTCCCATTAGATCCTATTGGTGGTACGTCACATCCGCAGTTCAAGTTTTTCGTCCTTGTCATTTTTTTCTTTTCACCTCAGGTTTGTTGGTGTCCTTTGTGATATTGCAACAAGGAATTGGTCTACTAGTAGGCGCATGGGGAGATCTCACGGACGCTGGTGTGTCTGCCAAAACGAGACAATCTCTCAAGAGCACGCTGAAACCACTTGTGGCCTCATCGTCTTCCGCCGATTCCGCATCGTTGTCAATTTCCAAACCCACTATTCTCGCAGTAAGCCAGCTCCGTGCACGACGCGCGGGGTCGTTGATATTTGTCGATTTGACCGCTGAGGTTCCAAGAAATCTGACAGTTGACCAGCTTGTCTTCCTGGAGGAAAAAATTCTTCAGACACTTAAAGAGTCACGGAAAGAAGTGAAAGAAGTTCATGTTAAATTCAGGCCTGTGGAGGACTGATCCTCGTTCCTCATAATTCCTCTATTATTATTGGTCGCGAAGTATCTGGATTCTGGTAGCATTGTATTCTAAGGTCCACATTGAAATATAAATAAGGTAGATTAGAGCATCCCGTATATCTCTAACAAAAAAAAGTTGTTAGTCCAAGTTGATGGTTTGCATAGATAAAGAGGTAGAGAGGCTCAGCAACAAGAGGTGTCCACAGTCCCGAAGGATCGGTCTCATTAAATCAGTATATCCTATATTATAAAAGACTAACTGGGCGCTTAACATGATTACCAATAATTGGTCAGCAAGCTAGACGCTGAAATTTTACCACGAAATGGTGCCGCGGAGCCGCCGGAATCAATGCCGTGTGCTCTGGCACTTTTCAATGTGACTTCGAGTGCATGGGTCTATGAGCACTTTAACAGTTGAACTCTGGACATTATACATTTATACATATGCATTGAGTATTCTGCACACTGTGGCTGCTGCCTCATCTTACAATATTGATCAAAGAACCACTACAGATTTAAGAAATTATTTCAAACTTTGCCTTACATCTGCAAAACATGTTTTTTCAGCTAATTCTCTGAGAGCAGCCCAGAGTGCTTCCCAGCAGCCAAAGTACCCAGAGCAAGTTCAGAATTTTGCTCTCAGTGCTTTGGGTGCTGGAAAGTACTCTCCAGCCAGTACCCTTGCTCTGGCAAATATACTGGTTCTGCAGATGTGCCCTGCAAAGGTTACTGAGGGTAGATTGTGGGTCAGTGCATCCAGTATTCAAAGCTGTGTCATGACATGGTGTGTTTGACAGAAAATTATTGGCTTAGCAGTAGAACAGAAGAGGATTGTGACAACACTAACTGGCTACTGCAAGTTGGTCATGGTTCAATTAACACACCTAAACATAGTGAAACTTGATCCATGAATGTGATGTGGAGATACTATATAGTTTTTAATTTCTGCCATCTATCCAAGTCTCAACTTGATCCATCCTGCAGTAAATGGCAATGATTCATGGATTCTTAAATGCACTATCCTTTGCCCTAGAAATGTTGTAGTGTATTTACTCAATATAATACACTTGATGGCTTTAGAAGGAAATACATTCACCTATCATAGAGCTGATAGTATTGGTGCAAATGAAGGGGAGGTCAACAACAATGAATTTCACTATCCTGTTGTATATTTAATTAGTACCAATGAATTAGGTCTTCTACTTGCAAAACTTGAGCTCAAGATTGGTGCACCTATTATGATACTTTGAAATCTTAATCAATTCTCCAGGTATTTGCAATGGAACCCAAATTATTTTAAAGAAATACACTATCAGAGTTCTGAAAGTAAAGAGGCACTAGGTTCCAGTTTTGCTTACATTTACAATAATATCAAATAAATTACAGGGACAATCTGTAAAACATATTGTATTTTCAGATTCTGTATATTTTTCAGAGCAACATCTGCAAAACCTATATGTTCACCAGAGCAAGGGTACTGGCTGGAGAGCACTCCCCAGTGCCCAAAGCACTGAGAGCAAAGATTTCAACTTGCTCTGGGTACTTTGGCTGCTGGGAAGTGCTCTCAGCTGCTCTCTGAGAATTAGCCAAAAAAACAAATTTTGCAGATTTAAACATCTGCAAAACCCATATGTTTGCCAGAGCAATGGTACTGGCTGGAGAGCACTCTCCAGTGCCCAAAGCACTGAGAGAAAAAATTCCAACCTGCTCTGGGTGCTTTGGTTGCTGGGAATCACTCTCATGATTCATCCACTCTCTGAGAATTACCTGAAAAAGCAGGTTTTGCTGATGAAAAGTACTTGCCTCTAGCATGCAGGCACACCAAGAGCAAGATTTTCAACTTGCTCCTGGCTAAGAAGCTCTTTGAGTTGCCCTCAGACAATGAGCCCAAAATAGCGGCCAGATTTTGCAGATACTGTAAGTGGACTGAAGTCTTAGAGCCCATAGATAATTCTAACTCTCTCTTTTATCTGCAAAACCTGTATTTTTGGCTAATTGTCTGAGAGAAACTGAAAGAGCTTCCCAACAGCCAAATAATTTAAAACAAGTCAAAAATTCCACTCCCAGTGCTTTGAGTATTGGGGAGTGCTCTCCACTGGCATTCAGCACCTTTTGCACTGGCAAATATACAAGCTTTACAGATGTGAAGTACAATAAAGGCTGTAGTGAAAGTGCTATCTGGTAAAAGTAAGGTTTATATTCTAATCAATAGCAAGTCTCTAACTTTCCATTATAGAAGATAGACATTGCCTTACTACAAATATGGTGTACCCAGAAGTTCTTCTAGATAGGAAAAGTATGTTGTTTATGATGAAAATGGCTCAGAATACTGCATAATAAATATGAAAGTATGGAGGCGCAAGGCGCCGACTAAGGGGGGTTTGGGGGCTTGCCCCCAACAAGCTGTGAACCCTGCTGTAGCACACGGTGCGAGCAGAGCGAGCCACCGTGGCGAAGGCACGGGTTCTAAAGCTTGTTTTGTTTGAAAAATCATGGCCATTATATAATTAGCGGTGGGAACGCCAAAAAAAAAAGAACCCAATGAAGGAAGACTGGATTATACTCACCGGACAATCCACAATGATCCAACAAACACTTGTCCCAGCTTGAATCGACATGCACCGACCTGGAGAATGTCGTCCGGCACATTTCCTAGTTCTGGATAACTATCTTGAAGAATCAAGGAGTCAAAAACTCGATGGCACTGTGTTGACGGTAGAGTTCTGCGAAAACTAGCGTGGCATTCCTGCGTAGAGAAGGTTGAAAGAAAATGGAGTGTATATATAGACATACGTGAAAAACTTTCTCACGGTCATTCATTCCAGCAACTCGAAAAAAAAATAAAGCAACGAGTTTAGATTTCAGTGGCAATTTACAGAACGTTTAGATGAGCTGATTAGATACATTGATATTGAGTATTGCGATAGATAACCGGTCAAAGAGCGAAGTTCCGTGGACCATAGTTAGCCGAACAACCAAGCGAGGTGGAATAGATATTATAGTTAGGGATTGTTGAGCATCACAAAAAGGATGGAAGGAAAACAATGTGAAAGTCCAAGCATACAACGTACGGTACGAGTGACTGAAATTGCATTGAAAGCAAGACATAGTGTAAAATAAAGAAGTACAGCTTAGGAAACCCTGCTGAGTAGTCAAGAGTGTGAAGAACGATGAAATTGAAAAGAAGCTTACATGAAAGAGGACACCCAACACAGCGAAGGGTGCAACTGTGAGGCTATGAGAAAGAGCCTGATACATGCTCTGGTGCACCCACTTGCAGATACGATAGCACTAGAGTTATAGAGCTGTTCTGAAGACAGTGAATCTCCAAGTCACGACCAGTCCAAACAGGCGTGACGGGCTGCGCATTGTTTGGCAAGGGAGACTCATGACCATCAAAAAATCCTCTGTTGAGGTCCCCATTGGCATTGCTAATGTCAAGCTCATTCTTTCCAGCTTTGGTATGGAGATACACTTGGCTGCGAGATTTGGATCGAACGTGGGAGGGGCCCAGACGAAGACCACGAACGCCGGAAGGAGAGGGGGACTGCAATACACTGTCATCGAACTCAGAAGAGTTGGTACCTCGAAGAGCATTCTTTCCGATTAAAGCTTCCTGCAAAATTTTGAATGCAACAAGTTCAGCAGCGCGGTAGAAGCGGGATGAAGGCGAGGATGAAGAAGACATGGAAGTGACAGAGGATGTTGTCGTTTCGCCAACATGCTTCTTCAACGAGACGGTCCATTGGTGCCGAATTAAAGGATCATCAACACTGAACATGTACCTCCGCTTTGCACCGCAGTGATTGAAGAAGGCAACCTGGAAAGTATTGCGCATGAATGCACGCTCAATATTGACATTATGGCCTAGGGGAAGACCAGAGTACTTCAATGCGTTGGGTCCGGAACGACAAATTATGACTGTTTTAGATCCCAAAGAATTACCCGTCACACGAAAAGAAGCCTCTGAGGACCGGCTAAACGTTAGAACAGATGGCTCGAAGGTAAGGCCTTGTCCAAATAGGTGGATTGACAATTGAGGATCGGTTTGCGGTATGCGGATAATGATGGGGTCGGACTGAACTTTGTAGGTGATGCGGGTTGGAAGAGGCCGTTTGATGGTGATGAGTATATCAGCATTGTCACCGGGAGCTTTTGCTTGTGAAAGTCGTTCTTCCCAGATAGATTGATAGATATTCTCAAGCAGCGAATCAGCTACCAGAGAGCGGGGATCATACCTCCTAAATGCATTGACAAAGTCATTGGAGGATATATTCTGTCGAGGAAATCCACCAAGGCCAGCTGTGTCAGAGATGCCTCCGTGTAGAAGGTCGTTCAGCTGGATGATAGCACGAACCAGGCGAATAGCAAGATCCTTGTCATAATCGACGAACCTTGCATTGGCCTCGTACCATCGACTGGCGAATGCATCCAACAAGTACTCGAGGGCACTGTGATGATTGACTGGATGGGAGGGAACATGCAATGACATCAAAAATGCACGGAGCGCCATATTTACTTGGGATGAGACAAACCCGAAACTGTCGACGTAACTCTTCAAAACTACTTTGGACGTCCTCTGGGAAAGATATCTCCCAAGGGTCGCCCGATCCAGCTCTGTCGTACGAAAAAGCAACTGACCTAGAAAGACTGGATCATCTGATAAACCAGACTTTGCGAAGAACGTGGAGATCGCATGATCGGGGTCTTTGCTGAATTGGTGAACGAAAGACCGAAGAAGAGGATTGCGATTTGGCAAACCAAAGGTAGAATTCCTGTTCACTGGATCAGCGCGATCAGCGCTGAAGCGCAGGTTCTGCAATGATACAACGCTCTTCACGGTGAACTTTCTTTCCGGAGTGGGAAGGTCCATACCCTCATTTTCGCCCTCTGCGACTGGCTTTGCTATGACAAGGATATCGCTGAAGAGAAAAAGGAAACGATCCTTAACAGTGTTTGCGTTGACAACTTGTAACACCGGAGAAGAGAGGATCAATTTCCGGGGAGGGCTTTCTAGAACGGAGGCCCACATGGGGCTGCGGGGTCCTCTAGCTAGATTTTCCTCTAACCGTTCAAGGACTATGGAACCTTGAGCTCCGGGTGGGGCAGCAACGGAATAGTTGGAAGAAAGACTCGATGAAGACGTGGACGTGGATGGTGCAGGATAATCGCTGAGGGACGATGAAGGATCAGGAGTGGTGGACGAGAGAGGATCAGGGGGAGATGGGAGCGCAGAGGATTGCGCAGAGGAAGATAGTTTGGGGCGTTCAACATTGGACGTAGGAGAGGTGATAGTTCGCTGGGCTTTAGGTGTCTTCTCAACGTCGTGTTCGCTAGTACCAACAGGAGATGCCCTGGGTGGAGTAGCAGCAGGTACCTGCTCTCCAGATAGACTACGCTCACTTGACACAGGAGGAGGTCGGTCGGCCAGTGTGCCAGTCTCAGTGGAAGTACTATTTAGATCTTCCCAATCTGATACCAGCTCTGTATCCTTCCGTATCCGTAAAAGATCCGAGAGTGAAGGCTTCTTGAAACCTTGTTGACCATTTCGATATTCGCCATTGGGAGAAGTAGGTAACGAAGCAGAGGATACCTGTGAAGGGGAAGAAAATATCTTCTTGTTTTTACTCATCCACTGCTTCACTGCCGGAAGAGTCATAGGAAGTTTGATCGAATTGGTGTTAGTTGGCGTCGAAGAGGCAGGAGTGATATCAAAGTACTCGGGAAAAGTAGAGGAAGAAGAGGCATCAGATGATAACGGAGGTGACAGCAAGTACTTTGCGATGTTCGATTCGGACGTCTGCTGCATCAATGTGCGGTCCTTGCTCTGGTCAAACTGGGTACTAGACCCAGCAGGGCCAGGATACGACGGAGATGTCGGATCTTCATAAGCATGGAATTGCGCATTGATATCTGGTGTCGACGCGGATGGAGTCAAACCTTTCACGCGATTCCGTTCTTCCTCCAACTTGTGAATACCTGGAAATGGGAAAAGTTTGGCGTTCTGGTACCGCGCATAGGTATCAGATGTAGGCGGCGGAACTGGAGAGACACGAGAAATTGACTGAGGCGCTAATGATAGGGCGGAAGTTGATGGGGACAGCACAGGCGCCTGAGATTGCTGAGAAGCAAATCCGCCGTTAGGATCACCTCTCGGGCTGTTGATACTCGCACCACTCTCCCGGCTGATGCTTGAATCGGTATGGTCACGTCTTTCTCGAGTCACAATACTGTTACTCCGAGATCTTCTCCCAGTAACAGAATTAGAACGCGTAAAGGTACTTTTTACTTTCTCCCAGGCACTCGTTGACGTTGAATCCCCACTCCGCTTGGATGAATTATCATTGACGATAGGTCGATCATCCAGATCGCCAAACTCTGCACTCATAGGAGAGAGCTCACCTTGTAATCTAGGGGATGGACGGTTGTGATATTGCGGCGACAAGGATCCGTCACTCTCGCGCGGCATAGAAGCGGGCGAGAGAGCGGCAACAGATGACGGTGAATGGGGAGCATACAAAGGCGTGACATCCGGTATTGAGTCAGATTCGATGAGTACATTTTGTGAATCAGAAGAGACCCGCGGAGATATATCCTCGTAAACTTCCTCGTTGGAAGATCTAGAATGAGTCGAAGGAGGTCGTTCATCGTAAGGAGCCTCATCTTCATCCGGGTAATCGCCGTCGTCCTCATCGTCGTCGTCATTATCGTATATTGGTCTTCGTATCTCGGGTACTGGACCATAACAATTAAGTGCGGTACTCCTTGATATGGAAAAAAAAGACACACCAGGTGAAGCTATCCAGCTGATTTCACGCTCGATGGCGTCGAATGCGTATAAATCCTTGGATGTGTCTGTGTTATAGACGATCTCCTCTTCGTCGTCATCTTGAGAAGTTTTTTCCTTTAAGGGTCTGCTGAACGGACTAGTTGGAAATATATCATCCCTGTGATTCAAGTACACCGGAACACCAACACCAGACGTTGTGGGGTAGTCGTTCAACTCCGGAGTATTAGGCATTCGACTGATAAACGGAGTTGGCGGTGAAGGAAGCTTCCGTGTAGGGGAAGATGGAAGCCTGCGCGAAAGAGCAGAAATTTCCTCATCCTCTTCCTCAACGACGACACTCCTGCGGCGCGATTCGTTGAAGATGAGCGGAGGCTGAGGAGACTCTGCCTTAGAGAGCGCAGGACTGAGAGCTCGAGGACTAGGTAGCTGATTCGGAGTAACAGAACGAGCTCTGAAAAGATCCAGGGGAGTCGGAGGTAAAGGAGTTGGTGGAACGATAGGAGTATTTGGAGAAGTCGAAGCGAATTCAGAGTCAGAAATTCCCGTGTTGGCACCTGATGAGCCTCTCCGAGATCTTCGCCGTCTTCTCTTGGGATTGGGTGACGGCGAAGGTGCCTGGATTTCGTCATTCCCACTACCATCAGTATCCTTGGCCACCCGGGACCTACTCCCCAGAGTGTCCATCAGCAATTTTCGCGCAGCATTACGCTCGCCACCAGAAACTGTATTGGTGCGCTTGAATTTCCCCGGGCTAAGAGCTGGTGAAGGCGACAGTGACGGTTCGTAACTTTCTGTACCATTAGTCAGTTTGTGCATAGCTAACATTCTCCCAGCGCTGTTTGAGCGAAATAAACCTTTTTGCAAGGCTTCCAAGGACGGCAGAGGGGTGGGAGGCGAAGTACCGGGATACTGGAATTGGGACGGATCCTGTGATGTAGGAGTAGGAGACCGAAGTAGCAGGGAGCGCTGAAATTGAGAAGGGACCGGAGAAATGAGCTGAGGGACAACTGGAAGGGTGATGGTAGGTGATGCAGTAAAGGCTTCATCTTGGGAAGAGTCTCCAGTAATAAGAGGACTAGGCGTCGGAGCACGAGCTTTTCCTTTCATGTCCCTAGAGCCTCTAGAGCGTGACCTGGATCTTGACCGACGTTTGGTCCGTGTGGCGGGCGTTGGGACTGGGGCGCCTTCAACCAGGGTTTCGGGTCCCACTTCGTTCTCCGACTCTGTCCCTGCCCGAGCTTCTGATTGTTCTTCATGTTGCTGCTCTTTCTGCTGTGGTGGCGGTGTGTCCGTATCTGGCTGCTGCTCCTCCCCCACAGGACCTTTTTCTCCTTCACTTACGGCTTCGTTGTGCATTGGAGGCCGTCTGCCATCTTTCAATCTCGGCAACGATGCGGCGCGTTTTAACTTCGCAACTGCAAGCATTCGCTGCTCGCGCTGATCAGAGGCCGAAGCTGGCTCATGATCCATAGACACAAGCTGAAGCTACGAGAAACTCTAGAAGATTCGGTTAAACTGTGGATTTTGAATAACTTGTTTGAACTTACTTGGTGTGAGTGCTCTGATCACCAGGAATCTTGAGTTGTACGTGAATATTGACGATATGACTTTTTTCCTGTGTTGAAGGGAAAAGAAGGAGAGTTCTGTGTCAAGCGCAAACTTAAACACTGTGGGGAAGAACACGTTTTGGCACCTCCAAAATCCATCCATTATCCGTAGATTTTTACCAAAAATTGACTGATTTTGGGATGTCGAAAAGTTTGTATATTTCTCATATAGCTGGCTATAGAATATGAAGTTCATATTGTGCAGTTATTCTGAATTATCTACCAATAATATTGAGGATATAATAATGACTTTGTGCCTCACAATTTGTTAATATTTTTGGCTGCTCGAAATTTGAAATAATTGTAACATAACCTACCAGTGAACATGAGGAACATAGTCCGAGCTTATTTGAAACAATCATACAATATTCTCCCATAGATAATTTAAAATTTTTGCGAGATATTCACTTAACAAAAAACATGAGGTTTTTCAAAATAACCTCGCCGAGGTTATGCATACCCGATGTTGGGACATCGAGACGTCAAGACGTCGTTGATATCGGGACATCGAGACACTGGAATGTCGTTGATATTGAGACATCCAAACATAGAAATGTCGCTGGTGTCGGGATATTGAGATGCGTGACATTCAGGAAATTCGGGACATGTTGGAACATGCCAGTTTTCACCTAGTATTAGGTTAGTATTGACCACCACGACCTATGTAGGAATGACATAACTTCTGGCCCCATCCATAAATACACAGAAGGCCCTGAGGAAGGCTTTTCTTATCATTTCACAGAACATAGTGGCTGCCTGTGGCTGCACTGGCACATCCTGAATGTCCTGGATGTCACGCGTCTTGATATCCCGACCACCAGTGACGTTTCTATGTTTGGACGTCTCGACATCGACGACGTTCCGGTGTCTCAATGTCCCGATATCAACGACGTCTTGACGTCTCGATGTCCCAACATCGGGTATGCATAACCTCGGCGAGGTTATTTTGAAAAACCTCATGTTTTTTGTTAAGTGAATATCTCGCAAAAATTTTAAATTATCTATGGGAGAATATTGTATGATTGTTTCAAATAAGCTCGGACTATGTTCCTCATGTTCACTGGTAGGTTATGTTACAATTATTTCAAATTTCGAGCAGCCAAAAATATTAACAAATTGTGAGGCACAAAGTCATTATTATATCCTCAATATTATTGGTAGATAATTCAGAATAACTGCACAATATGAACTTCATATTCTATATCCAGCTATATGAGAAATATACAAACTTTTCGACATCCCAAAATCAGTCAATTTTTGGTAAAAATCTACGGATAATGGATGGATTTTGGAGGTGCCAAAACGTGTTCTTCCCCACAGTGAAAGCGACGGAATTGTCAAGAAGTGAAAACCGTCGGGCACGTGGCTGTGTTATTAAATACCTCCGCGCAGGCGACTTTTCAGAGTATAAAGGTGCCTTTGTCCCAGCTTTGTCCTGTTCAATAATTGCTCGAGTTCAACTACCAATTTAGCTCACATCCGCGAAGATGTCACAAATTCCGTATCGATCTATCCTGCTCACAATTTACGAAGCGTTTCTGTTATCTTGAGTCTTGACTAATCGACCCACTATTGACCCACTCGAGAGGCATGCATATGTATGAGGATTCAAGCTTCAAGAAGCCCCATGCGAGACTATCTTTGACTGTTCTGTTCACACCAGCACCGTTGCAAGTTGTTGCAAGTAGTAGGCTTTTGCAGGTGAAAAACTTTACACTTTTGCACTTTGCCTCATGGTTACCACCGTACCAAATTGTACCTCTGTTTATCAAGTTCGAGTGCTCCCATAAATCTGACGCGCGTGTCCTCATCCCCACTGCTACACATCCCCATTTGTACTATTTATATTATCGGATAGAGCCTGATACTTCACAGTAGATTTTCTCTGATCCAGATGTTTGAATAGCAATTGAACTGAGCGTCGTGTTCACGAACGTGAAATACCCGCATACATAGGCCTGCACCGAGTATGAGTGCCAATCGTCAATCGTCAACCGGATAAAGGCAAGTCTCTCGATTATTCACTCGTAGAAGGTACACAAACACAACGAGGCTTCAGAACGGTTTAGAAATGGGTTCTACAGGTGTTTTAACATGCCACTGCAACGTGGTGAATATCATACATTACCGGACGCTGCTCTCAGTCTACACTTGACCATCAACAGCCACTGCCTCTCAGGGATTCACAGTTCCCAAATAACTTACATAGAGATTTACTAGGCTATTTCTTCCTCCACTTTATCATTTTTTCCTGGTGGCGATGAAGGAACTCCGTTCTGACTATCCCGCGTCCCTTCATTCAGGTTCTCGAAGAGCAAGACCCCTCTTCCGAACTCAGGACTCTGAGCAGCCAGTGTCTAGTACAGACCCACCAGTTTTGCCGAAGCATCGTTCTGCCTCCCAGCCTCCTCCGCGAAAACCCACGGCGACATCGGGCCCGTGGCAGCATATGGCGAACACCTACGCTTGGGTTGTTGAACAAGAATTCGTCCAAGTCGATCGAAAGAACCGGACAACAGAACAATGGATTTTTGAACAAAAAATTCGCTCTCCGGACGTCGGCACACAGGAACGACGTAATATTGAAGAACGTGTCCGAAGGAGGATGTGGGAGGAGGCAATGAATGAGTATGAAATCGAGGCTGAGAGATGGATGAGGCATGAAGAAGAGATGAGGCGGAGAAGAGTCGCTGCCGAACGAGAGAGAGAAAGACAGAGAGCTAAAGCTAAAACGGGATCGAACTTACAAGATGAATTACGGCGTTTTGAGTTTGAAGCGCGTATGCGAGACAAGCAGGAACGCGACCGTGAAGCGGAAAAACACAGAGAAGACCGATACAGAGCTCGGCAGGCAGCTAGAGAACGCGAGCGTGAGCACAGGGAGCGGGTTAGGGCTGAGAGAGAAAAGTCGATAGTCAATGTATGGGAGAAGTACGAGAAGCAATGGGTCTCTTTGATCTCTACATCCTCGGAGCCCATCAAATTTTCCGATATTCCCTGGCCAGTGCAGCATACAGTGACATCACCCGAGGATCTCACGCCGACAGGAATATCCGCTTTTCTTCTGTCTGCACTTCATTCGCAGAACCAGTCCCGAAAAGAAAGGATACGGAACGCACAATTGAGGTGGCACCCGGACCGATTTCAGCGGGTGATGCGACGAGTGCGAGAAGAAGATAAGGGTTCAGTGGCAGAGGGAGTAGGAATTGTAGCAAGATGCTTGAACGACATGATGACTAGAGAGAAAAGAGCATAAAGACTAGGTATCGATTATAGTCATCCCAGTACCCTGCAAGCTGGTCTTGTAATACGTATCTCTTGTGCCATAACTTAAACCATAAGTAAAAATGTATATTATGATCACCTGTAAGAGAACGGTTCCATATTTTTGCAGTCGGTTGACATTGTTGGACTGGAAGAACTGGAAGTGCGAAAGGAGTCTCGGCGCCTAATATGTCACACACACAGTGACAGGGGCGGGCCTGTGCGGGCCCTCATGGTAATCAATGTGACGCCAGCGACGAAGGCAACGGTTCGTTTTTTCCAGTTGCCACTTGTTTTACACTAGTGCTCGTCGTCGATTTGTGTGAGTATCAAGCTCCATATAAATTTCTGCTCTGTTTCCTTTTCTTCGAGACTTCGAAAAGCGGCGTATATTAATGATTGATGATGCCAAAGAGAAAAAAAGTTGATGATGGGCGGAGGATGTTGATCGTATCAAAGGATCAAAAGAAAAGAGACTCTGCTTACTCCTTTATGTCTGCTCTGTCGCGCATTCGGTCTTTAAGCTGCGAGCTGACTGGCGGATGGACCATGGACTCGCTGCTTATCTGGCACTCGGGAGATACCGGGTGACTAGGGTTGACAACGCGTTGACAAGGGCACAAACTGGGCACAAAAGAATTATTACTAACGTGTTCTTTTTTTCAGCAGGCTGAGCTGCTACAGGACCTGGTGAGTTATTTAAGAATCTTTTCTTCAAAATTTGGTTGATAGTTTGTTCAGCGATAATGGCCCTCATAAAAGATTCATCTGAGCGTGAATCCAGACCGCCGTCAGGACAATCCAACAAAACTGGCTCTCGACGTCCTTCTCCAGCCAGAGGGGTTACTCCGCCGTTGAACGCAACGGAGACTCTCGCATCTTTGAGGGGAAATGAGGCCAGCGCTCAGCAAAAAGATGCCGAAGTAGGCAGCCGGACTAAGTCCAAAACTCCGCCAGGACCTCAGCCAACATACCAACAGCACTATTATCCTTACCCCCCGCCCCCTCCTCCGCCACATATGTATTCTGTCTCTCCTTATGAAAGCAGTTGGGGTCGAATGATGCCTCCACCACTACCACCTGCTTCCGGAGACCGTGGCAGAGATCCTCGAGGCTCAGAATCACCTGTGGCCGGAGGCTCGCCTGGCTATCCACAGTCGGGCATGCCTGGATACCCTCATCCTCATCACCACCATCATCATCATCAAGGTCACCATCCCCATCCTCATGATCCTTATCCTCCTCTTCCGCATCATTATGCCCACTCGGCTTACCCGTATGGCAATCCAAATGGCCCACACATGCCTGTATACCCAGTACAGACCAGTTACACTTACAATCCTGCTGGTGTTACTGCCTACGGCTCTCACCCTCCTCCTTATAGTGGCCCTGGGGGGCATGGGACTGTAGGAAGCAATTACAGCCATAATGGAGCAGAGCCGATGAATATGCCTCCCTCCTCCGAATCCGATAGCAATATCCACTCCATCGGCCCTGGCGCCCCTCCTTCCGTTCCTGGGAATGGATTTGCTGCAATTACTGCCACACTCACCCCTACTCCGATCCCAGAATCTGAGATCATATATACTGAAGATGCTGCGACCAAGGTGACAGATCGGATTCGAAGAAGATGCTATAATTGCTACACCAGTGATACCAGTACTTGGAGGCGAAGTAATCTTGCTGTAGGAAAAGTGGTAGGTGTACTCAGCCGTTGTTTTTCAGATATCTAATCCTTTTGATATACATAGCTATGCAACAAATGCGGTTTGTTCGAACGAACTCATTCTCGTCCTCGTCCAGAACAATTTCCTCACAAACGGACATCGTTGGGCGGAGAGGGCGAAGGAGGCAACCAGTCTCCTTCATCACCATCCTACTCACTTACTCCTGTGCCGTCTCAATCACCCTTGCACTCTCAAGATACATCATCGAGACCGGTCCTCCCTCATAGGGAGAGTATCGGTCCTACAAAGAGGAACAAGAAAGCCAAACTTGGTCATGATAAACCAGAGTCTGATTCGAAAGCTCAAAGTATCGCTCCCGTCCCTACTTCATCTTCTGGCGGCCCTCCTGGCCCAGTCTCAGCTTTACATGTTCCCTCTCAGGCCAATGGTTTAGTGTTACCTACTTCAGACACACCTTCCAATTCCCATCACTTACCTGTCGGCCTAGCCAATCTTACCCATCCTCACCCGCCTCAACATCAGCCATACTATGGAAACCAACCCAATAGCTCACCCCATCCATCTTCTTATCCGACTCATCCTAGCCATTCTTCTCACACAATGTATGCTGGTGGTGCTTTTGGTGTTCCCTTGCAATATAATGGGTACCCAAGTAGTAATGGTTTTGCCCTTCCACCTATCGGAGGGCCTGCGTTGAATGGATACGAGTACACGCAGCCCCACAACCATTCTCACCAACAGCAGCAACAACATTCTGGCCCGCCTCCGCCACAAAGAGCAAGTGCCCCTGTATCAGGTTTGCAAGGCCTGCTCAATGGCGTCGATGGCCGTGGAAGGGACAGCCGTGAATCGTCTGCTCCCGCTCCATTCCGAAAATCATCAGACGTACCCATCGACCCTTCGTTGAGCCAAAGCAATGACGGCATGAAGGAAAACGACCAGGACAATAGTCCTTCTCGCAGGAATATTGCGAAAGAATTGGACGTGTCTCCTTCAGAGAAGTCGGGCGACCTACAGGTAAAATCCAAGTCTACAACTTCAAAATCTCCTACGAAATCCTCTACCGGCACTCGCGTCCCTCGTAAATCTGGGAAACCCCATGATGAATCTCTGGATTCCCATACTCCTCGACCAAATGGCGTCGGAAAGGCTACTACTCAAAGAGACGCTTCGCCCGAATCAGCGTCAGATTATCACTCTTCGTTGTCTGATGGTAATTATCCCGGTAATGCTGATGAAGAAGAAGCAAGTGGGAGTGGAGATGACTATACTTCAGAGGGCGACGATGACGACGGAAGTGGTGATTATAAAATCAGTGGAAGCAGAGGTACGAAAGGTAGAAGGGGGAGACCTGTCCGTTCGGTTGCAAAGAGACAAACCAGGATGGGCAGCGGTGCTGTCGGGGGCAAGAGGAAGAGGAGCTTGAGGGGTTCTAGTCCCGCCGGCGACGACTGATTCAGCTTTCTTTTTTTTTCTTATCTATGGTCGCTTGCTGCTATGTCCCCGTTCTTTCTGTTATTGATGGTTTCAGTGATGTCGGTGAACATTCTTCAATGTTGTTCTTGTCGCCCACTATTATAATACTCCAACACCTCGAGTGCAAGTTACATTTGGCACACTTATCTAAATATCATACTCAATGTACGTTATGTTTGCCTATGCCTATATGTGTATATGTGTATATACATTCCTTCTTTGCTTGGGAACTAGTTCTAGTTACTGCAAAATCCTGCTTATATCTCATCATTTTGTTGTGTTCTTCGTACAGCTTTGTTATTATTCCAGCTTCGTGCCGCGATAATTGTTGCTCGTACTGAGTATTATAACAACTTCAACTTGCTTAGTCACACCCCAGGCGCTACAGCTTTACCTACGGTACAGCTTTCCATAACCTTTTCCCTCCAACAGACTGTAATTAGCAGCAATGACAGCCGTGTCCCCATTCGCACGCGCAAGCACTTTTGACGATGTGAGATTGGCTGGTAGAGAGCAAACTGTGAGTAATTGTAGCTTCGCATACCAATTGTTATCTTTCGTTCGTTTGTAACCCAGATACCACTTCTTTATGCTTCCTCTCTCGGCTGACATTTCACTAACTGGAAGCTCTCACTGCGCTCAATGATTTTAGATTGAAGAAATGTATAGTGTCCCGGAGAGTTTTCTGGAGATTGAAGTGAGGAACCCCCAGACGCATGGTGAGCTTTCTACAATTTCTTCAGCTTGTGCAGGACGCAATATCGCGGGGAGTAGCCGGCACTATTGAGATGCGTTGATTGCTCAATGACACTTCACTTATGTACAGGGTTCGGACGAAAGATGTACACAGATTATGAGATTGTGTGCAAGGTATGTTTTGAGGTCTACTGCGCGCTCATTCCTATCTAACGCTATCTGACAGACCAATATCCCTGCCTTCAAATTGCGTCACTCCCTTGTACGACGTCGATACTCCGATTTCGAAGCTTTCCGTATGCTCTTCAACCCTTCCTGCTACGTCAAGCTGCTGATTATCAATACCCTTCACAGGAGACATTCTTGAACGAGAATCCACCAGAGTAAATATACCTCCTCTTCCAGGGAAGGTCTTCACGAATCGATTCTCGGACGAGGTAATAGAGAGTCGGAGGGAAGGTTTGGAACGCTTTTTGAGTATTGTTGCAGGGCATCCGTTACTACAGGTGTGATTTTGCTTCGTTTCTGTGGTTTGAGGCGAATACTTACTGTATTGCATCTCTTGTAGACTGGAAGTAAAGTTTTGTGTGCATTTCTTCAAGATCCTGCTTGGGATAAATCACAATGGCTGTAAACGGTAACGAGTCGAGGTATGATAATAGGTTGGCTGGATGATTCAATGGACATGTCTTATCCTCGGATTGCACACACTAATGCATTTTCTCATTACGATGGTCATCTTGCCCTCCAAGGTTTCCTAATTCTTTATTTTTCTTTACTTGTTGTATTCATGTACCTACTTGACTTTCTGTTCAAACTTTGCGGAATGAGTGCGGCATTGAGTCTTGACTAAGGCTTACCGGCTTGATCCGATACGGCAAGACCGGTCACGTAGTAAGAACAGTAATCAAAAATTATTCCTGTCAGCTTCCTCCATGTTCTCTCTACGTAGAGCACCTTTCCGACGATGCCTACACACCCAGGCAACCCACTCTTTGCACCAAGCTAAGCCCTACAGGCTGGGCTTCACTTTGGCTGCGTCCATAACGGTAGCTTCGTACACGACATGGCGATGGACACGGGATCAGCGTATCGCGTTGGATAGCGTGACGGTTTCCGAAAGTACGTGCCCTTTGGACTTCACGTCTTTTACTCACTCTTGGACCTTGCCCCCAGATATCAAAACACCGGTTCTCGACGGCTCCTCATCGGAAACTGACCATATTTCCGCTTCTCCTTTACAAAACCCAGAGGGCTCCACGGAATCCTCGTCAAAAAGTGAAGCGGAGACAGAGGCTTCAGATAGTGCTTCACAAGGTGCTTACAACCCGGAGACTGGTGAGATCAACTGGGACTGTCCCTGTCTTGGTGGAATGGCCTATGGTCCGTGCGGGCCCGAATTTCGTGAAGCCTTCTCCTGCTTCATATACTCGGAGGAGGAACCTAAAGGTATCAATTGTGTTGAGAAATTTCAGGCGATGCAGACCTGTTTCAGAGCCCATCCTGAAGTTTATGCAGATGGTACGTTTCATGCTTATGAATTAGCTTACGAATAAATTACTGAATGATCTATCCATTTTAGAAATCATGGACGACGATGAAGATGGTAAAGCAAATCAGGGAGCAACTGAAGGAGTTACTGTTGATGCTTCTTCCCCCGAGGCAGCGTCAAGCTCTGGTACATCTCAGGTTGAAAAGTCTGACTCATCTGTATCAGCACGAAGCACCTCCACATAGACTGTCTTTGTCTTACTGTATCGGTAGTTATCTTATACTCCTAGCTCAGCCCCAACTGATAGAATATTGAATGAATCCAAACACATATTCGACTAAAATACAACAACAGCGAAAGCAAAACGTACAACATGCATGACCATACAATATCAGTCTACTCTAAACTTCTTTTCGATATTCTCATCCTTGAGCTTATAGCCATTTGCAGCAAACAATTTGGAGTGCAGGAAGGATGAGATGTCATAAATTTCGTGTTCCTTGGCCTGAAGAACAGATGCTCCTGTAGTCAGCAACTCGGTGACAAGTTTACCACGATTGAATGTTGCTTACCCGTTCCTCCAATTCTTTGGTCTTAACCTGGATCAACTCAGGCTGTTCATGTCGCTGGAGCATGTAGAACCTAGCCTTCTCCTTGACAATATTTCCGAGCAAGAATGCCAGCAATTCTTCGTGATCTTTGGATTGTGTGAGGTACTTTCTGAAACCCTAGTCAACCCATATCTGTATCAGCATCATCCTCAGCACAAATAGGAATCAAATGCACCCTCTGCAACGTCTTCTTGATACTCATCTTCTGTGCGCTCACAAAGCTGCCTACGGCGACTTCAATGGCCAAGTCGACATCATCCGCACGAACGTACTCCCGAAAAGACATTTTCGCGCTGGCCTCTGCCATACGAATCGTGCTTTCTAAATGACGCAGAGTAATTGGATATGAACCAGTAGCTTGGGATTGATGTCGGAGGTCAGCGAACAGTCTCGAGATTTTGTCCTGATCGAGCTGGTATAGCTTCGGCTTGATCTTTTCGCGCGCATACATAATGTACTTGCGGAGGATGTCCTGAGGAATAAGCTTTCCAGGAATGAGTATCTCGATTCATGAGGGATGAGTAAAAATCTTACATCCTCGTCGACCGTAGTTCCAACATCCATCTCATCCGCCTGCTTGTCGAAGGAAGGATGACTTCTCAAATGACTTCCGACTACGAACCGCGCCAACAGCTCGTCCATTACCGGGTCAACCGTATCCTTTACCACACACAACACGTCGAAACGTGAAAGAATGGGCTCGGTCAGTTCGACATTCTGTTGGAATGGTATCGTCGGGTTGTACCTTCCCCGAACCGGGTTAGCTGCCGCTATTATGGCACAACGAGCTTGTAGTGTCGTAACGATACCTGCTTTTGAGATGGAGATAGACTGCTGCTCCATCGCTTCGTGAATAGATGTCCGATCCGCGTCGTTCATCTTGTCAAACTCGTCTATAAGGCATGTACCTTTATCCGCAAGCACTAGTGCGCCTCCCTCTAAAGTCCACTCGCGTGTGACCGGGTCTTTGCGCACACTCGCGGTCAAACCAACCGCAGAAGCACCTTGACCAGTAGTGAAGACCGATCGATGGGCAGTCTTTTCGACGTACTTGAGGATTTGTGATTTGGCTGTACCAGGATCACCCAATAGGAGAACATTGATGTCACCACGAATGTGATGCTTGTCGTTGATGTTTTTGGAGACACCACCAAAAAGTGACAAAGCAATGGCGGTCTTGATATCCTCGTGGCCGTAGATAGAAGGAGCGATGGATTTGATTATACGCTTTCGAATTCGTTCGTCCCGAGAGAGGGCGCGCATCTCTTTTTCGTCTTCCTCAGTGAGACGGAAAGCAGCAAAAAGGTCTTCCTTCTTATTGACATGATTGGCTTCTATAATGGTCGAAAATACTGGAAAACCGTTCTTGGCGTTAAGAGACGCGTCAAAATTATTTCTGTAAACACCGGTGATTTCCTAAGGAACGGACGTCAACATGTGGGTTAGGAGGAAGGACGCTTGGACAACGTACGACTTCCTCGCCTGGCTTTGCGCTGTCTACCAGATCCCAGAGGACAATAACCTCACGGTGACGAGGTAGACGACCAGCAGGAACAGATCCCGGAGACTCTTGCAACGTCATCCTTTGATAATTTCGATAGACAGTCTAAAAAATATGTGATCAGGGTATTAGCTTTGTCCAATTATAGGGATACGTACTTGTTCTGAATTGACAGGAAAAGGTCCTTTGCTCTCGCAATTTGCGCAATAGCTCACTTTGACTTCCTTGGTAGCATCTTGATAAAATGGACCGAGAACGGCACCACATTTTTTGCAGTCAAATTTCACGTATTTGAGTTGAGGGAAAACGCTACTACGACGCGTAACGACGCCACTGACACGGACTAGGTTGTTGAGATTAGAACGCCGCAAGTCTCGTAATGACGACGCGAAAGGCAAGTCGCATATTCGGACGTGTACTTCGGAGTGGATACGTTCATAAGCAGGGTAGTACACAAGGATGGCTGTGAGGGCAACTTCGTCAAATATGGCAAGCATGGCAGTGGGCGCATTGGTGAGAAAATAAGCTAGGATAGGTTTTGAATAAGCTAGGTGGCTGTAAGAGACTTCAAGAGATTCGGAGTTATCTGAAGGAAATGATAAATATCAATTTGAAGGCAATTAGGGAGATAACGCACTTTCTCCCAAATTCCGAATTCTTTGTCCGTATACAGACGCGCCTTGTTCGTCGACGTAAGTCATTAGAAATTGGCGAAAATGCTTGACAATTGAACGCCTGACACGTGGGTTGGCGATCCACTCAACAATGGATTTGGCCTTGATGTCACTGAGTTGCTCGAGAGGTATTTCCTGCGTATAATACAACGATAAACCGATTCCAAAAAGAGGAAAAACAAATGACTCACATCCTCTAGTCCATCCATATCATCCATGTCTCTTCTTTCATCGTATTGTCTCCTGGTTCTTCGCTTCATTCGCAAGAGCTCATCATCATCATCATCATCCATATCGTCGTCGTCGTCGTCCAGAAATGCGGGAGCACGCGACCGCTGAGCAGCTCGAGCACCCTTGCCACCTCGCGCAGCACGGTCGCGTCTGTCCATTTTTTTCTCTACTAAGCGACGCGCTGCGGCCGAGAGTTCTTCGACGTCCTCGTCATCGTCAAGGCCAGTTGCATCGTATCGATCGAGAAGCTCATTGGTGCCATAATCTCTGAGAACGAGAATTAGTGTTGCGCAAGAGAAAGACGCGACAAAATCCAAACGCACTCTTGCATATTGTCACCATACAGATCCTCACCGTCATCGTTGTCTTCACCATCGTCAAGGTCGGGGACAGCATCTCTTTCGTCCATGCTATCATCAGTGTCATCAAAGGCGACTGGAGATGAGGGTGGCAATGATGACTCTGAGTCTCGACGACGAAGAGGAGTACGAGGAGCTGCGATTGGTGATGAGCCCCCGGGTGAAGACGACCTTTGCCTTTTTGTAGCACGTCGAGGAGTAGACTGCGAAAGATAAGATTAGTAGAAGCTGACGCGAGCTTTGAGGACCATACCATTGCAGGTTGTGGTACAAGTCGCGTCGCAAAACAATAATAGCTGGGCTACCGTAAGCCATCGGAGTTTGAAAACGCGACAAGAGACCAACGCGTCGGTACTTCTAGTTGAACAAACAGATGAATTATCTACAGTACTTATGAAGTACAAAGCAGATGTATATTATGATTACTATATATATATCTATGTTGAAAATCGAGAGAGATGTATATTGCTCAAACGACAGTAGTAGAATCCTTTGTATCCTTTTCCATCATAACTTTAGGAAAGTCTTTTGGTGGTTCTCTGTTTTCAAACAGGGACTGAATAATACTATCAACACAAGTGAAAGAAACTCACACTCGTATTTCCCAAACATCTTCACTGCTCTTCCCCAAGCGTCTTTGAGCCCACCACTCAGCTCGTCTGTGAATCCAAACATCCCGTCTTTCTTCCGGCTCCATCCGCGTCAGACCGAGGCAAAATTTGAAGTCTTCCAGCTTTTGACTGCAATGAGTCCTTTCTCCATATCTATAAAATGATTTTATCTGTGATCGAATAGCTGTAAAAAGGCGATATGAGTGTTATCGGAATTTCGGTAAATCAAGCAAGACGCGCCGTTGCAGGAAAGATACGTGTCGAAAAGATTGATACATGTTGGTGTTTCTTCTGGCGTAGGATGTACGAGGCGAAGATAGGCTTCTTCTTGTTTGACGACCTTTTCAAAATCGGCATTTGACTGGGACATGGCAAATTTCAAGACAGAAGCTGCGCTGGTGCCTGGGTGGGAAAGCAACCGAGGCGGCTGTCAGCTGCTCTTTGCATTCGCCGACGGATCGACAATACCCGAGTGTATATAAAGTACCCCTCATGGACGACAACATTTCATGGTCTCGCTACTCCACTACCAGCCTTTCAAAGGTCTATATCTGACCTACGAGCTCTTCAGCACGGTTTTTCTCCGAGTTCCAGCATGGATTCTTACTGCAATTCCCAAGTAAGTAGTATCTATTCTGTGTTCGAACAGTTCCAAACCTTCTGTCAGGTCATGGCGTCCTAGAGCTCGATGGACTATAGGAAGATCTGTCAAGCTCAAGCTGACGCGACATATGGTAGCAATCACGAAAAGGTCCATCTCCAGTAAAAGTCTATCTGACCTCGTACCGACGGTTTTTCTGCAGAGTTGGACCTTTGAGGCAAAGACCAAATCATCTAGCTATCACCTCCGGTTTGGATGTCAACGGCGTCTGGATTCCTCCTATCCCAGAATTGATCAAAGACGAGCTGGAGCTTTGGGCCAATGTATCCCATGTCTCTTCCATTCAAATTCCAGGCTACTGGCAACACAAGAAAGGATCTACAATTGACGTCGCAGCTCCTCCTATGCCCGGAGAAAAAGTTGTTTACGCTCTTCACGGAGGAGGTTATACGGCCCTTTCTGCCCATCCTTCAGATCCCACTGCAGCTATCGCCCGAGGACTCCTCCAGCACGTTGACTCTGTTCATCGAGTCTTTTCTTGTGAATACCGACTTTCCTCTGGAGATGGGTTGGATGCACAGAATCCGTTCCCTGCAGCTCTATTGGATGCATTGGCAGGATATGTCTATCTCGTCAAAACTGTCGGACTTGACCCTTTGGATATAATCGTTGAAGGTCTGAAATCAAAACCATCTGCACCTATATAATCAGCCTAACTATGAATGTATGTAGGTGATAGCGCCGGAGGAAACTTGGCTCTTGCGTTGACCAGATATCTGGTCGAGCACCCAAACTCAGGCCTCCCTGCTACACCTGGCGCTCTTATTCTACTATCGGCCTGGGCCGACCTCAGTCCTCAAGTCGCTAGTCCCAACTCATCTTGGCTCGATAACGCCAAATCAGACTACATTGGCCTCGTCGACGAAGAGGGCTTGGTTCGCTCCATTCGCTCTTTCTTGGGTCCCCATGGTCTTGGCGCTGCAGACGCCAATCCCATGATTTCGCCTGCGTCACGGAACCCTGCGATGAATGTCCACTTCAAAGGTTTCCCGAGGACATTCATTGCAGCGGGAGGTGCCGAGGTCTTTTATGACATGCTTTGCTCTTTGAAGGAGAAGATGGTCAGTGACTTGGGCGAAGGTGACGGAGTTCGACCAGAGGATGGTAAAGTGCACTGGCATTGCCCCCCTGATGCTACGCATGATTGGATCGCTTTGCCGTATCATGAACCGGAGCGTAGTGACACTCTCAAAGAGATAGCTTCTTGGATCGCTGCTACTTAATCTGCGCCTGTTTATCCCAAGTTTATATGGTTGAGTCCTTCATTCCCGAACTCAGTACGTTACTTGGTGTACTGTATAGTAAATTATTCTATCTAAGAACGTAGCTTCGATGCGTCAAGCACTTATTCGGTGCTTCCTTCTGACCTTCATGGCAATCTCTCTTCGGCACCAACCTTACAAGGCTTTATACACCACATTCGAGTTTGTAGGGACCGTCCTTGTCAAAGTTCCTTTCTGGTTATTGCTGAGCATCCCAAGGTAAGATAAAAGTTCAAATTTCTCATCGTCTCTGATTTATGTTATCGTTCAATATTCCTGCAGGTCATGGCGTCCTCGCCCTTCCTGGTCCATGAAAGACTCTTTTCTGATTCAACTCCTTCGCCATCTCGTGTCGGTACGGGCCAAGTATGTGTAAAAGGTTTCATAGCGGTCAAACAAGTTAGTTGAACACGTCCTACAGAACAATGTCTAAGGCCGCATCAGGCTATCCAGCCCGCCAACTTGGAGCACTCGGAGAAGGTGTTTACTGTGTCTGGGTAACACCGATACCTAAACTAGTGGTCGGCGACCTTGCCGTCTGGTCTCGGACTGCTTCCGTGTCTTCCATCCATGTTCAAGGATACTGGTACTGCAAGAGTGTCAACACAACTATTCCTAAACGAGCGTTACCTGGAGAAAAAGTGTTGTATTCTCTCCACGGAGGCGCATATACCTATGATACTGCTCATCCTTCCGGTTTAAATGCGAAAGTAATACGACACCTATTGAATTTGGACTGTAGCATCAACTGCGCTTTCGCCATCGACTACCGTCTTTCTTCCGAATCATCAAATCCTTTTCCTGCTGCCCTCGTTGACGCTTTGGCTGGCTATTACCATCTCGTCCATACCATCGGATTCAATCCTTCAAATATCATTATAGAAGGGTCTGCTGGCGGAGGGAACCTAGCGCTAGCCCTCACTCGCTATCTCATCGACTACTACGGCCATAGTGAGGCTGCCGACCTCCCCGATGTTCCTGGATCGCTCATCCTTCTGTCTCCATGGGCTGACATTGGACTAGCACCCGTTAAGGCTCGGCTCGAACCTGCCACTATTAATAACACTAGGTCCTGGCTAGTTTCCGATTACATGTTCGGACCCCAATGTCCAATGACGAGCTATTCCCAACATGTTTTCTTAGGACCTCATGGAACAGATGTGGCTGCTATAAATGAATACATTTCACCCTCATCTCGACATCCTCTGTTAGACTTAGACTTTGAAGATTTCCCGAGGACGTTCATTTCTGCTGGTGCAGCGGAGAACCTGTTGCCACAGATCCGTTTGTTGAAGGACCGAATGGTACGGGACTTAGGACACGATGACAAAGGATCTGAGAAGAGAGGTAAAGTTACATACCACGAAGCGCCGGATGCATCACATCATTGTTTGGCCTTGCCATTCGCGATACAGAAAGACGCTCAGAGAGAACTTTTGGCTGCTATTTCTGAATGGCTTGTTGGCTCTAGACGCTACGCAGATCTCATGTGAAGGTTTACCATATCATGAATTACGAACTATCCGGAGAAATGGTGTTGATTACGCTAATTAGTTTGGTGCCCGTTCGACTACGACTAATTATTGTCGCTTGGATTTATTGTCACTATCATTAACCTGTATTTCCGTCACCCCAGCTGCAAGTTCACCGGCTGACAACTCCCCGTTTTCTGCAGCACGCATGTTCCCTGCATTGTAATCTCGCAAGTAGAAGTATGTGGCGGGCATTGCGACAAACAGTGCGCCGATGACATTGCCAAGGTAAGCTGCGATCAAAGACCTGAAATCGGTAGTAAGTCCTGTAACTTAAAACGGAGGAAAACTTACTTTCGAATATACTCCGCTGCCGTCAGCTTATAATATGGAGGGTAACAATATTTGAAAGATGTGGACCGAGAGAGAGTCAGAACCACGCACATCAGCTCCAAACATGATCCCCAGCGGAACCGAAAACATGTTTGCAACGACTAGAGGAAAATCAATCTCTAAGAACTACAAGTTGACGGAATGGACGAACCATGGTCATAACCACAAGCCACGAATACCTATCAACAGTGGCGCATGCATTCAGAATGACCTTATCGTGCTAAGCAAGACTTGAGCGTACCCAAATCGGAAGCCAGATTGCGAATATCTGTAAAGACAACATTGAATCTCCGGAAGCAATGGTTAACTTGTATGGTATAAAACACTCACCTTGGATATAGTGTCTCGAGCGCCGGCAGCTTGCTAGAAAATTGCCATTAGAACTTGTACTAACAATACATACTAAATCCATATTCACTGACCCAAACTGCGATGCATACAAGCCAGTTACATCCGATCCCTCTCAAGAATATCTGATGCCATTCGGGTTCCGAGGCCTTTTTCCTTGGAAATGAGAATACAGATGAGATGGCTCGGATATAGATATAAGCAAAAGGCGAAAGACTGCATAGTAGCTCACATGGCAAATTCGACGATGTAAGTGTTGTATGGTGCAGTAGAAACGATGCCGGAGTCTTAAGTCTGTAGTATTAAATAAAGGTACTGATCGTTCGCAATCCGTCTTGCTCACATTTGACCAGAATTGCTCCAAAGAAGAGGCTTAAAAGGGTATTTTGGAAACGGTAAATTACTTGAAAACGAAAGGAGTCAGAGGATGACTGACCTTCCCACAAGGTTCCCGAAAGTCACTGTATATACACGATAGCATCAGATAGCTACGATGTTGTGGGACCTCTTACCAATGATCCAATTCACAGGCTAGTAGAAATAACGGGGACCATATCAGATGATGCGAGGATATACTGTAGGATATTCGTACCAAGCTCCACCAGGGTACCGCTCTTTTGGCCACGGCCATTGGGAAATACTGTATAGTTCCCGTCTGGGGTGAAAGGCTGCATAAAAAATGCGAGAAAGAAAGCAGCGCACCATCATATTGCTGGTCAGTAGTTCATAACCGTTGAGCACGATCCTTATAGAATTCGGATGAGGGTAAGCTGTCTGCGTTTGAAAAGGTAGTCGTCCAAGAATGCTTACATCACCAAACCAACAGGAAAGACAAAACCTCCTAGTACCTTCGCGAGGCCGGGGTTCGAGGTTGTCAACGAAGTAGCGCCTCCTGATGTGACTTCCGATAGAAGGCCTCCGAAGCTCAACATGACGCCCGCCAGGAACTGAAGAAATTGAACATAGAAAACCTTACAGAAGAAAGGACTTACAGCTTTGGAAAAAATGACTTCATACGGGGTGTTGTGCTTTGAAACAGCATGTTCGACTATGAGCGCGGCGACGGCCGCAGGTTTCACTAAGTAGATGTTGTTCGGTGAGTACTCCTGGCAACTACACAGATGTGTAAAAACAAACAAGTAGGACTGGCGGTGTTCATATGGCTGGGGGAAGGGTGAACTGGACTAGTGATATCTACCTATCTGCTTATATACCGGAGCATTTACCTCATGGAATTTGGTCAATTCCAGTCCATACCAGTCCATACCATATTTGGATACCATCGTACTGTATATTGTGGTGCAAGCAGCTTACGCCAGACTCAGGCTCAGCATAAGTCATGTTATTTTTGTAAATGAGAAGAGCCAATCAATCTTCAACTCTGTAGAAGCGGTGTGAGTATTCTTCGAATGTATTCAAAGAGTATTCAAAGATGATAACAATTCAACTTCCGTGAGCGGTCGGATATATGGATAGGAAGAGTTAGAGAGTTTCTAATGGTGACCCTACGATCGTAACCGCTTTCTCATATTGTAAAAGATAGAGGAATGAAAACGCGGAGAACGGGCAGCAAACATAGACGCAATATTTCGTGGGGTTCGTGGGGAAATTGTGAGAACAAACCCAAGCGGCCCGGACAGACTCTTGTACTGTACAAATATAAGACCAGTCAACTCCCGAACGGTTTTGTATATATACATAGTGGCAACATTAGAACATGCAAACAGATGAATAGCAATATGTAGCAGGGAATTCAAAGAGAGAAAGGACTATTACGATAAGCAAAGCACTAGGAATTAGAGATGATGTTTTTTTCTTAGGCAATCGAAGCAAAAGCGACTGGAAAATACATAGAAATAAATTTGAACATTGAATTCGAGTTTGAGTCAGTCCAGCCACGAAACATCTGAATTACTCTCTTGTAGTGGTGGTACGCTGCCGACGATGATTGCGTTCACGCTCGCGGCGGTGTGGGCTGGAATCGAACCTCCGAGGGCCGAACGGGGCATTCAATAGATTTTGTGTTGGGAGCGAACAATTCCCGGGAACAAAGAGATCCCCTCTGTTGTGCGATGAACGTTCCTTGCGTCTCTGGTGGGTAGCAGAAGGGAAAGGCTCTGGCAGTCCTTGTTCAGGACCCGGGTCGGAATAGAAGATCTTGGGTCGCCAGGCTTCTCGCTCGTCCATGATGCAGGAGTTCTTGAACTTCTCGACGAGAGCTTCCTTGCCCCTACAATAGTACTTCAGTTGATACAATGGCAATAGATTCGAAGCACCCACTGATAGTTCGCGTAGCTCATCTGCAGTACTTTTTCGCTAGAAAACATATTCCTAGTAGATGAAAGTATCAGCGATGTTCTCAATGTCCTGAATCTGATGAGTGGGCCTAACCATTTTTGACCAAGCCTGGACTTCGCAAAAAGTACTAGATCCTCGACGCTGATCCCAAATTCGTCATCAGCGGGTATTGACGTCCAGTGAAGAGAATAGATTTACCTTATGAAGTTCACAAAGGCTAATGATAACGAATGGCTCAGTTGACGGTATCATCGTGGCTATAGTACTCACCGTATCCCACATTACATCCTGACAAATATATCAATTCATTTATCAGAATGTCTAAAACAAACAATCCTCACCATTTTTGAAATCCATCCGTAAATAGAGAAAATCAATCCTTCTCGGACAAACTTTAGCGATGTAATGCATGAGGTCCTTGTCGGTCATTTTATTGGGAATATTCTAATCAAACATCGTCGGCTTCCTCGGATAGAAAATACACAAACGGAGTCAACATACCTTGATCATGATTGTTGTTCGAGTATCAACGCCGGTTTCAATCTTCACAAGGTTGAGTTGATTGTGCTCCGATGTCTCTTTTTTACTTGTACTTGTCAAAGAAGTTTTGACATTATGTGATGGGGAAGGGGAGTCGTTGCTACATGGAGAACCTTCTGGAGCTGACGAGGAGGGCGGCGCAGACGATTCGTCGTTAGGGGGTCGACCAGGGAGACAAGGGACGCCAGGAGAAAAGTACGATGCAGTGCTTCCCGAAAAGCCCGTAGGCGTTGCGCCTTGTAGCCAATACGGATCTTGAGGGGGCGGAGCATTCGCGTTGCGCGGGAATCCGGAAGGGTAGGCAGGAATACCATTCATCTCGATTGGCCAAGCCATATTTATATGTTGCATGGCATAAGGATCACGTTCTAATGGAATACCTCCAGAAAAAGTATTGATCGGTCCAGGTCCCAAAAAACGAGGCGGAGGGGGTGGGGAGAGATAACCGGAATGGAATGCAAGAGGCGGAGGAGTTGGGGTCGACGCAAAGTAAGGTATGAGAGGCGTCTGATTTGCTGCCCGGTCGAGTGCCGGATAAGCAAATCCGTAGTAGCTTTGTACGAGTTGATGTTGGGGGTCTAACGTGTTTCTTTCATCAGGAGTTTTACCATTGATCCCAACCTGAGTGCCATTAACGACGTGAGTTTCGGAAGTATAGAAGACTGGAGGAGATCCACGGTTCTCCGAAGGGTCGGAAAACGCAGTTAAGGGGGTGTCATCATTCGATAGACCGTCAACGGGCAAGGAAAGGGAGAAAAGCTGGCGGGTTTGCGATAGCTGTCCAGGAGGTCCGAAAGGCTGAATACAGTCGTCGGATGCTCTAGAAATTGGGAAAGGAACTATTGTCGTTTTTTCGGCTTGGATCACATCAGAATCTTCATGATCAGCGGTAGATTTCGTATTCTCGATGCTCTCGAGGTTTTCGCGGCCAGAAACTTTGATCCTCATTCCGAACATCGCCATGCCATCTAGGGCTTCATATGCCGAAGTAGTTTCGCGGATATCGAAAAATTCGACGCGGAACGTTTTGCATTCCTAGAAGTCGCAATAGTCAATTTCAGTCCCAGTAGAACCGAGAATAGCATACAGAATTGGAGGCCCGACCCTCATTGTCCGGTGTCGTATCCGAGAATGATCTGATATCGCCAAAGCTCTCGAGAAAAGTTCGCAGTAAGACGATCTCCCGAGTCGCGATTCTGACACTTTTCTTTGTCTCTACGTCTTCGTTGTAGGTGCGCTTCGTTAAGTTTATAGAGACATCCTCTAGGGGTACATCCGGCTCAACCGTGAGTTGAAACGAAGCGTCCATTGACTCTAGAAAAGTCGATTCTCCCAGTTCCTAAAAGCAAACCGGAGTATGAGCAAACATAGGGAAATGAAAGACGAGCTATACGTACAATGGTAACCTGGTCCATAGTCAAAAATGTGCCCGTCAATCTTTTTCTGCCTATCTCATTTGTAGCCTGATCGACGCAGCTGTCAAAGACATCACTCTGACGAGTTTCGAAATACGTCTTGGCTGCAATAGCATCTCGGAGATCGTGGAATGCCAGGAAAACGAATCCAGATCGCAAGAGGAGTCCTTTGATAGGATTCTCCAGGAATGATTTCCTGCGATTGGTTTGAGCTATGTCATCCTTGTTGAAAGAGGTAGTAGGAGCAGGAAATTTGGTGTCAGGGCGATAGCGTGCAAGCTGTGGTGTCGTTATTAAGGATGATATGGCGTTTTGAACAACTTTCTGAGGTACATCGGGCGAGAAGTTGTCGACCTGTGTGTAGTGGGGTCAGTTCGACAGTCTTTTCGCGAGACAAAGTTGAATTGGGTATCGTCCAGAGACGAGCAAAAGTGAATGGACAGGGTTTATACAGGCTACTTACGCGCAAGAATCTCGATGGACAAAGATCGTCATCTCTGCCGGCAACTTCAGTGGACAGGACAACAGCAAAGTTATCACCATGACCCAGACTACTGTCGACACTAGTGGTGGTCCTGATGCTGGAGGACGGCGTAAGTGGCGGAGTCAGGAGCTTGTGAGGCTCGTTGTCGATACGATGTCTCCTACTAGGCGTATTTTGTGCATTAATCTTGACGTGAGGACGATTCGTCAGCGGTTTTTCACGAAAAGGGACTACATTCGGTTTCTCAGACTGCTTTTTGTCACTAGGCTGAGGTGGCGCTTCGTGTTTTTTGGAATACTCCGAGTCCAACAAAAGGTGGTCATTATCAAAAGACATCCTGATTAGTTTTGGGGGTATAGGGCCCGAATGTGGGGGGAACCTGTGGAGAAAATTCCGTCAGATATAGCAGCGACATCATGGAAGAAAAGAAAAGTTACCATATATTGGGCAACGACGGAGAATGCTGCAGACGAGGAGGATGAGGCTTGATAACAGTCTGCAGTCTTGGTTGAAGGCCGTCACCGTTCTTGAAGGATAGAGAGGGAGATGGTGGGGGCATGAAAGAAGTAAATAAAGGGTATTGCCGCGGACTGAACGGATTATGAAGGAAAATAAACTTACAGAGAAGACACCTGAAACGAGGATAGAATATTGATGTAAGCTCTAAATTCACGTCAAGGGCGCGATTCGCGCTTCGGAAACCTGTTGCCAGGCAGTGAAACTACTGACCAATGTCATCTTCAAAAAAGTTTTTTGGAAATTGTGTCCAGTTGAGACTTAGTACGAAGAGCTCATAAGTTTTATGCAGAGAGCATTGATATCACAAAGTCAAGTGATTTTTTCTTCACATTTGAGTGTTAGACACCGAAGGTTGCAGAGGTTTGGGGTTTCACGTCACTGATATCTAGATCAGGACTTTAAGAACTTCGATAGATAATCGCATCACTACTTACTGCTTCGACCGCCACCGGAGAAAGAAAAAAGCTAGTTCCAACACGGACGGAGCCGCGCAAAAAAAACTTGCAATCGACAATGAAGATTTCACTCCTTGCTGGATACTAATACAGAGAATGATATTGTCGGTTTATCTGTGATGTAGATTCGTTTTTAAAAGAGGAGAAAGCGAAGTAAAGAGAAATGTGACTGGGACGAGAATGAGAGGTACACGTGTATGGGAAGAATTGGATTTCATTAAAAGGAACGGAGTTCATCATATCTCCAGCTAGATGGTAGTAGAAGTTAAAGTGCTATAAACGGCCATAATCTATAAGCGCCGGCTGTCACGTGGTGATACGCGCCTTAGGTATTTCCGAATCCAGAACTTTGGTTGGAACTTCCTCCTTCCAAACCATCCTCACCATGCCTCTGTATCAAATGTTATGCATATCTACACATTTTCGCGAATATGTACGCATGCTTTCCTCTTATCTTGCTCACACAGGCTCAATGTCATTCAGAAACATATCAAGCAACTCGTTGACCAAACATGCAGACACATCATGAATAATGGAGGTGTTGTGCGTAAAATCGACTCTTGGGGCACCTTTGGCCTGCCACAAAGGATGAAACGTCATGCTGGGTACAATACTTATGGAGAGTACGTGTTCTGCTCGCGTTTCGGGGCATTTTTTGATGGAAGACTAAAAATTATTCCTTTTTAAGCTACTGGACATTACATTTTGATACATCCCCACGCACATTGCAATCTTTGAACAAAATCATGCGACAGGACCCCCTTGTAATTCGATGGACTGTTCTTAGGCTTGGAGCCAAAGCAGAAGACCTTGCGTCCGAGGGACGAAATGCCATACAAGGTCAAGAGTTCGACAATGTATAATCCCTCGTATGTATGTAAATTGTTCCTTATAAATTTGTTTCTGGGATCACATGCCGTTCTTTCACGCAACAGGAACATCTAATACTGTGTCTAAACCCCTTCTATCTCCGGGACACAGCGGATTGCTCGGTATAATGCAAAATTTCATCCAACCGTCGGATGACCTTGACACCATTTAGATCCTCGTCTTGTTTCGATTCTGGTCCTGTGCGCCTAAGGAGAAGTGCTCTCATCCCGGCTCCCACTGCACCGTAGTAATCTCTGCACAATATCTTTAGTTGATAATTAAGCTAGAAGAGCGCGACTCACGCGTCAAGCTCATCTCCAACATGTACACACTGTTCTGGCCGAATACGCTCTCCTCGAATGGAATTCACGCGCTCCAATGTACGCAAGAAGATTTCTTTCGCTGGCTTCTCGATGCCCTCTTCCTCGCTCAGTACAATCGGTATCATGTAGTCGGGGAGCTCGAGATCAGTGAGAACAGAGCCTAGGCCATAGAATGCTTCTTGTCAATTCCAAAATGAGCACCGGAAAAGGGACTGACGACTTCGAGAGTCCGAATTACTGATTACTGCAGTATAAATCTGACGTTTATGGAGAGCGTGAACTGGACGCGAATTAGCTGTCAACTTTTTGAAGGTTCTTTACAACTGGTATCAACTGACGAGTAGGAAGCGTGTCTTCGAATTCCCTGTACCCTTCTTTCGAGCTGAACACCTTCATTAAATTGGGAACAATGTTCCCCAGCGACGCGTCCAGAACTGCAGATTCATGCGCTAACATCGAGACAAGTTCTCAAATCAAGAATATACCTTGAGGATTAACCCCAGCCCCCAGTGCAGTCCTCCTAATAACGTCTGTCCACCAGCTCTGACTTCCCTGTTTATATGCAGGCTCCTCGATTTGTAGAGCCTTCAATGCTATACATTGCGTTATAGGGAACTATGAGTCTGTGTCTGTCGTGCATCAAATCACCTATTTTAAAAGAGCCTTTGATGGAATTTGGATCAACGTCGCCCAGATAAGGCTTAAATGCCATGGCATATTGAACATGAATCGGCATGCGAGGAGTAATCAGTGTATGTAGAATGTCGAAAGTGACTAGACGAACAGTCATGGGAGTCGATGTTCAAGGAAATGAATTGTGTGGCGCGACGGGCTTCTCTTGAACCACGACAACCATGATCATATCTATCGTGCTTTCTTTGTTTTCCCTTGCTGTAGCGGAGATTACTCCTGTTCCCCTGGACTACTGTGCAGCCATTGCCGGTAAACAATGGGTTTCTCCACTCGAAGTTCGGTCTTGTATGCATTCATTTCCAGTGAATCGGGACGTTAAAGAGAACGTATGTTGAGTTTGGCTAGTACCATGAACATCTCAAGTATGGTACCTCCTAGATTATCGAGGTTCTGAGCAAAACAATCGCTATGCACACGTCGGTAAACTACCAGATTTCAGCACCCAAGCCATTTGACAAGGCAAGATATATAGTTTCTTCTCAAGTGATATATCTAACATGAGAACCTAAGGACGTTCATGAGGACCTACACAAGGACTTGGCTCGCATAAGACAGCAAAAATATCAGTCCGAATTTGAATTCCATCTCGATATCTTTCATACGTTCAGGCGGCTCAACGATGGACACTGTGTTGTCATCAATCTCTGCTATGACTGTGAGTCTCAACGCGTGTGATGGTTGCCGCAGCTCACACATTACTGCTAGCACTGTACATCTCGTATTTGCCGACACCCCTAGTGCTCCTTACCGCTGCAGATGGTCGACAGAGCGTTCATATCGCTCCGGAAGCTTTCGCAGTTGCATCCGCTGAATTCGGTGAAGAGATTGAGTTTTGGCAGAACGCGCTCCCTGGAAAGCTGCAAGGCCAGCTAGAGACAGTGCGTATTCAGAAAGTACAATTTTTGCTGCTTTTGATTCCTACCACTTACTAGCTCAACGGTGCCGAAGTGCTTGCTATCAATGACCAAGATCCTTTCGTCGCAGTCAACTCAAATGCTTTGATTACTGGAGGCTATCAATCCTTCGGGACACGCCAAAACTCGTAGGCAGTACAGGCATATCTACTTCGCCGTGCGTTCATATCACCTTCCAGATTCTTCTCCAGCTACTATCGCGGCGCCGATGGTTGGCTTTATCAAATGGGCAATTTTGCCCAGCAAGTCCATCCCCTTACGGATGTGGTCAAGCTTGCTATTCGACGCGTAAATAGCACTTCCATCGACATTGTTACTGTTAGTTCTCTACGCTGTATAATTGGTGTGCTTTTTGATTAACCTGTATACCAGCTTCCTTACAGATCGCGTTTCGGTCGGGGGTCCAAGAACTTTACCGACTCTGCATCATATCGTGCAAACAACTGCATCGCAACTAATGGAACTAACGGTGTGGACATGTACGCCGTAACTCGTTCGACAACACAAGAGCACTCCGAAGATCCCCTTCCAATTGCTTATTTCCAACAACAACCCCCCATTCCACGCAAAGAAGCGCGAAGACATCCGATGAACGTACTTGTTGATGCTTTGCCTCTTTCCAACATTAATCTTCCCGAAATCATGCAACCTTCCAAGCCTGCTCTTAATGAAAGCTACAGTGTAGCCCAATTCTACATGCTTGATGACGCTGTCACCGGTGTCCTCGCTTTGGGTAGCTTTTCGGCTGCGAATTTCTCTGCATTTCAGCATAGTTTGTTGGATGGTCTTGTGAAGCTTAAGTCTCTCGGAGCTACTCAATTACTGGTCGATGTTGTGAGTCCCCTACTAGTCTATGACTCGTTATTATCGCACCTAGTGACCTTCCACTCCTAGACAAATAACGGAGGAGGTAGGATTAAGGTTGTCTACATGCTCAGTGTATTTCAAATCAGGTTTCATTAGGCTATATCTGTATCGCACATGTGAGTATCTAGCACCGTAAACCTAAAAGGTTGTCCCTGATGAAGGCGGAAGTGGCTACACAGAATTGTTAGTTCATCATTCTCCGTTCTTTATTCCATACTTACCTAGATAACAAAGATCATAGGGTCCAAATCCACAACTGAACCACAGGCGGGGCTCGATACTACCACTCGTGCCGGAACTTTAGCTCAACTGATCGTGCAAAAGATCGTCAAAGATGTCATGGATCCAGACGCCCTGCTTTACTATAATCCCACTCAGTGGACCAACGCCTCTAATATACCGTTCTCAGCGGACACTGAATGGCTCAAACCTCTGCAGGAATTGATGATCAACGGACACGAGGACGCTTTCAGTCAACGCTTAGGTCAAGAATGCCAGCCGTTCGGTGTTGAACCCCCACGGAAAGGATTCTTCAAAGCGAAGGACGTAGTCATCATCTCAAATGGAAGGTTGGTCGCGACCACCGTGATTCTGCTTCCACAGGCCGATTATTCTTTGTAAATTCAGGTGTGCGAGCTCATGCTCTTTATTCAGCGTAAGTAAACGATGCCAAAACTCTATTCGATGTCTTAGCAATCTGCTATAGATCACGATGTCCAAACTCGAAGGTGTACGAACGGTAGTGGTAGGTGGCAAACAAGAAACCACGCAACAATACTGTGGTGTTGTCGGTGGACAATCAACGGACTTCTCCACAATAGATACAGAGATCAAAGTATGGTCACACATCTCTCGTATGCTATATGATCTTTGACGACTACTACAGAGTGTTCATCTAAAAAATCATACCCTTGCTCCTCCTGATCTGTGCGTGTAATTTTGTGTACTGAGCTTGCATTCTTTCGCTTATGCATGCCACTACAGGTTGGCAAACATCATTGAAGGGATAACGTGGAGACTAGCCTACGGGATCGATGATCCTACAGAGCCCGAAGGTATGTCCTGCTCTTCGTAATCTCAGGTTGATAGTCTCACCAAAGAGTTTAGAATGGCAGGATCATCCTGCAGATATAAATTTTCCATTGACAATGGAAACGTAAGTAGTGGTCCGTCGTTCCATTGAAATGCTCTGAACAGTTTTATGTTATAGGGTCAATAAACCTGTTGCCATTTGGAAGGCTGTGGCAAAGGAAGTATTTATTAGTAATCCTCCGCCGCTATTAGTACAAGACAAGTAATGTTATGTAGGAATCAGAGACGAAGGTTCATCACGAATCATGATCAAATGAAGATATGCCGCTTTGACACTTACGCAATGTAAGGCATGTGCCGAACAAGTTTGATGACATTCGGACTCTACTGCAACTCCATGTAAACAGTTTGTAGATGTAGATATATTCATTTGCACTCAGTCGTCCTCTTCCACATCACCAAATTCAAACATCCCAGCCCTATCCTTCTTGGCTTCTAGAACGCTGTCTTTCAGTTTTCTGAGCAGTTGCGGGTACGCCGAAAGGTAGTTGCACTTGCGATCAATGGTAGCTACACCATCTCGCAATAGCTCGGCATTCAGACACTCGTAAGGATCGGTAGCTGACTGTGGATTTTGAGGATCAATAAGACGGAGGTGCAGAAGAGGACCCTCTTGTGCGTCAATGTTTGCGACTAGTTTGCGGCCCTCACACAGTTGGCGGAAACGGTCAATGGCCTCCGCATAGTATTCGCTTTCGGGATCGACGAGCTTGATGAAGGAAAGTCGAGCTTCGCGTGCCTGTCCCAGAGTTGAACATAGAACCAAACCAGAATCAGACTGTTTGAAACTTACCTGACCAGGAAGTGAGCGGAATTGAGGCGCAAGAGGTCTAATGTCTTTGAATGCAACGCTGTCCTGGTTCCCATAGTCAATAAAAGTGACTTCTGCTTCCTTCTTGATAGGTGAAGCACGCCGAATCTTGGCACGATACCACGCGCCATCAGAGAACTTGGCAGATACCAAGTCTCCGCTCTTTGGTGTGAAGCCAGCAGGGACGGCTACTGCACCTTGGTGATGTAGCGAAAAGTCGCGCATCAATTTTTCCAGAGAAGCGATGCCTAAAACATTTCGTTTGAGAAGGGCAGATACGTCTAATGAACTCGAGTCGAATAGCACCTTCTGTGTTGAGTATTTGAACTGAGAAGCCAAAATTTGTAGTCCTCACGTCACTTATGATTATGTCGATGTACTTCGATTTCATAGGACCTGCTTCAATCTCTGGTGCAACCGCAGCTTTCTCTGCGGATTCATCGTAGTCCTGCCAAAGCTGTTTCTGGAATATCAGTAACTTGTATCGTTTCGAACTCGATAGGACATACGTTCCGCTTTGCTGATTTAGCCTCGCTCTAGATATACATATTAAATCGATTTCACAGTCTGGAGTTCTCATCAAAATCATACCTCGGCATCATATAGTTGCTTCGACCATGACAATGAATCAGCAGAGTATGAGTGAACGCTAGCTAACCCTTCTTTGACCAGAACAACAGCCGCATTTTCGGTTTTATTGAGGTAGAGGGATCCGATGAATCCTCCAGATTTGTCTACAGACTCAACTTCGAATTCAGCGTCTCTCTGCATGTACTTCTTGGTTGCGAATTCGAAAGCCTCGGGGCCAAAAGGTTCGCTTTTTTCGGACGGATTGCGAGCGGTTCGAGGGGCGCGAATGCCTATGATTGGAATAACTCAGGTGTCGGGAAGATCATCGTTGACTGGAAAATACTAACCGCCGAGGACAAGAGTGAGTGTCTGATTATCTTTGGGAAGCAGGAGCCTTCGTAACGACTAAATAACGAGGAATGATTAGAATACGGGTACTCACTTAAACCGTGAACCAGCAGCTACATATTCGACAACGGCGGGAACACGTCCCAGACGTTTGAACCCATTTAAAAATGGGGTTGCACGGGTGCTCGACTGCTCATCAACCGGTCATTAGTTTGATTGAAAAAAGGACGACTAGCAGGCCTACCTCTGAGATATTGAGCGATTGCTTGAGTGGTGGCACATCCTTACCAGAGTGAATACCTCGAGACTCAGCAGCAGCACTATTCACCGATCAATGATCACGAATCAACGAGGAAATTATCCACTCACGCCGCCTCTGCAGCCATGAGACTGTCATAATCAGGAGAGCGGTCTTCGTCATCGCGTTTATGACGGACCACACTTGCGAGACCTTGATAAACCGTTAGTCCTGTGTCAATGTTATAGCGAATGTCTTCACCTTTCTCTATTAGTTGTACGGCTACGTTGCTCGAGGGAAAGTAAGCAACAGCTTGACGTAATGTGCTATGATGCAGACATACACATTTTGATTGCCAAATCGGACGGTGGCGCACTCCCGTTCATCATATTCACCCTCTTTTGGTCGTACGAAATCGATGGTGCACTTGACAGGTTTGCCAATCAGTTTTTTACGAAGGAATTCACGGGCTTCTTGTGCGTAGAATCCTTGTTTGGGATCCGATAATCTAAATCATGGTTTGAAAAACCCAAAATTGGCAAAGGAAGAAGAGGACAGACTTTGGACCTCTCGTTGAACTCAGCTGAAGACGATGTTCTTTGCTGGAACCCTTTTCCACAACAGATATCTGGTCACCGCTCCAAATTCGGATGACAGTAGCCTCAAAAGAACGAGTTTGTCCATTGGCCGCCGTACTGCTCTTTGATGTACTGGGCTGAGCGGCGCTGGCATAGAGGCAAAGTCGTTTTTCTCTCGCATTTTTTTCCGCGGATCGAAGGCGTTCCATACCCCCACCTGCAGCTAACATGCCAGCATGCCAGTCCACTACTCGAGCAAGGCCCGCCGCGACCAAAAATTCAGCCACATTACCGGCAGGATGAAGAACTGTCGAAACAATCAGTTATTGACATACGGTCCCAATGGTCACCATCAATGAATTCGCACCGGTTCCTATGAATAGGGAGGCTGTCGCAGGAGCACTTCCACTACCGTTGGGCTGGAATGGTGTCGTAGTAGATGTGGGCAAGGACAGCAGTTGTACGCGGACGGGCCGCTGGAGGAGACGGGATTCAGTGAAAAATTTGGCCTACGATTATCATCAATGAAGTTGTGATACTACATGACAAATCGGTAATACGACCCACTTCTTCTCCCCATGGCTCTGATGGTTCTCCCTGCTTGGTAGAAGCACGAGCGGCCCGTACACCAGCAAGCGCAATATTTACTAATTGATGGTCTCCTTCGGGCAAAAGAAGACGGACTCGGAGTGTTGATCCATCTCGCACCTGTTCAACAATGGCTAGAACGAAAAATTATCTTGCAATGGATACGTCACAGAGGCTCTATACCAGCTCACCATCGAGAGGTTTCCCTTTATATTCAGATAAAAAAGCCTGAGAGTCTGTAGGCATGGTATAGTGTGTTGTGCGAGCCTAGTTTTGATGGAAAACAATCCAGCAAGGAGTAAGACTTGTTCATATAATCCGCTCACTTTAGGACCATGAGGGTTCCACACTCCAAGACCAGCAGCTTTAGCTTCATTCTCAAGCTCCCGTTTGCGAAGATCTTCCTCGGTCGGGTCTCGTTTTGATTCCTTGATTTTTCCCCACCCATTTTTCAAGATTTCCGAGGCCAGATCAAGACCACCTATTTCTGCAGAGCCTAGATCTCGAGGGACATCTTCATTCGGAGGTAACGAATGCGTGGATGTGAAAGATATTTCTTTTCCTACGGCCAGTGAGCGTAAAAATTCTCGGGATTCAAATGCCCAAAGCTATTGAGTATATTAGAAAACTCGCGTGAGCATCAAAGGAGTCGCGCACCTCATCCTCCCTACTAGATGAGCCCATCCTAGGTGCACTAACATCAGCAAGATGGAGAACTCTGGTCACACGAGGTCACAAAAATTAACACTGGGCTGGCGATTCGGAATCGAACATAGTACCTTTCTTTGGGCGGCTGCCCTTGGGGGCCCGGTCGACCACGAAGGACAAGGGAGTCACCCGAAATGACGCCTATGGGTTGCATGTTGTCAAGAACAGTAACATAATAATGTCGAACCAAATGATCACTTTTTACAATCTGATTTTTTAGGAATCAGACTGACAAAGCAGGAAGGGATTGAACTGTGTATACATACAGCTTTCATCGACATCTTGATTGGAGTGTCTCAAAAAAACGGATATACTAGTAGTGAACGGAGTAGTGGTTGGAGAGAATTCAACGCCAGTTTGGGACGACACGTCTCAATCAAAGCACGTGCTGTGACCTCCAGGTCGCGTATGGCCGGTCCGAAGTTCCTCCGAGGATGCATTGCACACTCATCATCAGCTCATCATGAATCCTCATGAAAGGAATCAAAAGACAGTGAGCAGAGGTTTGGTGCTGTCACTAGTACACTCAACCGGTCAACCGTCAAGCCGGAGATCTCAGTTGAAGGTGGTCCTGATCTTCCCATTTTAATAAAATTATACTTACAACAAATAAGACCAAGCCTTCACATGAAATCAAAATATTTCTTGATATTGTTGAATTTCTTGGAGAGATGGAATAATGCCATGAACTGAAGGAAACAATAGAAGTTTCCACTCATTCAGAGTTTTATCAAACGCTTTGGCCGAAAACAAACAAAGCCAATGCTGCCGTTTTTTTCGCAGGCAACGTCTCACGGTGTCACCGCCACTATATTTTATACAGATACGAGTACTCAAATTTGTACAACAACATTTTAGAAAACAATCATTACTCGTTCTACCGTCAATCTCCTGTCCTCTATGAATCAAGCGACATATTTGAACATCGGCTTTTGCCCTGGTACCCGTTCTGCTCGTTCTAAATACTCCTGTTCAACCAGAGCTTCGACACGGCTTTTGATTTCCTCGACCTGCAAACTCTAATTAGCACTAGTCCCGGACTACAGACCGATGGACAGAGCTTACTTCAGGTGCGAAATGCCTCTTGACGGCCTCAATTGTCTGCGACTTCAACTGCTCATATTCCAACTGCTTTTTCGCCTTCATAATTCTGACAATAGCAGCATCGAGCAAGTGTTTGCGATCCTCTTGAATATGCCTGTTGGTGGTCGCTGACTCTTTGACCTGTTGTGAAATGGTCAGTTCCGGGACAGGAAAGGAATAAAATTCGACAGGAACTCACCGAAACCTTTGCTTGTATACTATTCACATGAATTTTGTAACCAGCCTTCTTTCCTTCCTCACTCAGCACGAACTTGTCATTAAACAGGAACATGTCACCATCGTTGACATCTCGACCCGGAGGTTCCTTGAGTAGCAACTTCTTTTTGCCACAGGCGAGAGACTGAAGGGTGCGCCGTAAGTCGTCGTCATCTGTGGCATCAGCGAAAGCAACTCGAAGATGAATGCACTGTAGATTACGAAAGAGAAACGTATTCACCGATCGAATGTTGAACCTCCCTGATCTCCAGGAAGCTAATCTTGTTCTTTTCTTGGAACATCAATAAGATGATGCCCTGGTACAAGCTTACTGAAAGCTCTTTTTCGACCACGTCTTTCCCTGGAGACCTGAACCTCGTCTTCAATGACATTGTTCCTAGTGCATGATCCCAATCCAACGTTCGGTTGCCGTGCTTCTTGTGGTAGAATGTAGCAAAATTTGATAATTGTTGTTCCATCTATGAAATACATGGTTCAATTCGTTCGCAAATTCAAAATTGGGAAGCCTCACTCCGTCAGGTATTAGTATCTGTTTCTTGCTAACATCAAAAGGCCAGGCACTCCTCTGTAGAACCCGGACATCCAGATTATCATCAGACATTCCATTGACGAGCCTGTGATTCCTGAACTCATTCATCAACTCGGTTGAAAGTGCCAAATCTTTGAACATAGTTTCCCCCATGTCAAATTCTGAATCATATTGTTCTTTTAACATCCTCAGCATAGCCACTTCGGCATCACTACTCGCACTGCGGCCTAACAGCAACCTTTTTGTGAGTTGGCGGTGGTAGAATGTACGGAAGACATCCTTGTCCTCGGAAAACCTATATAAACCAAGAACTTGAAGGAGATGGGAGTGGAATAAGGTATCCTGGGCATTCTGAGTTGCGCCCGCAATAGCATCTCCGTCAGCGGAATTGGACTTGGAGAGAGACTCGAAAAACTTTGCTTGTCCCTTCCTCATCATCCCGTCCAAATACTTGGCCAACATCTCTGCGGGCTTCACTCGCCGTGTCTTGAACCCAGAAATGAAGCCGTCAGAAAGTGCTTGGCTAAAATCTCCGTCGCGTTTGTTTGTCTCTTTCGAGATGAAGGCAACGTCAATGATTCCCTCAGCCTGTTCCCTGAACTTGAGAAGGTTTGGAACCATCTTTTCTTCCAGATCTGGGGCGGCCGACCCAGTAGATGTAACTTTGACAATATCAGATACTATGTTCTATGGAATGAATGATGAGCGCCAGATCATCAGTTCTTCGTTCACAGATACCAGTGAAACGGCACATACGTGTATATAGACCTTCCAGGCGTTACTCAGAACTTTGAGCGGTGCTCGACTACCGCTAACGCTGCTCAACGTGCTGAGAAGATGGTACATCTTGCCCATGGTGGGGACACGGTTGCTAGTGACATATGCCTTGACAGTTTCCGGTGTAGCTAACCACTTTAATCTATCCAACCAATTGTCATTAAAGTTGTCCGCACCAGCAACCTTGGGTAGAATGAATAAGGCCCGGATAGTTGTTTCCTTGATCGATTGCCGACTTTGGGGAGGGAAGACCTCCTCCGCCCTCTCAACCTCCGCCTCTATCAGATCGTACGCGATTTCGAAGAAAGCTGAGGGGTCATCATACATATCATGGTTGAGAGTGGCGACCAAAGCTACGTAATATTCTTCGGTGGAAGTAAGGAGGTATTGTTCATACTGGGAGGAGCCAAAGTAAACATCATGGGCAATGAAATGACGGAGCAGGTGGGCGACAGAGGATCTGGATGCCCGTTCACCAGAAGAGTTCTGCCGATCGGCAGCAATCCATGTAGAAAGGTTCTCTCTCAGTTGCTTAGAAACTCCAGCATGACCGAAGATTCTGTCATTGAAGATATCATACGCTAAAGCACTGTAGCGAAGTGCTCTATCAGAAAAAGTTGGATTTGGGAACTGGAGCTACGTACTTGATAGACCGTGTTCCTTTGACTGTAGGGACGTAGGCCTGGTCCAGAGGAGATAGAAGTGACTGCAGGAGGCCAACTGCACCATGAAACCAATCACACATTCTGCCCATGAACGAAATCCATTCTCCATTTTTCATCAAGGATTCCAGCACCTTATCCTTCATACAGACCTCCAGCTCTTTCTTCAGCAGGTTATACAGCCCCTCGCCCTTTCCATCAACACAGACGATATACCGAGCTCGCAGAGAAACTGCTTCATATGATTCGATCAATGAAGGTTGCTTAAATGGTGTCAAGATGACTGATATGTTATGTCGGATCGAATAGAAGGGATCTGGAAGGACGCTTGGTCGGAAATCTTCTCCAGAAATCTGAATCCTCCTTGATCCACTCGTTACACCTGTCGACCTTGAAGCAGAGGCAGAATCCAAGTCGGTATCTGTTCTTGCCACTTTCCGTAGTTGTGCACCGGATCTTGGTCCATTGCTTTGAGAAATAGAGCTGAACCCTCGAGAGGATTTGGGAAGTTCAAGGAGCGTGTACACGTTCATTCCCTTCGATATGAACGAGGAAATGAAGGATGAGGGACACCTCGGTCCGTATCAGAGCAACCTTCTACCATTTTCTGATTGGCTCCAACACATTCAAGAACAAGTATTTTTCCAATGAGTTACATACAAACAAACCAGTCTTTATATAGCCAGTCGCACTGAGAAGGAATACTACTACTATTGAATACAAACTTGGAATCTCTATAGTACTGATAAAACGATTGTCGTTCAGCAGTTCGTCGCATGTATAATACCACCCAAAGTCCGTTTAGTTTTTTTGTAGGGAGTACACTCGCATCAAACCGAAAAGGAGGAATAAAAATGTCCAAGCAAGTCTAATAAGCTGCAAGCCGTTGTAACAAGTGATGAAACAGATCATTTACACGACGCCCACAAAGAATTATACATGGACGGCAGCAGGGTGAGTAACTTACGCCCGACCTGTTTAGCCCAGTGGTTTTGTTTCGGCGGGTATGGAGACGTAAGGAACAGCCAGTCTTGTGGGTTGGGAATATCGCTGAGGACCCATGGATGGCACTTGAAAGGCAAGAGTTATTCACGACGGCTTGATTCTGTTACGAACCACTAACCTTCACACAATCTATGGCAATACGCGAATTAGGGTCCTTTCGCAGCATGGAATCTAGCAAAGCGATCACTTCATCATGATTCGTCGCCGCTCTGCCTCCAGTAGGTAAAGAATCCGACCCCATGGTGTCTGGAACTGTCCAGTCTTGCGTGCAGATCTCCCGAAAGAGCATATACTTTGTGTGATAGTAATTGTCATTTCCATCAGACGGAATCTGGAATGGGAACTTTCCGAAAAGAAGACAGTACAAGGTCACACCAAGGGACCAGACATCGATAGCCTTGGTTATGGCTGGACGTTTGACTGGAATCTGGAAAACATCCGTGTGCATCGTCGAGGAAAGTGTGTCAATGGAGGGAGAACTCAAAGTAGTATCAGGTGGAGTCCAGGCGACCTCTGGGGCCATGAAATATCCTGTTCCGCGTTGTTTCGTCAATTCTTCAGTCGTGAATAATGTCGGATTTGGCTTGGAGATAGTCTTCTCTCTATAGCATGAAGCTGAAGCAGGACGCTTCAAATTTTCTTCGTTGCGATGCGATATCCCATAATCAATGATTTTGACTGTGCTTTGGTCAAAGGACCAAACTAGATTAGCCGGTTTTATATCGCGATGGATAATACCCAAGTGATGAACTATCATGGAAATGTAAGTCCTCTAACGAACAAAGACACTCGAAGTACACATACGATATTGTAGTCCCAGTGTGGCATCCCTAAAGATTCGTTTAGACTGTTCCACTGTAAGGATAGGTGAATTTTCGTTCTCATTTCTCCACTGGATCTCGCCCCCTGCCAAATATTCCAATACTGAAGAACAAGATGAGGACACATTGCTGTTCAATCAAAACTGACTAACCAAGAAAAACACGGTCATAACTAGGGTCGTCGACAACTTCCCAGAGTCGGACAATATTTGGGTGTCGAGAACTTGTCAACACAGCAACCTCTTTTTTGATGCTCAGTTCCCCATTCATGAGGTTGTTGCCTGCTTGAAAATTCCTTCTCAATTGTCGATACTTGTCTTCGTGACCAGCCGTTTTGCGGCGAACAGCCTTGACAAGCTTCGGTAATGAACGGTATTAGCGTGTATCAAAACCTGCATCTATGCTAACTACTCACCACTTCCTTATTATTCGCCATCGTGTCCTTATAAATCGACACGTCGACATGAGGAGAATGGGCTGAATTTCGTGTCACAGGCCTCGAATACGCATACTGATTGATACGCTCCGACGTTAATACCTTGAGCGTTGAGGTCATTCGAATATCATGGATAGTGTCACTATATAAGGATTGATTCGGACGCCCTCCTTCCATGGTCGTGTTGGGTAAGTCATCCAAAGATGACTGTAGTCATGGGAAGGAAGGAAAGAGAGAAGGAAGCAAGATAAAAACATGCAGGAAGCAAGCAGCTTGTTCTCGCGGGAGCGTATTACCAATTAAGTACGTTCTAATTACATAGCCCATCAGACATTCGAGGTGGAAAATTATGTGTCGAAACAAAGTTTTTAACTATCTTGGGGGAAAGTACTACTGACACTGTCACAGACCCACCGTGAAAGTTCTGCGGTTATGAGATCCGGCAAAAGACATTCAGGCGATGAAGGACACTGCCACCCTTGTCTGCGCATACCGCTAGGCGCTAGGGCTAAGACGGTACATACTAAGCTGGAACTTGAAGCAAGGGACCCCGGTCCATGAAGGACCAAAGCACAATACATCCCTATGCGCAAAAAGGCTCAGGAAGGTCGACAGTGAACGCGGTCAACGAAGAGTTGTTCCGAAAGGCTGGAGCTAGAGAGTCAACAAGTGCCTGTCTTCGCTATCCAACATAGCGAATCTTGATCGCTCCGGTACGATTGCGTGCTTCCAGTGCTAATGTTCATTGTTACTGTTTTCAATACGATGTCAGAATGAATGAAAAAAGATTACCTTTCATTTCCTCTGCCTCTTCTCGTTGTTCATAGTCTAGGACTAGACGCTTTAGCTGCTGTTGTTCTACTTTGTCTTGCAACTGGGCAGAGCGAGTGTGCACTGCCAACGCAGATTCGGAAGGCACTGCCAATTTACGGGTCTGATCCGCAGAAGGAAACCTCAGCAATCAGGGGCTGCCCCAGAAGCGAAGTGTTTTACCTGTTGTTTATTCCCTCGTTTAGTGACAACCGTGAAGTGCATTGTGTTTGCATCTATTTCCTCGTCCTCATCTCCGTCTTCTGGACGTTTCTTTCGTAGATTTGGAGGTAGAACAGAAGAATCCCATAAAGCCATTGCCGTCTTCCTATCAAGCTTTCGTGAGTCTGCTGACGTGTCTGTGACCATTTTCGCTAGCTCTTTGGCAAACTCGGCTTCAGCTTCTTCTGATGGACCAAGGTTCTCTTGCAGACTGTTACTGGCTGAAAGAACGATTGCTTGTTCAGGAGATGGTGCACGTTCCTCCGGCTTCATTTGGGTCAGTTTGTGTGACTGAATGACTAGCCGAGATAGATAGAGCACTCACCATTTCATCAGCCTCTCCTAATTCCTCTTCCTCCTCCTCTTCCTTATCTTCTCTTCGTCTTCCTTCGTCTTCGTCTTCCTCGTCGTCTTCTTCGCTGTCTTCGCCGCTATCGTCACCATTGACCACTAAGAGAGGTTTTGGTACTGGTAGTTATACGCGCGCATAGGAAACACTTACAGTCCACGTCTTGAAATACAGCCGTAAGCATTTCATCTACGGCGATTGCGGCATCCTCAACGGTCTTGGACATCTTGAACTTTGGTCTTACAGCCTGTATCCATGTATGAGACCTTGATACAATGAAAGTTTGAGGCCGCATACCTCGAAGGAATCAGAAAGCATAAAATCAACATCCATTGGTAAAGGATCCTTACAGTGCACATAGTACTAGGTAGGAACATGTCAGCATTTGGGAACTGAAAATTTCCTCCTGAAATACCTGGAAGAATACCAGGAAATTATCAAGTTTCTTTTTTTGGGACCCTCGGTCAAAACACATGCCACAAGTGTCCAAGAGGACACAGACCAGACGAACACGGAAAAAGTCATTTGGCATGTCAATAAGACAGGCCTGGTGAGGCGTTGGCCGTCCGTCAGCTGTGATAACAAAGTTTGAGCATAGCCAGCTGTAAGGGATTGAGACTTACGATGTCCAAAAGTAACCATTGACCACAATGTGTCAAATATAATTCCCGAACTAAGTAGGCGGTATATATAAAGCTCCCCGAGGTACTTCATTGTCGCCAGCCGTCTCTGATTCGTACGATACACATTCTGCTCGAGTCCCCGACGAACATCTTCTAATACTTGATCAACGATAGAGACTGAGAAGGCTGGCTGGTAACGCTGAAGGTCGTACGTGAGCATTGCCATCAAACTGATATTCCCGAATTTAATTTTCCACGGTTTGGTGAATATTTTGAAGAGTGTGACACATGTGCTGGAAGCGTCCCAATCAAGCTTGCGTAGGAGCTTGAAGACTTTGTCGATGGTCTTCTTGGCGAGGACGTCGTATATAAGATGTCGAATGAAAAGCTCCATATTCGATCGCTGCTTCTGTTGAGGTGGAGATCGCTCCGGCGGATTGCACTTAGGCAGTTTAGCGGAGTGGAATACAAGAGTCATACTGGAGAGAACACACCTGATAGTACGCATTTTCGAGCAATAAAAGTTGTCTTTGGTCGAAGTGTTGCATGCTTTGCTTACGTCTCATAAGCTCTAACTGAAGAAAAATCAGAGAATGGTAACTTTGAAGGAGGGGAACCTTCACCATCGTCCCAAACCTCTCTCTCGTGTCATCGCTGCGAAGTAAAAATCGTCCACATCCCTCCAGAAGCAATGCTAAGTTTTCAACGTTGGATCCAGAAAAGTCATCCAGGCAAACTTTGAAGATGTGCAGAATGAGGTGAGTTGGTACGACACGAAACTTGGTCAGGTTTGAAAGATACATGATATTCTACAATTTGAACGTTAAGTTGATTGTTTCAATACCCACAAAACAACGACTGCACCTTCATTCGTACTTCGGTAAACTCTTTGACCACATTTTTCTTGCGTTGAAGGTAGCGGAATTCTTCGTCAAGCTACGTCACATCGTTTACATTATTACATAGCCCCTGAGCATATGTTCAGATGATGGACCTACAATGGAGACAAGCTCGGTGCCAATGTCAGGCATATAAGGGTTGAGGGTAGCAACTAGTCGAGAATAATGAGGTAGGAGATCCGTGCGATTCTTGGGAACCTGTCCAAGAAACTACAAGAGATGAGCGAACGAGCGCTTGTTCAGGGTCGAGTCTCGCTACCTTTATAAGCCGTTTTCGGGCGGCTTTCGAGTTCAAAAATACGAATTCAATAGCAGCTTGATCAATTAGTGTGCGATTCGTTGCGTCTGGAAGGCGCGTGAGGAGCGCTGAGAGCAGCTGAGATGGCCCCTGAGGAGTAAGGTGCGGAGAAGCAGGTGGACTAGCGACTCTGGGCGTGCCTGGTGTAGGTGTAGGAGCACTATTTCAAGCATATTGACGACTTTGGAAACAGGGGAAAAAATAACGCACTCATCCTCTTCGTCCATAGAGTGAGTATTCTCTGAAATACCGTGCTCGCCTCCCAATCTTTGCAACTCTTCATCCAGCTTTCGCAGCTCCTTTTCCTGCTCGATGGCCTTCTCCGAATCGTCGTCCGTGGTTTTATCTGCATCGTCTAGTCCTAGCACGCTTTTTGGAACAAAGTCTTTGAGGTCTTGAACTTCTTCAAAGAATTTCCTCTCTTCATCATCTTCCCATTTTCCTCCGGTAGTGTATATTTCGTCCGACTCTTCTCCACCAGGATTATTTGAGCTGCTGACCCCAATTTGGAGACTGTCGGTCTTGCGTGCATTATTGGGAAGATCAGGCAGAGGCAAACACAAGAGCTCAGAGAGTCTAACGCATTCATTGAGACGACTGCTTTGAATATACCTATGTGCACTCACTGTTGGCAATTGGCTAGTAGCTTTTCGTACCCCTTGGTCATTTTCTCATATGCCTGTTGCCTGTCTTCAAATATCTCACCGGAACGTATATAGGCTTCATGGTTTCGTCGATCTTGTTCTTGCAGACGCTATGTCACCTTTAGCAATAGACACAAGCCTTTTGATTGATACCTACAGTATGCTCGATGACTAGCTTTTTGCAGACATTCTCGAAATAACCTTCAGACATACGCTTGAAACGATCCCGTATGTCCTTCTCGACTAATTGTTCTCCTTCATCGAGCATTGGAGGAACAGGTTCGGGTTGGGATGCGGATAATGACCCAGGTTCGGTTTCGGAAGAGATTTGTTTTGAAAGACCAGCGGGTAACAGACCGAGGAAAGGACAAGCATAGGATTTGAGGAAGGTGGCCAACAGCGGCAACGAAGACAGTGTAGGGTCATTGGATAGCTGACAGGATTGATAAGTTCGTACTTTCACGGCGTAAGTGGCTAAACTCACCATTTCCTTCATTGCCCTCATGATCCATTCTCCTCCCGAGCGCAGCGGATCGTCACGGATAACTCCGACCAATGCGAGTTCAGAACATATGCGGAGGACAGGGCGCTGCCGCACGACTCGTGAAGAGTCCTCTTTTTCCCGCTGTTCGGCTGTGAGACTCGACAAACTAGCTCGAGATGGGACAGCCAAAGCGGAAGATAGTAATGAGACCAGCTTCGAAGTAAATGCGGTGGGAAACCGCCGATGAAGTGCAGAGAGGATCTGAGCTGCTTGAGTTTAGGACATGATGTAGGTAAGACGAGCATACCTCGACGGCGCTCCATACGTCTCTTTCGGTCTTGCACCTCGATATTCCATCCAGAGAAGCCCCGGCAATCTCATCCAGATACTTTTCTAGCGACAAAGCGTCGATATCTTTGATGATTTGTTCACGATTGTCGCTGGCCATAGATTGACGCATCCTCTTGATGAGTGCCGTGTGTCGTTTCAAAGAAGAATCAAGTTTTGAGGATTCTACAAGTCATGAGAGCAATCAATAATAGCATTATCATGCTAACCTTTTGTCGTAGGACTTAGGTTCTGCCGCTTGAGCGCAGCGCGCCTCTCGTGTCGAGAACGCTCGTCATCGAATCTGCTGGAATTCGTAGTGCCATTCGCGGTTGGTTCCATATGATAGAGTCTAAGCAAAAGACAGCTTTACTTACCTAACTTCGGAATGGGCACGGGCCGAGCATCTTCGCCCAATTACCAACTCCTTTCTTCGTTTTCCTATGGACGAATATGACTTTGACGACGACTTTGATGATCAGACTTTGGCTGCTTTAGACCAGATAGAGAAGTCTTTGTTGTCCAAAAAACACGTCTCTCCGCCATCAAATCCACCTGCGAAGCGAGTGAAAACGGAAACTGGATGGCGCTCTGCCACTACAGCGGCCAATAATTCCTTTGACCTTGATGAACTTCCCGAAATTTCGTTATGCCAAAATACTTATACTTTCCAGCAGACGGATGGATCTAAATCACCTTCGCTCACTCCACAACCCCAGTATCATAAAGAGACTGATAAACGCATGACGAATCGTGCTCTCGTAGCTTCCGGTTCTCGAAATATTTCTAGGAACAACAGCATGCAGTCAAATCGTCACACTGTCCCACCAAAACCTCCCGCTCCTCCAATCCGGTCTACCCTTTTGACTCGACCATCCGTGCATCGGAACAAGCCACCTTCGCCTCCCTCGTCAACTCGTCGCAGAAACTCTGCCCGCTTGCTTGAACATATCACGAATGCCTTAGCAACTTCCTTGCCAGAACCACCTCAGCCATCTCTACCACAACAGCATGTTCCTCCTACGTTAGCTGTAGCCCAGCCAACACCAGTGTCTCAGCCCGCGACGGTTTCACATCCTGCCCTGAAGATCAATGAGCAGATCGTCGCGTTTCAGAAGCAACTGGAGGAAATGCGATTGGAAAATGAGAAAATACGTGCTTTACTCAAGGAAGCCGAAGAGGCGCGCATTTCAAAGTTCGGTGAAGTGGCCGTGTTACGGCGAGGAATCCAAAAGGTATTCATAGCTGTTATCTTTTTCCGAAAACAACTTGATCACTAAATATACCTGGTCAGACGGCTGAAGATCATGCAGCGCAAATTTCTAAACTCAAGGCAGCAAAAGAAGATGCAGATGCCAAACAGATGAGCACGCAGCGAGAGTTGAAAGAAGAGATGGAACGATTAAAGACTCAATTCATTTTCAAAGTATGTATCTGGACAACCGCACGCGTTCTCACTCACATTATCTTGCCCAAAGCAACACGAACTAGAAAGCAATTCTAAAAGACCACCTATGTCGGTACATGCGCGAAGAAACATTCGCGAGATGCCCAGTTCTACACAAACACCTGTCTGGGGCACTCGCGCAACTGGAATATCTAACCGAATTCTGCCACCACAGTCGACACCCGTCAGAGCTCCGTCCTCAATTCCTCGCCTTCCGCAATTTAGATCACCTGAAAAGACCCGCCAAACCGCGATGCTTCCGGGATTCGAAAATTCCTTCCTGGAGTCGACCCCGAAACGTCAATCAGAAAAGGGAAAGGCGGCCATTAAATCAGAGATACACCAACCATTATTTGCAGATGAGTTGCGTGCTCGCGATGTACATCTCAACATTCCTGCACGAACAGTCCTGGACGACGATCTGGGGATGGATATCGATGTTCCACCAAAATTTTCTCAAATATCGGTTCCGAAAGATGGACCAACAAGTTCACCGATTCGTCAAGATGATGACGACGTCGAAATGGACGAGGAAGATGATGATGACACTGATGAAGAATTTGTAGATGGGATACATTTTCACTGGAAAGCTGAGGTATTTCCTATGCTTTTTGGGTATACATGCGGCTGAGATTTGCGTTTAGCTGGCCCGTGTCGTACTCACTCATACACATCCGTCTCAATCTCTATCCACCTTTCAAATCCTTGCCGAACAATCGACTACTGTATCTGCGTCGGACGACTATTCCTCTCAGATGTCACGGATTCTGGAGGTTATTGCTAGCCCGTCTGTAGAGGACGATTATGACAGAGAAATCTCTGTCGTAACTCAATGCCTAATCTCAATGGCCTGTGCTCTAAACAATTCCAAACTAGTGAGACGTCCTCCCAGTCATAACCTCCGGAATGGTTATCTGACTTTTTGGGAGCCAGATCTCGCCATTAGTGCCTTTGCTAAACTTACTATCAACCTTAATATACTCACTTCCATCATTCAGTTCAACGGTGCTATACGAGTCCGCTGAAGCCGACAACAACTCGAGCGTTCTGGTATTGTTATGTGACATCATTAAGCAGCAACTCACTGTTGAGAATCATTCAGATGTCACGCTGCCTGTGGCCGCTGAAGTATTGTCACTGGCAGAGTCGCTATGCTGGCGAACGCCCGAGGATAATGTCGATAAGTACGTTGTTATCGACTTTTTCGATAACAGTGTTCATTATATACAGGCTAAACGTTGTTGTTCGCAACCCGGACATTCTAACTATCCTTCTGGATCACTTGCAGCCCTGCTGGTTTTTAGTGCGTGCAACCCGGCTATTGGCTCTCATGTTCATTCGTATGGTTGTTTGCAGTTGTAGTGGAATAATTGACTGATTTTCCCTATGAAGATCCGCAATTGGCTCGTTCTTTTTTGTCACTCCCCACTCCGGAACTCGTTGAAGGCAATCATTCGGTAAACATACCGAAAATTCCTCAGCTTGACCGCCTGTGCTTCTTCCTCGTAGATACATCTCGTTCTGATGAAGAGGTGAATCAATATTCTTCCTCCTTCTCAACCTACTGATTATCCTTTCCTTACGTAGTCCGTAGCACTCAAGGAAAACGTAGCAACTGTACTAGCAGTCCTGTCTCAAGCTCATCCAGATACTCTCAATACCCTCGCTTCTTCCAATGCCGTCATCCCCTCACTCATATTATATCTCACGCATTTGAGTTCTGCGATATGGGAAGAAACCGAATCATTAATTTCTTCACCCCCATCTCTCTCTTCGTAAGCTCAAGATTAAATCAAGTCTAATAGAGTCTAACGAGTCTCCCAGGACGATCAAATCACTAAACCAAACCATTCATTTGCTCCATTACCTGGTTTTTAGTGTGGATCCAGAAGTGGGACTCAAGTTGAAACTACAACACGCCTCGTCAAGGCCATTCAATGGAGTCACACATATGTTCATCATTACTTTTGGCAGACTAAGTTATGCACCGATTCCTGATTGGATCGAATCGGACCGAGAATACGAGCTTTCAGCGATACGAGGTACGTTTGGTGGCCGGGTTTATAGTGTACGATTCAACACTGAAGTTTGACATACAGATATGGCAAGAGATCTTCTGGACTTGGTTGTTGACGGTCCTGAATGCGACAATATTTATGCGGCGTATCATGACGAGGAAGAAGATGAAGGAGAGATGGAGGAAGAATTACTTGGTGATACCTAATTATTTCCATAACTGATTGTTTCTATCATCTAAAGCAGAAGTAAGTCCGTCTGACCGATGGTATATTGCCACAACTGTCAATTTCCCTTGAGTGTGAAACCGAAAATGATTATGCTTATATCACACATCTGCCTTAAATTGAGCTGAGGTTATGGTAAAATTATGAAAAGATAATTCAAAATAAGCATGGCCCCCCGCCAAATTCACGATAGCTTCACAATAACCGCCACATGAAAAGTTTTCAAATTCGTGCTTGGGATTTTTGACAAATTTTGGAAAGAAAAGTTCTTTCATTTTCTCTACATTTTCACTGCGAGGACATTGGCACAGATAAGCCTGCCTCCGCAAGCTCCATCTATCTTTTCATGGAACAAACAACAGAAGGATACTTAGATAGATAGATTAATACACGGCTCCAGCCACAGATGGGGTCCCACTAGGGAAGACCAGGGAACAGCCAGGCCCAGAAAGTGGTCCAGTAAAAGATCAGGATCATTCATGACACTCCACCATGGAAAATAAGCATATGGAGGAGAGATGACTTTGAATACTAAGTAAAGAACCTGACAACCTGTGAACAATAATTTAATTGCCCCACAGTCCAACATATGTGCAGATTACAGCCAAAAGAAGTGTGTCAAATGGGTGACTACCTCTGTACCATAACTTAGTAGTATAGTACAATGGTGAAATCTTATCAGCAAGCCAGAGTTCCAATGGAGATCCCGTCATATGGACCCAGCTAATAAGTATAGACTGAGTGAGCATGTTGTTTGGGATGGCACAACACATACATGATTTAAAATATCTCCCTCAAAGATATTGGGGACCGTGTCAATTATGCATTGCGAGTCAGTTGCATCATCATCACCGGAGCAAAGCACCACATTTCCAGGTGAGATGATATGTATCTCACCCGCCGGATGAGCATAGCCTAGAAACCTGCCTGTTGGTCGTACAATGAGTTAAGGTCTGTTAAGGTGTGATTCGCTAAGTCACGATAATCATCGCTTACCTGGGACAATTGGAATAAGATCCTTCTCGTTGTTGATGTGCTTGAAACTCGGCACCTAGTGAAATTATTAGTCTCCGCACAGTGAGAATATGAGATAAACAAATGTACATGTTGGTCAATCAGGCTAGCAAATGCAGGATTACCTACACCTAAGACCATGAATGAGCAATCTAACATTTGAGGATTCATGCTCAGGGAACATACGAGGGGTACCATATGTTACGGCCGAAATGTTGCTCCCAGAAGGTAAATTCAAGGCAAAAAATAAGGCATCGATCTCAGCAAGAGCACCTCCAAGGGAATGCCCAACCTATGATAATAATGAATGATTAATGAGAGGGGGACCCGGAAAGTAGTACTTACAGCCATAACATTCTTAGTATTCTTCGAAGCCATCAACGTCCTCACCTCAGCAAGGATGACACTAGCTGTCTTTGCATGCTCATTTTTGAATCCGTCATGCACCTGCACACTAGATGAAATACCAGGGAACAAGGATGTATCTAGGCTGGCCAGTAGAACCTCCACATCGGTCAAATCGGATTCACTAGGGCAACTTGGTGAGCTCAAGAATTTCGATATCTGCGTGACTACTCACAGCTGCAAGGGATCGGTTCCTGCTCCAAGACTCAGCACCGTATGAATATTTGAATCTGGTCAATCTGTACCTTCGTGTGCCACAATGATACTGCTCAACGATGGTGAGAAGCTGCCAGCAGAAAAGTTGTTAGCATAACAAAGATGGTGACGACGACGCAGTGTACTGTTTACCCTACAAAATCTAGAAATCGAAGCATCAATGTTGGTACATAACGAGATGAAAACACAGACGAACAATTTTGAATATCGCTGTCATCACCACCAGCGAGTGATACTTCGAAATCAGCATTTGCGTCGCATGCGGCTATAGTTCAAACGGGGGGTTCAGAGTACTGGAGATTATTCGAAAGAGAAGAGTTCAATGTACCCCCACAAGTCCAATCTTGGAATCCATCGCAATAAGCTGCCCGAGCAAATTGGGTGAATGGCGCGTAACTCGAGAACTGCGCAGTTGAAAGGGAAGTAACCGTCCTCCGATCCATAGCCATGGGAGTCGCCAGGCATGAGCTCAATGCGCTGAGAGCAACATAGCTTAACCAACTTGAAGAATACATTTTGAGACCAAGGAACGTTCTCTCCGAAGCAAGAAGTACTCATAGCATTCACTGCTTATAAGTACCTCAAGCTGCTTACAATTTCGCATCCCTATCCAGGGTTCATGCAATGATGAAGCAAGGCGGCTACAGCTCAGTCAACTGACTACAGGAATGCATGAAGCTAATGAGTAGATATCACAAGGTGATGAAGGTTTGAACTTACCTTCGAGGTACATGTCGAGGTTTGAAATAGTAAACTCGTCACATGAACAGATGTGATACTCTTTGTATTGGCGTATGATTTCCAGATGATTCCTGGCAATTGGCTCCAGAAAATACAGGTACAATTAGGTACCAATCCAAGGCTCTTGGGACCTTTGTGACAGGCTGGGGTAATTGAGTTAATCAGCACCAGGATTACATTGTACCAGCAGAGCCAGGACGAGGAGGATTTGCGGAGTAAGCATCCCAACAGGTACAACGGAAACTCCTCGAAAATCATCATACAACCATATATGAGGCTACCTGAGGCCGTTCGGAATATAATAATTCGAACGCATGAGCCAATGTGTGCATGCATGATATTAAGAAATCATCTGTAAACAAGTTCGAAGCATCAGAGGGCTCTCCGGTCGTATTGAGATCCTCACTGGCAGTACTTAGAAGGAACTTGAAATAGCTGAAGACCCACCGCTGCTCGATAATGTGATTGGGTCACTAAATGAAGTAGTAGTCTTTGCCTGCTTAGTCCCGACTCACACGTTGAAGTGCCGTATACTCCAGAACGTTCCTTGCTTCGTGGTATCACTACAGGATACAAAAAAATTGAATCTGCAATAGAGAGTTTGGGAGTGTTCGGTACATGTTGGTATTTGTCCGGCGCCTCTGTTTTGACTCTGAGTGATCGAACGGCGCTAGACACGTAGTGTGAACACTCTAATATCTTCTTACCATCCCGCTTTTGCTGCAATGGATCTCATTACAACTGTTTCTACGGGCATCCTAGCTATTTGGATGTTATGTTTGGTTTCCGTTTGGGTACTATTTCGAATTTACTGTACCAAACTTCAAACGGCCAATATTCGACGACGAACAGATCTCATGCGGAAACTTGGACGAAATCCTGAATCTCAAGCTTTAGTTGGATTCTTTCATCCGTACTGGTCAGAAAAATCTCACTCGCACCATCTTGAAGAGCTATTGATTGTACTTCAGTAATGCTGGAGGAGGAGGCGAACGTGTACTTTGGACAGCAATAGCTGCCATACAGCGAACTGAGCCAAACATTGTCACCATCGTTTATAGCGGGGACACCGATGCAACAAAAGATGAGATCATCTCCAAAGTGAAGGTGCGCGTCAATTTCTTGTATGTCTTCATGTTCTTGATACAAAGTCAAGGCGCGGTTTGATATTACCTTGGATCCAGAAGCCCTCGACTTCGTGTTTTTATCTTCTCGAAGAGCCATTGAGGACTCGACCTGGAGATATTTCACATTATTGGGGCAAAGCCTTGGTTCTATGTACCTCGCTTGGGAAGCTATGTCGAAACTCATACCAGACTTGTATATTGGTGCGGGATCTATCTCTCTAACGTTTAAGTATCTTTGTTTATGCCAGGTTGTAGATACCATGGGCTACGCGTTCACGTTCCACATTGTCTCTTTACTCACAGGAATTCCAGTCGGAGCCTACGTTCATTATCCCACAATCAGTACAAGCATGCTGAATCGAGTCAAATCCCGCAAGAAATGGCACACCAATTCTGATGTCATATCGTCATCCACTTTCCTTAGCCAAAGCAAACTCTTGTAAGCATTGTTCTACTTTTGCAAAATGCCTTTTCCATTAATTAAAGTATCAAGGTACTACCGAGTTTTTATGTATTATTACGCATTGTCTCTTAAGAGTGCTGCTTTCATTATGGTCAATTCGTCATGGACCCAGAATCACATCAATGAAATCCTACAATATTCTGATGTCCTTCTGGATACTTTGCATCGCATAATACCATTCAAGTTGATCCACAGCAAATACGGATCGGTGACCTCAGCGCAGATTGTTTATCCTCCTTGCGACACCCGAGAAATCTCACAATTTCCTCTGACAGGTCGAGATCGAGTGATTCTAAGCCTTGCTCAGTTCAGGTAAGAGGCGTAGCTACCTCGGTCGTGTACCTCCTTAATCCACTGTCTGCAGACCTGAGAAAGACCATCCGACTCAACTACGAGCGTTCAGTCGACTTCTCAAAGATCGTCCAGAGTACATCAACCCTACACGTCCAGTAAAGCTCGTGTTGATCGGTGGGAGCCGAAATGCGGACGACGAAGCTCGAGTACAAAATCTTCGTTCTCTTGCGAAAGATCTTAATCTTGAGGCATGGCTTGTCAACGCTAACTCATGCTGAGGTCTAATTTATCGTACTTTGAATTTAGAAGAATATCGAATTCGTGGTCAATGCTCCATATCCGACCGTGCTGAATTGGCTAGCCGAAGCTAGCATCGGCTTAAGTACGATGGTAGACGAGCATTTTGGAATCAATGTCGTTGAATTCATGGTCATTATAATTCCACTCCACTCTTTACCGTCGCTTCTTACTAATGGAACGGTGCAGGCTGCAGGTTTGATTCCTGTCGCGCACAAGTCTGGCGGACCTCTACAAGATATCATCGTCCCGTTCCAAGGACAACCGACAGGTACGTGTCAATCTTGAACAGAAGTTGAAAACCTGAACGTACCAACAGGATATCACGCCGACAGCGTCGAGGCATTTGCAGAGGCGTTACATAGTGCCCTCTCATTATCAACTGATGAAGACCTTGCGATGCGACAGCGCGCGAGAGCTTGGGCCGTTCAGCGCTTTTCTGAAGAGGAATTTGAGAAGGGCTGGAACGCTAGTAGATGGAAAAGTTTTATTTCGTTAAATTGAAGGCACTTCCTACCAAGGGAAAATATTATAAGTGTCCACTGTTCCATTTGAGCAGTGTACAAAACCATGGGGGTATTAATGTTCGGAGACAAAGAAACACTTCCTGGTTGTTGCCTGGGAATCAAACTACATATCACGACTCTGGATCTATGTAAAACGTTCGAGAGGTAGAGCCTTACTGGTGCATTGCATGCGGCGAGCATATGTTCTGCACGAGGTTGATGTCATTCTGAGGGCACTATATCCTGACTATATATATGTGGATTGAATCCGACGAGCCCCTAGATGCCAATACCGCAATCTGACACTGCCAGCGGCCTGCGGGACGACTCGAACGTTGACGGTCCTCAAAGGTAAGATATCTTCCAATTCCAGTCAAATTCGAAAGTGATAATTTTTGGACCTTCGTTCAGATCATCGGATCCTAAAACTCCCGAGAAGCGCCAATTCCATAAATCCAAAGGCTACCATAGACCAGAACACCATAAACATCGTGATGGCCACCATCAGCAGCGTCGTCCTTCCATTTCGTCAATTCTCGATGAAGTCGGATCCTTCTCGGAACAGGACGATAGACTAAGTTTCGAGACGCACAGGGCTGATGAAGCAATTTCTCGGGCAGAATACGCAGAAACACGTCTGAAGGATGCCTTCGAAAGATTGACAGAAGCTGAAGAGGCCCGGTCACAGTCGGAAATTCATTCCATCAAAGTAGAGGAAGATCTGCACAGGTATAGAGAGCAGGTAACACGAGTGCAACAAGAATTGAGAGACGCTCGTATTCAGATCGAAAGCCTACAGCAGGAGAAATCAGCTTCAGAGAGGGAAGTAGAGAAAATCAGAGTAGCTAATCTTGAGCTTCAGAGTAAATTCCGGAGCTACCAAGCTAAAGAGCAAGGAAGGGAGGAGGGTTTGAAAAGTGGTGTGTTGAAGCAGTTTCATGAAAATCGGCAATATATATGGGAAGCAGGATTCTCTGATGGCTTTGAAGAGGGAAGAGAGGCTGGGTTCAAGGAAGGGAACAGAAAAGGTAGAAAGGAAGGCGTGCGTGAAGGTCGAGAACAAGGCCGCAGAGAAGAGCGGAGGAACGCGCTGGAAGCGTTTGACAGATTCATTAGGGAAGAGAGGGAAGGAGAAGACGATAGAGAGGTGAGTCGTGCCCTCTCTATTCGTCAATAATATTTTCTGACTAGTTACGTTTAGCGAACTCGCAGATGGACAGAGTCCGTTTATTACACAGATAGCCATTGAAGCCCAAGTTGCTATAGTGTCACTAGGTAATGTAAATACGGTGCAGCATTCCATTTAATCGGACAAGATGGGCTTCTGTTGAAAGCGATTTAAATCGAGAATAAATGAATCGAGAGGTTCATTCTCTAGACTTACTCATTTCATAGCAATTACAGCTAAATGTTTCCATCGCGTGTACCACCGTTACCAAGGACTGAAATAGGTGTTCGTTGGAGCCGACCGTCAAGTTCATATTCTGTGACTCCCTTATTCCTGCGATCAGGGTTTCACATATAGTGAACCACAACGACTAATGCTTATCAATAAGGGTGTATACATCGCAATCCGACATGGAGACGCACTGCCATGATTGGGTGGATGTATTGCACATTATTCAGATGATTGAAGCTTGCAATCAAATTCGCTGCCATTTGAGCCGCGTCCAGACATTTCCGGTTCGAGGCATTGTACTTTCGTGAACCATGAAGGTGGATCACCGCCACCTGCAACAAAGTAACTACTGTGATCCATGTGTATTTTGTGTACGGTCCAACAAATTGTGACAAAGGTGGGACCGACTCTATAAAAAATAGCAAGTCCTCCTCAAATTTTTGCTCATCCGGATAAAGAACTGCAAAATCAATGAGCACAGAACCCTGTACTTGTTTCTCATGTTTACCTGATTGCCAATTCTCTCCATAATACCTTGCGCGTTCGAAGAGTGCAGCCGCCTTTGCAGTTAGAGCCAGGGCACCATGGGACAAATCTGCACCGGGAGCGTTCACAAAACTCTTCAGCGTACGTACACCACCCAGATTGGATGGAACGATGCCCTGAAATAGAATGAACAACCCAAGATAGACGGCTGTGATACTAGAGATACTTACACCTTCATAAGCGCTCATCTCGAGTGGAAAGGGTGTATCTATAGATTCATCCATAATTAACGAAATCATATTTTTCATATCCAGAGCCTTGTAGAATAGGAAAGTAGTCCAGAAAGCATCAATGCGCTCGCCTTGATCGATAGAATCACGCGGCGGAGGGAGATGAAGAGATATAGCTATATTGGGTCGATTGGATGCTTGTCTATGCAACCCGTAGCTTATGCATAAAGAGAGCGCGGAATTCAGACGATGCATGGCAGAGTTGACGTTGCCGAGACGGAGGAAATAAGCAACAAGGAGGATTTCCGCTTGAATGTTGTGAACAACATGTCGAGGTTGTTGACCTGAGAGGTCAAATGTTACAGCGCGTGTAAGAAAGAGAGGCTCGTGAGCAAGTAACCTCTCGTCCCCTGACAGATGGATCCCCCATAAATAGATCACATTGAGTAGATTGGGTGACAGCAAACAGAAATTCGATTGTGAAAACATAAGTTGACAAAGACGAGGACCGTGCATGAAGAATCCAAATTGGAAAGCGTAAGGCGCAAAATAGTCCATACTAGTACACATTTAGCCTCCCGGATAACAAATGACAGAAGATTCTCACAGAAGTTTTGTGATTTCCAGCGGCATTCTAACCCACTCCCACCATCCATCTGGAAGAGACGTGACAGGGCGAATTGCATGTCTAGGCGGCACCAGGCGAAACATAGGATTTAGATCAAAAGCATTTTGACGCAGGCCCCCACGGCCTGGTACATATATTTCGAGTACCTGTTGCTTCTTAGCAGCTAGAATCTGCAATTCTGCGAGTCTGGTTTCGAGTTTCGTCACACTAGCTTCAAGGAGCTGTACACCCGTCTTGCCTCGTTCATCGACGTATTGACAGTCAAGTCCGTATCCGCCTCTGACGCAACGTTTACAGGAAGGAAATTCCCCGCCACATTTCTTTCAAAGTCGTAAGGAACACGAAGGGACATTGATTGGAAGACTAAGAAACTTACCACTTTTCGTCTCCTAGAATAGAGCACATTAGAAGTGATTATAGGCTGTCACAAGTAACTTGCAATCATCGATGTGGAATGTTGTACGAACCTACAATCAATGCAAGCCGTGCCTTTTGCTAATTGGTGAGTCGCAGCAGAAAAGGCCGACATCTTCAGATTCTTCTCAATTCAACACGATTTTAGTTTGTGGTTTTGGATCAGAGTATATGATCTTATGTAATACCGATTTGATGGACTTTGTGACATGCCTGACACATGAGATGGTCAACGAGATGGTCAACGAAAGTCCCGAACGTACGTGCAGCCTGCAAAAAATTTCATGGCCTTTGTGTGTAACAGCAAGTCCATCGTCGCAAAGGGACCTGCGAACTGTTGCAATCTGTAGCTTGATTGATCGCAAAGTTTGATTAATAAAGAATGATGTAAATATGTAAGCGTTGCGGGTACTTAAGCTCCCTTTGCCACAAGTCTCCCCCTGAAATCAACATGAGCGTCCCACCTTCTCCTCCAGGCGGTAGACGCAAGGGACCAAAATCGCTACCAAAGCTGCCTCTATCAGCTTTTACCCCGCCTAATTCAGGAACTTCAGAGAAATTTCCTCTCGCGCCCAGTCCTTCAACTGTTCACCCTGAAACTGTTATCGATGCCAACGTCGTAGCTCTCAACGATGATTCCTCTCTTTCTCGCTGGAAAATTGAAGCCGGCCCACACTTGGGCAGTCGTATCGGTGGAATCGTCGTCTTGATGTCCAGTGGCGATGAAGACTCTCTTTCGAAGTATGTGTTCCCCGTATTTTGAGCTTCGTCTCAGGTTCATCGTCTGATTTCTGTATGTAGGTTGAACGTTCCAGTGGTATCAGTAATGGTGCCCTTCAGTTTGGACAACTCTGATCGTCCTACTTCGCTACCAACGTCACATCCAGTTTCTTTGACGACTGTTTTCACCGGAGTTACAACCAACTCAGTCGAAAATCTTAAATGGGCTCTACAACAGGGCCGGCCGGTTGATATCGATATTCACGCCGATCTGACGGACGACGTGTTCGAAAGCTTCGAAGACCTGTTGTCCAAATCAATGGCTGATGTGTCTCCGATTCCTCCCATCATCCTTTGTACGTTTAAACTCAACTTTATCTCTAATCAATTCAGACCATCCCATTTATCATTCCTTATAGCCAACCTGTTACCTCCTCCTAATGACCTTGAACTTCCCATTGTAAAATTGATGAATCATCCTGTCTATCGAAAATTCCAGGCCCAGATTGCAGCCTTGAGTCTGTTCCCGCAAGTGTCGATCAAGTATCTTCCTCCATCCTGGGACGTTGAAACACCCCCCACACCTTCCGTCATGGTCGCTAGTCCTATTGATGACAACAAACAAAAGAAGGAATGGAAACGAAGAATCAAGATGTACTGTAAGTCAAAGAATTTATATTTGTCAATCAACACTTCATTGAGTCTATTGTAGTGGGTCCGGTCATGGAGGCCTTTGGTTACCAACGCATCATCTTTGGCTCTTCACCATCAGCATCTTCCAAGGTATCGTCGAAAGCTGGTGATTGGTACGAAATTGCGAGGGAGTCATTCGCTGAACTCGGGGTTGAACAAGAGGCTGTTGATGCCGTATTTTGGACGACTGCAAAGAAGATTTATGCGTAAAGTACAATCATTTAACAGTAATATCTGCTTGGAAAAAATATGTATCGTATATTATCTGTTGTTTTTTCGCTATCAGTACTGGGATTTTAATATATTTAGCTCTGTCCTCCAATGATGCATGGTTGAGAACCAGAGTCCAGTGCTCATAAGAGACATCCGTGCTGACTGCCGATTCGTGCCGAACCATGAAACGCGTGATTATCACGAGGGCAACAGTTTGAATTAGTTCTACTCGTCCTTGCGCTATTCTCGACCATCTACCTTCTTCGCGTTGGAAATTCAGTAAACGCTACCTTTAGCTCTCATGTGGATCTCTTACTAAATGAACATGTCAAAGAACACAACCCTCGGAAACCGATGCCAAATTACTCTGATTCCGAGAATGAAATCATAGACAGAATTGCCCGGAATCCACACCCTCAACGGCTTCCTAAAAACGACGATTCTTCGTTAGTGCCTTTCTAAAAGGTAGCCCGATATCTACCTCGACTCATGCTTATCATCGCAGGAGTAGCAGGGAGTCTTCGCCAGATAGCGTTCGGGTGAGTCGCGGGTGGATTCTGTGTCCGCGCTGTCATTGACTTTTCTTGTCATCTAGAAGCAAAAACGATCTTTTACACCCACTTCGGATGATGACCTCCAAATTTCACCTATCCCTGACGATGACACTCCCCCACCCCCCGAAAAACCCGTCCTTCGACAAGCCCTAGGTTTCGCTTCAGCGTTCGGTGGTATTTCAACTTCTGCTACACTTAACACATATCAGGCCAAACCCACAAACCCTGGGAACGCTAAATTTCTTCCTGGCCAAACCGTCTTTCCTGCTTCTACTACGAAGAAAGTTAAGGCCTCTGGAACCAAAACGAAGAAAACAAAGAAAAAGGACTACGCTACACAAACAGGCAGATTCAGATTGACGGATTGGACTTCATCACCAAACAACGCATCTGCTTCAGAATCCCCACCAGCTCCGACTTCAAGTTCTACTCAACCTCCTCCTCCCGCCATGTCTAACGTATATTCCTTGATGAACAACAACCACAACGGGAATGGATATGGTTCAAATTCCTACTCTTCGTCTACACAGGCTTCACAAATCAGTACAATGTACTCTGTTCCTCCCCCGCCAATCATAAACAACACCACACCATACTTTTCCAATACTCAACATGTGTCTACGACTTTCACTCCAACTTCCGCACCCCCAGCTTCTGTCACTGGCCGATTTTCTGCGACCAAACTTTCAACGGATACACAAATAGGCTCTTCCAAAGGGAAATTACTCGAAAAAGCTAAAGCCACGCCCTCCACAGTTACCGCGAAGGTCAAGCAGAAGGATAAGCCAGCAGCAAATTCGAGCAACAGAAGTATTGATTCAGCTGATAATCTTTCCCGATCAACAACCTACTATCGTCGGGACTACGAAAGCCAAGTCGACCTTGATGCTATGAGTACGTCAGGTGCTGGACCATCCTCCCCAGAAATCCCTTCGCATCTTGTTCCAAAAGGAAAGTCTGGTACGTCCTCGACTCAGATGTCATGTCAATTATACTCTAACTAGGCGTTCATAGACCACCTCTCAATCAAGCAATCAAAGCCATCCCGACCCGCATCTCGGATGGTCACAGTCTTGATAACTGATGTTCGAAGCGGCAAAGAGGATCATCAACTAACTGAGGTCATCGTACCTCTGAAGGACACGGATCCTGAAAATCCCGAATACGGATTCTGGGCAAATGCTCAAGAGGTGGTATGTATGTCTCTGTTAATCCTTTGGCTACATTGAAAGTTTCTGTAGGTCGGCAAGCTTCAATCTTCTCCTGCTAGGATTGAGGGTAAGTCCCTATGGTGTACAATTTGCACTCCATTTTCATCTCGTTCCTCGGGCGATACAGGTCCGGCACGCGCTTACACTATGAGGGGGAAATATAGGCAAATTTTTATGCGAGTGGTAGAAGATGGAACAATCGAGGCAGTACCGGTAAATATCAGTGTTTCCTCAGAGAGGATACTGGAAATGGTTGTCGAGAAGGTTTATTGTTCTTGCCATCCTACAGAATTATCACTGATGGTAGTAATGATCATAGCTTCCTTCACCAGGCGAGCTCCCATCGCCACCTCGTATTCCACGAGATCTACGACCAAGCCCTGACCCAGATGAGTTATCTTCGTACTCTCATTCTCATGATTCCCGGGATAATAAGAGGGACCGTAAACGATATCGTTCGCCATCCGATGGTGGGGATAGACTAAATGGGGACTACGGATCTCGTTCTCGCTCTGGCTCAGTATCACATCAGAACAAGAAGAGACGGAAAGTCGATGAAGAGGAAGTGATTGAGGATAGTGATGCAGATCTCTTCACTACTCCGTTGACTGGGATTGGTCAAGAATGGAATTTTGACTACGAATCCCCAACTTCTGACGACGATGAAAATCTGGATGCGAAGATCGTTGAGAGAATTGATCCTGCGCTGCAGATGCATCCTACTCCTGGGCTGTGGGAAAGTGTATTCAAAATCAAAGCCAGACTTCCTCGTGTGCCGGCGTATGTAGAATTGTATCGCATTCTACAGGCCATGTTCAAGCGATACGAAGGGCGGAGAGTTCCTTTCAAGAGAAATCGTAATATTAGGATACAGAAGGCGAGTGAATACTGTTGAACTGAATATATCCCGAGTCTTAAGTTCTCTCGACTACCATAGGCTCACATCTTGAAGGCCCTGCGAGTTTTGGATCAAGACGACGAGCATTCTGATTTATCGGACCCAGACAAAATCTATTCTAACTGTGTGGAAACATTGAAACTCATATCACTATATGGGCCTGAGGGTACGCGGTTGCAGGATGTCCGTGTTCAGGAAATGATGAAGGATGAATCTACCCCGGAGAAATACTCCAAACCTCAGAAACGGTTTTTGAGGCTCCTGCGCGAGATTGACGAGAAGTGGCAGGCGGAACATGTAGGACACGTGGCAACAAATGAACAAACTAAACAGGCTGAGGTGGAAGCCGAGAAACCTTCAGCTCAACCCTCATCTCAAATACCGTCTGCGGAAGGCACGGTTTCTACGGTCACTGACAGAGGGAGCAGTGCTACTTTAGATTCGAATTAATGATAGCGCTATAATTCAATGACATGAGATTCATAACATGAGCTACCGTCTCTACACGTCCAAGTTTGCCTACCATCTCCTCGAGGGACGCGCTCGCTCTTGGATTGACGTATGAGACCAGCGGTTTCCATTTGGAACCACTATTAGCTCGCTGATGGCGCCGTGTATCTACTTATCTGTAAGCGCTTGGCACATGCAGAATCTACGTATCAGTGGGTGACTTCCCGCTGCAATTATTCTGCAGTTAACCTGCAGTTAACTATTAACGGTATTTGATGCGACGTACGGACTGTTGATGGGACCCTCGCTTACACCAAAAACCAGTTTACAACAGGGTAGGGAGGCCGTTGTAAGTTGGTTTTGATGCAGTTTTTGCGAAGCCGCTGTCCGGCCATCTTCGCTTAGGTTCGCTTATATTGGTGGCACAAATTAATTGTCTGGTGTCCTGCAAATAATTCCTACGGGAAGTCATCCAGTATCACTGGTCGAAGTTGTCTGGAATAAGCGCTCGTTAGAAACTTTCCCTCGGATATTTCATCCACAGACGTTAGTAGCGCTACTTTATCCAAGACGTCGCATTCTTCGAAAGCTGGTTCTTCCTTTGAAGCACATGCAATGACGCCTGTAGCTGGGTCGTCGGGTCCTCAAGGCGCACACGACTACACTGAAGGCGCTTCTCCCATCGATATAAACAATGTTCTGGCCCACTCGAGACGCTCATCCGAGCTCAGTGTCTACAATGACGATGAAGGAACCATGTTTTCAGGCCCTGGCCACTCTGTAAACCCGTCTAGCGTGACTCGAATGTCTAATATAGATCCTGCCAGGAGAAGTTGGTCTCGTAGCCGAAGGAAAAGTCACGATTCGGGTGTGTCCGGACGGCTCAGCATCGAACGGAGGCAGAGCCAGGGCAGTCAGCACAGTCAGCTTTCCCGTCAAAGCAGTCAGGAAGAGGATATAGAAGCAGATAGTCAACGACATACCGTCAGAGGTCGGCGCCGGAGGTCTCCTTCTCCCCCCACCCGTCCTTCCGTCCTCGGGAACTGGGCCAGTCTTTTCGGCAAATCTCAGGCAACCCAAGATGGGAGACGCTTGTCTATCTCCTCCAGAAGATCGTCGGCCTCTCTTTCTCGACAAAGCTCACGCTCCGATGCAGGATCCGAATATGCTGTCGAAACAGACGATGAGGAACGTTGGGGGTATTCTTCTGGCGAGGAAGACTCTGACGAGGAATTGTCGGGACGCGATGATGCCTCTATATCCCGTAGCATGGACTATGACTCTGAGCCACCTTCGCCAACCATGAACCAAGGGCTTCCGCTTCTAAGCTCGGACCCGATTTTTGGAGGAGAATCGCGAATAGAAATGGAATTCTCATTTACTGAGATGGAACCCCCTCCGCCTGGGCCACCTTCACGGCAACAGATTCACATTGAAGAAGACGATAGCACTATTCGTCTTGTAGGTTATGAAATTATTCTATGGCGACAATGGCTTTGGCGCGCAAGTTGCATTTTGACATTTGGTATATTAGGCTTACTGGGGAATTGGTTCCCCCGGTTATGGCTTGGTTTTGTCACCCATGAGAAGGCTTTTATAAATATCAAGCAGGGATTTGTAGTAGTGGAGGTACGCTTTCTTCATTCGAGCCTTATTCTTATTCTGTCACTGACCGCTTGATCAGTCGTCCAACAGAGACGTAATGTTAATATCCTTGCACAAATTAGAGTATCCATTCCCTATCACCACGGTATTCCCATCTTCGTTTGATCAGTCATCTTCTGGTTCATCCTTCAAGTCAAACGAGACTCAGACTTACGACGCGGAAACCAAAATGCTGCGCTCACTCATCATCATGAATTACCGCTATTCTCGGTTTGCTTTGGATCCGCGCAACGGTTTATTCTACGTGATGAGGTCAGCGTCCATCTGGTTCGCAGTGTGAAATGTCTCACATTACTCAGGAATTGGCGTGATTCTTCTTGGGCCTCTTCATCAATTCTACAGTCTGGTTTACAGGAAAATATCCGACGTCAGAGAGCAAGATTATTCGATAGAAACGAAATCAATATAGAAGTCAAGTCCACCACTGCACTACTCATAAACGAAGTAAGTGCTCCGGCCACAACTTGCATTCATTACTGACTCAATATCAGGTAATACATCCTTTTTATGTCTTTCAAGTTGCTTCAGTCATCCTCTGGTCGCTCGACAACTATTACTAGTAAGAAAGCCAATCTATCATGTGTTCGCGCTTAATCGTATATGATCACCACAGCTATGCATTCTGTATCTTTGCAATCTCGATTGGCAGCATAGCTACGACGTTAGTCGAGACCAAGAAGGTATATAATTTTATTTGACAAGTAGTGGCTGAGCTCAGACTTCTTCAGACAATCACTCGAATGCGCGAAATGTCGAAGTTCAATTGTAAAGTGAATGTGATGGTAGATGGAACTTGTAAGGTCTTCTCCTAGTCTCTGAACGACTTCGTGTTTATCGTCTCACATCCACCAGGGGCCGAATTGGATTCTACGGATTTAGTGCCAGGAGACCTTGTCAATCTTTCCAGCTCTCAACTTACCGTCATCCCTGCAGATATGTTCCTCCTGACAGGCGATGCCATTCTCAACGAGAGTATGCTGACTGGGGAAAGTATCCCTGTAAGCAAGGTCCCGGTAAAAGACGATGATCTCTTAAAATGGAGAGATGGTAAAGTGGAAAATGCAAAGTCCTTTATTTACGGAGGCACCAAAGTCATACGAATCCGAACATCGGTAACGAGCGACGGTTCGCAGAGTCGCCCTGCTCTTGCAGTAATAGCTAGAACTGGCAAGTAGAGCTTTTACATTATAGCCTATCGTCATTGACTTTCGAATAGGTTTCGATACGACCAAGGGTGCTCTTATACGATCAATGCTGTTCCCCAAGCCGATTGGTTTCAAATTCTACCGAGATTCAATACGTTTCATTGCGGTGCTTGCTGGAATTGCACTCTTAGGGTTTAGCATCAGCGCTGTTCAGTTTGTGCGGATCGGGGTTAGTCAAAAATTTCAGGCCTCATTTTTCGTACCTTATGGTTTCATCTAGCTGAAATGGCAAACTATACTCATTCGTGCACTGGACTTGATTACTGTCGTCGTTCCTCCTGCGCTTCCTGCTACACTTTCGATTGGAACGAGTTTTGCTATCGCTCGTTTGAAAAAATCTGGTATCTATTGTATATCTCCCAGTCGAGTCAACGTAGCCGGGAAAATTAACGTATGCTGCTTCGACAAGACTGGAACTCTGACGGAGGATGGTCTGGACATTCTTGGTGTTCGCCCTTTAGACCGAAATATCAATCGGTTTGGCGAGCTCCTCGATGATATCCATGATCTACCATTAGGGAAGGACAAGGCTTCTTTTTTACACGCCCTGGCCACATGCCACTCTCTAAAAATGGTTGGAGGAGATGTCGTCGGCGATCCATTAGATGTCAAGATGTTCGAATTCACCCGCTGGACGTTGGAGGAGGGGACAATCGGTCGCACAGGTGTGATTAAGGTCAAGTCAGGAGCGGTTGCGGAACAAGCAGCATTAGTCCAAACGGTGGTACGTCCCCCAGGGAGTGCACAGTTTAGGCTAGAAGATGCTCTTAAAGGGAACGCAAAGGTGAGCTGCTTATTTGATATGCGCATAGTACCCAGATTGTCAAACTGTGGAAACCAGCGCGCACATTTCTTGGAACTTGGTGTGATTCGATCGTTTGAATTTGTTTCATCCCTTCGAAGAATGAGCGTTGTCGTCAAGCGTCTCAAGAGCAACAGTATGGAAGTATATGTCAAAGGCGCACCCGAGGTTATGATGGACATCTGTGAAAAAGATTCATGTAGGAATTACCTGTCTACAATATTCCGTGCCCTCAAGTTCGTTGATTATTTAGTTCCCGAGGATTACGATGACCTTCTTTCCTATTACACGAAGCGCGGATATCGAGTTATCGCAATGGCCGGTAAAAGCATCGAAGGTTTATCGTGGCTGAAAGCTCAACGAATGAAACGGTAGGCGATTACATCCAATATCTTCTTCTCTTACCTCATGTACTCTTGTGAAATAGCGAGCAAGCAGAAAGTAAACTTAAATTTCTTGGTTTGACTATTTTCGAAAACAAAATCAAGCCCGGGACGACACCAGCCATTCAAGCTTTGCGGATTGCCCATCTGCCTTGTAGAATGATTACAGGCGATAATCCGCTGACTGCTGTTAGTGTAGCTAGGGAATGCGGATTGGTCAACCCAGCTGCGTATGTTTTCTCCCCTTCTTTCATACGAGGTAAGTCTTTGCATTTCAGGAATTCTTTACTTAATTGATTTCACCTTTGAAACTCAGGTGACGCGACAGGCCCTGATGCTAAATTGGAATGGACGTGCATGGATGATCTGTCGTGGAAGCTCGACAATTACAGTCTTAAACCTTCTTCTCCACCTCTTCATCATACTGCGGAGGCCGATGATATTGGTTATCACGACTATTCCCTCGTTATCTCTGGAGATGTTTTTCGATGGATGATCAGCTATGCACCCCTTGAAACCCTACAGCGGGTACGTCAACAAATACTACGTTGTCCTGATATCTGTTGAGCAATCTTGTAGATGCTTGTAAAAGCGCAAGTTTTTGCTCGTATGTCTCCAGATGAAAAGAACGAAGTAATTGAACGACTACAAGGTCTGGGATATACAGTGCTAATGTGTGGAGATGGTGCAAACGATTGCGCTGCTCTAAAGGCGGCCGATGTGGGGGTCTCATTGTCGGAAGCTGAAGCTAGCGTAGCTGCACCCTTTACCGCTAACACTCCGGACATCGGATGCGTTCTCGAGCTCATCAAGGAAGGTCGTTCTGCCTTGGTGACGAGCTTTAGTTGCTTCAAATATATGTATGTGTTGTCGTCTTTACTTGATTCTCACTTATGATTTATCTAGGGCGTTGTATTCACTTATTCAGTTCACCACTGTGACTTTACTGTACTCTTTCGCATCGTCGCTAGGTGACTTCCAGGTTGGTAGGACTACGCTCTAAAACGATCGTTACTGAATACTGCGCATACCTATTTTTGCATCCAGTTTTTGTACATTGATCTTTTCATTATCATACCCATCGCCGTCACTAGTGAGTGTCCATCTTGTCAAAATGAGAAACGTGATGTAAATTTGACGGTTCTCAGTGGGTCGAACGTCGCCATATCCTCGAATTTATCACAAACGACCTGCGGCAAGCTTGGTGTCAAAAAAAGTTTTGTCAAGCATCATTGGCCAGATTATTATAACGAGCGTAGTACAAATATGGGCGTACTCTTGGGTCCGAGGACAAGAGTGGTATGTCTACAATACTTGAGATGGTCCTGCAGCTGAGGCTGAGGCTCTATCAGGTACACTCCCCCGCCCTCTCCGGACGCAAACGATGATGGCAATCAACTGGAATCGACCAATTTTGAGAATTCAGTACTATTTCTGATCTCTTGTTTCCAGTATATTCTGGTTGCGGGTGTTTTTAGCATTGGGCCGCCATATCGCAGACCGATGTGGACAAACGGTTAAGTGGAAACGATTCATAAATATATCTTTGGCTGACATTCATCATCTGTTTATATAGTTCTGCTTATGTTTTCTCTTGCTGCTCTTACATCGTTCAACTTGCTGGTTCTACTTTCTCCGCCGCAGGCGATCGCTGATCTGCTCACCTTGATGATGATTCCGACAGAAGGCAGGTTGAAGCTTTTATTAGCAATAGCGATCAACATGGCTATATGCATACTCTATGAAGGATTCGGTTATTTGGCCGTGGCAGGGATAGTTGGACAAATAATGAAGTGGAGGAAAAGAAATCGCAGGATACGTGAAACTGGAGGTAAGGTGTACAAGGCAGTGGAGGGTGGGATGAGATAGTAGTGTTGATTGATGGCATCAAATTTGTCTAGACTTATTGTTGAATAAATACGGCTTGAAAGCCTTCCCTTTACTTGGCAACCATCATATCTACAACTTCCAAGTGACTTTTCCTTGCTCTTCCATCTTCACGCTTGCCTTGAGGGCTCTCTTCCAATCCTTTTTTCTTCGGACGCATACGTCGTTCAATCAATCGTCGAGAAACCGCAGGAACCGGGCTCTACGTTCATCTTCAAAGCCCCTTTCAAAAGATCTCTAGCTATCCGCCATGTTTTCCTCATCACTATTCGCTCATTGCATGCTTGCTTTTCTGTTTTTGGGTGTATCCAATGCATTCCCTCTTTTGAACCGGCAGGCCACCGCTACCGCTCAGCTTTCTACACCGACTACTTTGACAACGGTGACCAGTTCCATGACGTGCGTCTATTGCTTCCTCAATCCTAGTGGCATTTCTGAACGAGATTCAGACCGGCCGGTCCTCTCACACAGACCTGTGTCATTACTTTAACTCCGATCACGGATTCGAATGGCAAACCCGCAGTGCAGGAGGTTAAGAATTGTACTGTTGCAGTCAATGCGAGCAATGGTACTACGGCGAACACCTTGTCAAATAGCCCAGCTTCGTCATCGTCTGCAAGTTCATCTAATGCAGCGACCGCAGCGTCGACTACAACGACTTCAGCTGCAGCGACGGCGGAAAGTAGCACCTCTACTGTTTCCCCAGCTACTTCCGCAACTGCCGCATCGACCTCTTCCGTCTCTGCCAACGCGGCTATTTCAGTTAATGTCAGTAGCTGATCATACTAACGTTTGTTCTTTGCTGATACTGAAACGCAGGGGATCTCTACAATGACATCCCTTGCGCCCGGTACACAGACTGCTTCAGCCAGTGTATCATCATCTGCCTCAGATTCCGCCGCCGCCGTTTCAGCATCCAGTGCTGCCGCTACATCAGTCGCAAGTGTTCCAGATTGTTTCCGGAACAATGCTGTGCTAATCTTCACTCAAAATAGGCTTCGGCAGGGTCGGCCAGCGGAGCATCTGCGACTGCAACGTCCAGCTCAGCGACGGCAGCAGCAGATAATTCGAATCCCACCGCCAGTCTTTCCACGCAACAGCTTGCAGAAACTACATACGTTGTTCCTGGGAAATCTCTTCAAGTTCTTCCGATTGGTCTCGGTGTCTTCGCCGGAATATCAGCATTGGCATTAATCGTTGTCGGTCTGGTCACCTACGAACGAACGAAATACCGGAAGGTACGTTCCGACTTCCGTTAATGATCTAATTATCCCTAACCTTGAATGGTCATTTCAGGCGTTCAGACAGAGAAAACTTGCAGAGCAAGGAGCAGCAATGGGCTATTCTGGTTAGACATAGTGAGTTGTTGGAAGCCGTTGATGAGGCTTTGTACTGATGCTACTTTCAGATAGCCTTTTTTTGATTTGGACTTTGAATGTTCATATTTGGCTTAATCGCTGTATTTCAATTGTAATTTCTTTCAACCATATCTTTTCAACAGTGTTTTTACTTGCATGGAAGAAATGATATAGTGTCATTTATGAGGGATACCTCAGATTTGACCCTTGCTGTCTTGATGACTGTGAGCAACGGGCGCTTAATCGTATCTAGCCAATAACCAAGCAAGCAGGGTGTACTTTGTTTTGATGATGACCAGCAGTGACCCGTGCGATGCAGGATGAGAAGCTCAGTTCCGCTCGGGGTGTCGCATTGCTCCACCCACTTCCTCCCTTGGCTCGTGCAGTGAAAAATGAGAGCAGCCAAATCAGAATATCCGATCAGTCATATGTCGAGGACAAACGGCCTTCTTTTGTAACCCTTCTTTGCTCATGGAAGATAAAAATTGGTACTGTGCATCAGTTGGTCTTTGCCTCTCTTCCTTTGCCTTTTCTTAATCTCTTAACTCCTTTGTATGAATGACCAGAACACATTCAGATCATGTGAAGATACTTCGAACACTGAATGTACTATACATCCTTTCTATCTGTGATTGCAGTTCATACATAATAATGATAATTGTTTTGGGTGATGTGTGTGACCTACGTCAAAAGGCGTCAAAACCTGGGCAAAAACAATTAATAGCTATAGCAGAACAAAGAGTCTTTTAGATACTTTGAATTAATCTTTCTGTGGAAGCCGGATTTTTCATATGAGTGTACTGTGTAGATAAGTTATTTGAGTGTCCTCGTATATATCCCTAGATAATATCATTTGTAGGTGTCAGTATCAATATAGAAAGGTTTTGCCTGGGGGCGAAGCCCCGCGCTCCCACCCATATATGAGGAGAGGGCTAGATACCCAAACAGAGCCAAGGCTCCTTCCCAGCACGCTCCGAATAAGGTGAAGCTGTACCCCATTTAGAGCTGAGGCTTTATAATATAGATATAAGTTGACTGTTGAGTATACATGGCATTATGCATCACAAATAAAGACCGGCGAGACTATAACAAACTCATAAGAATGGCATGACACCCAAAAGCATAAAATTGGCATAACACCCGAAATCATAAGGAGGCATAACACCCAAATAATAAAGAGGCATAACACCCAAAATAATAACAGGCATAACACCCAAAATAATAATAGGCATAACACCCTAGAGCATAAAACTCGATGTCCAAAAATAATATAAGGCGGTCTTGCAAATCGTTGCGGCGATATTATTCGGCAATATCTTGATTCACTACCTGGGTATTAGTGACACTGGTGTGGTCAGGTGTGATGGTGTTTTCCGACAGTGGTGGCATATCCCCGATCGGAGAACCCTGGTATGGAGGAGATGTGTCTGAGGTTGTGTTGGATTGGAATGGGTAGGAATACCACAATGACCCGCCGCAAGCTTTTGCCATAGTATCCTCAAACTCAACTTGACTCTCTACCTTGGTCCATTCCGAGTCATACACACTCTGGATAAAACCTGTGAATTCGAGGTATTGTTCGTTTCTGATTCGGAGTTCCGCTGGCTTCCAGAAGGCGTAGAGTTTGGCTGTATGACGTTTGTTAAGGAAGAATGAGAAGTGCTGGATAATGAATTGTGCTCGTGTACCAGCTGAACCTGCTGGGTCGCGACTCGTCTCGAATCTCACGTAGTTGTTGACGCACTCGATGAAAAGAATGTAGTCGAGGCCTTCCAGTTGATCATCGTTTGCATATTTGATCCTGAGCATTTTCTTCAGAGCTTCGATGTCGATGAAATAACCACTCTTCCTGGGATCATTTGACTTGAATTTTTTATGCGGAAGTGAGTGGGCGCGGGCGGAAATGAACTGTAGAGCGTCGTTACTGAAGAAAGGGAGAGGGATTGGGGAGACGTGTGCGATTTCGTATAATGCATCGTGGAAACTTGCTTGGAAAGGAACGAGCGGATTCTTCACCACGGGGACCAAAGGTTCAGCCAATCTTCTCTTCTTCTTCTTCTCCTCCTCAGCTTCTCTGCTAGTATCCTCCTCTCTCTCCCTCTTATCTTTGACCTCCTGAATCTTCCGACTCTCCATCCATTCCAGGATGAAATCCGGAATCAGGTGCTTCAAGGAGTCAAAGCGAATTGGGTTTGTACGAATCTTCTCCCATTCCTCCAGCTGGATGGTGAGTTCTGAAGTGACTGGCGATGGTGACCTGATGTTCTCCGGATCCCTGAGATGCGCTGCTCGCTGTAAGTCGCGACGGATGTTATTTGCGTTGTTCTCTTTGTTGAATGTTAGACGCGTCGTTATGTCCCAAGAAGCGAACATGTTCCGAGCTTCGACACTACTGTGCGTTATATGCACTCTGTCAGGATTCTGTAAGGTCGGTCGACTACGTAGAGGGAGCTGCATGGTTGTATCCGAAAATCACGACAAAAGATGAGGCTGTAAGAGGTCGGACGGTGAGCGTCGAGGGTGAGAACGAACAGGCGCCTAATCGTACTCAATCGCCACTCATTATCTTATCCTATGATAAGCCAACCTGCGGTTGACTTATCTCGGAACTATTCATTTTTGAAGTCTGTGCATGTGACGTGTTCGGGAACTTGCTTGAGCTCTGCCTTACTCGAAAGGAATCTTAACAAAATACAGCGATGTCGAATTCATCAAGCTTGAGAATAGTTGACAAACTAACCATCACCTTTCTCGTCGATAATCACATTGAATGGCATGCGTGTTCCTCGATGTAGCATAGAATTTGGGTGCCAATAATTCTCCAGGTTCACTAGATTCCCCCCTGGATTCACCCATGAACTTCCGCAACATCTGCAAGAACACCACTGCGCGATCGATCCAGCAACTGATACGCCTATGGCTGATTTTGACAAGTTTTGTTGTGGTAAGTAAGGACAGATAGCCAGTGTTCCCGCTGACTTCGCTGTACATATACAGGTGCCCATGGATTTTCTGCTCTTATCGTGCGCAATCGACTGTTGAAATTGTAAGATCTGAACGAATGACTCGCGACCGAATGGCGCTCTGCAGGAGACTGAAATCACAGGAGAACCCTCCCGCTTGATCCTCTTCGACACAGGTCCCGATAACATCTCCCTAGTCCGTAATATTGGTGCAATGCGAGTGCCATTGCACAAAGTAGAACGTATCATTGCTTCCCATTGGCACGCTGACCATACCGGAGGTTTAATTTCATTCTTGCAACTCCGCAATGAAAAATACGAATCAGCCACTGACAGTGCCGGCTAAGCCCTGCGTGGCCGACGTCCATCCAAACAGACCGTTCGCTAGAGGAATTGCCCCTGGACCTCGTTACGATAAAGTCATTGTTCGCCTTCCTCCTGACCCGACTTTTGAACAGATCGAAGCTGCTGGAGCGACTGTTGAGAAACATGCAGAGGGTCATCTTGTTGCGGGTGATATGGTTTGGGTAAGCGGTGAGATTCCGCGAGTGACCTCGTTTGAAACAGGACTGCCTGGGGCGAAACGCTTCGAACAAGGGGTTTGGACTGACGAGCTCGTAAGTGCCCATGGACATATGTCACCTCATTCGACTCAGAGGACTGCTCTCAGCATATCATGGACGAGCGATACGCAGCGATAGATGTTGCCGGGAAGGGGTTGATTATTTTCAGCGCGTAAGTCAACACCTCAGAAAGAACTCTCGAAGCCATCAGCGTTGAATCACCAGTAGATGCTCTCATGCAGGTATCGTGAACGTGGTTAAGGACGCGATAGCAAAGCTCTCAAGGCCGGTGTATATGGTATGTCCAATTGATATGCACTGGACTGATCACCCTTATGACCATCCGCTCTCAAGATTGTCGGTGGGCTCCACCTAGCTGGAGACTCAATGGCTCCTCGAATACAACCCACAATCGAATGGCTTTCAAAAAGCCTACGCCCATCGCCAACCTACATTCTCCCAATGCATTGCACTGGATTTGACGCCAAGGTTGCGTTAGAAAAAGCTTTCGGGGAAGGTGCTGTTCCCGCCGGTGTAGGAATCAAGGTGGAAATTGTGGCTGATAGAGAACATGACAAGCGGCTTGCCCCACCTGTGATTCAGGAGTAAACCCGAGCGGCCGATTCTCCAAACACACCGCAGTAGCGAAAGTGATGACATATAGGAACTAAGAGAAGAACTCAACCTAGATATTTCCATATCATGAAGAAGGAGAAAAATGTCAAAATCGCGCCTCCAAAGAAGATATACATGTCCTGTGTGCTGTATTATATTATATTGTTAGCGCCAATAGTTGCAGAGTCAATGGTTAAACGTACCTTCGTTTCTCAATCCATCCAATTACATTCCGACTCAAGCCCAACGTATTTGCAGTATCCAGCAGCCGTCTTTGTGTTCCTTTAAGAATACTCCGCTGATCCCTGAGGTTGTCCAGCACTTCTCTGCCTTGCAGGAGAAACTCGTCGAGCCGTGACTCTGTTTGCTGTATGAAGGAGTGTTCGTTCAACGCGTGTTGATCACGTAGACTAAAGCCAGGCTGCGGTGAAGGGCCTCTGAACGGAGACTCGGATACAAGCTCTGGGTGAAGGGTGTTGCTCTGAGAGTATGTTGTTTGAAAACGTTGTCTGGCATTTGCGGAAGGTGATGCCAGGCTTGCAGATGTAATGAGCTCGACTCTCTGAGCAGCTTCTTTCTGATGAGCTCAGTCAAGTCAGTTCAGCGAACAATGATTGCAAGTAATCCCAAACTCACCTCTGCCGTGACTTCTGCCTTTAACCTCTCAAACTGGTTCCTCATTTCTGTATAATCTGTTCTGAATTTTTGTACGCGCATTTGTGCTTTTTCTTGCTTGGCTTTTATCATTTCGCGTTTTGCCATTGAGTCGTAATCATCTATAGTTCGGTGCATAGCAGCTAATGAAGCTGAAATCTGCCCTAACGGATGGAAGAATGAGGGGTACGCTACTACCGAAGAGACGAATATCGAAGACGGACCAAGCAACGATGCAGAATTGTCGCCACTGCGTAGCCGCTCGAGATCAGCTAGTATTGAGTTTGTCTGACGAACGCCTGAGGTGTACAGCGAGTTCATGGTGGAAGGTATGGTCAAAGTGACAGGCGGCCCGAGTGATTCAGTGTTCATTGTAGATAGATAGATAGATAGATATATACGCGGCTCCGTCGAGTCGACGGGGTCCCACAAGGGAACAGCCGGGCCCAGCAATCTTCGCTGCAGCGAATGCTCATCCAACCTGGGATGGTAGACTGCAGCTAGAATGAAGGGGTTATAGTACAGGGTTATTCTTGTATACATATAAGAATAGAGCGGAACAAACACAAATCACTCCTCTTCAGACTCATAATCGCTATCCACATGTTCCGAGGAGCCATCTAAACCAGTGTCTAAAAAGAGTTGCCAGAGAGTCACGACCTCGTGGATGAACTTAGCGGTGGGGACGATTAGGTTCCAGTCGAAAACTAATAACTTGAGATAGTGTAGCGCAGTGGGATCCGAGAGGTTTGAGCTGCGTGGTAGCGGCCGAGACTGTCGAATGGACAAGAAGAACTCGGATCGGAGAGAAGAGATGGAGGTAAGGGATGGGCATTGAAACAAAAGGTGTTGTGGAGTTTCTCCCTGCCGATTACATGCACGACAGGCTCGGTTGAGAATCTCTGTCGGGGTGAGCTGACGAAGGGGTGAGGCGGAGGCTCGGAATACTTGGGGGGTGAGGTCGCCGCAGAGGAGTTTGGTGACTGAGCGACGATGCGCGTGGTTCTTGATTTGAGTGAGGTAATGGCGAAGTCCGATGATTTGCAGTTTTGCCGGACCTTCTTCCTTCGGTTCTAGGCGATTTCTGAGTAAAGAGAGTTTTGACCAGGTGTCGATGTGGGATTGTAGTTCGGATTTTGTGGAGAACTCAATGGTTTTGATCAGAGTGTCAATACAGTCACTGTTGAGATCCCGAAGGTGAGGCAGGCGGTGGTGGCCCGGGAGTTGGGAGATGGCATAGTCTAAGTCCGAGAGCCAGCATGGAGAGCTAGCGCGGCGGAGGTTGTCGTTCTCCCAGAGGGCCAGGAGTGCGTAGTGAGAGGGGGGGAGAGCGATGAGGTATTTGAGGTAACGGAGTGCAAGCGATGCGCGGCGGGTGCGAATAGGCATGATGCCCGATTCGGTGAATAGTGGTGTGATAACAGAGTTGTTGGAGAGGTTGAGCATACGGCGAAGGAAGCGTAATTGAACGTCTTCTAGAATCTGGATAAGACCAGGGTCGGTGTCAGGTATGATCTCGCATCCGTTGGTCAGGTGGCAGTCCACGAGCGCGGTGTATAGTTGTTTAGTGATAGAGGGAGGCATGCGTCGATTTCCAACAAGTAGATCGCAGCCAGTGATGGCGCGCGCAGTCCCGACAGCGGCGTCACGCTTTTCGGTATAGTGGGGAGCGAACATGTTACGGTGGGTGGATTGAAAGAAGATGCCCACATATCGGCCTACGTCACGGAATTTGAGGGGTTTATCGGAAATGTAATGCATACAGGGCATACATACAACAGACTCGTTTTGTGTGAATAAATCATATGCACGATACATGTAAAGTAGGTATAGGAGCGAAAATTGCTCTACAGCGACAGTACACCAATATCGCAAAGAGGCACCAGGCTGCGGAAACCATAAGCACTACCAAGTAATGCGCAGATTCGAACAGATTTTCGTAGATGCCATTTGTGAATGAGATTGGTAAAAGGTAGGGGATGGGTTGGCACTGTTTGACAGTGTAAATACCTGTGATTAGTTCCCGAGACGAAATCGGGTTTAGTCAATTTACCAGACCAAGAAAATGACACCGAAGAACAATCCAGCATGTGAAACTGTGGAAGGAGAGAAGAAACGTCCCGATTCGCTTTAACGTCTTTTCCCGCCTTTGCCTCCAGCATTTCTATTCTTTCGTGAGGCTTTTCCGCCAGCTAATTCCGCCTTTTCCGTCCGTCTTGCACGTTGTTTTGTTCGTTCAGATTTCCGTGCATCTTTGGTCTGATAGCGAACCTTTTTGGGTTGTTTTTTTCTCGTCAGCTTAGCGGCTGGATCGGAACTATTTCGGTGAGATGGTCCAGCAACAACAGGAACAGAAGAAGATTCGGGATCTGAGACGGTTTTCGTGGGTCCATGCAGAAGCGTATCTGGATCAAAATCTTCAACTATAGCAACAGTAGCAAGAACTTCTTCATCCTCATATTCTTGCTCCTTTTGGTCGCTTGGGTCTGATATACCTTGCCATTCCTGATCCCCGGCAGAAGGAGCTGAGGAATCTGAGTTGGTTTCGTAAGATAGACGAAGAACAGCCGACCTAGAGTAGCACCGTAAGCCTTTTCTATCTCGGCGGCGTTTTCGGCGGCACGTTCTCTGAGCATGCGTCTTTGCTGTACCAAAGTGAGAGAAACGGCAAGCGATTTGAGATAAGCTCGAACCTCACGCCTGTCCTCCTGACGCTGTTGCTTCTCTCTCTCAAGAGCTTTCTTCTTAGCTGCTTCCGTTTTTGCCAATTTGCGTTTATGGAAACCAGTAAGAAAGTCACTGCACGATGTGGAAATGATACATAAGAAGATGCGGAGTGCAAAAAGATACTGACTGTCGAGCTGTATCATCGAAGATAACTTCCTGGACCTGATTGCGCTTTGCCCGTTTCTTTGCAGCGATGGCAGTATGCGCCTGGGTGAGAACATTGAGGTTCGGAGGAGACATTCCGACTAGATTACGTCAGAGGCAATTTGGATATTGATGGGCGGCTAATTGAATGGGCGAGTTTATTAAAGGGCTTGTGAGTTGTTGTGTGCTTTCAGATTCTCGCTTCAAGCCTAAATGCCTACAGCGACTCATCCCAGCCATGTTGACGGCTACGCTCATTACGACCATCTTTTTCCTTCAAACACTCACTACATCCATCTTTTTCCTTCCAATCCCTATCAGACCTTGAACCCGCCTCCTCCTCCCGCTGTGCCACAGTCAGTCGCTCACAAAGTTTGGATTATTGATTGTAGGTCTTGCGGCACATTTCTCACCAATCGCGGAATGAAGGTCTGTATTATACTCTCTTTACTATCTCAGATTAACTATGTTCTCATATTTCCCTTACAGGCTGTTCTCCTCTTACGTCCTAATGTACCCTTGTACTCTTCCGATGCGTTGCCTGCGAACTGCTCAGCATATACCACCAATCCAGAAGCTCTCGAGCCGCCTATATCCTGTCGGCCGCCCACTCAACCGTCTCGTACCTGCGAATGTCTTACTCAAACACTTTGTTGTCAAGGTTGCGGTTCGACAATTGGATATATGATCGTAATTCCAGTACGTATCTAGATGCCATACTTTGTGAAAACTTTATGTGATTCTTACGCTCTGACTAACAAGTGTATTCGCTGTACTTCCTCTATATCTGCAAACAATCGCGCCACGAATGGTCATCGTTTCGTGTTCCACTCGAGCGAGGTCGTAGGCACCGAGCGTCATTACGTTCCCAATGAACCTGGAGTTATGCCCTTTGAAACAGTTCCAGTAGCCATTCATCCTTTGTTGCACATGCATTATCCCGCTCACAGCCGTGAGGTTTCCCCGCCGCATACCCACATTTCACCCAACGAGTATCTCCCGACTCCTCCTCTTGACACCATGGACTTATCGCCAGTGTCTTCTTTGTCTTCCCCAGCTGCAAACAATTCTTGGTTGGACCATCAGAATCTTCCTTCCGGGCTCAGAATATCCGAACATCATCTTCTTTCTTCCGCTTCTTCTTCACCGCCATCAAACTACGACGGGTCTCCTGGTCGAGGATCAGATAGAACAGGACTTGATACATCTCCTCCGTCCCTGCTTTCGGCGAATTCATCCTTTTCTTTTGGTATGCCTGCAGAACAGGCTGGACAGACACTGAAAGGTGGCGATTCACTTTTTTGGCATCACCTTATCCGCTATGGCGAGATTCCAGGCGTCTCTAATGATCCTCGCGCAAGGAAGGCCAATCCTGAGGACCTCCCACGCAAGTCGGCGATGTTTGGTCGATGAATTTCCCTGTCCTTTTATCCATAATATACGAAACCACTTCCGCGAGAAATTTTTCTCGACACGTCTGCACGAATATGACGCCGCGTATGATTTTCTTTTTCTGTTACTACTCTGCTATATGGACTTCATCCTCCTGGTTCTGGTTATCATTAGTGGCTATGCATTCAACGCTTCAAATGTTTATTACTTTTTATTCGCTGGTGTTTATCATTCACTGTACATTGTCCAACATTATATATATATATACCTCGTGGACTTTGCATTCCCCCTTCTCATGGTAGTAGTGAGTCAGTCACTTGTGGTACTTTTTCTCACTTTAGTCCCTCCCTCTTTTCATCTTCCTTTTCACCTAGTAGTCTTACCCTATCGATGTTGTATCCGCATTCACAAGTGATTAAAGTTTGTTCCTGTGTATCCGATAGAACATCAGAGTGATAGATAGATAGAACCTCTTCCTTCCTTCACATCAGGGGAAATGGAAAGATAAACCTTATCAGGATAAGCCTTGTATGCTTTATCTAAACTCCCCCAATGCATGGAAACTCTGAACCCGGCGATATGCTGTTGATTATAGTGTAGTTTAGAGCTGCAAAGGAAGCACTGATATAAATTCAGAAAATAATACTTTGGGTTTGCTTTGGGTATCTCCAGGTACCTCACTGCCAATTTTGGAAATTTAGGGGCCTCCACATGATCTTGGATGAGTCACAAGGCCGAAGGAGAGTCCCCGGGGCCGACCGGTCCCACTGCCAGTATATGTATTGCTCGGTCGAAACACTCTTTCTTCTCAACCACATCCATCGTCTCGAGAGCTGTTTACTTGTTTTATCTGTTGAATGTAAGTCCAAAAGTTTGATAGCAACAGTGACGCTGACCCAAACACTGTTACTCAGTCTAAGTGAGTAGTTGATAAGGTTGTCGCCATCGCGGATCTTAATGCGGTAACTGAAGGCTGAAGCAGCATGCAAATATTCGTCAAAACTCTTACTGGGAAGACTATTACCCTTGAGGTTGAATCTTCTGACACTATTGACAATGTCAAAGCCAAGATCCAAGACAAGGAAGGGTGAGTGGCCACAGTTCTTCTGCATGTGTATCAATGTATTCAAATTAAAGTTGTCATGAAGCATTCCTCCTGATCAACAGCGATTGATCTTTGCCGGAAAGCAACTCGAGGATGGTCGCACTCTTTCTGACTACAACATTCAGAAGGAATCTACTCTTCATCTTGTTCTTCGTCTTCGTGGTGGAATGCAGATCTTTGTCAAGACTTTGACCGGAAAGACCATCACCTTGGAGGTCGAGTCGTCTGATACCATTGACAATGTGAAGGCAAAGATCCAGGATAAGGAGGGTATCCCTCCTGACCAACAACGTCTTATCTTTGCTGGAAAGCAGCTAGAAGATGGCCGCACTCTTTCGGATTATAATATCCAAAAAGAATCGACTCTTCATCTTGTTCTCCGTCTTCGTGGTGGGATGCAGATCTTTGTGAAGACATTGACCGGAAAGACGATCACTCTTGAGGTCGAGTCTTCTGACACTATCGACAATGTCAAGGCAAAGATTCAGGACAAAGAAGGCATTCCTCCCGACCAACAGCGTCTGATCTTTGCCGGAAAGCAGTTGGAGGATGGTCGTACACTTTCTGACTATAACATTCAGAAAGAGTCTACCCTTCATCTTGGTGAGTCTTCTTTAGCAGTTTGGAAAGTATTCTGAAATTGTGTTCCTCTCCAGTCCTTCGTCTCCGTGGTGGCGACTTGTAACTTATGAAGATAGTCGTTCTTTAGGTTGTAGTGTATAGTTTGTAATCTGCGGACAATCGGAGCTGGTTATGAACTCAAGTCGTTTGATTCATGATGCCAATTCAACTGAGAGTGTTGGTGCAGTGCCATTTACCCTTCATTGCCACAACAATGAGTGACGACCTGATCGTAATTAGAGAACGCCATTCCCAATGCTGACGTTGACGTTGACGTTGAACGTTTCATGCTCAGCCTTGACTCCCTCATTGCTACACCGGGCCTCGGAAGATACTTATGTCAGCCGGTCACAACGTCACGTATACTATTCTCACTCGTTCACCCACTGCTTTCGCATTGCTTTCTCCGACCACCATCCTCTTCATCGTCTCAACGTCTCCTCGTGGCCTCACATGGCCCCAAACTCGTCTGTACACGCTTTGTCCCCACGAGAACCCTTGATATGGCGCCCTACGAAAATAATGAACATGCGCGACTTGTCCAAGGACGACGACTTTCTCAGTCATCTACTGGTCGAAAAGCTCGGAACCGGCTCTGTGCCCTTACTTGTTCACAAAATGGATAGCTCACGTAGGTTACCAAAAGTCTCCCCTCATGACCTAATAGAAATAGTTCGACGCGTATGTTTTGTTAAATCTCGTTCTTGCCTTTGCACATTCTGACGACCTTATCCTGTAGCTTGTCATGTTCAAAGGCCCTTTGCAGCATGCAGTGCGGAACGCTGTAGATGATCTTGTTTAGTACGCCTCCTTTTCTCGAGTTTTCTCGAAATTACTTGGGGTTAACGACCTTCTTCTTCTATCTGACTCAAATAGCCTGACACCAATTCGTTACTACCTTCAGAACTATACTCAGAAGCAAATCAACGCGTTCGCCACGTGTGTAATATCTTCTATCCCAATCCTCGTCACTCACTCGATGTTTTCAGTCATGCCTCTCGCTACTTCGAGCTCTATCATCCCTCGGGTTCTATCGAGATTTCACATACGTCGCGTTATTCACATCGTACGGGAAAGTCGGAATTGTGCATTCTTGCAACACGCAATCTTGCACCGGGCTCCGTTATTACGGAGCTGAAAGGGTCAATGGCGAACTTGACGGACGAAGAGGATCGTGAACTAAAACGTACCGACCTCAGGAACTCGGATATTCGACGGGATTTCAGTGTCATACACTCCAAATCTATGAAGAAAAATCATCTCTTCTTAGGACCTGCCCGATTTGTAAATGTGAGCGCTGAAGACACTCTTCACGATCACGGTCTCCTGACCATTTATATTCAAGCACGACTGTGACAATAATTGCGAACTATTTCGGGAAGGAAGATATATCACGTTCAGAGTGCTCAGACCAATATCTATTGGAGAAGAGATCACTGCGCATTATGGGGACTGCTATTGTATGTCTTGATCTGTGATTTGTTGCTCATATTTTGATTGCCTTGGTCATGCAGTTGGTCGCAAGAATCGCCATTGCCTGTGCGAGACGTGCGAGAAGAAGGGCAGGGGTGGTTACGCTCCTGATCACACGGACGATGATATCCCATCAGATTCAGCTTTTTCAGATTCAGATTCAGATGGGACATCTTCTGAGTCTGACGCCACATCTAGTGGACAGGAGGATGGCGCCGTTAAACGTCAAGTAAATCTGAACGAAAGGCGCACACGCCGCGGTGTGTACGCTGTTGTCACCAAAGAGGAGGACCATTCCGATGAAAGTGATGATGAGGATGGGAGCGTTAGGCCTCTAGCAGGCGCATCGGATATCCCTTCACCCGGTGAGATGGAAATGGCGGAATCAACTTCAGATCTCACGTCAATACCGTCATCGCGAGCAGTCTCCAACTGCAACCAAGCAGGACCTTCGTGCTTATCCTCCTCCACTTCCGAGTTAACTCCGATTTCCCGCTCAACCTCGTCTTTGAGTTCTCTGTCTTCCTCTGAAGGAACATCATCCACTCACAAAAGCTCATCCTATCAGTCCATCATTGCTACACGACGCCAGAAAGCCCAGGCAGAAGCTGCTGCCCTTGTGAACGCCTCTGCAACCCTGCCGGAAGATTCGCTGTTTTCCGTCTCTTCTTTGCGACATTTAACACAGGCCTCTCTGTCAGTAACACCGAGCAAGGGCAAAGCAAAGCAAAAGGAGCAGATCCGTGCTTCCTCAACTCCGATGCGGCCCGACAATCTTCAAGCTACTGAAAGTGGTAAAATGAAGGATGAAGATCCGCGGATACTAAGACCTCGACCATCAGCCAGTGTTACTACGTCTGAGGCTGCCAAAGAAATAAATTCGAAGACAGAAATTCCTCGCGGACCAGATGGAAAACCTCTCCCCATCTGTGCCACATGTCGCAATATTCTACCGGTCATTTCAGTAGACCATCAGATCGTATGGGGCCTGGGATTGGAAAAAGATTCTAAAAAGAAGAAAGCGAAGCAGGATTGTCCAAGGTGAGTTCTGGTAGAATCTTGTAATACAGAGGCATATGTATAACGCACATGTTTCTAGGTGCATGCGCCACTACGCTATCTATGGCGAACTTTGGCCTCGACGCGTTCCCCTGCCTGGGTGCACCTCGACTTTTAATACAACGCCACGTGAAGAGACGACACCCATAGAATTTGCTCGCAAAGTGACACACAAAGTGTTACCTGTGTTGGATCGTAAAATTGCGGCGGTCGCTTCGTCCAAACGGAAACGGTCTTCTGAAGGCCCTGTAGCCGAGGAGGAAAATGAACATTTTGCAAAGAAACTCAAGACTTCGGTCGACCGCACAGTACCAAAGAAGCGAATTCCGATCCCGCTGCCTGAAGGTCAAAAGAGGAAACGTGGACGACCGCGTCTAATGTCTGTTCCTGTGACGGTCCCGGCCCTCCCACCGATTGTGAAAATGGAAGACACTGAGGAGCCGCTCCATCCTAACGGCTTCAAATCGCAGGGTCGGAGAATGAACGGACGCTTTGAAAGAAAACTTTCATCGTCAAGTCCTCAAAAAGGCTACGATCTTGACAAAAGTCCCAAAAATGCCCTTGCCGGTCGTGCTCAACGAGCTCTCGAAAGGGAAAAAGCAAAGGAAATCGTAGAACGAGAATTGCTAGTGAAGAGAGGATTGAGCGATGGTGAAATCGAGCGGATCACGAAGAAGGGGAAATGGGACGGTAGCAATCCGCACGACAAGGAGCCACCTCTCAAGAAAGTTTTCCCTAAAAGGTCAACCTCTTTCCGTAGCGGCAATCTATTTTCGAGGCCGAACCCGATGAGTTTCGCTGCTCGAGCGTGGGCAAACCCTCTTGTTTCTGACGATGCTTCGTCTGAAGATGAAAAGGGTCCTGATACTCCGGAAGATTCACTATCTCCTCCTGCAATTGTAGAAGTGGAATTGGAGGACTGGGATCGAGGTCCATCCCTCATAGTCACCGCCCCAGCGGTGCCTCCCGCTTATAAGCCATCACCATTCAGTTTCGCACGCCGTCGTTGGTCTTCATTATCTGCTTCACCCATTGAAGAACCAAAGAAATCAACTAGTGAGTTAAGGCCGAATGCGGACGCGCGGCCTCCTTTGAACATGGAGCGAATCCTTGGCCACAACTCATCCAGCATGACAACGTCGTCGTATGAAAAATGGAACCCGAATCATGGCACATACTTATCGGAGGAAGAAGTACGTTCTCATTTTCCAACTACGGGTTATAAGACCTCTATATTGATAAACAACTCTAGGATACCCCAAATCTCTTTACGATACGGGTCTCTCCGCTTCACGGGGGCGAGAGTAACACACGACCCTTGCTTCTCCAGCATACATATCCGTCAGATGTAGCTTATACTCAAGGACATGCCTTCACCCCCGATCTTTCCTCTGCACCTCCTACTTTTGTTGCGCCGACCTTCAACGACGCTGGTTGGGAATCCGACTTTTCGGATTCATAAATTATGTATTTGTTTTTATTGTCCTGCTCTGTGCTGTACGCAATCCTCTGCTTTTGATGACCCATCTGGACCTCGCATTATTGTATCCTTTATTTTACTGATTCGTACGAACCCGAACTTTTGATGCTGTTCGTATGTATAACTCAGGGAAAATCTGTATGCACTAGTTGTTACACTACATAATTGCCTTTATTCTTGCATTAATCTGGTGATTTGCAAAACCGAAAAGATGAATCTGACCCTTTGGCCTTACTTGGTTGTCCTTGAATTATGAACTAGACGTACCCGGTACGGGCATCACACAAAGGGTAGGAAGCCCAATTTAGGTATAGCAATTACTCCGGCTTCGGCATAACTGTACTCCCGGTCCACTTCTCCAGGTTTACTCTTACATTCCAAGCCAAGATTCTAACACAACCAGTATGCCTGAAACATCTAAGAAGACTATATATGACAACACCCGGCAAAAGGCTGCCTCTCAGGATGAATTCCTAAAGTCGTCTTTAGCACGAATCCAACAAGTACAAATGCACCTAGATTCAACTCCTAGAGGTATCCGGATGAAAGGGAAAGTCTGCATAATCACTGGTGCTGGGTCACTGAAGGGGATCGGGTGTGTGAAGCATGCACATTGTGATTGCTATATGGAAAATTCACCACAATGGTTCTTCTATTACAGCCGCGCTACTGCGTTTTTATTTGCTCATGAAGGCAAGAACGTTCTTCACTGAAATGAGCTCCAGGATCTTGGCTGAAGATGGCTGAAGGCGCCGCACACCTTTATCTCAGCGATTATGACCCCACACACTTGCCTGATCTCCGAAATAATCTTCAAACTAAATATCCAGACACCAAGGTAGTGATGATATCCTATGGTCATTCCCTAATGTCAGTAATCTACTAATATAAAACCAGGTCACCACCGCTGCTTTCGATGCAGCTTCGGAAAAGGACGTTATCTCAGTTTGTGAACAGGCTTTTCAGGAGGAAGGACGTCTCGACGTATTTTTCGCAAATGCGGGATGGGCTAGTCGTGACACGCTATCCAATACTGATGCCAAAACTTTTATGGAAAGCATGCGCATCAATGCACTATCGTGATTAACTTATTCAGCTCCGTTCTTCAAAAACTCTAGTTCACATGTTATCGCAGATGTTTCCTAGCTATCAAATATGCTTCTCCGTGGATGGCCAAGACAAATGCTTCTCGAGGTAAGCAACTCAGTGGAGGAAGTATAATCCTGACAGCATCTAGTACGTGTTTGGAGTCTTCCTTTTAATATCCATAGCTCATGTTTTACTTCCGGCAGTCGCTGGTTTGCGCTCTGGTGCTGGCACTGTTGACTGTGAGCGTCATTTTGTTCCATTGTCGTACAACACAGTCTAATGCCTTCCCATAGACTCTGCGGCAAAGGCAGCAGTAAACTCAATGGCAAAGACTGGAGCTAATCAGTTGGCACGCACTGGCGTACGAGTAAACTCAATCTGCCCTGGACTTATTGAGACTGGAATGACGAGTGATACATTCGAGTACGCCAAAATGCGGGGAAGCCAAGGTAAAATCGGGCAATTGAATCCATTGGGAAGATGGGCTGTTTCTGAAGAAATTGGGCAAATGGCCCTGTTTTTGGCGAGCGGTGAGCTCCGGATTTTTCTCTGCAAGATTTTCGGGCACTCACGGCTTAATCTCCGTCCCCTATATAGATGATTCGAGCTACGTGAACGGGTAAGTGCTAGAATTTACTCAATTTGGTGTTTAAATTCTGTTTTTTATTTCTTCCATCTCGGTAGACAAAACATAGCCGTCGACGGCGGCCTGTCGTCGTCACATCCTGTTGTCCCAGGTCGATGGGCTTGATTGGTAGCTGGGAATTAACGAAGTGTAAAGGCATTCATGTAGTGAATAGTCGATGAGCAGGGCAGTTCTCACCAGTCCGATTTCCGATATGGCGTGGATAATATATGTCCCAAATCCGGTGTTTTTAAGTCCTGAGCCATTAACATCTTCACTTGAAATGGTTTCTGAAAGCTGCTCGTGTCTTTGCTGCACATCAACGTGTATCTCGGTGAGGTGGCATGGTGTATCAAGTTACTCCTCTGCTTCCATTTCAGCTTCACCTTGCTTGCTACTTTGCCACCCCGTCTTTACCAAGCGCCCGTGCATTTTTTCACAAGTTAGGCGCTTAAATGTTTTCATTTTCAGATCACTACCGTTACGTCTGTATTTCTTTTGTACTGTACATACTCAATGGCCTATTTCAACAGATCCAATTCTCTGTTTCTATAATATCCTTCTGTTGTTCCATCATCCGTCTTAGTACAGTATCCATGTGAAAACTGAAATCAAGCAAGTCCGCTAGTTAAAAGTCCAAACTCAAATTCATCAGTACAATTACAAGACGCGACAAGCCCACTCAATAAGGGCATGATTATATGGAAGGATAGTCAGTTCACACTGACAATTTTGCTTCGCCTAAACCTCACTCATCTTGGGCCATTGTCTCAGTCCTTCCATTCTCATTATATACTACATCAACATTGAGTCTAATGAGCCTCAATGCATGCTAATAGTACAGTAATGGGAAGGTAGTCCACAGACAAAGACTTGAGGTGAGTATCCTGATAGCCCATTGTCTGAAAGACGAGGGTCATTGTTCTCTGAATGCTAAAGTGCCCTTCTTTATAGCAGCACCAGGCTGATCATTTCTTATACGTTGAGACATTGCAATTGCCTTTCGGACCTATCGGTCGATATGTATACCTTCACTGACATCCTTCAGTAGTTACTGAACGCGTCATTAGCCACTAGATAGGGCGAAACCTTACACGAAAATCGCACGAAATTTGAACATGGAGCATATGCTGTCTTTAATGACACAAAGCCAGATTAAGTGACGGGCAGCGACGTTGTTGCGCTTATGGCAGTACTTTTAGAACCATGGACATGGATATGAGCATCCATTACTTGATCGAGACACATTTAACCTCTGAATTATACCAATCAGTTGTATATACATGAAAAACGAACATTGACACTGACCAAATGACAAAGTGGCGTTACCGGGAATTTGAGGGAGAGAACCTCTCTTTCCGTATGCGAGAGCAGGAGGAACTGTCAGTGTTCTCTCACCACCTACTTGCATGCCAACAATTCCCTGATCCCACCCTATATATCATATCGTAAAACATCGTATATCTCCGGGAAAATGATTATGCGTACCTTTTATCACCTCACCCTCACCGAGACGGAAAACGAACTGAAATATTGGTGAGTACAGTTTCAAAAAAAAAAAGAGGCAGAATATGATTACTGGGCTTCCTTTTGTGTTCTGGTCAAAAATCTTGCCATTCGCGAGTTTGCCGATGTAGCGCATGGATACCAGTTGACCGTTCTTAGCCATAGGTCCCGTTCCAATCGTGGCATCTTGGATCTTCAAACCAGACGGGAATTCTTTTTCCTTTGGCTTTGTCTTGTCCTTCTTCTCGTCTCCTTTCTTGCCATCCGTTTTCTTTTCCTCTCCTTTCTTCGCACTGGTCTTAGCGTCTGTTTTTTTCGTAGTGGCCTTTACATCTACTTTCTTCTCCTCTGTCTCCTTCCCTACTATCTTTTCTGCCACTCCCGGGGCAACAGCGGTACCATCTTGAAGCTTCTGTTTCTTGTTCTTCTTCTTTTCAGCTTTAGAAGGGTGCTTGGCGGTCTCACTGGATGCTAGAGAGTCGCGGCCACGTTTTGAACCCGTGGCTATTGCTTTCTCGTCATCTTCTAAATCACTGTGCCTCATGCATTAAAACGGAAACCTACACTGTAATGAGCTTCCGATACGCACCTGGCATCGCTATCCATATCCAGACCATCCGGTGGCATCTCAACGTCCGAGCTAACGTAACGAAGGTCGTGTACATCTTCGTCGTCATCATCTTCGTCGGAAAATCCAGGAAACCCAGATTCCTCGGGAGGTTCATTGACGGTCTGATCTTTTTCATGTATGGATAAGTTTTGACTTTTGTACGCGTTTTCTTTTGAGCAAGACTCACCGACATAATATCCACTTAAACAGATAGTGCTGTGGACAAAAAAAATTACGCGTTAAGAAGTAAAAAGATAGGATTATTAAACCAAATGTGTTACTTTTTCCCGACAACTTGGAATTTGTAAACTTGTTCATCGAGGAGAATGATGTCGACGTTGGCTTGCTCGATCTGTTTCGAATATTAGTCACTTAAAAGCCTGAAGGAAAAAGCATACTAACTTTACCGGCTGTCAATGAACATACGGTGACTACAGCGTTTTTTTCATCCTTGACCTTGTCTTCATCCTCATCCTCATCATCCTCTTCGTCCGAGTCCTCACCAATTAAGGGGAAGCCTAGCTTGAAGGAAGTTCTCTCATTTGTATCGACGAGAACATCACCCAGCGCGACGTTGGTGATTTTTATGTCCTGAGGAGGACATATCTCCACCGTCTTCCCACCTTCAAGCTCAATGCCCCTGGAAAAATGTGAGGGACCCGTTTACAGAGAGAGCGCGCCACGCACCAAACCCCGAGAGCGATAGACATAATGAATAATGAATGAACAAGAAAAAGACAAAAATTTGCGTATCTGTGTCTGTTTAAGGAAGCGATGTCCCACGGGGCTACTCAGCGCTAAAGCTTGTGCGCGGTAACAACCTTGCAGACTCAAATGGTGACTCTCATCGTCTGAAGTTAGAAGGCAGCTCATATTTCTTCTCTAGTCAAATGTACTTAGACCTTACCTTGCCGCTGTGAGATCTACCCTTACGGCGGCCTTAACATTGGAAAATTTCTCATCTCAGGTACGTCCTCTCTTACTATTAGATCCAACTATTCACTGTTCATATAGGTCGTGGAACGACACAACAAACCCGAAGTTGAGGCAGGGCAAGTATCCATTTCTCTCTCCAGCCTGATTTATCCGTCTGAAGGCGAACTTGTTCAGAGGATCCAAAGAAGTCTTACTCAATCCGTTGATTATCTCGCGTAACGAGAACGAACGCGTTCTCATCGAACCATCGATCAACTCAATCCGACTCAGCATCAAGATCAAGCAAGCAGACGAGATAGAGAGGATACTGTGCCACAAATTTACTCGATTCATGATGCAGAGAGCGGAAAGTTTTATTGTATTACGGCGTAAACCAGTTCCAGTGCGTCCACTTGCTTGTTACCACTGTATTCATCATATTATTAAAAATTATCGACAGGGATATGACATCTCTTTTTTGATCACAAACACTCATTCCGAGACGATGTTGAAACACAAAATTGTAGACTTCATTATCCAGTCAGTGCTTTCCATAGCCCTGCTTCCTTTTTCTCAACGCATTTCCAGGTTTATGGAAGAGGTGGACCGCGAAATTAGTGAGATGAAGCTCAGTCTAAATGCTCGCGCTCGTATTGTAGCAGAATCTTATCTCACAGCTGTACGTTTGAGTTTTGCACATAGCTGTCGAGGATTGACTAACACCTTCGAATAGATCAGCACCTGAAAACTGAAAGAATACCTCAAGCCCTCATGAAAAACACTTTGGATGATCCGCCGAATAGTATCGGCAGGGAAATAGGTGGTTAAGAAATATCAGTGTAGTGCCATCGATGATTATGTACATTAATGAACTTGAGGTAGGTAATTGATTACTAGGATTTACTGGTACGAGCATATCCATGTCCAAAATTAGCTTGATAATTAGGAGGTTGACGGTGGAGTGGGCAATGAAAAGCTTCTCGATGTTTCCTTCGATGAAGATCTGATCCGTCACGTTCAACTTCATATTCAGTGCGAAGCCGATCTTTGTGTAGCCTCTTGCTGTCTGACTCCAAAGAGCTGTATGAGATCTAGGTTCATCTAGGTTAACCTGTTAAGAACTCGTATGGAAAAAACATCCACCGACCTTGCAACCTTGCCTCGCGATGCTGTCGTTCAGTTTCCGTTCTCTTGACTCCTGAGAACGCCTAAAAAGTCATTCAAGTCAGACTGATAGGTCTCGGGTCCAAATCTATAAGTTGATCACCTCTTTGATGAGTATCTTCTTACGATCTTGGATTTCAAGAACCTAACAAAGGATGGTAAAAAAATGAACACCGGATGATCATGAATTTACCTTTGACTCAACCGTATCCTCGGCAATTAGCTGATAAACATGAACAGGCTTTGTTTGGCCAATACGATTAACCCTATCTATGGCTTGACTTTCGATGCCCTCCTGCCACCAGCTAAATTTGAAGGCAATGAATTAGTGGTTACTATCTTGATACAATGTCATTGGCACGTACGGATCCATCCTATGACAAAGATATGTCATTGAATATAAGTGTGAGCAAAAGAGATCCTTACAGATAAACATTATTCGCAACTGGTTCCATGATAAGCCTGTGGGGAATCTACCTCGGAACGCTGTTGGAAGCTCACCTGTGAGATTGAGTCCTAATGCTCCAGCTTTTAAGGAAATGAGCATGACTGGTGGATTGTTTTGGTTCTGGGTGTCTCCAAATGAAAAGTGGTCTTCGTTTTCACTATCTCCCTGTGTCCGCTTCGCTTTACCTTTACCTTTGCTCTTCCAGGTAGCCGCAGCTGTAACTTCGTCGTCATCTGAATAATTATTGTCCGCAGAAGGCATCACGAAATCTTCGTCGTCATCATCCTCCGTAGGATCGACATTGTAGGATGCATTACGCGAGGCTCGACGCGACCGCGATGCAACGGCTGAGGTAGATATTTCTTGCGGTACCTGTACGGTTGGGATACTTTCCAAAGGAACCGAAAAACGAGCAATGGCATCTGCCCTGCGCTTTGCAGACATTTGCCCATCGAACCGGACGTAAGTGATCCTGAAAGCAAGATGTTAGCGAGACCGAATGACCACAGCTAATCAGCATACCCTCGTTCTTCAAATGCTTCAGCGATCTAGACGTGGTCAACATTGTGAGGTAGGGAACATTGAAAAGCATTGACATACTTTGTCAAGAAAGCTCTACAGTACAGATAAGTAAAGATGATTAACGGATAGATGGAGCGACCTACTGTGAATTGAGAAAAGACAATGGATTTTTCCCCATTCGGTGTCAGCTTGAGAAGTTGTACCAATTGCTCGATTTTAGCAGAAGGCGCGTTGCGGATTCCCTCTTCGATTTCATCACCTTGAGAGCGGAAGGAAGGTTGTGTCATGTCCATCGGAGGTAATGGATCGTGAAGATCTTTGAGGCTCAGAGCACGGCGATCCTGGATAGTAGGGCATTTAGTTCAAGTATATTTATGAGTGTGATAATTCATACCATGGGACATTTTGAATCTCGAGTAATAGCTTCTTTGATACTAAACATCGCGTCAAACGAACGAGCACAGTTTTACGAGAGGAACAAAATACCAAGGGAAACAGAAAACGTGGGCGCAACTAGTGATCTTTATTTCGGCCTCAACAGGCACCGAGAAACAGATTGGGCACTCCTCGCATTCCTCAATAGCTTGAGAAAGGCGAGCTTGCAGTCGCTGTTTCAATTCAGGGGTGAGATCAATATTGTTGGATTTTCCAACATCGATCTGCTTCAACTGTTCCAAGTAATCACGAGGCAACAGCGCAGGATGTAAGGCAAGTTGGCGCATACGAGTCAGCATGCTCAAAGCATTGGACTGCATCTATCGAAACGTTGCATCAAAAACGGGGTGTTGATCAAGCGCAACATACCACAGCATGAGAGTCTCCGTGCATCAAAGCTTCGAATTTCTGCCCTGACAAGCGTTCGACTTCTTCATACAAGCTCTGTAAGAATGGTCATGGCTGATGTGACTGGACTATGCAAGTAGACCTTACTCTTGCTTCATCACTCAGTGTGACAGGAATTTTGATAATTTCGACCTATGCCTGAAATCAACTACAGTACAACTCTGTAAACAAATTTTACACATACCGGAGGCAAAGGTACCAACGGATTTCCTGCGCCGTCTTGCATCTGCAAATCTATTTGAATTTTCGTGCCCTGGTTTACGACTGTTTTTTATACCTCTTTCGTGCGTCTTAGGCAGACGTGGCTCATGAGAGCCTGCAAACAAGGTTCGTGAATACTTCCATGAGCAGCGATAGCACGTACTCTTAAAAGTCCTGCGCCAGATGGGATCCCGTCTTTCAAAGGTCTTAAGAGAAGCCGTTTGAAAAAATCTGCATTGTCAAGCGGACGGCAAATTCGAAGAAAGGTCAGCAAAGAGCCCAGGTCCTGGTGACTGTTGTAAGTGCGTGAACAAGAGGAATGAAGGTCAAATATTACTCTCGGTGAATTGATCTATGAAAATGAATGAGTGGGAAAAAAGTCAAACAAACATCAAAGGGACATACAATGGGAGTTCCAGTGAGCACCCAGCGCCTATCAGCTTCAAGTGCACACACCGCTTGACTCATTTTGGCCTTTGGGTTCCGAATTGAGTGACCTTCATCAAGGATGACACGCTGCAAATAGACCTAAGCCCGATTACAGAGACGTTTAGCAGAGAGTCCACCTTCCATCTAACCCCAAACAACGCCTTTTCTGCCTTCTTTTTCTTGTTGGCAGGTTGAGTTCTAGGATGATCGTGCTCACCGGCCACGGTTTGATATGTAGTGAAAACGACATCATGACTCGCGAGAGCTTGAGCACCCAGCTGCGCACGCTGGGCGCCGTAGTAGCTACAATATGTCAAAGTGCCCTCAACACAGTGATCTTGAATTTGCTTCTCCCAGTTGGACAGGACGGATAAAGGAACAACGACTAAGGTGGCATTGGAGAAATTCTTGGGGACATCGGGCTTGGTAGCAATGATCAACGAAATCATTGTTAATGTTTTTCCCTGGGGAGTAAAAGTTAAGAGACCACGATTTGTCCAAGTCGATAGGTGACATACAAGGCCCTGAAAGTTTGTGTTAGACCAGTTTGAGAGCTACAAAGGGGACCTACCATGGCATCAGCAAAGAGAGCACCTTTGCCAAGAGTAGGAGGAGCCTCTTGTGGCGTATTCGTGGCAACTGTTGGCACAGTTTCACAAAGACCTTGCCAACAAGCGAGAAATTACTAGGGCGTACGATTCATGTAGAAAGTCTTGGTTCCATTCCTTCTGAGTTGCCAGAACTGGACGGGTCTATCACCTTCCTTCTTCGGTAGTGCGGGATACTCGTGCTCTAGACACCATTTAATGGCTTGTTTCTGAATGAGAAAAAATCAGCATGGTCATGAGGAAAACATGAAGAAAGGGAACCTGGTGCTTGAGAAGATTGACTTTCAGCTGTCCGGTAGCAACACCGGGTGATTTGTCATACACAGGCAAAGACAGTATGTCCTCGTTGGTGCATAGGGTGTCAAGAAGGGAAGAGCGGCGGCTTTGGTCATTGACTTTTTCCATGGTATTAAGCATATCCCGCAGTTCCGCAGCTCTTCTGATACCCTCTTGTTGTTTCTTTAATTGTTCAAGCTGAGTAGCGGTCGGAAGACGCTGAGAAGAACTTGAGGCTGTAGGGGTATGGATAGAGGCTGAAGGGGGATGAGCCGGAGCTGGGGTCCGACTGCCAGTCCGCTGCGCTGCTGTTCGAGTGGTTCGAAATCCTCGTTGACCCGGGGTTGCCCAAACTAAACGAGGCTGTAGTTGCACGACTTTGTCCGAGGGGCCATACATTTTGAGGGTTCTATCAGGGATGAATTCAAGGGCATGGAAAACGAGGGGAACTACAGCATACATCTCTAGATTGTACCCACGAAAGCCCGACACTAGTCATCTTCAGCTCTCGCATACCATGGAGACACGAAAAACATACAATTTCCGTCATGAATCACACCTTCGACAGTGATTGCTCGACTGTCCATGAGTGGCGCGAGTTTTGAGGCGACAGTACGCGATAGATGACCAACTTGAGTATGGCCTACATAGTATACTAATTAGCGTCTTTCTGCTCTGACTATGGGGACTATACCTATGTTGTCTACTCTGATCGCATTCCTGGAAATAATCTAATTATCTGTTTACGATAACGTAGTCGGAATACGGTTTACCTGTCATAGCGATTGCTTGGCTCCCGCTGAGAAACAATTCATAAATTGATAGAACGAAATCTCAAAAATCACGTACCACTAGGATTACTTCTTCCCCAGGTCCGACGAGTCCTAAAATAGGGGTTGAGAAATTGAGAGATTTGGAGTTAAAAGGCTTCACACCTTTGTAGTACTGAATCCCAACCACTTGGGTATTCAGTGAGACTATCAATTCGTCTAGAACTTCTTCTTCCATTGGTTCATCTTCCCCTGCGTCTATTTCCGCCCTTTGAGATGAACTCGTAGTCGTTGTTACATTGGAACTAGACTCCTTTCTTTTCTTGGGGTTGGCAACGGTCAATTTCTGCGTGGAAGCTAATGCAGGCGGTGGAGGTATGATAGGTCGAGCGCTGACAGGAATATCTGTGACAGCAACGCGTCTGGTTGCCAAAGCGGTACGTATTTTTTGTTGGTCGGCACGTCTGCGAAATGAATGTGTCAATGAAAAATTCACTGTAGCATTTGGAATACTCCATACGTGAGTTGATAAAACCCGGAAACATTTTCAATGACGGCTGCAAGCTCTTGTAGAATATGGGGCGTCACACATCCCCTGAAGCAAAAATTAGAGATATGACCCCTTGCCGGAAATTTTACTCTAATTCACCAATGCCGCCATTCAACTTCTTCTGATTGGGTCACACTGTCACGAGTAATTCTTCCGTATCTTAGAGAGCCGGGAGTCATAGGCAAGCCCTATGAAAGCAGGTTCGATTAACAGACAGCTGGTTGTAGCTGTTATTGCAACAGTCTTCACCTTGCATATAGGACCATGGCATTTTGCTCGAGTGCTTTTGCTGTACTGGTTGAAGAAAAGCAATGTCCTCGTTAACGCTTGTACATTTATGCACGGGAATAGTTTACCTCAATCCTATGAAGCGATGCCATTATAACTTTAAGACTCCTGGGTCGTTCAGTAATGAAGTTCCAGCGCGCTCCCCATCGCTGATCACGTTTACAAATTTGACGCGAGACACCACGTGGCTTCATTACTTTAGAATTCCGGAGGCTTGACCACTCGCCGCCTCCAGCTTGCCATATTCTCTGTCCAATATGTCAGATGTCGAAATGGAGTATGCGAGTGGCGCGTTTCTATGCTCTTCGTGTACCTACTTGATCTCATAGTCTTCCTAGAACTTCCCTATGATCCTGATCAAGATGCAGGGGAGAAACGCGCTGTGCGAAGGGAATATCGTGCAATCCACAAGGATATGGAAGGTGAAAGACCTTCTGTGCATATCCACGCAAACTCAGGGCTCACGTACCTGTCATCCAGATTTTCAACACAACATCAAAGACTGCACCGTCGACAATCTCGCAGATGCTGCAAAGCGCGCCGACAAAGTCTTCTATAAGGGTAATAAAATCTCCTCAGCTGGTATACTCTGCCCTGATATAGCATTTAGTCAAGAACACGACAGAAGCGACACTGGATTCATCGGTCCTTCTACAATTGACTGCCTCGCATGCACAAATGGCTCGAAGTTTGAAGTCAGGCTCTGGTGCATTCGATATTGACGACTATCTCGCGAAGCTCGTTAGCTTCATGGGAGGTCACAAACTAGACAATCAGAATCCTGATGATCCTGATGCAGACGACGCGTTACTCGATGCACCATTAGATTGGGACAAAATCGGGCGAACAACGCTTGCTAAGAGCAAAAGAGTGCCTGTTGTGGGTTTCATGTAAGTTACCATTTTGAACGTTCTGCAATAAGTTTAAGATATCAATCAACGAGCCACAGGTTAGGACCTCTCTCGATTGAACAGAAGAAACGTGCTCCAGTCAAGCGTGCCAAACTGGAGAAAAACAAGGCTGACGAAAGGAAACCGCAAGAACTGAAGGAGGAGGATATAGCACGATCTGTTAACGAAACAACGAAGAATGTCGCAACAGTAGGCCCACTTCCCTTTATTTCTTGGCCCATGCATTGTCCCACATAATTGCACCAGCTCGAATCAATATTGGCAGAAACAGGTGCTATCAACCTGTTCAGGTTCGTCGTCAACCCCAAAAGCTTTGCCCAGTCCGTAGAGAATATGTTCTATCTATCATTCCTTATACGTGATGGAAAAGTCGCTCTTGACACAGATGAACAGGGCGAACCAACCATCTGTATGTCCTTTTCAACCGATCTTTTAGCTGTACTCAATATTCTGCTCCTGTTCCTGTCCAGTTGGTTGCGCTCAGCCTTCGGATGAAGACTACGCTGATGGGTTGCGTAAACGCCAGATCGTCTTTGAACTTGATATGGCTACCTGGAAGGTACAAGCTGGTTTTTTAAATTGTACAACTTCTTATCGCATCTTGTCCCAGCGTGCCATAGATGTTTTCGAAATTACAGAGCCGACTATACCTACTCGAGAATCATCCAAAATGAAGATTGGGAATAAATGGTATGGTTAATAACGAAGGTGTACTGGCCTTAACATATAGAATATTCTACATAAAATAGTCATCGATTGAGTCTAATTTCTGTTACAGCAGATTGCAAAACCAGAGGCGGGTAGGGAAAAATACTGAACTGGGGGCCGGCAATGGCAGACCTGCCAGCTCCACAACTCCTTCCACCTTGATCTTATACTATATAACATATGTACTTGTTCGTATTCCCATTTTTGTTTGTCTAGCAAGCTCCTGCAATCTCTGCCTGACTGATACCATGGCGGCAAATGCTAAAAACAAGGCCTTTCTTCTCGGGTTGATACATCTGCAAAACCTGGATTTTCGGCTGGGAACTGAGAGCAACTCAGAGCATATCCCAGCACTGAAAGCACTGAAAGCAGTTCGCTCTGGGTGCTTTTGGTGCTGGGAGCTGCTCTCTGCTACTTTTGGACCCTTAGCTGAAAATTCATGTTTTGCAGATGTATATTGATAGTTATTTGAGCACATTATCAAGTTCTTTCATGTCGTCGAGACTCGAAGCTACATATACAGTACATACATATGTATGCATGTATGTAGCGTCATTTACCTCATGCCGAGTGTCATTTCTCCGGGATAAGTACAGCTAGCGGACGGAGGCTTGCAGTGCCAGTGACCTTGCCGTATTCTCGGCTAAGGCCGGCATCAGCTCATCTGGACCCGCTTCAGCCTTCCGGTTGTGCAATTCGCCACCGCCGTCAGTTTTATTTGATTCAAAAAACGCTTCATTGCTCAGCCTGTAAGTACACCCCCAACGCTTTAGCTTATTCATCGTCATCACGTGTCCTCGTAATCAGGATTCGGGACCAGGTACACGCGTTATTTTGAACTTTTTGTTCCTTGTTCATCGTGCCATTTGTGTCAACAAATTTTGTCGAAAAGACTGCCATTACAGGTACTTCAATGTGCGGGTCCTCCGAAGGTTAATATTTACCCAAGGGTGTCCTGGATTACCACTTACTCCAGCCGGAGGGCCTCCTGAAGGTCTCTGAAGTACAGAAGAAGCATTCGGAACACTGAATGTCTTGCTTTCGAGATATATCCTATTGTGAGTGTTGAAGAGCCATGAAACAGTGTAAAAAGCCCCGATTGGCTTTAAATGATCATATATATTGAGGGAAAGGGCCAGAAGAGCTATGCCTAGCCTATGCACATACATCGGGAGACTTGTAGCTGTCACAATCCATAATATAAGTCGGGGACATGCCGTGCCTGCATGGCGTTACAAATCCAGTTGTAAGTATCGACGTCGCAAGAAATGTTTGACATTTTTTGATCCCTACACTCATTGCGTTGCATGCTGGGCCAAATGGCACCGAGTCCATCCTACTCCGTTTTCTGGAGTTTTTTCTCCTCTAGGCACTTTCTCGCTCGGATTGTGTCTACTCTGCTATGCTCCATCCTTATCGTTATACAACCTTTCTCCAAGTACGGCGGTAGCCTCGCGTTTTTAGCGCTGACAATCAAGGAGCTCAATTTTGCACCTCAAGATAATCTGGCACATCAATTGGAGGGCCTGGTTCTAAACCTGTTTGGTGGTTTAACTGGGATTGGGATCTCGTTATTAGGAAACTATATCGCAAGCTTAACAGGTGATACCGCACTTGCTCGAACTATCCCCGCAGTTTTTCTTGCTTTCATCTGCTTTTTGAGTGCGTTTGGACAAATCTCAGAATATTTTGTACACTATTAACTGTTCATGACTTTAGTGGGTTGGTTGAAGAGTGCTCTTCCTCGTCTCACCATGTCTTCACGACTGGTGTGCTTCATTTCGATTTGGATGTTCACCCAAGATCCCGGGGCGAAGAGTGAATCTTCGTTGATGGCTCTTTACTGCGTCTGGCTGGTGCTAACAGCCGCTTTCACTTCCTTCTGTTCATGTTTGATCTTCCTTCGTTGGTCGACAGCACATTTTGCCCAGGATATCGCATCCGCGCTTTCTAGTCTCCATCATTGCCTCGAGTCAAATTTACAGTCACCATTCCAATTCAATCCTGATACTCCTGCCGCTTCCAGTGCGACACTTACTAGCTTGCGCGCGAAAGCTGTAGCACTCAGTTCAAGTTATCAGCAAGCCTCTTTCGAGCTTCGCTTCGGTCGCATCGGAGGTAAGTTTTAGATACGAGATCGCAAGGAATAACTTTAGTTCATTCAATTACGACAGTCAAATCAATCAAACCCCTCATTTCTATTGTGGAGGTAGGTAAAAAATGATGGAAATGCACCTTCGGAATGATCTTCAAGTTGTTTCCTAGCATCTTCGTCGTGAAATATCCTGGGGAATGTCATTTCCACAGGCTGAAGTACACTATTCGCCTTCCGACGCATTCGAGGGCACAGTAATAGGCTTCTTCCGTCAACCAGCCACGGACTTGGGTCATGCCATCCTTGACTCTATATCGCTTGTTCGGTCCGTTGTACTCAAATGCTACGACGCTCCTGCGCCTGTCGCGATGCTCGATGACTCCACAATAAATCTTGCAAAGGACCAGTTGACTGAGTCAGTCCAAAGGGCTAGGGCTGAGCTCGAAAAGTTTTGTGATGATTTGGACAAGGAACGACGCATATCATCAGACGAAAGTTCAGATCTGCCTCCAAGGGCGTTTAATTTGTGTCTGTTCATGATATCTCTACTGCAGGTGGATATGATATTTTTCGATGCAACTTTGAGTTCTGAATGTCTTTCAGATGGCGGAAGAAGCTGAACGAGCTCTCAATGTCGCACATGTGATTCTACATTCTTATCAGACTTCTTCGGTGCGCCTTTGGCATCCCCGACTTTCCTTGGCCTGGTTTGGTGTTGCTCCCAGTACAATTTTGCTGGAGGAAACCGAAACTCTCCCCGAAAATCTCTTCGCACTTCAAGACCTAAATAATGCAGTAGATCCTTCATACAGACCCTCAGAAGAAATTCTACAAGAAATATCATTGGGTCGTAAACTCCAGCGAAACGACATCGAAGATCCGGGTACGAAAACGAAAGGCGTCGTTCGTATGCTCTATCGGTTCAGGTTCAATAAGATCATATGGTCTCTATGGAATCATCCGATAATCCTACAGGCACGATTGAAGCTACATGAGCTGGTCATGTCATTCAAAAAATCATCTCGCATAGATATCAAACACGCCTTCAAGAATGCATTGGGTGTGTCAATGTTAGCCATTCCTGCATTCTTACCTGCAAGCTCCGCTGGTCAGTAAACAAACGATTCACGGTTCATTCTTTGACGCACGCACAGGACGACAATGGTTCATCTTTTATCGAGGGCAATGGATGCTGATTACATACATATGGGTTCTTGAAACGAACACAGGTGCAACTGTGAGTCCTTGCCCGCCTGCCAATGCAGATGACATCTTGAAAGGGCCCATTTCCAGTTGCGTGTTGGCTACCTGCGAATAGTAAATACTTCGATTACTATCAGACCCCGCTGTTTCGATCTTCTTACGCTGCTACATATTAGGCTGGGACAATTCTTGGGGCGCTTTATGGCTATATTGTGCGTCAAAGAATTTTTCTCGATTTGAATACTGTTTTTCAGCACTTGTGTAGGCTTCCTTGATAAGTCAAAACAATCCTTACGCTCTTGTAGCCCTTGTTACGGTTTGTCTTCTCTTCTTTTCGTCTTTGGATCTTTTATTCCATGCGTTTTACTCAGTTTGCCGAGATCCCTATCAGCGCCGCCATCATGCGCACTTCTTTCCCTTCAGTAGGAGTTGTTGCGTAAGTCGGTCCACTTGAGTTATCTCGTGTTATGAAAAAAGTTCAATGTCCATTGACAGCAACATAACACTCCCTCCCATCCTATTCTCCAACTACATCACTGGGATGGATTTTGCTACAGGCGGTGGGTTGTTAATGTTGAAGGATATCGTTGGTTTCCTAATTTGACGCGCGCAGAACTGGCGACAATACGGGGGATGATGATATGTGCCGGTATAGCTGGTGCTGTCGTCGTGAACGGGTTTGTCTTTCCTCGACACGCAAGAGTACGGTCCTCAAGGTTCGATAATTGACTGCATGAATTCACCCTGGATATTATACATAGGTCATATTCCTGGATGGTATTAGTCAAATTTTAGAATCTCTTACCAAGCTTTACATGGGTTTGAGTCGGTAAGTCGGGGCGTTTTGTCTATACTCACTGAGACAACTTATATTGCCTCGTACTTACTCCAGTGATTTGTTGCAAACTTTTGGATCTCAAGGACGGAGTAAACAAAAAACAATGAAGTCGGAATTGCGTATTCGCAATGCTCTTCAGAGTGCGCTAACTTAGTCTTTCCACATGATAGTAAGACTGACTGCATCACAACATAGGAATGTCAAACCTGATAACTTCCATGGGAGATGAACTCAGTTTAGTTCCTGTGAGAGATTTTGCATGGTATCGATGGCTTGGCTTCCTCAACTATGACTTTCAGATCCCAATGAAGAAATATCGTCATCTTGTGAGGACTCTTCAAAAGCTTCTAGATTTGTTTACCGGCCTACGAAAAATTCGTGAAAATATCCCTCGAAGAGAAACAGTGATCGAAGTAGCGGAAGAGCGCCGCGAGCTAATATCCTGCATCTGCGTATCTCTTTTCGCTTGCGAGCAGGTGTTTTTGGCCCGGCACACATTACCACAATTTCTTCCCTCCTACCGACAAGCTTTGGAAAATCTAAAGCAATCCATTGACCTGCATATTAGGAACACTCGCGAAAAGTTACACGGTCCTATGGGCCTGTCGTTAATATACGCGCTAGCGGAAACAAACATTTTGACGGATATAGTGGAGACAATCGACGAATTATTGGAGCTTAGCAGGCAACTGTTTGGTACTGCGGCTTGGTTCGATGGGCCACTGGATGTAAACACTACAAGGAGCCTTAATGAGCAAATAGCATTGTTTTAATCAATCTCGAAGTATATGTAACTCCCAGACCGCCGTATCTTGATTTTACTAACACTCATGCGCATTAATCACCCTTTCACCTATAGATGCCCGGTCAACTGGACTATAAGTTATCAAGAATGAGGGAACAAAATGGTGTGCCGAAATAGATTGAAGACGAGTGCTCAAGTAATAAAGACTGATTGTGAAATAGAGATAACAGATCTTAAATTAATGAATTCTGTGTGTGGATCCGACGTTCTCCCAATTTCCAATCTTTGCTAGAGGCTGGCAAGAAGTTGTGTTAAATGTAAAGGAAGACATATCCGGATGAACGTCCTTCAATGCAGAAGGAAAACAGGGAGGAGCTATTCAAATAGTGGTTATTCCCAGAATGTGCGTCGTAGTAACTTGGGGAGATCAGTGAGTTCGAAAGTCATCAACAAGTTACAACAAAAGCAAAACCTACATGATCATGTGCCTCCTCGAATGTAAGGAGATTCATATGCTCAGGAACGCCCTGGGGATTCTTTGTAAGAAGCCCGTTAAATAAAATATCATGATGTCTGCGAAAACGGACACACCAGTGAAGACTCGTCAATTTCACGCAAGTGAATTTTGAAATCTAGGGGTATCTGGGAGGGTAGGATCACGACATGAATAGGAGGGATATACGGCCTTTGCCAACCAACTCTTCGAACGAGTTCCTGTGATTGCACATGAGAATTGGCTCAGTGTCAAAATTTGAGGAGACGTACTGAAGCAACATAAAGGGCAATTCTGATATTTTGTCTTTGGGTGCGGGCTTCGCTGCCTACAATGATGAAATACTCCCAAACACAATCGACTAGATGGACCATTGTTGATATATTTTGCAAGAAATCCACAGGCTTGACCTGTCTTCGAATGAAAAACGGAAATTTGGAAGGCCACACAGAATACCATACCGTTTGCTCTGAAACTTCCAACACCCGGGGGTTGATATCAGCAGCCGAGGGACGCCACTGCCAGTAATTAGCATTTGCAAAGGCCTCTTCCCCAAGAATCATCCAGAACATTTCGTCTCCGTCATTCTGGCCTTCTTGAAGTTCAACGATATTTTCACCAAGCGAGCGGCCATAAGCTAATGCGGCCTTGCGTTCAGACGCAACAGATCCGCGACCATACCAAACGTATATCGTTTCAAGGACTGTGAGACAATAACTGAAGCCCGAGCAGAGGTTTCGGATAGTCTTAGGTCCTTTCAGTGAAGAGCCAAAGGGAAAATAGGAACAGCTCTATATACATACAAGGTCGAGTTCGTCGATGAAGATGACACCCCTCCTAGAGCGAGTGACGTGCATCGCAGTGTTATCGGCAGACCAGTGCGCGCGCTTGCCCTAGCCCGGTACAAATATGAGCATACCTCTGCAATTTAACAACAGAGGAGATGCAAACCTGTCTCACAGCCAAATGATTCCCTAGTACCAGAAGCATCTCTGAAGGCTCGGTATATTGTTTGACAAGGATCTGGGATGCCAATAAGCTCAAACCATACACCAAAACAACCAGTGACTCACCACGTTTGTCCCATAACGTTTAGAAAGTTCTTCCAACTTGTTTTGTTCTAGGTCACCAGCCTCGCAATTCTTTCCAAGCCAACCCCAGATTGTGGTAGAAACCAACCCACTCGACTTGGATTTTGAGCGATGCACAATGGCTAAAACTTCAGCGTCATAAAAAATATCAGTCTCCCGAGAAAGAACGGCTGCGTTGTTGCCAGAAATAATCATCACTTCCACGGATACTGTGGCAAGGTCGCTGTTTGATTCGGAAAGCTGGTGTGATTTTAACAAGGCGTCGATGTCAATACTGGGTAAAGGCGGATCATCGTGATCTATGAGATGGTCAGATTTACATCATATGTTCGGGTAGCGAACTTACTTATGTGAACTACGTCAGAGTTCGTGGCCGCTGTCTGTTCTATTTGATTCAATGTTCCTTGTAAGACTTGGTCTATTGAACTTGGTATTGTATGTTCGGCAGCCGGGGAGGAACCTCGAGCAACAGTACTCACAGGCGTCGGAGTAGGTGTCACTTCCTCGCGTAGAGGAGGCAAGACGATGGCGGAATACTTTTCCTGGTAGCTGGAACGACGCCTTTCTGATAATGCAGGCGGATTGATGTTTTGGCGGAAATTGGGGTTCAACGGCGGTAGCGATGCAGGCGCTTCGATAACTTCTGGGGAAGCCTTTTCGGGTTCCGTTTGTTTTTGGGGTTCCGTAAAAGCTTGAGCAACATCCATAACAGTCGCTCTGTTTCCAGTGCTCGGAATGCGAGAGTGTCGGCTGGGGGTCGTGGGTCTTGTCGGTTCAGATGGATATTTGGAAGCTAGACTGGGTGATACAGGGCTCTTCTCAGATGACTCTGTACGAGGAATTGAGAAAGGCTTGATGGGAGAAGGTGGACCACCAGGTAGCTTACTAGGCAAAATAGTAGGTGTAGCTGCTAGTCCCGGAAGAGCTCTTCGCCCAACCATACCGCTGATCTTGGGAATCTCAGATTCTGTGGACGGCGAACGTGATGCTACAGGCCGCACCCCAATGATTGCCTGCTCAGCCCAACGATCTGCAACTCTCCCAAGTTTTCCTGGCCCACCCGAGGTTCTAGAAACTGGTGTCGGTCTAAGGGGCTCAAAACGAGTTGGAGACTCAGACTCAAACGATACGACTGGGGAATGTGCAGGCTTAACCATTTGCTGAGTTACAGAAATAGGAGGCCCCGTATCAGAGGAAACTGGGGCAGTGCTCTGTCTTTGCGACTTCTTTGGCTTGCGAGCTCGTTCTTTAGTTGGCTGTATATCAGAAAAAGTGAAGAAGGTTTAACAAAATGAATTAAGATATATGTAGTAGCAAGAAGCAAAAGGCATAAACAGTCCATTTGAGCATAATCCAACACAAATTCACCAAAATGAACGCACGTGAGTCAAGGGCTTTCCAGCAACCACTGGAAGCTTCTGCTGAGCAGCACTGTGCTTGACGCCCAGTTCACTAACAGCTCCAAAAGATCCCACCTCCTCTTCATCTGCAGGTGGTTTGAACACAACCAGAGTAGTTGCCGAGCCCAGGCCTGTACCCTGAGAATTAAGCATGGGTGGTGAATCTCGCCTTGGACGAATAGGCTCGCTGTCCACTTTGGTCGTGAGAGGTAAAGTTTTTACAGGTTTCGGGGTAACGGAAGGCCCTGTAGCCGTGGCCTTGAGCGACGAGTTCGGTTCCAACGTGAACGATTTACGCATGGCAAGGGGTTTAGGTGAAGTGACTGGAGGAGAAGATGCAGGCACAGGACTAGGAGACCCATTGTGATGCCACCTTTCCAGTACTGTCGCTTTGCGGGAGGCGGATACAGGCCGATCTGGTGTCGTCTGAGTAGAAGATGACGGAGTTTCAAACGTATGACTAGCTTTGACCATATTCTGTACAAATCCTCTTCCCTGCAGTCGACTGATACTAGGTGTGGGTTCCTTCTGCACAGGCGGTTTCAAAAATGCTGGCGAAGTATTAGGCGACACCGGTATATGGGATGTCTGAGGAGAAGGCTTAGGATCTGGGCGAATAGGTTTTGCTAAAGAGGGGATGGAGACGGGAGATTTATGAGGAGGTGATTTAGAAAGAGATGTAGCTTGAATGGGGGGTTTAGGCGGAGTGAAACTCGTAGAAATAGGGCGTCTTAGGGAAGGAAGATTATCACTTGTGGTGGAATCCGATACAGTGAATGTCACCCTGGAATTCCCGGTCGGTGTGCTGATTGTACGATCTCGAGGTCCCGTATTTGTGGTAGAGACAGGCCTCTCTTGACTCGTTTTGACAACAGGAAACTTCGCGCTGACAGGAGGGGACTCGGACGGGGAGCTGCTCAGCGTTCGTTCACGTGGGCCATTCTTTTCTGACAGGGAAGAACGGCTTAAGACACCAGACTCTGATAGATAGGAAGACACGCTTGGAATGCTAATCGTCCTGTCTCGACCTCCAGTCTTCTGAAGTGGCACGGGTCTTTCATCAAATATCTTCGTTGGAGATGCAGAACGCGGTCTGATCACAAGCGGAGCAGTTGTAGAAGGGGAACTTTCTGGAATTCCGTTGTTGGCAGGCGTTACAGTTCTCTCTAGAGGTGCAAGAGAAGCAGTAGGTGCACGATCACTGCCATATTTGGGCGAAACCACAGACGGCAAGCTGCCAATCTCGTCCCGAAGAGGAAATCGACTGGATGCAGTCAGTCCAGGCATGGCAACACCCCCTCTTCCGAATACAGGATGAGGAGCTGTGATTCGTCCACGGTCTTCAAACTGAGTTGGATCATGAGCATCCTGCTGAGGGGCATGCTTGTTGAGAATAGGACCGGCTGCACGACCACCCATGAATGCCGCAAGGGAAATAGGCCCAGAAGGTTTGGATGCCGTTGCATTCGAAGAATTGGATGTCATCCATGCTCGTGCAGTGGCAATAGAGCCCTTGATATCTGAATTCGAAGGCGAACTCGAACTCGAGGTTCCGGTTAGTCTATGGAAAGCCTCTGCTTGACTTTGTTGCCGGTCAGCAATGGATTTAAGGTCAGAAGTTGAGGACTTTTGCGAAACTCCGGAAAGTGATTCTCGGCTACTAGCTGAGAAAAGGTAAGCATTTCCTAGCTTGAAATTCAAGTACACAGTTACTGACCAAACTCAGCACTGGTAGGGGACACGAATCCTCCCCTACTGCGACGCTTTCTAGCAATCCGGGAAGCAGCAATTTCTTCTTGGAGCCGCTTGTACTCAGCTTCTTCGTCAGCATCAACTTGCTGCTGGAGAGCCCTGACCTTGCGAGCCCAATCGATAGCTGTTAAAATTTAACTTGACCGATAGAACGAATAAATATATTAGATATCGTACCTCCTTCCGCACTGTCTAGCTTGGGTAAATCTGAATATCGTGAGCGAGATGGGGTCGATGGGGAATCCATAATGGTTCATTAAGCAAGCTCCGACATAAGGAGGTGCAGATTTATAGACCAACGGTTCACAATAATGGTGGTCACCAGTTTGAGAATCAAAAAATGCCTTGAGGCTGGCCAGTGGCCGAGCGCCTGTTATGTACATGCATCAATAAACGTCAACATATTAGAATGAACTCATTTGGTCTTTGACCTCAACGTTTGAGACGATGACCTCGATAAAGACCGAGTCTATTCACGAGTTCAATTATCCACGCTCTACGTCTCCTACCAAAGAGTCTCTTAGACCAAATGCTCATCCATATGCTATAAAAACTACTTCCACAGCGCTCCTTTCTCGCTCGAATTCGTCTTCCAGAACTCATGATTCTTCTCATCATCACTATGTTCCTCGGACTCCTCCAGCGACCAGCTTAGGTCACAGGAAACACGAGGGTGCTCACTACAGACATCGTTACAGCTCTAGTTTGTCTTCCGATAACATACCTAGACCTCTACCCGTTCCACCTTCGCCTACAAAAGAAGCGGTGAACGACTCTTCCGGCAAACATCCGCGGACATTTTATAACCCTGTGGTCTTCTCAGCACCTCTTACGCTTGAGGATCTTCCTCCCAACCCGAAATTGTGGACTCCTTCCCAACTCTGTGCATATCTTTCTACTGCCCTTCGGGTCAAATCCGGAGAGTCGCTCCAACTTCCCGCTCCAGTGGCGCGCGATATTGCGAGCTTTGTTCGAGAGAGCAAGATTACGGGAAGAATTTTCCTCAGACTTGACGAAAAAGATCTGGAGGCGTAAGTCAAACAACAGCCTCATCTGTACCGAATTTAACCCGTGTTTGTTTTGCACAGTTACGGTGTCAACAAGCTTTGGAAGAATGCTTTACTTAAGACCTCACAGAACTTGCGCCAGAACGTCCTCAAAGGTCAGATATGGGGCTTTGTTGAGGAGCTTGAAGGAACTTCGAATGGGATCAACTTTCCATCCGTGGGCGACGCCCACTCTGGATCCATTGATGAGGATGAAGATGAAGATTCTACTCCTCATCGTAGACGTCGATCGGCTTCACAACCTCAAACCACACGGTCACGATTCATTGCTGGAAGTACTGTCAAGTCTTTCAATCATCCATTCCCGAATGGTCTGCCCGTATACTCTTCTGCATCATCATCATCATCCTCCGACGACCTTTTTTTACCCACCGGTATCAGTCCCTCGGTCTCGTTCACCACACGTTCGACTTCACCTAACGGTCATTCTCATTATATGCATGACAATCGATCTCGTCACGGAAGAGTCAAGGGTATGGTTGATTCATTTGAGCGTTCTTCCAGTTTTGATGAAGGTGATCCCACCTCAGCAAAACTGTTGCAAGAGATCAAAGGCAACCGTGAGCTAGATTTGGAAAAATTGCGAAAGATAAGGAGAGAAAGGAGTGGAAGTACCAGTAGTATCTCGAATGGCAGCTCTGGGAGCTCTCATTCCCCTACCTCGTCTTCTGACGATGGCAGCGAGCCTGGCGCTTTCGTCGGCTCTCCAGTGGAGGAATACAATGTCTCTACAATCACTTCTTCGCGCCCTCTCCCGAATCCTCCCCGAAACGAAATAGATGATGTTCTCTTTGTTTCTGGACTTGAAGAACCTTCGATCGAGGAACTCCTCGCTCAAGAAGGTAGATTGGAAGATGCGATCAGCAGTCATACCAGTCTAGCAACTTTGAATTCCACATTCAAAAATCAAACCCCAAGTTTCGCAAAAGGCACCTTCTCAATTTCGAAAGGTAAAGGTAGAGCGAAGAAACGGGGAGGCGTTTACGCGTGGGAGGAAGAGGTGGAGGACCTGGGAGCCGCAGCTCCAGGAAAAACTACCGTGAAGAGGGTTTTTTCTCAAATTCCGATTCCCGCAACCATGATGTCTTCTGCTTCCAGTGCTAAAGATATTTTTGAGGAACCAGAGAATGTTAACGGAAACATCCGGGAGGACCAACTACGATCTGTGGACACATCTTCTCCCGCTCCTGTAAAGTCAGGACAAGGTTCAGGAACTCATACTCCGTCCAGACCTCTTCCGGAGATTCCTCTGCACCCATCGCTTGTCGCCCTGCCAGAACCAGGAGATATATCTTTTAGCCCAGTAAGTCCCAAGGAGACGGACGAAGAAACAAGGTTACGTGCTTCTATCGCCGAAATAACCGGGCTCTTGCAAGCTTTTGAAGTCCGGTTAGCGGACGTAGAACGCAAGGTGGATGTATTAGATGTTGAGCTCAAGGAACTTGAAGTAGCGAATCTAGTCAGGAACAAGCAGCAGGCCGAAGACGGTGTGCAAATCAAGGACGAAACAGAACAAATGACACGCGAAGATAAAGTGGAAGAAGTAAATGAGCCTATTTTCCTTTCCGAATGGCCTATCATGCGCAAGGTCATAAACCGCGTATTCCGTTTTTCGCCTGCCGGACAACTTCCGTCCATTGGATCTCGTGTATTTCATTCGCAATATTGGCGTTCTCCTTCACATATCAATCCGCAGACACTCTCCCAGCTTCCGCCCTATGTTCTACTCGTTGGGTTGGGCGTGTGTGCCGTGGTGCTCAGGGTGGTCGCGCGAAGGTTAACTGGGAAAAGATAAACCCTTTTGAGCATCGCCGGCTTTCACTTACTCTCGGTGCTCAATTTCTTGGCTTATTTGCATGAGTATTTTTCCTTCTTTCTCTATGACATATACTTGAATTCTATCGTAACCATTCCCCATCTTAATTTGCCTTTTGCTTTTTCCAGGAGATATCGAAGCTACACTCAAATCCCTTGCAGTTTTGCCTATATGTTGTTGTTATGTTTATTCATTTATATCTTCGTTTGCTTGCAGTTGTTTTTTTTCCTTTGTTTCCGCTCTTCCGTTATGACCTTTTACGATAAATCGACGACGACATGATACTGACGACCTTCTCTGTTGCTAAATAGCACTCTAGTCTTGTGACACATGATGAATTGTGCTTTTATTCGATGATGTGCTATGAACAAAAACAATTTGTGTCCGACATTAGCTATAAGCAGTAAGCAAAGGGTATCTTCCGAAATGGAAAGTAAATAATATTGATAGTCCTTCGTGCAATGATCTCCATCTCTTTGAGCGTGAGCTACTGACATTGTCCATGCTAACGCAGCAGAAACTAACCCAGGAAGGCAAAAACTACAAAAATACCACCAAGGAGCGTGACTGCTGGAGCAAAAGCAGCATAGGATACCCTGGAGCCTGCATTGCTATTTGATGATGATGAGGTACTTGAAAATACGGCATCATTAGCTGACTGAGAAACGGTGCTGGGCAGATTTCCATCTGGATAACCCACGAAACCTCGATAAGAATTCATGAGAATGGAGAATACAGCGACACGCACCAAGGAAAGATGCTCCACATAGAGCTTGTGCATCGGGCTCAGCTTGTGACACAAGGCTCGGGAAATTGGCTTTTGCAATCGAAAAGCTCTCCTTCATGCAATCTGTGCACGCGACATTCTGTACACCATTAGCGAATAACGTCTCCGCGTCTGTGAACAAGTTCAAGACACTCAGATCAGTAACGTTCAATTGGCCGACAACGCTCTGTAGATTGTTCAACGTTTCCACAGCGCATAACTGATTGGATGTGTCACTTTAAGACGGACAGGATCAGCGTACAATCGCAACCATCACTCCATTCACAAATGGAAACAAGACTCACTCTTTCAAACAAGCAATTTCACGAACGGTGGGGTAAACTTCTTGAGCTATGGAAATTACTTCGCTTTGGATAGAAGATGTGGTGATGCCCAGGCTGGAAAGTTCGGAGCTGCAGCCGGAGGTGAGGTTAGTCACCACATTTGAGAGAGACTGATTAGTGCAGGATCCGGAGGAACAGATGCCCGTGAGCCAGGTGTTGACTGTTGACGGAATAGATCCCGAATTACTGCCAACGACAAAGGACAGTATAGCGGAGGGGTTTAAACAGGCAGCATCTGAAGATCATAGTATGCTTAAAGATCCGCCTGCTCATATTACGGAGTTTTCTTACCGGGTGATGTCAACAATCCCTCGAGCGAGCTCTGGCATCCTTGACTTAGAGTAAATCTAGCAGAACGATGACATGATTACTTGGGTATTGCTCAGTAGTGAAATTGATGACTCACGATTGGACACTGGAAATGACAAAAGTCGCAGCAGCGGTAAGAACGAAAGCTATCCTCATATGTCCCAGCATATTGAAGTCGTAAAATGATAAAAAATTGAAAGCAAAAAAGGAAGGGGGCCAGACCAGATGGAGGGAAGGAAGAAACGGGTTATAACTTTAAATATTGAACGCGACCACCGCTACATCAGATGAAGCCCGACCCACAACAAGGGGTAAAAGTGTGTGACCATGGTTACTATGGGATTAACGATTGAAGTGACAGTTGCGAACAGCATCCACACCCAAGGCAGAGAGACTCAGAATAACATAATGGGTATTAAGGGTGCACCCAATTCCACCCAACGTTTCCCGGTATGATGAAAGCGAAAGGCTGTATGTACTAGTCCAATCTAGTGCGGGACGCACAACCATTCATTTTCATATTCATATTCAAGTCCGATTAGCCTACAATCGTAGGTGCACTATGCAAGCGAGGATACATCGTACGTGAAAAGTCCCGTGCGTACAAAGTTCGGCGAAGATTGATTCTACAAAACAACTGCCAATGCCGATCCCAAGATGAGAACGATCGAGACACCTACACCAAGGAAAGTATTTCCAGATATGAGAGAAATTGCGCTCAATGCGCTGTTAGACCCAGATGAAGTCGAGGAGTCGCTTGCGCTTTCAACAATCCCGGAGGGAGTAGATCCATCTACGATTAATCATGTATTGGAGGTTGTTTCAGATGTATGTTATACCACACTACTGACCTGTGAAAGAGGTACCACATTGATCTTGCAGCGTGGAATTCTCCGAGTCCAATAAACCGGGGAAAGCTGTGTTCACGGTGTTATAGGCCGCCTTGGTACAATTGGAACAGGTGACGTTGGACGGAATAGATGTATCATTCCCTGAAGCAACTAGTCCAGCAATATTGGTCAAGGTAAGGTTACTACCGACAGCATCTTGAAGATTGGTCAGGGTTTCTGTAACACAATTAGTGTTACCGCTGCGGTTCATAAAGGTTGTATGTGAGTACAAAAGGAGCTTTGGGCCGAGATCGAAATCTTACTCTTTCAAACACACAACCTGCCTTACAGTGGGGTAAAATTCTTGCACAGTTGAGATCAAAGTTGCTGTATCGGTGGAGGAGAAACCAAGAGCAGACAGCTCGGTTCCGCAGCCAGCTGTGACATTCGTGACGATGGCAGAAAGAGTGTCGTTTGTACAAGGAGCGACTCCGCAAACGTTAGTTAGCCAAGAGTCCACAGAATCGACAATGGATGTATTTGATGAAGAAGTCAGAATGGGAATCAATGAAGATGGGCTCAAGCAAGCAGAAGAGGAATTGAGAGCAATCTGTGCTAATGCTGAAGTGCATTCTGATGAAAGACCGCTGCAAAAATTGACATGATACTATGTGTGGAGCTGTGCGACAGGTACTCACGTCGTCGTTGACTGTGCTGATACTCCAAGAGCAGCAGCAAGGGCAGCGAGAATAAGCATACGGGTCATTATTTGAGGCCGAGTGGAAAAATTAAGAGTCAGACCAAAAAATAAGCGGTCTATGAAAGCCTTTTATACCTGGTAGGATTAAGACAACGTCATGAGACGAATCCGATCTCCGTGGCCGAGCCGATGAGTTCTTGGAATTTTGATTAACAGGCCATACTTATGCGCAGTAATTCGGGAACTAAGTTTAAAGCTGTGAACACGCAATTAGCGGCCAGTTTGAGACAGTTCGAGTAACCATACCCAAGTACTCGCAGACTGTAATGGATGAATTGATGAAGCCCTGAGCGCTGAGCTCTGAGATCTGAGGCCTGACGCCATGAGCGCTTGGGCGCTTATTCAGCCTTCTCTTGTCGTTTCCTGTCTGTCGATCTAATGCTGCTGTATGCATAAATAATAGATGATCCTTTTCTTTCTTTCTTTCCTTCCTTCCTTCCACTACACGATGGCTTTTCTTGAAACCGCTGAAAAGATCAGAGGTCAATCAATGAAGCCTGGCGATCTACGAAATGTGTTTTCTGACTGTAGTGACATGTACGTTCACGTTTCGCAACGTATACGCGTTCATCATGATTTTGATTACCCTTAAAGACACAGTGCACATCCCTCCAGAACATCATTCTCAAGCTACGACACGCATTACTTCACCAAATTTAACGAACACGACGGCTTAGAACGCGTTCTTCGCCTAGAGAAGGATTCTGGTATCCAAGTCATTCCTGTCTCCCCGAGCCCTGTTTCCGCAGAAGGATATCAATCTCTTAATTATAGAGGGTCGGGCACACCGAGACCTAAGGAGCACCCGCTCAACAATCTTCAAAATATACCCATAGTAGATGCCAGCCGCGTTCGCCATTATTCGCATATTCCCGATGCAGTTTTTACCCCTTCTACCAATCTCGTTCACGCACCCGACCATAACAGGCCCGAAATAGACGCTCCGAAATTCAACAATCACGACGATACAAATCCTCCCACTTGGATGAACGCTTTGAACTCTTCAAGTCTTTTATCGCCGATAGTAATAAATAAGCAACATTCGTATCCGCATTCATCCGAGAAGCCTAAAACTGCTACCGTTTCCCCGCTGACTTACATCCACTCAGCGAAAGCACTTGACTCTTTAACTCTTCCCTGTATTCCTCTGACTACCCACATACGTCTGTGTCTATGCGGCGAGCTTTTCTCCTACAATCTCAGCAATCTTCAGTCTGATCCTCGCGAAATCATCGAACTCCTGAAATCCACGGGGAGCGAACGTGGAAATTGGATGACAGTCGGAGCATGTTATCGTCGTCAAGGCAATCCGCACGCTGCGATTGCTGTAATCCAATCGATGGTGGAAGGTGAGGAATATGGTTGTCCGAGACATTCAGGATTCCCGTTAATCTATTTACCCCCTATAGTCATGGCGCGCTATGGAGTTTCGGAGAACGAGCTCAAACCAGCTTTTTTGATGCTCGCCGGCTGTGAATCCGATCTGAGTAAACTCACTCGGAACGAAGGCCGAATCACTCTTGAACATCAACAAAAATCGCAACGATGGCTCCAAAAAGTCTATGGAGCAATGAAAAGCCATTCTGACAACATTGGCGTTGATGCTCCGTCGAACAATCCGAAGCTTCCCGCTCGTCCCCCATCTCCCTCTGGCTCTGATGAACATCTTCGTCGCGAGATACAATCGCTACGCGATCGACTTCGCCATCAGGCTGGCCTCTTGTCCGATGTCCGTTCTGCGAAACGGAAACTTGAGGGATCTTATAAGTCGGAGCGGGATACTCGTCGGAGGATCGAACGAGAAATCAAAGGCATGAAGGCGGAGCGCGACAAAACGTGCAGGAGGTGATCGAACGCGTCGAATAACGAGATTCATTAGCAGGATTAGATCGACTTTCAACGTTGCAAAGTGTATTAATATTATAGTAAGTGTTATTTGCATGGACATGCCTTATTTATGTACCTGTATTCACATACAATTCCAACCGGATCGCATACTGATACAATAGTAAATTCGGATCGCATTTTATACATCGGTTCAAGTACTTGGCATAAGCATAAGTAGTTTGAATGAAGCCCGTGAGAAAATATTGGTCAGAACTGCACAGATCACGTGTGTTTCCCACTGAAAGCCTTAGAGTATTTCCCCCAGAGCGGTGCATCTCCTCAAGACAAGACCTCAAAATGGCAACCACGCTCCCCAAGGTGCTTAATGATTATCGTTATGCTGCTGCCCTAGCCGTTCAATTTGGTTTCATCAGGACATCTCAAAAATTGGGTCTGAAGTAAAACTTTTCGGCAAATGGGACACTCAAGAGTACGTACAGTTATCTGGAAGGATTTTGGGCATGGTTTAGCTGAGGCTTTGATACAGGATTGAGGTCACTGATATCTCGCTGACGGATTACATCCAAGTCCGCCATGCCGTCTACCTCCCCCACACCGCTGGACGATACGCGAAGAAGCAGTTCAAGAAGGCCCAGATGCCCATTGTTGAGCGATTGGTCGACAGGTGTGATCACAGTCGTTTGCGTACAACTCAGATACCTAATGCATGCTCTAGCTTGATGATGAACGGTCGTAACAACGGAAAGAAGCTCATGGCAGTCCGAATTGTTGCTCACGCTTTTGAAATTATTCACCTTATCAGTGACCAGAACCCCATCCAGGTGTGTCCACCGCGTTTGGACGATTATATTGATCATACTGAGCAAGCTCATTTTCTGGACAGGTTCTGGTCGATGCTATCGTTAACACTGGACCTCGTGAAGATTCAACCCGTATCGGATCCCAGGGTACCGTTCGTCGTCAAGCTGTCGATGTCTCACCTTTACGAAGAGTGAACCAGTCGATCGCTTTATTGACCATTGGTGTAAGTTTTGGCGTTCTTGACCAACTTTCTGATCTCAAATAACATTTTTCAGACTCGTGAATCCGCTTTCCGTAACGTCAAGTCGATTGCCGAGTGCCTTGCAGATGAGCTTATGAACGCTGCCAAGGGATCGTCTAACTCATATGCTATCAAGGTATGTGTTCGATCAAATTGAGAGATTCAATAATGAATGTTTCATCATACAGAAAAAAGATGAGCTGGAGCGTGTTGCCAAATCCAATCGGTGAAGAGAAGGCTCATACATTTTCCCTTCTCACTTGGACTATGAACGTCATTGGGATGCAGATAGAAGACGGATGGGTTTGCCCTATTGCTCCCTTGTCATTGTGTCTATGTCATTCATGCCATTACTCGTTCACCAATCGTTGGTCTGCTATGAATAATATGATTAAGTCAAACATAGCGTCAAAAATGAAACATTTTACAATGTACATAAGGCCCAGGGAAATGTGCTGTGAGGAGACCGGCGTGCGTTAAAATAAATCAATTTTTGCTGAACGCTTTCGGAATCATTGGCAGGATGATTTTGAAACACAATACACGTTCATGTAAACATTATGGTGGGGTAATCCAAGAGCCCGAAGAAATTACTCATAACAGGACAGGACTGAGACAAGTATTGATTGGTCACTTTTTTTCATTCTACTAGTGATGGCTCGACGTGCCACACCATGCCACACAGATATTACACACATGCTAATCAGACACAGAGAACCATGAAAGCAGATAAGTAAATCGACAACCCAGTAACGATGGCAGAGAAATGAAGACCGAGGAAATGGAGATATGTGATGCGGAAAATCGACAGGACAACAAAGGCGACAACTAATAAAGAGACAAGAAATGAATAACTCAAAAAGCTATGTATGATACCGGTTTGAACGTTATGCAAGGTAGGTGGGTTGATTGGTCGCGATCCACGGTGAAGGGAAGGAAATAATAGCTAAAAATTAAGAATAAAAGCAACACCAAGACTATGTATCATCTTGGCAAATGGGGAATGAGGAGAAAAGCTTTATGTGTATGTAGAGACGCGGCATTTGAAAACGGCAAACGGTGGGACAGAACGATAACACCACCGCCCATCAAAGACCCCATCTACGTGCAACCTCGGAGGGAGAAGGACCAGCAGTTACGAAGTAAATAAAAAAACCAACCACTGTTCCGTAATCCAAATCACAAGGCGGTAAAAAATCACCTTGAGGAACGAAATAATCAAGGGTGACCTGAGGTAATAGATAGGTGCACATATAGATGATAGCAGATGAAAACGGAATTGTGGTTTTGTGGTTGGCCGGATGCGAGAGGTAATATACAAGGTTGCGAAATGCCATTGAACATTTTTTGAGTCTTGGAGGAAGACTATTTGTGAGATGTCTAAGGATACCGTTACAGATGGTCAGAGAACCATGGGACATGTGCAAGCTGTGAGTATAGGGTCCGGTGGTTTCACAAACCGGCCCATAAGATCCGTTGGAAATGGGTTCCAAGAACAGCAATGTCCGATCTCCTAGGCGGCTTGATTTCGAGAAGAGTACAATCGCAGAAGCTCTTCTCCCTAAGCCTTGCGTACGAATAATCAATTCCAAGTTCCTTCCTGCAGAGTATACCCGATCCAGATAAATTTTAACCCAAGCCCGAAGAGTAAGATGAACGTGGAATAGTGAAAGGGAAGCCATAGCCCTCTTCCGGGTCCGTGTGTTCCTACCGCTGTCCAGCCATTCCAAAAGATGGAGGTCGTATTCGGGGATCATACTGATCCGGCTTTGGCACCACACCCTTCAACCCTTTGTAGTCAAACTGCTTGCCAAACTCTTGGACCATTGCCTCGCCCATATAACAAAGCCAGCCGAGACCATCGCCTGTAATACTCTGGCCAGGCCAGAACAGCTCGCCGTCATCATCCTCAAAATCAACCTCGTGTTCCTCCGTGGATTTGAGAGTAGAGTGTACCATACGAGCGAACGTTCGTGGAAAGTGCCGTGCTATTATGGAGAAGTTGAGATGAACTTGAGCGGTTTGCATCTCTGCAATGGACACCGATAGTGAATAGGAAACTTCGTTGACAGTTGCAAGCTGATTGAGATTAAACGAAGCAGAAACGGTGTTTGCAGCTGCGGTGATATGGGATGGTGGTATCCCAGTTCGATATTGCGGAGGAAGAAACGGCAGGGGAATTGAGGGGCCTGAGGGTGATGAGGATGACTGTGAAGGTGCGCTAATGGCAGAGGATGATGAAATCGAAGCAGATCGGATTTCAGAAGAGATGGGTGTACCATCACGGTTAGTCGGAGTAGAATTTGCGCTATTGGCAGCTCCTATACTGGCAGGCGATGGAAGCATAGGAGGAGTGGATTGTGATTTGGCTCCTAGTGAAGAAGAACTATGGCTTGGTGCATCAGAAATAGCGGCATTGACAGCCTGACAGGTTGCTTCAGTTACTCGCTCGAGATCGGAGCGCAGCTTACGCTGGCTCTGAGTCACGATTCGAGCATGTATAAACGCATGGAACATATGTCTGGATGAAATCATTAGAACGAACATAGACGAGCCGCTGGAAAGAACATACATTAATCCGTAAAATGCTTTCTCGCCATCGCTGCTGCCCTCCTCTGGTTTCCACTTAGCCTTGCACCATTTGATGAATCCCTCCATCGTTAACCATGAATCTGTGTAGATGCCCCCGCGGCCATATTCTTTGCACCATGAGGAGTAAACGAACATGACCAGAGCTTCCATAAGCTCAAGCTTCGCGACCATACCTCCATGGATATGATACAGGGAATTAGGTGGTGGAGCGTTCGGAATTGGGCGATACTCTTTATGTGAAGGGGGATAAGTGGACCAGAAACGAGCATCACCAGAATACTTGAGTTTGCGTCCTGCCTGATGATATTTCTCATGAAGAGTGGGGATTAATTGAACATTGTGTTGATGACCGCGCTTGGGTCTACGGATAGGCACAAAGCTTGTGACTGGAGCATCGGGGGAAGGATGGATGGGTGTGGCGCGAGATTGGATAGGATGGGAAACTGAATTGGGCTCCTCGGCGACTTCGCCGTCTTCCGCTAATTCGGATCGAGGGAGATAGTGTGTAGGTGGGAGATGCGAGACACGATGCGTAGTGGCAGTAGACTCGGTCTTTGACCTCTTGGGTCTGTCGGTGTCTAAACCAACTTCTGACTTGCGTTTTGCTGACTGTACTGAGGGCCCAGCGACAGGCGAAGTCGATCTAGACGCTGGTGGAGAGGGCGGTAATGCTGGAGGTAATGGTGAAGGCATTGTGTTAAGCAGCTGCATAGAAATTCATAAGACCTGTTCCAGAGGTGGAAACTCAATAGTGAACTGACCGCTAGATGCTGAAGTAGCTGCTGGCGAGAGAAAGCACGTTTACTGAGGGATTATAGGTCAGAAGAGGTAAGAAAAGAAAAATTGTGAAGCTAACCGTCCACTAGACTTGCTGGTAGACGTAGCGGGCTCCTTGGAGGAATGCTTGAGCATTGTGATGGGAGTAGCGGTTCAGTCAAGCTGTGGCCCAGCAACAAGTGTTTACGGGGGGAGCGTGTGACATTGTGACTTCAATACATCAATGCATGCTCCTTAAAGATTGCCCTTGTTGTTTTCCCTCTTTTGTCCGCCATTTCCGCCCACTGTTTCCAATAAATTATTGGACATTTTATACCTCCTCCTACTCTTCGTCCATTTTATTATTATTATTCTCGCTCTTGTACAAGGTATTTCACTTTTTCTCTGCTTGTTACCCGGTCAGCCTCAGGTACATGATGACATTTCCTTAAAAGACTCTTGACATAAATTAGTTCCGTGTCCAACGATCTGGTCACCCTTCCTTCCTCTTTCGTCCTGCTCTATTATTATTTTCCATTTGCTGTTCCAGATCTAGTCAAGCCTCGACTTGGCCAGCATTAATTCCGAAGTTGGACCACCGTACTATACAATATTACTTTCCATTTCTCCGTTTGTACCATGTTTCGACGCTCTTGCAACGGCGGTATCTTCCACCGATTTCTGAATCGCAATTTCTGGGTACATACTACACAAGTCTTCACCTCGGTCTCAGATATTGATGAAAAATTCAGACACATCCAATTTGTCAGGATTTCGCGTGGTCTTAGTGTGAAGTACCTTCAACGTTTCGCACAGACAAAAAATTGCGCTCACACATCCAGTAGAGCGTGGATAATACCTTCACTTCTCTTCCTCTAGAGTTAACCTCCCGCGACAGATCGAATGCGCTGTTCATGAGCTGTCCTTGTCAAAGACTTCGGGTTAGTCCAAAGTCAGCCAGATGGCTATACTTACATTTCCGTATTAAATGGATCAACCGGCCAATAAAGATAGTTTGAGATTTAAAAACAAGCATGCACTGTTAATGAGCACATGCACAAAATGATCCCATACTTTTCGTCAATTCCTCCGATTCGAGAATGCTGCCTCTGAGGAATTTTCTAAACGGATCTTTCCTGTCATCGTGGAAAGACAATGCGGGAGGTAAAATGGCGGCGCGGTTCCATATTCCGCTACTGAGACGGAATCCAAAAGTATCACTTCCGAAACTTCTCCATCCGTGTCTGCTTTGGATAGTCCGAGCATGAATGCTCGCAGGCTCAAGAATGCAGTAAGCTAATATAGCATTCCACATCTGATATGAGGAGATGGTTGAAGAGAATTGTATTATTGCGGGGCTCCACCGTCAACAATTCTGAACACCCAATTGAAAACGAGAGGCACTTGCGACCGATCTGAAGGAATGCATACATGGAAAAGATCATAAGAGATATTTGCCCAGACCTTGAGGGCAATGGTCATTACAGCCCATTACCGTCTTCGTCATTGGAGAGACAATAGAATCCGGTGACGTCGGATGGGAATGCATTTTGACGTTGGGTCCACGAACTATGCAGGCTAACGATTATCCATTCCATTCCGATTATCCAATGTCCTGAATGGTAACATCTGTTACTGAATGAGAAAAAAGCGCGTTGTCGTTCGCCCGGTCGTTCGTGGGCATTGAGAGCAATGTCTATCCATGGGGTTTGAAGCGTCCACAGATGGGACCTTGAGAAGCAAAGGTATACCTTGTGTCATCACCAAGATGTTCTATGGAGATAGCGGGGAGGTTTGACCAAGGCGGAGGCGAATTCCCTCGGTTGCGCCACCTACAACGACTATTGTAAGAAAAAGACCTCCTGAAGAGACCTACGTATCCTGGAAGCGTTCGTACCTGCAGAGCACGTTATTAAGAGTAAAGGGACTTCAAGATCAACTTCGGAAAATTCAAGGCATGAAGCTCACTGGGCCAACGAGAAGATGTTGAGACTGATGTCGTAGGTGATGAGGTGAATGTGTAGAACATCCACCACAAGGCCACCATGGATATTAATACCTGTGGGGCTGAATATCCCCGCGTTCCCTTTCGGGCGAAGCATGCTCACACCGTAAGCTCGACAAGGATGCTTTGATCGTTGGAGGTCTGGCGCAGTCAGCACCATTCATGTGAGCTCATATAATCTGGGTAGCAAGACAGCTTTCTCCTAGACTGTAAGTAGGTAGTGCGGCGCTGTTTCCCGATCTTGGGGATTCTACACACGCGCCAAGCCCGGAACCTTAAGCCTGTGTTTCGTCCGGTTCATTCAAATTGATTTGAGACTATCGTAGATGAGAAACAGCCGTGAGTCACCCTTGCTCGCAGCACCTGGATGGTCGTTCAAAAAGCTCGATGACTGGGATGGCTGACCAAAGAAAAGCGAAATTCAAATTGTGCGGAAAGCGTCTGAAATGGCAGAATATCACGATCATGTGATGATACCAAACGCGCTATGTGACACTGACAACTCATATGAACTAGAATGAACAGCCGGATCGCAGCCTATCGCAGCTTGAGACAATGAAAGGGCTGAAATATAAATCTCGTAGTTCGTTCGTATTATCACTAGTCGGTGCAACCAATCTATTAAATGCCCGACAAGCATGGATTTAGTCGAAGTTGAACGACCCCTGATTCCACTGGCAGTCTTGAAAATGAACATCTGATTCTGATATATACACGATGTTCATTTTGCGGTAGACATAGAACACCCACTTACCTGCACAGATACATAGTGTACATTGTCTGAGATCACCTATACTGTATAGGCAAAGAACAAATCGACTCGAGTAATTACCACGATCACACGATCATGAATTCAACGCGGTACTATAGGTGCAACACTTCGAATCGGAAGCACTTATTGACCAAGCAGATTAACACTAGCACTCGCTTTGCAAATATATAGACATCTATTGGAGGCAGTCCGGGTTCCAGCCAGATATAGTACGAGATGTGGATTCCAAAGCGACTTGGAGGCAAGAAGAAATGCAGAATAGAACTCTGTGTGTAGCTGATGTAGAAACCTAGAGAAAGAGACTGTAGCGTTTACAGGACTTTGAAGAGACGAGATAGGGTGATGATTAGGGATTAAGGAATAAAATAGAGGATAAAACACAACAATAGTGATGCGAACATGGAAACGAATTTACAGGTTACAACAACAATGGGAACAATAACGACAGCAAGGGAGCGATGAAATGAAAGTCAACGAGTAGAAGACCAAGATTGTGCGCGAAGAAATAAGAATGCAGCGAGAATGAATGTACAAAAGTGGGACTATGTAGGACTGTAAAAATTTCATGAGAACGCGAACCAGTTCAAAATACAGATGAAAAGAAAGGTTCTAGAATTTACAACAGATGGACAGTGGGAAATAAGCGAGGATGATGAATTGACAGAAGAGAAATTGCAAAGGGAACGAATCGTCACCTCCGACTGATCTTTGCCTTCCTACTCCGACTTCGCGGTGCCGGAGATGGGACAAGAGTTTCGGAATCGATGAGCTTCTCGGTAGCGCCAGAGTTGGAATGAGCCAGTCCGCGCGCTGTTTTTTCAGTGGAATAGGGATGAACGTTATTCAATCGATTTTTCCGGCCGAGTAGAGACCGTTGTGGTCCCGAAGTTGCTACCTCCGTTTTGGAAGCACCTGTGCGAGACCTCGTCACTCTGGAGAAAAAAACGTCGGCTTCGTCGTTGAAGGTTTCGGCGAGGGACGCAATGTCCTTAACATCAATTACGCCTATGAGCCTCGCTTCGGATTCCACGGGTGCAACAACAGCTTTCTGCTTGCCTTTTGCGGAAGATGAATCGGCGACTGTCGTAGCAGAAGAAACGGAGGGAGAGAGATCCCTGGTATCATCCACTAGTGTCTGGGCGGACAATCTCGAGGAAGAACGCGTACGTGAATATTCGGGGGGAGGTAGGACGATGGACGAGGAAGTCGGAGAAGAAGATGTAGACGAGGTGGAAGCACGCTTCGGAAGCCGAGCTGATAAGATTTTGGGTGACTGTCGCGAAAAGTTGTCATTAGAGCAACCGGATGATGCAGATGGGTTGGCATGTGGGTGGGGAAGTTGGGAGAGGTTGAAAACATCAGGCAAAACGGAAGTGATGCGAGCAGGATTGAGAGACGAATCTGGATTGGGCATGTTAAGTAGAAGAGTTTCAGGTTCTAGTAATGAATTCATGGGCGATGCAGCTTTGCGTGAGGGCCGGGCTCTGGTGATTCGGGCTTTTTTCGCAGGCAAAGAGTCTGTGTCTTTTGTCCGCTCAGAGGTTTTGGTTGGAGCGTCAGTAGGAGGATGAGCCTTGCGTTTCCGCAGTACTGGGCCTCTGATAGGCAAATCCTTGAGATAGGTGGAAAGGACCAGGGTGTCATACCATGGCTCGCGACAAAGAACGTCGGGCAGCTGTTTACTGTGTAAACCAGAAAGTCTAAATTTCCAATCGAGAATAGACCAAGATAGAGGATGATAGATAGTTGGGGTTCGACGGCCTAAGGAATTTTAGGGCCAGAACGCAACTCGAGAAAGAATTGTAACGTACATATGTGGCTCTGAACTAGCTTTGCACTTTGATCCTTCTGCTCGTTACTCCAGAACAACCAATGAGCTGGATCGAATGGATGGAGGAAGGTCTCGAGTGCAGCGAGCGCAAGGATTTTGTCTGGCACATTAGTGGGCAATCGCCAGTGAGTCTTTGCATACTCCAAACACCTGAGCACCGATGAGTGTTCTGCCGTGTAAAGAAGTAGGCCATCCTCGTGCAGAAAGCCTCCAGATATTTGGTGTATCTTAGGCAGCTCGATAATTCGTCTGGGAGAAACAGGCTGCAGAGAACAACGTTCGCGGCGATTTCTGCTTGCCTGAGTGAATTGGTCAATAGACCAGGGAGTATCGCGAGCGTTCGAGACAGGAAATTGAGACAATTCTGGAGGGCAATCCCAATAATCCATGTCTTGATCAGAGTCGGATGAAGAAGAAGAGTACTCGGACATTGTTGAACCACAGAGGAGATGAATAAAGCGATGTCAGAGATGGAAGTAGAGAAAGGGTGCCGGATTTATAGAGAATCTGAGCTGCGGTCGTTGTCAGAGCCGAGGGAGGAAACCACAAGTATGATGGGGGAGAGAGAGAGGGCGGCGTCGTGTTTTATATGACAGCCACGCCCAAGTCCTGCATGTATTAATCGGGTAATTCTTTGAATTGATATTTCTCATCACTTCAAGTGCGCAAAGATACAGCTACATTTTTTCTGATGGATATGCAGAAAGCTGCAGACGCTGCTCACAATTGTTAGCTCGCATTGTATCATTTCCTTTATCTTCCAAAAGATCCTTTATTATGGGCTACACAAGGTTCCACAAAGGCTTCGCCATCACTTCGGGTCGATCTTTCCGAGATCGACAGATGTTGACTCGCATTACTTTAGGTTCTCCAGCTCACTCTCTGCATGCATCCTTACCTGGTCTGCTAGTTTGTTCCAGGTGCTTTGCTCTACATCCAACGTAGGTATCACCCTGATGGCTCGTAATACGAATCGTGTGTCCATTTTTGGAAGCTTAATCAAGTGTGGCGGTAGCACCGGAGCGATAAGTTCTTTCTGTAATCGATAATCCCAAAGATCAGACTGATTACTAGCATGTCAAAAGTAGTCGATACACTTGCAGAACATTTCTCTAGATGACCGACAACTTGGATAGAACAGAAATTATCTTGAACCCAGATGTTAGCCGACCGGTCCAGACAGAGTGTGACATCGACGAGAAGAGCATCATCCTTGTCACAAAGTAAGATAAGGCCTGTTGTGGAATCGTAGCACATCATTCTGAAAGAGCATATACTGAGGAAGAATGTATCTTATTCATGGTGAGCACTTGGATCTAACCTGCCGACAAGCAGAAGTTTTTGGCCTACGAGAGCGTTGCCGACTGCACTCAGTCGGGCAGGTGCAGCATAGTTTGGGAGAATTGACATGGAACGACCAGGATGGCTTTGGGAAGAATAAGCGCTGCTATAGTCATGGGCGCCTGCCTAAGTTGTTCATATGTTTGGCTTTGATTGTCTTTGACACGTTACCGGTTCACCGCGCCTCCCGCCGCGTACGACTTTTCCCAGTGCTTTTCCTGGTCCAATTTTCTCTGTCCTCTTTCCGAAAACAGTCACACTCAAGATGTCTGGTGCGGTCGCAAATTTGGCTATCTCTCTTGGTGCTATGCAGGGTGTGTCACTTTCATATCTGTCCGTAATAACTCAGTGTTAACACTGTTTCCTTCCTGTCACCAATCTTGCTCGTTCATATCTCATAACGAATAACAAAAAGTGGCCCGCAAAATTCCTTTCGACGATCCCGAAGTGCTAAACTATGCTCGCATTGGATATGTTGCGACTCAGTTGACCCTCCTTGGTATCTACTACTATGTCTCAATGGTAGTACGTAGTCCTGCTTCGTTTGACGCAATGACTTTCAACTCACGATTATCTTCTTCTTTCTCGTCAACTCCCTCTCGGACATCTTACTATACCTTTTGAATCAAGATCAAGAAAAAGAATGACCAGACTGTCCTCAAATATGGTATTTACCGGGTTATGCCTTTCCTCGCTGAAATACTGATAAAATCCTACATTTCTCTGATATCTCATTCCCCTACCCTCTATGCTTCATCGTGTATCTCATGCCCCGCTCATGCCGGTAGTCGAACCACCAAGTGCTATGGTACGTATTTCGCCCTATCCTTAGATTTGGGTCCTTACTAGTTAACACAGGCGCCCCAGGAAGAAGGGAAACTAGTAACGACGACAGTCCGGGACTATGATCTTGCAGAGGTTTCAAAGTTGGTACGTCTAAACATAAGTTACAGTCTGGTACAATAGCGCTGTACCTGACTCGTCGTTCTCCAAGCTCCGTGCGGTCTATATGGGCATTCTAATGATGGCTTTCCTCCATGGATACATGAAATTCACTCAGCCGCTATTTATCCAAAGCTTGATGGGATTGAAGGTGCGTTTACTTAGTGAGGTAGTTTTGTTCTAGGTTTAATCTTAGGTTATTTCCCCTTTATATGTAGGGTTTGTACGATGCGAAACCCCTTGCCATTCACATACTCGGAAAGCCTGCTGAAGGTGAACTGAAAAGACCATTCAAGGCTGCTCCAGGAATCTTCGGTGGTGAGTAATATTGTTGACAGTTATCTGGAAATCTTTGATTGACTTTTGCAACATCCCAGGTGCCACTGGTGGACCTCAGACCGACAAGGCTGCAATCACTGAAGCTGAAAAGAAAGTGGGTGGGAAAAAGGATGATTAATCTGTACTCTGCCTGTATCTATTCTTTGGACCGGTTTTGTAGGACCTGCTATCGCTAGAGGAATATCCATCCCGAAAATTCTATAAATCAAAGTGGAGCTGAGCCCAGTGAATGTCTTCATTTTCCGAATGCATACCAGCATGACAAGTTCGACAAGATGATCAGATAGATACAGGACGGGAATACATATGTTTTTACATAGAACCATCTCGGGTCAAAAACTCTCTATATATCAAATCTCCTTTCGACGACATGGTCGTTCACAGCAGTGACAATCCTCCTCTCATCGAATGTTACGCTCCTTTTCGCACTAGTCAGAGCAAGTGCACCATCGGACGACTTCTCTATCATTGGAGCAGCCACTTCCGTACCTGTTGTGCTCTCCAAGTCCCACACCCAAATACTTCCATTCACACCAAAACTCACGCAGCGCCCATCTGAAAGAGCTAATGCAGCGATAGGACCCATTTGTCCGTGCAGAGTGCGAACAAACGAGAGTTTTGGGCCAGAAGATGATACAGAAGTGGAAGAGGGTAGAGACAGGCGGTAGAGTTGAAGGCTGGTGGGAGAGTACAATGAGGAAGCGTAGGGCGGTGATGACGAACTCAGAGATGAAGTCGAAGAGGGTGACGAGGGCATCGACCCATGAGACTCTGAATGTGTGTCCTCGGGTGCGAGTACAACGAATTTTCCATCCGTTTGTGTGTCAGCTACGCGATAAACCTTTCTACTCCACTGTTCGCGCATGACACGAAGCTTCTTTTCATCGACCCATCCTTGTGGAACATCCAACGCTCTAGCAGTGCGCGTGGATGTTACAGTCATAGGTGTGTGTGTCGGGACGAGGAAAGACGAACTGTGTGGCAGCTCAGAGTTCGTTGAAGGACCTGCAATGATCAGTTCTGTGGCTCCAACTGACCAATGGGCTGGATAAACTGGAATGGCATACGCCAAGACCAATTTATAGGTGGCAGCTGAGGTGGTAGATAATACCAGTGATGTAGGTGGAAACGACGTGAAACTACTCAATGTCTGCGTCAAAACAGCACCCCCAGATGACAAGTCATATATTGAAAGTGTGAACGCCTCGGAAAGTGTTATGAGTAACGGATGGTAATACACAGCTTGAATAATGGGGCATACACGGCTAGACCTTCGTAAGGGCGTGTAGGAAAGCTCGGTACTAGAGGATGCAGGACGGTTATGATCTACAGAGAACACTCTGAAGTCCCCGGATGATAAAAACGAAATGAGACGAATGTGTCCTGACAATGGAGCAGACTGATCCAGAGCAAGAGCAGTGACATGAGCAATATGTGTTGTTGGACAAGCCAAAGTATGCTCCTCGCCAGCAACATGCTGGACATATATCAAGGGACATGAGCTCGATCGCGATGTGGCTGTTATGGTTAGAGATCCAGCAAGCAACATATGGCTCTGCTTAAGAGATTCCATTCCCAAGCCTTGTACGAAAGGCCTCACATCGTCCATCGCACAGCGACCTGCACACAGTGAGAAATGATTCATCGTACTGGGAGAAAACGACATACCATTTTTCCAATTTGAACTTATACGGAACATCCATTTCCAATCTTTATGGTCCTCGACTTTGGCTCTTCCGGGCAACGACTTGACTTCCCGGCCATCCGTACGTCCGACGAAACCCCTAGCGCCTCGTAATCTCGGACGTCCAAAGTTTCTGAGATATAAATTTCTCCAAAGCTCATTATCTGTGGCAAGCCTGTACCAGTTCCCGCTAGTAGCTTGACATGCGCAGAGGTCCGCGAATGAAAGCCGAGCAAAAACACACAAAACGAGTTCATCAGATAAAGATTCGAATGATGTCGGTGAAGTTGAACTTGATTCAGATATTTCTGAAGATAAGTGGATCTTCTTCGAAGGTGGTAAAGGTGCAGGGGAGAGACGATGTTTCGACATGACTGTAAGATGCCAAGCTTGACTAAGATCTCTCATGGCCCCATCCCGAGGCCCGTTACCCCTCGCTCGAACTCTCCATGTAACTCTTGATGGGCACAAGGGCCCAGTCAATGTTGCTCGCTATGCAAAAGGCTCTGCAAAATACATTCTCACTGGCGGTCAAGATCGTACAGTAAGGCTCTGGAATGCCAGCCTCGGGACCGAAATCAAGGCGTTCAATGCTCATGGCTATGAAGTTTTATCTATTGCAGTGTATGCGAATGCGCTTTCGGCCTTGACAATGACTTTCTAATGGGATGCTAGGGCTCACGATAATGCCAAATTCGTATCTTCTGGAGGCGATCGTTCCGTATTTGTCTGGGATGTTACGTCGGGAACGACAACGCGCAGGCTTCCAGGACATATGGGTAAGATAAATGCCGTCGAATTCAACGAGGACGCGAGTATAGTAGCTAGTGGTATGTCATTTTAACGAACAGAAAATAGTTTGGCTTAATCGCCATCAGGTTCATTCGATTCGACCGTCAGACTATGGGACCTGAGGTACTTATTACAAATCGCTTCTTTCATAAATGGCTGAGATCGTTATGTAGAGCCCAGTCTCGTTCGCCTATACAGATCCTGGAAGAAGCCAGGGACGCGATCCAAACGATACACATCGAATCCACCTCAATTACAACAGGCTCTGTCGACGGACATGTTCGGACGTACGACCTTCGGAAAGGTGAATTGCGGTCAGATTACATTGGCCGTAAGTGTATTGAGTTATTCAACTAGAGTTCAAACTCATATACTTCACATATAGACCCCGTTACTGCTGTAGTGCCTACGCAAGACTCACAAACATTTCTAGTTACAACCCTAGACTCGCACATTCGTCTCATCGATGCAACCAACGGCAAGATGTTGAACGATTTTATAGGACATACCAATTCCTCTTATCGATGCAGAGCTTGCTTTGGACTTGGGGAAGCGACCGTTGTATGCGGAGATGAGGATGGCATGGTATGGGCTTGGGATTTGTTAGACGTGCGTTTCTTGTGGATTTTCCATTACCACTATGAACTGACGGTTTCTCTTTAGGCAAAACTATTGCAACCCAACCCTCCGCCAAAGGTGCACAGTAAGGTCATCACTTGGACTGAACACCACCCATCCGACGCAGGCGAAATGATTACTTCTAGTGCAGATGGAACATGCAAAGTATGGCGATTGAACACATAACAGGTGGATACGTGAAATTCTTCTCTGTGAATATATAGATACAGCTTTCACACCAGTAGCTATTGTCGGTCCCGATTGAGAGGACGTTCACCGCTTCATTTGATTCTGAGCCTCTACACACACAAATATGTTAGCAACATTCTGTACGGCATTGATAGAACGATCAGGGAATACCTCTGCGTGTTGCATCCTCTAGTAGCTGTGTGTCAACATGCTCTGCTGGCAATTGCACGTAACGAACGACAGATCCACGAATGAAGCAGTTTTTCACGGCCATCTAATTATAAAAGTTGATTCTAAGAAAACAATCGATGAAAAAGAGGCCGACCATATGTGGATGTCTGGCTTCGTCCAATACGGTGATATTGTCAAGTCGTATATTCAGAAATCTGGGAAGCATGAATTTCGATAAAAGGGCAATTTAAACACAGGAACTTACTGGTCGACCGATTTGAGTACACCGGTAATCGAGAGATCATTCTTGAGCTCGACAGTGACCTGCTGGTCTGTTAGGGTTTTGAACACAGAGAAAATGAGCTGTAGAAACAAACGAGAGATCAGACTGGTCAGATTCCTGGCGGAGAGCGGAAAGAGCGTGCCATGTCCACCGAACGATATGAGGGAGCGAAAGAAAGGAGCGACAGGTAGTGACTGATCCACATTCCTCTAATTTATCAAACTCGAGGGATTTCATTCTGACTTATAGCAGCTGCAGCTGCCGCTTACGATTATACAGAAACGAAAGACAAGGAAGCATGGTTGAAATTGTAGTAGAATATAAGCATGAGGCGCATGATACATAGAAGTACTAGCTCTGGCAATTTCGCGTCTCGACAACCATAAAAACCCAAGCATCTCGTTCGTTTTTATGATACAGAAAGGGAAAGGATAAAGTGCTTATGCATTATGTGCGTGCTTCTGCTTTCCAGTCCTAATCTTCCTGATGTAGAACTAAAGAAGGAATATATGAATAAATTTCGAGGTAGAAAACAAATGAAAACACATACCTCCAGCTCCTGACCCTCGAGAATGTAACCGTCACAGCGACCTGACTGCCCTGGGCGAGAGGAGATGGCGGCATACAGACGACCAGCCGCAAATTGAGAGTCAAGGAGTGGCTCAACCTTGGCCTCTGCACAGGAGATCAGCGCCCACTTGATTGAAAGTTTTACCTAGACTTACCTTTTTTCCTAGCATCAAGGCTGCGCTGGGCATGGTTGGAGAGCTTGACGGGCTCAGCAGCTGCGTCGGTAGGAGCAGGTGCCTTACCCCTCTTGGTTACAGGCTGAGCATACTATTGATAACGATATTTGAGGAAACATATCTAAAAGGTTGGGGATGCACTCACGTGGGATTCATACCATTGACGAAAGGGTGTAGCATCGACCTGGATGATGGCATTTTTTACTAAAGTGTTCGTTCGTACAAGCTCGTTGTTGGATGAGTTGTAAACCTGTCGGGAATTAGCCAGCCAGATCGATAGTCAAGATGAATGTGTGACGCACGACACCAATAATCCTGGTCTTTTTTGTAACATGCTCAGAAGCCCACGCAAAGTTCCCAGAATCCAAGCGAAGGGCACGGTATTTCAGGTTTCCACCTCGGACACGGACGGTGTGGACACGCTTGACCCCAAGTTTAGTATTGGCAGGCTGACGACCGAGCTCGAATTTTCTCTTTTTGCGGTAATGCGCGCGCTGCGCTCCAGAAGCAGATCGTTTGTAACGGGATGAACGAGAGATACCTAGCAGATCATCAGTCTCTCGCATTCGACCAGCAACATCGATACCCACCCATGATGTTGCGCTCTTGCCTGCGCCTGTCTTGTACTGTGATAGAGTATACGTGAAATTCCCAATCGGTGTAAAACTGTGCAGTTGCTTATACTATCATACACGTGACTACTCGGGATTGATAGGCAGATTCCGACAAGCGCTTGATTCCAACACTTAGATTGTGGGCGACGACCACCGCTACAAATTTGTACCTCCGATCGTCTTGCGCAGTTCGCCTCACTGCAGCAGCGTGCACAATGTGATTCCTGGATAAATCCCAAAATGAACCGCACGTCTGCTCTCGCTATAGCGCTGCCCTCTTCATCTTAGTGATGCCTTTCTTCAAGTATTCCGCTCCAACCTTCCGAAGACGAACCAATAAGTCGGTTTTTTCTTTTCCTGGCTCAAAAACAATGAGCAGTGAAATCGACAAGCTCTTGGTGACACTGACCGACCCTGCTGCACGCAAAGTTTGTTCAAATTTCTATTTGTATGTCCTTCGGACAAGTTGTTTACCGTTGCGACGTGGCATAGGGCTTCGAAATGGAAATGTTGTCATTTAAGCAGATGTTTTCTCGGTATAACTCTGGTAAGGAGCAAGGTACAAAACTGTGAGCCATTGAATTGTCTTAGGCTTGAACATCGTAAATCATGGATCACAGACATTGGGCCGAGATTAGTCCTCCTCCCGCAGGTCAACTTGTGATGTATGATAGTTTGTCCCTGCAAGCAGACTTGACAAGCCTTAACAAACTCGCTGTGTTGAAAGTGAACGGTGGTCTCGGCACATCGATGGGTAACCATCTTCGGTCCTGCTTACGCTACATAATTCTTACATTCTTTCAGGAATAAAGGGAGCGAAAAGTGCACTTGAGGTTAAGAATGGTTTAACATTTCTTGACCTAATTGTGCAACAAATACAGCACCTAAATACGACAATGCACATTGATGTTCCCTTAGTTATCATGACTTCTTTTCAGACTCAGGCTGACACTATTCGAGTAATCAAAAAATATGCCAATGATTCTGTCCGCGTCCTTACTTTCAATCAATCCCGATATCCCAGAATACTCAGGGATACCATGCTTCCGTGTCCAAGGACTGCAGAAGATGAAGGTCGCTCATGGTACCCCCCTGGTCATGGTGACCTGTTCATGTCGCTTCGCCGCTCAGGGGTCCTTGAACAGCTACTTTCCGAAGGCAAAGAATATCTATTTGTCTCAAATTCAGACAACCTAGGAGGCGTGTGAGTGAAGATGCCTTCAACTACTTGGATTTTTTTTTGAACTTCCACCTTCACTTGCGCAGTGTAGACACTGCTATTTTGCAGCATTTTATTGAATCTGACTTGGATTTCCTTATGGAAGTCACCAACAAAACCAAAGGCGATCTGAACGCAAGCATTGCCTACATTTTCCGTCCATCTTGTTGTAATGGCAACTTCATCTTCTAGGGCGGGACACTAGTAAATTATGACGGGACACTGCGGTTGCTTGAACTTGGTCAAGTGCCATTCGAACACATCGAGGACTTCAAATCTGGTAAGTGCATATACATTAGTTTGTCAGTGTCAGTCAATTATCAATTGTGAATAGTATTCAATTTTAAAATCTTCAATACGAATAATTTGTGGATAAATCTCAAAGGTTTGTTTCTCTGTGACTGCTATTGGAAGATACGACTAGAACATTGCGATTACAGCGCTCAAACGGATCTTGGACAACGAAGGGCTAGACTTAGACATTATCGAGAAGACCAGAAATTTAGATAATGGGGAAGTTGTCATCCAGGTTAATGATTCCCTCAGTAAATTTTCTACTAGCTGACATGTTTCACCTCCTTGCATAGCTAGAAACTGCAGCTGGTTCGGCGATCCAACATTTTAAGAAGGCTCAAGGGATCGTTGTCCCTCGTAGACGTTTTCTCCCTGTGAAGAATTGCGCAGACCTTCTCTTGGTCAGGAGCGACATATATCGAATCGAGAACGGCCATCTGATCCCCAATGATTATCGTCTGTTCCAAACTACACCAACGATAAAGCTCAGCGATAACTTCCAAAGTGTAAATTGCTTCTTATCTACTTCAACCTCTCGGCTCACACCATGGATGGTAGATTGACGAATTCCAGTCTCGTTTCAAGACAATTCCCAGTATTTCCGAACTGGACCATTTGACGGTCACTGGAGACGTACATTTTGGTCGCGCCTGTGACCTTCGAGGGACAGTCATAGGTGCGTCACACCACCTTGATAGGGGTAAGTGTTTTTACATGTAATCATAGTGGCTGCTACAGAAGGCCAGAGAATCGATATACCTGACGGATCGGTATTAGAAGATCGTGCGTAATTTACACTCGTTGTTCTGTGATTCGTTCTGACCGGACTTATTCCAATCAAAGGACTTGTGGCAGGCAATCTTAATATGATTGTGAATAAATGCCTTTTAGTTTTTCTTTGTTCCAAGTATTCATAATCAGTTCATGGTCCACAGGAACTCTAATCTTTATATATGTGATGAGCTCATTCTCCGCCTCCCCACCGACAGCTTCCGTCGCCGTTTCCGTCGTCTCCCGGATGTTTCACTAAATTATTCGATACTTTTCAGTCTCTTTCAGTTTGCGATTGTCATATGTATTCGTATACATTACATACACATACATATCATGTTGTAAGACTATCACACCTGAAATAGAAAATATTCCGCTCGACAGAATGACAGGTTGAATCATGGAATATCACTGGCTGCTGAATGATGCCATGAATCATTGTATTTCAGAGCAACTGAAACGTGCATACATTCCCATTCAGTTCAACAGGATTGTGATAATTCAATGGTGACTGAATCATCTACTGAATCATCTTGGTTCTTTTGTCTTTTCCATCCAGCAGAATTTTTTCTCCTTCCGGTGTGTATTGGGACGCGTGTCTACACCATGGCATTGATACAATCGCTCTCAAGCGTTGCCATCCCTGATTGGGTCCAAGTTTCGCGCAGCCACTCCATCGAACAACATCTACATACCTCATACACAACTGTCACGACACTGCATGCAAGCCAATGCAAGCTCAACTTCCCTCGTCGGGTGAGCGTTGTTGAAGGACTGTTGTTACTTGAAACTGAATTGAGTGGTCGTTGAAGTTTTAGGTTTGTTGGCTACAGGTTGCGATTTTGCCTTAACTAGACAGAAAGAACAAGAATTCATCTGGAACCAGAAGTTAATACCTTGTGATGCTGGATTTCAAACATATACTTGCTCATGCATATCCACCTAGAAAACCTTTCCGGTTGACGTTTGTAAAGGGCCTGTTCATTTCAATGCGATATCTGGCCTTCGTCATTCACATGTATGTGGTGACTTCTCACCTCATCGTAGTACACAACTTGACCGATCATGGCCACAGCGTAAATATCGTGCTTTCGAGTATATGGTCAGTCGAGTTCTCCAATGCGCAGCGGGCCTCCGAAGAGGCATGCAGGATTTTGTTGATATTTCAAATTATATCCTGCTATACGATGCTCCTTTTATTGCAGTTAATTCTTATGCTTCGAGGTCTGTCTTCATGAGCTCTTGTATTCGTAAGGTCGGCTCATACGTCTTTCTAGTGTTCGCTCTTTACAACCGTAGTTTGAGAATGGCCATATTTCTCTTCTTGTTGTTTGCATGCAGAACGGCCATGTCAATCTACACCTCGTTCAGTAAAAGCGCCCACTCTCCCAGGCACATTAAGTTTGGTAGGTATTGCATCCCCAAAATTTCATTGAGAGAGCAGTCTATAGGGAATCCTACCTTGGTGTTCATGTAAGCTACTTTCCTTAGTGATTGGTTTACACTAATACAATAAAGATATGGAGAGCTGCTTGTTCAATTGGTGATTCACGGACTGGCTTGGAAGCGAACTATCTGGGATCTTCGCCAATATTATTCATACCCTCCCCCGGCGTTATTGTCCGTCCTCAACAGAGATAGTTTGAAAGTATTCATGGGCATTTCAGGTGCTGTCCTCCTCCATCCGTGTAGACTAGGGCTGACACCGGAATAAAACAGTTGCAATGGCTGCAGTCGGAGTTGCAACGCTCAAAATTTTCTTTCCAGTGACATTTATTTTCCCGTGAGCTACTAGTATGTCATTGCCAGTGTCATATGCTGAACATTTCGCAGCCTTTTCATATCATTAGTTTCTGCTTTGGTATGGTGACCTCTATAAACATTTATTGCTTGCAGCCTCTGAATACAGGTCCAGGGATGTCGCACAATTCTCAATTTCATCTGCAAAACCTGTATGTTCGGCTAAATAGCCGAAAGCAGCTCAGAGCACTTCCCAGCAGCGAAAGCACCCAGAGCAGGCTTTGATTTTTGCTTTGGGTGCTTTCGTCGCTGGAGAGCGCTCTCCAGCCAGTATCCTTGCTATGGCGAGTATACAGGTTTTGCAGATGTTGCAAAGATTGGATGCATTGACTGAGCCAGGAACATCAGAACCCCACAAAGAACCAGAGTTGACCACTATCGATAACTCGAGCATGACCAACTGGGACGCCGCTTGGGATTCAACCACTTTTCACATGGAAGACTCTCACCCTCATCGAGACACCAGGTGAAGGGGACTAATTCCTTACTTGGTTGACCCACTGCCAGAAACAGCTTGATATACTGTATGTATGAATAAATCACATCACTGCCGACATGAACACGCAGCTGTAGTTTTATTTCCTATGCAAGGAGTGTATACAACTTCGGTTTTCGACCGCAGAGTAACCCAGAGGGATGAGGATGGACATGTACAGTAAATATAACGGCAGATTTCATTGAAGAATCGGAGACTCATTCGGATCAACGGCATACCTCATTGTTTATTCCCTGATACAGTGCTCAAATCTCAGTGTCTGACAGAAATTAGTTTGACTGGGAGTCTGGGACTAGTCAATTTGACAATCATTCATAGCAAAGGTAAGTCAGGCATAGTGGGCGGCATTCGCGCCAATCCTGCAAATGTATTGCATTTTGAGCGCCGAAGTGTGCCGGATCTGTTGTACCGGCAATGCTCGCTGAGAGCCAGGAGGCGCAAACTAAACTGTGAAAAGGAGAGAAAGTAGTAAACACTGAATATTAGTCATGTATATGCACCAGTTTGTTCCAAAAATTGACCTATGGAATGAGATGAGAGAATTGTGAGTAGGATGTAAATGAAGAGAGTAGGAAACTATGAAGGCAGTAGAATTTTCGAAACATTGAAAACTGCCTCCATATGCGAACCTTCTTCGTCCGGTTATCGGGGCCAGGGTGTCAGCCAAGGTTTCAGAGCTTCCTAGAGTACATACTCGCTTCGAAATACTGAGGACTTGTGGGCACCGTACATTGTAAGAACAGTCGGTTCGAAGTTGGTACAGGAAAAAGACAAACTAGGTCGTGGATGGTCTCACAGCGTTATCAGTAATAACTTGGTAATCATATTATAATGTCCGTCGGTTTCGAGTTCTTACAGCCATACACACTTCTAGGTAAAAGCCAATTCAGGGTATCAGAGATAAACCACAACGAAGGTCGACTTATAGCTCCTGTGGTGCGAGAGAATGTGAGACGTATGTCGGACATCAGATTTATTGGCCTGACACGTACTATCATGTTTAAGTTACCAGACAAGAGACGGTTCTCTAGAATGCAGCCGTCAGGAATGTCAATCCTTTGACCTTCGTTGGCAACCACTGTAAACAAACGTAAGTCTTTAGGAGCACAGTGGAAGCATTGAACCCATACCAATGACAGTGCCTCTTAGCGTAACGTTACGACCGAAGTAGACGTCACCTGTGACAGTAAGATGGTCGAGCTCGATGATTTTAGGGATTTTCTTGAAGCGTTTCTGGAATTGTTGTATCTGCAATCGATGATATCAGTAGGCGCACGTTCGTTTTGTGAGAAGCAACCAAACCTTCTTAAAATGATCACCCAATTTGATAACAGGCGTTGTTTCGAACATTCGTTGCTCGTTGATAACAAGTTGACCGTGGCTCAAAGAGTAGATATCACTCTTGATCAGAAGGAGGTCAGAGCAGCTCTTGACAGGTAAGAAACGCTTGCGAGGAACGTTGATTCCGTGTGCGTTCCTGAAGTGCTTGATAGCCGCACCAGCAGCGGTTTCGAGCTAGAAGTATGGTTTCAGTTCCCTACACATGGATTACACGCATATACACCAACTTGAATAACCCCTTGGCCGTCGTCAGTCATCTTGGGGTTGATGATGATATCAAGTTCCATTCCCTCATGCTCCATGATGTGTTTCAGAGCCTTGAGATTGACCCACAGATTATTGGTGTTGAAAATCTTGAACTTTCGGACTAAAGGAACGTCAATGATACAGAATAGGATGATATATATACGACAACGTACCAGACTTGAAGTCTTCGACATGCTCCGAAGGAACTTGAGCAATCTCGAGCAATCGCATCGAACCGTCGTAGTCGATGAGGGTACCACCCTTGACGTCGGCCTTGGTCTTGTCAGTGACCTCCATCAAGAATTCGGCTTGAGATTCAATCATATGCTGAAGAATTTTCTCGTCGACGCTAGAGAGTTATATGTAGGCCAATGTTAATTATTACACGCTTTTCAAAGACTCACACTGCACCCAAATTATCCGAGTTGGACACGAAAAGGTATTCTTTGCCCTCAGCAAGGAGCTGGTCAAGAACACCAGAATGAAGGAGGGCGTTGTACAAGTCACCGTGGCCCGGAGGGTACCAGTTCTTCTTGTCGTCGTCAGCACGCTTGGGGCAAGGCAAAAGAGATTCTTTGAGGATCCGAGGGTATCTTGACTGGTTGAAAGTGGTGATACGCAGCTGTTGATTAGCGTATTTCTTGATGATGCGGAGGGTGTCATCGTGAGTGTTGAAGGAAGTCATGAGGATGAGCGGGACATCAACACGACTAGTAGTGTTCAGATGCTCGATCTGACGAACAGTGAGATCAAGGAAGGTCATATCGTCCTTGACTTCGAGAGCACTTTTGGCACCGGTCATCCCTGGTGATCGTGATAAGAATGATGGACAGAATATATAGAGAGCAGACGCACCCATAGAGGTACCGAGACCTCCATTGACTTTGAGAACAGCAAGTTTGTTCAAATTTGAGCTGTCCTTAGGCGCAACAAGTTTGGCGTAAGGAACAATCTGCTCCTCAGCGGGTGACTTGATGCGATCCCAATCGCTGTACGCAGGTGAGGCAGCGTAGTGTTGAGAAAATGGAGAAAACTTACAGATCCTGGCTCTTTGCTCTCTCAGAGAGATAACGCGTGAAAAGGTAGAAAAAGGATTGCATCTCTGTGTCGAAAGCCTGTAGATACGCAGATAAATCGTTGAACAGCGCATCGCGAAGAATCGCAAGCGATACTGACCTTCTTAGTTGCTGGGTCTTCAACTGTCGAAACAATGCGGCTAATTTCATTGCGCATCGCCTTGGCAGCGACTCCAGTCGTGGCCGTTTTGAAGTCGATATGACTTGTACCGCGAGCACGGGCATTGAAGGAGTCGCTTTTTGGCATCAAATTCGACATGCTGAGGAGGAAACGCATTAGAGAAGTGGGAAAGCAAAGAGAAAAAGGGAAAAACCTGAGATCACTGAGGTGAATTGGTGAGGTGGTGGTGGTTGAAATCAGAGTCTGGAGCACTGGCGAAGAATTTGTTCGAACAATCGTGCGTGGTCGATGACGTCTTTGCAAGTCGGCAGTCTGCTCCTCAATTTCAGAGATTGCCTCGAATTTACTGAGAGTGGTATACTGACTCCAAGACTTTCGTTTGGAGCGGTAGGGTAATCCTAAGTTTAAAGAGGAGGGCGTCGTGGCGGTTTATGTAGAAAGATTTCTTTTTTTCTCTTCGAAAAGTACAACGTGCTCATTACTACCCGTTATATACATCTCCTCTCTCTTATCTTGCCCCCTGTCCTTTTACATACATCCAATATAATCCTGCCTCGCTGTCAATATAATTGTGCGAGTTAGGCTGTACCAATTCACCAATAATTTTGTGAAAGCCAAATATGTCGCAGTTGCCCCTAGTGGCCCTGGCCCTGGTCTAGGCAGCAAGCTTGCATGAAAATATAAGTAAGATCTATAGGTTACTTACATCTAAAAGCACACCGCGTTAACTATATGTATAACTTCAAGTATCCAATGGATGGGACGTCGAACCGTCCGTCCATACGTCTGTCACTAACTTGATAGGCACTGAGTGCTGGTGGGCTAATAGCGGACAACTTCGCGGATTGGGGGGCGTGATTGCGAAAACGATATAGTCCTGAAGGATATGAATGCTCCAGTGTTCCTCTATCACAAACAACGACATGATCCGGTGCTTACTTTGACGATCACTGTTCCAATATTGAACCCTCCGTATTGCACCATATCCTTTTCAACTCGCACTTCACCTTCCCAGTCAACATACGTATCGGCCCCTTCAACGGCAGTGGTATATATTGGAGGTGCAATTGCTCTTACTCTTCCCTCCACCAACGTTGCCGTTCTCCAACATTTTCGCGTATTGACTTCTACCATCGTTTGTCGGGATATGAATACTCGAACGCTGGGTCGCTCTGTTCCCGAATTCGGGATTTCTGGTGATAACAGAAGCCGTAATGACGCCAAGCTTGAAGAGATCTGAATGTGAAATGGTATGGTATCAGAGAGCCCGAAGGCTCCGACAGAAGGGAAAAAGAACTGTACGAATACATCTGATTAGGACTGTCGAGAAATACCCTCAACGCACCCTACATGAGATAGGTTTCAAGTCGGGACTGTCTGTCCTGCGAATGCGCATGGTAGATTCTAGTTCCAACCAATCCTCTGGTATCTGTTTTAGAGTCGCTAAAAATCTATCCAGGTGGAACACCGGCCGTTGCGGTCTTGTTCTCGGTCGATAATTTAACCATAAGGAATAACTACCTTGTGCGACTCAGTGATCTTGAATGCGAAGCGTCCATCGACAACTCACGACCTCGAAGGCTTCCAAAATGCCATCTTCGAACTGTTGTGGATGGTGACTTTTAGGATATACGAGCATTGTGCAGAAATTGCGGGGAGTTGGTAATATGCTTCAGAGAACGAGGGCGGTATAGATCGAACGCGATCCCCGTGTTTGAATGTCGTGGGGAATGCAATTGAGAATGGGAGGACGCTCGGACATAGGTCCTTATGCGCCGAGTCCCGAGACCACAACACCGCACTCTCCGAAACCACAGGAATTGTGGCTGAGCCCGAGTCCGATATAGATACGCGAAGACGGCCTTTCAGCTAGAACAGACATATCAGAACAGCTCAACTTGTCAGACCATTGATTACCTTTATGGAGACACTCAGCACAGATGCGCTGCTTCTAAGTCCGATCTCACCATGAATTGTAGAGCCCCGGCCATAAGTGGGACATTCCTCGGCCGGATTTTGGTCTTTGAGAATGATTGTCAGGAAACTGCACGTCTTTGTGATGTTCACCAAAACATTTGTCGGTGCATTCCCTCTCGGAGTAAACTCGACTGTCTCTTCGCCTTCGGGTAGGAGATAGGAGTATCGAGGAGGGGAGGGGGTAGGGAAGTAGTTGGGTGGGAGAACCATAGACATCTCATGGAGAATTCGATGTAAGCAGTCACTCACATCAGATGATCTGAAAGGAAGCTTGGGATTTGGTTTCCTAGTCAGTAAAGGTGGGCTCCAAATGTGTAATCACTCTGAATGAGCATTTTCGATAGCTTCCCGCCGTCAGGCATTGAATCGTCCCAAAATTTGAATATTCCATATCACGATAACCTCATCCTACAATCGTACACTCATTCGTCCACGACAGCAATCAAAAGTCCAGAAAAGTCCATAATGAGATGAGAAATATGATCCCCAACGGGAAAATGGCCACGTCTCGGACATCACATAGAAATTCCCTGAAGAAGCCACCTCGCCTATTGCTTGCAAACACTAACTTTGTTAGAGTTTGTAATGACACCAGCCTACAAAATAATCTTCGACTTTGCGAGAGGATAGTGGGCAGTGCATTCTTCTTTGCAGTCACAGTAGCTGAGGCTGGTGGGGGCAGTCTTTGGTCCATGTCATTGTCATCAAGGGTAAACCCATACTCGTCTATAACGATCCTCGAACGAGTAGGCCTTCTGACATGTTTAGATTGCAAGGATCCGGTACCATCCTTTGATCTCTGCTTGGTATGCGAAAGAAATTGGAAGCTCCATCGGCATCGGCGGTAATGCTGACCACGAACGATACATGCGATGAGGATGAGGGCGAGGGAAGCTAGTGCCAGCGGAATGTAGACGTCAAGGTAGATCCCCAGTTGATCTGGCATTAAGCACGGTGCGTCGGATATTGTGCTAGTGAGGCCTCCTGGAGGTACGATTGAGAGCATTTGATATCCAGGCTTCTTCACACCCATGGCCATGCTCTGTGAGAAGGATTCAGCAGAACCACAATCCGTATGAAATTAAACCCATACCAAAGATTTCACAGTCACTTCGCGTACATTAGTACCAGTATATGAACCAAGAGTATGAGTATACTCGCAATAGTCATGATCATCACCACTGAAGATTACACTCAGACAACGACGTTGGACAGAATCTGAAGATTGTCATTACCTGAAAATCAAGGCCGGTTTCAAGTGTTCTAACAGAAATTTGGTCGAATCTTTTCCAAGAGTATTTTGGTATCCCAGGCCTACGCCTCGGCGGATCGTTCCTCGTTCTCGAACAGGTCCGCAATTTGATCCCTCAGGTCTCGAGAGCGGGATATGCGAAAACAAGATAGTTGGTTCGGTATTGTCTGCAAAAAGTTCAGAAGTTGTTGGGAAGACATTGCAGACTGAGAAACGTGTATGACCTTTTGCCGCAAATGATTTGACAAAATCTATCGTTCCTCCGGCCAGCGCTTTCCACTTATCGTAACTCTTCCCAAGGCCATGTCGCTTATAGTCTTCTTCTACCAACCCTGGAGCGTCTATCAATACGAATGTATGATTTGCGATAGATATTTGACTATTCAAAGGCCCGAAATGAGATGTATAACGCGTCCGGGCATGTGGCGAGAACAAAGTAGAAGGTCCTAAGCTACACGAAATCCATGAACAGCATAGACACGTCAAAAGTGGAACGATCCGCACCCTATGTCGTGGTTACCAGGGATGAAGTATCTCGGGATCCTACTGTCCATGGTGAAGATGTTCATGAACCGTTGAGTGTAGCGTTCATACCTTATTACACAATGTCAGTAGTGCTCGGCAAGTTTTTAAAAATTACTCACTCTGAGTCTGACATCACAGCTCGCCTAGACTTCCAGTTAACTAGATGTTTCCTCTAGAGGGAATCACATACCCGGAATCCATATAATCACCCAAGAAAAAGACCACATCAGGAGCAGACCGTAATGCTGCGCGCCAGTTCTTTCTCAGGTTGAGGTCAACCTAAGATGACCATAAGATGGATATAGACATTCTTCAATGAAGGCTAATACACACAATGAGTTGAGATATGTATGTCAACAACGCAGGTCGACCTGGGTATGAGCGGTGGTCGATAATTTGAGGGTCAGCAACGAGAAGTACATGTTCTGGTGTCTGGTCGGACTAGAGTGTTTTGTGAGGATTGTCCAAGTGACAGTAACTCGGTGAGGGAAAAACTGACATCTATCAGTGGCCAGCCACATTTTCCACTCCGATATCGAAAGATTCCGTAGTCATACCAGAAAATCAAAGAAATCCAGAAGAGGCGAAGGCCGTTGATCAATGTTCTCCTTTGCGAAAACTTATGAGAAACGGAGTGCATGACATGAAAAAGAGACAAGGGTAAAGTACATGTCTGACTCTGAGTAGCGAGCTGGTACCGACTACACTCCACAACATATACGGCACTGTGCTGCACTATATCCGACAGTTTCCGGGCTGAACATACACTTCAATGGCACGGTAGTAGTGGTGGCACAAGATCAACTAAGGTACAGGCACCAGAAGCCTTTCAAGTTCGAACTCTTACTTATGACAACTCTGAACGACGTCCAGGAGGTCCAATAACAGTTAAACTAGATCTACAAAGGGTAATTTCGGTTGCACGGTTGTATTATGTCTATTAATGATGTTCCTCGTGTCCTTCACCGTGACCTTCAAACGGGTGGTGTCCCTAACCAGAATGAAAAGATGAGTACTGTGCTGCGATAGAAACGACAACCACGTACCAAGAGTTTACCACCATCTTGCCTGCATGCGATCACGGAAAGTCAGATTGAGAATTTGAAGAGGCACGTAAGACGCACCGGAAACGGTAGAAGATGAAGAACCACATTGTTGCACCCAGTCCTTTGGCAAGAAAATTGTATCGGAAGCCCGGTAAATGGGGATTAAATCCTCCAGATGCTAGTTATTGATATGAGTAGCTATTCCAACGGAAAAGCAAAAGAGAAAGGATGAACCGTGGCCAGCCATTGTGGAGGTTGATAGAAACTCTGTAGAGTGTCACGGTCTGGTCATGCCGTGATAGTTCGTGATCCTGCCCGGAAGTGTCCGTGCCTCAGGTCACGGCCGTTGTTGTTGGATACTCACGACACCTATCGCGATGGACGCCCCTCAAACGCCTGGCAAACGCAAACGAGAGACAAACGCACCAAGAATCACGTATCATGCAGCGAGCAGGACGTTTGACAGGCTTTTCAAAGGCATGAACCAATTTCAATGAATCTTCCCTTGAAGTTTAACCACTGATAAACAGAAGAGTCCCTCGACGAAACTAAGGATGTAGTTAGAAGAAAACTCGGACTACCTGACTCTTCGAGTATTCGTCTTGCACAGATTCGGGGAGAACATACAGTAGATCTCGAAGATGGTGCGTTCTAATTTACCATCCAATGTAGCAGCCATCAATGATCCCACTTAGAGGACGATTTTGACGCGTTCTATGCGATGGCGCACTCAAGGATGACAATAGAAGTACAAGTGACAACAGAAGACATGGTGTGTTCGTCTTTAATTACGCGAGAATTATTCTCCTAACTTCGAAAAGTCTCCGTCTCACGCCAGTTCCTCTTCATCGCAAAATCACAACGCTGTATCTCCGCCTGCTCCTAGTAACAATATAGCTTCTTCCTCGCCTGAAGTCTCCGTGAACGATGAAATTAGGGCATCACGCAAGGTCACATTCCTCGATCCTGATACTCAGAACCTCCCTCCAAAAAAGCGGCGACGCGCTACACTTGCAAATCCCTCTGACTCCGCAGCACCATATGACTCTCAGCCTGATATCGTGGTTTCGCCTACTCGCGACATTTCCGATTCTGCAGAAAACCTACCAGAGCCAGCTATTCCTCCTAAAAAGATCAAGAAAAAGGCAGAGAGGACTATATCTAAGTCTTCGGAAGTGGAAACTAGCTCAAGACCCAGGGCTACTTCAATTACTAGAAATCATGACGATACGGAAGCTGTGAACAAGCCAAAGCTGAAAAAGAAGTCAAGGAAGGAGCCGGAGACTGAGCACGGCTCTACTTCTTCTACCTTCAAGGCTTCAGATGAAACTGCCAACTCAGCTCCAGCAGCCATTGCCAAATCTTCCAGGAAGTCGAAAAAACAGAAAGCCGAGACTTCTGTCAATGCCTTTTCCCAACAATTAGCCCAAACGATCACTGACGGGCATCGTGAGTTTAAGCACTCATTTTCTTTTCATGTTATTCTGAAATGATACTTTTATCACCTAGTTGCCTCGGCTGAACTTCAAGATGCTTCAGATCACGGCGCACCACCTCGTAAGTCACCGCATTGTGTCCTCATGCCCATTCTCTTGAATCGTGAACAGGTAGGCGGGTGAAGCATAGAAGTTCCTCAGTAGGTCAGTCGTTACACTCCAAGTCCATTCGATAACAGGAGGTGACCTGAGGTAACGTTTTGCTTTGATAGCTCCAGTCGCCAAGGCAAAAGTATCGGAATCACTAATAAATGGTATGGTGCCTACACTGTTCCTATAGGATGAACGTTGAATTTCGGTTAGGCAGGGCCAAAACTGCTGAACCAATGTCTGAAACAACAGAGCATGAGCGACCCGATGGTATAGAAACTTACAAAGTCTTTGTGTATTCGCTAATTATCCGTATCAGTAACAATCAAACCCAAAAAGAAAAAGAAACCAGAGGGTGAGTCTGGGTTTTCAGGCGATCACTTCAGATTCTGAAAGCAAACGGTCAGATCGGGTCTTTACTCCTGATGAACTCGAGGCTGTTAAGAGCGAAATGAACCGACTTGTGGCTTCATTGACAACCAATAAACCTCATCTATTGTCTCAAACGAAACCTCAGCCCCTTAAACCAACAACCCGCCTTTCTCAAAAACCCGCCACTTCTGCAAACATTCTTGCCATTGCGAAAAGCAAGGAGAGTCGGGTATGATTCATCATCCCTTCACGTTCGTACATCTGTTCCTCAACTTTTTCTTTCCTCATATTCGACCTTCTTCAAGACCAATTCCTCGACACCGCGCGAAGATGATGCTCCCTCTTCGAATTTGAAGAAATCTGTCATCCCAACCAAATCATCTCTTGCCTCTGAACCTGAATCAAGTGATGATGATGATGATGATCGTTCAGGAGTGATATCCAAACCGATATCGATTCCTCAGCCTCCCTCTACATCCAACTCTCTTGATAACATAGACTCTGAGCTTTACTTGGAAGAGCTTCTTCGAGGTCCCAATAAGCGGCGATTGACTCTTGACAGTATATTGCCTTTTGCTACTACACCTAACCGTAAGCGAAAAGCAGTCGTCTTAGAAGAGGACTCGATCGTGACTCCGAAATCTGTTCGTCGTTCTTTGCAGAAAAAGGTGTCTGCATGGCCGAGCTCGGACTCAGATAATGCCTACTACGAGTCTGCCTCTGACGACGTGGCATCGGTGTCCAATGGCCTGTCTGGTGTTGACCAACCTCCTACATTAGAGGACTCGAAAAAAGATTCAATTGGGCCAGACGATACCATAGAACCGGAATTACTTTCTGCTCCAGATGGGTTTGATGACACCCTTGCATCTGGTCAGGTCGATCCTGTTCAGACTCCAGCGCATAAAACGTTCACGGAGACTTTCTCAGAAATGCCTCATTCTGTGACGCCAACGAATAAACAAGCACCTGTCGTTCCCTGCATTCCATCCTCATCACACGGTTCTTCAGACGAACATGATCCCATCGAGCCAATCGTACCCTCTCCGCGATCCCATAGTCCCATCGAAAACGCGCTCGCTACGAAGAACTCAATGCCAACACACCGTACTAGAACCACTACAACGTATTCAAAACCTGAAATTGTCTTGGTTCGTCGGTCTACTAGGAAGAGCCAATCGCAACCGATTTCGAAACATGAAGCTGACGTCAGACAAAGTGTTGTCAGGTTGACAAGGGCCAAGTCCACTGCGCAAATACAAACACCTCGTAGTCCCGCTCCGCCTCCCTCTCCCACTCTGCCATCTCCCAGACGCCTACGTTCAGCCATTCAGCCCGCACGAGTCATCCACACCGCCGAGTCTCTGAATTATCAGACGCCTGCGTCCGTCCAGAAAAAACAGTCTCAGCCGTTGGCCAATATGTGGACGACGTTGCATGCTGAACCGTCATCGACTGTGGATGCAGAATCATCTCATGGTGACGATGAATTGCATTCGAGCCCGGGGCATGAACCAGCTACAGGACCGGAAAATCCACTTTTTACCGCTAGTGAAAGCCAGGTAGATTTTCCTTACTCCCAGTTTCAGGATATCAATCTCGACACGGATAATGGCGCGGATGAGCCGCTTATTGGTGTTGATCGTTTAGATGAAGATTCCGAAGAGGAAGAGGAAGTACAGGAGACTATCACACCTCGAGTAACTAGGCGGAGTTCTACAGCATACCGTGGTTTATCTGAAATCGCTGGCCAGAACAAGTTCTTCGCCGGCTTTCAGCCGAGTTCCGTCCCCACTTCTACTCCCATAAATTTCAAAGAGGATATGTATGGACCTTTGAGTCAAGCTTACGATGATGATGCATCAGACTCTGGATCAGAGTCGGGGACAGAGAAATCTCATATCCCTAGAGCGAGAAGAGCTGGAAACAAACGATAACATTACACCGCACCGAATCTGCTCAACTCCGTCTATTGACAAATCATTGCTAACAAAGTAATCATACTGTGCACATAGCTATCTTGGTTGTGACTATTGCCTTGGGGATCTGACCTCATAAAATACTGGTACTTTACTTGGCGCTATCAATAAATAAAATGCAGTGAGCACTATTTTTTTCGATACTTCCACTCTCCTCCACTATGAATAAGGTCTAGGCGCCTATATTCTTGGTTCCTAAGAATCCAGTTCATCAAACAGAAGGGAGTAGAGAACAAAAGTGTGCGGGTGAGTGAGGGTTCAATGTTGTCAACTTCGAGAGAGGAGGGGAGCTTTGTATATGGACTCTTGAGAGTTCGCAGACAATGATACCTGATGCAATCGGGGATTTCTGCATGAGCGCTAGCAGCACTTAAATCGACATTAGCCATACTTACGTGGCCAAATATCTCGACTTGCTCACTAAGTAATAGTACAGGTCAGCAGTGCGCATGAACTTTGAAGCAGAGTAAATGTCTTCCGAGTCCTGACATCAAATTCGTGAGAAACCTGTTGCATGTCATCATTTTTTGAAGCGCTAATTTTTTTTTCTGTCTTTGACTGCCGTTCGACTGCACACTGAGTTTGCTTGAAGCTTGTACATGCTCTTCACTCAAAACACTTGCGACGAGTACGTCTTCCTTTCTCCAGCTGTCAGTGGCTTCAGCTAATCTGATTTTGTCTCATATAGTTATCTGAGCGACCTCGTTTTTTCACTGTTAACTCATTGAGAAATCTTTTTCCGGGATGTATCGAAAACTTATCTATTTCCCTCGACTTGCTCGAGGATTGGCTACTACCTCTGGGTCTTCTATTTTACCCCCTGCTACCCTGCATCTGAAGAGTGGACAGTCATTTCTGGGTCGTTCATTCGGAGCGCCTAAAAGTATTTATGGGGAAACCGTCTTTTCGACTTCAATCACTTCGTGTAAGTGTCAAACACCAATGTCCTCAGCTTGCGCTCATTGCATATAGATACCGAGTCTATGACGGACCCCTCGTATCGTGGCCAGATTCTGGTCTTCACTACACCTCTGATAGGAAACTACGGTGTCCCCTCAAATACGGCGCCTTTCGATGCTCATGATGTCGGGGTTGTTCTTGAATCTCAGGGAATTCAATGCGCCGCTGTAGTGGTCAGTGACGTAGCAGAAAGATTCTCTCATTATACCGCGGCCGAGTCCTTGGCTTCTTGGTGCCAACGGCACGATATTCCTGGCATCACTGGAGTCGATACTCGAGCCATCACGAGACTACTGCGCGACCAGGGCACAACCCTTGGTCGTATCACTGTGGGATCGGATACATCTTTGCCAGCGCCCAAGGCGGACGAGTTTTGGGACCCTTCGCTCGAGAACCTAGTCGATCAGATCTCTACCAAGGAACCATACGAAATCAATCCTAGTGGTTCTTTAAAAATTGCCCTTCTCGATTTTGGTGCCAAGGCTAACATATTGCGTTCACTCATTCGTCGAGGTGCTGCTGTCACGGTCCTGCCTTGGAATTATGACTTCAATGCTGTTCGTGATCAATATGACGGACTATTCTTGAGCAATGGTCCCGGTGATCCGACGCATTGCATGGAAGCAGCTCTCAAACTTCGCCCTACATTGGAAGAGTGGTCTAAACCGGTGTTTGGTATCTGCATGGGTCATCAGATTATCGGTATGGCTGCTGGTCTAGATGCGTACCGAATGACGTTCGGGAACAGGGGACACAACCAACCTGTTCTCGCACTCGCTTCATCAGGATCCATCAAAGCAGGTCGTGTCTATGTTACTAGGTGAGTCTACTGTGCCAATGTTAGCCTGTGCTGACCTTTTTGTAGCCAAAACCACCAATACGCTCTCAAACTTCAAGATCCCTTTCCACGCGGCTGGGAACCATTTTTCATCAATTGTAACGACTCGTCTATTGAAGGGATAAAGTCAACCGCGGATTCAGGTAGAAACGTTTGGGGTGTGCAATTTCATCCTGAGAGTGCTGGTGGTCCTCTTGATACGATAGAGGTTAGCTTAGTTCCCCCCGCTTGAATTGCTGTCTTAACCTAAATCATTATTACAGATGTTTAGTGATTTCCTTGCTGAATGTTCGGCTCACAAGTATGGTACGGTTCCGCTTAAAACCGACGAGACTCAGGGTGTGTCAAAGATGCAAACGTTGGAGTCGGCCCCCAAGATTGAGGTTGCTGCTTAATTGACTTTTGGATGTTTTTTTCTTCTCGAACATGTAGTATACATAGAGCTGTGATATCCCTATTTATCTAATCTTACGTCATGGCCATAAACCATACTTGTATTCGCATCTTAACCATCGTCTCTCATGAATTACCTTGACCCTTACGATGTTGCTGGAGGCTCTAATACACCGCCCACTCAAAACAACGAACAAAGCTTGAATGATGAGGTATCGCAGGTAATTGGCCAGCTGGGCCGTTTTTGGGGTGGGTTCAAGAAGCAGGTGCGCTCACTCTTGTCCGTATCCGCAGCCTGAAATTGAATAACCAGAAACATCAGAGTCAAAATGCTCTTGAAGTTGCGCGAAAAGATCTGACTGAAGTTGTGTCCCAAGCTCAGAAAGAATTGCACAAATTCACGGGTGATGCTTCAAATGAAGCTCAGCCCAGCAGTTCATTATCCGGTCCTCAGTCTGAAGAGCTACACCCAAGATCATCTAGCGAAACTCTCAAGCCAGATGCTGCCGTTTCCTCAGAAAATGCAAGTGCCTCGTCGAGCACTACTTCGGTACAAAACCTGTTTTCGCGCCTACAGACCTCTCTTCCTCCCAACGTCGTCTCCACTGTTCAGGCTAATCTACCGGAGTCATTGAAGCACCTTTCCGAAAACACCGATTTTGCTCAGTTTCGGACAACATTGACGTCGGAATTTCAACGATTACAGGGTGTAACCTTAACTCAAGCCGAAGAGTATGTTCACAAGAGCGAAATACTATTGCGGGATGCGATGAAGGAAGCTGGGGAAGTGCTGAGAGATGCTGTGAAGGTGCTACCTCCGGATGAGAATACGTCTAATAACACTGGTCTTATCTGGGATGGGTCCGATATGTGGATGTTGCCTTCGGAGTCAGGGGACATACCCACTAGTGGCAAAGGCAAAGGCAAAGCTAACTCACAAAATGCAGTTGCCACTCGCGCGGAGGCGTTACTCAAACGACTCAGGAGCGACCCTAATATCTTGAAACATGATCCCGAGGTCGATGGAGGTGTCTACCTGCAGTGGATAGCTTCAGACATAGATTCTGCGGATGGTGGGATAGATGGTACTCATTGGAGAGCGAAGATCGATGAAACTTTGCAGTCCGAGGATGGAAAGACACTGCAGGCCACTTTCGACATTTTAGGTGTGTCCTGTAATGAAGGCAGTATGCAACTATCATTCTAACTTTCGCCAAGTGCCTTCTGAGTTGTCTCAAGATGTGTTCTGGAAGCGCTACTTCTTCAGGGTACATCAAATTCAAGTCGAAGAAAACAAACGGAAGACACTTTTGCAAGGTATCTCACTCACGCCTTCGTGGTCGTACTTCTAGTCTTACACAGCTTAGGTACGATGGAGAACGAGGAAGATTTCAGCTGGGAAGATGATGAGGCCGACGATAGCTCCGCATCTATTGCAACGGCTGCAAAGAATACTGAGGCTCCCAAGGTTCAACCTCTAGATCCAGATCCTGTAGCGAAGAAATCTCCAGACCCATCTTCCCAAGTCAATACTCCTGCAAACACGAGTCCCCGCGTAAGTAGTGAAGAAAGCTATGATGTTGTTTCAGGCAATGTGAGTGCAAGCGGGGAGGGCAGGAAGGGCAATGAGGCTGCAGAAGAGTCTTCGGATGGAGATAGTGACTGGGAATAAGTATTTGCCTCTCTTTTATGTATTCTTTTTATGAGTAATCTTTCAAACTGAATCACTTCTCGCCGTATCTGCTGTAACTTATGAAAAATTCATGTACATCGTTGTTTTGCGGAAAAAATGCGACCGGTTGCCGCCAGCGCTTTATCGCTTATTTAATTCTGGATCTTGTCCTTCAGCCCCTGGCCACAGCTTGACACAAGTCTTCTGCAAGAGTTCACATCTTGTCATTTTTGCGCACCCCTGCAATGGGATTGAGTGCGCGACGCCATGCTCGAACTTCTAGTCGGTTTCTTTCTAGGACTTTGATAGTAAACGTCTGGCGTCTGCTTGGGATTATCCTTCTCGTTTGGGGGGAGTTTGGGGTTTATTTCTGGAGTCTATCTTCGTGTAAATGGCCAGCAACGGCGGTTCAGGTGTGAAATTCATTCACTTCCCAGGTGGTTCAATAATAAACTGAATAGCATTCAGTCTACCGGGAAACCCACACACATCTTGCTTCTGACCGACACTCAACTTGAACATCCGTACGCATATAGGGAGAAGGCGTCATGGTCGGATTTTCTTCATCGTCTGACCTACGAGTTGTATCTGAAGAGGAGTTGGCGTGTATCGATGCGAATGAAGCCCAACACTGTGTTCTTCCTTGGGGATATGCTAGCTTCCGGAAAGGATATGAGCTCCGACAAAGAGTGAGCATATTGATCAGGGTCCTCTTCTTCAGTATCTCATCGTCTTTCTAGATACAAGCAATATTTTGAGGCTTTCCGTCAGACCTTCCCCCTCGAAGCTAACGTGAATGCCTATTATATGCCAGGCAATAACGATGTGGGGTGAGCAGAATTCCAATTTTCTACGACAGAGTTAGTCCTCTCAACTCTTCAAAGTATGGGAGTTACACGGCCCATCTCGAGGCATATTCGAAAAGCGTTTTTCCAAACGTTTGGCCCGTTCAATCAGCAAGTGATCATTCATAATCACACTTTCGTGCTGCTAGACGCTCCAGGTCTAGTAGACGAAGACTACACTCGAGCTGCCCAAAGAATACCATACGATAAGTGGTCACCTTTACCTGGTGGCCCCGTGGAGTTTGTCAAAACGGTCTACACAGGTATATGTGCAGCATCTGGGTTGTGTCGTAGTGCTAATCCGGTTTGAGGTAGACGACACCCCACTCATCCTTCTTAGTCATATTCCTCTTTGGAGGAAAGACACTGACTCATGCGGCCCTCTCAGGGAAAAGGGAAGTATTCGCAAGGGCGTTGGACACGGATATCAGAATACCCTCCAAAAGCATACCTCCGATTTCCTAATCGAAAGCTTACAGCCTTCTATAATATTCAGGCAGGTCGTGATTTTAAAAAACTCATCCATTTAATCTGACCGTGTCTATAGCGGTGATAATCGTGATTACTGCGAACACATTCACAAATTAGTTTCTGGCCGTGTCCCAGAAGATGTCGCTGTGGTTCCCGAAATCACTGTGAAGTCATTTTCTCCTTCAAAACACATACTTAGACCTGGATTTCAACTCTTATCCCTCGCCGACCCAGATCCTACCGCAAGATTCCACCAGAGTATCGCACACGACCTTTGCATTTTACCGGATCAGAGATTCATTCATTGGAGATTGTATGCAGGGTTCGCATACTTTACGATGATAGTTCTGACTTTGTTCAACATACGGAGAAGACGACGACTATCACCACATGCCCTCCTTACGCCCTTGTCACATCATATTCCACTTACAGGAATACCTAGTCCATATCCCTCACTTGTTACAGCCCCTTGGACTTCGTATGCCCCTCCCAGTCCCACCAGTCCCCGAGGCTCATTGCCCGGGACAATCAGAACGCCCAACGCGTTTTCCGGTCCAACATTTAGGTCCGCATCCCGACCTGGGACCCCCCGTACAGCGGCCCCGTTATTATCCCCCATTCCATATCATCACGAAGAAGCAGAAGACGATTCGTTATATCCACCACAGTATGCGAATATTAGACCGCATATGCTCGAGGAAGAGACTTGGTCTCCAGAGCATCTAGATCATCTAGGTGATAGCGAAAACGGTTCACGAATTATGTCTCCTTACCTTGCACCAAATGGCCCTCAGAAACGCCGCCCTTGGTCATGGACGTGGACCTTTGCTTTCCGTGGTAGGAGGCGCCGTATGACAATACATGCACCATCCATGTCCTGGTCTGCTTTCAGTGATCTCATGGCGTTTTTGGGAGACGGAGTTTCTGCAGATGTAAAATTTAAACAGAGAGGGATTATCCAAAGTATCGTGATAGACTTTTTGAGTGTAGCCTGGATGTTTGTGGTGACATGGACAGTAATGGCATGGTGGTCATTTTAGAATTTTACTTATCCGTACAATCTAATACTACTCATATCTTCAAAATTATGAGAATACAGATGCTTGGGTGAACGCAAACCCGACCAGACCTAAAGCTAAACAAGTGTTAGGATGACAAGATGGGGAGATGAAAAGTGACAGACCATAACCCGTAAGTTTTTCGAACGGGGAGTGAAAGTAAACACTAGTTGTGACAGAAGCGAAAAGCCAGATGCCTATGAGAGCTATATTGGCTGAAATGGCAACCTTGTGCCGGATAGATGTCGGGCCAGATCGCAGTGAGATAGAGAGTTGGTCTGCAAGAAAAAGGATGGACATCGTGAGAAGGAAGATATGCCCAGAAACATCATGTCCTCTTCTCAGTCTGGGGATCCCCGACCATCCTTCTGGAAGTACCAACGAGGATGTGAAAATGTCTGGATGACTACTTGGAGCGACAGTCGATTTGGCGAGACAATAATCAGTGGGAATTGTTATCAGTTCGCCTGAAGGGAGGGGGACAAAACATTCTCCTCCGGATGCGAGGATAACTCTGTCAATGACAGCAGGTCCAAAGAACCACGTCGTGAACGTCAACCAACACGCCGTCGCGGTTAACCATTGGACTACTCGCGACAGCGACCTGGCAGCAGGATTGCTGGTGGCCCAGAGAAGCATAAATGCAGCTGAAGTCCAGCCCCATGCTTTCTTGATAAAGTATACATTCAAGACGTTGGATTTGCGAGCCCAGTAGTCTGTTTTCGCTAGAGGATGTGCGAGATGGGCGAGGAGGGGATCTGAGGTGTCGAGATGGGTGCCATATATAATGGAGTATGATGTTCCGAGGGATACAGCCAGAGTAACAGCCGTGAAGGCTACTAGACGGGAGTTAAACATAGAGGACAAGTCGAACCCAGTTCCGTCGACGTCATGCATGCATACCGCGTATACACGTGATTTTATGCATTATTTCCGTGTAGCCTTAGCCTACTACATTATGCATACGACGAGGTCAAGTTTTAATGAGCGGTTAAAAGCTGAGTTATTTTATTTTGAAGAGGGAGGGGTCGTAGCATCGTCTAGCGCCCGTTTACTTACACCTATCTATGTATCTTTTACAAAGTTACTACATAAGTTATGTCACTTCTTTTTCTTTTTAGACTCGGAATTGTTGCTTCTTTCCTAAGCAGGCCTTAATTGTCAAGCCATTCCAAGAACTCCGGTGTAAAGTATGTCAATATCAACGTAGCACCTATAAATAATTGTAAGCCAAAGCACGAGAGGTCAATACGAAGGACATAACACATACCAGCGCGGATCATGCTGTCCACTGACTCGAAAGCCATTGTACGGAGATCATATACACCGGCCGCAGCACCAGCGTGAATCATCGCAAATTCCCCACTAACTTGGTAACAAGCCAGAGGGTGATCCGGTGCGAGTTCGGCAGCATCTGCGATTACATCGAGGTAGGGTAATGCGGGCTTGACCATAATGATATCAGCGCCCTCCGCAGTATCTCGTTGCTACACGGGTAGATATCAGTAACCTGATTTGGAAACGAGTATCAGCATACGCACAATTGCTCTCCTAGCTAGTCCCTTCGCGGCAGGAGGTAGTTGATAGCATTTTCGGTCGCCAAAAGAGGGTGCGCTGCCTGCTGCATCTCTATTCAATGGGACGTTGAGGAAATTCGTCCATTGCGATGCGAATCTTGCGCTCACCTGAAAGGGCCATACATGCAGCTGGCAAATTTTGCAGAGTAACTCATTAACGTGCATTTGTTGCCTAATTTAGCATCTATTAGCCCTCTTTTTATGCCCTTTATACGCCCGTCCATCATGTCACTGGGAGCAACACAATGGGCACCGGCCTTTGCGTAGTTGACAGCAACTTGAGCAATACGGTCCACAGAGGGCGAGTTGTCAATTGAGCCGTCTGTTTTTAGAAGACCACAATGACCATGGTCGGTATATTCACAGAGACAGACGTCGCATGCAATGTATATTGTCGGGAAGAGTTCACGTATTTTCTTGATAGCTAGCATTACAGGTCCAGATGGATCGTCTGCTGGTGTTCCTCTCGTGTCCTATCTCACCACTGAGTACGATTGAGCTTGTAGAGCTTGGCGACACACCTTTTCGCATTTCAGAGGGACACCGAATAGAATGACACTTTGAAGACCCTTCTTGACCAATGGTGCCAAAAAGCCCTCCAGTCTGTTGATTCCCCATCTTCGCTGGCCTGGGAGCGACGCTATCTCTACACTGGCATCCGGCTCGTCGGTTATAAAGATTGGGTACATGAGCATCGACTTGGTGAGCTGACGCCTACTCTGCCATTGTCGAGCAAGTGGGTGGTGATACCCACCCTGGAGGATAGAGCTACAGAAAATTCAGCAAGTCTCCACGAGCAAGACCAGTAGACGCACGAAATGTCCATTGCAGTAGTCTTTTGGGAGAGCGAAGGAACAGGGAACGCAGCCTTGATATTATATGATGACGGGACCAAGATATTTCTCGGAATCAAATCACTCCCGAATTCCCGATCGTGAACGGCTGGATTAGCGCCCGGACTCCCGACTCTCACTGTGAGATGAACTGAGATGAAGATCGTACGGTAAAACGTTGAGCGCTATGTAGCTAATAGCCTCTGATAGCATTTGTCTTTCCCTTGATAATGAACTAGTTATTTGATTTACTCTCGAATGCATCATGCAGCATACCATGAGCATACATGAGAGAGTTGATTTAACCGCCGCAGGCCACCATTTCGGAGCCAGGAGCGGGGAAAACTATGTACCAAGTACTTGTAACGCCAAGTACCGTATAGTGAATGTGTGTATTGTGTTAATTAGATGTTGCATCCTAACGGTTGTGTCAAAAGGTGTGTGGATGCGATGATCAAGTCTGGACAACAGATATGGGTGGTCGAAAAGGTGAATACGAAATGATATAGATAACATGAGCATATGTACATGTTATAAATGTTTGTAAATGGCGTCTCAAAAACGAGAACAAGGCGGTAGAAAGCAAATCAACCACAAACGCACCCATTGAAGCACGGTACGTCGTCCAACATAACTCAACTCGGATGTCGACTTCTAGTAGACTGGAAGGCCTTGAAATTCGACTCTTGGCTCACCTAGAGAGGAATGTAGGACTTCCTTACCTTCGCAAGCCTTCGCAGCCGTGGGGAAGATGACCCGCCCATTACTTATGTACTACATAGTATATACAAGGTTGATCAATTCAGTGTCAATTAGATGCAAGCATCAAAGGGGCAGAGAGGGGCATCTCATTCTGACTCGTTTTACCGCACATTCATTCATAATACAATGAAGGTAGTAAATTGAACGGCAAAAGACAATGCTATGGTCGTTCATTGTACGCGCTATCTTATTCACTTGGGTCTTGAGCATTGTTGTAGATTGAGGGTCGTATGTAGTATGTAGTTGTAACTTCCCTGAACAACCTTGAATGCGATATGGAAAGTTCGTTTTTTGGGGAGTCCGTGCTGCAAAAGGTTGTAAGGTGGTGTAGCTATTGAGAGGACGCATACAGCAAGCATACAGCCAGACTCGATTCAGAGGTCCGAAAATCATTGACTCAGTCAATTATATAGTGAGTCCGATGAGTCGAAGACTCAAAGCAAACTGCCGGTGGCGCGGGAGTATTTACAATTACGATAACGTGACCGTTGCCTGTCAACAAAGTCACGTGTATAGGGAGCCGAATCGGACAATTGGGGATTTCTGGTCAACTTATATTATTTCTCTACCCTCACGTTCTCGATAACCCTTTCTTCTTTCTTATCTTCACTGCGCCAGACGGAATCTCCTTATTTACCGACAACACTCACGCACTCAAATACCCCAATTCTCACCCGTTTATCTGTTGGCCAGTCCGTTCACGAAGATCCTACATTTTCTAAATACATTTTTCTGTGATACACTCTCTCATAAACAACCACATAATGCTTGCTTCCACTCAAATCTCCCCCTTCCCTAGTAGGACTTACAATCCCAGCCTGTCTCCTTCGTCCGGGAACCAGCCAGATGCCACGCGGCGCGCCTCGTTGTTCGACACAGCTTCAGCGAAATCTCCTCTGAGACAACGCCCTCTCTTCCCCCCGGTAGCTGTCGAAGGACGATCTCATAGCGATTTTGCTCTCAAATCACCTTACAAAACACCCGTCGTACCAGCGTGGTCACCATTTGCCTCCAACTCCCACCTTGGAGTCGATGATGATGAGGCCAGTGTTTTGTTGGGATCACCGTCCGCCACAACGTCACCCCTTTTCGCTGCTTCGATGGCACGCTCCCTGTTCACACCGGTTAAACAAGCTCCTCGGGTTGTGGATGGATTGTCTCCCACGCCCACAGTGGGGAGTCCTTCTGCGCTTAGGCCTCAACCAAGTACGGGTACAAGTTTGAAACGGAAGTCAGTTTCTACCCGTCAATCTACGCCTCTTCGGCAACATTCTCTAACGCCTCTGGACATTGCATCTACTGGCCTCAAAGGTTCTACGGATGGACGTAGATTCGATCGGCTAGCTCCTCTGCCAGCTCCAAAGTTTCCTATTCGCACACCCCAAACGAAGAAAGAGACAGATCCACAGTTGCGCCAGGAAACTGCCACAATGACTCGTTTGCGAATATCGGACTTGAACGAGTTTCAGGATGAATTTGAGGGTGGCAACGATTCTGGATGTGATCTGGGGTGCGATTTAAATCTAGAGGACGATAAGGCTCGAGGAGATGAACTGTTTCTTGGTGGCGAAGTCATGCCTATGAGGGGACGTGGAAAAGTGGAGGCTGCGCTGCGTTTAGCTGGTAAAGGCAAATTCAATGAAGAGGTTGCGGAGGCTGTCTCTCCGGGTGGTCATATCATCAAAAGGCGTGCTCGTGCTAGGCCTCTGTCAGATGAGCTTCTAAGTAGCACTGTTTCCCAAGCTTCGGTAAGCTCTAACTATCCCCACATTCTCTTTCATGGTCCACTTACCAATTTTGATAGGCAACGAGGTCCTCGGCTTACACTGGTCTCAACGCTGTGACGTTTCCTACTGGTGCCTCCCAATTTCGTGACCACGCATCTCCGTCTTCCTCTTCATCTGAGAGCGGTTCTCCAATGCCTCGACGTCGCGCCTCTGGTCTGCACCCGTCCAAGCCCCCAGTATATCGACGGGCTCAGCTCAACAGAGTGGATTCAGCCACGTTGTTCTTTGGTGGCCCTGCTGTTACCGCTGCCCCATCATTAGCTTCTCCATCCACCTCCTCTCGCAGAGTTACTACGTCGATCTCATCGGATGCAGCAGACTCACCGTTTACCACTGCCACTCGGCCCAAAATATTGAATCGACATAGTTATTCCGGCTCAGGACCTGTTACGCCTTCATGGAGACAGATGCATCCCCGTTCTAACGACGTGTCACCTACAACGTCTCCGCCTCTTTCTTACACAGCAGGAGAGACTGAAAGTTATGACACCGACGATGACGACTCCATGATGGTCGATCTCCCTGCTAATTCCTCGTTTGTTCTCAATATTACTGAAGACACACCATCTCCCAAGCGAATAGGCCGTACAAGTGAACAGATCTCTAAAAAGTATACTCGAGACTCTGGTATCGCACTGAGCGACGACGATGAAGATATGGAATTTGTAGAGTCGTCAACCAGTTCTGAACGACTCAGTACGATGCCTCGGGCCTCTACTAGTGTCAGTTCTCTATATTCTGATATCGAAGATGGTCTCGTCACTCCTGGAGTAGGCCCACGATCTAGTTCCGCCTGGCCAGATTTTGTCATCGTCAATGGTCCAGACGACGGTGGTTGTGACGCGTCTGAACAGGACGTTGACGCTTTCATATTACGCACCCTAGCCGCTGCTGCCAAGAGCACTTACGAAGCCAAGAAAGCTCCAGGAACACCTGTGAAGAAAAGCAAAGTCAGCTATCTGGCTCGTCAGCGGCCATGGCAGAGTGCAATGACACACAAAGTTGGATTCGGAGCTCATGCAGAAGAAAAGATGAAGAAGGTCCCTCGCAAGAGCATGCCTGCCTCTTTTCCGTTAGTAGGAAGGAAACATAACAGATCCGTAGACCCCGACACAGACTCGGAGTCTGATTGCGATGACTCCCCCAGTAATCGCAAAGAGAAATATATTGGCTTGGGCATTGGTATTCCCTCCTTGTCTAAGAATGGTGTTTCGAGAAATCGATGGCTTATGCGTCGGAGTAGCAGCGGCGCTTTTTCAAGCAGCAGCGAATCCGCTGGTACTCCCACCAGGAATCGACCTTTAGGTATGTTGCTCTCGATTAGTCTCCGTGTGTGGTTATTCACGTTATTGCTTGAACAGGAGATTGTCTTCGACCCTCCGGCTCACCTCATCTGTCAAAACAGACATCGCCGACACACAGATCAAAGCTTTCCCCGGCGCGATCTGCTTCTAGCTCGTCCAACGGATCCGTAACGTCTCCATCTATTTTACGGCAACTGCCTATCGCAGGGGATCAGAAATATCGTGCTCCACGGTTTAGTACGCGAACGCGCCGTTTGTCTCAACCTTCTCATCAACAGCGGCCCGGTCGTTTCGAACAGCAATTCGTTGAAATTGCTGAGGTAGGGAGTGGAGAATTTGGCAAGGTTCTGAAAGTACGAACCAAGGATGGAAACTCTGATGCCTGCTTCGCTGTCAAAAAGTCGAAACGGTTTGAAGGGGTCAAACATCGGTATGTTCATGATATTTAAATATCCTTCCGTGCTCCGATATCTAATCGGCTCATTATAGGTTGCGACTCCGGGAAGAGGTCGATACTCTTCAACACCTATCCCATGTAACCGGTGGCTGTGGGCATCCCAATATTCTCGCGTTCATAGATGCCTGGGAGGAAGATGAACAGCTTTTCATCTGGACTGAATTATGCGAAGGTGGTAACTTTGCCCACTTTCTGTGGGAATACGGACGCGTATTCCCGAGGTTAGATCAGGCAAGGGTATGGAAGATCATTGTTGAACTAAGTAACGTAAGTGTTACCCCCACCATTAGGAGCTTGGCTCACGATGGATTTCCTGATCATAGGGCCTGAAGTTTATACACGATTCTGGAGTAATACATCTGGATCTCAAGCCTGCCAACATATTTTTGACTGGTGAAGGACGATTCAAGATTGGCGATTTTGGCATGGCTTCGCTCTGGCCCCGCCCGCGCCTTACAGCAGACTCTACTTCCGCTAGTGGAAGTTTCGAGCGGGAAGGAGATAAACTTTACCTCGCGCCCGAAGTCCTGCAAGGAAAATATGGTAAAGCAGCTGATATGTTCAGGTATGTGGTTTATGTGCGATATCAACGGGGTGTATGGTTCTCACGTCAACTATTTATCTTGTGTAGCTTTGGCATGACGATCCTGGAGACAGCATCCAACATTGTGGTCCCTGACCAGTAAGTGATATGTTGTTGCATGTCTTGGAGCAGTATATTGATGAAATGCATGTTCATTAGGGGCGAGGCTTGGCATCGACTCCGGCAAGAAGACTTTTCTCAAGTCGATCTCAAGGATAGCCCAGAGCTGTTACGGCTTGTTCAACAAATGATGCGCACGAATCCTTCGCTTCGGGTCGGGATTCATGGGGTATACAATCATCCTATCGTGGCGCGAGCGCGAATGGAGATGGAACGGATTTACGACACGGCTAAACGCGCAGGGACAAACCTGTTTGCCGCATCCCCATTGGCTAGCGTCTCCGAAGATTTTCTGCCCGTCATCCTCAACGTTTGAATCTGCAAACAAAAAAAAACATTTGGTTATTGATTGAGGTGATTGACCGTGGTGTCTGCCTCGGCTTTTCCCGCTCGATCTCTGTCTTTTGCGCCACACATATCTCGTCTCTTTTGTCACTCTTTCCTTTCTGCTGTTACATCTTGGAGTCTTTTTACCACGTTAGTCCACTCTTACGAGGACCGATTATCTGTCTCGTCGCATTGTCTGTACACACTCCACCTCTTCACGAAGCAACTATTTAGATCACACATGTTTCCTAATACTTATTGATTCATGATCTCTCTCTGTCCATGATAATATTCCACATCGTCGCATTGCTAGCTATCTTGATTTGTCGGTACATTACCTATAATATTTCTTGGTTCCCTTGACATACACTTCCATACGCCATGCAGATATACTCTATGCAAAATTCGTTTACATGCCTCATTTGAATCCAATCTTCCGTTTTGCTGTGAACGATTTGCAAAACATTATACATACACGGGAACAAATCAGATATGATCCCGGGCAACCTCCGTGTACGTAGGGGCTCGTGGGGCGCGAATCTGTGGGGAGCACATGAAAAGAATCGGGTTTTGATTTGAACAGCAAGAAATGTATAGGAAGCCACCGCAAAACTGCGCAAAGAATGCATAGGCGAATGGCAGTGAAAAACAGAAATAGTCGTGGTTCTCAAAAATGTCAAACCAAAAAAGACACAAAGAATGATTATCCAAGTTTTATGTACAGTACCTTGAGATTCTGCAGAGAATTGGCGGACTTGAGGGACCTTACGACGCGTTGAGGTTGTGTTCAAAGCTTTGATAAAAAGGCTTTGCTTGACTAGAACGAATACGGAAATTTGGAATCGGGAAAAAATTGACAGATTATTTCCCAGCTGACCCGGCGCCCTGGAAACGGTGGGCCGGATGCACTTTTTTGACGGAGTTGAGCAGAAACTGTCCTGGTCTCATGCTAACAAGTCAAGTTTTGATCCCAACCCTTTAGATTTCTATATGTTCTCTCTCTAGTCCTACTTAATCTTCACTGCAATGCTTCCCCGCCCCTTTCCCACTTCCCACTCTCTTTCTTCTTCAATACCTTCATCCCTTCTCTATCGTCCACCACAGGCCCGTCAATTTTCCCAATCTTCGTATCCTCTTCCCATGGACCCTTCGGCTGTGGATTTCCGCGCCTTTTATCCGTATACACCCAACGAAGTCAAACACAGAAAGAGGACTACCAATGCCCAACTCAAGATACTTGAGAGTGTTTTCAAACGCGACACGAAGCCTAATGCTGCGCTCAGAAACGAGCTTGCTGCTCAATTGGACATGACGGCTCGAGGTGTACAGGTACGCTGTGTTTTTCTACTGTCCTTATCCCTTTGCTTTGTTCACATTACACGACTAGGTCTGGTTTCAGAACCGGAGAGCCAAAGAAAAAAACAAAGCAGGGAAATCGGCGGCAGCTACAACGAAAGACATTGATGAGCCCAGAGAGTCGATTGGCCCAATAGAGTCGATTCTATTGCCCCAGTCAACTTTTCCCTGCGACTTACCTGAACTTGGTGACACTTCCTCACAAGAATCTAGTCCCACAGGTACTTCGCCGCCACAGCTGCATGTTAGCATTGATTCTTCGATCCCTTCGTGGCAGAGTTCGCCGCTCGTTACCCCAGAAGATTCTAGGCTCTCTGGTGAGCTTGACATGTGCTTCATACGGCGAGGGTCCCTTCCAGTTGATGTCTTTTATAATGACGACGGTTCGGCAGTTGGACCACCATCAGTTGGCCATCTTGACCCTTTTGCCAGGCGTCGTTCTGTCGACGCCAGCTTACACCGACTTGCTGCAAACCCTTACGCACATCTGGCACGAGCCAAAAATTCTGTACTCTCAGGCTCCCGGTTTCCAGGTCATGTTAATGACCCTTTTTCTCTCAGCCGGTCTTCATCAGCGTCGAGTGATTTCCCGAACCATTCGCCAATGCCTACCCACCAGGGCGGCATGCACGTTCGTCACTCATCTGTTGATTCCCGCTGTTATCGTCTCTCACCACACGGTGTGACCGTATCCCCATCACCTTCACCCATGTCTGCTTATCATTCCTCCACTATCCGATCATCTCTACCCGACAGCCGGCTAGTTGCATTTTCTACACGGCCAATCTATTCACCATTGCCTGGTCCACTTCCTTCTCCCGACTATTCGTTCGGTGTCGCCAGCTCTATGCCCTCTCTTGCTTCACCTGACAGTGAGCGAAATTCTCCCGATCATTCACATGGGTTGTTGTTTCAGAGAGAGGATCTAGACGCAGAAGATGATGCTTCTTATGACGGCTACTCGCGTTTCGGGTCTATCACATCTATTGGAACCAGTGATTCTAGTAACAGCGCGTACTATTCAGATGTTGGCAACTGTGTTGATCCCTTGAGCGGCGTCGAGCTAGGCGATGCTAGCCACCAGCAACACCGAAGAGGGTATGTCCAACCACTTGTCTATCAGTTTATCTTGTTCATCTAATTTTTCCCTCAGTAGTTCAGGGCATTTTGTTGGCCTCATGTCTGATCTCACTGTCGAGGGATTATCACGTCCATCACAGCAGCATACTTCGTCGGCATTGGCCCCCAGTGAGGGTTCCGTCACGGTAACCCCGATACCTGTGTCTGTAGATAGTCTGTCTCTTGAGGGTGACGTGACTAGCACGTATCCTTCACCATCATCCACTATCTCACCCGGTAACCGCAGTCCTGCTGAGCGCAACGGCTCCGCTGCTTCTTCATTATCTACCGAGTTGTTGCATGCTTGGCAAAGTGAGCCAGATGTGGTTAGTGTTTGCCCATATCAACATTTTGAAACTTGGTGACCAACTCACTAACCTAAACAATGTGCTTGCGCCGCAGAATCACCTTTCCACATACACACCCTCACAACCACTCCAGCGACATAACAATCCTCCCGCAGTAAAATCCGAGGGTCAATTCTACCTTGCGGATAACAGGTATCCCCCGATTGCTCTGCCGTCTGCGTCGATTGAGTTTGCGGGTAACGAATATCAGTTTGTGGCGCACCAATCGAGTCAAGACGGTGCCAATTTTGGTGGGAGTACTTCAGTTGCTGAATCCTATCCCGTGGGTGTCGATGCTATGGGTCACGAACATTTCCCAAATCATGGTCACAACGGTTCCCGAGACCCAGACTACAATAATTTTGAGGATGGGTCAACATCTTTCATGTAAAAACATTGTTTATTCACTGGCCATTTGGCGTTGCCTTTGAGTTTCTTCCCTTGCGCAGGCCGTTGTTGCGTTATTTGCTGTCGTCTCTCTCAACTTTATACATATGTTAAAATCACTTTAACCGGCCGCATTCTTTATCATTTTTTGGGCGCGCACGCACATTGCCAGCAGTACCTCTCGCTAGGCTTCACGACTCTCCTTACGAATCATTTCCAGTCTTGATCCTTTCATTTCATTTATTTCTCTCTAGGTTTCGACGTCGAATCTCATAACCACTGGACCTGCTCTTCTCATAGGCCATTCGCTGCGATCCTTTGCATCTCTATTTCGTCTTTCCAACACCTTACCCTATGTTCTTTTTAGTACTTCAATATTCGGTCGTAACGGACCTCTATAACCCGTACAATAATAATATGCATCTACATAGTCGCGATCTATCTCCTCTACATATCTGTTGTTTGTTGGTCTTCTCTTACAACGTTGGTCTGTGGTCCTTGTACGTATCAACCTGTCACGCCCGTTTGTTTCCAGTTGTCTTCAATCGTTGTCTTTGTAGTATTCCCTGTTATTTACGCTAATATTCTAATCATAAACTCGTACCGTATGTACGATGTAATCTTGGGGCAAGAAGCAGAATAAAAGCAGGATAAAGGTGTAAGTCGGACTTCTCTATATATTGAGGGTGTACATGTGAAGATACGATGTATATACGTGACTTTGCACTTCTCCCAGACTCCCCAGATATTGGTTGAGCCTCACGAGTGCCTCGTGTTGTGGCAGACCCAATGGCAACAGGGTATTTGTGACATGAGCAGCGACTTCGCCGCTGTTTTGTCAGATCCACGACCTCATGTATCCTCATATATCCGATTTTCTCGTGCTTCGAAATAGATACTATGTACTCCAATCTTTGCGAGATTCATGCTCAAATTGGGCACGCGGTACCGTAATAAATCACGACACAACGTCGTAAATCAACCTGCAAAATGTCGTTTAAAAATCGTTGATCCGACCTCCAGACAGAAGATATGTAAAACGAGATATAACACGAATCGTTACGTACGGTGGACATACATTTTGACCTACGTTGAACGGTTTCGGGACGTACATACTGTACCAGTTCAAAACTCATTGCCACACTGGTGTGCACAGTCAGCCACTGGACAGACTCTGTGACTTAGGACGGCTCCATCCTGTCCGAAAAACCACTGCAATATGTGCGAAGCATGGCCGCCGTGGCGACAACCCAGACACAGTAAAATCGCATCATCTATAGTATCGTTATCTACGAACCATGTCAGAACGTTAAAACTATTGGGATTGAGATGTACCTCGATATTGTGAATGGTTCAGGAGTAGTTCAGCCTCTCGGTGAGCATCTGGCACAATACTCAAAATCATCAAGCATATAGAGCAGCGCGGTAAAGCACGACCACAATTAGGGCAGGTTGTTGGCTACGTATAAGTCAACATCTAAATTATGAATGTTGCATTGTAATTACCTTTCCCCTTGGGATAGAATCTTGTCCAGTTCCTAGGTTATTGCTCTCACTCAGGTTGATCTCTGCATTAGGTGTAACTGTTTTATTGCAATAGTTGCATCTGATGAGTATCTGCCTTGGTGCTAGATTCGTAATTTTTTGATCCTTTGCGATCTGCAACATTTCGCCTCTTTCAATGTCGAATTCGACACGACAATGAAACAGTTTGACTGAGTCCAAAAAATCGCGGTATGTTTCCACCCATCTGGTTACTTGGGAATCTTGTATTGAGGTTTGCCCTTTGGTTTTCAAATCAGATGCAAGCTTAGGTATCCTTTCACGTCCCAAGCTCGAGCTAAGCCCTGTCCAGCCGAGTAAAGCTGCACTCTGGACATCGCCTATTCGATCTAACCAGAGACCGACAACTTCTCTACCCTCCGAAGTTCCTAGGCCTGTCACAATCAGGGCATCTACGTCTCCGCCGTTCTTGCCAAGGGCGTGTTCTCTACATCGTCGCAAGTATGTGGTCAGTGCCGTATCGTCCAGAAAGCAAAACGCCAGCGCCAGACGTTCGTAGAAGGGTAATAAATCCTCTTCATCATGAAGAATTTCTAGCCAGTGCTCGCCGCTAGGCGTCACGGAAGAAGAAATAGCAGTCAAATGTGTCAACAGTGCGCGCAAGTAGGAATCCTGTAATTTATTTACAAGTCGTGCGTAATGCTCTAGGAGCGTCGAAGGAAGAGCAAGTTTTGAGGAGGAGTTGGGAGTTGTGAGAGTAGCACTTGCGAACGGTACAAGTGCTGCGATAACACCAGACATCATGTGATGACTTTCATCTAAACGCAAAGGCAACGGATTAGAATTAGTTGAAGAGAACAACAGAGATAGAGCAAACACGAAGTGCGCACCCTCGCTACGTAGTAAACATTCTATTGCACCTTCACCGTGAACAGCGCCCTCGTTGGACACTCCAGCTCCGCCGCCATAGCGACCGCTGAAAACGAGCCAGGCAGCAGCTCGTGCATAGCCTTCGTCTCCTTCACCTTCGCGCTCCCACCTCCGCACTTCCGCCATAAGCGAATCGTCTCGAAGAATGAAACCCCATCCGATCAAGTGGAGACAAACATGACGCTGAAGTGGCCGGGAAGTTGAAACGTAAGGGAAATTTGGCAGACGCGAGGCTGAAGGAGCTTCTTCAGTACGTGCGAGTAATTGGAGGAGAGCCTGACGCCATTCCGGATCGTTCGTTAGTGGCTCTGTAATGGGCGATCGTGTTCTGGTTGTTCTTGAAGTTGATGTCTCATCTTGGGCTTTGACGCGTCTGGAACGGTCGAAACTAGGATAGAGTGACGCTGTCTCAGTTTCTAAGGGGAGTTCTAACCGATCACGGTGTACAGGAGTTGCTTCCGCGTCCCCGATATTTCCAGAAATGATCGAAGAACCTCCAAACATCATACTAGATCCAGAGCTCATGTTTATACTCCCGGTTAGACTGCTACTGACGCTTCCGCTGGTTAAAGAGCCTGAGTTACTGGAATATTCTTCCGACATATTTGTGGAATGCTCCGCATAATGCGTATTTGAATCCTTATATCTTGGAATAGTCCCTGATCCTCCAATGGAAGGAGGGCCATCCCAGATACCCCACACACCAGCAAACGAGAAATCGTAGCCTTGCACTAGAGGAGTTGGTGATGACAGGAATTTTTGAGAATCTGAAGTTTTTTCCTTCAATCAGTTCACTCAAATGGAGCAGGAATAATATTACGGTGTATCCACTCCCATAGATCTGCCAACATTTCCGATTCTTTTGACCTGAATACACTCGGTTCTTCAAACTCCACTCCCGCTCCAGGATTACCAGAACGAGAGAGTTCGCGAATAACGGAAGCGTTTCGCAATGGATCACGAATGCTATACCCTCTTATAGCTCGTCTACGCATTAACACTGAAATGTCATTAGCCGCGGCATGTACAACAGATGCCTTTCCGCCATTAACCATCGATTGGTATTTTGGCGTTGGTGGATTAGAGCTCTGAGATTTGATTGGCGTAGAAGGCTCGTTGTAAGGTATGGCAGAAACGTTCAACGGTGATAATAGGGCATTCGTTGGACGAAGAGGAACCCGCAGTGCGGCAGCGGGGCTAAAAGTCATTTTCTTTTCTTCTTCTTTGCGTCCATCTGTTGGTTTCGTTGCTGCCAGGTTTGCTGAAACAGGGTTCTCAATGATTGGACGAGACAGAGCTGGAAATCCTTCAGCATCTCCCCGTCCAAATAGAGCGGGTGAAGGTGGAACTTCTCGGAAGGTGATGGGATTACGAGGTCGACCACGTTCATGCAACTCGTTTGGCTCAGAAGCGGGGAAAGGTTTTTGATTCGTACTAGGCCTTGTTACGCTTGGGGAAGTCTGACTATCATGAATGTACTCATCCTTGACTGTTTCTTCTTGCTCTTCGTGATAGCTATGCACAACACCAAAGCCTATTTTTACATCATCCTTGTCGACAGACTGGAGAGGACCATACAACATATCACCACGGGAGCTCCAGGCTAGTGCTTGAGGAGCATCATGAACACTTTGAACAGTAATTTCACCTAATTGAGACACGACCACAATTTTGGATATGGTTTTGTGCGACAAATAAACAGGAGGAACGGCGGCAAAGGAGCACAACGGATTAGGTATACTTCTCGTAAAGGCTAAAACGTATTCGTTATACAGGATCAAATATACATAGGAAAACGTACCTTTCCTTGTGTTATATAGAATTAGCATCGGATGCTGACTTTGTTCTCTGTGCTCCTCCTCATGGATAGGTGACGGATTTTTGCTCTCGGTACTAGTGCCTGAACTCCCCCAGGGTAAATTCGCCCAAGACTTTCTGCCGACGGGAACCTTGTCTTGCAGCTTGATGATATTCTCATCAACATTGTCGACTTCGCGTGATATTGGAGAATTATCAACCTCTAAGACATCCCATAATCGAACATAGTTAGCATCTTTAGCCAATGTAACAAGTACACCACGACGAGAGGGAGAAAATTCGGCCGTCATATAGGTCGAATGCTGCACAACGGGAAGATTGGGAAAATCGGTCGCGGAAACGCCTCTCGTTTTGGACGACGTAGACGAAGACGCAACAGAAGGCTTCGATGCCCCCAGAGCTAATGTTGATGAGACGCCATCAAGTCCCGCATCCTTCTCACTGAAGGTGAGAAGCGGAGTCGGTGAAGGTGTTGCATTCGTCGAATCGGAATGGATTCTCGAAATGTGGAGTTTTCGTAAATCCCAAACGGTTACAACACCATCCCCCCAAGTGGCGAATCTTGTTGTGTCGAAGGGATCTGTTGCAATTCCTGTCACTTTAGTTGCAATGCTACTGACATAGGAAGCCCCGGCGCCTGAACCAGCAGGATTCCGTATATCGAACAAGCGAAGCCATCTAGGAGAAAGTCCCGCCAGAAGAAGATAAGGATGGGTGTTTTGAGGAAGCCATGCGAGAGAAGAAATAAGCTCGGTCTGGGCATGAGCTTGGACAATACGCTGATCGGTGCGAACCGGATGGTCGGTGCGTGGTATGGGAGGATAGGTACTGAATTTGCCGATCAGTTCCTTTGAATGAGGAATTGTAACAACATTTGAGTTATCAAAAGGATTCATTGTGGTACGAAACACTCCCATTTCCTCTTGGACATCCCAAATGACCAAACTACTGTCTCCTCTGACTTTGTCCAGACCGACAGCGAGATAGTTGGGATCCGAAGGGCAAAACGCCAGAGCATTACAGGAGCGCTGATTTCGCACAGGGAGGGATAGTATAGGACCACTAGACAAAACGTTCTCATCACGGCCCAATTGGCTATACCGTGATGCTTCCAAACGCAAGAGATCAACACGCCCGGACGTGTGGCCGACTGCGAAGATATCCGAGGGAATACTGGCAGGAGACCAGGCAAAACACTGGCAAACGATAAGCAGAGATTGGGAGACGGAATGAAATTAGATATACCTTCATGAACTGTAATTCATGTTGCGAAGTTACCTGTCTGATTTCTGGCTGCTCGTCTGATAGCTCATAAAGAGTAATCTGCGACCCCCCTCCAACGACGAACTTGTTCGAATGCCGTGGATGCCAAAGAACGCGTTTCTCGCTCTGCACTGGCATCGAAAAGTAGTACTTGGATTACGTGAACAGCGCTTTATGTAAAACTTGTTTAGCCGGAGCCCCAGTCTGGGCAACTCAGCACTCGACCCTCTCAACACTATCAGAATTGGATGACTTCCCGTAAGGAAAATTAACAAAAGTCTCGTTTTATTTTCTCTCCAAACGATTAGGCGACGTGTCCGATCAACGGATTCTATCAAAAACGAGCTGAAAAAAATCTACAAGAGCCTCAGGACCCTCTTCTAGATTGGTTTTGCTCTCGATTTTTGCTTAAGCGAGCCGCGTATCACTTGTCCGACAGTCGCATCTAATCCTCTCAAGATTAATACGAGCAACAGCTCTTACGGGAAGTCATCCATTCGCTCAATCGAGCTCGATGGAGTGTGTGGAGCACTGTCAAGTGCTCTATGCTAGTAGATGAGGTTTGCCTGGGGCACAGCCCCGCTCGGGTGGGTGATTACACGATACGCGGTTTGGCTGAGCCTGGAGCGCCCTTGTCAGAAGACTAGACACTAGAGACTATGCAGAGGGAAGGGAGGGTGGGTATCACAAAACGAGTTTCAACGATGAGAGCGAAGTTCAAAAGCGATAAGCGCGCGCCATCTTATCTTATCTTCTCGGAGTCGGACTAAGTCTTACTCGGCACTTTCTGAATTCACATCGAATTTTCCAAATAGCAAGCTCAAATGTAACTTTAAGCGAAGGTAGCTTGAACTTTTCAAAGAATCTTGTACTTAACATGTGTACCTTTCCAATCCGGAGACATCTACATGCGAACAATAGAGCATGGCCTCATCTTGCCTCTAACACTGTCATATAAATTGACTGCCTCCTATCGACATTTCACTTCTCTCACCTGCTCGCTTCCAACAATCCTAAGAGTCGATGTCTCTACTTCCTCAGATAAGCACGAAAAAAATGCATGATATCAAGCGCGTACGAGGCCAGGTTCGAGAACAAAACTCCGCATGCGGCCTTCCGCTGACCGTTCGTTGTAGATCTCCTGCGCGGAATGTCGAAGGTTTGTTGACTGAATTATTGCAAACACTGATCATTGAAACGATCCACTGTTTTGCAGATTGAAGTTGAAGTGTGACAAGAAGGTACTTTGAACGTGTTTCAATCGCATGAGATCTCTTTAATCAAACGTATTTCCAGATACCCTGTAGCTCGTGCATCAGGAGGGGATGCAAATCACTGTGTCCGACTGAAACTTCTCCAGTGCAAATAAAACGGTACACCAATAAATACTAGATTAATCACTTGTCCTGTTCTGATCCACATTCCAGGTCTCCTGAAACAGCAAGCCTACACACACAGGTCGAAACGATGAGCCAACGCATTCGAGACTTAGAAAACGCACTTTCAACCCTGCAGTCCTCTATATCCACATCCCCATATCCCGAAATAACCGACTCGCTTCAAGAAATCAGAAAACCGGAAACGTTTGACGCTCTTGGAACACTGACACTCGATAAACGCGGAGATGCAAGGTACTTAGGGCGATCTGCAGGACTGGAGGTGAATGTGGTCTCATCACGTATATGGCATCCATATAACAAATCTCATGGACAGAGCCTATTGGAAGATGGGCCCGAATTACCAGAAATAGAACATGAAGAGGATGAAGATGATCACAATCTCGCTGTATCCGAAGAGATTGCTCAATTGCCAAAGTATTTCCCTTTCGCATCTGACTGTAGCTGGGACGTTGGGTTGTCATTGCAGTTGATACTCTCTTATCTTCCGCCCAAAGAGCGGGCATGGACTCTAGCCGAAAATTTCATAGAGCATTCTCCGCTACAAATCAATGTCGTTCCAAGAGAAGAGCTCTTTGACGAATTACTGACTCCGATTTATCAATACGCGTCAGCTATGGACTTCGCAGGTCAAAAGTGCCCCCTATCCCCTACCCGTGTGGGTGTCCTATTCATTTGTTTCGCTCATGGATCTATGGCAGACATTGGGATTCCAATGTACTGTGCTGAATCCGAGGATTATCTCCGTCTAAGCCGTATCAGTTTATCCCTGCATCCGATTATTTCATCGCCAGATCTCGCAAGCGTTCAAGCTCTTACACTCATCGGGATGTTCCACGATACCGGCGGTCGCAGCTATAATATTGAAGCTGCCTGGTCCTTTTTAACAATTGCTTCGAAGCTGTCGCAGAGTGTGAGTTTGAATCAACAATTGACAGATATTCCAGACGCTAAATCCGAATCTTTTACAGCTCGGGTTACGTTCGTGTTGCCCTGAAAGAGCGTCACAATCGGTGTCCTTATAATGTTTACTTTAGATCGTGAAAGTCCGAAGTGGGGTTTAGACAAGAAAACGCTTCACCGGAGACGAACAATCTTTTGGGAAATACTTACGTGGGACGCTATGCTTGTATATTTTCTCTTGAGATTCAGTTTGAACGAATGAGCTCACGCTTCAATGGTAGAGCCTCAGTCTCGGAAGGCCACCATGTTTCTTTGGTGCTCACATTGACACCCCGTTTCCTCTCGACGAGGATGCTAGTGTGGACGAGAAAGGAGATACGGAACCAGGATGTAAGCTTAATACTATACCCGTTGAACGGTTTTCGAATATCTCGTTCATCCCTTCTTAGTCCATCACTGGCGAATGACATTTGCTAGGGATGTTGTAACTGCTGTCAGCGACATCACTCTTTCATCCGATATGCCTGACTATCCAACTATCCTCAACCTCGATCGTCGTATGCGGGAACATCCACTACCAGAAAAATATGATCCGTTACGGTTCCTGTATGGTGCACTTGAGAGAACCTCACTCAATACCTCGGACGACCCAAGAGAATTGCAATCTCAGAACGAGACGTCGATAACATTGAAAAGTTTTCATCTTACTCATCTCAGAGCATTAGGTTTTCCTTTTCCTTTGGCTGTTGACTAATTGAAGCTAACTTCACAATTTTCAGTGGCAATGTTCATACACCGGGCATTCTTTGCACAAGCTCTGTTACAGTCTCCATCTAATCCTTTGAGTAGTGTGTACGCGCCTTCGTTCCTCGCCGCGTATCGAGCTGCCTCGATAGTGGTCCACTGTGATGTCAAACATTTTTACAAATACTACCAGATATTGTCAAGGTATTGGGCAATCTGGAATGGACGTAAGTTTGTTTATTGCCTACATTGATCTTGATCCTAAAGTATCCATATTTCCAGTCTTGACTGCTGGCGTGAGTAATCTGACCCCAACCTTGTTCATGGATTTGATCTTGTGAATAGACAATTCTTGGTTTGATTGTTACAAGGTGTCCTTCAAGTCCCTTCGCGGCAAATGCCTACGAAGAGCTTGGGCTTACAGTCAACCTCTTCAAAATGGGCGCTAATCATTCTGATAAGGCAAAACGCGGATTAGTACGTGCGCTTGATTGGAACGTGAAACAAAATTCATTTGTGTACCCTTTAGCACGTTTTACTTCAGATGCACGAAAAAGCCACCAACGTGTACGAATCCCAAGCTAATTCAATGAGTGATGAGATGAACGTGGCGCAGGAAGACATGGATGCGCTACACACACTGGAAATGTTTGCCGGCTACACAAAACTCTTGATGAAGGATATGGCATCGAACCCAAGGATGTTCTCTGACAAAGCTGTTTCGAGGAGTCTAAATCCAGACTCTAATAATGGGTCGTTCGTAGGTTCGGGGCCACAACGGAACGACTTGTCGCAGGAACAATATCAAGCAAATTTTCTACCAAGGTCATCGTCGTTTCGCACAGTTATGCCGTCCGCAACTACCTATCATGACACGGACCCGGATGCCTCGCCCTCAATCGAACATTCTCATTCAGCCGTATCGTTTCTCCGGACCAATGAGCCTGTTGACCAGGTCTTAAATCATCAACATCCATATTCCGCGCATACTGGTCATGAGCACAATTTCGTGTCTTCATCGTCTATCGCGCCAACTGTGTATTCGTATGAAAACGATAGACACGCCGCACATTCTTTCGGAATGTCCTCTCAGGTTGCTTATGGCATGAACTCTTATTCACAATATGTTGACCATGGCGAGCACTGGACTGATACGCGAAGTCAATACGACTCATCTGTCTACCCCCTCTTCAAGCGCGAGGACAAGTTCGACAATCAGTCATCAAGTTACCCAGACTCGCATTTTTGGCCACCAATGTCGGAAAGAAATGATACGAGCCAGCACCCGGGCCGACTCCCTCTAGCGACGACGGTGGGTGCGATGAACTTTCAGTGGGCAGAGTTAGTGCAAGATGAAGGGTTGACTGTTCTGCAGCGAGTGCAAATGTGAACTCGCGTTGTTCCCTAACATGTAATTCGATGGTGTATTTTGTGTATATGTCATTGTATCATCCTGGCAAATGTAAACACGTTCGGTTCCTCTTATCTAACTCTAGAATTCCAAGCTGCATCTAACTGATCAAGATATCCTTGAACCTCTCTGACTGCAGTTTTCCTCTCCTGCCTAGCTTGCACCCATTCCCCGTCAACAGTAATCGCATCCAGAGTCAATAAAGACTGGAGAAGCATCTCGCTCAGCCTAGCGTGCTCTTTGTGTATCGAGGCGGGACTTGTTGGCGGGTTAGAAGTAGAATCAAATGGAATGGTCGTATTCGACTGAGTGGGTAGGGTTTGCAGAAATTTCTCTAGTGATGGAACAAGAGAGGAGCGTACTAAAGTAAGCTGCTCCTGTATTTGAGTCATTATAGTCGTTTCCGATTTCTGTGCAGATCCCTGGGGCGGGACTGGGATGGTTTCTGCTGAACCGACAACTTGTATGGTAGCGTTTGGACGAAATCTATAGGATGACACTGGTTATTTTCAGAAAACGAAATAACAAATAGAGGCGTAAATCAGATACTTACAAGGCGCGTTATCGTTTTTCAAAACTGCACCAGAATGAATCAACTTGATAGACTCGGGAGGAAGATGTGACCACTGGGAAATGTAATTTTTTAGAGCGCTTATAGGCAATGTAGGATCCTCGAGTGTTAAGGTGGTCCTGATAAGAGTTAACACTGGGACAGAATCAACAAGAAAAACACCACCTTTCCTTTCCCCACTTAATATTTAGATGCATGATTGGAGCAAAGATAACTTTAAAGAGCCACACCACGTGACATGAGGTAATAATACTTATCAAAAATGACGAACCGGTTTCCTTCCAAGGTTTCTCTCTTCGCAGTCCTACATTTCTTTCATATTTTGACTTCTTCCGACCATGGAACCTCCGAGATCTTCTCGTGGTGTTGCTGGTCTTCTCAATCGCAATCAACAAGGCTCTCGTCTACCTCCGATGCCTCCATCTTTACAGGCAAAACTTACCAATATGGCGAGAAGGAATAACAACGATGTTGATGACACTGCTGCTTTACTTCAGCAGGCTTCATTAGCTTCGCCATCTTCCCATAATCTTCCCCCAAATTTTCGTACCGCTGCTTCTTATCCTCCTCCCAACCTCCCAAAATCTGCCACACCTGCTGCAGGCGGCATAGCGGCTCGACGTCGTTCGAAACCTAACTTTTCTCTCAAGGATATCAATGGTAATCTTGGTGGTGGAGCCTCAGCAGCAGGTTTAGGTCAAGGAAGACCTTCTTTTGCTGCTAATGACTCCAGACGAGGTCCTCTCGCTCATGCTCCGCCCGGCAGTCTCTTTTCATCCTTTGCAAACGTCATGTATGTTTAAAAATACCGTTTCCACGTTTTTAAGTTCATGATCTGTTACAGAGATCCCAACGGGCGACTCAACTTCAAAGGAAAAGCTGTTCTCCACGCAAATGGCGTCAACTTTGCCAACGGTGTTTCGTTTCAGCTTAACATGGAAGATTTAGAAAGAGGAGAGGAACTTGGAAGAGGCAATTACGGTACCGTGACGAAGGTCCTGCATACACCAACTGGTGTCACGATGGCTCTCAAGGTATGCCCGTTTATTCTCGCAGCGTTTTCTAGATTAAATCCCTCGTAGGAAATCCGTCTCGAACTCGACAATGCAAAGTTGAACGCTATCATCATGGAACTCGACATATTACATAGGGCGGCGTCGTCGTCTCACATCGTAGACTTCTATGGTGCCTTCTTTGTGGAGACCTGTGTCTATTATTGCATGGAGTACATGGATCGTGGAAGCCTTGACACAGTAGTCAACTTTAGCTTTGGAGAAACCGTCCCGGCTCTACATCCGGGCCCGGACGGTGAGGAGGAAGTGATTTGGCAGGGTGTACCGGAGGATGTCCTAGCCAGGATTGCAGGTAGTACAGTCAAAGGATTGAAATTTTTGAAAGACGAATTGGGCGTTATTCATCGAGGTGGATCACTTCATCAATCACTTTTTTAGTGTTCTCATTTGCCTACAATCTACAGACGTCAAACCAACTAATGTGCTTATCAATAATCGCGGTCAGATCAAACTATGTGATTTTGGAGTATCTGGTCAACTGGAGAAGAGTATTGCCAAAACTAACATCGGGTGCCAAACATACATGGCTGTATGTTTCTGTTTTGTCGGTGATACCTCAACTGCTTATCACGACCCATACACAGCCCGAAAGAATCTCCGGAGAGCACCAGAACACCGTGGGGACTTACACTGTTTCATCGGATGTATGGTCTTTAGGCTTGTCAATAATCGAAATCGCCATAGGCAGGTATCCGTACCCTCCAGAAGCGTACTCGAACATTTTAGCGCAGGTATGCTACATATATTTCCCAGTCTTCCTAAAATTTGATCTGCCTTTGAATAGTTGAAAACGATTATCCAAGATGACGCACCAACCTTGCCCTCGGATCGCTACTCTCCTGAAGCATGTGACTGGGTTGCTAGCTGTCTAGTCAAAGTTCCTGACGGACGTGCTACCTACGCAGAGCTTCTAGAGCATGACTTCATTCAACGAGACGAAGCTAAAGCCAACGCAGAAAATGGTGATGCGGTAGATATGGCGGGGTGGCTGAGCAAAGCGCTCCAATTCAGAGAAGCCAAGATAGCTCATGTCCAGGCTTTGGCTGCTGCTGCGTTAGCTCCGTCTGCGCCTCCTGGACATCCTGTCTTGAGCGCACCAGCAACGACAAGAATAAGACTCGATTGATCGCTATCAACGTATCTGCCCTTCTATGTGTTATCATCTGCCATCTAGCGCTGAAACAGAGCCAAGTAATGCTTTGTCGTTTTTGAACCGGAGCGCAGTCACGACCACAACTTTGAACTAAATAAAATGACGTGCCGGCGATGCATACCCGCGATTTCATGGCGACATTCGTCAAACTCCTCGCAATCAATTTCCCTTGGCGGATTCTAACACAAGCTCTTTTCATACGCAGCCATAGATCAAACGCCACTACATATTCTGTCAACAGGACTCCAGCTCAACTTTCTACCTCGCAACACGCGCGCCACATACCGCACTTGCAGACCAGACATCGGCGATTTCGTTGATTCTTCATATGCCTTCCATCGCACTTGTATTCGATTTCTTCGTTCAACCCTATCAAGTGCCTCACTCTAATCTGTGTATCACCATTCATCATCGTCGCCCCAGAGGTTTCCCCAATACCATTCACGTTCACGTTACAACCTTTCCAATTTTTCCAATGCCTTTCCAAGCAACACACAGCGACTGTTCTAATCAATTCCTATATATTTCGCGCTGGCGCAGCGAGGTTGTCCACGGTAGATCCTGGTTCTTCCATGATACAGTATTGGGCAAACCAGGGACGCCAGAATATAGACGTTCATTGATGCTCCAATTCCGCTGCACGGAAGATGGAAATATTTCTGCTCTTCTAGACCTGCTTATCTTTACGTTGGTTGTATCTTCTGCGCGACGCGCGTTTTCATCTGCTTGTTGAGGTATTCCCCGGTTCCACGTTTTGCAATCTTATGTTTGTAATTCAGGTCAGACGAAGTGTACTATAATCTTATATCCTACACCTAGAGATCACATAAATGAATACAATACTCTTTGTACATAACTCGCCTGTCGTTCTCAATTGCACTTCCTTGAGTCCTTCCGAGTCCAACTCCCTTTGCCATGTGACACTGAATCGCGTCACGCGTGTCTGTATATGACCCGTTGTTACTGTAACTCATGATCACAGTAGCTTGTTTACACAAATCAGCAAGTTGTGATTACGACGCGACTGCCGCTCTTCGAGTCCTCAGTGTTACGCACTGTAATCCTTATGGCGCAACTTTTTGCCAAAGCTGTAATCTACCTCCCTTCATCATTTTCTCCCCTTCGAATACAACAACTCACGCATCTGATTGAAAGTCATGGAGGAACTGCTACACGTTCCCCTGACGGTGCAACCCATGTCGTGACAAATTCTCATCGCTTCGAGGGTTGGCAGGGTTTTCAAGGAGACGATGTAAAACCAGTATGCACAGTGCGTGATCTATCTATTTCATGCCTGTCACAAAACTGATACCTCAATTTAGGAGAAATGGGTCGAGCGTTCAGTAATTCTCGGAAAGCTTCAACCGTTTGTAGCTCATTCTCCTTCAAAGTCAAATTTACTGATTTCATCCTCACCACAGGACCTCAAACTACTCGGCAGATCCTCGTCAACTATTTTCTGGAGTGGTTGGATGTGCGGCAGATGTGAGTCTTATTGTCTAGAATCACATCTCCTCACTATAATTTCATTCGATAGCTTTCTCCGTCAGACATCGAGGTACTTTCTGCCGGCATATCCTCATTCGGTGGGCAGTGGCGCAGCGGCCTCATCAAAGATGTCACTCACCTCTTCACTTTGGGTTCGGACTCAGAGAAATACCAAAATGCACTAGACTATAAGAAAGATGCGCCTATCGCCATCCTCTTGCCCCATTGGTTTGACGACGTTCTCAGGCTTGGAATGGGAAATTTAGATATTACTCCTTACGAGTGGCCTGATCCTCTTGTATTACAACCTCCGGCTCCTTCTGATAATGATAGGAAGAAGAGGTCACATAAATTCGAGCCAAACAAGGAAGTGCTATTCTCCACGGCCTCCTGGAATGCAGAGTCTGCAACAACCAAGATGGTTTCCCCAAAACAAGTGTTTGGGCAGCGTCGCGTCCTACTTGCCGCTTCACTTGAACTCGGCGAAAGAAGGAAGGCGATTGAAAGCTTCATTAAAAGGGCGGATGGCATAATTGTTACAATCGGGACTAACGATGACGAGGGAGATGCAAACAAAGAAGCGGAGAAAATATTTGACTGCGACATATACGTGACGAGGTTTCGAAGTGGTACTGCCTACTACAGAGTTCGCGCTTTTTTTCTTCTGTTTCTCCGTTCTGAATTTACATGTTTAACAGGCGGCTAGGGCTGGAAAGACCATTGCCTCTTTGTCCTGGATCTTTCATGTCCTCTCTATTGGCATCCTCACTCCACCCCTCGACCAGCTTCTCCACTATCCTATTCCGAAGAAACCTATTGAAGGCTTCTATACTCATGTATGGATGCAATCCCAAATTTGACTTCCTTATCCTCATGCCACCAATCCATAGGAAATCACAATCACCAACTTCACTGGTGAAGCGAGAGAATATATCAAAAAGCTCGTCTGCATTATGGGTGCTAAATTCACTCCCAGTATGTCAAGTAAGAATACCGTCCTGATCGCAGCACAGTTAGTCAACCTATTTCCTCTCTCTGATGATATCTCATGCACTACTAGAGCGGATGGAACCAAGACCGAACGAGCTCGTGCATGGGGCATTCCAATCGTCAATCATCTTTGGCTAGAGGACTGTTTTATTAACTGGAAGAACATGACTGTTGGTAATGATCGCTATATACATTTTCCCCAAGGCTCAGACTTTGCATCACGCCTTGGAGAACGCGGATTGGAGCCTAGTATCGAAGACCCCGCTGAACTCGACCGGCTCGAGGAAGAAGATGCTGATCAGGAGGCCCAGGAACAAGGAGAGCCTGTCAGTGTTGCTGTCAGTGCTTCACGGACTCAGGATAGCGCTCGGGATGCGCGGGAGGCTGCTGATATCGTTATGGGGGCGGATAATGACCCATACCTTGGGCAGGAGAATGAAGGGCACGCTATGGTTGTCGACGTTGAACCTGAACCTGCCAAACACACGCCACGAACGCCTGTATCAAGCAAGTCAAAACCGAGACCCAGACCCCAGGCGATACACAGGAAAGACGATGACGACAACGATCTAAACTCTTCCCCTTCGAAGATGCCCAAACAAAGCCCTCCAAAGTCTTCTTCCCGCCGTTCTCGCATTGTCGAAACAGATGAGCCTCAGATGGACTCAGACTACCATGTTTCGTCTGAAAAGGAGAACCGACATGTGAGCAATCGTGACGAAGAAGAACAGGAAATGGAGAAACGCCCCGTAGCCTCGAAGAAGAAAGTGAAGGTCCAGGACCCAACAAACTTCAGTAGTAGATGGCGCACTACTAACACCGCTGGCTCTTCTGACAGTGAGGGTGATTTTGACGCTGACCTTCCCCCAGTCACCAAGGCCAATGTCAAAAACAACATCAAGGCCGCCACGAAACGAGCCCGATATGCCTCAGGCGATGAGTCAGACAATGGTGGAAATGATATTTCAGAGAAGGAGGACAGTCCGGAAACTGAGGACGATGATGTCGTCACACCTTCAAAGAAGAAAAGAGTACAACCCTCTAGACCGAATGCCGTGAGACCGAAGGCCCGTGGTCGAGAGACAGAAGACTCTGACGTCCCGCGTCGAGTGTCTATGAAAGCCAATGCTGTTCCGAAGGCGAAACCAAAGACAGTTCCTTCCCCGAAACAGTTATCCGTTGTGATGCCCAGACTTGCAAAATCCACTGCTTCTGCAGGTCCTCCCTCGCCTTCGAAAACATTAGCCAAATCAAGCAGTGTCCATGTTGCTTCAGCCGAGCGCCGTGCCCGGCCTTCGACGTCCCTCCCAAACACCTTCGATTCTCCTGCTAGCGGAAGGCCCTCGAGGCGTGCAGCTGAAAGAGCTTCGCAACAGCTCCGGGACACGATTATGCCTGATGTGGTGAGGTTTGAATCAGAGATGAAAAAACATCGGAGACACAGTTCATCTAGTGTTTCCGCGTTTCCGCGTGATAGGGATGAGCCTGATCAAGAAGAGGAAAAACCGGCCGCAAATGGTAAGAGCAAAACGAAACCAAAGGAAGACTTTGGTGTTATTGCTGGAAAGAAGAGGAAGGTGTCATCTAGGGATATGCGTGAGGTTGAAGAGTCGGACATGCCTGCTGATGCTGCTTCACCCCCTAAGAAAGTCAGAAAACGCAAGCCTGGATCCGTCCGGGTAATGACTACCCAGGTGAACCTGACTGACGCCACCAAGAAGGTACTGTGGTCGCGTTTGACTTTTCGTTCGTTATGTTTAAGCGTGTCACAGGCGATGGAAAAACTTGGAGCAAAATTCGTCACCAAACCATCCGAGTGTACACATCTTATCGCGACGAAGATCACGCGAACGGAGAAATTCCTATGTGCGCTGGCTGTTACACCATGGATCCTCACGGACCAATGGATACATAAATCGGTTGAGGCAAAAACTCTACTGCGTACATCGTTTTTATCAATCAGCTCTCGACTTTCAGCTAATTTTTATTGCAGCTGAAGAACCATTTTTCCTTAAGGATAGAGGAAAATGGGATATCGATTTGAAAAAATCACTTGAAGAGGCGAAAAAGTCAAAGTACCCTCTACTGGCCAACCGGGTGTTCTACGTAACTCCCGGTGTGAAAGAAGACCGCAGTCTTTTGAACAATGTTATCACTGCGTTCGGCGGAAAAATGGTTGCGTGCATGCCGAATGACAGGCAGCTTTTGTCGAACGGAAAGCAGATATCTATGCGGCACCTTTTGACTTGCGAGGATGACAGGGAATTGTGGGAGCCGATAGCAAAGGATGCTTATATTCACAACGTAGAGCTTTTGCTGCAGGGAGTCCTAAATCAATTCATGGACTTCGACAATCCAAAATTCCACATACGATGAATAGATAAAATAATTAGAAAGTTTTTTTGTTGTATTATTATCTCGTTTTGTAAATGTAATGATAAGATCAATATGATGCTGCGTGAGGTATGCTGTAATCAGATGATTTGGGAGCGAATACACAGCAAACGTTTTCCTCAGCGACGATGAGCGAGGCAGACCTGGGCTACAGCGAAGGGAGTTTTGACCTCCCTCGCTGGCAAACTCACGTAGATTTATCGTCCAGTGCCCAGGCTGCGCATTCAGCTCAAGCTGCTTATTATGCCAGCCCATTACCTCCTCCTCCTCCTTCCGCCAGCACAAATCGACCACCGAGACTCAATGCACTTGTAGACCAAGATTATTCACCACAGCCATTATCTAGAAGTGCTTCGTTGGGTGGAAATCGAAATATCAGACGTCACCACCTACCAGACGAGCTCGAACCAGCGCCGATGTCAGCATATCCATCCTCAACACCCAACTCTTTTTACCCTCAGGCCCCGAGATCTCCGTTGAGGACACCAAACACGGCAGTCATGTTGGATCCATACTCGCCTCAGCAGTCTCCATATCAACAGAGCCATTCAAGGAATCATTCGAGAGAATACGAGACTTCGCTATCTCCAAATCAGCATCAGCTCAGAAAACCGTCCATATCCAATCCACCGACTCCGCTCAGTTACCTTCCAGACCCAATGCTCGTAGATCCAACGCCACCGCCGCCCCGTCGTCGTCCGCACGGCCTTCGCCGTGTTCGTGGCCCAACTGATCTCCAGCCACGACTTGATGTTGCACCTTCTGGTCATCGTATGGGCTCCGACGGCTCATATCTTAGTCCTCTCCAGCATCTGACCACAAATATACTCGATACATATCGCATTTGCAACCCACAGTTCAGATATGAAAGCACCCACAATCCAAGGCGCGTTCTTACAAAACCCAGTAAGCCAGCTCACAATGAAGGCTACGATAATGACGACTATGACTACATTCTCTATGTCAACGATTGGTTGGGCACAGAAGAAGGACATAAGTATGTAGATTATCCCTTTTGCTCGCAGGCTCGACCTCATGCTCTTTCTAGATATCTCATCCTCGACATCCTCGGTCAAGGGACGTTTGGACAAGTTGTTAAATGTCAAAATATGAAAACGCATGAGATAGTGGCAGTTAAGGTTGTCAAAAACAAACCAGCGTATTTCAACCAGAGTATGATGGAAGTGACGATATTGGAGTTGGTGCGTCGGCATATGGTATGGCCTTCCAGATCCTCTGACACCTTGGACAGCTAAACAAGCAATGTGATCCTTCCGACACACACCACATTCTTCGGCTCCGTGATTCTTTCATCCATCGCAATCATCTTTGTCTTGTATTCGAGCTTCTGTCATCCAACTTGTATGAGCTGATCAAGCAAAATCAGTTCCAAGGTGAGTCCCATATCCACTGCCACTGGCTTTCTGTATGCTCATCCTGTGTTAGGTTTGAGTACACAGCTCGTCAAAGTCTTTATGGCGCAACTTTTAGACGCGTTGACTGTCCTCAAAGAGGCGAGACTAATTCACTGTGATCTCAAACCGGAAAATATTCTCCTCAAATCGTATGTCCATGATACTTTCCAGTTGCATTCAACTCAATCATCTGTATGCAGCCTTCAGTCACCACAAATCAAAGTCATCGACTTTGGTTCCGCTTGCCATGAACGTCAGACGGTGTATACGTATATCCAATCTCGGTTCTATCGGTCCCCTGAGGTTCTCCTGGGACTATCATACACTGCTTCCATCGATATGTGGAGTCTGGGATGCATTGCTGTAGAACTCTTCCTTGGATTACCGTTGTTTCCAGGCACAAGCGAGTACAACCAGATATGCAGAATCGTCGAGATGTTAGGGTAAGTACGCGAGAGAGGGACATTCTACTCCCGCGTTACCTGAATTCTATGACTGAGATTCATTGTTTAGAACACCTCCCTTGTCGATGCTCAATATTGGAAAGCAAACCTCTCAATTCTTCGACAGTTATGACGTATGGAACCCTCTTTCGGGACAGAACGAAAAAAAGTGGAAGTTGAAGTCATTGGAGCAGTACTCGAGAGATCATGGAACCAATGAGCAACCAGGAAAGCAGGTGAGCTCACTTCGAACCTTTTTCTAAAAGAGTTTTCCGAAATGAAAATGCTATCAGTACTTCAAAGCCACCTCTTTACCAGAGATCATAAACACCGCGCCCATGCCAGCATCGAAATCGTCCTCGTCTTCTCCAAACGCTAATGCCTCACGGCAACACGAAATTGAGAAGGAGATGAATAATCGCGCCGCCTTCATCGATTTTTGCCAAGGTCTCTTGGACATGAATCCGATCACAAGATGGACGCCACAACAGGCAAGGTTACACCCATTTATAACCGGAGAAAAATTTGTCAAGCCGTTTGTGGTAGGCACCCTCCTATTTTGTTGCTATATTCCATTCTAAATACTGTTTTCAGCCTGATCAACTCACGCCGGGCCAACAAGTTGCTGCAGCCGCGGGCGCTGGCGGATCGAGTTCATCACCGAATTCTAACACATCTTCTGTATCGAGCAACAACAACAGCCCAGATCCCAAACGTCCATATGGTGGGCTCGTTCCCTCACAGCCAAAGGGAACCCGCGCTTACCAAGATGCCGCGACTTACAACCAACACCTTGCTCAACATCAGGTGTACACAGCGCAAGCGCAAGCACAGGCTCAGCAACAGAGAGAATACAGGAACCCTTACCTTGCGCCTGGTCCCGCTGGACAAAACCAGTCGCAGCCACCCTCCAGCCAAGTCCCATCCCATGATGGATATGGGCTTCCTACCAATTCTGCGCAACTCACCCAACCCCCACCTCCGGTACACCACCGACTTATGCATCAAACCTCGACAGGACATCTCAACATGAACTCCAGTTCGAGTATGCCTCAGTTCCCTGGATCCGGAAGTGGAGGAGGTGCTGGTTCCAACTCTTATTACACATCTAATTCTATGCAATCTTCCTCGCAACAAAGCCCGGCCTCTTCGACGTCATCAAGGGGTCGAGCAAACACCATAAACCAGATGGACGCTGCGATACCTCCGGCCCTTGCGCGGTTACAGCATATGAATCAGGATGTCATACAAGGTCGAAACGCGCTCACTCCCGTTTTGAACAGGGATGATGCAATGAGGGAATGGGAAAGACGGCAGAGTGGCAAAGGAGGACCACCGCCACCTAATGCGTATTCCCGAGAGCTCGAGTATTTGCAGCAACAGGCGGAACTGGCAGCTTCGGGAGCAGTGGGCGGAGGACAATGGGGTGGGAGCGGAACCGGAATGGGTGGAATGTTCCCATCCATAGGAAGGTATCATGCCGGGCATACGCAAGCACCTTCAAAACTATCTCATGGATATAGCGCCAATTTACCACCTATTCTGGTGGATGACTCTGAGTCCGCGTCCGCGTCCAGTGGTAATGCTCGTCGGGATGCTATTATGTCGAACGTGCGCTCGGCTGCTCGAGGAGATGGTGCTGGAGCCGCCTTGTATGGCGGAGCGGGTAGTGTCATCTCAAGTCCACCACAAGCGTATACTGGCGGTACCGCGACTCCTGGAAATCGTTATACTTTGACATATAACTCACAGCCTCCCCTTCAATCAACGGGAGTTCCTCTATCTTCGTCACATCCTCCTTCTCTTCAGCCTCAGCATAATTCTCCGCAAACTCCCTTTGACTCCGTGGATCGCCGGACGGATATAGGGAGTATGTATGTTCCCATGCAAACAGATGTGTCTGGTCCTGGTGGATATGGCCCTCCTTCCGGCTCCTACTCAAATCATGGCTCTTCTGCAATGAATGCGCGACATGTTGGAGCTTCAGCTCAAAACGTTGCGCCATCATTTTATGGAGCGGGTGTGGCTGGTGTGTTACCTCCAATGGTTGGCACCCAGAGTATGCCTGGTTCGTTAGGGTCCATTAATCCTCTGCAACAACAACAACAAAGACCTGCCTTTGGAGAAATGTCTCCTAGTTCTGGGTCACTCAAGGATTCTCGGAGAGCCAGTGGAATGGATGCTTGGCCAAGATAACTCCCGAGAACTCACTAATCAATAATGAGGCAGAACCATGCTCTACCTCTACCGTAAATTGGGTTGTGGACGCGATACGCCTGTCAAAACTGGCTTTCAGTCATACCTTTCTTTTTTTCCCGTCTCTTTCCTAATTATTCGAAACCCAACTACGCGTTATATGCCATGTCCACCATGCAAACCCTGGGTCATATCTACATACTCTTGTTCCGGCTTTCAACCGTATTGTTGTCCATGATGAGCGTGAGCAAGTCTCGTCGCATAAATTTTTGCTGCATGAACTTCTGTGTGCTTGCCTAACAAGGACTATATGATCGTCGGGGACATAGTTACACTGCACTTATTCCATACCTATTGGCATAAGCTACCCCAACGATTTTTCTTCTTTTCTTCAGAAATCTCATTCAGAAGTCACAATTGCAGCACAATCGAAAGCCAGTCCTATGTATAAGAGAGGCATAACGGTAAAGACGCTGTATTGGCGTGTGTTATAAATTATTGATTCTACAGTGTGTTAAATATTTCCTCAAGCTCCCATGCACCAGTCCAATATTTGACTTGGCATTTGAGACCAAACAGTTCACCGTCTCTAGCAATGCGCTTTGGTAAACCACCGAAGGTTCTACAGCAAACGATATCCTGGCTAAGCAAAACTGGCTTAGATCATAATCGAAGATGATAAGAGTAAATCCACCTTCGAAGATGTAATACTGGACAGAAGTCGTTGGATCCGTCACCAACATATATTATACGATCGTACGTAGAGTCATGTCGCGCAAGAAACGCGTCTAATTCCTCACCTTTGGTAGTGATCTTCTGAGATAGGATGTAAAATTAGGATTAGGATCACTTACCTTTGCACATGTTCGGACTGCATCCAATTTTACAGCCGTGCTGAGGTCCTTCTGGGTCAATTCTGCGTCGTAGCTTCAATAGTCCCGAAGTGTCCCATTCGGCTGGATTTGTTATGATCTCCTCGAACAACGTGTCAAGGCCCTTTTCCTGTATTGATAGATATTGAAATTCGAAGGGAATTTGAAGATAAGTGATAATTACTTGGAGAATAGTCGAGATGAAGACGGAATTTGCATTGGATAAGCACAGAAAGGTGGTATTTCCCCGGGCTTTCAAAGTTGTTACAGCCCGTACCATTGCAGGATGCTACAGGAGAGTAAAATAAGCGGATGTCATTCGATTAAAAAGGTACAAGCTGACGTATGGGATTATTTTGAGGGCATGCTCAATATCTTTTCTCTTAATTCCTTTTTCGTAGCCCTCGAGTAACGATTGTGCCCTTGATCGAACAGCAGTCAAGATTTGAATTGGGCTTGCAGATAGCGAAATCATTACACAAGATCAGTCCACTGTACGCTGCTCTCTAAATCCTCCATCTTTCGTCGGATATCTGGAGCATTTACTTCGAAAATCCATCTATCGGTATCCTGATCAGCCATAGACCTGTTCCTGAGATAAGAACCAATCCCATCACGTTATCAGAGACTGACCAGTCAAAGTCGAAGACGACGAGTTGTCTCTCAGCCATAGATACGAAGATAGAAAAATAGATAGAAAGTATTTGCAGCCAAGTACAGCTGATTGGCGCTAATCAATTTCAGAGTCCGAACTTCTCTCATCCGTTTGAGACTAAGCAGCAACTTAGAAGTTTTCGTTCCAGGCAATCTTAATCGTTTTCAATGTCATTGAGATGTATATGATAGATAGCAACTATTTCTCCAGTGTTTTCAAGGCTTGCAAAATCCCCTTCTCCAGCGCCAACAGCACTTCTAGCTTCCCGGCGTAGCTTTGGATGTCTATCGAAAGAAATACCTGTTTACCAAATCTTCTTGCTTCAGGAAATTGGACAGGGTGAACTTCAAGAGGTAGAGAATCAAAAACTCGGTACCTAGTCGCTGGGCCATGGATATCGAAATATCCGAATTTGTTGTTCTGTAAATGCTTGTACTAGCCCCTGTGGTAGCTGTGCCCTTGTATAAATGAATGTTCAAGAGTCGTAACAGATCCCAATCATATCTATCCAACTTACAGCCTTAGGAGGCATTGCGCATGCCCAATCGCGACATAAACTGCCAGAAAGAGGTGCTTTTTCTACATCTCCTTCAAACAGTTCCGTGGGTGAAGCCCACAGCATGTAGGAATCCACTATTTGGGTAATCTGCAGAGCAAATGCTGGTATTGATGGGTTATCGGAGGCAATGTAATGGACTTTTGTCGGTATCATGGTCAATCTGACAAGAACTGACGGTGGAACGCTGAGAGCCGGCTGAGAGTAACCGTTCTGTGACGGCAAAAAACGGCCCGGATCTTCAACACCTTGATCTGAATCGTCCAGCATGGTCTTTGAATGTCTGTAAACAGGATAATCCACGTATCTCCAGTCGATTATTCAGGAACCGTCCGCTGCTATACTCACGAACTTGAAGCGATTCGAAGAATCAGTCAAACAGAGGGAAATTCCAACCGGTAAGTACTATCGCCTCCCGTCATGATTGCATAGCATATCATTTCATCCAATGACCCTCCATAGGGAATTTTACCTCTGTCCGAAGAATCCTGAAGACCGGTGCGATTTTTTCTGTCAGCTCCTTTCGAGAATTTTTATTGCTCTCAATCAAGGCTGATAATATTGTGTGATCTCAGTTTGGGTTGACCAATTAACAGCTGGAACTCCTCACCAACTTCCAGCCATGTCGCAGAATAACTCCTCGGAAAGTTTTTGGCTGCCCGAAGATGGCAATGACCATACTGACCTCCTTCCTTCTACAGACACCGTCGCGAATTCCCCAAGCTCCTCGCACTCCTTCAAAAATGCGGATGGATGCGATCCAAGAAGCCTTGGCAGAAAAGAAGCCCGATTCTCGTGCGAATGGGAGTAACCAATTCACTACCCCTTCGTCAAACCTTCGAGCTCAGGCTGTCAAGACCCCAGGGCAGCTAAGGCGAGACGAGGAAATTAACCGTGCTTTGGGCACCCCTACTCGTCAAAGTACACAACTTCAACGCAACGATGCTAATGTATTCCAATCTAGTCAACCACCGCCCGCGAACTTCAAACTTACACCTCTTTCCCAAGAGAGTAGCATTCATTCCGATGAAGATGATCCATTTGATAATCTTCCCTTGACTCCCCCTACAAGCCAGAGATACAAGCGCTCCCGCGACCAAGAGTCAAATGAAGAGTTTGAGCCTGATTCTTTTCGCAGCAGTCCTTCCAGAAACAAAGGAAAGAAGAAGGCGAATCTCGCACATGATTGGGTGCGTTATATCCGTGTAAGAATATGCGAGGGAAATAAGCATTATGAGAATATAGATCACCCCGACTACTTCTACGAAAGATGACACTGATGTCTTCACCGCATCAACCCAACTAGTCAGCATCATAGAAAGCTTGGAGGAGTTCAAAGGGCAGGTTTTGAAGCTCGAACGGCAAATGAAGGCTCTCAGAAAGAGTAATGAGGCGAAACTGGAAAAGATTCGTGATCTTGAGACCGACAATGATTCGTAAGTACTCCTTCATTAAGGAAGGCTCTTAGCGTTTGTATTCAATACTGTGCCCAGGTTGAAATTGGAAAACGACCAGTGTGTTTCTTGTTCCAGCTGGTGCATGAAAATCCAGGGCCTTACATTAATTTTAACAGCTTACGAGGAAGAATACGACAGCTGGAAAATCATTGACGTCAGGTCCCTTTTAGGATAAGCACCAAATCTTCTTTGTTTTCGACTATGTTGCATGTATAATGGCAAATCGCCAAGCGTTAGATTATTTTCTATTTGAAACGTCCTTGGAAACGCGATCCTGACTATCGATATCGGCCCCGACCTGCCCCGACACGTAGCTGAGTTTTACGTATCCTCATGCAGAACATTGGCTATAATTTGGCATTTGTGAATGTGTCCATCAGCAACAAATCGCTATTTCCGCGGACATCACTTGGTTTGCAGAATCTGAGACTAGTAATATTGGTCGACCTTGTCTTCACACCATCCTTCCTCTCTCATTGATTTCAACCCTCGATTATAATTGCTCTCTAGTCATATTAGTTCCATTGACGCAAAAACTGCTCATGGTCTTCAAGAAGTTTGGATAATCATAGCATTTTACCATGTTATTCTAGGTTATTCCTCAAGAACATATTCCAATGCCAACCCGGCTCTGCAACGGGGATCGCCGTTTTTCGCATTCTACATTCATGACCCAGTCTTAGGTCCACCAATCAATCTTCTTCAATGGAAACTGGGATATATTGATATTATTATGCCAAGTCCACGGATTTGTCTTCATGCTCACATTATTTGGTACAGTATCGTCGATTGACTCAATATAACCAATCCCTTGATCTTGATCGCTCGTTTTTCGGAAAACTGTTAAAGTTGACCGAGCACTTACCACGGAGCTGGACGGCTCTCCGTCGATTACAGTCCCTTTCTGTGGTATACTACTTGCTGTTTAAACATTGTTAGCAACGATTGTGCCTCGGAGCCTGAGAGAATAAGCAACGCGGAATGCCCTGTAATGTCTAAACATACTGACGCCATACACATTCTTCCTCGGATTGACATCCATCGTCAGGGTACATGAGTAAAATGTTTGGTGGTTGATAATCAAAAGCGTGCGGTACACTGGTAGTCCGGTGTACTCTGTTGCAGTCTGAAGCCATAGATATAACGCTAGAAAATAAGTCCAGTAAATGTCTGCAGAGGTCAGATAGGTATATCAACTACCTAGCGGTCCCAGGATATAAAGAATGCAAAATACAACATGATCACTGAACGTCGAGCAGTGAAGCAAGAAAATTGGTCACGTAAGATTAACGGAATAACTGTCGCCACCAGAGAACAAATCTAGTCCACCAACCACCTTCCCAACCATCGGTCCGCTGCATGGAACTGACCCGCAGAGTACCTGTACCAAAGCGAACTTGCTTACCCTCAGCAGCGTCGTCAAGACCCGCCTCAAGATCCGATGGTTTTTTTGGAGATGGAATCGAAAAATAAGGGAGAGTTCGTCTAGTGATGTGGGAAGGAAAAACTTTGACAAGATTGAGATATTCGGGATTGGTGAGATCAGAAGAGGTCCATGTCCGCATGTACTCTTCTTCAGAATCATCGCCAAGGGTTTCAATTATCGGAGTGACATCTTCATTGAGGGCCGACCCGGCAACCAGAGGTTCCTCAGAGTTATTTGATACCAATAAGGAGGTCATATTCGATGAAGAACATCCAACGGAACGTGAAAGCATATGTGTATCCAGAAATGGATCACTCGGAGCTCGAGCACGCTTCGGCACTATATTATCGTAGTCCTTTCGTCCAGGAAAGAATGGTGAAGATTGGGAGCGTGAATGTGTGATTGTTGCATCATCACTCTCCTCGCCGCTAGGTGGTGTTGACGTTCGGAAAGAGGGTGCTTCTTCAAATGCAAGGACCTATCATAAGGATGAGCAGATGGTGTGGAATCCAGTATGAGAAAGACTGACCCCTTTGAGAATGTCGATAGCTTCAAGCATGAAATCTTTTCCTCTGATTTGCGGTTAAAACATATTTAGCATCAGACTTCTTTGTTTTCTCAACGATCGTGGTACTTACGCTGCCTCTTTCAAAACAGCATCGTCAAACTCCCATTCAATTCGGTGCCTTCCTGCACCGCCAGTATTTCCTGGCACTGTCTGTAGACGCATAACCGCCCACACTGTTGCGTTTCAATTCTGAATAGAATGTTTTAGAGGATGATGCCACTCACACGCCTGAAAGAATGGTTGAGGGCCTGGCATTCCCATGGAACACCAGCTCCGCACGAAACGTTCGAAAGATTGATATCTCTCTAGATAGTAGAAACTAGAATTAATTTACGAAGTGGGAGAAAATTCTCGGATTGTACCTTTCTGAGCATCTGATCCGCGAGGATTAGCTCTGGCATGGGGAGTCAGGGATGCACCGGGATGTGTTGCACTGAGATGGGCTCTAAATTCTGCGTTTCTTCGCGCATTCACAGAACGATGGTAAGCAGATCGTATAGAGGCTTGAAGACGGGAGTAGGGAGCGCGCTGAGCAGGTGGCAAATTTGCCATAGTTTGAGTCATGAGCCGACCTGCTTCTTCATCTTGTTTGAAATACCTAAAAAAGATATGTCTACATCCCGAGATTGAATGAAGATAGAGACTCGTACCAGTTGCGGCAGTGGGCCGAGAACTTTTCTAAATCGCTAGTGGCAACACCCATAGGAGTTACTGAACGGTTTCGTCCACCTGGAGGTGGCGTTGGCCTGCCACTGCGGTGTGGTCTGATTCTTCCGGGAGATGTCGGCGGACTTTCTAGCCGATTGACTGAGGTTGGGCTAGTAGGAGGTGATACGGAGGTTGCAGAGGGAAGGTCATAAAGGAAAGTTGGTGATGACTGATTACTGAGGCCAGTCCTTGAGTGATAGGAAGGATGTTCAAAGCGTAGAGGAGTCGGTGGATTTCGCCTGGGCTTTTCAAGGAGATACGAGGATCCAGACATCTTGCATTAATTGACAAAGAAACTTGTCAGTGTAGGCGAAGACCAACGTTGAATGCGGTAATTGCTTCACCGTCCGGCGTCGTTGAGACGACTCGACAGCTGTCATTTTGCCTACGTAAGTAAGGACCACGCGTCAGCCCGGCGGCACTGATTGATGGCGCATCAGGTCAAAGCAAGCATCTCAGATCTTACGGACTCTTACGGATCAGGAACGAAGGCTGGTAGAGGCTGGTTCGGGCATTGAGAGGCATGACGAAGGGAATTGAAGGAAGGCAGGCGAAAGAGAACATTTTTTTCGTACCTCAAGACTACATAAAGAATTAAGCAGGCCAAAATGTAAGCAAGAAAAGTACAAACAAGAAATCATTTTTCTCGGACGACTTCGTTGTGATTGTCATTGAGAATGTATGAACAACTGCGGAATATGAGTTATTGGTTCCGTCAGAAGCCTTGATCACTATCTCAGTGGACAGATGTGCAAATGCCTGTGTTTACAAGTCCCACCACATAAGTTCCAATGCAGCCAAGTGACTCAGAAAATCAGCTCGATTTGCACTACTGTTTGGTTAGGACCTCTACATTCGGAGTGTCCGCGGAGTCTGAAGACAGTACTGATCAAATTCCCGCTCATGCACGGCAAGTATTGATATTGCACCTCCAGCCCTCACATATACAGGCCAAGGTCGCCAAGGTGCTCCCGACCAATCAAAAAGCATTAGAGATAAGCGACTAACACGTAGAAGGTCTACGGGACTACCTCCATGTGTATAATCTTGATTGACTGCAGAAGTGATTGATTTTTGGGTGGTCTTTCGCGCTTGTCCTTGCTTCTATGTACTTCAGCGCCAAGTTCAGGATAGTAACACTTTAGGGGCCAGAATGTACAGATGCAACTTCCCCACAATATTATGGGCGTCGTTTCCTCCTCTTGCCACTAGTGAAGGCAGGACCGAGTTGAGCGCCTGATGCGCAGCTATTTTGAGAAGCAAACGCATTAATCCACTAGATTCATATCCCGCTTGGAAATTTTTCGAGGAACATAGAATTCGTCCCATTGTTCAGGATCTTTGGGGTACACAAAGTACTACACAACCGAAGGCGGAGATCCAAACTTGAAGAGTAAACGTCCGACTCAACGTCATACGCATATAAGAAGTTTCAACTTACTTGTAACCTCATATCCTTCTTCCTTGTTGAAGAGCCATGTGGGAGACATGTGGGAGATCTTTCTGAGTAGGAGGGCATTTGGTCACTGGACGATTTGAATGCGTAGAATATAGCTCAATTGAGGAACTGAAGCCCAAAAATTGCCTGATGGCAGGCACACAAATCTCCTCGATCTGGGGAGACAAAGTATGTATTGGCCGGACGATATACTTATGTCGACTTAAGAGCCCAGTTTATGCCATAGCCCGTGCAGTTGCTTGGAATAGACGGTACCTATCGGTAACGTAAGTTAGAGAGTGCTCCCGACAATTTTGTACAAGCAGACTGAGGTCACGAATTCATTGCTTTTGGGAGAATGAACGTGGAAGAAGTTACGATTTGGAAAACGTTTTTTACCTATGTGGCATTGAAAATACGTTGACTAGCCAACTGGTACTGAAATCATAATAAACGACAGATGCATACAAAGTCCTTGGGATGAGCGGGAGATACCGATGCTTCTGAGAGATCAGATGGATTTCTAAATCCGCCGGGCCACAGCGGCGAAAGTTAAGCAAGTCATATGTATGCAAGGTCCTGGAAGAAAAAGAAAAGATGAGAACCAATCGGGCACAGAGGCTTGATTTCGGATCGGTAGGGGTGATAATACTCGAGAAAACCGATAGGCTGGTGAGGATGGGGAAGCAAAATGCGAGAAAGCTTTCACAGCTGGAATTTCGCCCACGCAGAAACGCAAAGTCTAAAGAGAAAGCTGTAATAAAAAAAGCTGACACGCCATAAGTGGCAAAGTTCCGATGATAACATTATCGAAAAGTATAAAACAAAACGCGCAGAAGGAACGAGAGTCCCCCCTCATCTATTATTTGCTCTTTCAACACTTGTCCAAGTCGAAGGCAAGTTACCAGCATACGACTCAGCCCGGGTTAGTCAGTGTTAGTGATGGCCCAAACGAGCTGGCTTAGTTCGGCAATTCACGGCGAACGGACTAGCCGATCAGATTTATATGAGAACTCTTCAAGTTCTTCTGTTGCGCCCAGACCAATACCTCCTCCCTCTGATATCTCCCGCTGGGATCTTGCTGAAATACTGAACCCAACTTCAGCGTTCAGAGAGCGAAAACTTTCCATGGACTTTACTTCTGGGTCTGCTGGCCCTCAGCATAGTGTTTATGGCCAGTCAGAAATTGACCATCCATTCAGTGCTCTTCATACTTCTGATCCAGTACGTTCTTATTCTCCTCATATCTTCTCCTTTTAACCTTTCCGATCATCAGGACCACTCAGGCTACGATCTTTTTTCCCATTCTGCACCGAACTCGTTCGGAGCCCGGTACCGCAACGCGTCTTCGTCTTCTCTAGGTGGAAACTATGCTGGACTAAACGGCGACAGCCTCTACTCCCAGCAGTCTTTCAATGATTCTGTCCCTTCATTCGGCAGCTCTAATGGCAATCCCTACGATATGATACACAGTCTTCCCTCTTCATATGGCAGTGGCAAAGTATCACCTCTTACACCGAGTGACCCTGTCGGTCCTTTACATCCTCCCTTCCCAGTTGGCGGCAAAGATTTTACGTCCTCAAACTTTCCAGACTTTACACCGGATCGTCGTCTCTCTAGCGTAAGCTCAGGTACATATGGTTCTGATTTATCAGACGATTTCGCCATGAACAACGGCAACCTTCCCTTCCCTTCTTCCGCTCTGCAACACTTCAGTGAACGTCTTGGGCGGTTCCAGTCTGGTGCAAATTCGGGGATCTCTCCAATTTCACCGACGGCCCATAGTCCGGATATTCTACGCGGAGTAGCGCCGCATGCAACTCATGGTTACCGCCCGGACAACGGTATGAATGGATTTGACGAAATGCAATATATGGGCAACCCCCACGGGGACTATCGCATGTCTGGCGTAGATGAGCAGCTAGCTCGTGTCGGACTTCGTGGACCATCTATTATGGGGACATCCAGTGACCTCTCGACTTTCATTCGGTGAATTTACTCTTGTTGTTCTTATTCATCACTTTTTGACACCTTCTGTAGGCCTTATCTCGAACAATATGTGCGGACTCCCAATCGGCTGGCCTTCGGAGAAAGAACAGTTATCGTTATGTCAAGTAAAGTTGCTCAAAAGTCGTACGGCACCGAGAAACGGTAAGTTTGCCCAAGAAAGTAGCCATACTCTGCATATTCATGATGTTCCAGGTTTCTATGTCCTCCCCCAACTGCCATCATGATTGGTAACTCATGGTGGAGTGATGTTCATCGTAGAGGGGAAGACCCTAAGCTCTGTCCTCCTCGGGTGGTTATCTCTATCTCCGGCGAACCTGCGCCCCAAGAAGGTTCAATTGAATGGACAGGGTCATCAGGCAAGTCCTTTGATGTTAGTGACCCTCCTTCGGGTACAACATATATCGGACGATGTGTTGGAAAACAGCTGTTCATTTCGGACGTCGACGAGAAGAAGAAAAAGGTGGAGGCTCTTGTCAAAATCACCGCTCCTTCGTCGGACGATGAACCAGAACGTGTTATTGGGATCTTTCCCAGTCGGCCCATCAAGGTGATTAGTAAACCAAGCAAAAAGCGTCAGAGCGCGAAAAATCTCGAGCGTGAGCCTTCTTCACATTTTTTATGGAACATTGCCGACTGATAGTCTTGAAGTTTGCATCAATCATGGATCAACAATATCGTTGTTTCATCGTTTAAGATCACAAACTGTGTCTACGAAATATCTATGTGTTTCCGGCTCTGGATCTTCATTCAAAGGTTCGGATGGTGCACCTTTAATGGGTCTTGATCAACGCTCTCGTACAAATACTCCCTCTTTTATTGCCCGTACTGCCAGCTGGGGTAAGCCGTTTTCTGTGATCTGCTTCCTGATACTAAGTGCGCTTTATATTTAGACCCTTTCGTGATGTATATCGTCGATGTCAACAAACCTACAGGTGGTATTGATGTTCCTCCTCCTCCAGCGTTGCAGCCTGATTATCCATCCCCACCCCCAAATGCCATCCCATTCACTAATAACGGCTCACAAATTCCAATCTACTATAATCAGACTGTTGTCCTTCAATGTTTGACTTCTGGCGTTGTTAGCCCCGTTCTTATCATTCGTAAAGTCGACCACCAAACTACTGTTGTCGGTGGCGGTCTCCAAGAAGGGGCAAAAGGTGTTGCCGACCATTTCTGCGCTCCTGGTGAGGTATGCGGTGACCCAGTTTCGCAACTTCATAAAATCGCCTTTGAAGTTTATGATGGCGCGAAAGGCATGCCTGAACCGGGAACTCCAGGAATTACTGGTGCCTTCTTATCTTGCATGGGCGAAAAGGTGAACACGTACCGCCCAATTGATGGTCGTCAGTGGAACAGCGGAGGAAGTAATAGCGGTAATTCCCCTGTCGCCTCCCCGGTTTCTTCCACTCCTGTGTCCTCCAATGGCAGCGAATATTTTGGCCACAACTTGGACAGCGCACCAGAATCTCCCTCATCGCCCGACTTCCTTTCAAATGACGGAGGTCGCGTGAAGAAGAAGCGGGGTACTTCGAGTGCAGGCGGGCCGTCTAAGAACCCAACAAAGGGCCGCAGACGTCCGAGCTCAGCGGGATCTGTAACATCTGGTAGACGAGGCTCGACCAGTGATTCTGGAGCTGCTTCAGGAGCATTATGGCAAGTCGATATTGGTGAGACAAGCGTTTGGACCATAGTTGGAACGGGTATGTGCCGTTTTCGAAGGCCCTCTATGCTCTGAATTTCGAGTTGCTTTCTTTAGATCAAATCCGTTACAACTTCTATGTCCCTCCTGTGTTGTTTGATGCCCAACACGCTCCTCAAACTGGATCGTTCCCGATACCTTCCAAACCTGTGACGCCGTTCCCAGGTGTGGTGAAGTACCTGTGTGTATTCTATCCCTGATCCGCTTGAGACTCGACGTTAACATTTTTCTAAACAGTCCTCCTGACCGAGCTGCTGAAGCACCTAAGGCCAACTGTTCTTCCTCGCGGTCCATGCTATCAAAGCCCAATCCCCATGCATCTAAAATGCTGACTGTATACGGAGAAAATTTTTCCAAATCAGATCCGGTCAGCGTGTTCTTTGGTCATGAGCCATCACCGTACGTAGAAGTGCGATGTACCGAAGTCCTTGGGTGTCTTCCCCCAGAGCAGCAGATAGCCAAACGACGTCCTATCATTCTTATACGTCCTGACGGTGTTGTTTTTCCATCTAATACCATGTATCCTTAGCTTAGCTTTATATTTTCGTTGTGTCATTATCAGGTTCACGCTCGTAGTGCTTTTACTATTCCTACAAAGTTCTGTTTGTTCATCGCTCTCGGATTTTTCATGCTTTTATCGGATTGTATTATGTATCGTGCGGACATGGAAATACTATGCATGTAGTAAAGTACATAGATGGAACAGTATGAAATCAATGTCATTTACGTATCGCTGTAAGGCAGATTTCACACGACGCACGACGCGCTTCTAGCTTCCAGGTCACTTTCAGGAAACCCTTACAATGAATTTTTCTTTAGTATCGCCCTCATCAGCTCTCCAAATTCTCTGGGCCTGCTATGTCGAGAATCTCTGGAGCTATAAGCCGAACTCTGTAGTGGCCAAAGCTGCATACAGCTTCAAAGTTCTTGCTTTGGCACTCCTTTTACCCATTCTGATATTGATTCTACTATTGAGTCTATTCGAGGGCCTTTCGAATTTGTCGACACTAAACTTCTTTTGTGTTTAGGATATCACCTCGTACACGATCGCCAGGACACTGGGTGTTATTGACATTGTCAAAGCGTCCACGTCTGACAAGCAGACAATGTATCCTAGAAGGGAACCGCCTAGCATACACATTCGCGAAGCTTCTGTAGACCGAATTAATGAAGATTCCGCCCAGAAAACCAAAGACAATCTTCGTAGTCACTTTTTCACTCTTGACAGTGACAGCAGCCAATCGATAGCAGTCTTGGACTCATTATCAGCACCCTCCGACGTACGCTTGACCGAGTACTTCACGTCTGAGGACAACAACCTCGAGTTATCTGGCGTTGGGGTCTTTTCTCCTGCTACCTCTCGTCCTCCATCACCAACCATATCTCGACGCAAATTGGAGCCGGAGATTCAGAGTACACTGTCTCTCCACGAGTTCGAGATTGATGATGGAAGCGTACATTTTAGAAGGAGGAACAAACCCCTTGCCGCTCTTGAATCTATTCAACAATAACGTGCGTGGATAGATCTTGAACTAGTTCTTCATGAGGTTCTATCTCTGATGCTTTACTTAGATGGTTCGAGTCACTCTCAATTTAGAGTTCCATGTGCTCTTCTTGCGACTTTTTTCCCCTTACAAACAATCCGCAGTATTATCTGACAGACAAGAACAAACTGTTGTGATTCGGTGTCAGGCTGTTTTCTATCTTCTCTCAATGTAAATGTTGTATAATCATACACGGAGGCCCGTCTTTCCAATGGCGGCAACGCTTCCACATTCACATACATGCGATAGTCCAAAAACCTCTGCGGGATGCCACATTTAGTCGGAAACAACGGTCAGACAAGGCAAATTATACTGTTTTTTAGTTACATCGAGTGGAGAGATAAAGGATTTTATGGCTACAGGGATTATCGCTGAACAAATATGATGCTACATGGTATATACTATTAGGTATATCCTACCACCCAAACCGCAATTGGTCCCTCGTGAACACTGGTGGCTTCCATCGAAGATTCTCTGGGTGGATACGACGGCGATTCTTCTTGCGAAGCTTTTCGTGTCGTTCAAGGACAGTATCATTGAGTACAATAAGGTGTTGTCCCTTGTAATGTTTGAACAACTGTAATGTGATGCAACTTTTCGGGAGCAATGAGTGCTAGGAACAAGCCGTAGACAAACACATAACATACGTATTCATGACATCTGCATGGGTGATAGATGTCTTCTGAGCGACTTCATCTATGCTGATGTCTCCGTCCCATTCCATCAAGAGTTCGACGACGACCTCGCTCCAATATGCACGATAACTTAGCAAACCTAAATCACTGAGAGGCTTTTCTGGGCTTCCCAATTTGCCTTCCTTCTTGCTTAGTTCGTATGAGAACTCGATTAGGAGTTTGCCATAGCCATGTCGCTGGTGGTGAGGAAGGGTCAGGATACAGGCAACATTGTAATTTTCAGCAGACTCCTTTTCTTTCGAAAAATATCCGATAATATGGCAACCAGCGGAATCTCGTATGGCCTATATCAATACGATTGAGCCCATGATGAAGAGATTTCCTGATTATATCACACACCATAACATAGTACATGAAAGGCGTCACATCGTAGTACAAAGTTTTGCTGAACAATGCGAATTGAGTAGGAGATCGGTGGGTCATAGAATTAAAACTCACTGATCTAAAAAACACTTTGACAATAGACTGAGATTCCGACACCAGCTCAATTGGCGTTTGCCATCAATTTCAAAAAAGGATATGTCTTCGTGGCGATATATTTCATTCCCCGGTGGATGCAGCAGATTACAGCGCTGTCGATGTCTTGATAGCATGAAAGGAGAAGGGAAAAAGCACAAGCAGAATTCGCATATATATAGGACCGGAAGGTGGGCGTATTCCTTTGGGTAAGGGCTGAAATACCAAGTCTCTACTTCATGTTTGCCTATTTGGAGACGATTGAGATTTTTGACCCGAGCGATTTCCGAGACCGACTGTGTCAAAGAACCTGATGTTCGTAATTTTTCAATCTCCTGTTCTTTGCTGAAAGCAGAGAATGGCGGCGGCTCCTGAGAGTCGGGCCCAGTGTCGGTCAAGCTCAAATCAAAGGTCTCGAGGTCCCCGTCTCCATCAATTTCCATGTCGCCATCTGCATCTGCGTCGAAGTCATAAGCTTCCTCCGTGGGCTCCTCTTCTTCATCATGCGGTACCTTGCGCTTCAATGAAGGTGGCGCAGGTGATGGGGAGGCACGAGATATACTGAATAATTGCGAATGCTGGGGAGTAGGAGCAGGGGATGCGCCGAGGGCGGCATTGGAAGTAGCTGCCTTGAGCAGGTTATTCGGTCGATGAGCCTTGCCTGGAGGAGCCTTTCCTGGAGGCACTTTCGGGGTGCCATTCAGAGCCTTCTTCACTGGAGGGGCTTTGGGACGTGGCCATTCGAGATCACGATGAAGGAGTATCCGCGTGCCAGAGACCCAATCATCTAAACGCTTGTTGAACTGGTCCCAATGAACAAAGAACTCTAATTTCTCCTCGGGTTTCTTGTTATCAACCTCCTCCTCCTCTTTGACATCGTTGCTACGACGAGCGTACGGATTCACTGGTTTGTCTCTTATAGAAAGAATTTCGGCCACCCGTTCCTCGGTTGTACCGTTCGGACCAGGACGTGAGATATAAACTTTGCAACCAACAGAAATTGACTGTGGCAGTAAAATCAGTAAACGGGTTTTTGACAGCAAGAGTATATTACTTGGAGGGTATAAGTACCACCAGGACTAATTACAGGAGGCGGCAGTGGCCCATCGTTCACTGGCGTTGAAGGGGACATTGAGGATAATGAGTCATCGGCTTTCGGCGCGCCGTACAAATATTTTCCCACAACTGATACATGCACACTATTTCGCCAACCATGACAGAAAGAGGAGCAGTGGCTACATCCCATTAGTGGAGGAGAGGAACACATCAGGGCAACCCGACAAAACCAAGTCCCCTTGGAAGCGTATCTACACTATGGCCTATTGTCTCTTGCTGGACTTGGGCAGAATCTCCATTTATCCCCCTGTAGTGGATGTTTGTACGAACCTGTGGACCTCCAGATCTGGATATATGCGGACTACATAGCCTGCAAATGTATCTGTGTAGTTGCAAGACTCGAGTGCTTTCAACTTCAAATGGTTGTATCTTATCGTGGGTGTTTGGCTCATTCCTTGGAAATGCGCTCGCGATAACACTCTACATACCGCCTACCATCTTCTCCAAATCATACCCTCCAGCAATTTGGAACTCTGAGCTACCACTGCTCATCATTACTCCACCCTTCTTCGAATGTCTACCCTGTGCGCGAACAATGTCTCGCATACGCCTCTCGGCGTCTCCACTATGCGTAATTTCCCATTTTTCGCCTTTGATGTTCGCAGCCCTATCTTTTTCTCTCTTCTTAGTTACCCCTCCATCCTTCGCCGTGTTCAATCTCCGAGATTTACCACCGGAAGCGCTCGTAGCGGCCTTTGGTGTTTCTCGTAAAGCGAATGCTTTGGCAAGATGTCCGAGGTGAAGATGTCGGATGTGGAAGATGTGTTTCTCAGCGGAAGGATGTGTCGCGTAAGCCCTCATGTGAGACATGAATGCCTTGCGAGCAAGAATAGCGTTCTGAAGAGAAATTAGGTCAAAATCTAATAGCATGGTGTGGAGACAACCGAACCTCCTTGCTTCGAAGGACCCAGCGTTCAAACGAAAGCTGGACTTGAGTTGCTCTCTCTTCGTATTCACTGCCTTTCCCTCCAAATCCTAATTTGAGGACGGATTCTGGAGTGACGGGGATTAATGAGATATTTTGCTTTTCACTTTCTGAGCTGTCACTACGCATCTTTCCTTCCACCCACTGTACCCATGCCACCTCACTGGGACTAACAAAGCTCCAGGCCTCACCACCTTTGCCTGCACGAGCTGTACGACCGACTCGATGTACGTACTCTGTAGCACCACCCTCTGTGGGGAGATCGTACTGAATGACGCTCCACACCAAAGGAAGATCCAATCCACGAGAGGCTACTGAGGTACAGAGAAGCACGGAAAACGGCGCTGTCCTTTTGGAAGAGCCAGAAAAGCCGCGTAAGGTGGCAAGTCGTGTTTGCGTTGGTAAAGAGCCGTGGAGACGAAATACAGACGTGTCGGGAAGTAAGGAGGATTTCAGTGATATTTGTTCGGATTTTGACTCTATTTGACCCTCGTCGACGTCATCTGAGTTGTCTTCGACATTTGATTCCTGCTCTGCTCTTTCTATATCTTCACCGTCCATCAAGGACCCACCCAACATTTTCCACAAAAAATCCACGGCATCTGTGCAACTGAGAAACACAATGGCTTTGGATCCTGGTTGACCTCGACGTTGAGAAATCATATTACGCAGTAGTGCTACGAGGACGACGAGCCGTAATTTCAATGGAGTGATAACGTACTTTTGAGAAAGTTGGGAGGGAGGGCTAAAGTTTTCGAGGGCGTGAACAGTCTTCGAAGTCGTCAGACCAGAGGGTATTTCTACTTCTGTAGCTTTAATCATGATCGGTCGCGTAAGAGTGGTATTAGCAAGTTTTTGAACATCTTCACGGATCGTTGCAGAGCATAGAATAGTCCGTCTCCTACGTTCCCAATCCCAGCCGCCGACCTCTTTGCCAATCCCTTCTCTGACAGCCTGCAGAGCCAGCTTTCGATGTCCATCCAAACACTTCAAGATGCCCGTGATGCTCTCTTCAAAGCCTAGTTCCATCAGACGATCAGCCTCGTCAAGAACCAGCCACCGACACTTGGAAACATTGAAAGTAGATGTATTTTGGAGGTGATCTAGCAATCGACCAGGTGTCGCCACTAGGATTGGAAGTCCCTTTCGCAATCGGGCTTTTTCGTGCGTCCTAGTTCCACCGCCTATTAAAAGGCCGGAGACCAGCCAACGTGTTAAACGTACAGTATTCGAATCATCCGCGGATTCGTCTGTGGCTCTTAATCGGAGGTAAAGGAGACTCTCTAAGACATCGGATATCTGTTTCGCAAGCTCACGAGTAGGCACAATGATGATGGCTAATGTTCCCAAGGACCGGTCGATGTAAGATAATGAGCTCAAGGGGAGTAGATCCTGAATGATAGGAAGAAGGAATGACAAAGTTTTTCCTGAACCTGTTTGAGATTGTATGAATATATCTCGAGCCATTACGTCCGGTGATACAGACAGTGTGACAGGAAGTGCAGCGCGTTGGATAGACGTAGGTTTCTGTATACCCATTTTAGAGGAAAGATGTGCGGAGATGAGGGGATTTAGACCTAGTCCTGAGAAGCTAGATGCATCGGTCAAGGGGGCATTGGACGGTGCAGAAGGCACTTTGGAAGGATCAGGATTGACAGGTGTTTGAACCTTAGGGTTGTAGGAAAAGAGTGATGAAATTATCTGAGTCGGGGGATGAGATTGAACGTGAGGATGTTCTTTACTGGCAGATTGAGCGGGAGGTTTCTCTACACGAGGACGCTTCCGTTGAGGCTCCTCAATTTCTGTCTGTATATTGTGAGGCTTCCCAGGATTACTGGGCTGTTCATTACGATTTTTACGCTTGGCTCCGCGCTTTGCTTTCAATCTAAAGGGAGGATCGGAAAGATTTAGATAAAGACCAATACACAAGTCAAAGAATTCACCTGTCAGTCCACCTCCCCCCTTTTGAGCTAATTGAGGCTTTTGAAGAGGAAAAGTCTTCACTTGCAAGGTTCAAAACCAGGCCGTCGTCGTCCATTGAGTGAAAATTCGAATAGGCGCGCGGATATTAAAAATCAGGCGCCTGTCACGTCGAAAAAGCCAGGGAGAAGCCACGTCTTGATATCTCTTACAACCATGTACTTTCGTCGACTTTCGTTAATATTCCTCGCTGTGTCACTGGCCTCACTCTTCTGTGCGCAGGATGCTGAAGCTGCGAAGGGTCCAAGGATTACTCACAAGGTCTTCTTCGATATCCAACACGGTGACCAGTTCATGGGAAGGAGTACGTTCATTACAATTGTAAACTTTTATCTCCTGACCTGATTAAATACAGTCGTCGTCGGACTCTTTGGAGGAGTGAGCAGCTATAGCTTATAGTTTGTTGCTTCTTGTTATGACCCTCTATCTAGACTGTACCAAAGACTGTTGAAAATTTCCGTGCCTTGTCGACTGGTGTGCGAAAGGACGGTACCCCACTGGATGAGGGAATGACATACAAGGGATCCATATTTCACCGTGTTATCAAGCAATTTATGTGTGTGCTCGTGAACTTTTGATGCTTGCGGTATTCATACAGACGTCCCTTTAGGATTCAAGGAGGCGATTTCAGTGTGTCTCGCGTCTCCTCTTTTCTAATGTTCGTCTCTGACATCCTCATCAGCTGATGGAAACGGTCGCGGTGGAAAGGTGTGTAAATTGCGCCTGGAGAATTGACATTCTCATTCACTGGCTGCGCAGTCAATTTACGGTAACAAATTCGATGACGAGAACTTGTGAGCTATGCAATCACAAAGAAATTTATGAATTTAACGCTCTCTCTAGCAAGCTGAAGCATACTGCTCCTGGTATTCTGTCTATGGCAAATGCGGGCAAGGATACCAATGGTAAGTGATCTTTCAACATTGCAGTCTACAGATCATTTGACTCTATGTTTAGGTTCTCAATTCGTGGGTTCATATTTATTCTCGTATATTCCTCCAATCTCATAATTACTACGAAGTTCATCACCACTGTGGTCACCAGTTGGTTAGACAACAAACATGTAAGAGAACTATGTTTTCAATTACATTTTCTCTGTGCTGACACCCTTGACATGGTAGGTTGTATTCGGAAAAGTCCTTGAAGGAATGGATGTCGTGTATGCAATTGGTACGCTTTTCGTTCTTGAACTCACAGCTGCTGACTGAATGGCTCTTCTCAGAGGATGTTCCAAAAGGACAAGGCGACCGTCCAACTGAAGATGTCAAGATTATTGATTGTGGCGAGGTAAATAAAATCCACTGTTTCTTAACGCAGAAATTCATCAAATGTCTTCCTCAGCTCCTGATTGAAGTCGTCACCGATGCCGATGGCAACCAGGTACCCCTTCACGCTGAGCTATAATCAGCGTTCTTGTTATTCAACTTTGTGATACGAATAAAAATTTGGATTTCATTGTCGTTACAGGTCGATGATGCAGAAACGGAGGACGATTCTGATTCCCCCTCCGAATTTATTCCCACCGCTACAGCAGATCTTACTATCCCAACGTCTACTACTGCTGTTGCGTCGCCAACTTCGTCTGTTGTCTCCACCGCTTCCGAAACTGAGGAGTCTCATTTCCTCAGAAATATCTTCTTTTTTGTTACTTTACTCGCCTTTGCTGGCGCGGCTGTTGCCTTCTTCGGTGGTTTCAAGAAGCTGAGGAAGTTTTTCGCCAACGGTCGTGGTTACAGGAGACTCGCCGAAGACGACGTTGAGAAGTAAGGACCTTGGAATATCTTGACTGTTCTAATATACATCACTATCAGGCGGGCAGCATGACTATCACCATGATAATTGACGTTCTTTACTAATTGAATTCATGCAACCATTCATCCTTACTAACTAGCACAACAAAGATTCAAACAACAGCGACATAAACGATGCAAATGAGAGTGTGAATAAATACGGTCGTGGTATAGAATGTCCTGAGGACGTGGTCGTGTCTGGCCTACAAAATTTTCGAATTCAATAGGGAAATCGCAAAAGACGAGTAGGCACTTACGCTATTCCGTTGTGATCAGAATATGATGTGCATGTGTTGCTCGAGTTCTATTTTTGTTGAGTGGACGAATACCCACAGCAATATAGAGGACATACGGTGGGGTCCGCAGCACAACAGACGCTCTCGGGGCCTTGTCCGGTGACACTACCTAAAGCTGCATCATTATTCCACCCTTCCCAGTTGCTGCAAGCAACGCTCCCATAACTGATGTTCCACACCCCAAAATCCTGTTGTGGTACAACCTAAGCACCAGACCAAAGGGGTAAGTATATTATGTGAATTACCGTGTATCCATAATAAGTCGCATTCGATGGGAAGAAGTCCGAGGGTATCGAGGTCGAAGGATATGCAAGATCAAAATTCAAAAAATTTCCTGCACTTTGTACGGTGATACATATTCAGAAAATATCAGAGGAAGACTATGGATATTAAAGCCAACCGTGACATACGCGTTGGGTCCATTTGTTGTCGCATTACACCAACCGGTAGTAGATAGGGGACACAAATCTGTTACCTTTACGACAATGGATTTGGGTTTCGGTGGATAAAACGGGGGCACAGATAGAAATGTGTTAAGTAAAGTTAGATTGAAGCATCTTCCACAAGCTGGGCCGTAGGCTGTACTACTTCCATAGGCCATTTGAGAAAGAGCTGCGGTAGGATAATGTGTGCTATCTGCGGTGCATCCACAGCTCGCGATGTAGTCCAGGGGGAGGGAGTAGTGCGTGAGCGTCGCGAATCTATAGTTCTGTAAGTACCAGAAATCGAAAAATGAAGCAATGGATAATTCGGACCCATCGCTAGGATAATCTATCCATTCGCTGGCAAGCACCGCTAGAAGAAAGAAAGAAAAAAACCAGATCTGAAAGGAAAAGGGAATAGAAAGCAGCGCCATTTATGGGCGTGCAAAACAACAAGCAAGCATGGAAGTTTATTTGCGGAGGTCGATCATTTTGAAATTGATCATATCCGTCGCCGCTTACGTTAAATAATTCTATGCCTCTTCCCACTTACTCTTGTACTCCAGAATAATGAAGTTTGCGTATCCTGCATCCAGCTCTATAGATTCATTGACCCCTCTGCACATTGCTCTCAAGATTGCGCGTCACTGTCCATGTACCGCTTGCGAAAACTGTAAAGGCCTACATCCGAGTATCGGGGTCCATGTCGTACTTGACGATGGGTCTGGCGAGTCGATCTTAGGTGAACTAGGACAATATGGCTCTGATGACGACGATGAAAAGCCTTCGGCGCCTCCGTATCTGGACATTTGTGCTTGTGGTCACGGAGTGGCAGAACACGGAGCGAACGAGTTGCAGATTGGCACCGAGGAATACCGGAGGCGGGCATCGTATGCGATACGAATTGACGAAAATATGCAGGTCCGGAGTCCATACCTTGCAATTTGATTTCCAACTCAATGTTTGGGTGTTAGGTGATGGAATTCATCCCAAAATTGTGTTTGATGATAACTCAAGGCCGTTCATGTAGGACGAAGGAAAACTCCTGGATTTCGCTTATAGCGATCCTGATGTAGAAAGTCTTCGAAGGCGAATGACGGATGCGCCAGTGTCCATGATTGCTCCGTCTCAGCTTGTCAATTCCTCCGGTATGCTCGTCTTCATGTGATCGTACCAATTATTGACGTGTTCGATGAAAAGAACAACGAGTCAATAGTCAATCTGCGTCTTCTCCTTCTTCTTCTCCTCACGACAAGCCTCCGCCTCTCAAAAAACGGCGAATATCTGTGTCTTCCCTCAGCGGAGACGATAATGACGACGACGAAGAGCCCCTGGCAATGCGTGTATCACAAAAGACCGTGCCACCAAAATCGCCCGTAAAGCCTGGCAAAGGTGTCAAATTTGTTCCTGCTGCCGGTAGAATGCCTGTTGCTCACGGTAAAACAAATGTCGAGCCTGAACCGAGAGTCAAGATTGAGGATAAATTGGACGATGCACAACTGGATAGGCTTGCTACAGGTGTACCTGTTGACTCTGAAACCACAGCGGTCAGTATCCTCCATTTCCCCCTGTTTCCAAGCCTCATTCTACTCTTAGCCGCCAGTAAGAACCGAAAAAGCTGCTACTATCGAGTTGCGGAAAGGTATAATCCAAATCATGCCAGTTCAGAACGATAGACAACCTCATTCCATGATCCTCATGACGGGCCTAAAAACACTCTTCCAGAAGCAACTCCCAAAAATGCCGCGGGACTACATTGCACGTTTGGTACATGATGCCAATTCCAGAGCTCTAGCCATTGTCAAACGTGGATACAAGGTGGTCGGTGGCATCCTCTTCCGTCCCTTTCCCCACCGAGGTTTTTCGGAGATTGTTTTCTTTGCCACCGCTTCCGTAGACCAAGTCAAGGTTACAACTCTAATTTAAAATATTCCTTCCAGCTCTCTCTAACTTTTCCTTCTTTATAGGGTTACGGTGGAATGCTTATGGATCATTACAAGATGCACATACGGAAAACGTATCCACGAATGAACCATTTCCTAACATATGCTGACAACTACGCTGTCGGCTATTTCGAGAAGCAAGGGTTTTCGAAGGAGATCACACTAGATCGATCGGTGTGGGCTGGCTATATCAAGGATTACGAGGGTGGCACAATTATGCAATGTACGATGTTGGACAAAGTTGACTACCTTGACAAGGCAAATATTCTTGCCCAGCAGCAAGATGCGATCATGTCGAAAGTTCGACAGATGTCTCGTTCGCATATTGTACACGCAGGACTTCCTCAATTTCAAGAAGGTGCCCCAGTAGGTGTCACCGTAGACCCGCAAGACGTTCCTGGACTACGTGCGCCTGTCTCCCTCCATCTCGATGATATCCGTCTAAAATACATTCAGGTGAAACTGGATGGACCCCGTCCATGGCTGAAAAGTCAGTTTTGTCTCTACCCATGTCCTCAACAACATCAACTGATATTCTATAGCTTGGCTCGTCTTTTACCAAAAAGTCCCGATCAGCATTTCATGGATCGCTTACTGAAGGACTTGCAAGAACATAATCAAGCATGGCCATTTCTCAAGCCTGTTACCGCGGAAGATGTGCCAGACTACCATGATATCGTGCTAAAACCCATGGGTACAAGTCTTCTTGCTTTAGCCAAGATCCGTCCATTCCTGACGGCGTGGCATGTAGATTTTAGTACGATGGAGCACAAACTTGACAATAATCAATACCAGACGGTCGAAGATTTTGTTAGCGATGCTCGGCTTGTATTCGATAATTGCCGCTTGTACAATTTGGAAGATAGCGTTTATCACAAATGCGCTAATACGTTGGAGAAGTTTCTGAATGAACAGTTGAAGGAGCGAATCAAGCGGGAGTCGTAGGTTCATTGTCAATGTCGCTTACAATGCTATGTACAGCTTTGACCGACTTTCTTTGTGATGTCATCGTAAGTAGGTGGAGTCTAAATTTTTATGCCTCGTGTGGAGAAGTTTCGTGCACCTTGCGGTCTTTTTCTCGAAGTCTCGAAGAGATCGTCATGCCTTACTTCACCCCAAACTTCCTTGCTACGTCACGCTCCGATAGATACAGGACCAGATATAAAATAGATGTGCGGGCTCATTGCAATCTCATCTTCACCCAGTTACGGATCCAACATCCTTCTCACAAACGACGAAATAAACAACAAGAAATGGTGAGTAGATACGCATGCCTAATTCTTCATTTGATTCATCGCTGAAACTCTGTATAGGGAGCCATATTTTCTTCAATAGGCGCAGGCATTAACGCAATCATTTCCGCCATTGCAGGCGTTATCATGGCCATTGTAGGTGCTATCACTACGGTAAGTCTTGTGCTTTTCATCTGCTTGGGTTGATAGCTAACTTGACTCTTGTAATACAGGTCATAGTTACCATATTCGATGTGATTTTGGATATCCTCTGCTGCCGATGCTTTGGATCGAGAAGGTCGGGAATGAGAACTGGTCGTAGAAGGGGTGCAGCGACCTACTAATTGACGGACGAATACCCATCGAGGGATCATGATCGTAATAATACCCAGCCTCGCAGAACGACTTAGAGTACTGTACACATATGTATATTTTTCCATGGCCTATATTCAACATGATGGTTGAATTTGCTCAGCAGCGCTCTCTGCGGGGGGGCTTTATCCGAGTATCGGATTCTAATATTAATAGTAACTTCCAACAGCCTTAAATTCGGTTGCACCTCCGAATTAGACCACGATGTCAAGCGACTTAGCCACCGATACCCCGACTTTGGATGAATATCACCCGCAATTTTGCTCACCTGAAGCCGATATTGTACTACGATCCTTGGAGGGCACACTGTACCGAGTTCCATCCTTTGTCTTGCGGTCCGCATCTGGTTTCTGGAATGCACTTCTTTCTATTTCCCCTCAAACACCATCATCCACGTCTTCTCCATTACCAACCTCTCAGCATAATGATATTCTCGAGCCTATGCTCCGCCTAATGAGCGGCCTTCCTATTCCTTCTTGGACACCTAATCCTGAGTCTGCAGACTCGGACGAAAAATGTATCTCAGAAATTGAAAACCTTCTACTACTCGCGGAATCTTGGGATGCTCCAGGTCCTTTATCATTCCTTCGTTTCGGAATTACAGCGCCCATGTTTTTGGAACAGCCACTTCGTCTGTATGCACTCGCTACACATTTCGGCTGGGTACCAGAGGCCAAGGTGGCGTCCAAGCATTCTTTGGGTTTGAATCTTTATGATGATGAACACGAAGAGGTCCTAAAGCGCCTATCTGCGAAAGATCTACTCATATTATTAAGGCTCCATCGTGCTCGGAGAGACCAGATGAAGGTGTATTTGGATGATCAAGACGTGTTCACCCTAGGGAATTCTGAAAGTTCCCGATGTGTTGCTTGTAATAACGAAGTGGACAATTCGGCGTGGAGAGAACTGAAGGCTCGCATTTTCCAGGAGATGGATCGATGTTCGAAGGGTGACTTTGTTGGCTCTTGGGAAATGGAAGAATGGAAGGAAACGGACAGATGTTGGAAAGTTAAGTGTGGAAAGTGCGCCGCTTTACTCTATCACAAGGGTCAAACGATAAGGAAGATGAAGGAAGGTTTGAGCATATTACCAGACACAGTATGAAGGTAGTTATCCTCGATAATTACAGTATAGACTGCTACATGATTCGCATAGAGCGCACTTGGGAGGTATATATATAATCCTCCAGGCGCTACGTTAATCGTAGGCATACAGAGTTTCTGTGATTTTCAAAACAAAAGTGTGGCCAGATACCGCTGCCGCCCCGATTCGCTCGGATCCGTCTGACTGCACGGTTGATGAGACGTTCCTGTCCTTCTTTGGTGGTTGCAATCTTGATTTAAAGGAGACCGCTGTGGGCTTGTAGAGGGAAGATAATGGGGAGAGGAGGTCAATGCAGTAGGGAGAGGGATGAATCGAAGGCAGTGTGCAAAGGTACACGGCAATTCTAAGGCGAGAACTTGAGGTACATAGTCGAACGAATGAAATACTGTCAAAGGTATCGCAATTGTCCCTCTGCCAAGAACGACCGAACGTGGTTAACGTTTGGATGGACCAGATAACTGGTGACTTTCGTTGAAAATCTCCAAGTTGTACAATGCTTGTGTCAATAAATTATGTCCTTTACATAGCACAAATATGATACAAGTAACACAATGAATTCTTCGATTTCCATTTCAACGTTGCCCGTCTACAAATGACGTTTAGGCAGGAAAGAAGAGCATTAAAGCCAAAAACAACTCACAAGCTTTAGTCTCATATTTGCCAAGCCCGATAATAATGTTCTGAGGCTCCTGGGGCTTGTCATGGAAGTAGTTCTCCAAAATACTCTTGACACCATTAGCATAGCGCGCCTGTGCATCGATGGTACTGCCAGAATAATGAGGAACCATGCCATTTCCACCCCCTAGAGGGTTCTTTGCAGTACGCCAGACATGATCTTTGGGAGCCGGCTGAACATCCCATACATCACCAGCATAACCGGAAAGCTGTCCGCTCTTCAAGGCGCGGGCAACTGCGTCCTTGTCACAGATTGCTCCTCGGGCAGTGTTGACGAGCCAAGCTCCCTTCTTGAAGTGAGAGAGCAACTCATCATTGATAAGTCCTCTAGTACCCTCATGAAGAGGGCAGTTGACAGTGACAACATCACACTGAGATACAAAGTCCTGCAGGGTGATTCAATAATCTCCAATGTTGAATAAGAAGCAAGCATATAAACCTTTATGTCCTCAACACGACGAGCCTTTACAGCTTGCTGGGATGCAGCAGGTAACGGTGCATAATCGTAATACAGGAGTTCTTTGCAGTCAAAAGGAGCCAGACGTTGAAGTACACGGTAACCGATTCTTCCAGCCCCAATGGTTCCGACAACTTTGCCTTCGAGATCAAAAGCATTGCGAGCAATCTCGGACACGTGCCAATCGCCTCGCTCAATCATTTCGTGTGCCGGAACAAAGTTGCGCACAAGAAGAAGGATGGACATGATAACATGCTCAGCGACAGAAACAACGTTTGACCCCGAAACCTAGAACTTTGTAAGATATTGTGTGGAAAATGTAAGCCAGTAGCTAACCTCCAAGACTTGAATTTTGTGGTCAACAGCGGCATTTAAGTCAATGTGATCTGAACCGACACCCGCGGTCACACAGAGCTTGAGGTTTTTGGCCTACATGGAACTACGATTAGGTGAAAGTGATAAAGAGCAGTTGGTCAATCCGGTTACCTTCTCCACGAGATCACGAGTCAAATAGCCAGGGTGGAATGGAGTAGTGATCAGGACTTCGGCCTACGAAAGGCAACAAAAAGGCCTCAGCAAGTGTTCGTACTTAGGAAAACAGTTTAATTGTACATCGACAATGTGTTTCTGGAAATCGCTGTCAGGTCCCTCTTTATTGCTGCTCACTGCGACCAAATAATCAGTCAACTTTCACCGCCCGACGTGAGGGCATTAACTGCGCACCAATAAACTCATGACCGAGCGATTCAAGCCATCCTTCAATTCCGAGCTGTGGTATAGTTCAAACTGGGGCAATTAGACTGCTATGATTTTGAGGTACCTTGTTCTCGACGGTACCGTGTAGGCGAGGCTCTGCCTCGGCATGTTCATAACCATTGTAAAGGATAGCAAGAATCTATCCAACAAAGCGTGAACGTGATTAGTTTCTCAATCTATAACACCGAATGTCGTCAGACCTTCATTTTCGAGAGTTAGTAGCAAGCGTATGAGATGAGAACCATGGGGAACATTTGTAGCGACCTTTTATACGAGATGGAGATCCTGTGAGCTCCGAGCAACGGGTCCATCAGATGACAGAAAGTTATTCGATAGATGCAGATTAGACAAATATGGTTAACTTCGAAATACACAGAGGAATGAACATGTGATCGTTAACCGCCAACGATGATTGGCTGAAGCTGAGATTGTACGCTTCAGTCCGCTGTTTAGGACACCACCAAGAGCCACCAAACGACTGATATTGTCCGCGATCTTGTTAGGCATCTAGGTTCAAAACGCGTAACGACACGAAAATCCCCGCTGCACCTGCACAGTTCCTTGAGCTTCTTCCGGAACAAAGCGATAATTATCGGGTGTGAGCAGTTCAATCGGAGCAGGTAGGAATAGGTAGGAAAGCGCCATTAAGGTAATGTTGTATGGGATAATAATCTGCCTAGTAATCTGTCTTGGCGGTCAGATCGGGATATACATTCACCTGAGGGACCAAAATAACACACCTATGGGTCTATTTCATGCTCCATAGTAGGAGTTGTGATCATCTCAAACTCGGGTTCATCGGTATCACTAAAGCTAGTCCTTCCGGCATTGCGCGCTTCCCGGGCCTTTTTAATCACTTCCCATTCGACTCGCACAAATACCCACATCCATCTACGAACTATCTCTGCTACTTCTATGAGGAATATTGCGACGCTGCCTTCAGACTTGGAATGCAGGTGGCTAGAAAGCTTGATGGACCATGTCAACCGGAGGATGAGGTTGAGAAATACCAGTAACGGATAGACAGGTAAAGGATACAATAACGTAGGTCGTAATCCAAATGGATATGCAGGATGATCTTCACTTTCCGGGACGGGACGGTGGGATCCAAGAAGCGCAGTTCCGGAATGGAGGTGAGGGAGAACGAGACGTCTAGGAGGGAGAGGTCGGCCGGATGTTTTGGAACCGGGTTTCAATAATTCCAATCCCCAGTCATTTGTAACATCCCACCAGAATGAGTACAGAGAGTTAATCGCTGCGAAAAGAAGCCTGGAGTAAAGTTGAACAGAAGATCAAGGATATAAACTATAGTTGGAGCCCACCAAAGTCTGAATAACGGATGTTCACCATGCCATGCTTCCTCGGCCGCTTGTTTTCCCTTCTCATTAATCAAATCCGATACCACCAATCGCTGGGCAGCAGATAGATACATTACTGGGAAAGCAGTAGCGTATTTCACAGCATTGGCTAGTGGCCTTCTGCTGGTGTTATCCACGGAAAGCCATTCAATGACGCATTGGCGAAAACGAACTAAGTAAGGTATGCTAAAGCTGGTCAGATGGGCCGCGGATGTTTGAAAATGATATACCTCATGATAGTGGGCATGATCCAGCGCGTCCAACCGTGATCAGCAGGTGGTTCTAAGAGGCTATTTCCCGGGAAAAGCATACGGAGTGAGATGAAGACATCTCCCAAAACTTTGGCGAACGACGTGAAAATATCCGCAAACACTACGTCTGCAAAATAGACGGGACTGTCGGGGGAAGAAGAGATACAACGTCGGATTGCACTGAAGATCGAACACTTTAGATTTTGTAAACGAAGATAGCTGCGGAAAAAGACGTACTGAAGAAACTTGTCTCGCTCGGGTTTGAAAAGTACATGAAAGGGAAGTAGCAAGATTATGACAGTAAGAAGGGCAAAAACAGCTGGAATGTATCCATAAACGTCGACTAGAGTCGGATTCCCTTGACTTAGGGAGCGGAACGTTGTCCAAGATACCAAACACCATACTGAATAAGTGATGAATATCCGGTAAACATTCTTGTATAGGACGGTCACGTCTGCTTTTCGCGGTGAATCTGGCCAGTATCGTTGAGAAGGAGAATGATGGTCTCCTATGCGTAAATCAAGGGCTGAAACGACGTCGACACCGAAGTTATCGAGTCCGTGAATGTTGGTTGCCCATGCGAGAATACCCAATGAAGTCAGGGCGAATACACGAAAGGGTAAAGGGAAAGACAAAGAATAGCCGAATTCCAAGTCAACGTCTGGTTCGCTCATGATATTTGGCTGGCTGCATGAAAGAAAAGGAGTACGTTGTGAACCACGTGTACGTGGCTGTCATTTCGGAATCGATTACCGCCATCATGGCTGACAAGGGCGGAGGTGCATATGGGACCAAAGCTGCCGACACTGACTTCAGGAAGAAATGGGACAAAGAAGAATATACTGAGAGAGCCAAAAAGCGCGACCTCGAAGAGAAAGAGAGGATGCAGGAGAATGAAGAGCGTATGAAGCAAGGTGAGAATATCCCATATCTTTATATCCTCTCACTTATGCATATATGCCAGGAAAGAGGCCCCGAAAAGGGCCAAAACAGGATCTCCCAAAGCCCACAGAACTAATGAAACAGCGAGAAGGCTCTCTCGACCTCGATAAAAATCTTAACAAGACTATGGTCGTTCAGAATCCCGGTGGAAGAGGCTCAGGCCAGCCAGGGTTTCACTGTGAGGCTTGTAATCGAACCTACAAGGACACTACTGGGTACTTGGACCATATCAACAGTCGCGCTCGTACGTAGGATTTCCACTATCGTCATGATTTTGAGATCTAACGGTTGTTCTCGTAGATCTAAGAGCGTTGGGACAAAGTACTCGGTTGGAACGATCAACTCTGGAACAAGTTCGCGCGCGCATTGCGCTTCTTCGTGAAAAGACCAAAGAAGCGACTAATGCCAAAGCATATGATTTCGACCAACGTTTGGCTGAAGTGAGGGCCAAGGAAACGGCGATCCGTGAAGAGAAGAAGGCTCAGAAGAAGGCTCAAAAGGAAAAGCTACTTGTTAACGCTCTGGCAGCCAACAATCCAGAGAATGACGAAATGGCCAAGCTGATGGGTTTTGGAGGTTTTGGTTCGTCCAAGAAATGATTGAACATCCGTATATCTATCTGCGTGTAATGATAACAATGTAATATATAAGTAGTACTAGCTATAAACTATATCCTATGGTCTCACTAATATCAACTCAAACTTCACATCTACAATTTCCTGTTCTTCCCGAATGAGCTCTGTCCCAGATTTACGCTGGTTGTCATTGATTGGGACATTCCCAACTGTTTTGCGGATGAATTCTGCATACTGCTCCATTGCATCAAGAAGGGCGGCGCCAGTGCTGCCTTCGAGCGAATAGTATAGTTCGACATCGTCCGTTGCCTGTAATCCAGCCTTCTTGCGTAGCTTTTGTATACGGTTGATGAGCTCCCGTGCAAGCCACTCGCCCTGGAGATCTGCATGGATTTGGATATCTAGTCGGACAACAACATCATTGTCCGTGTGCGTGCCATATTGTCCAATTCCCGATGAAGGAAGTTCGAGGTAACGCTGGACAGCAAGGTCACCCTCTACCAAAGTAATCCCATCCACATCCATCTTGCCAGTACTGATATATTCTTTCACCCTATCGGAGCTAACGTCAGGCAAGGCTTTCTTGACACGGCCGATATCCTTTCTAAGCTTCTTGCCCAGGACACCCCAATCGGCGACAGCACGGTAGCGTACTCCAGATAGTCTCTCATCCGAACTGAAGATGACATCACGAACATTTAGCTCTGACTCGATGTACCGCTGTAGCGGTCGAATGTCGGCGAGGTATTGCTCATCAGGGTGAAATACCAAGAGCTCCATCAAAGGCGTCTATCACATGCGTTGAGCTAGAAACAAGAACACCGAGTTATAAAGTACCAACCTTGAGCGATAAATTGTTTTTTTCACGAATGTTTCTTGACAAGTCAATGACAGCCTGCATACGCGCTACCTGGCGCTCAATATCTACATCGAAATACTCTTGCTTCACCTCCGGGAATCGAAGGAAATGCACTGAACGGGTATCGCCCGCCTTCGGGTCTTCCGGGATATACAGACGAAGTGTTTGATAGATGTTCTCCGTAAAGAATGGAGTGTATGATGACTAAGATGTCAGATTAGTTGTAAGTTGCACGAGGACCGGAAAACCTCTCACCATTGTTAAACAGAGAGTGAGCAACGTTTCGAACAGAGTATTCAGTGCTGAAATGGTATCCTGTTGACCATCTTCACCTTTGAAACGCTTGCGGTTGAATCGAATGTACCAGTTCGTAAGCTCGTCGATGAGATCCAGTAGACGGGGGATGATGGTATACAACCTATAGGCTGCCATCTCTTGTCGTACCAACAAAATCAGCGACTGGCAACGAGCAAGGACCCACCGGTCCATGACATTGTTGGGAAGTGGTACATGCGGGTCGTATTTAAAATCAATTCCTGTAACTTTTTTCAAGATAGCAACATGTCCGAGGAAGAAACGGAAAGAATTGAGCCATGGCAGAAGAACACGAGAGATGACATCCTTAACGCCCTCTTCCCGGAAGCGCAAGTTGTCCCCTCGAACAATGGGCGAATTGACGAGATACATTCTAAAATCGAAATCATTAGAGCCCCGGTACTCGCCATACAGGTTGCAAGTTGATAATCACCTTGTAGCATCAGCGCCGTATGTATCGATGATGATATTGGGATCTGGATAATTTTTGAGGCTCTTACTCATTTTTTTGCCATCACTGAAAACAATCGCCAGTCTGAGTTTATCAGAAATTAGAAGATTTTGGACACTAACGCTGCAAGAACCAGACCCGTTACGATGAGATTTTTCCACGGCGCAGTTCCAAACAGATGAGTTGACAGAACAAGAAGGGTATAGAACCATCCACGGGTTTGATCTATGCCTTCGCAAACAAAGTCTCCTGGAAAGCCATTGGTGAAAATCTCCTTGTTCTCGAAAGGATAGTGTTGTTGTGCATACGGCATACTAGAAGGAAGGTGAGGGTGAGTCAGACCTGATCAACAAAATACACTTACCTTCCAGACTCAAACCAACAGTCGAATACCTCTTCAGTACGCTTGAGGCTCCCCTTCCCTTGACGTGAAGGAATGGTGATATGGTCAATGTTTTCCCGATGCAGATCTGTAATTCCCTTAACACCAGACAAAGTCTCCAATTCTTCAACCGAACCGATGGCGACGACCTAGAAATAGAGTAAAATTTTGAGAACCAGAGATCGACAAAATGGAGTACCTCTTCCATGTCGTCACTGACCCATAAGGGAATGGGTGTTCCCCAGTATCGGTTCCGTGAAATGTTCCAATCTCGAGCCGATGCTAACCAGTTTCCAAATCGACCATCCCCAACGCTCTGAGGCACCCTGCGATGTCCCGATTAGGAAGTACTAATAGGTGAGATACGTGATATGCTTGCCATCTTGTCTGAGCGTTGTTTTTGACCAAGTCATCGACGATGGGGGTTACTCTGACGAACCACACCGGGAACGCACGGTACATCAACGGGGTTTTTGACCTTGCGTCTTAAATTAGTATGAGTCATGGACGAGGATTTGACATGCGTACCTCCAACAAAAAGGATAAGAGTGCTTGAGCGTGGACTGCACGATTAAGCGACCTTTGATCTTGAGCATTTTTTGAATCTTGCTATCTGCAGCCTAGATAGAATATTCAAAATGATGAAGAATTCTCAATCAGACAAGAAAATTATGCACCTTGAAGTTTTCGCCTGCGAAATCAGGAACCTCCTTTGTAAAGTTACCCTTATCGTCAATGGGGCATGGAGGCATTTCCTCTGGACTGAGGACACCATTTGCAATAGCAATGCGATGGTCATCTTCACCGAATGCTGGGGCTTGGTGTACAATACCTGTACCGTCAGATGCGGTGACATACGTGTCTACTACAACCCGGAAAGCTTTATCTTCAAACTAGAGAAAACGGGTACAGATTTTTAAATTAGTTAGCAAAAGAAGCAAGTAATATTCACCTGTTCTGTGAAATACTCAAAAAGTGGAATATATCTCCATCCTTTCATATCAGAACCTTGGAATTGACCAAGTTTCTTGTACTTGGCTTTCTTTGGGTCTTTGTAAAGGGTGGAAAGCAAATTCTCGTGTAAGATGAAGTTCTGATCCTTCTCGGCGTCATGAATCTTGATGTAGGTAAAATCTGGATGGACACATAGAGCGAGGTTGGAAGGTAATGTCCAGGGCGTTGTCGTCCAAGCAAGTAATGACGTTGCCGGGTCATCGACCAAGGGGAATGCGACCGTCACTGCAAAACGTTACGATCAGGGAGGATAACGAGTACAAGACGATGTACAAACCAGCGGGGTCATTAATATCCCTGTAATCTAACCCTGCCTCGAAATTGGATAACGGCGTGGTCAATCCTGTCGAATAAGGCATGACCCGTAATCCTCGGTATACCAATCCTTTTTTGAAGAGCTCCTTGAATGCCCACCACACCGATTCCATGAAACTGATATTGAGGGTCTTGTAATCGTTATCGAAGTCGATCCATCTACCCATCCTTTCTACCGTGTTTCTCCATTCGTTGGAATACCGCATTACAATATTTCTACACTCCGCGTTGTACTTGTCGATACCCATTGCCATAACATCGTCTTTGCCGGTGATACCAAATTTTTTGTCAATCTCGTGTTCTACGGGAAGCCCATGTGTATCCCAACCAAATCTACGGGGTACATGGAATCCACTCGAGGATGCATGTCGAGTAACGATATCCTATACAAATCGTTCAGACCGTCTGTGAGCGTTTTTTGAACATTACTTACCTTGATGGTTCCTGCTAACAAGTGGCCATAATGCGGGAGACCAGTCGCAAATGGTGGCCCATCGAAGAAGGTGTACTCTGGTCGCCCCTCGGAGAGCTTCAGGCTGGTCTGAAACGCGTCTATTTCTCGCCAAAATGCAATGACCTTTTCCTCTTCTTTCGGAAAATCAAAGGGTAAAGAGACTGCGGTACTCTTGATAAGCAGGATGGCTAGGAGTTAGAACTATACTGACTGTCGTGAGGGGCGAGCGACATTCTAGTTAATGTTGATGTATACTGATGTCAGATGGATGTCGATGAGGAAGGTCAAAACTTATTTAAGTCTTGGACCGTGAGTCGAAAATATGAGAAGGCCGGCCCGCGAACATTGTCCCCTTGACCCCAATTTCTTGCCCTGCACAGACAGGTACAGACAAGCATTAATCGAAACTTCTGACTTCAACTGACTCGAGTGCTCAGTAATACAAAAGTATAGTAGTAAGTATAATAAGTACAAGTTGTGACTAACTTAAGTCTCGACACTCAGTGTGGAAATCACGTGCATGCACTTTTTGAAGACTGACAGAGCGGCAGCCATAGTTTCTCGATGCCTACCATGGTCACGGCAAATGTGTTTTATAAGAAAACACCCGGTATCTTGGAACTCACAGACTCTTACTTACAATGGACTCAAAACGGCCAAAAAGCCCCTTCTGTGCGCGTTCCACATGCTGAAACTTCATGTACGACAACACCTTTTCTATCAAAGTTGTAATGATTCAATTTTGGAACAGCATTGTTCTGCAGTAAAGAAGGCGCATCCCAAGTAAAACTGAAAATAGCTCTTTTTGGTGACGATAATGGCCATAACTTCACCTTCATCTCACCCAATCCTGTGGCACTCGGAGAACGCGAAAAATTCAAAGCAGAACTTACAACAATCATTGCTCGAAATCGAAAATCCACGGAAAGTCCAACGAAACTTCCGGTGTTCAGCTCTGTTTCTGCAGCTTCAACTTCCCAACCACTGAGGACTGGGGCAATATCGTCGCGGCCTTCCACTTCTAGAGCTACTTCTGTTTCCAGCGACAACTTACGCGCCACTCCTATCATTCCTGGCACAGACCCGGCTGCTGACTTTCGTCATAGAAAGAATGTGTTCATGAACGATCCGGAATTAGCCGCGTTACACCGGGAACTAGTGGCTGGGGGGCACATTAGTGAAGCAGAGTTTTGGGAGGGTCGAGAGGTGCGGCTTCTTTTTCTTGATAGCCTGATATCCATCTAATGTTCATCCTCAGCATCTTATATATGCCCAAGTAGCGCAAGACTCACAGCGCAAAGGCAAGTCAGGTGTTCTGGTGGACCCACGAACTGAAACTGTGGATGGTGTCATTCAATTAACGCCTCAACTCATACATGACACTTTCGAGCAATATCCCGTCGTCGCGAAAGCTTATCACGAAACCGTTCCTTCCAAGGTATCCGGTGTTATCTCGTCTTTACAATGTAATAACATAAATTCATATGCAAACAAAGCTCACGGAGGCCGAATTTTGGACGCGTTATTTCCGCTCTAAGTTGTTCAATGCACATCGTGCATCTATTCGGTCTGCTGCAGCTCAGCATGTGGTCCAAGACGACCCAATATTTGACAAGTATTTGGAGAAGGATGACGACGGTTCGTTTTATCCTATGCGTCCCGACTACATTCTTGAGTTCATCATTTGCGTGTGTCGTTGAGCAGAACTTGAACCTCGCCGACAAAGGGACGATAAGGTGGAACTGTTCGTCGATCTTGGCGCCACCCGCGAGGACCACGAACAAGTACAATTACGCGTTTTCTCCACTATATGCTGAATCTTACTCATTTATTCTTTTTTTGCAGGTTGGTAACGAGCAAGACATCACAATGCAAGCTGGACGGCAAAAAGGTGCATTGCCTTTGATACGAAAATTCAACGAGCATTCAGAAAGGCTGTTGAATTCTGCATTGCAAGTCGCTCTCTTTAACATCCCGTTCAAATGTGCTTACCAGATTTTTAGGGGAGAAGGATCTTCAACAAAACGTAAGCGGACAACCATTGACGAGGTTCGCTGCCCAACTTCTTTACTTATCTCAATGATTGATTGATGGTTCAAATAGCGTGAGGTCGAGGATATAGACATTGAGGACTTGCATAACCCTGAGTCATCCGCCGGTATAGCACTTGAAATGCAAGATAGACAACGGTATTTCGAAGGACAGATGAAGGATACTCAACATAATACATTGAAAGAGGTATCATTTCCAGTGCTTCAATTTCATGAGCTGCTCTGACACCAGCAATAGAAACTTGATGTAACATCTATCATAAGAAACACTGTATTGAATCTACAACAGTGGGACACTAATTTTGCCCAGGTTTCATTTTTTTTTGACATGCCCTACCACCTACTAAACACTTCTATTCCGTTCAAGCTCAAAGTAGAACGCAAACCTTACGACGCTGCGTTGTTGTCGATGACGCAGAATGTCCACGCTCGACTGGACGTCAAAGTAAGGAAACGTATGTCAGTCTCTACCTCATTATTTCTGTGCTCAACTCAGCCTCCAGATGATATACCTGAAGGCCTTTTCAGACAAATGCGATCGTGTCAAACCGCAGCTAATGAATTTCTGCGACATTTTTGGACATCGACTTGTCCACCAATGACCGACGGACAAAGCTCCAGTTTGTCTACCCCAGCTCAAAGAGCGGCAAAAGCCGCCAAAATGATTGGGTATCTTTCTAAAACTCCCGAAAAAATAGCCGCACTTGTACAGACTGCTCAACAACAGGGTATTGATCCAAGTCGTGTCGAGGTGGTGAGTGACCCTTGAGATGTAATTTATGTTTGCTTACTCGAACTGTCAGGCTATGCAACCTGTATTTAATGCGGTCGAACGTGCTCTCACTTCCTACTACAACAAAAAGACACCTGGTCCTCGCTCGTGAAATGCTAGGGTAAATTTTGAGTGAGCCAGTGGTACATACCCATTATCCTATTTCATTATCGTAGAACATATAGATTAAGCAAAACTCAGCAGAACATCATGGATAAGGTTGAATTTGGAGTTGTGACCCAGACGATGTACTCAGTTCATATGTTGTGTACATGATGAGGAGGTGCAGTGTCAATGCATAGAAAATAAAGAAAGTCCTTGCACGTCTGTTGCCTAGAATGGTTCGTGTAAGAATGAGGACTCCTCGTTCTATTGGATTGAGGTTTTGAATGGCTCGAGTGGCTTCCTGTTTCACACAAGTCAAACGAAGGGATAGGCACTAAAGGGTGTCACTTACACGACCTCTGAATGCCTCAAAAGGGTTGATGTTGGCTTCATAACGGGCGCGATATATACTCATGTCATCAGCACTTTCCCCAGGTGCTGGTAAAGGATCCAGTTGAGAAGTCACCGCACGGCCACCGGATTCTTCTCGATAGCTCTGCATGTATCGAACCTTTTCATACAATTTCAAATTGTCCGACTGTAGGTTTTTCATTTCAGCGCGAAGTTCGGATATCGCATGAAATTGTTTTTGTAGCTCCTGTAGATATCCATCAGTTGAAACACTCAGGCAACCCAGAATGCAAAGCACCTCTTTGAGTTCTGCATTTCTTTGACGGAACCTGTCGCGTTGACTTGTGACAATAGGAAGAATAGTATTGTCTGCGGAGGAAGCGAAAGGGATTGGGGTGCTTCTTGAGGAAGACTCCTGGATTTGGGACAATAAGTAACGTACAAAGTCCATGGAAAGGTATATACCTTTTGTACAACTTCCAGTCCGGCCAAGACATCGGATGACCCAGACGGAGAAACGTGACCATTAGGCTTGTTGAGAGACAGTAAATCGTTTTCCAGCTTTTCATTCAAAGTTTTTTGTTTTTCTAGTTCTGTGCTTGTAGAATCAAGTTGTCCTTGAGCATGTTGAAGTGATGTTTCTAATTCTCCGTGCAGAATCTAGTCCTTAATTGTCGAAAAGTAGTCTGAAAGATTTAAAATGATGATACACACCCTGAACTTAGTCAACTCTTCCAACAGTCGTTTGTTCTTGGAAGCTAAAAGGGCTTCCAGAGATTTTCCTTGCTGAGCATTAGCTTTGTCTGCATTGGGATTAGGTAAATGGACCCCGAGCTCATGATCTTGTATCTGGAGTTGATCGTCTTCTGGTTCGTCTTCGAATCCTGCGAACTCTACAAACTGTGTACAACTTTAAATGAGATTAACACAGTAGAAACCACATGCACATACTTTCATGATGTCTAGCTCGCGTTTAATTTCGTCATAGTCACTGTATTGCTTCAGACGTTGCTTGAGTTGATTAACCTCTGCCACCTGTGTACATTTTAGATACGTATTGTTGAGAGTAAGCAAGACACATTTCAACACACCTTGCGCTGGAGATCTTTAGATATCTCTTCTATCTTTTTGCGTAAGGAGGTCTCCATCTCGGTGGTAACGGCTTTATGGGTGTCCAGCGTGCGCGATATCCGTTCTGTTTCAGCTTCCAGATTAGCTACTTGTGCGTTCAACGATTTGACTCTGGACATGACATGAGAACAAAAGCGCCAAGGAGATCACCAACTTACCGCTCAGAGGATTCGGTATCGCCGCGCATTGCTTCAGCTTCTGCACGAAGCATTTCCTAACGGCAGGACAACGAGATGAGCCAAGGATCGTCCACATACAGGAAGTACACGAACATTGCGTCGCTCAAGAGCAGCGACACGACTATTAGCACGCTCAAGGTCCGCGACAATCATGTCTACTTCCGCCAACTTTTCGACAGCTTCCTGATCTAAGCCAACATCATTAGCTGAGAGGAACATGAAAGACAGAAAAGACATACCTTGTCGTTGGCTGTGATCTAAGAGCTTTGCTTGGTTCGATTCATTGAACATTCGGAGGTCTCGTAATTGGCTTTTCGTCAGTAATAGTTGTCTTCGAAGATCCTGTTCACTGATGGCCTGTGAGTGAGTATACGCGATGAATTACTAGAATTGTGTACCGATCTTCATAATTTCGCAATTTCTCGTCATGAGTGGCGTTGAATTCATTCTCCTTCTGCGTTATGCGTTCTTGGATTATCTCTTCCATCTTGAAGGATCATGAACGACAGCAGTAGAGAGAACATGCACTGACACGCACCTTCTGTTCCAGTTGTTCGGTTTTTGCTTCTGCTTTCCTTCGAGCAGCTTCCACATTTGACTGGTCGTTGGAGCGTTTGCGCAGCTCGGCATTCTCATCTCGCAGTTTGCGGATTTCTGTTTCGAGGTCACGGACCTCGGAAGCCTTAACAGTCTGATCCTAAAAGTGTGTAGACTTGAATGTGAGAAGTGTAACCTTAATTTACCTCGTGAACGCACCACAGCCGCCTCTAAGAGTGGGTAAGGGTCAACAGCCTCAGCTTAATGAGAATATGAGCTCCCGTGAAGGTTGGTAGAATAAAAGATATTGAGACCTAGGACTTTGTATACGTTCAAGAATGCAGATTCCGAGGTTTTGGAACGTTTTGTAAGATTGTCGATTTCAGTCTGGTAAGCTGTAAGATTCTAAGATTACTTGCACGTCCTACCATTGAGGTTGAGAATGCCTACCTTTGAGAAGACCCTTGAAAGCGCCAAGTTTGTTTTCATCAGGTAGTTTCTTGAAATCTAAGCATTCAGGTGAGCATCCACTCCGAGTATGATAGATGAGTAGATACCTTTAGTCTTGTCCGCGAGTGCTTTACGTCCTACAAAACTATCCTTCTGGTTGTCCACAATTTCAATGCCCTGCGAGTCAAGCGTCTTCTGTAGTTCGGATAGATTGATTTCTGTCATAAATTAGGTATGGAAGGAGGTGAAGAAGTCTTTAAGTACCTCTCCAAGTTGTTAGGGCCCCAGAAAAGCTTTGGTCGGTCATGACGATGCTGTGGGAGAGAATTTGGATTTGATCCACGTGATAACCGGGCCACTCTTGAAGACCGTCACGTTGCAATTGGCGAAGAGAAATCCCAGCATGAACATCCTGCGAAGTCAAGCTTTCTCGGTTCTTCGCAGACCACTTTGCCGTCGTCTTGCTACTACACGCCCTTTTGTTCCTCCTGTTCAGGCTCAGCTCGTATTCCACGACACATTGTTTGCTCCAGGCGCCAAAGAACTCGATGACAATACTGTAGATGCTTTGGAAGCCGAGACGAACGAACGTGAATTCGAAGACGATGACTTCGATGCCAATAACTTCCAGGACAAGGCACATCCAGATTCCCCAAACTTCTACACTGGCCGTTCTTCATATTATGACAACATTGTCGAACTACAAAATGCCATTTCCCGTACTCGGGGTACACTACAACGACTCCACCTCCTTCCACTTCCCGAGTTTGCTTGGAAGTGCCTAAAACCAATGCCTACTGTCTGGAAGACTCCAGAGGAAATGACTACCGACTTTGAGACCGCCATGACTATTTCACGGTATCGGAAAGTCACGGCGCTTCTTAACGAGCTCAACGAATACCTTCGAATAGCGACCACCGCTGGCTATGCGGATGTTGCGGACAGAATTGGCTCCATCATCAGCATATTCGAGAGTGGAAAGAAGGAGGCATTTTTGGCCCGAGGGGTTCGAAAACCCGTACAATTGGACCAGTATGGACGCTCGTATACTTTTGGAAAGAGGAAAACGAGCGCGGCGCGGGTATGGATGATTCCGGTCAAACCCCTCTCTCACGAGTCAGGTTCCGACGTGAATGTGGAAGAAGCTTTTGGTTTGAGCGATAAACCCAGACGTCCCCCGGTAAATGTCACAGTTTCTACAATCTTGATCAACAATCTTCCTATTGCAGAATACTTCCCTCAACCCGTCGACAGAGAGCGTATCGTTCGTCCTCTCAAGATCGCGGGAGTATTGGGTAAATATAATGTCTTTACTATCGTACGTGGAGGTGGTACAACCGGCCAATCTGGTGCCGTAGCCCATGGCATTGCAAAAGGAATATTCGCGCATGAGCCTGAGACGGGCGCTATCCTGAAAAGAGGTATGTTTATCCTCGTACAGTCTTTTCTTCTCTGACAATTTCGAGAAGCTAAACTGCTCAGACGTGACCCTCGCATGGTGGAACGAAAGAAGACAGGTCTTGCAAAGGCTCGCAAAAGAGTGAGTGTTCTGACATTCTTCCTAACTGAACTTACGTGTATCTTGTACGTTTAGTACACTTGGGTCAAGCGTTGAGATATCCCACTCATGTCCTTACATATACATCTTGGTTCCTAATTATCGCATATTAATCATGCAAATGAAAGATAAATGTAATACATAGTGGGTGGGCGATGAGTTGCGCAAATCTTCACAACATGAATGAGAGAAGATAAAATAAGGTTAACTGAAAAAAGGTGTTGATGATTACTGCATATATATCTTGAGGACTTCAGATTGAGCAAACCCTAGACCGCAAGCGGGACACTTGCGTTGCCGTGATGATATTCGAGCATCCACGCAGGCTCTGCAAAAAGCTACTCTGCACGTCAGTGCACTGAACAAGGACAGGACTAAAAAGGCATACTATGACAACATTTCGTTAAAATCGTGTCACGGAACTTCAAATTACAGGTCGAGCACTTGAGCAAGGCCTGATAGGTTCAAATATATGAATAGACTATGACCGAAAACCGATAGAACGCACCATAAGCCCTGCATCTGGATCCTCTGTCTTGTGCTGATGGCGAGTAGAATCGAATTTAGCTTTAGATTGCAAGGCAAGTCTCTCCTTCTCTAGAGCCATTTTAGCCGCAGACATAGCCTCCATCTCTTTGCGCAACGCCTCCTGCCGACTGTGATGCTCTCTCTGAAACTTGTCAATCTGGTCACGATACTGAAAATGATTATTACTGAGACTTCATGAACGCTAGTAATAGAATGGACATACGATGTGGGCGGTCTTCGTTCCTTCGCTCGCCCGTTCGTGCAGTTCCAATGATTTTAAGCTGAGTTGTTTTACTGCATTATCGTGGGCTTCCTGGCAATACGCCTTGTGCTTTGACAGTTCATCCTGGGTAGCAGCCTGGCATCGATCTATTAAGGGGCAGACGAGATTGAAAAGGTCGACACATACCAGTAGTCCATTCAATCGCTGTTCGTTGTCCTTCAATAGTTCCAATACGCGTCCTTGTTTCTCTAGATTGCGTATCAGATTCTTTCGCTCTGATTCGACTGCGTCTCTCTCCCTCGAAGCCGCATAAAACTTATTGTCGGATTTCGCCCGCTAAGTAAAGCTGCATCAGCGGATTGCACTCCGATAGCTACAATCTACACACCTCGACTGTGGCTTTAGTCAAACGATCCTCCATTGCACTCAAATCAAATATTTTATTCTTCACTTGGCCATCCAAGGCCTCCCAAGCGGATGCTAATTTCTCAGTTTCAGTGTACAACGCACTTTCGGCCTGAAATTTCCTCAGTAAACAAACGAACGACAGAGACGAGTGAGCCGACCTGGGCATGTTGAGCATTTAGTAATCTCAATCGACGAAGCTCGTCTTCCTTGTGTTGCAGTTCATTCGCCAACGAATCCGGTTGTACTGAAGAGAATTCGCCATACAGGTTTTGGTACTGGGTGAGTTGAGCGGTGACCTCAGCCAATTTCTGTCGAGCTTCAACCTCCGATTGTACGTATTGGGCAACATTGGGATGATCGTGATTCAACTTCGCAAGAACCTCTTCATGCGATGCCAGTCGTGTTTCGGTCTCCCTAACATTCATATCAAAGTTGAGAAAGGGTCGGGTGGAGTCAATGCATCACATACGAAAGGCGTGCTTGGATATACTGTGCAAACTCCATGTTTTTGTCGGGCATTTCAAGAAGGAAATTAACAATGTCTTCCCGACCAGCATTAGAAGCAAGTTTTAGTTTACTTCGATGCAATTGAGATTCCAAAGCAGATATACGATCCTGAGGGGAATGTTAAAGATCGTACGACGTGAGATGACAGAAAACGCACAGCACGGGAAATTGCAAGCGATTTGTATTCCTCGCATGATGCAATTTTAACACTTTCCTTGTTGCGTCGTTCGTGTAGTTCAGCTACACGCTGATCTCTATCTTCACGAAGTCGCGCATTATCGGTATCGCGCCGTGCGATCAGGGCAAGCGTCTCATTTATTGCAACCGCGCTCTCGTCCTGTGAATCATTGATGAATAGTCGAAACGGTTATCAGGGGACATACCCGTAACTCCTTCTCATATTTCTCCCTTTCTTCCCTGTACTGCCCATACTCTAACTTTAACAATCGCAATTCTTCTTCCTTCGCAGAGGCCGCATTGAGAGCACTGGCTGATCGTTGTAATACACGTTGATAGAAGGGGCTGTTCAAGACATCGGACTTGGTCAACACTTTCTTGTTGATCTATATCAGTCTCAGAACCGAGGACATAATGGAAGTGGTAGGAGGATGGAATACCTCTAGCTCAAGGGCAGATTTCGTTTTCCGAAGCTCATCGATGATCTTGTCCTGTTCGCGGAGAAGGCGCGTTTGATACGCAACTCGCTCTTCCCATTCTTCCTGCATTTTAGGTGTGAAACCGTTGGGCTAAACGCAGATTGAGTAAATCAGAAAAGGATAATTAGAACAGTCAAGACTCCCACCAGATAACCAGACCACTCACTGCAGGAGAGGACGGTTTCAACATTGCATCCTCGGTCGCTTCTGATGATTCTCCTGAGCTCATCCCTGCTTTAGGCAGATTTGCTTGAACGGTTTTGCTCTTCAACCTTTGGAGGCGATTCTGCTCATCCGAAAGCTCTTGTCGTAACTTGCGCCCGAGCTCCTCGGAGTCAGATAGTCTGACTTGTAAGACTTGGACCTGCGCTTTTAATGCAGCGCACTATTCCAACATTGAGTGGATTCCAGGAATGTTGAAACTGTTTTAGATGACACACCTCTGTTTGAGTTCTCTGATACTCCTTCAGAGAGGTGTCCTGGGCAACGTGAGGCGAACCTTTTTGTACAAACTTCATCACTAGTTCCTGAGTCGCATGCCGGCTCTTTTCCAATGCAGACTTTAATTCAGGCATAGAATCGTCGGAAACGTATCTGCTGAGAGTGAAAAGGTCTGAAAATCATCAAGATATGATAAATGGGAAACGGCAAGAAAGCAGACCTTGAAGGTCTTGTGTTGATGGAGACACTTCCATGGGCTGGCTTGACTCTTGTTTTACCACCAGTACCCGTATAGCGTCAACAAGCTTTGAAGTATAAGATCTTGCATTTTACACAAAGGTCACAACATACCTGCATCCAGCAGGCTGACATAGCAGCCAGACCCGCCTCGCACGTACTTTTCCGTTCCTCCAATTCCGAGATACGTTTCTGCGAGGCCTCATTCAGGCGTGAATAATGTATCATGCGTCGATAGATGGCTTCTTTTCTAAAGAGCTGTGACAGAAAGTAAGGCAAGGAGGCCGCCAATAGGTATCGACAACAAATAAGTACCTCGAGCTTATCGTCGGCTGTTGGCTCCACGTCTTCAATATGGCCTTTACCGACGCCGTTAACTCTCGGAGATCCGTTCTCGTCTGTTATGATATGCTTTTTGACGATGACCTTGTCGGAGTCATCTTCAACACTGTGGAACCGTTTCTTGGTCTCTGCCATGAGAAGACAAAAGTTCAGGTAAAGCCGTGATGTTACAACCTGTCACGTAGTCACGTTCTATTTTGGATTTTCAACTCCGACAACTCTACGGTAATCTCAAATGAATACTACTTTCTAGCTCAACTATCTCACAATCTTCTATACCTCCATTGCCAATCTGAGTCTCCACACAAGTAAAATCCAAAGGCTATGATTATTATGTTAGGTCCGAGCTGGATTGCTGCGTTGAAAAAATACCTTATCCAGGACAGTCATTGGTTGATCTACATATGTATGGGCTCATCAGTCCATGAGATACTTGAGAGACGACCAAGACCTACGCCAAATTCCAGCATTGTAAACGATGCCCTGAGCAGTGCTTGCCATGAATGCCCTTGAAGTCCTCACATCCGGTTTATCATCTTCTCCGTTTTTCGCCACAACAACTAAGTAGCGATGGCCTGAGTCCGACAATCCTTCTCCTTGTCCGCCACCCATTGGGATAAATCCTTGGTTCGTGAATGGATGTCGCTCGAGTATCGTGAGCTCCGTTGTTCCTTCAATCACATTTATGTCCTTCAACGGCTGACATCGATACACAGACAGGCCAGCAGTCGCGCCTGAGTTGTGAGGATAGGATGACACGAGAAGAGATAATTTATGGAACTTGCTGGCCGTTCCTGCATTTGCTTGAGTAATCTTGGTCCCTTTCGGTGCAGCGGTGTGGTCTCCGTAGGCTTGAATAACCTGTCCGAACGGTGCGAACCCTTCTGGCGTCAGCGGCAGGACCGGTATTGTCGACTGTAACATAGGTTTTTTGATAATGATTGGGGTTGAAGTAGGGACTGAATCTAGTTCAGTTGGGACTGAAGCGGCCTTTATGGTCGTTTTAGTGTCCGTTCTTCTTCCTAGTATACGCACTCGTTTCAATCCGCCATCAGGATAAATGGTCAACTTAACGTGCGTAAACGGTGTTCCCCCCACATTTTCTAGTTGGAAATAATGCTGTCTATGAGGTCCCAACCTCGTGCGAGGCAATATGAGAATCCAGTTTTCACTCTCGCTATGCTCCATCGTCCAAATCACATTACTCGCGCTGGTTAACGCACGAATTTCACAGCTCTCTGGGAAGTTTCCCTTGAAATGGGCCGTGTCTAATTCGACTTGTTCCAAAAACCCTGGCGCTCCCCTATTGAGAAACCGGCCATCAAGAATCAGGAAGCCTTTTGTAGAGAAAACGTACAGTCTGATTATCGCCCAATCTTTATGACCAGGCAGCCTACTTCGTTTGGTTTCCCATCCGTCCCCCATGTTTTTTCCTCTTCCCGGCAGGATCAAATTTGACCCAATGCCAAAGTGTTGATCCGAGACAAATTCAACACGACCTCCTGCAAAGACATGTGCCATATCGAAAAGCTCTGTAGGTTCTTCTGGCATTACCGCTTTAACATGACCGTAAACACGAAAACGAGCCTACGTTCTCGAACTAATAAGGTGATCTGCGCTGATATGATCACTCACAATTCCTCCATCGGGATACATATTCAGCTTGACGAATGTTGCAGAAGGGGCGTTCGGGATTGTAAAGAGGTGCCTGGAAGAAGGCCCCAGCTTGACCTTGGGTAAAATTTTTGTCCACTACTCGATCGCGATTCAAAAAAGGCCCAAGTAAAAAGAGGTTGGCGTACTCTAGAGTCGGCGATGTCTGGATCTTTGGCCAGTGGGTTGTAGAATACTTCAATTGATGCTTCAGGAGCTTCGTTACCTTTTAGGCGCAAGATCATGAATCAATAAAGCGATCATTCGCTTGTCATAGAGCGTGCTCACCGTTGAAGTTGGAAGTGTCAATGTCGAACCCAGTAAGAGTCCCGGACGTGCCAAGTGCAATGATACACCTGAGGCCGAATCAGTGAAAGACACCACGGGAAGAGAAAGAGAGTGACCAATCATATGTCGGATTATGTCTTCGTGTCTCCCAACCACTGTAAAGCGCACCGTTTGGTCCAAATTGGCCTTTCAAACTCGGTGCAGGCTGTCAAAGAAAGACGAGTTCTGAGCAGATGTGAGGTTCCTGAAGACATATACCCTGTTCTGACCTCGACCAGTAATAATTGGAATGCCTCTGCAAAGAATTCATCTGATACCGATAGCACGCGACCACCAAGAGCGACACTAGATAGCTCTAGCAAATACATCCATTGAGCGGAGAAGATAGATGTATAGGATGGTTGGTACATACCAGTGCAACTTGAGAATGTGTTGTCAAATTCATTGAGCTGAATCTGTTTAAAGGACATGGTTGAAGATAAGAGGCAACAATTAGAACTCATATCCGAGTAGTGATCGGCCGATCTATCCGTGGATTTCCTACACAGGCGTGCAGTTCTATTAAACCAGGTTTAACCCAGTGATTTTCAATGCTGAGCCTGATTAAATCAGCGCTCAGTACAGTTTCCGTAATCCTAACCCCGGTATCATTTGAAACCTGGGCTCAAAATATTGACACTGGGCACGAAACGATTTAATCAAGGCACGCAGCACTCACGGTCCCAGGACGTTCCCATCATTTTTCTACTGCTTTCGAATTTGTTCAAATACTATACTGGATTGACTTAAGACCGTACATAGTAGAAACAACAGTGCATGGCAATAAAGCATTTCTATGTATTGAACTTGGGACACACTCACCTAAGATCTCGTTTATTCTATAATTATTGGACTGGTGAAAACAAAGAAGGCCAAAAACGAGTTACTCACCGAGACCAAGCAAGTCCTGTGAACAAACAGTATGTTTAAGGAAGCATTTTGATGCACTCATAGCCTGGGGTATGAAGGAGGCAGTCGAAGCAAGGCTAACGGCGGCACAGAGAACTGGCAACTTGTTCAGCTTGACATTGTTCTTGAGGTAGCTTGCGTCCTTGAAAGTACACGTTGAATGAGTCTTGTAACTCGAGAATCAAGTTTCAAAGGGGGAGGTCTATGTATTGCAGTCAAACGTTGAGCCTTGAAATTCTTGGATCTTTAGCATATGCGTCAAATGTTGGACATCAAGTACGTTGCAAGTTTTTGTGTTGTTTGAATGACCCGCAGAATTTGAAAGTAGTTGCCGCAAACGCAGTGCGGTGGAATATTGAGCCAAGAGTTTCTTCTGCAACATGGTCTTCAGTGTATGAGCGGAATGTTGAAACGTTTTGAGCGTTGACATGACGGATGAGAGCAAAAAAAAACCAACCGGTACCAAACAATGGTCAACATCTCTCGCGTGACTCGAATGATCACTCAACACTCATGGAACGCAAAGTGTTCTGGAGTTTGTATTCCTTTCTGCAATTGGTTGAGGCAAACCTATCCTATTGTAATAAATACTCTACAGAATATTCATATGACCAGGGCGAGTGCACTGCTTCCTGGTCCATCCCCATCAAACCACCCTCTTCTTGTCTGCATAGCATGAGTATCGAGTTGTCCATCAGCTGTAGGTCGGGGTGACGACGCTCTGGATTTGAAGCCAGCTTCGTCGAAACGGACATATCCCTCCAAGAGCCTTGAGTAAGTTAGTTGTGGATCAGTCAACAAAACAACGGTGCAGATTACTTACTGTTTCCAGCCTTCATCGGTGAGCCTTTTCCCCAAATCTTTTTTAGAGTAGAACCAAGAGTCAATCAGGCTCCAGAAATCCTGCCCCTTCGGAACACGTCCACCTGCACTTGACTTCACTGTTCTCGGGCGTTTTGCAGGCCGTGTACTCCCATCGGCATTGGACGGCGCTGCAGCGTTGTCTACATCGGACGTTGTGTCATCTGTCAGTTCCTCTTCTACCCAAACAGTGTTTGGGTGGTCAACCATATAGCGTCGCTAAGAAAGACCATGAGTAAGATCGACTGGGCAACATCGAATAAGACCAACAACGTACTAAGATTATGTTTCGCAAAAGCAATAAACGGTCGTCATATGTAACTCCTCCAGGTCGCTGATACAATTTTTTCATTTTATGAGTGAACGCAACTGCATCTATATAAACGGTGATGCTGTCGCGAAGCTAACACATCATATAAGCTTCTGCAATGATACTTGCGGACAATATTGGAGACGTACGTGTTGTCTAAAGTTGTTTCTGATACTTGAGCAGGCTTTTTTGACTTCCTTCAACATCACCAGCTCATATGAAGGGTTACCCATTACGTTCGAATAATTTAGCTCTTCGCTGTGAGCTCTGATATAATCCTACAAGAGGAATGAACTGAAGGGTGAGGAATACAAATAAAAATGCTCACAAAGACGTCTTGGTTAACACCCATATAGCAAGTCCGCATAGGATCGAACATCTTCTCTTGAGCAAGGAGACGGATTGTTCTCTGCAGCCAAATCACATTAAACTAGATCTGGATGTAAGGCAATTTACCACGTACCGTCTGCGACCTTGTTAATGAGAATGTCTGTTCGAGTCGGATCTTCAGGTCCTTCATCATTGCCTGCATAGTCTGGACGTCAATTCCATCAGCCTTTGGCCTTTTATTCTCCAGGTCAAATGTGATTGCAAGCTGGTAGAGACGGGTGAGAAGGTCAGGCTTGGATAATCCTTGTCCAACAGACCCAAACTATAGACCACCAATAATCAGCTATATCGTTTTATGCAATAGAAAGCTGGAAAAGTCCCCACATGAAGAAAGGTTTGCATAATTTTCCTCTGTACGTCTGTGAGACTGAAGTCTCGGGCCAAGCCATCGACTACTGCTCTCGGAACAACTAACTGCACAGCAGGCTGAGTACCCGTGCTTCCCGGCCCAAGAGGGCTCTGAGGGAATGGAGGAGGTGGTGATGGTGGGTGTGAGGTTGTGAGAGAGTCTTTAGGAGCCGTTCTCCTCATGGGACTTGGAGAAGGAGGAACAGGTGGCAACTGCAATGGTGAAGACAGTGAAGGTAAAACGTGCAGAGCTGAAGGGTTGTCGGCATTTGGATGGGGCAGAAGAAGACGGGGAGCTACAGGTTCGTTGTTGCTTGACAGAATGTTATGCCGGAAGGAGGGAGTAGCTGAGGATGGGTGACTACTCCAGGGGTAGGGGAGGTTAGAGGTGCTCATGGCGGGGGCTTAGAATGTCAGTCTGTTGTTGAAACCCTGCTTTTATAGGATCTACGGACGCGTCAGTCATGCTTTTCAAACGCGTTGAAAAATATTAACAAGCCCATGTCACGTTCAAGGAGTTGAAGGGGTATAAAAGCAGAAGGTCCAATCGGGGCTGCATTTCTTATATCACCCACTTCTTTCCCAGACTACTCTTGTCCCCAATTGGAATGGACTCCACCATGTCCGTTTCATCTGCTTTTTTTCCTGAAGGAGCGTGCTTACCTTATCTCACAGGGTTCGAAACATCGGGATTCAATTAGAAGATCCTCCCAGCCCAAGTGAGATGGACGCGTCTCCACGTCCTTCCAAACGCGTCCGATTTCCACCAGGGTCCATTGAGTAAGTTGCGACTTGTCCCTGCTAATTGGTGTATATTTTGACGCGTCAATATCCGCTGTGGCAAGGACACGGGAAGAACGGGCGCGGCTTCGTGCCATTAAGTTTGAGTCGGCCTTCAAAGCTGCAGACAGTTTGCGTGGAAAATGCCAAAAAGAAATTGAAGAGCTCAAGGTCAGGTTGGAGGAAGCAAAAGTACGGGAAGAAAACCTTCGGTAAGCTGGCTATTAAAACTTTACCATTCACCTAGATCTGACAAGATGTCCTGTTTTGCTCAAGGAGTCGCCAAGAGCAGGCTAGACTTCGTGCAGTTCAGTATTACGCAGCCTTCAAAGCCTCACAATGCCAACGAGCTGGACTTCAGAACGAAGTCAAACAGTTGAGAAAGGAGGTAAATGACGAGCACATCGTATGGCAGATGCGTTTGGAGGCTGAGAAATCAGCGTCAGCTTCACGCGAAGCAAAGCTTCAAGCAGATATTGATCACCTCTGGGTTCACATTCATACCATGAACAATGAACGAGGTCAGCTGAATCCAGGGACGGTTGCAGAACACAGCCTGCGATGTGAAGAGCTACAGAGAAGGGAAAATGTGAACAGTGTACTTCAAAATGTTGCACACAGTTTGGTGTTATCGGCAGAGCACGAAGGCAACCCCCAACACGACACCGGATGTGCTAGGAGGGCCGTGGATGCAGTACAAGCAGAGCAGAAAAGGAAAAGCTAAATTTACTTATCAGAGCATATATGTATTTCTGGGGTTCTTTGTACACATTACGCAGATGACCTAAGTTCTTCAAATGTGCTATAACGCGCTAAACTCTCCATCCAGCGTCCTGCTCGATGTTCCGACATCTCCTTCAGATATGCCTCCGGGTCTGCTTTCTCAAACTCCTCCTCGGTTCGTCCTCCGTATTGTAACCAACGATGTATGCTGCCAGCTGTGTATTGCGTGACCGAGATACGGGTCTCCCCTTTAGCCACAGGTATATTTGAGTGCCGCAGAATTGCCGAAGAAAGGAGGATAGTTGTTCCAGGAGGGAACTCGAAAATAACATTGAAGTCCCATAGTATCAAATGTCCACCTAATTTCCAGTTGTACTTTCCACCTGAGGTGATTGCACATGGAAGGGACGGGTCGTTCTTAGAGTCGGTGTGTATGTGTGTCCATGTCAAGGGTCCGAAATTAACTGTGGTGCAGAGGTAGACGCTGTTGTCGAAGTTCAAACGCAGATTGGGTCGAAGTTCCAGAAGCTGAGCTTTTCGCCGTCGGGCCTCCTCGTAGCAGCGGGGAAACCAAGTTCGCAAGGCCGCTGAAGGGACTCGAAGCTGAGAAGGCAGCTTAGGAGAAGGAACCAATGTACGTACCGCTTTGGAAGCCAGCGATGCGGCGGAAAGAGTCCATGGCCAGGAGCTTTTTCATCATTTCTTGCCTCTCCCCTCCCAATTGCATGGGCTCAGGCTGGCCTTTTCCAAACGAGATTCCGCAGGCAACTGCAGGAAAATCTCCGCGTTTATGCCTCTTCTCCTTCTTCTTCCATCCAGCTTCACGGTTGGCCGCAAGAATCGCTTCAGTCGCGTGTTCAACTGCGTCGTCGTAGCCGGGATCGTCAGGGCTTCCAACGAAGCATACCATGATACGCCGCTCGCCGTCAACCACGGGCACGTTTTGCCTGAAATGCATGGGTCAGGACAAAGCAGGCAAGAAAGTAAACGGGAAACATACCCTTTCCTGTACTGAATCACCCGCATACCTCTAGCTTCCAATTCCTCCAGCCTTTGCCTCTTTTTTGCACCCCAGTACTCAGCATCAATGCCCACCCATGCACCCGATGCAATCGGCAGGCCTTCCGCCTCAAGGTCTGAGACAATGGGCTGCGATGGTAAGACCTTCGTCCGCAACGCATCTCCTACTACATGTCCTTCCTCCTCAACCTTCCTTCGCCGAAGAATGCGACGCCTCTTATTGGCGCGCTTCTGTCCCCCTCGTTCGCTTCCAGTAGGGGCCTGGCCTTGCACCTCGAGGTTTGATGCTTTTCGTTTAGGAGCGATCGCAGCGCTTTGCAGCCGGAGCTTGGTGTCAGAGGAAGAAGGGACTGGTGGCGATTTGTCGAGATGAGAGGCGGGGACGAGGTGAGAGGCAGGGACGAGGTTTGGAGGCGCAGGCGTGGGGGAAGCAAATGTATCGTGGTAGGAGACAGAAGACGCGGCTTTGGAAGTAGAGAACGGAGGACGGTGAGCTCCTATTGGGGACAGGTGGGGAAAGGGCCTACGAGCGGAGAGCTGAAGGTCGGGGTTGGAGGGTTCTGCTGGTGGCGCGTTTGAGCCTTGCTGGAGCCCATCCTCTGAAAGGTCAGACAAGTCGCTATCGTCCACGCCTACTGCGTATGCAAAGGCGTACGCATCTCGCATGAGGCTTGCGGCGTTCACTTCGACGTGAAATGGGGCGGAGTTTTTGTAATGTATACTTTGCATCTAGTAGCGCAGTCCTGTTAAATATCGCATAGCGGCTGAATATCGACGACTCACATCGTGCGCCGTCTCCATCCCACAAAGAGCGCCACCTAAATGTCGCTGGTAAGTTTGAGGCCTGGACAAGGCTGCCGGCTGCACAAACGCGCCATGTTGTTTCTTCGCTCCGAGCCGCTTTCTATCCCTCGAGTAGGCGAGTCCAGGCTTTGAACTCAAGCCAACACGAGGATAGAGCACAGCTGAAGCACGTCAGATGCGAGAGTAGTCCACGGCGCATTTGTGCAGCTGGTGGTGCTGCCCGCGGTTTTGTGACTCACCGTTGCTGTTCAGTCGCGGGCTGTTCAAGAGTTTGAAAGGAAAGGAGGGAGTCGGAGGGAAACAGGGGACTTGTGGCAAGTCGAGGAGCAAGTTGAAGAGAATAAACAACCTTCAAAAGATCAAATCCGCGAATCAAAATCGGGCACGTGACTATTTACGCCACTTTGAACGCGACTTTTAACGCGACTTTTAATGCGACTTTGTACGCGACTTACAGCCGTGCTGTGCTTCAAAAATGTATAAAGTATGTTATTTCAACTTTGGCTACCTGAGTTATCACTACCAGCTGCCTGATACCTTAGTCTACTAGCTCCAGCCTGCGGTTGAGGTTGAAGGGAAGGGAAGGTGGTTGTAGTTTGTTGATGTGAGTAGTTAAATGGTTGTGGCGGGGCGGGGAATCCGCGGTATGGGTGTTGAGGGTGAGGATATTGATGAGGTATATGGGGAGCATGCAGGCTAGACTGTCCTTGCAAATGTCTGTGGGCCATGGGGTGGTTGGAGACTGTTTCGAACTCCTGTACTGGGTGCTGAATGAAGTTAGAGTGGGAGGATAAAGGCTGCAAAGTCTTCGTAGTTGATCTGTTCAAAGCATTCCACTCTCGAGCAGAGCTTTCCTCAAGAATGACATCCACAGATAATCGCGGAATTTGAATGCGGAAGCGCTGCAAGAAATCTGCGTCCCGCATTTGTGCTGTGTTCAAAACTTTGTCATCCAGGTCTCCTTTATGTACCACTTCATCCTTGAGCTTGGATGTCTGCTCGCGCTCCTGTGCAGCCGGCTGCTTTGCTTCAACAGTGCAGTAATGTCGATCACAATCATGTTGCACATTTACAGTGCATCGGAGGGACTGTTTCTCTATTAATACAACTAGCGCATTGACATACAAAGCAATGAGGTACTCACCGTTGGAAGAATTGAAAAGTACCGGCCTGAAGGTGTCAGTCGGGGCATTCCATGACTTGATGCAATGTTTCCAACCACCATGGCTTCAACAAGTACAGAGTCGACAGCATTGGTGGGGAAAGCAGTGCGTTTGCACTGCAGGGGCTCAATGACCTTGACAATTGAGATGCCGTCGGTAGCAAAAGCATATAGTAGGGGCGAAGAGCATGCTGCAAATCCTAGAGGTTTACATTTGTCGCCATTTGCCACAATAAGCTGCTGAGTGCGGTGAAAGTTTTTTGTGCTCTTTTCAAACTCGGTATATAAAGGCGTCTCAGGAACCAGGCGTCCAGTCTGAGTATTCTGCCATTGCTGATCAACAGCACCCTTATCTGCTGTTCCAGTTCCTGATACAGGATGTCAACACCCCAGACAAAAAGCCACAGAGAGAATGTATATACTTACCAGCTAGATTCCCTTTGTTGTCGTTATTTGGAATGCCCAGATATCCTTTGATTGTGTCTGACCAGTAAACCACATCCTGGGCACTCTGACCTACGGTCACCCAGTGCCCTGATGTAAATGCATTGCTACGGAAATATTGTTGCACCTGAGTTACACGATCCTTCTGAGGACAGTTGGTGTTTCCAAACTGATCGTCTGCTTCCTTGTTAAGCTGGATTTTTCCTCGGTCTAAGAACACTCCTCCGCTGAGCATATGTCGAATGCGATTTTGTCTTGCAAATGCCCATGCAATATCACGAGATGGGGCAAGCCGATTGGAATGTATGCTCTTGGCCCGAATAACAGCATTGTAAGATTCGAAAACCTCAGTTGCAAAAAGCATAGCAGGCCCAAATCGACGAATATGCTCTGGAAGGTGAACCAAGATATGGAACTTTGGCTTATTGAACCAACGAATGCTCCATTTAGCAGCATATAGCAGAAATTGCTCGATTTCTTGTTGCAACAATTCCTTGTATCCACAAAAAATGACTGAGTGTATAGAAATTCAAGTGAAATAAGGTACTCACAATATATGAGTTCAAATTGACGATTTTTGGCTGCCAGATTAGAGGAACAAGTTTAGACAATGCAACCCATGTCTGGTAGCAGTCATCTACAACAAATCCCTTCAGGACAAATGGAGCAGCTTGGCTTATCTTTCGAAAATCTGAACCTGTCAGAGAACCGTAGTGATTAACCAAAACTTCACCCTGAAGGCTAGAATCAAGACCAAGGCCTTGGACATCCAGAGAGGAGAGTCGAGTGGCTAGCTCTTTTTTCAGCTTTTCATTCTTTTTCAATTGGTTTTCAATGACATCACGCCAAAGATATTTGACAAATCCCAAAAGGACTACATGCAGAATTTCAACTGGTGTGTCTGCATGGGGGTCCAATCCTAAAAACATATCAGACTACCAGAAGACATTGAGCAAATTCAAAACCTTTAATACGCCAAACAGGGCTCATTGTATCTTGAGATATATCAGGGGCTTGTGCTTCTTGGACACCCTTTCGACGACGGTTCATGAATTTATCAATAAAAAACACTTGGTATGTATCTTTGATTCCACTTTCTGTGCGTGCTTCCTTGGCTTTTGATGCTCCGTTGGTCTCAGCTGTTATGAACTGGCTCTTGATGGTAGCCATTGTCTCAGCCTTTGTACGAGGCTTGCCAGGCTGAAAAAGGTCAGAGTCATATGATTATTCTGATGAACTAATAAAACTTAGTTACCTTCACAAATCCTTTGACCCGATGAATCATAGATTGGAGACTTTCTTTGAACTTTGCTCTTGTCTTTTTCTTCCCCTGTTTACCTCCAGCACTAGCAGCTGATCCCACTGAGCCTGTCTCTGAGCCTCCATGTTCCTCATCACTGTTGTTGATATTGGTGTCTTCATTGAAGCCTTCATTTATTATTGGATTTTGCACAGTCTGTCCATCTTTTGCATCCTTTCCTTTTACCCAACAAGTGCGGCAGAAAAACTTCCCTCGAAGACCAATGTGGCATGCAAATTCACTCTGCATGGGGTTGTCTCCAAGAAGTGCCAAAACACAGACAATGAGGAGAACACGTGAATGGGTTTTTGGGTCCCAAGCCCAAATACCATTTTCCTGACAGTCCCTACAGATTATTGAGTAACTCTGAGAGCTGGGATGACAATTAATTTACATACTGCAATTGGTCTGCAATACCATCCAACATTTCAAGAGGAGGTGCAGTATTTGATGTTGCAAGAAAGTGTACGTTATATTCCTTTGAAGATTCAGTGCGGTCAAGTCCAGCTGCAGTAAAAAGGAAGCTGTTGTGTTCATTCCAACGCTTGGATGTATTCCCAGAGGTGTCATCGCAGTAGAGCCAGATTGGAAATGCTAGGCACTGCACCCCATCAGCTTTTTGACGCCACTTATTCCCAATGGCTGGATCAGTAAAAGTCCATGGAGATAATGTTGGAGGGCTAGTAGACTTGTCAACCACATCTAAGTTTTACATGAGTAATTTGAACTGCGACACAACTTTACAGTCATACGTACTTTCAATTTTTGTGACATCTGTGAGGTGCCCGTACAAAGTTTTATCTTGAAGTTGTGGAAAAGAAAGTAGAAGCTCGTCTTCGCTGACAATAAATTCCCCTTCACCCTTTATAACCTGCCAAGACTCAGTGCCATCCTCTCGAAGAACCTCTTCAAGCTTCCAACACCGTGCATAGAAGCGCCCTTGGCGCATAAACCAGCGGTGAGGAATGCAAACCTGCTCACTGCGTAGCATAGTAGGCTCGAATATGTAGTAATCTTGTTCTCCAATACGTGCCATAGGACCAATCTCATCATCTGGGATTTCATTAAGCCACCGAGAGAACTGCCGAGCTTCAGATACATTCTTGGCTGCACAATCTTCAGGATAAAATGAGAGCTTGTCTCGGACTTGAGGGTTACAAATTTCCTAAAGCAATAATTATTTTGTTTGACCTACTGTGGAGTTGCAATACTAGTAGCTCACTTGGGATATAATATCAGCAAGGCTATTCACATAGTACAAGTGGCCAAAAGCTCCTTTATATTTGAATGTTTGGATTCCATATAGAGTCTGCAGCTTTGCATCCAAGTCTTTCATGGTTTTGACAGATGTAGCATCTTGTACTCCATTGACTCTTAAGAGCCACAAGAATAAGTCCAGTTGCCTCACAGAGAATACTGAACGAGGAAGATGCATCAAGATATCAAGGGTGCAAGCCTATATCCAGTAATTGTCAATTGAAGATGTAGAAATAAACCTCAATGAACAAACTGTTCTGTCAGGCCAAGGAAACCACTCCAGTGATTTTTGGCTTAAGTCTGTTTTTGAACGTTTGTTGAGAAGCCCGTCAAAAGGATTGAATGCATCTTGCCCTTGAACAAAAATTATCTTAGCATGTGTAAGGGGCTGACAAAGGTTCAATACCTCGCATGTTGGAATTATATTCATGTGAGCCACTGAAGTCAATTTGCTCACTGACATCAGATCGGTCTCCATCAGACTCATTGTCTGATTGAATGTTGTCTGGTCCATGCTGAAACATGTTCAGCATGTAATATGACAGAGCTTCAATACTCTCCTCTTCACGGGAACCAGAAAATTCAGTTTCCATCAAATTGAGATCGCCCCAATCGATGTTGGTTAAAGGTGCAAAATCAGAAGAAGTCTGGTGGGTTGTGTCAAGGAAATCTGAAAGCGGTGGAAGGGATTCTCTAGGTAGTTCTGGATTGGTGAAGGTTTGCCATAGACGTGTAGCAGCAAGATCGTAAACATCCGATATGGGAACAGCTGCGGTGCTGGTTTCCGAAGTAGAGCTAGTAGTATTCCGTTGAGCTTGGAGATTACTAGCGTGTTTTGCTGTCTTTTCGTGCTCCTTTGCATGATATGGGGATTGTCCTGATGCATCAGGACAGATCCGACAGTAGACTCGCCATTGATCCCGCTCAAATATGACCCGCCAGACTGCGGTCTCGATGAGGACATCTAGCTGCTGCAGTACTATAAGGATAAACACTTGCCCTTCTCATCCTCAAAGCCTTCAGGTCGGATATGTCCTCGTAATGACATCGATTTCACAGGGTCGCTGTTCGTCCCAAGGGCTAACAGATATTTTATGAAGCAGGGTTTGTGGAAAAGATACAGCCTAGTACTATCTACATCATTTCGTACCTGGGTTATAATTTGTGAGCCCGGGTATGAAATCAAAATTCATCCCCGGGTTATCTGACATCAATCAGCCCACGCTTATCCGAAGGTCTGGTTGTGTATCGATCTTGTGCAACGTGCTTCGCAACTAAACCGTGTCTATCGCAAACTTATTCCCTACATGACGAAGGCAGAACGAAAGCCTTGCAAATGTCGGGCCCTCAGAAAGTGCTAGCGCTGTCGCCGCAAACAGACTGAGATATACAATCATGGATGCGGTCAGGGATCGGACCGCACTCGATATTGATTCTGACGGGAGGCAGGAGACATATGTATGTACATAAAAGGATTATTGGTCGGATGATGTACAGATCACTGGCGCTGGGCAATAATAGTACGTTTTTTGCCCCATGAATCCATCCAAATGCTGGTTTTGAATCCTGTCGGGCTTAATATATCACAGACCGCTGCTGCTTGACTGTGACCGACTTCAAGCGCTACCACGGCCTTAGGCGATAGAAATCCGTCGCGAGCGATGAGACCGGCGATGACACGATAGAATTCTAGACCATCACAACCACCTATAAGGGCCGTTGGATCTTCGAACTTTGCAACATCGTCACTAGAAAGGTTGCAATGTAGAGGTATAAAGGGAGAAACACTGTTCCTACCTTAGCTGAAGATATTCGTCAGACGTGATGTAAGGAGGATTGGATGTAAGAATATCGTAGGGCGAATTGATCGTTTCGGCCTTCGGAAAACCTGGGTGTACAAAGTCGCACAAAGAAGCCTTGAATCTGGAATGTGGGATGCCGCAGAGTTTGGCATTTTCATTGGCTAGTTGAACGGCATGAGGGGATATGTCAATTCCATTCGCCACAATATTTGGACAAAGGTGGCATAGCAAAAGCGGAATGCAACCAGAACCGGTGCCAAGGTCTAGCAAAGAAATACGACGGCTTGCGGACCAGTCAGAGGAGCAAAGATATTCCGCGAGTCGAATGACCCATTCTTCGGTTTCTGGACGTGGTATGAGCACGGGAGGGCGTACCCGAATGTTGTCTAACGCGCCAAAAGGCTGGGTGCCTTATTCAAAACTCAGAACAGACTTAACGACGAGCGAAAAAAATACCTATGATATACTGAAGAGGCTCACGATTGAGACGACGTTGGATCAAGTGCTCGAGAGGACGGTTAGAGTCCAAAGCAGCCCGTTTCAACCATCGAAGTTCGTTCAAAGGCAAGCGCATGAATCCCGGGCCGTTGATGCAACCTCCGGTAATCCGGATCTATAAAATACTTTTAATTTTGTATACAATTCTCATTAATTCCCTCTCTGACTTCACCGCCTTTCCAATGACGGAAAGCACTCTTGTGCCCATTGCGCCTGCTCCTCCTGTCGCACTTGTTGGTGCCTCTACTTCTACTGCCAACTATCAAAATCAAAAGCAGGCCGGCACAAAGCGAAAACGGAACGATGCACAAGAGCCATCAGGTCCAGATTCAGGTTCGACTCAGTCGAAAAAGGCCAGAGATGGTCCAAAGAAAAAGAAAGCCAATCGCGCTTGCTTTCACTGTCAAAAGGCACATCTCACCTGCGATGACTGTCTGCTCTTATTTGCTTGTATACTCTCGTTCAACCGCTCACTGAATCATTAGCTCGACCTTGTCAGCGCTGTATAAAACGAGGAATCGCAAACAGCTGCACGGAGGGCCATCGAAAGAAAGCAAAATATCTTCTGGACGATGAAGAGTTAGGTGAGCTGTCAGGACTTTTTTTTTTCCTTTTAGTCGATTCAATGCGTATACGATACCATAGAACAACTAAAACGGACTAATAAAAACCCGCAAAATACGACTACGAATGTGGCTGAAACCCCTCGTCCATCAACACCAGCACCACAGCAGGAGCAGCCACAACCTCACTTGTCCACATGTCAGCATTTACTTAAACATCCCTTTACATTATTCTCAACTTCTCCGTCTATAGCCGATCCTATATTGCAGGAGTCCCCAACTTTCGAAGTGCCTTTTGATTCCAATTTTCCATTCGGTTCAGAAGCTGCAAACCTGGAATATTCCATCCTGTCTGCGATCTTGGGTAACCCAAGTCCTCCGCAAGGTGATTCCACTCCTCCACCAACGTATTCCGGCTGGCCTTCCTCGGATCCACTCATCGCCTCTCAATCACCGACGTTCTCATCCACCTTTCCCACTTCATTATCTTCTAACCTCGCCGCATCTCCTACTACCGCATATCTCACATACCAGTATCAGGAACCACCTCGGACGAGCGAATTATCGGAAGTCCAGTACCCGCCCTTCCAGCAGTCGGTCAATACACCCAATACGACGACTCAACCTCTGCAGTCTCGATATTCGCTGGAATCAAGAGCAAAGTCTCCGCCGTATTCTGTCTTCATCGACGAAACCTCGCACGGTCTTCTCTCTCCTCCGCATTCAAATGCATCTCCCAGCCTCACCCCTTCCGTTGTTCGATCCACGGATTCTGTTGCAAGTGCCAGCATTTGTACGCCAGGCTCAAAACTTCAAAGTATCCACGACCGTGTCACCAAACCTTATGACTACACAGAAGGTTATCATTTTTTAATGAAACACCTACCTATCCGGTGCGTACTTTCATTAAAAACCAATCAGACTAGAGTCTTCTAGTAAGGAGATTCCGGTTCTACTTATTCAATCCAACCTTCCTCCTCATCCCCTCCATCATCGTACCCGCGGATATCTTATACCTTTCTCTGTTTCGGGTTATTGTTCATCTCAAGATTTGAGAAAAACGACATTTTGCGTATCGTGCGAGCGTTAGCTATCTTCCGACCTTCGCTTATTGCACTACAAATGCCCTTGTCTCTCGATGACGAAGTTTTCGTGGAAAAATGTTTCCAAAGGTCGCTGCTAGTACGTGGCGTGTTACCCTTTACGATCCACACGTCTGAATTGTCGGTTATTGATGCCCAGGAACTCGAGAAACTCATCTCTTTCAGCGGAACGCCAACAGTAATATGGCGTCGTACGGGAGAGATTTGTCTTGTCGCGCCTGAGTTCTGCATGCTTACAGAATGGTCTATGGAGGAGTTACTAGGAAAGAAAAAGTACATTTATGAGGTGAAGTGATTCTCCGTTTGCTCCCGGTGAACGAAGTTAATCCTACCCATACCGATAGTTATTTGAAAACCAATCCGTGGTCGAGTATTGGGAAAATTTTGCTGAACACGCCTTCGAAAACACAACACAATCGGTATATTCACACTGTGTCCTTCTCAAGCCGAACGGAGCGCCGATTCCTTCGACGTTTTGTTTCTCGATCCGGAGAGATCTATTTGATCTCCCGAGTGTAGTCATAGGTGAGCAACCTTGGGTCAATCACAAGCCTTCATATAACAACATCTTTGCGCAGGTCAATGGCTTCCATTACTATAGCGGTTGTAAACATTTATCTTCTTCCTGTGTCCTACTTCTAACTCTGTACAATCTATATGCGGGCGCCATTATACATCTCCCGCTTCGCCTTCTACTTCTTATGTCCATCTTATCTTCTGTCTATAATCTTTTCTTCTTCTCCCTCAAAAACATTGCACGTTACATTAGCATCTTTCTCATATCCTTATTCTCTCTCCTCTTACATTGGATTGTTATGCACTCGGCTCCGTCCAATGTTTGACTCTATTTTCGCATGGCCTTTATGATAACTTATTCCCGCTCAATCTCTATGTACACCTTCATAGCACCTTCACAGTACTTTGTCTTAGCTTGATGAAGCTCTGACCAAGGAATGGCTTCCATATCTCAATTGGATTCAGCAGGCATAGATTCTTACATTGGCAATTGTCTCGAGTATTTTCTAGGTACATAACATATCAACTTATACTACCTTCACCATGCTCTTAGAAAACGAGGGTTCACTGTCTTCCTGTGTTCAGAGGTATTGCAGATGTATGTGTACTCTATTTCACAGGCGGATTTGCTATGGAATATCATATGTACTAGGATTGTACAAGTCCCATCAGGATGATGTTAAACAGTATCCTGAACAGCAGCATACTCGCTTTCAACACCGGGTTCAATGAAGCTCGCATGTCCAAGAATGAGCACTCCGGAAGCCCCGACGAGCCAAAAGAAGGTCATCACAGGCGACGCGATGAAAAGGAGGGGAAGACCGATGACAAAGAGGGCAGTGTAAAGATGTTTTTGGGTTATAGTGTGTTCCCCCATTTGCATGGGTTCCGGACCTGCAGGGGACAAACTAAGCTGCTGTCAGAAGAGCGTCATGGCCAACTGGACGCACCAAATTTGTTGATTGCGATAAAACCTCCGACCAAGAAACCGAGAGCGATTAAAAGAAGGGGGTTACTGATACTGTAGGATATGTATTAGGGAAGTTGGACGAAATTGAGGAATGTGTAGACAAACAGGGCATATACAGCCAGCAGAGCGATGATGAGAACATAGTTCCCTTAAATGAAAAGACTTGAGTGCACTGCGAGCATACTGAGGGATTGAACCAACCTGAGAAGTATCGCGTGTTATACGTTATTCTCTAGATTGGTGCATTGAGTCTCAGCGGTCAACAGAAATGACAAGAGAGCTCGCCTGAGTAGCTTGGTTAAAGTCTGAAGGTCGTGAAATGCGCTGATAATCGAAAAATTCAGTAGGCGGTCTGAGAGCTGCTAGGCGTGTTTCCTGCGAGTGCATAGGAATTAGGAATGCTTGAAAAATAGTAAGAGTGCTGCTGACTCTGAAGGACTTGATAGTGTCTGTGACTCTCATTACAGCTTCCATTGTGTAAGGTATGAGCTGGTGCAAGAGGATGAGTAAAGTAGTCGAAAGATGGTGGAAGGTGTGCAACGTGAAGGAGGCACAGCCACTTGGCTGCACGACTTCCTCTCACTGGTCACAGTCATACTCATGAGCTGTGAACTGCGGACTGTGCTTCTGTACGCACGCGGCCTTCGTTTCGCTCAAGCTGCTCATCGCTTTCGCCTAATTGTCGTCCCTACGGACGACAACGATGTCTAAGATATACGCGATGAACGTGTTGAACAACTGCAAAGAACTGTACAACCCAGTAAACACGCCACACTCTTGAGTCTTGGCAAATGTTTTTCTTCGCAATATCTGAGTACTTGATTTCCAAACGCAAGTCCATTGTCATTATAAATGGTCTACATTACGTATAGCTACAAAAGTTCATCGAAACTGATAATTAAACCGGAAAGCTGGTATTGTTATGTCGGGTTATGGACAGTCAAATAATGGAATAGACTGCACACACCTTCGACATCCCTCTTGTCACATAATGTAGCCAAATCAACGCGTTGTAGATGCAGACACGCAGTTTTCAGGCTGTCCCAGAGGGCGTTCGAAGTGATTCCTCCCCGTGCATCGTTGAAACCTTCAACATCATGAACACCTTCCGCATCCTGGAGGGATAGTGCATCAAGAATGTGCAGGGCACCCTCGTTATATCGCTGAAGCCACCTCAAAATTAGAATTCGTAAGGTCAGAAAGAGCACGAGAGAAATATATACCTTGAGTTGGATGCACGATATACCTAGATTATATCTGAGATTCTGTGCGTCAACTTTTTGTTTCACAACACTGTTGACGAAATCCACTAACCGTGCTCGAACATATGCCGGATTCAGGTCAAGTGCTCGATAATAATATTCTAGAGCTTCCTCAGCACGGCCACTGTTTGCCATTGTAGCGCCTACTCTGTTGTATAACTGCCAGTCCTACCGGCATTTTCAACTTTGTAAAAATACAAAAGGACAACACCACCATACTCACGTCAGGACGAATAGAAAGTGCCGCTCTAAAACAGTCTTGAGCCTTTCCATATTCCTGCAAGATGATGGATAATCAATTTCTCCAGCCCACGAATCTGAACGTACAACGGAATAGCGTACCTCATTCGAATTGAAAAGCACAGCTAACGCTATTTGGATATCAGCGTCAATCTGTCCAAATGCACTTTGTTGAGCCATTGTGATCAAACACTGAACCAATTGCTTGAATTTTTCTTGAATCGTGGCTTCTTCGGAACTAGGATGCTGAGATAGATGTTGTTGGAGAATGTCGCGATGATCATCGTTTCGCAAAACCCACTCGCGGATGGCCTCGTAGGCTTCGAGCCGACGACCGTCATTTGTGTAGGATACAGCCAATGCTAGCCAACCGGGTAAATACGAGGGATCAAGCTCAGTTGCTCGTTTAAGGGCCTGTAACGCTTGCGTTTCTCGCTCATGCTCTTGCTGTTTGACCCCGAGTTCAAACCATGCCGATGCATTAGACACGTCCTGCTGAACAGCGGCTTCTAATGCGAGTACGGTCTGTATTTGGTTTAGCATGAAAAGGAAGTCTCCGTGAAACGAGTGACTACATACTTCCAGACGGTCATCCGAATGCATGGAATGGTGCCGCATCCGTAAACTGTCCCCTCGGAGATAGGGATTATTTTTCTGAAATTGATACGAGACGACCGGAGTAATGCCTTTGGTCGAGGCCTCGAACTTCTCCCAATCTGTTTGTAGTTTATCCCAGTTTAGATCCACTTCCACTGTCTGCCTCTGCGACTTCCGTGGATCCATTCCGTTCCAGTAGCGAGTATAATCCTCATTTTCTTGTCTGAAATAAGCATCGTTCGCATCTTCCTGGATGTCAATTTGTTCGTTATACGGAGATACTCCTGCCATTGTCGCGTTGTTACCAATTGTCTGTCCAAGCGTACTAACCAAGCCAGCATATGGGATGAACGGTGAATCAGACGCTTTTCCTTTTCCCTTTCCTTTCACATCTACCCTACTGTCTTGGCCGACTGTATGAGTCCCGTCATTTTCCACCATCTCGTTCCCTCTGACAACAACTTTTTGGTCGCGAAGTTGAGTCATCAGATTCATAAAGATACTATTTTGGAATTTGGGATTCTTCTCGGTTTTCACGGTCTCTAGAAGGAGACCTGCGGTACGAGAGAGCTCATCTTGCTCCCGAAAGGACTGAGGAGCTTCTTCCTGAGCGTTGGCGTTCGAAAGTCCTTCGGTCGGAACAGAGTCGCTTTGTTGGGCGTCGAACTCTTTGTACCATGAAAGTTCTAAATCAGGGACGTGAGAAATGTTTTTCTTTAAGATAGAACATACCAACGTACGAGTATCTGGCAGAACAGACCTTGGTACAGTCGTGGCCTGAAAGGAGTTTGCGGAAGGAATAAATTGCATCGTCGCATTCCACATTGATCCAAATGGCATAACCTCTGCATAACATCGAGCTCAAGGAGTGTTCGAAGAACAAACGCAAGACCTACGCGCAGGCCGTATCATGTTCACAGCTTGTGTGGTAGACGAAGCAGCTGAGGAATGCATAGAGCTCACTGTGGATTGAGTAGCAGCAGCAGCGAGAGGTTGAGGAGAGGATGCCTGCATGGGTTGCTGGGTCAAGAAATCTACAGCCCAGTCTGCGACAACATTCTGCTTGAAGGATTGGGCGTCCGCGGCTGGCAGGGAGCCTCGAAGCGCTGCCATGTCGTACGGACTGTTACCATAGAATTGAGGCGGAGGCGATTTAGCAAAGAAACGAGCAGTATCCTGATCGAACGACGGTGGGCTAGTAATTTGCGAGCGAAACGTCTGAAGTAATTGTTCAGCATAACTCCGATCTAGGTACATGGCAACGACAGACCTCTTGAGAAGGTCCTGCACGGCCTGCCCCAAAATGATCCTACATAGAGATCAGTACGTCTACGAAGGTTGTCTGATTTATAAAATGTATACAAGTACCTGCTGCAGCCCTCGATCATTATCTAAGTGTTTCGAAAGGCCTTGGAGAGGATTGGAAGGGCCGCATTCAGTGCCCCCGACTAACATGGGCAACGACATGGTCAACGTTTGAGCAGGACCACGGACCACGGTGACAATTCCGCTTCAACTTCATGCTTCATGTGATTATTATATGTACATGTGACAAGATACTCCTACTAATTACTATATACACTTTTATTTCGACCCGAAGAACTGGAGACCCGGAAAAAGATAAAACATCAAGCTGGCTAGGGCGGGACTTGGAGCTTCGGTGGAACCTGGGGAGGGCTCTGAGCCGTTTGAAGAGGAATGTGCAGGATAGCCGGAGGTAGTTGTGAAGGACCACTCTGATCAGCACTGGCAGCTTTCATAGTGTGTTTAGCGCGACATTCTGCCCCGCCATCAGAGCGTACTGGGGAGAAAAAAAGAATGAGTGACTGTATTTGAGCTATACTGAATATTGAAGTAATCTCACGATGTCTCTGGAAAGGGAGAATAGATCGACAAAGATAGCTTTAGTGGTATAAAAATCACGAACGTTAAGTGCATCCAGCCTACTGAAAGTCTTCTTGCATCCTTGGCAAACATTCGACTGGGGTTTGCTGGTATGAAGTGCTTGATGGCGCCTAACAAATGTACTGTCAGACAGATTTTAGGATGGAATAGCAGCCATCGACAACGAACTTGCAATCATGCTGGCGAGCAAAACCTTTATTACATCCTGGCCATTCACAAACAAAGGGGCGCTCTTCCGTATGGGACCGAAGATGACCTGCATAAGTATACTGATCAGATGAATATCGGGGAGCAGATTGCCAAAGAAACTAGAACTAGCCTCTTAAATTAAATCGACGTGTAAACGTGCTGCCGCATCCCGGAACTGGGCAAGCGAAATTGGCCTCATTCCTTCGTCTGCTCGCACTGGCCAACTGAGTGGCAGACGTGGTGACTTGCTGCTTCTCAACTTGCAGAATAGGAGGCAAACGAGGGACGCCAGCAGAGGATGGATAATGATTTGCGCCTGCACCGGTATTAAAATTTCCTACGACGGACCCAGAGGCGTCAACAATGGCGTTGGCAGGATCTTGGCCTAGGGTATCCTGCCGTTGAACCTGAATTACTGGAGGCGGAGGATGTGGTACCAAGATGCCGAGAGTAGGAACAAATGCAAAAGAACGAGGTCCATCTGGCTCAGTGGCTGGACCTGCAGTCGGAATGGGCGGTTGAGTAAAATTAGTAGAAGATTGGTCGAGAGTCATGAGTTGATGAAAGGTCGACATGAAGTTGAGACTAAAAGTGTGCAATTATGCCGAAGGCACTCGGGTGATGTCACAAAAGATGGCACTGCAAAGCTGTGCAAGATCTGAAAGTGACAACTTTGTGAAGAGCTGTGCCTATGTTACTACTTTGGTACACCTTACAACCAATTCATTTATTTAAAGATGTGTGAGTCCAGTAGTCGTCGGCGACGCATCAGTTCGCTTTCGCTGATGATTTGTCCTCCCTGTCGTGAGCTACTCGTTCTCATCCCCTCAATATTTCCAACCTCATACTCGTCATCTGCATCAGGTCCAATCGTCTTCTCTTCTTCGGCTTCAGTTTTCACATCTACTTTTGCGGGTTTGGTCGGATCGACCTTTGTAGAGTCGGTTCGTTCACTTCCAATGTCAATCATTCCCCTGTCATTTGATGATGTTCTTTTGTCTTTTTTCGCTACAAAAATGATCCCAGAGTCGTCATTCTCGGTCTCAGAGGTGAAAGGGCTTGGTTGTCGTTTGTTGTTGTTTGACTTCAATTCCCGTCGAGGAGATGCCGGTTTCGTGAACCCGAGTTCTGCTGTCGGGCCTTCGTCTTCACCGTTTTCCTTCCCACTGTATCGCAGGAATACGTCATCTATCCATTCTCCCAAATCTTCGATAACCTGTCAATTTGGAAACTTCGTATCAATTTATTGCAAATGAATGAATTTCATACCACTTTGGCTTCGGGGATGAGAGCGGCCATTTGTAGATATCCATGAGACCACTCTGCGAACAGCACGAGCTGTACCCAGTCGTCTTCACTCTCCCTAGCGAGCTTGTCGCGTTCCCTCTTCATCGCAGCTATATTCTCTGCATGGCTTGCATCTACTGAGCTCATCCTGAGGGTTTCCCCGAATCGTGCGCTTTTTCCCGAGATCGCAAGATCCAACTCAATCTTCCTGGCACGTTTGGCCTCTCTCACACGTCCAGCAAATATGACGGTATCGTCCACAAATGGATCCTTTCAGAGACCATTAAATTTATGATGATCAGTCGTACCAAAAGATTGCATACCTTTTCGCCGCATTGCATTAGTAAGGGTGGGAATTGAGCAAGGAGATGGTTCGGTGCAAGTATTGGAGAGAGATGATAATCAGTCATAAAGTCAGGATTTCGGTGAGGTCCAATATACAAGATGGCCATAGCACGCATCTGCAAAGGACTTGAGATATCAAGATTCCCAATGAGACCAAGTTAACCAACCATACTGGGAGAAATAATTCGATCTTGAAAGTACCCTGTCCGACTGGTCATCGTCAGTCTGACACCTATAGGTTCCCTCTTTCTTTGATCTGCGTGTGAAAAAGGCATCGCTCGTGCAGCTTCCGAATCGGCTTCCAGCAGCGCTGCAGAAAGTTCCTCTTGTTTCTCTGTCGCAGCTTTGATCCAAGCCGCCGAGGGCGTAGGATGAGCATAGACATGCTTCACTCGTGCCTGTAGAGGGCGGTCTTCCTCTTTGCGTTGGGTATAATCTTTATCCTCGTCATTACTTGAGTCTTCGTTCTCTACAGATTCACGCAGGAAAATACGTCCGCCCGGTGGCGTTTTGAGACCAGAAGTCATACGGCGTAAACTTGGTTTTCGTGAGCTGGTTAATGACGTATCCTCTTTCTCGCTGCCACTGGTAGTGAGGCCACGGAGCGTGTCCTTCCAGCTATTATTTCGCTTGATTCTTTTGTGTCTTTTGATTTCTCCAGAGCCTCTGTCGCCGACCATACTGAGCGGAGACTGAAAGATCATTTCAGTATGGAATTAACGTAGAGAGTCTGATCGACCTAACAATGTGTTTTAGGTGGTCCTTCTGCTTAGCGAGCTCTCTCAAGCCTGGTAAATTACCGGACGATTCTTCAGCGCGCAGTACGCGGAGATTATCTTCATTCATCCAAGAAGTAAAATTAAAATCCAGCGCAGCGTAGTTCAAAACGAGCGCCAACGGAAGAGGCATCGACGTTTTACGAGCGATATGTGCCATATTGTTATGTTCCAAAATTTTGAGCACAACGTTCACTGCAAGGGTTGCTCCTGCAGAATCGCTAGTAATGACGACATTGAACTTCTTTCCAGACATTCCGATAGCCGATCCTCCTGTTCAGTTTTTCTAAAATTAAGCTCGGGGAACAGTTCAAATCATGGAATTTTCTCACCAGACTCAACAAGCACTTGGTAGGTATCAAAGGCTTCGTCGATTGCGAAGGGATACGGATCTACATTTCGTTGCTTAGAAGGTTCGCTCGAAGCATAAAGAAAAAATAGCACTACTTACATTCGGGAGCTTTACCGTAGTCTACAGCCAATACGGCTTTCCCTGTGCCGCGAGCCCACATTCTAAGTCGATCTTCGTGATGCTCAGGCGACATTGCCACAAATCCGCCGCCGGGAAAATCCAGTATCAAATCAGTACATTGTTTGAGGTTTCCCGGTGTATCCGCATAGTAAATATAGCATGTTATTGGACGTCGATACATAGAAGATGTTGGTCTGGGAAGAAGAATCTTTTTGCGCATGGCAATAGAAGGCCCAGAAGTGAAGAAACGAAGCTACAATGATGTGAATGATGTGCATTTGGCTGTGAAGTAGTCAACTCACGACGGGGTTGGACGTTTTTTCCCAAGTATAACGAAGCATTTCAACGGTAGGGACAGCACGGAAACGACGAAGCTACAATGATGTTAAGCGGATCTCCTGGAAAAATTAGTGCGACTAACCTTTTCGTCCGCCTCATTAGGGTATGCTATGTAATATGCTGAGAATACAAGAGCGCATATGTCACGCAACCACTTTGGTCGAATTGACATTGCTGTAGCGAACCCGGCATCTAAACCAGTGGTGATCCAGGTGGCTCTGTAGTAGTTGGGCGAATACTGATTGCAAAAGTAAGCTTGTTGTTCACAAGTCTGAGGCAATGATTCGTATCTACCAGCGATCGTAATGGTTCAGGAGCTGGATTGAGTATATTCATTGAGATTGTAGCGTTCGAAGAACAATATTACAGCTCACACTCAAGGCCCAAAATTTTGTCAAAATTGCGCATTGCATACACTGCAGTAAGCGTGCTGACTATGAGTTGCCATGGCGTGAATTTCTCTATAGGGATATAGTGACACGATGAACGAACATAGTTTGATGTATGGCAGATGGAACTCGTACGCAGGAATCGATTTGCAGACTTAAGCCAGAACAGCCTTGGAGGTCCAGATCCCCCGCGTATAATTCGCCACAACCAGAAGAATATCACCAAAAATACCTGCAGGAAATTAGAAGCAACTCAGAAGGAAGAACCGCAAACTTCACGTAGTTCAACGTACTTGAGCGCGTTTCCAAGACGGACTCGGACGGCCCACAAGATGATCAATCATGGGATACTAGCCAGACGATGATATAGTATGAGTGAGTGGTAGGATGGAGCAAACAATAATGGCTTCATGACTTGTTTGAAGAGGCTTATAGTGGTCTTTAGCATGTGATAAAGTGATCTCTGGATCGGCATTCTCGGCACTGACTTTGTTTCTCCTCCCGCACTTGTTCGTTGGTCGATCCAAGGATATATGCATACTTTCATAGCAGTGCACGGAGGTGCTGGTTCTCATAGTTCTTCCACTGAACGGGAGCTCAAGCAAGCCCTGCGCCTGTAAGACCGCATTCATTGCATCGATTGCCAAAGTGCCGACCATTGCAAGTTCAGTGCCTGCAAGAAAGCATTAGATTCTTCCTCTTTGACTTCGAGGTCACCTCTGGATGTCGCTGAAGTGGCAATTACAGTCCTTGAAGATGATCCGGTCCTCAATGCAGGTGATAGTAACACACATCGACTCAGAGTTGAATCTCAAAAGTTAAAATATCGTTCCGCTTCAGGATACGGTTCGAATCTAAGTTTGGAAGGGATAGTAGAGTGTGATGCCGCTATAATGGATGGCAACTACCATTTTGGTAGCGTTGGCGCGATTTCTGGTAATGCAGGCTCAAAATCTCCTTCTGAGGAGGTCGTGGAGATCTACGACGACTTGAGTTTACTGTAAATATAGGCGTCAAGAATCCTATTCAAGTAGCTCGTGCATTACTCCAACATTCACAGATATCCGATCCTCTAGGCCGTGTTCCACCCTTGTAAGGACATTCGTTTTGTTCAAGGTGCAAATTTCGAATGTAATGCAGGACCTTGGTTGGCTCGGGAGCCCATGCATTTGCATCCAAGAACCCTCACACGAGTTCAGGGATTGTTGACAAAGGTTCCATGGTCAGCGCAGGAGCCAGAGATCGGTGGCGCTATTGGAAAAAAAAATTAACCTCCGCGAAAATGGGAGATTTAGACCCAAGCCAGCCCCTCGAAATTGGACAGAATCTGCATGACTTGCAGGATACCGTTGGCGCTGTTACATCGCGCTTCGGCGAAATGGCATCCGGAGTCTCGAGGTATGTTTCGTTCTGAGATCAACAGCCCCGTTCGTATTGAAAGCGATTGTAATCACAGCGGAGGGTTATTACTAAAGATGGAGGGAAGATGTGGTGAGGTACTTCTTACACTTCTCTGAAGTGCTTCGAGCGAAATCTCGCAAATTATAATGTAATTTTAGGCTGCAGTTTTTGGTGCCGGTTGCTGGGCTCAGAATTTTCGTCCTGGAGCACGAATTGGGATGGCATGTAGCATATCTGGTTAGGCTCCTGCTTGACATTCTTCCTCTTCTCAAGATGTCCCACACTATATGCACAGGCACGGGTGAATACATAACTCGAAGTGGCCTTGCGCGAGCTTTAGGGAAAGCATTTGAAGTGCCCGAACCAATCAACTCAGATGAAGATGTCGATCCGCATGCAATCATTCAGAAGGTTCTAATTCACGAGTTCTGGAGTGAGTTAAAGCCTGCATTTTTCAGGCGAAGGCAATTAATATTCTGTTTTTTTGGGGTGCTGACAATGTTTTCCGGGGCACTGATCCTGAAACTATTTAGAGCCTTCGCAAGATCTTGGGGAATCCAGTCCAAGTGCCGGTATCCTACTGATGACCTACGAAGACGGAGATGACGAACCGATAGGTCAGCCACAATGTCGAGGAATGATCAGCCGGTAATTTTTGTATATCTAGTGCGCGTCTGGTGTGCATTCACGACCCCTACTATGGCCATTGCATATGCGTCAACCAAAAATCCAAGCCCTAAGGTACGCAAAGGATTCCTCTCCAAGATACAGCTGCAGAACATTCATATCATATCATTCACTGCACAAGGCTCTAATTCTTCGACGACCAAAGGAAATGACTAGAACACGGCCTGATGACAACTTGGCACCTGTGTACATGACAGCATTCTCATTGTAATTCCATCGATATACATTCTATATACTGTACAAAAACTGCGTACAAACCAGTTCGTTCGATGGGCATCAAAATGAGATCCGCCAATTGACAATGGTCTCGAGCGGATCCATTGTAATATCATACGAATCGTGAAAGATAGCGTCAACATACAGAGTTCGCCAACCCCTTATGACACAACATTCCCGAGACCCGAGACCTTGGACATAGATAAAGCCCTCCGGCACACCTCAGCGTTATGAGGAGCAAAGGTTCCGCAAACACGAGGAATTCCGAGCGTAAGTCTTTAAATTTGGGAATTGTGTGCTGCAATAGGTGTTCCTCATCCGGATAATCCTAACCCGTTTTTGGCACCGTTGATGTGGAATGTACTGTTGTTATTGATACTTCCGGAGGGTGGCAAGCCGCCTGGTCCCAACGGCTGTGACGGTGTCACCGAAGCATGTCCATTTATTTTCTGCGGTGTTGGGGGTGTCGAGGAGTTGCGCGATTGTGAAGCAGAAGTGAGCGGCAGAGAGGGTCGTGCCGCATTGAGACGCTGGAGCGTTTTAATAGGGAACTTTGTTCTGGGAAAGGATGTAAGATGCAATGAACAGGAGAACAAAGCACAAACCGGCATGTCGAACAAACGGGGACGGGCTGGCAGAAAACTGCAAAAGAAGCGTCGATGATGCGAGTGCAGACATTAAAAAATAACCAACTGGATAGGCAGACTGAACAGACGAAACCAACGTCTACGATATTCTTGTGACAGAAACAAGCTGCACGAAAATCTATTTTGTCCTGCGTGGGCACAGATATCGTTTGCCTTATAGAGGGCGGCGGAAGAAAAGCCATCTAGAGTCTCATCAATGTCATATGGATGAAAATAGTTTAACGACGACTTGCAGTGAGATATTGCAGCAGGGCGTCGCGACGTTCAAGGTAGATGTAGGAACCCCCGGTAAGATGCGCGGCCTGTTGGAGGAAGACCGTTTCTGGGCCGTAGATTTGACAAGCGTCAATTGTCACTTTCTGATCTTAAGTGAGTACTGAGCGCAATGAACAACATACAGAACAACAGACGAGTTTTTGGGCAGAGAAGATGGAGTTCATAACGGGAATATAAGAGGTAGTCTGATCCGGAGAAACCGATAAAACGAGGATCCTTGGATCAGACAGAGTTAGGGGTTCTAATCCTTCGGTGGCATTAGCGGTGGACGTATTAAACTCCAGCGTCAATCGATTGATAACTAAAATAGGTTAAGGTCTTCTCATGATACTAGTTTAAGCCTAACTTACAGCATAGTGCTTTAGTGAGTGCGCCAACCAAAGCAGATGGTGCTGAGAGAATGTGAGAGTAATTTAGACACGATAAGGAAGGCAAACCTTCTTCATCTAAACCTTGATCCAAGGCATTCAACTGCTGCACAATATTGTGCATAATGGTCGAGTCGACCATCTTGAACGGGGGAAACGAGTTAGCGTCATTAGAGGGTGTCTCTGAAGGAGGGTTCGCAGACGAGTATAACAAGACGCTACAAAGGCATTCATAAGTATCTATGGGCGATGCTTTCAGCGCACCTTTTGCCAGGAAATGCGCCAAAGACCGCAAGAGAATTTTCATGCCTTGAAGCGACATGGGAATTGAGAAAAGCGAGAAGTTGAGAAACAAATGAACCAAGATCAAGGGGATATGGCTCATGCAATGAAGAAAGGTGCCATTGAGAAGGGCATAAATCTACTACTACGGACAAGTGGGAGCCGTCCATCAGAGCAGAAACGGTCGTTGCGGTCAATATTCGGTATCTTCTGTTATCTTCGGTCACAATGTCACAGACTTTCAAATTGATTCTGATGGCTGTCCACCAATGACCAAACAATGGCCATGCATTCGAATTCCGTCAAATCGTGCGACGGCAACGAAGAAGACAGTATACAACTCAAGAAAAGCAGTAAAGAGCGTTTTGAATATTGTACCAAGTCTTATACAGTTGATCAGAGAGGATCCTGTGTTCTTAATAAATTTGTGTATCACGGAGAAAACACCCGGCGTCAGTGTTCGTCGCCAGCAATCACGGTGTTCCTGCAGCCCGCCGGTGGCCTGGGATTGTGAGTCTGGGAGCACCGGCTCGCTTCGCCGACTGTTGAGACCGTGACCAGCATCACAAATCAGCAACGACAAGCCCTGTCACTGTTGTCATCTCTTTCTTCCCCCTCTCCCGCTAATATGGCCTCCAGCGTTCTCGACATAAATTATCCCTCCGACGTCGACGACGATGACAACAACACTATGAACGTTGACGACCGTTACAATTCTCATTCTCAAGACCGTGATGCTTCTGCTGACGACGACGTTAATATGGACGTCGTTGACCAGCCTTCCGCCAGACCATCTTATAATGGGTCTAGATATTCTGTATGTGCTCTCTCATCATCATCGACGACGACCAGCTTACCCTTTTATATCGAAAGCAGGAGGCTGAAGACTCGGTATGCGTTCGACATCTTCTCTCGTTTCACCCTGTTGATGACCTCTATGAAAGGGCTACGAAGATTTGGCCGACGAGGAAGACGAAGACGATGAAGAAGAAGACGGTACTTACGCCGACGAAGACTACACAAAGAAGAAATCTGCGCCCAAGAAAAAAAAGTTGTCAACCTCTTCTGCCGTTCGTCGAGGTATATATTGTGCTTTTGTACTTGAAATACATGTTTTCAATAACAGTTGCGCAGCGCCAGTCCGTCAGGCTTCCGCCTCAGACTCAGATTCTGACTATGGATCTCGTTCCAAGAAAAAAAAACGGGCGCGGCCTCAATCTGACGAACTTCGCGTCTCCAGTAGGGGAGGCAAGATACCCAACTACTTCGATGACGTTCAGGATTTCGAGAAGTTTGACGAAGAAGAAGAACCTGATACAGGGTACTACGCAGGGCCTGTACAACAGTATCAAGAAGAGGACGAGATAGAGGCTGTTCTTAGCCACAGTCGCGACGAAGGTCGTGAGGCCGACCCAGAAGACGTCTGGTTTGATAATATAGTACGTGATCTCACCGGTTTCCTTTTCTCTTGTTCCTCTTGACCCATCTCGATATATATCCATGTGTAGCGATTCCACATAAAGTGGAAAAACTTTTCACACCTCCACAACACCGACGAGACATATGAGTTCCTGAAACGCTTTAAAGGGTTGAAACGCGTTGACAACTACATCAAAGCCTACAAACTGTGGCAATCTCATGTAAACGCCCCCAATCTGTCGCAGGAAGACAAAGAGGCGCTTCTCCTCGACAAGGAACGCGAAAAGGAAGATTTGGAAACATTCAAGACTGTTGAACGTATCGTCGCCCATCGGGAATCAGAAGACCAAGACGGCAATCCTACAGTAGATTACTTTTGCAAATGGACTGGGCTCAACTACGAGCACTGTACATGGGAAACACAGAAAGATGTCAATCCTATCGCCAAAGATCAAATCGAAGCATACAGAACTCGGGAAGCAGAGGGCCGCTTTCCTTACAAGAGTCCCGTTTACCCCAAACATTCACGACCGGCGTTCCACAAGATTACCGAGGATCCAGATTACATCGTTGAGACCGGCTGCAAGCTGAAGGACTTCCAGTTAACTGGAGTTAACTGGCTCGCTTACTTATGGTGCAAGGGCGAGAATGGCATCTTAGCAGATGAGATGGGTCTTGGAAAGGTTAGTACTGTTTCCACCATTCCATTCAAATATCTTTCACTTATCATGTTTGTAGACCGTTCAATCAATCTCTTTCATATCATTCCTATTCCATGAAATGCATCAGTATGGACCTTTCTTGGTGATCGTACCTCTATCCACTATCACTGCTTGGCAGGCGCAGTTCGGGTTATGGGCACCCGACATTAATGTCATTACTTACATTGGAACCGCTGCAGCTCGAGAGGTTATCCGCACATATGAATTCGGCCCTTCGAACAAGAAAATCAAAATGAACGTGCTATTGACCACATATGAATTGGTTTTGCGGGATGCGAAGGAACTGGGAGATATCAAATGGCAAGTCCTGGCGGTGGACGAGGTACGTCTTTGCTACTCCGCCGCATCGTTGGTGAGAACTTATGCTTCATCGTAGGCTCATCGTTTGAAAAACTCCGAGAGTCAGTTGTACGAAGCTTTGCGATCGTTCAACGCTGCTTCTAAGCTTCTCATCACGGGAACTCCGCTTCAGAATAACGTCAAAGGTGTGTAATTCTTTGTCCTCATTCTCAATATTTCACCCATGCGTATGCGCAGAGTTGCTGTCTCTGATGCACTTTTTGATGCCGGAGAAATGTGAGTGACTGCTGAAATCTAGTTGCGAAGACGGGATACTGATGACTGGAGATCGTAGTTGCTTTGACGAACGAGTTCGATCTCAATGACGATGATCACGAAGAAAAAATCAGGCAGCTTCATAAGCAACTCGAATCTTTGATGTTGAGGCGACTCAAGCGGGACGTGTTGAAGTCTCTGCCCACGAAGAGCGAACGAATTCTCCGGGTAGAAATGAGTACCCTCCAGACTCATTTCTATAAGAATATCTTGACAAAGGTATGATTCTCGTCATGCACTAGTAATCGTTCCCTCATCTTTTATTCCAGAATTTTCAAGGCTTGGTCAAAAGTGCAAATGGAAACAACACTATCAGTCTTCTCAATATTGGTAAGCACTACCAGCTTATTCGCTACAAAGCATCAAATTGAATGGCACTCAAGCTATGGAGCTCAAGAAGGCTGCAAATCATCCTTACCTTTTTGACGGCGCCGAACCCACTGCGGAAAACAACGAGGAAATCCTGAAGGGTCTTGTCATGAACAGCGGCAAGATGGTACTTCTCGATAAACTGCTTGCTCGTTTGAAAGAGGGTGGTCATCGAGTGCTCATATTCAGTCAAATGGTTCGCATGTTGGACATCCTCAGCGACTACATGTCCCTGCGGGGATACCTCCATCAGCGTTTGGATGGCATGGTTGCATCAGAAGCCCGAAAAAAATCAATACTCCATTTCAACGCCCCCAATTCTCCGGATTTCGCTTTTCTCCTATCAACGAGAGCGGGAGGACTCGGGATCAACCTGGAAACAGCAGATACAGTGATCATCTTTGATGTAAGTCATCACCCCACTGGTTTAGGTCTGTGCCCTTATTCTAATCATTTGTCACAGAGCGATTGGAATCCGCAGAATGACTTGCAAGCGATGGCCCGTGCCCACCGGATTGGCCAGAAGTCGCACGTCAGTGTCTATCGCTTTGTGAGCAAAGATACTATGGAGGAGGATGTGCTCGAGCGTGCGAAGAAGAAGATGGTCCTTGAATATGCTAGTGCGTTTCTTCTTGAATATTGCGTTGATCGCCATGATATATATGCGCATTTCATATCTTCAAGTCATCAATCAGATGGACACCTCGCAAGCGCACCTGAGCTCCAAAGCTAAAGAACCTACAAAGGCCGAGAATCTTAGCAAGGATGAACTCACTGCCGTCTTGAAGTATGGTGCTCAGAAAATGTACGCGATGGTTTTTGTTATCAGTAATGGCGGTCAACTCACAACTGCTGTGATTATAGGTTCGATAAGGACGATTCGCAGCAAACCCAAAAGCTCGACGAAATGGACCTCGACGCTGTCTTGGCTCATGCCGAAGATCATGAAACCATGGCTGCCGGTGGCGATGGAGGTACTTCCCTCGGAGGCGAAGGTTTCTTAGCCCAGTTTGCCGCTGTCAGTGATGTCAAGAACGACATGAATTGGGAGGATATCATTCCCTTGGAAGAAAGACAGAAGTTTGACAAAGAGGAGGACCAGCGGAAGGCAGAGGAGCTGGCTGCTGAGGAGTCTAGAGATCGTAAGCGCACTCATGCGCAGGTATCTTACGAAGGAATGGACGTCGACCACCCTGCAGCAGCAGCTGCTCCGAAGAAGCCAAAAGTACCTGGACCAATGAGAAAATCTGCCAGTCAAAAGGCAATGGAGTTGAAGGAACGTGATGTTCGCGTGTTGATTCGAAGTCTTCAGCGATGGGGAGATATACGACTACGCTACGATATCATCGTACGTTGTGAACTTTTGGATTCTTGTCTTCCTTCTAATTCATCGAACAGGTCACAGAGTCAAAACTGCAAGACAAAAACAAGGGCATGATTCTTGACGTTTCGGACGAAATAATTCAAATTTGCGAGGACGCGGTCAAAGAAAATGAGGACCAGAAGCGATCGAAAATGGCATCTGGAGAGAGTTTGACTAACGCACAAAAGGCTAAGGCAGTCCTCGTTACTTGCCGCGGGGTTGGGAACATTAATGCCGAAACGGTTATTTCCCGCCATAAAGATCTTCGGATACTTTTTGAAACCCTCATGAATGTTGATGATCCATACAAATGGCAGATACCAGTTGACAATATTCGTCCGACCCTGAACTGGTCTGGACGATGGGGGCCACAAGATGATTCCATGTTACTCGTAGGCGCTTTCATTTACGGCTTTGGTAATTGGGAGGCGATGGCCAAAGATTCCAAACTAAACCTGGACGGAAAATTCTTCTTGGAGGAAGGAAAGAAAGGAGAAGATGCTGCTACGCGCCCGATCCCCAATGCGATACATCTTGTCCGACGTGGGGACTACCTTCTGAGTCTCCTTCGTGAGCAGCACGAGAGATTACGCTCATATGAAAACTCGCTTCGCAAAAATAGCAAAATATCCATATCTCCACCTCCCCTTCCTATTGCCTCGTCCTCTTCGACTTCGTCTCACATCAACCATCTCAAACGTCGTGCGGAAAGCGAGGCAGTAGCCTCTGTTGATGACACTAGTGCCCGCAAGAGAAAGCGACGTCCTACACCAACTTTCACTGACTCTGAATCTTCTGACGAATGGTCGGTGTGAATCTTTCTATCCTCTATCTTTAAACTTGTAACTAATTGTATCTTGTTTTAGTCCTTCCATGGACGAAGCTTCCACCAAAGAGGAACTCCGTCCGGTGAAAAAGCAACTTGTGAGTGATTATAGCTATCTCGGCTGAACGGTGACTGACTGGTCCTTTGTAGAAACAATTGAAATTGTCCGGAGAGGACATGCCCAAAGACGAGAAGGTGGCAATCCTCAAAGATTCTCTTGCAGCCATCGGTGGTCGAATCGAGCAGGTCCTTAACGCTAAGCAGCAAGCAGGAGAAGACCGAGAACGATGGCGGCGGCATTTATGGACGTGAGTGATCATTCACGTATATATCTCATCATCAGTCCTCACTTTACTTTCTAGATTCGTGACTCTTTTCTGGCCGAAGAAAGTCAAAGCTTCCAAGCTCGAAGAAATCCACGCAAAGATGGTGATGAAGGAGGCTGCCCCGAGGGCTGGTTCAGATCCAAAGGCCTTGCAAAAGCCACGGACAATTACCACAACTCTGAAGACGAACGGCTCGGGCTCTTCATCCTCAAGGACCAACGGAAAACCTTATCGATAGTGCATACCCTGGAGATTCTCTAATCCATATACGAATTAATTCACTTGTATCATTGCCTTGGTTTTCTTTTTTTCTTTATTCTTCATTTGTCTTCACGTCTGCAATTCAGTATGTGTATCAACCTTGTGTAGAATTCTAGTGTGAATTGTCGAACAAGATCCCTCAACAGATAGATTCCAGTCTAGATGTTACAATAAGCATAATAGTAAAGATACAACATTCTCTGTGAGATGACTGTGCGAGAAAGTGTGCACGAACGCCATTAATCTGTTAACCCGTCGAGAGTATGATTTCCGAAAGACGTCCATAGTCATTAAGCGTCATCTCATGGGCCCGAAAGGCACAAGGAAGGACTTGTTTTCGGCCAAGTGGTTGCCGGAAGTCTTTGCTTTATGATTCCTGTGGATCTGGAGTTTTTGCAATGTAAGCTGAGGAACCAGTATAAAACTCCCAGAAGGCGCACCATACCACCCAAGAGTATTGATCATAATTGCTACCGTACATTGACACGTATGGCAGACTTGACTTGGGAAGGGTCGATTTCAACATGAACGATAGGATGCTCGAATCTGTGCGTGCTTTCGCGACGCCGACGCTCTGAGCGGTCGTTGGACGTGGAAGCAATCGGTTGGTGTTCTTCAATGGTCTGAAGGCGGGACTTGGAGCCTGAAGCAGCTAAACAAAGTTCAATACCAGCATGCGACCTTATGTATACCACGTACCTTCCAGCAATTTCGTGTCTGCTTCTCTGTGAAAGCTTTTCATCAGAGCAGAGTACCGCTTGACTTGCCAGCGCAACTGCGCTGCCAGGGTTGTATTCCCCTGCGCTTTTGCCCATTTTCTTTCTTCCTTGAACCGTCGCCGCTCGCTATCTGCTAACGAGGCCCGAGCACGCAAAGCAGCGACTTGACGGTCGAGAGGAGACATAGATGCTCGAGGGCCGATCAGCTCTGATTCAGAGTCCACGGAAGTAATATCGGAGGTTGTTCGACGAGAACGGGCTTTCGAGGACGGCTTATCCGCGTGTCTACTGGACCGGACTCGAGTCTGAGCAGAGTCCTTTGTCGAATAACTCTTCTTGCGTTTGTCTTTGTCCAAATTTGGTTTGTCAACAACACTGGACAGGAAGTCGGTGCCTATTGCCCCAAGCGCGACTCCAACAAGGGTTATGCCAAATTTAAGTACGTCGGACATGAACGTATAGTCGACGAAAAGTTTGGCGAGAATGCCAAGTGCGACTGGCATGGAAAGAACGTGGTTCTTGACGGTGCACCAAAGGACGCCCTGCCAAAGGCCTGCCATGAGAAAGTCACGGACAGTTTGTTCCTCAGAACGAGAGAGAAAATCCATTAAAAGTCGTGCGCTTAATCCAATAAGTAGAGCTGGCGCAATATATATAGTCATTGCCAGCTCCGGAGAGAGAACATGAGAGATGAGAGTGAAAAGAAATGAGATATGAATTTGAACTTGCAATGAGGCAGCGGTGATATACACGTGGGAATCAATCACTGCTACCCTGAACACTTTGATTTTAGCGAAAATCGCAGAGAAAGCCTGCTCCCTGAAATCCTTGTTTTCGGAGCGTTATGTAGTAGCTGTACATAGTACCTTCGGGCGACGGGCAGACGTACATTGTCGTTTCCTTCTGGCTACTGGCCATGCAAGGTTCAGCCGAGCTTAATTGTCTCCAAGGAAATGCATTACGCACTTGTGCCATCAAGCACTCGCCGATATCCTGCTCGAGCGCATCTACATATGTATTTAGTTGGACTTTTGAAGTGAGGAATCGTGCTCCTTCCAATGTGCAGCAGACACCTCTACCCGCCATCTTGGCAAATAAGCTCGACGAAGAATCACTTCGAGCGTTGTGAAGCGGTATAGTACAATTCAATATTATGAACATAAAGTACAAGGTAAACTAATCGTGTACATCGACATAGTTGGCCATTGGATCCTCCGTGATTGTTTTCCGCATCCGATATGCCTCTGAAGAGAATGTTAGTCGATGTTCCGAAGGGTCCGCAACGCTGAAAAAACGTACCAAGTTCCTCCTCTGTGACATCATGAGACCCGCCGACCTTTACCCTCTTGCCAGATCTATCATCCTCTTCGTCACCTCTAGCACGCTTCTTCTCTTCCTGAAGAGCTCGCGCCAGTCGATTCTTATCCAATTTAACTTCCCCCTCTCCAACACGCTTCTTCGAATAGTTTTGTTCGACTTTCTCATGTGAAGTCACTGTCTTAGATGTCGATATTTCTGGGGATGGTGCGATGGGTTCGGAGGGAGCAGAGAGTAGATTTTGGGCGTTTGAAGCTTCTGTAGCAACGATACCCGCTTCACCAGAGCAATATGACAGGTGGACGTTGGAATGACAGCAGCTATATCCCCATGTACCGGATGAAGCGTCATACCACGAGCCCCAGATAGATGTATGATTGTTGACAAAAACTGAAGATTGAATGAGCTGGAGTTCACAACAATGGTAACGACACATGTACCATCTTCTGGGTACTTCGACCTCGCCTTTGCACGTTCGCGACCTTTAATAACCTGACCAGTCCGCGAATACTCGACATAGTCTTCCGTCTGTCCTTGCCGAAGCTCCCTTGGTGCAGTTTGCAGATACTCCTCCCCTCCGTATTTGGCTAATATGCTACCTTTCGAAGTTTCTTTGAGCTCCTGCCGCTTTTCCTTGAACTCTTGATGAAGAAGTTCTCCTTGTGTAGGATTGGCGTTCAGATGGACATCGTTTCCGCGAGCGGCTGCTTGCCAGGCAAAAAGTTGTAGTTGTTGTACCGCAGGAGCTTCACCACTAGATCGGAAGAAGTTTTCACCAGCAAATTTGGCCTGTATAAGATGAAAGAATAGGTATGATAGACATTTCGGGGAAATTCATAATGTACGCACGTCTTCTGGAGCTGTATCTTTGTTGGGAGCATCACGCATGGAACGTGTTTTGGGATCGTAGTAGGCACTTGAAGGATCTAAATTTATGAGGTACTTGGCAGTATCTTCACGGATACGAAGATTTCGAACAGTTATTCGTGTCTTCGCATCAAGCTTTTGACCGACTGCGTCCGCGGCATCAGCGTATTTGTCTTCATCTGCATCTTCTTCGTCACTCGAACCAAAATCAGCATCCTCTTTTTTCTCCGTCTTCCCTGCCTTGGCCATCTTCCTCACTGCCGCTAAGTCTGTCGTCGTTTGGTTATCAATCTCTTCCTCTCGCAATTTCTGCCTCGTCGCCTCTACAGCTGCATATTCCGCGTATATCTTCTTGTGCTCTGCGGGATCGTACCCATTCCATCTATCCCTTTTGGCATCGTATCCCAGCTCCACTTCTTGTATGACTTCGTCAGCTTTAATGTCTTTGTTGCTGAATCTGGCGCCCTTTCTGCGGGGTCTTTCCAAGCAGTCTTTCTTTTTGTGTGACATTGCACCACAGTTTTCACAAGCTCCCTTACGGTATTTTTTTGCGGCAGGACCAGCAGTTGCTCCTCTGTCATACCAGGTGTCGAGACTAGGGGTGATGCGATCGCTTTCTTCCGCACGTCGTTGATGGCTGAGGGACGGGGCACCAGTATCCAAGTACCAAGGTGCCTGTGAAATGTATTCTTGACAGAAAAAAGAGTAAGCATCAGCCAGATGGCAGCGTGTCCATAGTACGCACGGGGAATATGAGGATTTATGGGCTTTCCCTCTTCATCCAAAGCCGCAGGTGCGGTACCGGCCTTTCGAGCTGCATCGAGGTCCTTCTGACGCCGAAATTCCTCTCGTGAAAGCTTCCCGACAGCTAAAATGCATCAGTGTGAGTGAGTGAAGCCTTACCAAATCTTGTGCTCACCAGATGAAGAGGCCATGTACCGTTGTACGAAAGTATACCGAGCGTTCGAGTGTAAGCTCACGAGCACAGCCACGACCTAATTATCTCATATGGCCGTGGGACCTCTGGATTGCTCCCCATAAAGTCTAAGATTCGCAGATGTTCATGGAGACTTGCAACCTTGTATATAATGGATTACAATAACATGTCTATCTCCATCCACGCATTCGAGCGACATGATTCAAAACGCGGTCCTCATCGTTCTTGGTATCTACTTTTGCTTTCCCAGCATCATCATTCAGCTCAACATACTCCTTCCACTGCTCCAACTCTTCAGACTCTACATTTATCACACGAATAACATTTGAAAGGTACCCCAGATCTGACGCCAATTGTGCCGCTCCTCCAGAGTTCAATTTGTTGATACGGGGCAAAACCTCCGTTGTTAAATGAGCCAGAAGCGATTGTCCCAAGGACGATAGCCATGCTGTAGAAACCACTTCAGGGTCCAAGGTGACTGATTTTGTGACGGAATGTCGCCGAGAATGAGTCGGTATATCCGGGACAGACGCTGCAGGAAGATTTTTGAGGAGTTCGGGATCTGCATAGGGCAAGGTTTGAAGCGAGAACGAGAGGGCGTCGTCATCGGCGTAGACTTCGAAAAGGCGAGGCAAGTTCAAAAGACCTTCTGTCACTCGTTGGAAGATCTCACTAGGTGACAATGAAAATGTAGGAACCTGCAGGTCGTTGAAAGTAGTGTTTCGAGACTCTTCCGTAGTGATAACCCATATGGAGGAAATCGCATACGACGCCAGTTGCTGTCGAAGGGGTGATAAAATCGTGTCTTGCAGCGAAATCTGACACGCCTTTGCAAAGTCAAACATCGCTGAACGAGCGTCCGTCAGCAACGGTTCTCCGAGAGTAGAGCTTGCGGTTCCTTGCTGACGCGAAAAATTATCTCGGATGTGTGAGGGATCCACGTCGATTTTGTCCAATAGGGCATGCAAATCTGCAGAGTTCAGTGATGACTGTTCAAGAATCTGCTCCGCTCCTTTTGTGTCAGCGATAGGAAAACTAGTAGGATCACCGCGATGGAGTCGAAATGTACTGGCTGTGTTAGCGAGGTTCGAGCGTAATTTGACTTCGAAAGAATTCATCCGCTCATAAACACTGCGAGCAGAGCCCAGTAAGTGAAGCATTGTTTGAATGTTTTGCCAGTCCTGGGATGTATAGTCGAGTCCAGATAGATCTTCTGATCCTGCCTCCTGCAGTGTAGAATGTGGCCCTAAAGAAGCAAAGCTTACATCTGCGGTCCACATATCAACGAAGGATTTCAAAAAGCCATCCAGAGCTTGTAGGAGTGATACAGAGCCATAGCCATGGGTGAACGCAGAGCAACGTGCGAGACTCTCCTCCGCGGCGCTGAATATGTCAACCGCCCTCTCTCGAAAAATACGGGCTTGGTCCGAACCCGAAGCTTTCTGGCGAGTATCATTCGAAACAATGTCGCGCAAGGCATGATCAAGAAAGCGACGTTCAAGGGAGCTATAGTCTACCTGGAACTCCAGAAAAGGATGGAAAAGTTCTTGATCCCAATCTAAACCATCAACAAGACTGGAAATTTTCTGACCACCAGAATTGGTCCTATTCATGCCGGAACGGAACGAGATCGACATCCTCATGGACCTCTTCCGACTGTGTGAGGGATGTGTAGGAGTTGCAGGATCAGATGAACTCGTGTTGACTGGGGGCACTGTAGAATATTGTATTTTCTCCATGAGTTTGACCACCCCGACAGCAAACTCCTCTGTTACTCGGTAGACAGCTATAAGCTCCTTCAGTGCCAAATCAGAGTAATAAGAAGACAAAGACGACAATCGTTGAGAAAACGTAGGTTGAAGTGAAGAAAGGATTGACGAAATGAAGGCGGAAAGCGTATGAGCAGGATCAGGGAAAATAGCAGGGATTGAACCACACTCTTGATTCAAGAGTGCAAGCATGCTGGCATAAAATTTTGAAAGAAATTCGCTGAACGTCTGACCAGACACAATTTTCCCTTCCGGTGCAGCATCTAAAAGTTCTGCATCAGACCACGTAGCAGTAAGAGGGGCTCTGCGAGAGCCATAGTAGTAGTTTCGGAATTCTACTTCCCTCTGGATGTTGTTAAATATGTCAAAATAGCTCCTGCACGTCTCCAAGTTTTGCTCATTGATGGCAGCAACCAACGCGGAACTGAGGGAAGCCTCAAGCTGATTCTGCAGATTCACGAGAAGCGTGCGTCGGGGATCATACTCCGGGGTGTTCTGGAACACGACCATGCTCTTGTTAGCTTCGGATAGTCTGGATGCTGCCTTCGCATAGTTGTGCTCCGTTAACATGGATGTCACCTCTAACTCAAGCGTACTCCAGCTCTCGGCCTCTCGAAGGACTTCTCTGGCCGCTTCCATGTGGCCCTTCATCGTGTCCAAACGCTTCAGCTGCTCCAATGCAGAGGCAGTAGTGTCGGGGATGGCTGCGCGTGAACTGGAATGGACATTCGCCAAAGAGTTTTGAAGAGAAAGGGCATTATCCTTTATAAAATGAAGATCATAAGTGAGTCGAGGAATACCGCGAGATACATCGTCGATAGTCCTTTCGAGCTGAGAGGAGGTGTCTTCGCAGGCAATGTCGAGTGAAGCGATGAGCTGGGTAATTTGTTGGTCAAGATTTATGAGAGATTCGAGGTCCTGTTCACTGCTAGAAGCAGTCAGGGTATCATTTATCCAGGCTATGATATCTTCGTATTCTTCTAGAGAATCAATGGCCTCGGCAGTAGCGGGAAAGGACATGAGAATTGGCAAGCGCGCCAAGCGACGTTATTTCATAATATTTTCTAATACCCCTACAATATTTGTGTACATACATGCATTACCACAACTTGTATTTTGGCAAAGGCACAGCAAGCACTTCATCGCCTTCATTGGTGGGCTCACCCATACTTTTCCAACATGGACCACACAATAAGCAGGGACTTGCCTCCAGCCTCACATCTCCGATGATAGACCAAACTGCAGGTATTTTTGTACAAGCCTGACACCAATCCAATGACGCCGGGATCTGATACAGAGTAAGAGGATACCCGGTAACTGGATCTTCGGAATGCTTCGATCTGCATTCAGAATTTAGTAATTCCACTGCGACGATGCAGCAAAACGTACCTAATTTGATCAACTACAATGAAATGCTCACAGTTTCCTTGGTGTAGAAGCCAGTATGGTACATTGATTTGGAGTGCTAAAGAGGAAAGTGGGGTGTCATGCATTGCAGTTTTGGCTTTCTTGATTGCACTTGCAGACTTGGTAATCTTCAAATGTTTCACAAGTTTACTAAGAACGGGACCAGTCAATGTCGGTAGCAGACTGAGAGCTGAGAAATGCCTACGTACTCAGCATAATCCTCTTCGTTCAAAGCATCTCCATAAGCAAGATCGTTGATGACGATGACGCATCCGCTGCTGCCATTCATCCCATTCGTTTCCTTGTAACCGATGACTTTATCGTCCTCAACAATCTCTTCCGGATACTCGTTTGACACGCACGGCATAACTTCAAACAGGTCTCCCAGTGTTTGCGAAGCCATGAGTACGTGTTGAGAATTCTTGCTAAGTACGCTTGTCCGCCAATGCACTTTGAAATGCGTCGTGAGTGTGATGAGAACTTGAGAATCGATCGCGTCGGTAGGGGTGTCCATGTCGGTATCTGAGACTCTCTGTAAAAAGATATCAATAGGGAAGAAAGCAAAGGGTAACTTGGTGAACAGTACAATGGCAGTAAGAGTGTTGTAATCTGCATTTCTGGGAGGTCTTGTGAAAAGAGCAGCATCGGGCATTAATCTGACTTCCGTCAGATTTACGATATGAAGGCTCAATGATTATAACTCACTTCCAAGAAGACAGAGCTATTGTATCGAGTTTCGCCTGAAGTTGTTGCACGTCTTGCAACTCATTACAAGGCTCTGAGGCTGCCGCGGATTTTTTGCGTGTTTTCGTCACCCTTGAAGTATTTCCGTGCAAAGACGCGATAGCAGTATCGTGACTCCGATAGAGGTAGGCTAGAAGTTTCGAACTATTCCAGATATCCATGAGTGAGTTGTGAATATCTGCGACACTGCATACTGGCAAGCATTAATTTAAGAAGTGAACATGACTGTCACAACATACCTGCATTCCTCAGTCATTGAAGTCTGGTTTACTTCAGACCCTGTGAGGTTCCGGACGGAGTGGGAAAGAACAGCGACATCTTGAGCAAACTTTTTCAAATCAACAGGTTCAGAAGAAGGGCCAAATTCAGAGGCCAACGCGTACTCTATGCGCTGGTTCATGTCGATGATGCGAAGGATTCACGTCACGTGTTAGTGCGGCGTCAGAGCAGTGCTCTTTTTCCTCACTTGAAGTTACATTCATACGAGTACGACGCGTCTCCACTCAAAATGACTATACAGATTAGCGTCCTTCCAGATGGTATACTGACTGTTAGGTCTGGCAGAACACGACTTACTGTGTTTTCTAGACATTATTCACACTATACTAGACGGAACCACCGTTCAACGCGTCAACAATGGGTCTTTTATACGACTGCCACATCCCAGAACCGGTGAGTTTTGCAACGGAATAGGAAAGACACCTCTAGAAATACTGCTTCTAGGCCTACCAACCTTATTCCTTCCCTACCAAACCGCCTTGAGTAGCACGATATCAGAACTACAAGCCGTTGAACCGATCAATGCGAGATCATGGTTTATTGAAAATGAGGTTATATCCGGTGCGCTGAGGAGACTCTCTGTATGCTTTATACTCCAACTAATGAAGACTTCTAAGATGGCAAGTTATTGTTAATCACGTCTGTAGATCCTGCCTTCCTTCTCGTTCCAATCCTTCGATCTTTCTCTCCGGTGCCTACTCTATTACTTGTTTGAACTATCGGGATCTAAATCCTTTCATATTCTACAAGAAAAATGGATCGCTAGGACAATTCAGAACGGCTGACGATATTTTCGAGGAAGCGGCATCCAAGTTGGAACAATCCTCGAGTAAGGATTCCATCGAAACTATTTCAGCGAAAGACGTCGCCACATTTGCATCTATGAACTGCTGTAAGGATGCCTTGACACGAATCTGCGATTCGCAAGGTGATTGCACTCTGTCCTCATTCCCAACTCGGTGTAACTCCCTTCCTTTAGAACTTCCGCCTGATATTATGGTCTATCGGTTCTCTCCAACCAAATATGTCGAATATCTGAAGCTTAAAGTGCTGAAGCTACTGGAGGCGAACGTGATTGAAGGTTCCAGAACACTGGTGCGTAGCTTAGCAAAGGACGGCCTGATGGAGGATGGGAATGAGAAATTGCTCGAAGGTATGTTTATTTCGGTATTCTCGTTTATTAAACTAAGGCGGATGTTTAGTTGGTCGTCTGAAAATCGCTTGTGATTTAGTTGCACAGTATCTGCCTCCAGATTTGTGCACTATGCACCTTGCTTCATACGAGTCAGTGCCTGAAAGCTATCAAAACGTCACTTTTTTCTGTTTCGTATGAACTTACCCATATCACAGTTTCTCCGAACTCAATGCCTACTTGGAAAAGCTGGAGGAAGAAAAGAGACTGAAAGCTCGTGAAGCCTCCAGCTCAAAGAATCGTAAGAAGGCAATCAAAAAAGAGGATTCCAAGGAGAAAATCGATAAACGGAAGGCGCCGAAAGCATCTCAAGGAGTCGAGAAACTCAAGAAGACTAATATTAACGGAATGGCAAAACTTTCTACGTTTTTTGCGAAGAAATCATGATATGTATGTATTGTATGAGTGCGCTTGTTTTGGTGCTTGCAATACTGCAATTTTGATGAACATGCCACCTACAATACAAGGCTAACGAGCTCTTCGCCAAGGTGCATCTCTTTTAACCGTGCAACAGTAGAGGATGAGCTTGATCCAATTGCTAAACCCTCTCGCCGCATTTCAAGCATATCGAACAACGCCTCCGTTTCCAAATTTCGACCGCTATACAGTCCGCTCGAGAATTCTGCCTCCGAAAGATGTTCAATCTTCATATACGTCAAAGTAGGGAGGAGAGGGGTGCTTCTCAACTCGTTGAAAAGATTCACTAGACTGCATGAGCCCTGGTCTCCATAGTCTATCAAGTCGGACTCATCCAGTGGGTTATCGGATGTCTTCTGGAATTCCAGTCGAAGTTCCTGGAGTTCGGGAGTATTCCGGAAAAGTGTTATAAGAGTTTCTGCACAAGAATCGAATTTCGGAACATTGCGTAGCGCAAGGTGGGTTAGTTGGCCATGACCACGAGAACGAGAAAAGAATGATACAAGGTCGTCTGATAAGAACGTAGAAATCGATGTTGGAGAAGACCCTATGGCAGACGGGGGGAATGAATCAGACGATGATGGTATGAATGTCAAGTCAAGAGATGTCAATCGTGGCGCTCGCAAATGGTGCAGTAGTCCCTTGACACCGGTGCAAGAAGGTAATGCCACATTCAGTGACATCCGCTTGAGTGATTCACAGACGTAGGGATCATCCTGGGAATCAGAACTCGAATGGTGAAGCTGATTATTGCTGGTAAAGAAACTCGCGCGGAAGACTGCATTTACTTCAACCTCCTGTATGTCGGTGCAAAGCCGCAGTAGGCTCTCCAGATTTCCGAAAGAGTAATTGCATCTTAAAGTTCGTATCTGGTGCCATGGTATATTTATCGCCCTCGCCATCTCGGTAGGAGATAGAGAGGCGCGAAGATTGAGCGTGAGGTGGGTTAGGGAGGAAGCATTTTGAAGACAAACAGCCGGAGGGGGTCTAAGAATCGCGCCCGGGTCTTCTCCCCATCGCCACCGCTGTGAAGTCGAGGCAAACTTTCCGCCTAATGCGAGATGCTTCAAAAGAGGGAATGATCCATGGAGCCCGGGCATGATGAAGTCTACATCACCATCGTTTTGCAAAACATTGGGAATCATATCGTCCCCTTCCAGATCTACATCAACGTCAGCCTCACCCCAGCGGGTGGATTGTGAGAGTAGAAGTGGAGCGACGATGCGACTCGATGATTTTGTCCTAACATGAGAGGTCGCTAGCCCGAGTTTGACCTTCAGCGACGCGTGCTGAGAGCGTAAAAGGAACATCTTCATAAGGTCGCGAACAAATATGGGCTCGTCCGTTCCTCTGTTGGCAGGGACATGCATATCCCCAAAGGCCGTAACGTCTGCCCAGATACGTGGACTCCCTAATGCCACAACTCGCCACCTCCTACATACTCGGGTGAATCCAAGTGGTATACGGATTCTACCGTACGACCTATACCGGATCACCTCCATCTGCGCTACGAAATGCATGCGAAGAATCTCCGCAAGAATCTCGTCAGGGAGTGCATTGATGGGTGCAACTAGGGATTTGACGTCCTCCATCCTACGAGCGAGAGCTTCCTGCGAAGTGGATAAGAAGGTAATAACGTCACGGAGACGTGCGAGCTCGAAGTTGTGTCTGTCGAGGAGGTGCTGAAGGTCGGAAAGTGAGTGCGAGACATGTGCCTTCTCTGCAGGAGAAAGTTCTACGTTGGGGTTAAATTCAGAACTAAATTGGACATCGGAAAGTTGGGAAACGCAAGAGCAGGCGGAACGATGGTGGATAAGCTGCATAGCAGTGCTCATGGCATTCTTCGTGGATACTCTGGCGTCGCATTGATAGCAGAGGATAATATCATTTCCGCCAGTGTGGTTGTGGCAGGGGAAATTCGTGACTGTTTCCATTGGTGGAAATTGAGTATGCGATGATGAGTGAAGAAATTGATTCTAGCGTGGATGTTATTGACAAGAAGTCGATGATTCATAGACAGGTCGTACCAAGATTGGTAAACGAGCTCAGAGAGACCGAGAGCTTGAACGGAATCGAAAAGCGGGAAACGCTAAGAGACGCTGTAAAGTTATAAGGGCCACACAGCCAGGGTCGCAAGGTCTAAATGTCACGAAGCCGTGGAATGGATTGAACAATCGGGACGGTATCGGTACAGGTCGATCCAGTGCTACTTACTGTTGGCTTATAAGCTATAGGTGAGATTTGGATCTTCTATCAATTATCCGGGGCAGGGTGCGATTTTGGAATCCAAATGTAATGCAGCTACCCGCGAGTAAATGTGGATGACGGTTATGACGGTGTGGTATTAAGAGGTATCAAGCCCAATTCAACCAATCTGTGTGGGAGAATAGCTGAGATTGAGCCAAACACTTGGGGAAAATCTACGGAGGGATGTAGGAATCGGAGAAGCTCATGGCAAAGAAAAGGACTCATGGTAGGTTCACTCTAGTCACGTTGAGGACGAATCCTCTGGGAATTCATTCCCGGGCATCGGTCAACAAACAGAGCTCGTGACTCGTATCGATTGCTTCAATGATAGTAAATCCGAATCCTGAGCTTGTGCGAAGCTCTCCGATATTCCCCCAGCCTGTAAAGTGTCAAAGTATAGCACAGACCACTGATTCTGCCCTGCCTAATAGTGCCAGCGGTCGTTATTAAACCCTTGGTACATCGAGACCGTATAAGCGCTCGCATGTCGTTTCATTAAGCGCCGTTCTCTACTTCCGACCCCACTGGCAGACCCCCAAAACCTTCAACCTACTCTTACAAAGGTAGAACCAATCGCAATTATGGGATAGGATTTTACCTCACCAGTCGTGACTATGCTGAATCATAAAGCATATGACGCTCCTCTCAGGAATACCTGTTACCAGGCACTGACGATTCTCTCGAAGAATTCTATACATACTAATTTTCCTCAGTAGTGGTACCCAAACGTACTGCAAGACATTGAGTTGCGCGGAATCTTGCATAACCGGTCACGACTCACCTTGACGCTTCCAAAGCAATTAGTTCCTTTACTCACCCACCGGAGACCTCAATGTCCGCATATCACACATATTTATTGCGAATGCTTTCAAGCCGTACCCCAGTTAGGTGATGGTAATGCTACAGTACTCACATCCAGTGCTGCATAACTACTACATCAGCTTAGGGGTCATTTTCTACTCTGGACTCAACGGCATATCAGACTGCTGCCACTCTATTGGCTTCTATTGGTAACAGGTTGAACACTGCAAGTTTTTGTTCAGCGCGACTAAAATTCGCGAGTCCTCTAAAGCCTGCGAGCCCTTCAGATGCAAAATACTGGAATAGATTCGTATAAGCTCGTGATTCCCAATTCCTCCAATAATTGAACACCCTTTCTCTTTTTAGTGCGTCCATACTAGGGTTCAAGTTATTACTTTCAACATGTCATGAAAATTTCCTTTTCCTTCAAGGGGACAGTATATTGATACACTGTCTTCACAAGTTATCGTCATCTATGCAAATTCTTACTCGCTCGTCTATACGGCCTCCATGCGAAAAAAAGTATGCGTTCGAACTTCTTCGGGGCTATGATGGAAAAGCAGAAGTTCCTCAAGTTCTGCTGACAGCTTATCGATGATAGTCACGTCCTCATCACGCCACCGTCTTATAAACCATGTCGTTAACATTCCTATCCAGTCCTATCCTATGATTTCTCGCCCACAACTCCAAACGTATTTTCCGGAGGCACCAATAATCTTACGTGCTCCTTTGGTGTCATGAGTAACACAATACCAACGGACAACGGCGATTCTCTGCAAGAATTAGCCTAGTATGGTTTTCTTGTTCCAAAAACATGTAGAAGGAGAATGATGAATGATTCAGTATACATGTAATCCTGAATCCGCCCTAGTAGGACGCTACAGAATCCTCTCTCTCAGGCTGTCTCCGCAAGATTACGATAGATCCTAGCGCTATGAATTGCATGTTGCTCGTCGGTTGACACGAGATTGCCCCGCCTTTCACGGTGTCTCATACAGATCAGTATTTTACGATACTTGCTTTTCAGCCTTGAGCGAGCTTGAGCGTTGCCGCCTGTAGAGTTCCTGTCAAAGTTCGCGGTGTGATAAGTTCCAAATAAGTTGTCACATATAGACATATGCACGGTATTCCATAACATTCAGCCGTATCGATTCTGGTGGCGCAAGTAGCTTCTATTACTACGCCGTAGTTACCGTTAGAACAAATCTAGCTGAGTTCACAATGGTTCGTCATATGCATATCGAACTTGAAGTACATTCTATTTCTGGAGGTTCTTAGTAGCTACGGCAGAATAAAGTTCGAGAGCTAATATTTTCAATGCTACAATCGTAAAAGGGAGACTGTACAAATATTACTTACAGTGGCACAGTACTAAGTTAGTAGTAAGTGGTAGTACTTGCTTTGAGACAAGCCCCTATCTTAAATGTTGACACGCAGGCGCTTCTGTTCTCACTTGCCTCTGTACCATCCTTGCAACATGTCCAATGAGCCAAGTGTAACATACGTTGACCGCGCCATTCAAACAGAACCTCCTCGCCATCTCTCCCGCTCGGATGGCCACAATGCTCTGAACTTACACGAACCTCTTTCATCTCAGGATGTGGATGCCGCATATAGCCAGCTTTCCTCGCTTACTATCTCTAAACGCGATCACAAACTATCTCAACTTGCCTACAAGAAACCTTCAGAACTGAACGCACTAAAAAAGCGGATTGTATCTCTTCCTGAAACTTCACCTCCTTCAAGAATCGATTCCGAACCCATTCGAGACCGCGTCGTTTCAATGTCAGAGCAAGTTAAAGTTTCTCTTGTGTCGTCAGCCGACAATAGTCTGTCCTCAGACTGCTTTGAAAGCTCGGTAGAAACTTCTCAGAGCCAAATCTTATCCGATCTAGGCAGTTCATCCGCCAAGCGCGCACGTCCTCGTCGATCATTGGCTTTTCCACAAACTCCATCTCCCCCGTCTTCGCCAGAATCTATCATGATCATTGGCAATAATATGCAAGTTCCGAGTTCTTTTCTCCGGCAAAAGGCGATCAAGTTTCCGAAGGCCCTCGCAGACGATAATAGTGAGCGTCGAAAGAGTTTTAAGAACGTTCGCAAGATCTGACTCGATTTTCAGCCTGGAACACCTGGGCGAGCTCTCCCCCAAGGCCTATACCCGCTTTACACGGCCCACTTTCCCTGCCATATGCCCGATGCCCTTCGTAGGTCTTGCCTCATTGTGATTGAATGTGAAGGTCCGTAGGATTAACTTGTCTTTTAGAGGCGCGGAGGGTACCATCATTGAAGGAGAAGACATGACGCGCACGATCTGGGGCCTTGGAAACGATGCTGGCGCTCGCGAACATGGCGTTGATACCAAATTCGACACTCATCCTGATCAATCTCTTTCAGTACAGAAGCGAGATACCCTTAATCAATCAAAGCTCCACACTCTTGGAATCTGTACAGTCAGCAATACGCCTTCAGAACGCGCGGAACAGTCAAAGGTTCTTGGAAATCCACCCTCAGATAGCCTCTACGTTTCCCCTAGTAGCGTATCCGGCATCGATGCTCTTAACCATCTTCATCAATTTCCGGACAACCTCAAGCGATCTGTGAAAGGGCGAGACCCTATTCAAGGTCTTGGACTTGTTTGGAACAATACTCAACCTAGCAACGCGGATATCCACGGGGTCAATGAACAACCTCATTTGAAGGCTTCCGCGCCAGAGTTTATACCCAGAGGAAGGCTTTCTGACCATCCTCAACCTCGTGTCACTGTTGAACCTGCCGTTCGTTCTCACTATATCGTTCCAAAGCCTCAAATTCCCGCCATCGATCTGGCCTATGAATACCGTGCACAACGAGAACGTAAGACTCCCTTATTGGCTTCTCCCAGCTCAACGTCCTCAAGTTGGTCTCCGTATCTTTCTACGCCCCTACCCTTGCACACTGAAAGGTTTGCTGATGTTTGGAATAGCGAAGATGCCGCTGACGAGCTTCGTCGTTTCATTTTTGAACGGATCGGACAACAGAATCTTAGCCCAGGCGAACTGAAGCAAATTTCTGAACTTGCTCGTTCCATGAACTTGGACCGTCCTTCGGCTTACCCGTCTTCCAGCTATGAAAGACCTTTCTTCGCAACTAAATTTCCGCCAGAAAGTCCTCTGAAACTCGATTTCCACCATCCTGGTCCCCCACCGAACACACCACTACCTCCGATTCCCTCCCAGAATCCCAAAGCTATGTCGTTGGCCCCTCCTTCGCCAAAGTCTTCCGTGCTCCGCCTGGGAGGTCGACCGGGTACTCAACCTCGTTCAGTCCCATTCGCACGTCTTCTCCAGCGAAAACTCTCTGTAGTACCCGAGGAACCCGGGTCAACTGCGGAGCACCCACCCACTTCCCCTCGTAACGAGCGTACTGCCTTTGGAGGAGGTGCTGAGGGACAACATTACAAGCCATACTTTGCTCACACTAGTCAAAATACTCCGCGTCTTCCCGACATCTCCAACCATGATGGTGCCATACACCGTTCACACTCGTATTCCTCGCATTTTGGAAGTGAACCATTCACTGCAGGTAATTTGGAAGTTGGTGGATTTATCCAATTGGGGCCTCGAACGAACTCGACAAACGCCAGTGCTCATATTAGGGCAGTTAAACCCCCATTCCAAGGTGTGATCGTATCAGAAGATATCCGTGAACGACCATGCAAGATAAGGAGCAATATGGTAGCAACTGCTTCTAGCGGTGTAATCGCTAATAAAGAGAATGGCCCTGCAATTGGCAGAAGCGACAGCGCAGGAAGTAACCGGAGCGGGAAGACGTTTTCAAGCGTCACTGGGAAGGAGACTGTTCGGAAGAAGTTCAAGTCCAAGAAACAAGGGAATAGCGTCACCACTAGTGCGGAAACCTTCGTGTCTACTGGCGATCCTTGGTTGAGCGGCTCAGAGCTAGACGCGTGGCTCGCATAGGCTTTCCTTTTCTCTGAAATCATCCTTTCCTTTCGAATTGACCTCCCTACATCCATGGACATCAATCTTGGTTTAATTTTTGTTCTTTTCACGTTGTTCTGTTCAATCATTTCACATTGTTTCGTATTATGTTGTTCTGTTAGATCTTTTCACCTTGTTTCGCTATTATTCGTCCTTCTCCAGCTGTTCGCGCTATCCTGTTCGAAGTTCGAATCTGGCTCTCTTCTATGTTATTAGTTGTTGATTTCCCCCCTCAGGTTGCAATTCTTCGTACTGTTCTTTCACCTTGTTCTCATCCCATTCCGTATTCTTGTCTCATGTCCTCATGGATACATTCAAATTGTTGTGTCCACAAGTTATGAATCTTCGTACTCTACGGCTACCGCACTGAACATTTTTTCCATGCAGATTGACCTTGTATCCCGATCATCGTTGATGTACGTACGTACGCCAAAAAGCTTGGTAATTAGAATAAATCGTCATGGCTTCAAGGCTTGACAAAAAGATCAGTGAACTTGTCGACAGGCATTTTAGCGAAAGACGTGGCGTCAGAAACAGTGTCGAGAATCCTATGAGAATATTAGACACTGGGAGATCACCGTATGGTATAAGTAGATGGGCGTACTTTTGCTGATGAGCTGGTTCGAAATGGTGCGAGATGTGCCTACGTACAAAAGTTACGCTGCGGCTGTTGAAGATGAAAGAGAATCACGTACCTCTTGAACTTATTGATCAATAGAGGTGTGCCTTCTTCGCGCCTCCGCTTGTGACCAACAGGATACTCGACCTCGACCTCGTCAAGGACAGTTCCGTCGTTCAGTTCGACCAGAAGAGCATTACCAATGGAACGTTTCGCGGGATCGTGGTAATCTACGCTGAAGCCCTTGTCCTCGACACAGTACATCTTGGCACGAAGAGCATCGATTCGGGGGTCAGCAGCCGAAGCGTCGGTGCTTGCGAGGGGCATTAGCAGATAGCTACATTGGAAATCGGAAGGAAACATACTAGCTATCAGAGGTAAGCTCGCCAAATATGAGGGGATATGCGACCATATAGTTGATGGCATGGCTATAAGGAATTAAGATAAATTTCGATGCGAACGTCGCGTTTCACTCACTCCCTGTCAGCAAAATTGTCCAATGGGCCTTGCTTGTCGATGATTCTGACCGCCGCTTCCTGAGTTCTTATCCTTACGCTCTTGATATCTTCTGCGGTCTTACCCGTTTCCTTGAGTTTGGCATGAATGATGTGTGCTGCTTCAACGGCGGTTTGAGCATGAAACTCCGCAGGATATGAAATCTTGAAAAGAACGTTTTCCATAACGTAGGATCCGTAGGGAATCTGGAATTCGAAGGGTTTGCCCTGGAAGAACACACATACACAAAGTTCGTCACAAGACCATCAAGAAGTAACAACGACGCGACGGACCTTGAACAAAACATCATAGAAGCCCCAGGTCTTTGCAGTAAGAACAGAAGGAAGACCTTTTTCGCCTTTCTTCACAAGCAATGCGAGATTCACAGCGCGAGAGCACGCATCACCAGCGGCCCAGGACTTGCGGGGACCCGTATTGGGAGCGTGACGGTACGTACCTAATTTGGTAAACACATGTAAGAGGGCATGAGGGCAAATAACATACGAAGAGATTGTCCATCAACCCATGCCTGAGAAACTGCGTCTATCGTCTGGTCCCGGTTGAGCCCGAGCATCTTGGATACCACAGCAGTCGAGGCAACTTTGACGAGCACGACATGATCCAAGCCGACACGGTTGAAAGAGTTCAGCAGTGCAAGAGAACCTTGAATTTCGTGGGCCTTGATCATGCCTTCTAAGATGTCGTGGACAGTCAGAGGTTGTCCTTGACGCGCAAGGTGGTCAGCCACAGCAAGAATGGCACCGAGGTTATCCGAAGGATGACCCCCTGTCTAGGGCTTCAGTTTGAGAGCGGGAAGAGGGAGATATGAACATTACATTCTGCAGCCAGAAAACAATCGTTGAAATCAAGCCAGCGAATGATTGTGCCAATGTTGAACGCTCCGCGTATGGGATCAAGTTGGTAGTTAGTCCCTGGGACCTTTGTTCCTAAGAGCCACTTTTGTTCAATGAAAATGATACATTTATTGAGGGCTATACGTACCATTTGGCACAATGGTTCCCTCGACTACAGGTCCAAGAAGCTTCGTGCACTCTGGGAAACGCAAACCCTCCAAGCCACATCCAATAGTGTCAATCAAACATAGCCTTGCGGTTTCAAAGGCCAAAGGGGAATCTATCTTGTAGCTGTGGATGTAATCGGCGATGTCCTGTAAGACCTTATCAGGCTCTGGGCGGAGAGTGGATTCGCCTCCATGACTTGACATTGCGCGAAAACGGGTTGAGGTTGAGCTGACGATAGAAAATGGTGAAGAGGTTTTGCGGATGCTCTGAGTAAGTAGGGAGCGTGTATTCGGGCGAAGCAATCGATGAGCAGGAAGGATCGTTCTTGTGAACATTCGGAACAAGGACAAGCGTAACAATAATCTGAACAAAGTTCTCAAGATGGAGCGGATCGTTTGATCCGAAAAAGGTCTTTCCGGTATTTCTGTGAAGCGGTACACTGCGTTGTGCTCGAATCTCCGTATGTGTATGATGAATTAATGCATGGATTGAGAATGTATTAAGTACATTATGATTATGCCAGTGGCCTACATAGTATGATGATAACAACGATATGTCGGCGTCCCGTATCAAACATCGGCATTCCAGTCACGGCCTGTGCACCTGTAAGCAGGAGTCGCATTTCTATGTAGAAGACTAGAAGTCGCCTCGTTTTACGCGTCGTAAATAGACATCTGGGAACCGAGATGGATTAGAACTTGAAGAGGTGGTTAATATCATTTGCTTATGTAAAATCATTGCCGGCCGCGTTGTCTTCAATCCAATGCAAGTGACCATCAACGAACTTCATTCCGAAAACCGAGTAACCATCATTGGGTGACGAGTCAAATTTCAACTTGGAACTTGGAGCTATACTTAATTCAATGTGTAATCCTTGAACTCGCTCCATACCACCATGTCTTCCGACGAGAATCCAGTAAGGATTGGATGGAAGAAAAAGAGACTAGGTATCTTGTACTTGCACTTGAGCTATTGGAAACAAGCTTATTATTGTGCTTGAAGGTAACGCTTGTGACGAATGCAGAAAGAAGGTGTCGTTTATCGCTTGCTTTCTCCTCCCGACTCAACCTTCAACTCACGAATTTCCAGAAAATGTAGGTGTTAATTTCGTCGACTGAGCATTTGTATCTCACGGTGCACTTGTAGAAAATGTAGATACTGATTTCGTTGACCGAAAGCCAAGTACCTCATGCAGAACTTTTAGGTGACAGTGCGACTCGTAATGGAAAACAGTGCACAAATTGCGCTGCCTTTGCAATAGGTGCCCACCGATCCTTCGACAAGTGCTACTCCAATCCGCTAATCCTGTTTTGTAGAGTGCACGCACAGTGAACCTGTGAAAGTGAATACTTATGTTTGAATCATGATAGCAAGCTAACTGGGACACTATTTAGAAACGAGGGCCCAAGAGCGCGTATGTGCTGTCCTTCTTTGCATCATAACGTTATCTCATATCTTTTTGTTTCTAAGCTATGTAGAACAGCTTGAGAAACGTGTCAGTAGTGATTGATGTTTTACAGATTGGTCGCGAGAACTGACCGGGACTATGCATCACCTTCATCAGGTTAAAACAATGGAGGAAATGCTACGCAAGGTACGTAGATATACATTATCATAATATATGTGATTATGTACTCTTAGATTCACTTGAGAATTCTTAGTTTGACGTCAAGGTCGAAGACCTGAAAGATGGGCAACAACAGTCGTCCGCTCGCTCGATCGGAAATCAAGCTTCCACCTCATCCGCGGCTCGGAGCAACTCCCCCAGTTACAATGGAGTACCTTCGTCTATTTCCTCCAACCCGGGCTATCCCAGCCTTGCTACCGAATCTCCACCTTCAGATCGTCCCAAACAAGAGGAAGAAGAAGAAGACTTTGCCCATGTGGCTCTCGCAGATCATCTCAGCAAGCTTTCCTTGAACACCGTGCAGCGACGTTTCTTTGGTCCATCCAGTGCATTTATGATCATGAAAAGTGCGCACAGAGTCAAAGAGGAGACGCTAGGCCACCACACGCATCCGTTCAAACGACCACAGTATTGGGGAATGCAAGCAGTGCGTGAAATATAATATATATGCCCGATTCAGCCCTCATATATTGTGATCACCAGTGGGAAACTGAGTCTTCAGAGCGCGAAAAGCCAGTGTATATCTTCCCCGAACCCGATCTCATGGTCTCGTTGATTTCTCTCTATTTTGCGGAAGTCAACATATTTCTTCCCATTCTCCATGCACCTAGTTTCAACCAATGTGTGGCGCAAGGTCTTCACTTTCATGATCACGATTTTGGGACCACGCTCCTCCTGGTTTGTGCAGTAGCATCGCGCTATTCTAACGATCCTAGGGTGTTTGCCGATCCTACATCGCAACTTTCATGGTGTGTTTCGTGATCTCGCTATGAAATGCTTCGATGCGACTCTGATGATGTACAGCGGTTGGCGTTACTTCGAGCAGGTAAGCGTGATTTCGCAGGTCAAGTAATTGCTCCTGACGAACCCCATTCTCTATACCCAAATTTAGGTGCAAATGATGCGACGATCCGTTATTGAAGTTGCTACTGTCTATGAACTTCAATTTTATTGCGTGAGTTCTACCTCAGGCCGTATCAACAAACTCTCAGCAGTGTTATAGTTGGCAACAATTTATATGTTTGGCACGTCGAGTCCGTCATCTTCGTGGGTTCTCTGCGCCGCAGGTCGGTTTGCTTAATCTGGATGCAGTGCCGCTGGAGTCTGATGTTCGGGCCAGGTATTAGGTTTGCTGAAGAATTGGGTGTCCATCGACGGCAACCGGAAGGCTACAAATGGACTTCTCTAGACGAACAGAAGAGGCGCGCTTTTTGGGTTCTAGTCTCGTTAGATAGGTTGACAAGCGGCTTTTTTGGTCGACCATCTGCTATTCGAGATGAAGAGTGAGCCCGATTCACAACTCAAATGACGAGAATGCTGATACTTTTCTTATCCAGTTTCGATTGTGATTTACCACTCGAATGCGATGACGAGTACTGGGAGAACCCTCAATATCCAGAATCATCTTTCAAGCAGCCTGCGGATAAACCCTCCATTATTTCGTGCTTCAATTCCCACTTGAGACTTTGCGAAATACTTGCGTTTGCATTGCGGACGTTGTACTCCACGAAGAAGTCCAAATTATTATTAGGTCTAGTTGGGGAAGAATGGGAACAGAAGATTCTTCGGGAACTAGGCGAGTCGTTTAGATTTTCTAACTAGCCAACAGGATGATGACCTATGACGACAAATCATAGACTCTGCATTGAATAAGTGGTTCATGACAGTACCGGAGCATTGTACGCCTACTTTACTGTTGTAGTAAACGCCTCTGATCTAGCACAGTGCGATGGAATCCTATGCAACCAAATCCGGTCTTTTTCCGACAGTCTGTCTTTCTCTATACGATGTACTATAATGTACAAATCCAGTTAGTACGCCACGGATGACATCGAAGGCTAGTATCTGAATTCCCCCCAGGTCGCATCGACCTTTCCTCCAGAAGGCCTCGCAAGCTTCCTTCCATTCGCTTGCAATATGTACGAATGCCGCAAGGTTCACCATCCATATCTTGGATGCGCATGTCTCGCGTGGCATCATAGGATTACCTCAAATATTAGTGGGTAAAATTTCTTGCATGGCTTAACAGTAGCTGACCGACGGGTTTTTTTGCAGTATGGGGCGTTTATCTCAGCTATGGTAATTGTGCTGAATCTATGGGGAAGTAAACGTGCGGGCATCATGATAGATCATGAGAGAGAGATAGAGAATGCAAGAATAATCATGAACATGCTCCATGATTGTGACCGGCGCTGGAATATTGCTGGGCGATTTTGGTAGGAGATACCACGCCCATTTAAGATTTTCAAACTCACTTTTTTCTCCGAAGGGACATGCTTTCTGAGCTTGTGAATGACTTCAATGTCATTGATCATTACCGACCTTCAAACAAACGTGCTCGTAACGCCAACGAGCCTATCAATAAATTGCCATCGTCAGCTCAACAGGCTCAACAGGCTCAAGTGCCATTCTCCCGATCACAAACAACCACCTATCAATCTCAATCTCAATCTCAACCTGCCCAACCCTACCCCACACGTTCAACCCGGCTTGATGAACAAGTTTCAGCTGATCTACAGCTTGCATCACAGTTGCTCTACGGTTGGAGATCGACTGGTGAGAGTCCGCCAGCCTGGACAAACCAGCAAACCGCGGAATCACTGTCTACTATCGATAAGAAGACGGTAACATATCTTGAACAGATTTTCGGTAGGATCGATAATTTCCACAACGATCCTGGAGTCGCGTATAAAGATGCGGATCAGGGTATATATCAAGATCCCAATCAGGATTACTATTCTTCCCAACTCCAGCCTGGGTATCAGGGAGAAGCTCTAGCCATGAGCGGAGTCAATCATGCTGCAGATTTTGAGTCATCCACTGCAAGTGGCTTTGAGTAAGTAGCCGTCTTCTCTGTTCCTTGATCAACTCTAAAATGATTTTGATGTTAAGCTTTGACGCCTGGAGTCACTACGTTGAAAGTATGGGTCTTTCGACCATTGCAGTTGGGGCGTCCTATCAATGAAGCAATTAGTTGTCGACGTCATTATACCGTAGATTTTTGTGTATCATTCGGGAGCTGTATTCTTATGCCTCACTTTATTTATACTCAGCATACTAAGCATACTTATCTGTCAATTTATCTATCTAATTCCCAGACGTACGACGGGTATGTGCTAACTCCTAGGGATATACGAATGTATATATATCTTGTGATTTTCCCCGGTAATGTATTTTGAGATATTGATCAATGACAGCCTTTTTACCGTATGTACGTGAACTTTTTCTATCTTGACTCAGCTGCAGGGTAGTTTGCTCTTACTTTTAACCATGTCGACGTTTGCCCAGGAAGACGCCTCAAAAACTAACAAAAAAACTCGCAAAAGAATGCAACACAGTTGCGACTATTGTCGTGAGTTGCATCCTTGCGCGTATGCACAATTCAGTTGCTGACGCTCGTCACATAGGAGGGTGAGTATTATCTACGTTCAATTCGAGTCTGTGTCCGGCATTTTCCAAAATGGTGCTTCCAGGAGAAAGAGTCAGCTCGGTTTCCACTGTCCTTGTCATGATGTTGTTGATCTTCTTTGTCCAGTCAAATGTGTGTTACTGTTGGCCTCAGTACTTCGTGTGTCTATAGTAGTACCGACCATGCTACAGGTGATAGTGCCCGGATGCCAAAAAACCAGTGCACGAATTGCATAAACATCGGGATAGAATGCACACACACACTTCCAACGAAAGTAGGTATTCCATCTTGTCACTATGCCACGAATTTGGGCTTGAACGTAACTTAATCAGAAACGAGGGCCGAAAAATCCGTTTGTGATTCCCTTGTGACCTTGCAATAGTGACCTCACGATATACAGATACGTACATGAACTTGAAGAACGAATTCGAATCATGTCTGAACAGTTACAGGGTAAGGTGGGTACACTTCTGCTTTTTTGAACCTTTGACGACCAACAAAAACGAAAAATTTTAGATTGGCAACGATGATACAGAACAAGTCCCGCAAGAAGACCCATCAGCGCCTTTGATTTCGAGGCTCAGCTCAACGCTTTCTGATTCAGCGTCAACATACTCAAACATGTTGTCTGCTGGGCTCCCAACAGTCACGTTAAATGGATCGACTACTCCCTCTGACAGTGACGGAATCATTTCAAATGGACCCTTGGATCTCTATTCAGATCCGATCCACACAAGGTTCTTTGGCCCATCCAGTGGATTCGCACTAATGAAGAAGGCGTACGATCTTAAAAGCGAGGTTATGAGCGAACAAAATATCCCCCTTCATGCTTTGTTTCAACGTCCCGAATATTGGCTTCAAGTACAACCCGTAAGTACATAGTTCTTCATTACTTTTATGTACCATGTATATATTCATTCTGATCTTCCAGTGGGAAAGAGCTTCTCGGGACCAACAGATACCCAAGTACAACTTCCCGGAGACCAGTTTAATGCTCTCCCTTGTCTCCCTTTATCTAGTCAGCGTGAACATCTTTTTCCCCATTATACACGCTCCGACCTTCCAGCAATCAATAGCTGAAGGCGTTCATTTTCGTGACCAGCGCTTTGGGGCTACTGTTTTGCTTGTCTGTGCTATTGGCTCTCGATATTCTGCCGATCCCCGAGTATTACATGTTCCAGACTCTGAACTTTCATCGTGCGTTGCGAAGTTCAGTCCGCGTAGATCATACCGTTCAATCCCCTCTCATTCAATGTAGTGGACACCAATGGTTCGCACAAGTCCGAACGCTTCGACAATCATTACTTGAAGTGCCTTCGCTCTATGAGCTCCAGCAGTGTTGTGTATGGCACCAACTTCTCTCCGTGCATTGTTTATAGGCGACTGTGTTGACTATGGTCACAGCTTTCGATTTTATACCTTATTGGTACTCCCGAACCATCGCAGTCGTGGATTTTAGTTGTTTTGGGGATCCGCTTTTCGTGCGAGCTGGGACTTCATCGTCGCAAGCCTGACGGACATAAATGGACTTCTGAAGAGGAACAGACAAAGAGAGTGTTCTGGCAAGTTTGCTGTTGAGCTGATGGTTCGACTCGCTTTGATTTTTGGCTATTGTTGTAGGGTCTTAGTAACTCTAGATAAGCTTACAGCGAGTTTTCTTGGACGACCACCTGCCATCCATGATGAGGAGTGAGTTCGATTCTATTCCTGCATGCTTCTGATGAACTAATATGGCAGTATTGACGCTGATCTCCCTATACAATGCGACGATGAGTACTGGGAAAATACAAATCAGAGTCTTGCGTTCAAGCAACCAGCTGGAAAACCTTCCGTCATTACAGCATTCGTCAGTTATTTACGTCTATGTGATATCCTAGACTTTGCGCTACGAACATTATACTCCACCAAGAAATCACAACTTCTTTTGGGACTTGTCGGACAAGATTGGCGAGAAAGAGTTGTATACGACCTTGATTCGTCATTGAATGAGTGGATCAGTTCACTTCCTCCACATCGTATGTGACCTCCACAAAACTCTGACTTTACACAATCTTAATGTCCTTTCCCGTAGTGCGATCTGAATCAGGAAGGAAAAGAGAGGGAGTTTTCGCCATGCAATCTGCCTTTTTGTATACGGCCTACTATCATCTTCAAGTAAAGAAGACAAACTCCCCGTTTTTCAATTTTCTGAACTGGCTTTAGATCTATGTACATCGTCCATTTCTTTCAAGACCCTCCTCTCGAGCCCTTCCTTCACTTTCAGTTTGTATGACAGCAGCGAGATCTTGTGCTCGCGTGCTCGATTGCCAGCAAGATGGTAGTGTTGCCTCCCTACCACATACACAGGTATGATACCTATTATATCATGGTATGTATATCATCAAACCGTTCCTCGCAAAGTATGCAGCGTTTGCGGCTGGGGTAGTACTTCTTTTCAATCTTTGGGCAAGCAAGCGTGCTGGAACGGAAATAGACCAACACAAGGAAATTCAAAATATATGGATACTTCTTGGGGTACTGGAGGCACAAGGAGCCAAATCTGCTAGTGCTGGACGCTTTTGGTACGACTTGGCCATCTCACTTCAGCTGACTTGCTAATCTGCATGCAGGGATATGCTCATGGAACTCAAGCGAGGATACGATCATCCAACAGCACTAACATCTACAGATGAAGTTCAGGAAATGAATTTTTTGAATGATACTCATCTGGGACCGCAAGGTCCTCCCATTGACAGAAAAACTTCCAGCATCGAAAAAACCGAACATCGAGAACACCTTACAACTAACGGATTTGGGCATGGTATGGATGTATGGTCTGTAGCTCCCCCTGGATTTACGTAAGTTTCCACTCTTACATAGCAAGCTTTGCGATAACAAACTGAATTTTGTAACAGTTATGATGAATGGGTCAGCTACATTGAAAACATGAATGGTATGGGTGGAAGCTTCGAGCAGGAGAAAGCAGTTTTATCCTAAAATGTTAAATATCCAACCAATATGTAGATCTATGTAACCCCTTTCATTTTATGTCGCATTAGTCGTGCTGGCGACGTGGACGTCCAGAGGCTAATCTCATAACAGCATTTTTAGCGGCAATGATGCTATTTTCCGAACCTGAAAGAAGGGATTAATTTCGCGGAGCGTTAGTAAAAATAACAACACATACCAACAATGATGATTGTGCTGTTCTCCCGGCTTACTTGGATGTCTGCACCGGTTTCATTGCGAATCCTCATCACATTGGCCCCCTTGGAACCGACAATCCGAGGGAAAGTTGATCTGTCAGGAAGAGTGAGGAAACCAATGAATGACATGCCCTTGGCATGCTCGATAGCATCATGAACAAGCTTTGCAGCTCGTTCCAATCCTCCTTGATCGCGAGCCTTTAAGGTCCACAGAGAATCGCCTTCCTCTGCATTCTGGTAATTAGGAGCAACTTCCCATTCAACCTCTGGGGCTTCGGGATCCTCTTCTTCATCGATGCGAGCTGTAGTTGTACCAGAAGGAACAGGTCTGACGGGCACTTCCTGTTTCTGAGCTTGGACAGATTGGTCGACTTGGACACCAAAGTTTCTGAGATTCCGGAAGAATTGGCCTTGCTGAGAGATGATATGATGGTATTTCAAGGGGACAGAAATCGTAGAAGTAATGAGCTCCGGAGCTGCCGCCTTCATAGAATTCTGCAATGACATTCACTATCTGTACTGAATCACTTCGGACACAATGCCCACCTTTAAACCATCAATAGCTTTCTCGCATGCAGCACGAGGACCGGTAACCTTGACTATGTTTGCCGGATCGACGTCACCAAAGTCAACTGCATTCTCCGGCTCACCAACGTGAGCATACGAGCGAGAGCCAGGGAATTGAATTTGAGCGCCCGTTTGATCCTGGAGCTCATTCAAGTGTTGACCCCCGCGACCGATAAGAGCACGATGTTGCGCCGCAGGAATCTCTACAGCGAGGATGACACGGTCACGCAACATAGCAACAGCCTTTTCCAATTCCACTTTAAGTTTGTTGACCACAGCCGGCTCTCCGCGAAGACGGACTTCATTTGAGGGTTCACCTTGACGAGGACTATACGAGAGGGTGAGAATCAGATCCATGCAAAAATAGGAACAGCGCTGACAATCTAATCAAATTAGCTAGCACTTTGGGATCGGAACCTCCACCGCAACGAGAGACAAGGTCTTTGAGACCCTGACCACCGACACCGATGAGCGTACGGTGATACTTGCTTTCAACGGGAACAGTGAGAGCGAGTTCTTCCGCAACCTGGTCAGCGATAGCAAGGATGGCAATTTTTGCAGCATTGATCGCTTTTTTCGTTCCGCGAACTGTGATGTTCGTTTGATCGTCACTAACTTTTTCGACGTCGATCTGGGCATCGGTCGTGTCCTTGATCTCGTTGATAGATTTTCCACCTTTGCCTAGAATACGAGCAACAGAGCGGGTAGGGACTGTGAATTTTAGAACATTGTTGGTTTCTTTCTCAAATTCAACAGCCTGCAAACAATCAAGATAATGTATCAGGATTTTCAGAGATAAACTTACGTCGAGGAGTTCCGCCTTTGCACCGGCAACACCCTTCTTTCCACCCTTGATAAGAACTTCATCAGGCTTAAGCTGCTCCCTAGTCTTCCCTTCTCCATTCTCCGCTGTTTGACGGGGGAAAGTGATCTTGACAGAATAGTTTTCCTCTAGCCGAATAACGTATTTACCTAGGTACATAAATATCAGGTCATCCAATTGAAAGGCACTTGCGTGGGTTGAAGCTAGAATTAAACCTTACCGAATTGTCCAATGAGTCCAGAATGGTATTTGGTGGGTATTTGAAGAATTTCAGAGGTTTCATCGGCCTACGAGGAATAATCAGACTCGTCTCGAAAAGTGGAAATGTGCTTCTCACGAGTTTCTCAATCTGAGCATTAATACGTTTCTGGGCTTCCTCGACGTTCTCCTTTCTCCCTGTGATCTATAGCGCGATCAGGGACGATAGTCAAAATTATCTTAGGAAAAACGAACCTTAACTTTGGACTTATGGTGAACAGCCTTTTTCTTTTTACCTGATTCCTTTTCGTCTGTATCGTCCAAGACATCCACCCTAACACCAAGTTGATCCCGAAGTTTATTGATGCCTGCACCTTGAGCACCGACGACCCGACCTACATATTCCCGGTCAATGTCGAACTCAGTTGACTGGTCATAAGAAATGAATCAGTCTATGAAACCCGAAGGAGAATGTACTGACGTAGCTGTTCACGATTTCATCGTTTTTTGCATTTTCTACGATCTGAAGGATTTCCTTGGCGGCCCGAGAAACGTCAGCGCTTGTACCGCGGATAAGTATGGAATCTTCGGTTGCAGAATCGCCAGCTTCGACCCCAAACTTAATGGAAAGAGCTTTGTCTTCGCCAATGATCCTGTGCAAAATATCTTTTCTAAAACATGTGTTTATGGAAAAAAAGTGATAGCTTACGCATTTAAAGTGGTACCACCTTGACCAATGATAGCTTCATGCCAGCGTTTCTCTACTTGCAGAGTGTCACTCTTAACGTCGGCAGCCTCTTTGACCATTTTCATAAGCTCCTTGGTGACCTCGTCCAAGCTTTTCGCCTTATCGTCGGGAGAGGGCGAGGCAGCTTTGCCAAATGGATCATAGACCAAAAGAACGGAAGACTGCTCAGCAGATTCGGCGGGGAAATACACCAAGACGTTGTAGATATCGTGGAACTGCTTGATCCTATAAAAAGGTTAAAAAGGTCACAAAACAAATTATCATCAGTGTCCGTGTTGTCTTACTTTTTGGCATTCTTGCCGTTGATGATACGATGGAGGAGCCAATCGATAGAAACATCCTTTGTGGCACCGATGAGTTTGCCAATCAGTTCAGAAACCTGCCTGACCACAGCGTCTACAGCAGGCTTGTCGCCAACAATGTCAATAACCAGAGAATGCGCGCGGTCGACAGTAGCAGGTGCGGGAGTGAAAATTGAAACACCAGGGTGTTTCTCGCTTAATGTCTTCGGGTAATCGATACGGTTCATATACTCCAAAAGCTGCTTGGACAAGGTTACAGGTCCAGGAAGTGGGAACTCATGGATGTATTTCGAGTTAGCTTGTTCCATAACTGCCGCAAGACCAGAGGGGAGATCCGCTGCATGACCCCAGACAGCAATTTCATCACTGGGGTCATCAAAGTTAACCATAACGGCACATTTACTTTTAGCCATGACACCCTGCGCACCCTTGCCAACTAAGAGACGGTGCTGTCTCTTCGGTAGTGAAATCTTGAGCGAAGTTAGGTTGGACGATAGTTCAGCGATGTCTGCCTTGATCAAATCGAGGGCACGATGGACGGCGTCGCGTTCACCGCTAGCGGTGACTTCAAAATGGCCACTCTGAAGTTTCAGTTCACTACCTTGAGCGGCAGCTTCGAAAACGCTTTTCCTGGCGAGAATGAAAGGAAGGACATGGGGCGGAATATCACGAACGCGCTGGGTGATCCTCGATGTCTTGGAGGCAACGATCTGGTTAATCAAATCCACAGCCTCGAGGGCCAATGGTTTAGGGCCCATGACAGTAATTTGGACGGAAGGTTCCTCGTCTTCATCGTCTCCAACGGCGTGACCATTTGAAGTACCGTTGGCGGAGTCCTTCGGAGGAACATCAATTTTAGCACCAGTTTGATCTCGGATTTGCTTCAACGTCGCGCCTGTAGCAAGCTACTTTTAGGGTGTAGATGTAAAATACCAACAAAAGGGTACCTTTGGGTCCAATGATAGTCGGAATCGTAGAAATCGGAGCAGTGACATTGAAAGTTTCCTGGGCCGCATGATTATTTATTATACGTAGAGTGAATTATTACTGAGAACACGCACAATGGGACTGAGAAGAGCCAGCAGCAACCTTTTAGCCTTGTCCAACTCTCTCTGAGACTCGGCCTTCATATGAAATGTAGTCTGGTGGCCTCTTTGATTCCCAGAAGCTTCGACCTTTACTTTGTATTTCGCCATGACCTGCTTGATGGTTTCTCCGAGGGTTACCGGTTTGTTGTCCTTAGTAGTAAGCTCGACTGTCCCGAGTGTGAAAGAATCGGTGAAGACGGGTTGCTTGTTGATTACAGGTTTGATGCGGGGACCATTGGCAGCGCCCCACGCTGACTGGGTAGCCGGTTTTGTCGTTGGAGCCGAAGAAGCGAGAGACGGGAAAGCCTGGTGCGAGTTGGTATCCAATTCCTGCTTGAGGGGTTTGGAACGAGGTTCAACCTGCTCCTCAGGAGTCGGAGCAAAAGGGTCCGGAGCGCCTTCCATGTCGTGTTTCTTCTGCAGGACGAAAACATTTAGCAAGACGCAGATTATTTCGTCGACTAGGAGCTACCTGAAGGTCAGCAGCAGAAAGGGCCATTACGGGTGTCCTAAGAACGAATAGCCTGCGACGAAGAGGACCAAGAAATAAGGCCAAATGCTAATGTAGCAGATGGCTTGTAAGGGATGGTGGTGGTTAAGAATTAAGAGATGAATACAGGGCGTATTCGTGGGACCTCGGGACATTCGGCTATATTGACGGTGCGTCTGAACGTCAGCAGTGCTCAGTAGTGAACGCGCTAGAATTTTTCCCAATTAATATGGATATTCGCTCAAAGCCCCTTGTGATTCAGATTCATACTACGGGTCAGTATTTGCGGTGAATATTCCTCAACCTTCGAAAAGGTTAACCATAATAAGTATACTTCCGGCCAGCCAAAAAACAGTCAGTTTTACGTGTCAACACGCGTTCTGAGTGTAGGCCCCAGGTGAACGCGACCCAGAGTAGTTTTACGGTCTGCTCTCCATGTTTTTGGTATATCTTGAAGTCTCGTCGTCAAGTTTGACGTCGAGAGAAAAGCGGTGTGACTCGTCACTCGGGGAAGCCTTCGGCCAAAATGTGCCACGTCAAGCTTCTTTTAAATTTCTATTAGCTCCTAACTTCATGCGTACACATTTCTACTCTCCAATCTTTCAATAATCCTTTAATCTAGGGCCTATTCCCCTGCACAAATAATGCACGGTAGAAAGTTATGCACATTGTTGAAGCTCCTTCCGGTTTTGCAGGCACTTTGGGTTCCTGCAAACGCTGAGTCGTTTCTTTCGAATACGTTGATACGGAAAGATCAGGTGCAGAGTGTTCTGGAGCACCGTCCGATCGATGTATCGGAATGTGAGAACCCCAAGGTGCGTTTCTGTGGCTGCTCGGATATTTCGATGTGCTTACAGGTTGTTCTCAAGCCTACGGGCCCAATAGATACCACAATGTGTGACTACGAAACAGTGGAGAGCGTGAATGGAGATTTATTCTCCAATATCCACGAACTGGTCAGGACGCCATTCTTCAAGTATTTTCAAGTACGTCAATTACAAGAACATCAACTTGCCCATGCCCATAACGCGCTTTTGGTAGGTAGATCTATACCGCGACTGTCCGTTCTGGGACGAACATGGATCATGTAACAACCCAGGCTGCGCAATAACAACCGTCGATGAAGTTAGTTATCATCCATTGAACGATGTTTTTGAAACTGAATGGCCATCCAGAGCGAGGTCCCTCTGAAATGGAGAGCGAGGGCGCTTAGTAAGGTCGATGCCCTGGTAGAAAACGTGTCATTATTCCTTCGGCCCTCCGAACGCTATCTAATCGCTTTTGTTAGCGACATGAACTTCCTGGATGCTATTACCGAGACTCCGATTTCTGCTGGCTTGATGACAACACTGGTAAGATTTCCAACTTATGCTACTCTTTCTTCCCACTGAGACTAAATAATTCAGAGGGGGATTACTATGATTTAACGTTTGTACCGGAACGATATACGGGATATTCTGGACCAGAAGCTCATCGGATATGGCGTACCATATACGAAGAGAATTGTTTTGGTCTGTCCGAATTCAGTCTCATGGACGGAAAAGCCCCAGCCGCCGTGACTTTACCCGATACTATGACCGATGTTCTCCGCGAAGACGGAGTCAATAATAATCAATGCTTAGAGAAGAGAGTGTACTATAAAGTTGTTTCAGGTAGGCGGGCTCATAGCAAATTCGAATCCAATTAAGAACTTTATAGGTTTGCATGCTTCGATATCTACTCATATTTGCGCGGAGTATTTAAACCAAACAACTGGTGAATGGGTGGGTTGTGTGTGCAATTTCTCCACTAAACAGCCTGCTCACACCTGTCGTAGGGTCCTAATTTGCACTGTTTTGTCAACCGTATAGCCTCTCATCCAGAGCGTCTGCAATATATCTATTTCAACACAGTCCTCTTACTTCGGGCTGTGGCTCGTCTAGGTCCATATCTATCAGCTTACGATTATTGTTCAACGGGTACTCGTCAAGACGACGTGGAAACTAAAGGTCTATTATTAAATGTAATATCTATTGCTCAAAAAGCTGGGAAGTTTGATGAAAGTGCTTTGTTCCGGGGTGAAAATGCCAATGTACGTCCGTGTTCGTCTCCAGTATTCCGGAGTCATGTTTTACGGCGAGCTAGGTACTCAAAGAAGAGTTCAAAGCACATTTTCGCAATGTCACTCGCATCATGGATTGCGTCGGCTGCGATAAGTGTCGCCTTTGGGGCAAAATTCAAACTACTGGCATTGCTACAGCTCTCAAAGTCCTTTTCGAGCTTGACGAAAAGGCTCTTGAGTCAGTCATCACCCCGAACTTTTTACAATCACTAACCGTGAAAACATTTAGTCCACATACGAACGCAAACCTCCTGCAACGAGCCGAAGTAGTTGCTCTCCTAAACACCCTCCATCGGTTCAGTGAAAGCCTGGAAGCTGTGAACAAATTCCGTCGCATGTGGGCGGATATGGGTTCTTCGGAGTCTGAACAGCTCATCCTTGAGGCCGAAAAGGCTGCGATACCACTAGTATGTCGGACTCCTGGTTGTATCATACGAACTAACTATTCTATGTAGCCGCACTCTTCTTCGGGTGTTCAACAACGTTCGAGCCTGTTCAAAGTAGCTCGAAAGCGGATTGTCACTTTCTTCCACATATGCCAAAAAAACACTATGGAATGCGTGGCAAAACTGTCGAACCTATGCGCAAGAGGCTTAAATAGAATCACTTCAATATTGCAACTCTCAGGAAAAGATTCTGGACCAGGTACAGGTACATATGAAGAGTTGTAGTACTTGTACTTAAGTACTCTGCCTGGTAGTCGAAGTACTAAACAACTTCGGAGTTAAGACAGTCGTAATTCCGTAACCAGCCATGACCGGGGTCGGAATTGTGTGGTTTCTTTCTGTTTCTGTCGAATCTAAGGGGATCTCTTCTGCTTTCTTGGGCTGAGACTGGCATTTTTTGTCAATCCTTAGTTTGAAGCTGCAAGGCTTTAGAAGTGTGTAATGCTGAAACAAATTTCTTTTCCGATCGAGAACTTGTAAGTTGCAAGATTCCCACGATGCGATATTGGAAATTCTTTCTCTCTAACCTTCAACGACAGTTGGAGTTTTTATGCGCGGCTGGCTCTGAATTGATATGATTCTTCTCGATCCCGAAGACCAGCATGGAAAGTTGAACTCGTATGTCGCTGGTCCGACTGTGCGCTTGCCCGACCGGGTGGCAGGTCGCTCATCTTTCCTTCCCGACTATGAAACATCTCAGGCGCAACATAATCCTTCTGCTTCATCTCCTACTTCCTCCATTACTTCTTTCCGCAAATACTCTCTGCACAACTCTGTCGACTCTCGTTTCTGGAGGGCTGCCCTTTATGCTCTTGCCATATATATCGCCCTTTCTGTAACCATTGGTGTCCCTTTGATAGTAACGGTTTGTAGATTTGGTGTCAGCACTCAGAACATCAGCTCATCCTCATCTGCAGAAACTCACTCACAAGCACAAGAATGGTCCACCACCGTGGGTTCAGGGCGCCAATGATGCTTCACTTTCTTCACCACTTGTGATGATCAATTCGGGGCTTTTCTCCATGTCGCAGTCAATACGTTGCAATATGTGGAACTCAACTCAATATGATGAGGATGGACACTACTACTCTAGGTGCGTTATTGGATTTTTCAGACAGCTTCATTTGCTCATTTTACTCCAGTTCGTCATTTTCCCTTGACCCGTCAGGGTCCTTTTCCATCCGTTCCAGCGCTTGGATTACAGACGCAGATAGTACCGAAACCCAAATATCTGGTGACTTAACTGTGGACATCAATCCAGATCCCTCTGTGACCTCTGCCGTCTTCTACCTGACGACAGCGTCGACCTCTTTAGAGATTCGAGACCAATGTAATATCTGCTTCTCGTCCAATGAGAGTGACGGTGATAGTCGAGGTTTATCCTTATATGTGCGGTAACATGTTACCCCACTGTCGTTTTATCGTTAATGCCTTTTGTTACAGATTCCTACTAATCTAACCGCCTATCAATCCATATCCTTCAACATCACCCTTCTTTTCCCCCAATCTTCCTCACCACTACAGCTCGATAATCTCGTCACTTATCTTCCGATGTTCAGTCAATCCATTGGCTCCATCAGCCCTCAAGTCATACTGGACAAACTTAATCTCGAGGGTATGCAGCAGGGAATAAATACTGGTGTATGTTTTCTCCTAGTTTCTATTTGATTGAGCTTACTACGTTTCCACAGGCCGTTTGGGCAAATCAAATTAGCGTGAAAAACCTTGTAGGACCAATTGCAGGCTCATACAACGCCACAAACATTCTCAAGCTCGACACAGTTCAAGGGTGTGTATACTATCAAAATTACTGTTGAAGGCTTCCTGCTCACCTCATTGTAGCTCAATATCAGTCAATCTGACCCTCGTGCAAGGGCCGAATAGAAAAGAGCCCACTTTCTTTTCCCTTGACACCGGTGAAAGGTTGGATTTTCACGCTCATCTGAGTTGAGGCATATTGAAGAACGTTTTTCCAGCGAAATCAATGCGGACATTGTATTACTTGCCCCTATCCCCGCCACGGCCAATCACAACATCAATTTTATTGGTCATGTCAAGAACTTTGACGGCCCAATAACACTGAATGTGACCCACGATGAATCAACTATGCCTGTACCCCTCGACTTGCGCATTCAGAATAATCAAGCTCCGTGCAACATTTCACTGGATTCCAAATTTTCTGGCAATTACGATGTATCTACGAAGCTGGCTACAGCTTCTGTTGACCTGGTCCCGGACCTACATGATTACACCGGCGATGGACCAAGACAGATGTTACCCGAAGTTGATACGATGAGTGTAAAGCATGGTTGGGTTGGCTGGGGTTCTCAACCTGCCCAATTCAATCCGAGGCAACAAGGCCAAGTGGTGCTCGTATCATCGCTAAGCCCTGTGTCACTATCGTTGGGTTCATAACCAGGATTTGCGATGTTTATTGTAACAACAGCTGTAGGTGCAGTAGATGTGACACTGTACTATAAATTTTGCCTCACGGAAGTAAGCTACAATCCTCAGTAATAATCCACTGCCATCACGCGCGGAAAATTTCTTGGTCCTAATTTGGGTACGCAAATTCTGAATAAAAAGAGTTGTAATTCGTTATCGACGTGGGGCCTTTCCACGAAGGAAGGAAGACAATGAATCCCTCAGGTCAGATTGGGCTTGCGCGCGGAATATAAATCCCGAGACTCAACTTTTCTTTCAATGGCGTGATGGTGTTCTCATGCTTGCGAACATTCAATTTTCTCTCACCATAAAACGAAACTATGATTGCGCAGTCGAACTTCAAGTCTCAAGTTGCCTCAGCCTTTGACTCCTGGCGTCCTAAAGCATACCCTAGCAACGATGGCAAACATTCCTCATGGTGGTGTCTTGAAAGTAGGCCGGATTTAGTTCCTAAATGGATGTTATAGAATTGCTCATTCGACGTTTTCATCAGGACTTGGTCGCTCGTGATGCACAAATATCATCCCGACTTCGTGATGAGGCTGCTGAACTGCCTGATATTGTACTCACCGAGGTAGTCAGAAGATCTTATAATACGTTGAACAATGGAAGACTCACTCGTCATAATCGAAAATTAGCGCCAGTTATGTGATCTCGAGCTTATCACAAATGGAGGATTCAGTCCTCTCGAAGGATTCATGAATGAAAAGGATTATAAAAGGTATTTTGTAGCTGTTCTTCTTTTAGAGAAAACTCTGCTAATGATTTCTGAAGTGTTGTGGATGACCTCCGATTGGCTGATGGCACACTGTTCCCCATGCCTATCACCCTCGACGTTTCAAAAGCAACAATAGATGAACTTAAGATAGCTGCAGGATCCCGGCTCGTCTTGCGAGATCCTAGAGATGATGAAGCTCTTTCAATACTTACAGGTTCGATTCATTCCAATCTCCATCTATCTCCCATCTCATGAAGTGTTCAGTCGCGGATGTATATAGACCCGATCTCGTCAAAGAAGCAGAGAAAGTCTTTGGTGCTGACGATCCTGCCCATCCTTCTGTCGCTTACCTACGGAACCGTGTACAAGACTTTTACATTGGAGGGACCGTTCAGGCCATCCAAGCTCCTAACCACTTCGACTATGTTGCATTGCGATGTGAGTTGTACATTCTCAATGGAACTACCTTTGACCCTCACGCCCTCCTTTTCTCTAGATACCCCCGCTGAGCTGCGATCTCATTTCAAGAAACTTGCTTGGAGGAAAGTCGTTGCTTTTCAGACCCGAAATCCCATGCATCGTGCACACAGGGAACTTACTGTTCGTGCTGCCCGCCAACGACAAGCTGTAAGCTCTGAACATCGCTTTTCTTGAGTTTCACGTCAACTTGCACTACTTCAGAACGTCCTCATTCACCCTGTTGTTGGCCTGACGAAACCTGGAGATGTGGATCATTATACTCGTGTTCGTGTCTATGAAGCCATCATGGCAAAATACCCCAATGGCATGGGCCACCTTGCTCTTCTACCGTTGGTAAGATGCTTTTGGTTATCAGCTGTCTTCCAAACTGAACGTTCAGTAGGCAATGCGGATGGCAGGACCGAGAGAGGCAGTATGGCACGCTATCATCCGTAAAAACTTTGGCGCCACTCATTTTATCGTTGGAAGAGATCATGCAGGACCTGGTAAAAATTCTGAAGGCAAAGATTTCTACGGTCCGTATGATGCACAAGATTTAGTCACCAAGTACCACGAAGAGCTTGAAATCGAGATGGTACCATTCCAACAAATGACTTACTTACCTTCAACGGACGAATATCAGCCCGTAGACGAGGTACCGAAGGGCGTCCAAACCCTCGATATCTCTGGGACTGAGCTTCGCCGGCGTCTTAGGACCGGTGCCTCTATTCCCGATTGGTTCAGCTACGAGTAAGTGATGATACACTTTCCATCGTCTGGTCATTAATCTCTCACATTGAATTTAGTGCTGTAGTGAAAACCCTTCGCGAGAGCTACCCTCCACGAGATAAACAAGGCTTTGTGATCTTCCTCACTGGTTTATACAATTCCGGCAAGGATACGATTGCAAAGGCCTTGCAAGTTACTTTCAACCAACAAGGTGGACGCAGCGTGTCTCTTCTTCTTGGCGAAAATGTACGAGACGAGTCATCGATAGGTAAGGGTTGAGAACTTTACCAGAGCCTAACATCTTTAACGTATGTCATATTACACAGATAAATCATACACCTTGGAGGAACAACGCGAAAATGCTCAGAGGATTGCATTCGTATCCGCCGAACTAGCGCGCGCCGGTGCTGCTGTCATCGCGGCTCCGGTTGCACCCCTTGAGTCAACCCGTCAGAGTGTTAAGAATACTGTCTTACATTCTGGAGGAGCAGGAGGCAACTTTTTCCTGATTCATGTGGCCACGCCATTGGAACACTGTGAGAAGACTGACAGGAGAGGTATCTATGCTCGTGCGCGAAAAGGAGATATTAAAGGTTTCGTCGGTGTCGATGCGACATATGAGAAGCCTGAGAGAGCAGATTTGGTGGTTGATGTAACGACACAAAGTATACCAGGAATCGTACACAGTGAGTGACCGTTTTATCGGATGCATCGTCGAGATCTGATCATTAACATCCGGCCCAGGCATTGTGCTCTTGTTAGAAGCCAGCTCCTTACTATGAGACTAGACTATGTATATTAGTAGTACATGAAGAGAATCTAGAGTGACCGCGGTACCGTACCTCAGCGCTCAGCTCCAACCCCATCTCCAACCTCCCCTTCCCCTTACTCCCTCATCACACAATAGGTCAAAGGTGCTCCTGAATCTGCGGTGTAGCACTCAATGATGAGATGCATATATGAAAAAACCAAGCAATTTACAAGGAACATAGCTGTGAGGACCAATGCTAAAAAATCAAACTTGGATCACCCTTCTTTGTGCCTTAGGGTCTGAAGAGATGTCTAAAGAGACTGACTAGCTGTCACTTTGCTATTGGCTACATACATAGTACAGACCTGTATCAGTAGGTATCAGTACTCATGACCAGGCCGGGAAAATTTGAGCAAACACCATCACGAATCGCATGCGTAGTACTAGTAAAGAATAACTTTGACGAGGCTATGTATGAATTCTACTCATGAGTTCTATGTGAGCAGGCTCTGAGGGGCCCATCTGCTCCAAATATCACAATGAACCAAGCCAAAGTCGAAGGTGTCAGGACCTTTCATGAATTTCCTTTCTGAACCCAACAGTCATAAAACTCAGTCACTGTGAATCGCATATCACAAATCGCAAAGGGGGGTTGGTCGCTTTCAAAGGTATCAGCACTGTTAGCTACTGTTAGTGAGTATGTATCACTGTTGGTAATACATGAATGACACTCCAGCGGGAAGGGCTGGGGCCAGGGGGAGCCGGGGGGGCCCGGTACTTTCTGCCACGTGAGTACCTGATGTTTGTACAGCCGCATCGGAAGTGCTCCTTGGCCTTAACCCTCCTTAACCTCCACATCACATCATCCAATGCCTCGCGCTGAAGGTTAGTGATTACTGCCAATTTAGCACTGCTCAAGTGTCTTACCAAAATCATTGTGACTGTAGTCGGTACACCTAAGTATGTCGCCAACAAAATGAAGTCCAAGGGGCTTCAACGACTTCGATGGTACTGCCAAGTTTGCGAGAAGCAATGCCGAGATGAGAATGGGTTCAAGTGTCATGCTGCATCGGAATCTCATCTGCGCCAGATGCTCGTCGTAGGAGAACATGCTGGAAAACATATATCAAATTTCTCTCAGGAATTTCAGTCGACTTTCGTTGCTCTGCTATCAAGACGGTTCGTATTCACTCATTGTATGTTTCATTCTCGATTAATGTATCCCGCAGATTCGGTACCAAGCGAGTTCGCGCCAACCAGGTTTACCAAGAGTACATTGCCGATAAACATCACCTGCACATGAACTCTACTCGTTGGGTAACTTTGACGGAATTCATAAAGCATTTGGGGAGAACGGGTGTTGCTAGAGTTGACGAAACGGAGAAGGGATGGTTCATAGCTTGGATTGATAACAGTCCCAAGGCACTTGCTAAAGCTGTACGTCTATTATTACCTATTCAAATCGGTATAGCTTTTCATTGGGCCACACAGGAAGCGTCCATGAAGAAGGAGAGAGCAACCACTTCCGATGAACAACGGGAGCGAACGCTCATTGCCGAGCAGATTGAGCGTGCTGCCGCCGAAGCGGGCCCTTCGCGATCTGAAACACCTCCAGAAGATTTGGGCTTGAAAAGGGACGAAGGCGCTGAGAAAGTTGTCCTTTCCCTCTCTGCAAAAGCTGCAGATGCACCCAACTCATTCTCTCCTCCTGCTCCTCTCAAAATGAATGCTTTCAAGTCATCGGCCTTCAATCCCTTGAAACCAGCCACCAATCCTCTCAAGCGGCCAAATGTTTTCAAGAGTACAACAGCTTCCTCATCCAGTTCCACGGGTACTTCAATTGAGAAAGATGCTAAGAAACGGGCTCTGCCTATGTCTGCGGCTGAGCGGTTGATTGTTGAAGAGCAGGAGCGGAAACGTAGACGAATGGACAAGGAAAGTATGAATTAAGTGTATATATCAGTCTGGTTTATCAGCGGACCTTGTACATTTGTAAACCTAGGTTACATGAGTCCATACTTCATTCAGATTATCGTGTACTGAATAATCATTATGTTACACAAGAGGTTCACCATCCAAATCGTCCAGCGACGGGCTCATATTGTCCACTGGTGCCCCATCCACATCCTCCATCGGTGTTCCGTCCACATCCTCCATTGGCGTTCCATCCAACTCTTCCATTGGCGCCCCGTCCAGATCTTCCATCGGCGTCCCATCCACATCCTCTATCGGTATCCCATCCACATCATCCATGGAGGTCCCATCAATGCGGCCCTCCGTTGCTGTGTCCAAAGGAGCACCGTCAAGATCCTCATCCACACCGACCCCAGATGCGGGCTCAGTCGCTGTCTTGAAAGTGCTAGTTGTGAACCGCGATGGCAATTTAGCACTGTCGCCCTTGACTTCTTCCGTTGCTACTGTTTCAACCGTCTCGGTTTTGTTTTCCATCGCCATTCCTTCCAACCGAACGCGGAGTTCCGATGTAAATGCAGGCGGGAAGACAATCCAGTCCTCCCAAATATCCACGACAGTCGTAATCTGCTTCTTGAACGTTTCCGCCGTTATTCGTCCGGGGAAAGAATGATAAATGTTGCTCAAATGGTCGAAAACAATCCCCAGTCGAGATTGGAATTCTTGCCGAAATTTCCATGCACTGGGCACAGAGGCAGCAGAATTGTGTAAAATGTCGCATATTAGATGCAAACGAGCTACTTTGTGGGGTACTGGTGTTCCTTCGACCAGTAATGAAGCAACGATGATGTCGGCTATCTGAAAAAGCCGGGTCAACTTGAGTGAGTAGGTAAACTGTGTGCATAGCATACCTCGTGAGCTGCTTCAGCATGCTCAAGACTGAAAGCCATACAACGTGCGATCTCCCCTCGCTTACCAGAAAGAGCTCGTAACATAGCTTCGAACCTCTTCCGCGCTAACCTACCCAATGTGGTTTTTCGTACCCGTTCCCGTTCAGACTCCTCCGCGGAATCGGTCGAGTAGACAGAATTATAGCCCTAAAATTTCCTTTAGTTGAGCTCACAAAGTTCCACTGCAGTACTTGCACAAACGCACCTCATCATCAAATTCAGGTGACATGGACCGCTCGTCTTCGACAAGGTTTCTATAAAAGTTGTACCGCCGGCCCTACACTTTGGTCAGTAAGCTACCTTGAATTACAAAAAAAACCCTCACATCCTTTCGCAAAAATGCATATTTACCATTGGTAGCTTCTCGTTTGAGCAAATTTTCTTCATAGCTCCGCCCATGACCTTTCACCTCGACAGCGACAGCACGAATAAATACATCTGTGACTGCTTCTTCTTCAAGGGTAGGACTGAGAATTTGATGATCCCTTCTCGGTGAATGTCCTCTGGACCGCGGAGAATTTGAACGACTCCGTTCATGAGAGCGTCGATAGCCTCGACCAGGGCTCCGACTACGACTTCGACTGCGGCTGTGATATCGAGTTCGAGACTCATTGGACACTGTGTTGTCTTGAGCAATTGTTGTAGAACAGAGGGGGGATTGTCCTCACCGTACATTGGTTTAGCAGCGACGGGTACTGCTTTACTCCATCCCACACGCAGAACGGACCCACCCCAGTCAAGACCATCGAATTCCCTCAAAGCTTCTTCCGCATCTCTTCTCGTCATGAATGATACGAAACCACTCAGTCCACTATTTTTACTCCTCCTTGAGGCGGTCATGTCAGCACCAGGCCCGACAGTACCATCACCACGAGGCCACATAATTTTGACCTAGCAAGTAGGGCATGGATATCGTAACACGGAACAGATATTGCTGCACTCACAGATCCTACCGGTCCTACGCGTGCAAAAAATGACCCTAGTGACTGCTCGCTGACATTGGGAGGCAGGTTAGCCACAAATACATTGGAAGTCTTCAAACGAACAAAGATCAAGGACCCGATGACTTGCAAGGGCAAAAGAAATACCTGGGGATCCCCGCGATCTTTACTCCCACTTTGGCCCTCATATGCTGCGAAAAAAAGCACATCGGTCATACACAGCAACATGACCCCAGTTGTTTTGACCCATACCAGCAAGAGCAGTAACAGAGCGACCTTGGGCTATACAAGGCGCTTTGAGCACAGCTCGCTCCAAGCGAAAAGGAAAACGTACAGTTTCGCGAATATTTAGCTTCTCGATCAGCTTGGTCTCTACCAAAGCATGTCAGAATAGCAAGGTGAGACCGAATGTTGATATACTTTTTGATTTCTTCAAGGAATGCATCCATCGCCCGTTTACCTTTGGGTTTGGGAGCATTGTGAGCAGGAATAGGATCCAACTGGGTGAGTCAAGTCAGTCCCCAAAAACATACAAAGAGAGGCAGTATAGATACCTCGAATTTCGTTGACTTCTCGTCAGAAAATCCCTTCAGCGCGGGGGTATACTTCGAGCCAGACTCTGCCTTGACAAACTGACTACCAGACTTCCTGCCAACATCGCCTCCTTCAAACGCGTCAATGAAATCAGCATAGGCCTTTGCTGCGTTGACTTCCTCCTCGCGTTTTTTGGCCTCCGCTGCTTCCTGCTCTTTTTCTCTACGAGATTTACGATGTGTACCAGCAGCATATTGAGAAAGCTTAGCATCATCAACTGCTACTTTGTGCTAGGTTCATGAGAAGAGAGGAAGATTAGTGCTGAGGTTCAAATGAAGATAATTCGACCAGTCGCACGGGAAACGAAGACGGCTCTTCATCGTCGTCGTCAAAAAACGCAGATAATTTTGAAGGTCCTGGTTTTGCTTTTCGGTCCATGATCGTTCAATGACAGACTGGTCACAAATCGCCCCAGTTGCGCAAGCGCTCGTACTACACACTCCCACGCGTTATTAACATATAGACAACAACATATGAAAGAGTTACATGAAACCAGAGAGATATGGGACAGCATATTCAGGTAGATGTCAGTGAGTACAATATCGGTCTACAGATACACTGAAAGACGGAGATGGTATATCGATTGAACTTATGCAAGTACTAAGGCTTTCACATCATCATACTTCCAAGCCCACCTTGGACGTATGCCATTGGTTTCATGGGAGGATGTGGGGTAGCCTCGAACTGAAAGTAACTTTGCTCGCCAAACGAGTCGATACGGACCTGGAAGAAGGTGGTTAATCATACGAGACCGAGGAGAGACGCGCACTAACATATGCTCCCTTGTTACCAGCTTGATCAACATAATTAGGTGCGGAGAACACCTGTGAAAGATTTATGAATTTGAGTAGCTGGTTGTAAGATCTTACAAAGACTTACCGTTGTACAAAGACCATTGTGCTCGATCTGGTATCCACCTTAGAAGAAAAAATCGTCATTGTTCAGGCAGGCATGAAAACACACCAATAATTGAGAAACGCACTTTGCCGCACTTCGTGACTTCGCAAAATTCCTGATACCCCGTTGAGAGTACACCATCTCTTTGTCACGTCAGGACCAAAAGCTATACCAACGCCCTGGATGCCATGAGTAATCATGTAACTAGTAAAGGAAACGGACATACTCGTTTACTTGGGCCTCGTCCAAGTGCTTCTTGAGGGTCAGTCCATAGAAGCTGAGACGGACAAGTCAAAACGGTGGCAGTAAAGAATTTTCAAGGATGTCAATTCACCTCGCCTGAAAACGGAAAGATATTAGTAGACAAAAAAAAGACGAGGTAGAAAGGTTTACGAACACATCAAGCCTTGCTGTCCGGGTTGTCTTCCAACACGCGGTATTTTGCGGATGTCATCTAATGTAACTTCATCCTTGCTGAATAAACCCCCATGAACGACGAAGAAACGTCTTCTTCCTTCCGGCGATAGGATATCATTTGTTTTCTTGGTTCGAGGAGGTTGCGTGGGGCAGATAAGTGTGGCCAAAGGTACTTCATATCGAATACAGTGAAATCGAGCGATTGGAAGAATAGATAGACCTACGTGTGGTGAAAACGTGGGCGAAAAGCTGTAGAATGATCACAGAATTAGATAATGTCGTTATATTTCGAAGTGAATAGGGCACACCTTATAAGACTGATCGCCATGTTTATGCTTTGCCTCGCCCTCAAAGCCATACGTACTATTCATATCCTTTGCTTCGTGGTTACCCCTGTTGATGTACATGTATTTCGGATACAGCCCTTTGCAGATGCATCAGTATAGCGACGAAAGATCGCGAGAGAGTCTTCACATTTGTAGGCAAATGCAGTGAGAATAACTTCAATCGACCAAGATCCTCGGTCTACCAAATCACCATTCATTAACAGGTAGTGTTGTGGTTCAGGTTTTCCTGTTAATGAATACAGATGGAGCAAATCGTAGAACTGCCCTATTGAAATTGGGAACATCAGACCGGTCAAGATTTGTGTCATGAAAATGATTTAAAGTTACACACCATGCACGTCCCCAATCACATCACAAGTCACACCTTCTTCGATATTGACGGTGACTAGACTCTCCTCTTTGATGAAATGTTCATATGCGCCGAGTACGATTTCCCAAACATATCTTTTGGGTAATGTCTTGCCGTTTTGAACCATTCTATCATTCCCTCGACAAACTCGGGGGTTATCTGATATTTGCCTTCATCTGTAACGTTAAGTTTTGGGCCAGTGTATGCCTTGTCGAGTTCGCATCCACCTGCGGAAGGTAAATTAACAAAGAAATGACCAATGAATAGACAAGGCAAGATTTACCTTCGGCGATTATTTCATGACATCTATCTACAGGATTCTTCTCGCCTTCCAGCTCTATCGCCTAGACACGCATAAGAGTGTGTTCATCTAGCATCATTGTATCCCCTGCACACCTTTTCAAACTCGAGCTTCCGATATAATTTTTGCGTCGCCTGCAACTGCGATCTAACGGTGTTATTTTGGGGTTCCAATGCCAGGACTTTTTTGAAGTCTGATATAGACTTTTGGTGATTCAGAGTCTGCAGATAGCATGTACCTCGTCTAACATATATTAAGCCAGCAATTCCCAACCTAAGGAACACCTTTCTTTACCGATAGTATGCCTTGGCATATTTCGGATCCAGTTTGATTGCTTGACCTTTTCACCGCGCACACGACACAACCAGAAAAATTCATTTCTTGTCATTAAACCCTTTCGATTGAGCAAAACGCGAGTGAACCCACTAGCATCGGAGATGGCATAGCCAAATTCTTCGAGTTTCATACGAGCATAAGCGCGATTACACCAGAGCGTAGATTCGTTAGGATTCTTCTCAATGGCTTCACCGTACAGACGGGCAGCGTTCGGAAAATCATGGCCTATAAAGATAGTCAACGGATATTGTTAGACGCTTTGGAGTTTAGACTGCAGGGCTAGAACTCACTAGTAAACGCCTTATTCGCTTGTGCCTTGAGCGCCGCTGCGGCTGCTATATCAGCCTCTGATACTGGAATGCGTTCCTCTGTTAGGCTTAGAGTGTTCAATTCAGGAGAAGGAGCAGAAGAAGGAAGTGTAGAGGCCGAAGATGTGGGTGAAGATGGTGTAGAAGTGGTGTCGCTCATTTCAACGTCGGGGAGGACGGAAAACCAAAAATGAAGTTTCTTTCTCACGCAGGATTTGGTGAATCTGAGCCTATCTGAGACTCAGCTCACAAATTTGTTAACTATCTTTCCTTGCGGGGGTATACATAAATAATATATAGTTAGATATTGCTGGGTACGTTATAAAATACGTTATAAAAGAGTGGTGGAGTACGGTATGCAAAAATCATGGGCCCAGATAGGTATGTGCAAAAGAGCGTTTAGCAAAAAACTCTCACTCAACCAGAGGGACAAGCATCGAGGTTGTGGTACATGCCGAGGTTATCAGAGTAGGCATTAACATTCTGACACCATCCATTGAGGAACTGATGGAGACTAGAAGGGCGGTTAGAGATTAGGCTAGAGCGAATGAGAATTTGAAACTGACTAGTCAAGATTGTTCTGGCACCTGCAACATCCTGTCGAAGCTGCAGCAGTGGCATCCGCCTTCGGACATGAAAATTAACAAGATAGATACGCTGAAAGGTACACCTTGACTTACATATGTCATTCCTTTAAACCAACCATTGTAGGAACCAATCGAGAGCAATACATCCCCGTTGTTGTCGTCCAGAAGACTCTTGAAATACTGAGTACCTGTCTTGATATTGTAGTCGATATCTTGACAATCGCCATTGGGAGCAGACGTGCACTTGTCAGACGTGAGCTGCATCAGGCCTTGCTCACCGGCTCCTCCGACAGTAGTAGGGTCGCAAGAAGACTAAAGAAGAAGACAAGAAATATGACTCGGTAACGATGACGAAAAGGATGAAGGAAAAGTCATACTTCTTGCATGGCGAACGATGCGATGACGATGGGAGGGATACCGAATTGTTGTCCGTATTCATAAAACTTGTCAGTATACGAACTACAAGCACTGAATGGCGTGTTCGAGTCCTGCAGAGCTGTAGCAAAATCTTTCACGATGATCTGATTGATATTGACATAGGTTGGATTCCATCCGCTGTCGCTAACACCACAATTCATCCAGTAGATGTTTCCATTTGGACCACTTTGAGAAGTGATATCCACTGTGAAGACATTGAGTGACTGATAGACAAATAAAAGACTGTACGTACAAGTAGCACCAATATCACCACAAGAAGAGACTACCGACAAAAGAGAACTAGCACCGTTCCAGATTCCACTGCTGTTGTTTGTGGAAGCGGAAGACTGAGCTGAGGCTGAAGAAGATGTAGGGCTTGAAGTAGTAGCCGAGGAGCTACTACTTGTACTAGAGCTGAACTGGACTGCATTATCATTAGCCTTTCCGAAAGACGGATTGACCGGGGGTGAGTTAAGCTCAGTAAATGCAAGATTAACTGTTAAGTATTTACCACTGCGGATGTCGAAGAAGGGCTAGGGCGATTTTTGCACCGCCTCGAGACCGCAGAACGGCGAGCATGAACTGCATGGCGAGCATGAGGATTTTTGGCTCCGAAGTCGTGAGAGTTGGACGCAATGACTGCGATTGCAGCAAAAAGGAGAGTGAAAGCGAATGAAAGACTCCTCATGACTGACAACAATGGTGGAAGCAAAGTGTTCGCTCATGATTTGTTGACCGCTCCCTTAAGTACTGTTTCATATGTACGTGATATCCAAGAGATTTTTTAGCCGTTGCATGAAGTCGTCAAGCGATGAATGAACACTGAAGATAAGTGACCTGTAAGTGACTCCACTACTGTAATCAATCAATCGTTGATTATCTGTACCCCATGATCCGCCTTGAGCCTGATCCGCCGCGGCAAAAGACGGGATAGTGTCGGCCCCGGTCGGCGTTCCTTCATCCTTATAATAAAAAGCTTGCACCAAGCTGGCACAAATTACCGGATGTCCTGAAAGCGACGTGGAATAATCATTCAGTAAATGATATGCACCGGTCAATTTTACTCGCAGGTTATGGACTGTTGTGGAGCCCGCTGAGGCCTGTTGGGTGACGCTCAAATATATGCTCAAATCATGCAGGGCTTATTTAAGCGTCGAATACATCTGCAGCGTTAATTAATGGTTGAAATGTACAGAATTACGGCCGATGAAACAGGCTTGTAAAGATAATTATATACAGCTGGAGGACAGCAGAGAACAGCACAACAGAGCATCAAAGGAGCTATGTCAAGATGACTTGTAGAAAGCTTAAGTTTTAGGTCTTTGTGTAGTATACAAGAGATTGTGTGAAGATCATTGCGCTTGTACAGGATAATAGTCAGAAATAGTCCAGAATAGTCCTTCACGATCACTCGTTTACACAGTTTTATACAGGATGGTATGCATCTGTGTCCTATGTTCCAATGGGACCGTGCCGATTAATCTTCCTACTCAGTTCGAACGCTATGCCATTGTGTGATTGAGTTATACCGGATTAGCAAGAAGGGACTGGAGCTTTATAATATATTTTCGATGACTTGTTTTGTTCACGGAACACAGCCGGAACATAAAAAACAAGGAAAGAGTCACTTTTCTTGCTTCGGCGAAATCAATCGCATCCGATAAGGTGTTGTGACGGTTTACCGCAGGAGGTAAATCAGGTAAATTGGGAAGGGCCAAGACTATCAAACTACATAGAAATCGACTGCAATGGCTCGAGAGCTCGGTCTATGTACATTTTGGTTTTTTTCGAGCGAGTAAAAGTGAAAGAGCCGGAGCTTTCGGATGGAAATTGAGTCATGTCACAGTCACGCATGACACAACAGGACACAACGGAGTCACAAGGTAACCTGCGAGTCAGACTGGCAGTGCAGTTACAATCATTTAAACCAGCCTTCCGACACCGAAACCGACTTGAATCCACAGAAATCTTCGCAAGCAGCTCTTTTATCTTCTCTGTTTAACCTATACAGACAAAGCTTGTTCGTTCAAGAACAGACTTTGTAACCGGCAGTCCACCAGGACCGCCGAACTTGACCAGCTTGCCCACAATGTGCAGCCAAATAATTTCACGTTTTCCCCAGCCGTCTCAGCACAACATCATTACCTTCAACAAAGCTTCGACTCAATACTCCATGTCCCGAATCGTATCAATAATCTCAGGTTTTTCTAATGTATATTCTAGCCTTATCTGAATCTTCTACCTTTACTCGCCTTTATATCTCCCATCTCTGCCTTTCTCGGCGTTTTTTTACACCCAACTCACCCAACAACATATGTACTCCATCCATTCTCTTGCCCACCGGGCTCCTGCATCTCGCACTCGGGTCAGGTGGCAACCTTATGGCACCCTTCCTCCTTCTGGCTCTACTTCTGTTTCTACTCCCTCCTCAGCCAAATCTCCCTCTTCAACCTGCTCTGTTTCTCCTTTTTCTTCTGCGACTTCTTCACCAATATCTGCTTCGCAATGCGATTCGGAGCCGCCCAAACAACACACGCAATCAATACCACAGCCACCTAGAGACGCCCAACCCCGCGACAAGAATAAGTTCGCTTTAGGCCTTGTCGGTGCGCAGACTCTTTTTCATCGCTTTATATCAGCCTCATAGGTCGTCAGATCAAGCAGTAAAATCTTTATGCGAAATATGGCGTCCTCAGGACATCCCTCCAGTTTTCCTTACCACTTCCCGTGCTGCCGTTCCCGCAACGGGTCCACCAATCAATCAGTCAATCTCGAAGAGAAATTGTCATATTCAATCCCAACCCGTTCAAACCCCACCTCCATCTTTATTTGCCACAGGTATCCATACCGAATGCGAGTCCCTTCCCGGCACCAGCAATCTCGTGCCCATGAAGGGCTTTGTCCACGAAGTCCTTCGACGTTCCAGAACTTCTGGGAGTGTTCTTCAAACGGCGCTTTGTTATCTGGAAGCCATTCGGCCCCGAATTTCGGAAATAGCTCAATCGGGCGACTCCTTCAAGGGCGAAACGGAATTGGCTGACCGGATTACTGTAGCTTCCGAAGACGAACTCGCGCGCGAAGCCGAGCTTTGCATTGGAACGGACACTATACTTATAAATGAATCAGATGATTCAATGGACACCATCCGAATTACAGATTCCTATTCTGGCTCTACCGCTGTATCCAGTGGAATCATGGAAGATGCCGAATCCACTCTCAAAAAGAGCAAAGGACCATTTTCAGCGCTTGTGCCCCTCCCCCATCTTCCTTCACCACTACTGTGCCCACGTCGAGCTTTCTTAGCATCACTTATCCTTGCGTCGAAGTTCACGCAAGATAAGTGTTACTCTAATAGAGCGTGGGCCAAGCTATCTGGCCTTCCACCGAGAGAAATCGGTCGTTGCGAGCGTGCTCTCGGTGATGCGTTAGATTGGCGTCTCTGGGTGGGCAAATCATCCCCACAACCTCAAGCTACGCCTATCACATCTCCGCCGAGTTCGTCGAACTCGCGCCCGTTGGCTCGTAGTCGAAGCGAAAGTTTGATCCCCTGCAACCCCCCAGATTCAGGAGGATTCCTTTCTGGCTCTGATAAGAGACCTATCTCTCCTATCACGAGCACTTCTGGTCGTCCCCGAGAATCGAATAATGCTGAATCCAGTCGCAGCATTGGTTTGCGTCGAGCTGTTACATTGCCTGCTGAAGCATTTGCTTTTAATGACGATAGTAATAGGCAGTTTACGGTTTCTCGTGATCGTGCCGTCGCTCAATGGATACACCATGACAAATCCAACAACGATCAGGTCGTTGATATGGACATGTATTCGCCAAATACTACAGTCAGTGTCGAACTTGATGTGCAAGTAAGTATACCTACACCTTTTTTTCCATTCCTTCACTGACATGAGGGCAGCTTGCGCACCCTTCGAACGCCGATCTATATATTTCTAGTACCAGTCCTCCGACTCCTGGGCTTACCTACTCACCAACCTCGACAGAGTCCTCGTCTGGTGATCGGACGGTGCAAATGCCTTGCTTTTTCGACGAAAAAAGCATAGCTACAATGGATGGGTATACTGCTATGGCTGCTCTGTCTGGGAATCCCTCAGAGACCTGGTCCTGGCTGGATCACTCTTTGACTAGTCTGGATCTTGGTCTGGTGGGGCATACCATTAATTCTAAACAACCTTCTCATTGTGCCCCTTCCCCCGTCTTCGCTGCGGATGCAACATTTGATTTCGAGAAAGCGAAGCCAATGCCCAAGTTTCCCGTTGATTCTTTTCCACCTTTCATGTCGAGCGAGGTTTTGCTTCGCGACATGTATCAAGTGGAATAGCATTTTCGGGCCCTTTGGATGTGGGCCATACTTTTTGGAAATCAAGAATTGTCTACTGAATTATCGATTATTCTGTCCCCCTTGGATTACATGTACTTAGACACGTCGTTGTATTTTACTGTTCTTTCTTTTCTTCTTCAGTCCTGGTTGTTACTCTTTGTCCTCCCTTATGCGATATATACGCCGAAATCATTGAACTCTTTTTCCTCTCTTGTCACTCTTACCTGGGTTGCTCCAGATTATGTCGAATCGTGTCGAATATGCCGTATTTTTGTCTGTTTGAAATTATATGTTCTTTTGTTCACCAGAGGTACATACTGCACTGACTGAGGGTTGCAGTACGTAAATTTGTGGCTAGTATTCTGTATCATTGCTTGCTTGTTTATGCTGCAGCACTAATAAAAGGTCCCGCACGGCATTCGCAGAAACTCAGTTCAACAGTTTAGTATTAATAGTAGAGACCAACGATAATGTGGCTACGTGCCGGTACTAGTTCCTTCTCAAAGTCCCGCCTGTAAATTGCACAGTCACTATACATATATGTGTTACAGATTGATGCTTCCACTAGCTGTGAAGCGTTGAAGTACACAATCTCCTACTCATTGAAGAATTCCAAAGGGGTATCCTTGGTCTGTACAGCACGCCACGTAGTTGCTTGACCATCCGCATTCTTGTTCCCTTCATCCGTAAAGATAGAATGGAACTTGACATCCTCGGTACCCTATAAATGAAGTAGGCGGGGACAGGTTGTATCACATCTGAAACGAGAAGCTCACCCTATTAGGCGGGTCGTGGATCCTGAGGCCATCGATATGTTTAGCATAATATGTAACATTTTTTTAGATGTTGCTACGCACCTAACATGAATAAATCCTTCGCCTTCGTCATCGTTGATAGCAGGAATCCTTATTTTTCCAAGAATGATAGTCCCATATGAGACAGGTGCGCTACGTACAACAACGAGATCTTTCTGTAAATATGTAGTACAGTCAGCCGGGACAATCGAGAGTGACATCAAGCGTTGTGCCTTGAAGCGCACCTCGAGAGTAAAGTCTACTAATTCTTGGTCAGAGATTCCTGAAGCCCTGGACCACATCTTGGGTTCGTGTTTGTCCCAATCTCGTCGAGAGTGTATGATAGCATGCTTGATATCCTGAAGGACGTGACCAAATGCCTCCAGTGAGTTTGGGTGAGGTTGATGAGGCGCGTTCAGAATCACTTCCTCGTTAGAAGCTTTGATGAGCAGATAATTAGCGCAGCAAATTTGCAGGCCAAAGGCAGAGTTTACCCATTGCACTGAAAGTTACTGTATTGAAGTGTACTGAAAGCTACTGAAAGGTGATACGAAATTACATAAACCGCCACGGCATCTGCCGTCTCTTCACGTTCGCCACTCATTCAACTGTCGCCAGACTCCCCACACTTAAATTCGTTGAAGAAGTTGATCACTATAGCCTTCACGATATGCTTTAACCTGGCACGCTTTCAAATTAGTATCCATGATCATGCCAAATTCGTATTCTAGCCGAACTCCAATTACCAATTGTGCCAAATCGAAAACGCCATTTAGCCGTTTATTCGCGACCGAGTTCTCTTCGTGCATTGCAGCGACTTGTCAAGTTAAAAGGTCAGCGTGTCAATACTTACGCTCCTTGCACCTCGAGCTCATTCCAGAGGCGAAGGCTAAGGTATACCTTAGAAAAGCTTGAGATTATTGACACGATTATGGACATGGAACCACGGTGGAATATTGGATTAAAGGTGATGCTGGAATCAACGTAAAGATCTTGGGCTGCACATTGTGGGCAAGGAGGTCAAGTTCAGGGGTCCTGGTAGGTCCTGGTGGATTTCCAGTTAGAAAGTCTATTCCTTTGACGAACAGACTTTGTCTGAGCAAACGGAGACTATACGGAGTAAATGGAAGAGCTACTTGTGAAGATTTCTGTGTTTTCGAGTCGGTATCAAAGGGCTGGCTCAATCATTACGAGGTATGATTTTCATGTTGGTATCACCTCACTACAGTTCGGGTTTATGTCATTATCAGCGAATTCCTCGCTGAGTATCTATTGGAGTGAACAGAATGAAGACTGGTTCTTAGACTTCCTTGAACCAACGGAAATTTTTTCCTAGATTTCACATGGATGTGTTTCCGATATCAGATCATGGGCTTTCTAATATTGAGGTCTTCTCTCCGAATTGACACAGACATCGATGGTTTTTCACCTGCAGTGATGTACAATATGCATCGTATAACTACTGACGCGGACGTCTTAATCATCAGCAGGCAGATCTGAAGGTCGGTCGTCATGAACACTTACTTGAAGATGCTAACCACACGATAATGTAAGTTTACAGTCTCATCTTCCACAATCCCAAGGTTGGTAATGATGGGCCGGCCCACCACACATTGACCAGGTTGCATGAGATGATCGATAAGAATTGTGAAACAAATCAGTTTTCCGCTTGAATATTTTTCGTCAGTCAGCGAGAAGGCAAGGTCATTTGTGGGGGCCGTTTTCTGACTTCACACAGAACGGGGTAAATGGCTCGTTGCTCTGCGCTCGCTCTCCACTCATACTGGGCCATTTATTCGGGCTTTTTAATATTAATCATTCACCAATTATGCGGGAATCTCTTCTCAGTTAATGGTCCGTTACACTTATGCCCAACTCATGTCTGTTTACACCTCTTCATTCAGATGATATGAAACAGAATGCGAAACAGATCTTTTTGGTTTTATTGTTGAGAGTTTGACGGTGAAGTTGACCATGCAAAGTGAGCGAGGATATTCTACACACCAGTCGTTCCACACGGCAACTGATACTATACTAATTGACGGCGGATTTGAGATTCTTAAAATGCGGCCGTCTGTTTACCTACGTCTGTTGATAATTAATTCATCATTGATATTGGAAAGAGAAACGACGGATTCATGGTCTTTACATGAGACCCTTCGGCGGATATGTTACCGCCCTTAAGTTCTTCCCCGCTTCTTCCGACCCAAGGAAGCAGGCCAGAATGTTGACAAATTCTTTTCGAAATCTCCCAACTTCTTAGGTCGGAAGTTCAAGGTATTCCTACTGGATGAGAATCCAGGACCTCAACCTCAAACGCGTATCAGTAGGTGCGGCGGTGCCAGTGCCTATTTCTCTCAACTGAAAAGTGGAAACCAGGTTAAGTATCACCTAACCGATCACCATTAGGCTTTTTTCTCTCAGCAGACATAACTCATAACATCGCCCTTGTATGCATCGATAGCGAACGACAAAAGCAATAGCAGACAATAACTTGGACTATGTTATAAAATACAAATATGGGAATGTGAATAGAATTTTGATGTGGAAGTTCCAAAATTTCATTGCCAATAACTTAGCATCATTATTTCAAAATTCCCGCCCGTCGCACCCTGTTCCCTAGATCGGATTAGCATGAATTGCAGGCGCGCAGACAGACAGACAGAAGGATATGAATGTGACGTGGGCGTTCTGTTCGTTATTATTTGGGGTAGTATTGATTGAGTGAGTCGTAAGATGTTTTCTTCATTGATACCGATGGTGATGTTGCTCTTGGGATGGACTATGGATCGCGTTTCGAATAGTCATCGGCGGATACTGAAGGATGAAGCAGTTGTAAACTTTATGTACCACGAAACAAAGTGATTGCAGACTTACATAGGGTTCAACGTGGACTGGAGCAAGCATTGGAGGAACATGCCAATGACCAGAGGGAGGGATGTGCTCCGCAGGACGAATACCTGGACCAACAGTTGGACGCCCAATCGGGTGAATAACATATGCATGATCATAGCGATGTGAAGGGGCGTAAGCGATATGCTCGGGCAACGAATTCAGTAAAGGGCCAGAAGGGGTGTATGCAAACCGATCGTTGCTACTAGTAAAAAAACAAAAGAGTTAGGACATGCGTCGCACAACATGTTTAGGAGTAAACGATTCACCCATGGCGACGAAGGGATGAATGTTCACCAGAGGGTAAAGGATGAAGCTGAAGGTACGGTTCACTGTGTCAGAACGACAGACATCAACACAAGATCGCCATCATAAGATCAAGGACTGACGACGTTGTTCTCCTAGATGCAAGAGGCGGTAGATCAAGCTCAAGAGGCTGTGATCGGGGCGGAGTGCGGTCTCTAGTTGGGGGAGTAGAGCCTTCCGATATCGATGATCCAGCAGTAGATGGACGGCCATCCAATTCCAAAGAATCTTTTCTCGTTGTCGACTTCTTTCGTGCTGGAGCACCTTCGGGCCAAGTGCACTAGTGAAAAAAATCTCCATCATCGGCATCCACCTAAATGACACCGACAACGCAACGACATACATCTCTCTGACCGTGGGTGCATCGCATGCAATTTGGCTTGGTCTCATCGCACTGTGTTTTCGCGGTCAAAGAATGCAACCATAATGACTACGATCCCATTCGTACCTTGATTTTTTTGACGCGACAAGTCAAACATCCTGTCTTTGAACGGGTATATTTGGGGCGCTTGCGCTGTTGAGTAGTTTCTTGCCGGGATTGGGGAGCCGCGACATGAGGCTGAGGGAGTTGTGGTGATGAGTAGTAGTTCGGGGGAGGCGGCGGCGGCGGCAAGTAGTGGGTGGTTGGACTGCTAATTAGTAGACTATCAGAACCAGGAGGAACGGAGTGGCGAGGGTTAAACGAGACGCACTAGGACATCATGAAAAACGGGTGAAAGAAGGAATAGAGGGAAATAAAAACTCTTATAAGGGAAATGGAAGAAGCACAAAATTGAAGTGGCCTACGGGTCAGCTAACCGTGGATCACCGAATATCAGATCTAAGGGTCGGAAAGCGTGTATTATCTATAGCTCCAAAATCCAGGCCAGAAATTTCTTCGTGATATGGAATCAGTTTTATGGTGTCTACAAACATTTGTACGTTTTTTGTCTGCATTTGGGAAGTTGAGTGAGACAAGAGCTTGGTTTTTGGCTCGATGCATGACACAACTTTCATTGATGCGATTATTTCCTAATCTGTCATTGCGCCTTTTGTTCCGATCAAATCAAAAGTTTGACCAAATTTGTCTTTATTTTACGTTTCACCCTCTTGTTCTCCTACTTCCAGGTCAATGGCCACATTCTGGAGCTTCTTCTTTACACTATAAAATTAATACTCACCTCGACAACCTATGATTGGCTACCGATATGTTCATCAAAAAGAAAAGGCATGTGGATAAGGCGAGTGAAACATACCAAAGAAAACCAGAAGACATGATTTGTACATAATATATCTTGAGGGAACAAGCCTGTGACCACTACCAATGCATGATCAAACAAGTACCTCTGGCACCGACCCTACTAATCTATAATGCTGGACATCATCCTAAGCCCGTATATGATGACATCCGCCATCAGGCCTCAGACCGTTACATGTAAGTAGGTAAGTACAAGAATCTCTGCTGTTCTGCTTCACATCCAGCACTGTCTAGTACCAATCGTGGCCTATATCCGCAGTATAAAACCCTAATTCACAACTGACATGCATTTTCTTGTGTTTTCTGATATACAAGCTGTCCACGGCGGTGCGTCTTCCCTGCTAATTAAGTTCTAAAAGGATAAGGACTAGGAACAAGGAACTAGTTTGGAACGAGCTGCAAGTCGTTACCTTCACCCCTTCCTGCTCTAGCCTGCTATCATCTATGCACGTTTCCACGCATCCCAAGCCAATGAGTTTAATCACCTTATTCGGCCCGCAGTATACCGAAAGAGTAATTGTTACATACGCTCACAGTCTACAGATGTTCCACTGATGTTCCCCCACAGCTCCGTCATATCGGATCCATATCGAAGAGACCGGCGGGGAAAGCTGTGTATTCAAGTGCGTCGGGACAAGCGATGGGCACAGTTGTCATGATGATGTCGAACAGCACCTGCGAGGGATCAAGCGGTCCCGAACATTCCCCGGACAGCTGAACACTCCTCGAATTCATCTTGACGAGATACGTTCCGTGACTCGTTACGCCTCGCCTACAGCTCGCTATACTCCTCCGAGCGATAATAGACGACAATCAGCCGGAGGCTTCGATTTACAAGTGGTCTACCGATCATGACATCAAAAAGCTTCACGGCTATCCATGCGGAGTGGCTGTACTCCTTCATTACCTCGAATTATAATTCCACAAGCGTCGTATGTACCTGTCTTCACCCGAGAGGAGACGCCCCAAAAGGCTGGTATCAATTGGATGTCAACTCTACTCTACCACACTTCATCCGGTCAGTATCCTTACCCAGTCCTTACCCATATTTGTCCCACCCGCCGGTCTCCTAAAGGGGTATATATAAATTCTGCAGAAACTGAATACAACTATGTTCAACGTCATGATAATGAGGGTATACACGTTGTACATGTGTTCAATGCAAAATATCTGTGTGCTCACGAATCAACTGGGACTCCTTCGAGTTATACATTCCCAAATGCCTCCATTCTGACCCAGGTTGAGGTTTAAGAGGCCTTAAGGCCTTGAGGCGCGAACCTGAGTAAATGTAAACTGTTTCCGAAAAATACGTATGCAGCCTACCGTTTCTGTATCAGGAATTCTATGACACTTTCATGGGCTGCAAGATCGCGTTGTCCGGACGCCCACAACCACAATACTAGAAGCAACGGTGAGCATATGGAAACGTCGTTGATGTATAACATGTGAAGTCCAACGATCCAAATTGATTCAAATTGTACTATCATTATAGCGAAAAAAAACAGGATCCACAAAGGCAAGCTTGACAAAGAGGAACGTCCAACTATATTATCTTCGAGTGCAAGGGGAGGAAATGGAACATAAGTATTGTAAATGAGTACTGTATAGATGAGCCAATGTATATGAGCGATTGATTATTGATTGAACAAGATAAAACGACCAAGAGAATTCCAAGGAAAGTCAGGAGCAAAGAAAGAATCACAAAAAGCGTGAATTAAAGACAGCTGCAGGGTATATGACACACTGCAAGGAGATGGTTCTATATCGATGGAATGGAGAAAGTGCGACCACCGCCGACTGAAAGCTCATACTGATCAAGCATCTTCGGCTTCGAGTGACGCTGAGTCCGAAGAAGGTGGCCTTGAGTGACCATTGGCTGTGCCAGGCCGAGATCGACTGGTGCTGAGAGAAGAATGATCAGCCTGCAGGAAGGGTCATTAGGAAGTAGTGACAAACGCGTCTTTAGGTTTTTTCCAGTCCCAGACTTGACGCAACCATTTTGCCATATTCACTTCTTGCGTCATGTTGTCCACTATCCAGGGATGTGAAAGCATGTCCTTGGGAGTCGGACGGCTTAAGGCATCCACGGTCAGACTACAAAAAAAGATCAAAAAAACAGAAAGGACAAGGCATGGGTGACCCTACGTCTGTTTGATGAAATCCTTCATCTCGGGGCTCCAGATGACACCACCTTCATCTTCGAGGTGAGGAGGCTGAAAGGCAACATGAAATATATTCATATAATGTCCAAATAATACATACCTCGCCTGTGGTAATATGCATCATTAACTCGATGGGAGGAAGATCATTTGGGAAAGGGAACCGGTTTTGGACAAGTTCTAGCAACGATATTCCAGTCGACCAAACGTCTGATCTTATAGTATACTCGTGCCCACAAATTCGTTCTGGCTGCAAAAACCATATTATTCAAAACCGACCCAGATGTCTGAATAATCCCACTTACAGCCATATAAAAGCTTGTACCTGTAAAGGTGTAGGCCATTGAGCCTTCCAGTTTACCTGAAACACCGAAATCACAAAGTTTGACGATCCCTCTACTCGATAGTAAAATATTAGAGGGCTTGATATCTCGGTGGATTGTTTTCTTGGTATGAAGATAGGCGAGACCTTGTAAAATCTTGAACAGGGAACTGATTAGAATATAAGGATCGTCGACGTGACGCGACTAACCCCTTCCGCTAAACGACCAGCGATCTTTTCCCCTACAACTGCATTGCGCTCCTTGATCTTCTTACTAACTGTCTCCAGGCTACCACCCTCACAAAAGTCCATCAAGATCTTGACCTCACTCGATGACGGAGACATGTAGGCGCCATAAAAGTGGACTATATTGATGTGTTTCGTGGATGACATGATAGATAACTCTCGCTCGAGTTGTTTCATCGGCGCCTCCCGAGTTGTGATCGTCTTGCGAGCCATAACCTTACCCGTCCGCTTATCCTTGACTTTGTGGACTGCACCACCCGCACCCTCACCAAGCCTACAAACTTCTTCGAGAATATCATCGGACCAGGGATTAGAGAATACCGCTTCTTGTACCACCGAGTCAACTTCGTCATCTGTGGGACGCATGTTGTCGATTGCATGACGGATGGACTCGATGGGCTCGTCTTGTTTGGATGGCATTGCAATGGTTATAGACGGGCGCGTAGTGGCAGGTGGTCGGATGGTGGTCTCATCTGCAGAACCGCCAGACGAGATAACAGTAGTAGGACCTCCACCATAGTAGCAGTATGAATCCTCATCTGCGCTGTGATTATTGGATGGCAGAGGTATATCAATCTGAATACGTGGCTTGGGCGTTGTCGGGCGAGAGCGAGGTGTGGGAATGCTCAGAGTGAGAGCGGGAGCAGGGAATTTTCTCGGTGAAGAATTTGGAGGCTGAGGAACTGAAGAATTCGGCGGATGTGAAGGATTAACCTTTTTGATATTGAGCGGCGGTGTTTCTGGAAGAATCATAGTGTTGGGAGAAGGCGAAACTGGCCGCGAGAGCCTTTCGCGAGGGCCTTTTAAGTGGATAGGAGGGCGGGATAACTGGCTCGTTTGCATGATGGTCAGTCTGAGTGATGGAATCTGCGCCTGAGGTCGACCGTCGCTAAGCCATCTATCTCGCCACGTGACTTTTATAGCCACTGGTGACTGATGTCGCTTCCTTCTGTTTCTATTCCTATACATATATCCTCATGTTTGACGACGAGCTATCTTCCGTTTCCTCAACAAGCTCAGCGTCTTCTCCTTCGAAGAGAAGGTTTCGTCTACCCCCTCTCACTCGTCGTGATCCTGTTGGGTACTGGTCTCTAGTATCGTTTATTCTTCATACATACACTGACTGAATCACCACCTGAAAACAGCATAGATCCTGATGAACTGATTGGCAAAAAATTAATTCGAATCTCGCGCTCCTCCGTCCATCCCAGCCTCACTCTTGATTTCGACGATCATACATCTGCTCAAGTATTAGTTGATGGGTACTCTCCTCGTTGGAAAGGCATTCCAAAAGCACTCGAAATGGATGAAGCCTTCCAGCGCCTCACGAGCACTGGATTCGTTGGCTTGGATACTCTCGAGATTGTTGACTGTGCCATGATAAAGCTATGCGATAAAGCGTTTCAGCGGAAGCAAAATGATGATCATAATTCAACTATGTGGGACCAGGAACATGCAGCTATAGCATTCAAATTTTCGGGAGAGAATCCACATTGGCATTGCGTTTGGGCGGTGTTGGCAGAGTACAATGAAGACAGAACCTGTACATTCAGAAGCTTTGAGGATGTCTTTCTAAACTATCTTCAACGCTCGCCTCGGAAACAATCTCGGAAGAATTTGAACATGGACAAACTGAGAGATTGAAGAAATTGTCAGTAGAAACTTTACTTTTCCCTCACCTTGCTTTTTGTTAATCGAGCCCTCATTTGTTTAGTAACCTGATTTGCTGTTGTATCGTTATATACGAACCAGATAGACTGGATTCGGACCACTACCCTTGCTATCGACTGTGCTATCTCCCTGCTCGTTATTGATTTTTGTTTCCTTATCAACTGCATATGTATACTCTATCATCAGGACACATCTCACCTCGCCTTTATCTACCTATGTATATGTATACTAGTATCTCGTTTACGACTTTCATCTGACTTCAATCGGATCACTATGCATATCGTCATATAAGTGTAAAACATTGAAATATTTGATGCTCCCGCGTGTGTCTTCTTGAAACTGACGCAGGAGCTTTGGGTTAGATTTTTTCGGAATTCCATACGCTCTCAGTCAAGCAAGATCGTCATTCGGTAGACTTTGCTGAGATCTTTCCTTCGACATATTTCTCATTATGTCAATCTGCATCTCTATCCCTTTATCCAACAAGGAAGCTTTGGACTCAATGGTCATCTTGTAACCAAGACGTCAAGAAACATAACCGACAGGTTCATACGAAGGTACGTAAGTCGTACAAAGGTTGAATGGTGTGAAAGATCGAGGTCTTGAAGCGGGCACTGAGCTTCGAGTTAGGCAGGTAGTACGTTGAAATAATTGTTGACGTACATACAAGAAAGGAGAAGGGTGAGGTCTGTAGTCTCCAACTTCAGCTCCTCCTGTCTCTGGAAGATAGAATGGTAAACACTCGAACCGATCGAAATGAACGTACACGTTTGACATGAACGATACATAGGCCCTAACTTCAGTTCCGTCGCTCTGTGATCTCTTTAGCTCGGTGTTTCGCAGAACCTAAACGTTCAAACGTCCAGACCCACCGCCAGGGTGCTTCGGCTTTGAAAATGAGTTGTTGAAGTCAGATTGACGACTGTATTATTCACCTAATGCGAATTTTGTACAAAACTACCAGTACTGATCGGACAACAAATTTTTTGAAAGCTTTATAACATTGGAGGATGGCTCGTAGGGGTAGACGGGACTGTTCCGGACTCGCCACATCGAGTAAGTTCGCGTTTAATTAGGATCTTGAAAAAACTCGGGGATGTCCCGACCATAATTAATTCGGGGATGAGCTGAGCCTGAGATGAATACGAGTAGCCTCAATCAGAGCGAAATATACCTTAGTACTGTCTAATACATCAAGACCCACCGCTCGCCTTCGAGCATTAACGTCTTGGAATGCGGCCATGTCCTCGGCATTGAGTTGAGGATGTGGTTCTCCGTCAGCAGCTTTAGGGATCTCGTTGTTGAAAAATCTACCCAAGGATCGCGAAGAGTTCTTGCTCTCGACCCGCCTCGTCGTCGAAGAATTTACCCACCATCTTCTGAGCATATAGTATAGCGCGAAGAGAAGGTTCAATTTTTTTGATATTCGTCTGGAATTTCCCAAAATCTGATACGAGCAGTGCAATCGGATTTGAGATATTGTGAGACTCCCGAGAACGGTCGAAATGGATCCGCCTCTGTTCGCTTCCTTGCTTTTTAGTAAACTCTTGAGGTTCGGCTTCAGTTGATGGCTTCGCTGGTCGCTGTAGGAAGTATCTGCTACCGGGGAGCTCTGGAAGGAGGTTTTGCGGAGTTGTAGCAACAATCGAAACGGGCAAGCTGAAATATTAATATTTGTCGCATACGGAGATCACTGTGATCTTGTGTTGAGAGCGCAACAACACGAATGAAGTTAGGATCTGGATCGGACTCAAGTGTCTCCTGCAATGTCCCATTCACCCACCTCGTCCATTCGTAATGAAAATGACCTAGTTGCTTGATGATAGCACATCCAATTACTAACCTAATTAGTTCATTCAACACCTAGAGAAAATCTATACCGTTTGAGCAGTTACTGGCAAGTAAAAATCCTTACAAAAAAGACGAATGCAGCGTCCGATGCAAGCCTCTTTCTGAATTGAGTTCGAGTTCAAGTCCAAGACCTTGTCAGCAGAGGACGATACGCTGGTTATCATTGTATCTGGGTCAAGAGAAAGCAAGATAACGTTGGCGAAGCTCATCGCGATCGTATCGAAAGAAAGATTTCATTGAAATTGCGGTCCGAGCTTTGCCACACGTGGGCTAAAGTCACGAGAAAGCGCGTTGAATGACGCACATGCAACGTCTAAAGTCGATTTTGGTATCAACGCGCGCACGCCCTCTCCGGTATCGAAAGGGCAATGGGCGATCGGGAATGGTGTTTGCACACAAGTACAAGAGTAAATCTTCAGATTCGTTCAACCACGCGACATCGACAGCGGCCTCTTCCCCTGATCTTTTCACCCCTTCCCCTTCCCTCTCCCATTCGCATCCTCAGTCGCAAGTTTCCTAAAAGACACCATTGGTCAATCAGTCAGAACACAATGAAATATTCATGGACCTTCTATACCTCAATTTATCCTCGACTTTCCTCGTCGTCTCAGCTTATTTTTCAGCAAGAATATCAACTTTTCTCTTCATATTTGTCCTGCTTTCACCTGCTTTCAACCAAACACATTCCATCCATCAGCACTTATTCACGTTCCCTGTATACCCCCCTACCTCTCTTCCCATGCCTAGTACGAGCACGAGTGGAGTACACTGATCACTTCTGGTTGTTTTTTTCCTTCGACCTTTCTCACACTGGCAAGGCGCTCGATGAAGAAATTGAGGAAGGTCATCAACGGTTCTGGGATAATCACGCATGTAATTGGGAGCGGAAAAGCATATGATGGTGGCGCATCCTTATCTTTTATTCGAGAAAATGAGATGGGTGTTCAAATTAGGGATTGGAGCGGCAGAGGAAGCTTGGGCGAAGAACGTACCACAGGGAGCGTTGAGAGATAAATTTGTGATAAGCTCCTCGCCAGAATGCACCGATGCTCTAACGAGAGTGCAGAGGAGATATTGCGACAAGTTTTCCTCGGCTCTAGATTTGAAAGTACGATTGAAGATTTCAGAGTCTTCTAGTATAATAAGACCTCGACTTCAACTTTACATGTACTTTTGCTAAATTCAACGCCTTGGACAAATGCCAAGGACCCGACCGAGCAGCTGAGGATGGAGAAGCAGGTCAATATTCCCTGCGCAATAATCCTGGATGTCTGCCCAAGTCGCAGTGAGCTTCAGGGCAGTGCCCTTGCTCCGGCCCGTCAGCGGGTGATCCTTCGCTTCCAAAGAGGCAATTCCCGATTAGGTGTCACTCCTATGCAGCTCGTCAGGTAAGATATCCATAGATTTGCCAAGTACATACTTATCGGCTCGAGTCCGTTGGGTTCGCCCTACTTGTTCAAGCCTGTTCGAAGACAAGATGATCACAAATTCTTTTACCATAGATGGTCGTATTTTGATGCTCGAGTTCGCCCGTCAAATGTCTTGTCAAGTACTAGCTAGAAAACACTTGGCGTACCGACCATCGACAAGCCGTACTTAGACCAAAGCCTATATTTGTGATATTACACCATGATGCTACATATTTCCAGTATTTCTCGTATAGTAATCCAACATTTTGACATTTTGAACTAGCTAGTAGAGTCAATTGTATTGATAGATTTGTTTCGTTAGTCTTGATCTAAATGGAGTCAGAGTCCTGCCTTATAAAATTCTGAATTGTCGTAAGTTTTGACAGTAGAGATAACATCATGGCATCTTGATTACGCTTGGGTCCAGCAAGCAACGAGGGGAAACAACATCTACTCTTTTTAGCCCTTTTCCTTCGCAGGTTCAGTCCCTACTCACAAGACAAGCTTGCCCGAGATTCACAGAACGATCATCAAGCAGGTAACTCTGACCTCGCTTTGGCTCGGCTTCGGCAAGCTGCTAGCAACACATGTTAGCACGGTTTTTTGTGAGTTGAAGTATATCAAGATGGCCGTCACCTTAGAGTTATTGAGAAGCGCAGAGTAAGAGACTGACACTTGTTCAACTTGAACTAAATACTCAGAGGGCCAGGACCCAGAAGGTGTTTTCAGTTAGATACATGTTCTGTCAGAACTCGATGATCTGTCGGGGTATCACCTATAACGACCGCAGTCAGAGAATTTCCGTATGGACCAAACTTTTGACATGCACGATTGGAGAGAATTAGAGTATTACCATAAGTATATACATATTGGATAGATGTATACGCACCTTAATTTCACCAAACGGATTAGCGATCAAGCCTCAAGATCAATTCAATGACGCTGTTCATTTCAAGCTCAAGCAGGAACATTTTTTTTGGACATTTCTGGGTTAGAGCTGGCTCTTATATTTGTAATTGGAAGAACAAATCCACTACCTAAGTCGTAAGCTAGACAAGGCTAGACACCGCTGAAGGACATTATAGCGTTTCTGAAGATGATATAATGTGAAAGTTCCCCGAAGAACCCTTGATGTGCGGAACCGGGTGAAAACTCTCAGCGCATTTGGGTAGACTATGTACATGCACCAGACTATGCCTTGACATTAGTACTACTAAGTACTTGCATAGCTTGTCACTACAAGAGATGGTTTCATAAATAAAATACTTACATTGGACTAGGCAAGCATTTGAAACAAAGTAACGCGAGTTCAGCGTGAATTAATGTGTATCCAGCGGCGTCTATTTAGAGCTAGAAGAGGCCAGGGAGAGTGTGTGTGTCCAAGAGATTCAGACAAGCGACTCGGTGAGATCAAGCGCTCAGATTCGCATAACCTTAACCCCACCTCGCGTCCGTGCCCTAACCATAATGATGGGCGCGTTTTTCTTTCCCTTCTGTACGTGATGAGTACCACAGTGAGCACCCGAATCTCCTTTGCGTCTCTGACTACTCATAACCTGGGAACAGTGAGGGTATTTTGCTCATCTGTCTCTTCAAAATTGACTATGCCTCTTAGTTGAAGAAACTTAACTCTGTTTTGTTCCCGATAGCTTACACCGATCGGTTCTACGCAGATGTTTTAAAGTCGGAAGTAGATGAGTTTTGTAAACTAGGTACGCGCCTTAAAAGGGATTAAATCTGGGTAACTAATTATTTGACAGTATATTACAACGACATCCCAGGTCAGTTCAAGAAGGCTAATGCGTCGCGTTATTTTTCACGTCACTCAGTGCAGTTGGGACCATTTGTTGTCGAATTGAAACCAAGGACAATGAAACTCAATTATACCTCATGACTATGGGTGTATTAGCTGTATGTGAATTATGCTGTTCTCCGTCTGAAGTCGACTTAGTTTCGATTAAGCCATATCGCTCCAGAGGGCTTGGATCCCAATCTCTTCAGCATATCATTGACGCTGCCAAGTCACACATCAAAACCAAGATCGACAAGATTTATCTCCATGTTCAGACGTCCAATGTGGAGGCGAAAAAGTTCTACGATAGACATGGGTTTGAAGCAGTGGGAATTCACAAGAACTATTACAAGAAACTAGTTCCTCGAGACGCCTGGATCATGGAGTTGACCATTGGACAATGACGGCGACTACTATATATTACATTGCGTGAGCTGATGTACATACCATCCTGCCCCCACAGTATTACTATTACTGACGATCTGGATAGATAGGGTGTATACTATGTGATTAAAGGATTCGCAATTTCATGTTTGTGTTCATTGTTTATAGCTATACATGGTGTCAAGACCAGGTTTCATCAACTTTGCCGCATCCCTTGACCAGCTGCCAAATGTATGAGTATGAATTTGAAGGTGTCAAGATTCGAAATATCTGAACAAACCTGGTGACGCTTCAATGCATCTTTCCTAGTGAATGTCTTACCGCAACCACCGTTGCAGAGATAAGGCTTTTCTCCAGTGTGAGTTTCCCGATGCCGCTTCAGATCGTGCTGTCTGGAGAAGGACAACGCACAAAGAGTGCATGCAAATGGACGAGAGGAGGTGGCTGTATATGTGCTTGTTGAAGGTGTAAGTGGTACCTGTGGAGGGTACTGTGACGGAGGGGCCATCGGAACTGCATCATACGGTATCATTTGTGAATGGGAGTGCGACCGTGAACGACCCTGCGCTGGAAATGAACTTGATTGCATATACGATGGCCCGTAGGGATGGGACACTGAATGGTGGTGGGAGTGCCCGTGTGTATGGGTGATAGGTCCGGTAGATGATTGAGAATGCTCAGGTGAGCGTTGTGCATGAGATTGAGACGAGTAGTAATGAGATTGGCCAGATGTGTGAGATGGTTGCGATGTCACCACTGACTGAGAATAGCGATAGTGATGAGGGTTTACAGATGAAGACGAAGTGTCTCCCGATATATATCCCTCTTGGCCAGCCGTGTAATAACCTGCTGCATAGCTCGCGTTAGGGTCTCCGGAGCCATATTGTTGATCGGTGTGGTCGTAGGATGAAGAAGATGGGTAACTGCCTGAGCGTTGATCGCTCCATTGATTTGAAGATAAATATTGGTTCTTTATGTGCGTGAATAATTTGCGGATGGTACGCGTACACGGTACTTACCTTGCTGGGGTTCATATTTGCCTTTCACTTCTGGAAAAAGGGTAGAGAAAGCGCCAACCATGGATCCAGAATGCCCATATTTAAAGGGTGCCAAAGGTGCCTGATAGAATAGATCCCGCGCCCCATCCGGGCTCGCAGGGCTCACTACCAGATTCTAAACGAAGTTTAGCGTACTTGATGTGTACATATGTCCGCAGCCGAAGTGACAGTTTGAGACAAGAAATTAAAAGAACTAAAGGGTAAGCGCTCTCTGCATTAATCAATTCCTTTCCCTGTACGTCCTTTCTTTCTACTTTCAATAAATGAGTAATCTCAGATCGTATCTGGGTAACCAATATCTTGCGTCTGTTTTTGCGAATGCGACTACGTACTTTAGCTTTTGCTCTAATCAACGAATTTATCATAGCAACAGATACAGTACAAGTCTCTAAATTTTGCTTTGAGTTCACGTACACACATAGCCTGAAAATTTTTGAAAGTTGGGCAGGACCCAGAAAGGCAAAGTGCCTTCGACCATATTGAAGAACGTTAAGAGCATAGTTGCTGTTCTGAATCGCAGAACGGAGAAACCATCCGACTGACTGTTGTCAAGGAATTGTTGCTCTTACATGTCAATCGAGTTAACCTTTTCGGCATTTGTGGCGCTCGGGGCAGACGGAAGAATATGCAGAATATGTCTCCGTACAACACTCTTGCCTTCTGACATCATGTCGACCTCGAAACGCCGTATCGACAGACCTTCAACTCCTGTTCATTCGAAACGCAGAAAAGATACTCAATCTCGCCTTGATTCGTTCTTTTCTAGTCCTAGCGTTAGTGAACGTCCTGGCAAAGTCAAAGCAGGTTAGGCCGAAGCCTGAGAAACTTCTACGATGTTGAGACTCATACTCACTTTACCCAGATTCTTTTCAAAAAAGCATTGCCAAGGACATAGAAATCATCGATGTGGACCTATTGGATGATGATGTGGTATCTGCTCCTGAGCATCAAAGTAGCTCTTCACCTAAGAAAAACTCGAGCGCATTGCGCCCTGTCAAGCTCATCCAGGCAGGCCGCAAGGATGCCTTTGCTAATGTACAACACACTACTCCTGATTATGCGCCTCTAGCTGTGGATCCATCTACATATACTACAAGTCATTTCATTTCGCAGTCGACAGACACCCCTTATTCTTTCCTCGCCCACACTCTATCAACGATAAATTCGACTCGGTCACGCACTGCAATCCTTAACACGTTGACAAATACATTTCGCACAATCTTGGTTCATCATCCCCAATCACTTCTTCCGTCGTTGTACTTGCTTTCCAACACGCTTGCTCCTCCTTATTCTACCTTGGAGCTCAACATAGGTCCATCAGTAATCTCACAAGCAATTCAACAAGTGTCTGGCCTCACATCTGCCTCTCTCAGGAAGTTGTATAGCTCTACAGGTGATCCTGGTGATGTAGCGTTCATGGCCAAATCCACAACTCGAACGCTGATTCCACATGCACCGTTACTTGTAACTGGTGTCTACAAGTCTTTATTGAAGATCGCCGCATGCAAAGGACAAGGCGCTATCAAGGAAAAACAAAAAATCGTCGAGAAATTGTTGGTATCTGCAAAGGGAGAAGAAATTCGATTTCTGGTGCGAACATTATCTCAGAATCTACGAGTGGGCGCAGTCAGGACCTCTCTACTGACGGTTTTGGCGAGAAGTTTCGTTTTGACTCCGCGGAAGACATCCAAGGATCCCAGTTTCGATGGGTCAGCAGGAGATTCAATCACCACTCAGTCCATAGCTTCCGATTCCAATAGCAAATCCATAGATATCGCCCAGGATACATTGTCGTCGAGATTTCGCTCGGCAGAGCATCTTCTGCGGAAAGTCTTTGTACAACATCCTTCCTATGATCACATTGTCGGTGCACTTCTGGAAGTCGGTCTTGATGGGCTCCCCCAAAGAGTCCCTCTTACAGTCGGTAAGTTCCTTGTCCTTCTTTTTCAACAATTTTATTAATATACGGGTAGGCATTCCTGTCTATCCGGCGTTAGGGTCACCGATTCGATCCTTCGAAGAAATTTACGAACGATTGAATGATTTGCCTTTCAGTGCTGAACTGAAGTACGATGGTCAAAGAGCTCAAATCCATGTATTGCGGCAGTCAGATGGCCCCATAGATGTCCGGGTGTTTTCGCGCCATCTGGAAGATATGACTTCTAAGGTATGGATCATCCTCGTCTTGGAAACCGCTATTCGCCGAAAACTTTTCAGTACCCGGACGTGACAGGCTTGATGCAAGTACTCCTTGAGATACATCCAGAAACGCAATCGCTTATCTTGGACTCTGAAATCGTTGCCATTGATCGTGCAACTGGATCTCTCAAGTCATTCCAAGCCTTATCAAGTAGAGCCCGGAAGGACGTGCGTTTGGAGAAAGTCGAGATATCTGTTGGGGTTTTCGTGTTTGATCTGCTTTACCTAGATGGAGAAGTAAGCTTCTTCAGGAATACCCACAGGAAATTTTCTCAAATTGTAGTACTTAGATTCTATTAGACCGTTCTTTTCGAACTCGGAGGTCCCTGATGCGGAACCGATTCCCCTCATATATTCCCGAAAATGAACTCCTTGCCCAATTTCAACATGTTGATAGCTGTGACAGCGAGGAGAGTCAGATTCAACTGCAAAATTTCTGGGAGACGGCAGTCAGTCGTCATGATACAGAGGGCTTAATGATCAAGGTCAGTCGGTTTCATCGGACTCAGATATTATGGTACATAGTACTAATGCCCTACAACCAATTTACAGTTACTTGATCATGAAGTTTGCGATGAGGACAGTAAGGGTAAGTTGCAAGCTCGAAAAAAGCCATTATCAGCTATATACGACGCGGATAAACGGACGTTCTCTTGGATGAAGTTGAAGAAGGATTACGTTTCGGGTATAGGAGACTCGCTCGACCTGATTCCCATCGGTGCATGGTACGGAAATGGTCGAAAAGCGAAGTGGTGGAGTCCAATCCTTCTCGGAATATGGGATCCGGATCAAGGCCATCCTGTGGCTATCTGCAAGTGCATGTCTGGTAGGCTTCCTACTACCATCCCTGCTGGTATAACCGTTTTTTCATTTTGCTCCTATAGGGTTCACCGACGCTTTCTACAAGGTACGATTCAGTGATCATCAGCAATCATGCAAAGCTTCAGTACTGATTGTTGCTCTTGAAAATCCCTGATTTTCATCAGATATTGAGTGAGCAATTTTCACTTGACGATGCAAGTAAATGCTCAAGGAGTCGGCTTTGGGATTGTGAATTTGGAGGTTAGTGCTCGTTTGCTACTACACTTGCTTAACGGCTCACAAATACTGCAGGTTTCAAGCCGGATGTCTACTTTAAACCAGATATGGTATGGGAAATTCGAGGCGCAGAGTAAGTCGACTCTCCTCCATGGTAAAATTGTTCTTTTGACAAAATTCCGGTACCTTAGCATCACCCTTAGCCCTATATCTATTGCCGCATGCCATCTCACATCGTCTAGTAAAGGGCTGAGCCTTCGCTTCCCGCGTTTCATACGAGTCAGAGACGACAAAACAATCATGCAAGCTAGCGATGCGTCATTTTTGGCGAATCTATGGAAGAGTCAACAGGGAAAATTGAAAGAACAAGATGACGAGCTTATTGATGTTGACGTAGACAGCACTGGTGACTACTCAGAAATGGACGACATCGATATCTAAACACGATTGTCGGCGCAGGCAGTGTTTAAAGAACAAATATCACGAGTGTTGAGATCACGCGGCAGACAGTTCATATAAGGCTTTAAGTGGATAACAAGTCATTCAAAATCTCTTTGTATACTGTTGTCTCCGGATCCTTAGTGTGAAACAGCTCTTCTAGTTGTCGAGGAAACTCCTCACTTCGTAATAGGCTCCACCACCCTTCGTCCCTCGCTCCTACAGGCAACTGCGTTTGATATATATAGATTGAGGTCCAAAGTTGGAACTGAATCCAAGTATACGGAAGGTCTTTGTTGGAGAGGTGAGGTTTGAGTTCTTCCATCGAGCGACGAATTTCAGTAAAAGATGGCAAAGTGATCTGACTGAGGATCGAATTTGAAGTCAGCTGGGGTTTTGTCTGTTCTTCAAAAGGTTTTGTTTCGTTGCGCCTATGGCGAATGGGCTTTGCACGAGCCTGAGGTTTGGAACGTAAAGAGGTATCTTTTGCAGTGCTCTTGCCGCCATTATTGATAAATTTGTGCAGGAGCGCAATTCGGAACCTCAAAACTGGAAGCGTAGGCGGGAGAGCCACAAGTGATGCCAAAAACGCTTTCGGGCCCGATGTGTACACCCGAGAGAAGACCGAATTTAGAAACATGGTGAAATCGAAGAGATTGGTAGAACAAAGATTGATTAACTGGAAAGATAGATTAGACTCAGCATAGATTCTATCCTAACCTATCCTTACCAATTGCGTTAGCCTTGAGCCCATTTGTCGCCGCTGTTCATCCCCTTCTTGAGCGAGAGCGTATAAAATGATTGAGAGAGGTGCATCTGCCTCCCAGCGAACACTCATCTCACTACGAGGCGCAGGTATCTGATTGAGAAGAAGGGGAGAATAACGCGCTAGATCACTTCATTAATGTTGTCCTTGCGATTGAGGGTATAAATGCCTACGTAAACCACGAGCCTCAGTCTCACATTCGTCGCGCTCAAAGAGGATAAGAAGAAGGTCAAGTACAGGCCACGCATGTTCAGCAACAACACCAGAGGCGCCAAAATCATCGTCGTCATTGTCGTCAAAAACGGTCGTTCGCCGTGTGCCTCTTTTTGTTGGACTAGATGTTGTGACTCGATGTATGAAGCCTTTTTGCAAGATATTCCAGCAATTCTTCGCCTCCGATATGCAGTAGGATTCCTTGGCGATTAGTGACTCGGAACTTTCACTTCCATTCACATTAGAACGATCATAGGAAGGTAAAGCACGAGCCACTCCTTCTGGACTCATCGTCAGCGCATATTGGATAAGAAGAGAGCACGCTAAGGCCGCGGTTTGTGAGGATATAGTCAGCGATTTCTGTTGTTGTCGGCCAATCTTGCTTGGGGAAAGCGATGGACCAAGAGGCACTTTTTTCACGGTTGGTGGGTATAGAGAAAAATAGAGCAATTGTCGTATATGAGATCTTATAAAGAAGGGAGTTCAGAGTCGGATTATGTATTCTAGTTGGATCACTCACGCGGAAGGTAGTACATTTGAAGATTTGAGTTGACTGAGAAGAGCGATACCTTCATCATACTGGGATTCTTCGAAGCAAGCGTCCACCAAACCTCGTTGGTGTAAGTTCATCACTGAAAGAGCGAAGTGTTGTAATCTAATCCTAATCACTGTCAGCACGCTGTGTCACGCACATGACCTTTTACCTGTATCCGGATTCCGACCTATTCCGACATGAACGTTTGAACTCCCGGCAGCTCCCCGCGAACCCCTTCAAACTTAGTGACTACGATTATCAGGCAGATAGGCGATACATGCAGTCAAATATCAACAGCATGGTGGATCCTGTCCATTTTCACTCATCATGCATCCAAGTCAGGTCCCGCCCCGCTGACGTCCGGATCATATTCAAACGATCCTCTTCGCCAAACTCTTGACCTTTGTGAGTAGAACTGCTGAAGTAACTTAAATGCTCTGCCTTTCAAGTTGTTGCTTTGCACATTGCCCCATTCAGACAACCTTCTGCATTTGTACAAAGCTGGTATGCACAATGATTTCGAATGATCAGTTGCTGTTCGCATGCGCAGTACATCTATTGTACAGTCGACTCAGGTCAGCTCTCTTATCCAATTTTCCGAAGGCGGAGCCAAGCTGTGCTGGCGAAACCTTTCGAAGCTCACCTGTTCCATCGATGAATTCAATATGTGGCTCTGACTGAAAACGGGATCTACAGAGGAAGAGACGTACGTTAGACTTACATAGGCTGTTTGGATTACTTTGATGTCAAGGTTGTCTACCTTCGACGACCTCCATAGTTTGTGTTTTTGTCGTTTAGCCTATGTATTTGCAGTCAAAATTATTGGTCTTTCAAAGTCTTTCAATTTTTAACTTGGACCGTGACGAGTCTAAACAAGGGCTCTGAGGCTGTGCATGGCTTACATAAGTACGCAAAATCAGTTAACCACACATCTATCTTTAACTCATGTTTCGTTTGAGGTCTCAAACTCGTGTACTTCCCGCCTTCAGAAGGATTTCTGCCATGGCTACGGCTTCGCCTTCTCCTTCTTTGGGCCCAATTGAATCAGTGATTCGGTCAAAAGTAATTAATGTTATGCACTAGAAAGGAATTTCTACCATCCACCATTTTACTTTCAGCTGTTATCTTCTTTACAACCAGCTGCACTGGTTATTCACAATGACTCGTACCAACATCGTCACCATGCTCCTATGCGAGCCCAAGATGGAGGAAGTGGAGAGACTCGTCTGTGTTTTCAATCATCTCTTTTGGACATGTCAATTCACCCGGTACCTATTAGACTTCTCGTTAGAAATCGTTTCCGATGAATTCAAAGGAAAAGTTGGTCCTCTTCCGGCTTAAACACCTTGCCTCCGCATTGCAGATATCTCATGTCCCTTTTTCTCCAGACAACGATGCAGCGGCATCGAATGATTTATTCACTACTTTCAGAAGAGCTGGACCAAGGTTTACATTCTCTTTCGCTCAAAACGAAAACCAGAGCCGAAGCTGGAATTGACACGGCATCTACTTGACTCAAATTTAACTGTATAGTTACTTTCGCGTGGAATAAAATCACATTCCAACCCGAGAACTGTCGTTGTTGACACGCAGCCTATGCACCTTGAAACCACAACGCAATGTGTTCAGAACCATTGGATATCTCTGCTGTTCGACAATTCGACCGAAAGTGTCTACATGTCTTTACCGACGAGTTTGACCAACACAATCAAGAGGTAGATCAAACAGTGCTAACGACAGTGCAGTACCTTTTATCATTTTGGCATTTGCACTGTTTTAATGTTATCGCCGTCGGTAGACTCGCCTGTGTATTTGCTTTGCTGCACTTATAGCCATAGCTCGCTCACAAAATACCGACTCTAAATGCAATTTATGTGTACATATTAAAGAGAAGGAAGAATCCTGGCTTATTCCATCTTCCTTCTATCTCATCTGCATATCAACTCATATACGCAATGTCGTCTTCGTCTGGACGCCGTACCACCGATCGCCCTACTCTTCCCCCCATACGAGATCTGTTTGGCAGTAAGGATTTTAGATCCACACGATTTCAGCACTCATCCGCATTCTCTAGATGAGCTAAGTCGTTTGCGGGTAAGTGACGACGATGATCCCGCGCATTATCGCGATGCTCAGGTATTTGATCAATGTTTTAGCTGGCGCGTATCTTGTCTGCTCACTATATATATATATGTATCCAGCGAAGGCGCTCCAATGATTTCTCGCAACGACCTTTCAATGTCCCTCCGTCTCGATCGTCGCATCCATCGCATCTACCCAGTGAATATTTCTCAGCGGCAAGTCATACGTCGTTTAGCTCCCCACACACTTCGTACGGACGCGAGCAACATCGGCCTTCAACGCATCTAGGATACAATTCGCGGAGCGTCACGGCTCCAGATCATGGCAATTTTACAACAGCTTCACCGGTTCCTGCGCCCAACTATCGATATCCAGACATGGGAGTGGGACCCCTGTCCAGTCAATACTCTTCAGTCAATCCAATTGCCACTCACGATCCTTCGCGCGGTGCTGGCAGTCGCTCTTACTCTAACTACGATTACCTCACCCACCCTCGAGTTTCTACCACCTTGGATAACAGGAACAGATCAGAAGAAGCGGAGTATGCCCTAACTTCTTTGGCCCAATCTTATCCAGATGTGCAACCTCCGTCGAGAGATATGCCAAAGGGCAGCGTCGCACCTCCTGCAAAGTATGAATGCACCTACTGTGGCAAAGGATTTAATAGACCTAGTAGCTTGAAGGTAGAATCCCTAGTGTCTGATACTTGATGAGTCCCTCATCTTTTTTAGATTCACCTCAACAGCCATACAGGGGAGAAGCGTAGGTATTACACCTTTACTAAATCATCAGCAATGCTCACGATCAATGTCAACTCAGCGTTTCTGTGTCCCGTTGAGGGATGCGGTCGTTCTTTTAGTGTATTATCCAACATGAGGCGGCACGCTCGTGTTCATAATCAGAATGCCCAAACCAGTGACGACGATACCGGCCCCCTTTCACGTCCAAGTTCTTCCCGTCTCGCGGTCGCTCCCGTGGACTGGCATCAGTACAGACGAGGCAGTACTGCATCTGATGTCTCTAGCTCAGAATCACGACACAGTCGTAGTGGATCATCCGACTCGGAGGACGAAGGCTATAACCAGACCCACTCAATTGGGAAAAGTGTTCGTCAGCATCACAGGTAGCCGACTTACCAGTATACGCCAGTTGGATGCTTTAGGCATCGTCTCACTTCAGTATTTAAGTAGCAGCGCCTTATCTATCATTAATTATCGTTACTGATTCATCCTTCACCATCTCATGAAATGAAATTTTTGAACGCACTGTATAGCTATATACTTCACTAAGTAGAACTCCACTATAGTCATTAATCATAAGTTGAATTTTGTCGAGCGTAACCGGGATATGTAGTCGTGAACACAAAATAACATACATACAGTAATGTTGGATATTAGGCATAAAATACGCAAAAAATGGGGTATAAAAATAGTTGTGTACACTGCAGTAGGCATTCACATGGAGATGGCACGCCCCCTGCCAACATCCTGAATTTCACGACGGACCGACCTTCCTCTGGCTCGGACAGTCGCTTGAGAATCAACATCAACGTCGTCCGACAGATGATCGAAAGCTCTCTCTGCTCTGACGTATGAGAACACACGAGGACTTTTATGTGTGAAGCCAGCAAACGCCAACGCCTTGCGTACGTCCAAAATCTCGGCACCATGAACTTTGTCTCTAAGCAGTGGGTCTCGGGTAGCATCAGGGGGAGCACCATTGGCTGGCGCGAGAGGCTGAAACAAGCACGAGTTAGTGTCGTGTTATAAAGTATGAGGGTAATGTGCGCCGTACTTCAGCCGGTATGTCGTCGTCAAAATGCCGCGTATCCTCGGGATTCTGCAATTCTGGGCGATAGGGAGCCTCGTAGCGATGGATGTTTGCCCAATCAATTCCTCTGAACCATGGATGTGTCTGCAACAAGAGAATTAAATGTGACGCGGCCGACGTGAGCGAAAATGACGGACTTTAATGAGGTGAGAGCCATCAGTTGCTGAGTCCTGGGGCACAAAGCTGAGTCTGGACTGCACGATCAGTGAGTTTGGTCGGGAAACTGAAGAAGAGGCCTGGGATCCCAAACGATCTTCCGGCTCGCACAAGAGTTGCTGCATCAAATCGATCGCTTCGCTAGACAAATTTACAGGCTCTTTTGTGTTAGGAAGGCGTTTAGGGAAGCGAAGATATTGTTTCCAGTTTAAGATCATTTGCCTGGTTACATGCCGCTGTAAAATTTGTATGAGTGACAGAACGAACTGGCGTGCGGATCCAATATTTTTACCGATTTGTTGACAAAGGGAGGGTAACTGCCAGTCGAAGTATGTTGAAGGTTGTTTCACATTCTGAACTTGTGTATGCAACTTACCCATAGAGGCATTCAAACATGATAACTCCAAGGCTCCACCAGTCGCAGGAATACGAATAACCATGACCTCGTATAACTTCCGGGGACACTGATGCATGTTAAGAAGCATACACCAGATACAAATAGATCTATTCTTACTGTAAGAGTTCGTTCCACATCTGGCAGACTAATTAGCAAATGGGATAGGAGTGTGACAGGCCTACACACACTGAATATGCAAGCTATCAAAATACGTTCAGTAATATACGAAAACACAACGACTGATGAATTCACCTTTCTTCGGTTTTTTTCTCTCCAAGTGAATACGCCCTCAGGTCCATCTCCTCCCATTAAACGCTCGACTTCCCTGCGATCCATGCGCTTTGTCTTCTTACCATCTGCAATGCCGTTGGTATCTTCGAGATCAATTCCATGTTTATGCAGTAGATGCAATCGTTGCTGTTCATAATCTGTGTACCCCTGGAAGTCAGAAATTTCCAGGAAGATTTGATAGGAACCAATTGCATTACAAGACGTGTCATGAGCCCAATGTAAATCGGTTCTAAAAATGGATTAGCGTGTTTGTCCCACAGTACATAGCTTCGAACATACGCCAGTCCAAAGTCACTGAGCTTGATATGGCCGTTAGGGTCAAAAAGAAAATTCTTGGAGTGTATGAGAATTTAATGCAAGGTGAAAGTATAGATAAATACCCACGTCAGGTTTGATATCACGATGAATAAAACCATGTTTATGGCAAGATTCAATGGCAAGTATCATCTGTATGGCTGAAGGATCAGAAGTCTGTCTACAAAAGAAACGGATTGCCAACCTCGGCGACATAGAAACGCGTGAAATCTTCTTCGAAGACATCTCTCTCAATCAAAAGATTCAATAAATCTCCACCACCCATATATTCAAGAACCTATACAGAGAGAAGACATACATACATATATAATCGTGGCAAATGAAATCGAAATGAAATCAGTATGAGTACGATGATAGCACGGACTAGCACGGACCAGGTACAAATTATCCCGGTCTTGAAAGCTGTAATGAAGTTTGACAATCCATTCTGCTCCCCCAGGTGAAGATACCAAAGAAGCAGATTTGAGAAGGTCTCGCTCTGCGCGGACATGGCCTTCTTGACCCTTCCGAAGCATGTCTGTTTTTCGAAGCTGAACAAAAGAGAGTTAATAAGGTATTGAAATGGAGCTAATGATTAAGGTAATCACCTGCTTCATGGCGAAAAGCTGACCTGTCGACTGTTCTTTTACGAGAGATACAACGCCGAATGCACCTAGAAGATCGGTATGAGAACACACCAAAGGTGATACGAAAGGGATACGAACCATGTCCTATGGTCTTCAGCTTCGTAAACGTCGTCACGTCGACCTTTCGTCGGCGTTCACGAAGATACTCTGTTTCGTTTTGTCTCCAGCGTTGACGGAGATTTTCTTTCTGGATCTGAGAAAGATTCATTTCCATCATATCTCGCTCCATGGCAAGCCTTCGTTGTTCACGAGAAGGAATATGTCTAAAGAGGGGAAAATATAAGTTTTCAAAGTAGATTCGGGCGGAAACTGCTTTCTCGAGGGTGGCCAAAGAAGGTACAATTGGCCGAGGAGGTGGGACTTCTGGTAAAGCTTTACCCGGATCATCCGAAGGTCCCCCGAGCTCATCATGTTCTTGAAGCTCAGGATGCGTGATCAAACCACGTCCCCACCGTATTGTTGAGTTTCCCGGACGCCCCGGTAATCCGTCCACAGCTATATTCGGCTGAGTACTGAAATTCTCACGGGCGACCGTGGTGAGCATGGAAGAAGAAGTCACGGTGGTAGTACTCATTCCATTTACAACTCGGAGCGGGCCTAAAGCGCCGGCATCGATGGGACCAATACTTTCTCGATAGGATTGTTGTGGAATGTTAACATCTTGATTGACGACTTGGGCTTGATTACCCTGACGAATTCTGTTTTTTATGGGATTTGCCCAGCGGGGATCTGAGATGCGAGTAAACCAAATTCATCCAAAGGAGCAATGTAGAAACACCCTACCCCCTAGCTTCCCCAAACCATCTGGACCCCATCGAGTGAGTAACGCTTCTGCTTGATCCGCATCTGAAGCATGAACCAAATGACTAAAGATCATGAAGGAATTCAGGAACAGATATTAGGACGAGAAGGACATACACAAAGCCCATTGGGTGCGAAACCATGTCCTTGCTTATTCTACGTCCCTTCTTTAAGACCGGACCTGGAGGAGACAAAGACTTAATGAGCCCTTTGTCTAGTTCTTCATAACGTGTGCCAGCAACAAGACTATTATCTGCCCTCCATTGTTGCAACATGCGGGACGGGGAAGGAGTTGGAATCATGGAAAGGAGACTTTTGGTATTCCAAGTTGAGCAGAGGTCATAGGAGGTGAATGGGAGCTTACTCATAGAAGCCCTTGTGAAGCAGAGTCCCTACTGGGAACCCAGCGGTTCTGGTTTCGTCGTATTGGTATTGTGGGTAATCATAGGGGAAGTTGGAAGAATGAGGGTACATTTCGAAGCGGGAATCTGCAAGATTGCTTCTAAAGTTTACCATCGGCGGAACAGGAAGAGGACGACGAGAAGATGAGGCGGCCATAGCGAAGAGGGCCACTCAAGAGGTTGTCCCAGGAAAGGATAATCTATCGATGACATAGACCACGTGCTTTGCTGTGTTATAATTTCTTTTTGTGAACATTCTTTTCGCAGTCCAATGTGGCGTCAAACAAGTAACTTTTGCAAAGCCATAGTTTCATCTTGCTCTTACCGCTTATAGTCGAGGCTCGACAACGCCCAAACCACGTCTGATTTTTGTCGTTTCGACTGAATCAATCTCCAACAACTGACACGACCCGTTGCCGTGACAAGAAGCTGCTATTAGTACCGATTCCAAATTGAAGGGAATCCTCTCTGCAAAACTTCTCGCTGGATGACGGCACCACCTTCTTTTCGCAAGTAAAATGTACGTATGATATGGGTCACTGTTAATGCTTACTCCTGGTCACTTCCAGTTTTACAATGGGAATATTGAGTCTACACTATAGGCAGTGATTTTTTCAGTGATCAAACTCTTTATCGATTGTCTTGTACACGAGGTTTTAATATCGCGCATAACGAATTTATAGAGATGCAAGTCCGGCGGTATGCCCTTGTAAACGGCTTGTTATTATGTACATCTTTTTTGTGATTGTGCGAAGCTTGTTCTGGTTGTTTACACTCAACAATTTAAACTCCTGCTTCGTATATACTCTCTCTTTCTTTTAGACTCCACAGCCAAGTCTTCAAATATCTCTGCTTGCTTCTCTAGTTTTCGCGCCCCGGTTTAACTCGTGGTCCACTGCCCTAGCCCTACCTCCAACTGCTCCGACCCCACCTCGTGCACGTCAAGCCTGCGTTGTACATGTCTTCCTCGTTGTCGGCCTGTACCTGATTACTATTTGCCTCGCATCGCCTCCACTGACCAGCCGTTGGACGTGTAACCTTCAGCTTGCGGTTTGCTCATCGACACGCGGGTCTTTCGATATATATCGAGCAAACCTTTCTTACTCATTCCAATAATATTCTTTCCCTTTCTCTCCATTTTCTGCTCCACACCTTCACTTTTAAAATATGTCGAACTCAAGAGAAGATCGTTATTATGCTAGTCTTGGTAAAACAGGGAAGAGTCCACCGCTTGGGGATCAAGCACCAGGTTTCTTTCAAACTGGACAGGGTGGGCGAACAGTGCTCCCTCCTCTTTCATCTGCATTTCCAAGCTCACATCTTCCAGGTCTGTTTCTTTAAAGCGTTATTACCACAATGCACTCAATTTGCCAACATTCTGTAGCTTCCACTTATCCTAATCAATATACGCAACCTCGTTCCATGCCAACTCGGTACGACTACAATCATGCCCTTTACAATCAATGGCCGGGCAACAATCGTAAGTGCATCCGTGGTTTTGAACGATACGCATACCGTTCATTAACCTCCCACGAATTGGCAGAATCATCGGCGCATATGAATTATGCTTATTATGACACGACCGATAATCGCTATGCTTCAAACTACTATTCAGCCTACCCTTCGTCTCGGACTTCACCAGCACCTGAACATAGTGATTCGAGGAAACTTCCTCCTTTAACTACCACCTCAGGCCTTGGACGAGATGATCGGTGGTCTTCCAACACCGCTTCATACTCTGTTGGTCCAGCCGAGAATCCCTCATATTCCGGAATTCGCAGTCCCACTGCATCATATCCCCCATCGTTCGCTGCTTATCCGACACCAAACTCGACGAATAATTATGGAAATCCTGTACCAATGACTGACGCACATACTCAGTCACATATACATGCGGCCAGTCACGCGTCAATGATGCTACCCGAAAGTCATCGTCCAGTCACTCCTTCGTATGCACCGAGTGGTCTGCAAATCCCCCCGTCATATACACCACCACCTGTTTCGCCTACCACAGGAACCGCCAACGAGCCTCTGATCAAGAAAAAACGCAAACGTGCTGACGCCAGCCAATTAAGAGTTCTGAACGATACTTATGCTCGAACAGCGTTTCCGTCCACAGAGGAACGCCAGGCCCTTGCTAAACTATTGGACATGTCTGCTAGGAGTGTTCAAATATGGCGAGTTGCTTTTGCAACTCATGTGATTCTATTTCTGATTGTGACAGGATAGGTTTCAGAATAAAAGGCAGTCTATGCGTCAGACTCAGACTCGGCAGTCTTCTTCTTCAGGGACCACTCTCCACCAATCTTTTGGCGTATCCAATCCAAACGAGTACGATGCAAGTGGATATGAATCCACTGGTATCCATGTGCCTAGCTCTACTTATGTGTCCCGCACATCACAGGAAAGTCACACTTCTTCAGTGCTTAGTCCTACCGTCTCGCATCGACGTCCCCGTAGTCAAGACTCCGTTTCGAACGATACCGCTGGTACAAAACCACAGCAGTGGTCGCCGAGGTACTAGATGCTCTCGTTTGTCTCAAATCCACCTAGTACCAAAGCGCTGCTATATATTCTGTTCTTTATTCCTCAGTATGAGTTTTTATCTTCTCCCGAGTATGTCGACACCCGCTGATTAGCTTACGGACTTCCTTCTTAATCCCCTGCATTAATACCGATATTTACTTGTCTCTCAATCGGACAGTTATTAACTATACTATCCTATCCTCAGTACTAACTAGTCTATTCTGTAGTGTCGATTGCTATCCATTAACTTGTAGTACTATTTCCATCACATTTTCATGCAATTGCTCACGTCTTTAATGATAAACTCAGCATATACAAATGGTATACTTACTCAGTGCTCACGACATAGAGCTTCTTAAGCCATTTTGATTAAAACGACTCACACATTTGGTCGACTTCAACGTAAATGATGTGGACCACTTCAAGACAAGAAACAGAAGTGATCAGCGGGCTCAGTACCGGACTTAGCCATGGTCCATGAATAGCAGCAGGTGGATGCATTCCGAGTCATTCGGATAGTTCCCTCCTTCCCTACACGTACATCGCGTTACCCCGACAAATGACTTGCTTCAGACGTTCATACAGATAGAGAAATCGTTTGACAAAATCCAACGCGTTTCTAGGAAAATGCACATGAAGCATGATATGTATGCGATTGGCACCTTGCGCACTATTCGCGTATCAGGTTTTGAATTGCATCGACAAACGATTCAAATCTGCAATCTATACTAGGTATTCTATGATAGATTATACAGGTACTCTATGATGGTAGAACATAATGAAACACACATCCGTTATTCGCTATCTGTGTCCTCAGGCTTAGGACCTCCATGTGTCAACCACGCAAGTTTCCGTAATCTTCTGCGCTCCTCCTGCGCCTTGACCTGATTACGAGTCATCTTCTTTTTCTTCTTAATAGGCGGAGTTCTTGTTCCGTTGTCTTCAGCACCACTGACGACAGGCGTCCCATTGGTTGATTGAGCAGGACTTTGGATACGAGATCGAACGGGGGTATTCGACCCACTTCCCTTCTTGTCCAAGAAGGCATCCTCGATGACTGCAGTCTTCCCCTTATGAGACATTCGTCCAGCCTCAACGTACCAAGTTTCAGGGCCTGATATTCAAGTTCAACGAAATGTCATCAATAGAAGAGTCAAGGAGAATCCATACACAACGCAGACACAAACTCATGGTTGTGGGAAATAATGACCTGATTTTCAATTCAGATCAGTGTGCGAGATGGTCACATTGAATACTGAATGCTCACCACAGCACCAGCCCAATCCCTGATGGCAATTGCCAAACCACCCAAAGCTTCTCGATCCAGAAAGTTACTTGGTTCGTCGAGTACACAGATCTGTAAGATCTTTGTCAAAAGAATCATGGAAAGCAGATTGGAAGATTTACTTGTGGATTGTTCCAAAGACATGCCGCGATCACCAATTTAATCTTCTGACCTATAAGGGAACTTGTCGGTATCAGTCCAAAAATCAATCACAGAACTCACCTCCTGATAGACCAGATATTTCATTATATTGAGCGATGTCTCCATCTAAACCAATATCTTCGAGGTGCTTGCGAACAAGGTGTGCTGCGGTGTCACGAGATCCAGCACCCTCTCGAGATGATTCGAGATCGTCAAACTGCTGGACTAGCTTTGTAAAACCTTTCGTGATAAGATCGTCACGGGCAACCCAGGTATTGAATCGGTGATCGAGACCACGCCATTTTATCTCATATTGGAAAGATTTCTTTAGCTTTTGACGGCCCATGATCAGCTATAGAAAAGTCCGTCAGTTTATGCTTCTGATGGAACAACAATAGTTGCATGCTGACTTCGAGTTTTCGTTTTGAACCATCTTTTCCAACCCAATCTTGATCCAACACTAGCTTCTCTTCATCAGTGAGAATACGAGTTGCCTTCTCAAGAATTTCCCCTGGCATTTGTAATAAGAATAGAGTTTGTTGGGACAAAAAGCCTACCTACGATCATGACCATCTTGGAATCGCCATTGAATATATTGAATCGGGGTCTTCTCCAAATGACGTTCTAAATGACTATGAATGACTCTATGGGAAGGAAAAGTAGAAAGTCAAACCTATATGGTGAGTAGCATGTTGAGACACATAACCTACTCGTAGCGCCGGATGTTTGTACACCGTTCCTTCTTGAGGTACGGTCTCACCCTGTGTCCGGTGTTAGTAAGATGTGGAAAAGATGAGGTAACTTAAAATACGAACGGTGAGGAGTTTAATCAAGGTCGATTTACCAGCACCATTTGGTCCAATCACACTTGAAAAAGATATGTTAGATGGATTAACATTAGTGCGATGTGGAGTAAGTACCCAACGCGGCTGGCAAGGGTGTATTAGATGTGATCGACATTATAATGAAGCCACAATCAATGTAAGAAGTACCTCGACAGCGATAATGCACAGCTGACATTGTGCAAGCTAGGTTTGTCTCTTCCTGGATAGGTAAATGTGCAATTTGTCATTTTTAGGATTGCCCGCGTATTGCTCCTGACTCCCATGAGGGAACCAGGAGGAGGGAACGAGAACTTGACAGAAGTAGCGGCGAGAGTATAATACGACTTGGCTTCTGGGTGGTGAGCTACAAACGTTGAAAGATTACCAGGATAGAACACGAGCTATGCATCTTTGTAAGTCACCACTATGATACAATGTAATAATGCAACATGCCTTCTTCGTCTCATAGTGTATGATGTCGGTGGTAACATTGTCCAAGAAGCTGAGTAAAATTGAATGTAAATATACGAAAAATTTCGAAGAATTCCAATTAAAGACGCACCCTGAATCGTGACTTACAATGAGACAAGTTACGTTCTTATGTGCGATTAGATACTTTTCCAGCCATGCAACGGAGGCACGGTCCAACTACGAATGTCTAAGGACTGGCAGAAGAAAACGACCTTTCACAATGGTAACTTACGTGGTTAGTCGGCTAGATCCAAGATGAAGATAAACAAAGTCAGCTTGGATCCAAGGACAGGAACTGATAAAATCACCTCATCAAGAAGTAGAAGATCGGCATTGTATAGCATGGCTCTAGCCAATTCCAATTTCATCTTCCAGCCACCCGACAAACCGCCGACTGTATCAGCTTGTCGTTCATCATCGAAGCCGACCTCAATAAGTTGATCGCGAATCTTGGATCGAGGGACAGAGGCCAAAGCTTTGTCTAAGGATAAATTATGAGGACTAGCCATGACCATTACAGGTACAAGATGAATAGTTTACCTGAAGCGATGAAGTCCAAAACTGACAATGATGCATCTTCCCCTTGCAATGAATGCTCAACCATCACACAACGCAATTGATCCTGGGGTGGGAAATTCTCGACCTTCCCATCTCTCAGTTGACGAAGCAACGTCGATTTTCCCGAACCGTTGGTACCAAGGATTCCATATCGGCGTCCACGGATGAGCCGTAAGGTAGTATGCGAAAGCAACAGCAGAGCACCATATGCCAGAGAAAATAACGTGTCGCATAGAACTTCACCTTCTTCACTATTGCCATTGGTAAGAACAGTATACTTTGCCTGGTAAGAATCCCTCAGTAACCCCTTGGAGCACGGGTTTCAAAAAATGAAGAACCTTGTCAATTGCGAGGAAATGCTCGCGAACTGCTTCTGAAAACCGAGTGCTGTGCTCTGGATCTGTCCAGCCTTTAATGAAGAGGCCGATGCATCTGGACCAAGCATTTATGTCAGAAAACTGTCGGGCATTCACAAGATCTGCAACCAGGGAAGCTTGGAAATCCAATGAACGAGTCAACAGAGAATACTTGGGAGTATAAGGCCCATTGGGAGGAGAGGAAGGGTCACGGATATCCTCAGGTAGTAGAAGAAGTAAAGCGGAACAAGCGTCCTTAGTCTGCTGCTCAAGGTCGCGAGATTCTGAAGGGGGAACTTTGGCAGAGGCGCCAGATTTGAGTAGAGTTTCAAGGGCCGTTTCTCCAAATGCACGAACCTACGAGCAGCAAGCATTTAGAGTAGACAATAAAGATACATGCATCCCACGTACTTCAGGAAATGCAGCACCTTTCGCAATTTTTTCTACACCTTCAACAAGGGGACTGAGATATTGAGCGGCAACTTTTGGATCCCGCACAAGTTTAACAAGATTGTCAATGACGACGACCGTACGCCTCTGAGTCTCCATACTTCGATCGTTGAGAGCGCGGATCAACAGGGGAACTAGCACTGCCAAAGCAGGTGCCGTGACTTCTGCGACAAAAGTGGTGGACGATAGCGCCTTAATACAAGCAGGAACAGAGTCTGGATTGGCCATGCATTTCACAAGCACTGGGATATGAGGGACAAGATCGGGGTTGGCGAGAGTAGTGCACAAGGCTATTGCACATTTGTTGGCAGCGGAAGAGACCTGATGTTAATTGAAGTCAGCCTCGATGTTAGGGGCAACGTAGATTCAAGTTCGAACCTCTGATTTCGTGTCGTGCATAGCATTCTCCACCTTCGGAAGTACTTCTACCAATTCCGCTGCGACAACGTCTTTCGCAGACGCGGCGAATCCGCGTATAGCGTCCAATCCTCCCACTTTTGTCTTCCATTTTCCACCTTGGACGATCGGTTCTAGAGTACGAAACACAAGTCTTGTCGCCTCTGGCGGGAAGAGTTTCAGGATTGCCTTGACAGCTGATGTTGCAGCGATGCGAACAACGTCGCCCTTATCCATATACATATCGAACAAAATGGAAAGGGATGGTATTAACAGCGGAGCGACGGGGGCTCCCAAGATGACAGCAAAGGAGTGAAAGGCTACCGCAGCAGATTCTCGCTCGTAACCAGACTATCACAAGATCTGAGGAAACATAAGGCAGTGATGGATGAACAGCAAACCTTTTTATTAGTAGCAAAAGAGTGCAAAGTTTTGATGATTTCATAGTCTCTGATGAAGGTCAAAGTTAATGGTATATCGAGGAAATTTTATGAGCACCACGAACTCGAGTGATTGTAGCCCAGACTTTGAAACTTCGCGGGACAATCTGTCTGCAGCTGCTTTAGCGTCTATGAGAATATTTCAGTTGTTTTCCACGAGACAGGCAACATTGGCCACATACCTGGTGCAGTAGGCGCGATACGCAGAGCCTCAATTAGAGGTCCGAACTGAGGGTCTTGCTGGGATGACATGATTCGAGAGAAGATATCTAAGTGTTGGATGATGATGATTGCTGAAGTATAGGGAGTTTGCAGTGATATTACAGTCTATAAGATCGTTGATGTCGTCTATAATGATGATGATACAAGTAGATGGCCAACAGACCAACGGTCTGCCTGGAGTGCTGTCCATACAGTTAAAAAATTTCCTTGCAAAGCGGAGGAGCACGTGACAGGTTCCCGCGATCCGGAAAGATCCGGAACGACCCGGGAACGCTCCGTAGAGAGAGAAACTTTCATGTATTCTCAGTGAGCCCAAACCTGCCCAAACCAACTTCGGTAAAAACTATTGAGAAACCCCAACATTGCAGAAACCCCGAGAATTCCCACAGTCTTTATTGAGCAACCCTTTGCTTTTGGGCTGATCCGGCCAATTACGTAATGCGGCACTGGACGGCACAAGCCGGCCTTGCCTCATTATTGAATTCTATCAAGTTGTAATAAGTTGGGGAGGATGCTCAAAGCAATTCTAAGCTGCTGTGACTGGAATGACTCAAAATGTTAGATTTAAGCTCAATTGACAATAAACCAACTGTTGTATTGGTATATACCTGTTAGAGTTAAGCTATCGAAGTCAGTATGCTGTCGTGCATGTATATATGACCGAGCTCACCTCAGTTGACAATAAACCAACTGAGGTCCACGAAAACCAGCCTGGTGTGCCATATACTACCTATTGTACAGTATTGGATAATAACGCCGTTATATGTTGTGTGTCAAGGTAGTACATGTTGTATGTAAGTGTGATACGTACGGGGCTACAGTTGTACAGAGTATTCACCAACACAAAAAACTGTGCTCAGTTACATGCATGAAATGCTACTAGTATTTAACAAGCTGATGGAAGGACTGCTAAGGAATGACATGAAGGATAAAAATGTCCAAGGGTTCTCATTCTCCGAGTATAATCAGGCTTTGCTGAGTTTTTGGTACATTGGCCCTACTAAAGCTCATTGATCAATGCAGTGTTAACTTGAGAAACAGAATTTGTGTATTACAGTAGTACATATGCATGATTATACATAAAACTGTTAGTGTAATGTTTAACTCAGTTGATAGCAGAACAACTGTGATTGTGTAGGTACCTGTTAGCATATTTGATTACTATAAAGTTAGGTCTGAATGTACTGCCGAGCTCACCTCAGTTGATAGCAGAACAACTGAGGGAGCTTGTGCATTTCCACAAGGCATGATATAGCTGGTGGTACTGTATAGTTCTATGGTAAGTGCGGCATATACATGCATGTATAGTCTGTGTAATCATAGCTTGCTCCCTCATACGTATGGAGTATGCATCAACAAAAACATTTAAGTATGGTGAACAAGAAGGAATATTGACAATCACCAGTTCGAGGGCAACAAAAAAAAAACATAGTAACTCCAGTGAGATGGCGGCAATCAATCTTCGGCACGTCGCCGGCCGAACCTCTGGAAACCCTCGGAGTGAACTTCGTGAAGGGTTCCCCGAGGAACCCCGGGTTTCTGCAACTACAGGGGTTTCTCAATAGTTTTTGCCACCAACTTCCCGCCTACCGCTACTCCCCATTCATTACTTCCACACTCTATTTGGATTCCCGCTGATTACATCATTCTAATCGACGACCTGGTCTATTCCTTTCCGGTGACCCTTCTCCAACCTTCCCCCCCGGCCCTAGGAATTCAACAATCCCCATTGTTCCCCTTCTACATATTCGCCGATCATCTGGGCCGTTAATTATACAAGTCCAGCCGCAGGACATTGGCTGGAGATTGCAATTAATCGTCTGACAGGAACAAACTGTTCACAAGCCTTACATCCTGTTTCGAAGTGTTCAATTTGTTCGAGATCGGAGGAGGAATTCGCGACATCGTGTCTACTTAGTTATAGATCTATGTATTACTCACTTCTCTCTGTTCCTTCGCCCACTGCGATGTTGAATGTGAAAAAAACAGATCATACGGGTACTCTTTCCTTCTCTTGCCCCCGATTGATATCTCTCGTACCATGATTCTTCGTGCCGTCCCGTTTTCGCTATATATGTAGATAGCCTATGAACACGTCGTTAAGAGTCTTCATCCGGGTAGTCAACTTTATCATAGAGCCGTAAGGTTTCGTTCCAATCCCTATAATTGAGACGTTTTGAATTACGCGCTTTCTGTGTTGCTCAGAACAAGATATACCTTTTTCGTCGTCGTCTGATAGAGAAGTAACCAGCCTTACTCTGCCATGAGCCCATGACTCGCCCTTTTTCTTTTCCGCCCGCTTGCGGAAAAAACTCCTCGGGATCAGAAGGTAAACCAAGCGCAATGGCCAAATCCATGATCTGGCGGTGCAAGACATCGTGCAAGCTCCGCATCTCGTTGAGAGTTTGTTTGCCAACCCGCAATAATCGGAAGAGCGTAAAGAATGCACGGGTGGAGGCTACGCAATCTTCCATCCAGCGAAGAGTCATCCACATTAATGCGGGAATTAAGAGCACGGTGATCATTGCAAATGGCAGTGTGAGGATGACTCCACCGAGCCACACACAGATACCAGACACGAGCCCATAAACGAGCTTGTACTGAGCAATTTCATCAAAGGTATCGAACACTGGTCCGCTCTTTTTGAATTCGTGAACGGCGTAAAAGGTGGTGAGAATGACCGGAAACCATAATAGTAGCCCTGGTATAGATATGGAAAATAGGAAACACGACCAAAAAAGCCGTATTGCCATTCGGCGAAGAATTTCGCGTCGGGAAAGTGGACGGCGAACGCGGTCATCCTTGATTCCGTAGCTTATGAGCCGGTGTTGGTATGCCTATTGCCACGTCAATAATGGTATATAAATTTGGGAAGACCGTGCAGACCTTCAGATCTTCTTGCAACTGGGCTAATTTCACAATGTCAGGATGTATCGGTTGATTGTCCTCCGAGCTGTCTTCGTGTGCATCCTTGAAGGCTTCTAAAAATGTACGGGTAATCCTGACATGGTCACCGAGACTCATCCTAGTACCTGTGAAGACGTTCCTGGATAAGTAGCTAATTTCGATGGGGCATTGCTTACCAAGAGGGGCGTACATTCGAGCCGCAAGTTTAGATGATTGCACGAGGTGCCATGAAGGCGAATCGAAAGTTCCCGAACTGATCTGTGTGTAGATCTGCTCTATAGGGTGTGTTATTTCCACCAACGCACCAACTACATTATGTTTCAACGCTTACTGGTTACTGCTCGTATCGTTTCAGGTTCTGCAGGTTCAAGAAGTTCCGGATTATCCTTAGGGCGCAGAATTATAGGCGGATGCCATGTTACCAATACATCTGAAAGTCAGTTAGTAGCCTCATGGCGCTCAGACAAACCGGATTGTACACACCTGAGCGCCAATGTTGACGATGCCTACGTGATGGAGGCGGGGTAATTGAGATTGGGCAATGGAAAGAAGCGGAATTTCGACCCACATATATGTGATTGAACAGTTCAAGATATTGATCTCAAAATCTGGGTCGTCACGATGTCGAGATAGCACATCCGAAGCCAATCGAGCAACTGTGGAAATGTGAACGCTGCGAGATTAAAGGATACGGAACAGGATTGACCTCCAGTTTTGAGCGGGGCGATGGTTGGATGAAAACGACTCATCCCTTCGGGGAACATCATTACTGCATCTCCATCCTCCAAAGCCTAGAACTACGATGAAGCACGACTATCACTTTTCATGTACACCTTAAGCACACCTTTATCAGCGAGGTCATTGCCTGACTGTTGTCGACTGGGCCATCAAAGTCCTTCCGCCTGTGTATTGGAACAGTTCCTGCGCTTTCGATAAGCCAGCTAGTGAATGTCTTTTTCCCAAATTGTGTAGATTTGGCGGTAAGTCGAAGCATATTGCGCCTCTGGAAATCAAGTTTTGGTTATGGGCGAAAAGATGGCCAGATAAATGGCCTACATTTGAGGGTACGGATGTAACGAGTAGACTGTAAAATGATTGGGAATGAGAAACTCCAACCGCGTATTACAACTTTGCTTACAGGGCATCCGTTAATGAGTTGCTATGGTTTGCACATACTATGCTGTAGACCCGAGCATGAGGAAAAGGTCGCGTTTAGATGAAGGATTTGTAGTAACCAGGGTTTCCCTGTTTCGGGAATGAAATGGGCATTGGAGACGACGATGGTTCCGTAAAACACTTTCAAGGTAAATTGGAATAGAAGCCTAAGGCAGGTAAGAAAGATGATATAAGGTAGAGAGACAGGCAGACCTAATGAGTGTATAAGGCCAAGGTGTTGGTGTCCCTTTCGTCATTCACAAATCAACGTTAGTGAAACGGAGCGAAGCGTTCGTTTGTTAGTGACAGTCTGTCATCCGGCCCGGACCTGTGAAACTCGTGGGCCAAAAAAATCTTTCTAAAATCAGCATTCTTCAAAAGATGGAACAGGCTCTAGCGAAGATTAGGATCCATACTTCCTCATCTCTTCCCCACCAAAAAACACCAGCATCTCTACTTTCTGCCCTTGAATCGACCTTCAAAGAGCAAAAAACAGAGCCATCTTCCACAGCCTACTTTGCTGCCCTTTTGACAACTTTAGATGGAACTCTTCAAAAGAAGGAACTTTCACTAAACGATGGAGACGTACTCCCAGCGGAACTGTATCTGCTCGCCCTCGTAGCGCCTTTTGTCTCAACTCCAGTCATTCGAACGAATTTGTCGACTATTTTGGCCTTTACTGCTCCATTATTCCCTTCCTTGCTCAATCACGCCCCTGCCTTGCGATCACAATTATCGCTGTATCAGGTTGTGCTCGTATCACTTGATCGCTCTCAATTAGAGACACACGGGATTCGCCAAGCTTTCGCTTCAATCTTACAGCTCACTGTCGATCCACGACCCAAAGTGCGGAAGAAAGCCACAGAAGTAGTCAAAGAAGTGCTTTCAAAACCACTCCCGCCATTGCTAATTCATCCATATGCCGAAAGAGTCGCAGAGTGGTCTCAGTCGGCTCTTGCTGAGATGAACAAAAATATACCACCCAAATCCAAGGGTGATTCAGAGGGTGAAAGCGCAATACACTTGTTGGCTTTTCTCAAACCCACAATCTCTAAATTTCCTCCATCGGTGATTGTCATTCAATTAGTTTTCCTAACTTCACTGATGTATATTCTAGTCGTATTCGACTCTTACTGGATTGCTCCTCAATCTACCTCGCCTTGGGAATCCGTTTCTTTCGCAATCAGCATATGCGATTCTATCTGATCTCTTTTCGCAATCTCACGAGGACGACGCATTAGCCTTCGACGAGGAGGTTCTTCCTCAAGTGTTAAAAACTGTCATGGCTTTCCCACCTGCGAAGACAGACACGACTCTAGCTCCGTCGTGGATACTACTCTTAGGGAATGCTATGGCATCCTATAATGTTGTCCACAGTGATGCTTGTTCTGCACAAGTTGGTTTAGTTTGGAAGACACTGTGGCCATTCCTAGAATCTAGCAGTGCATCAGTGAGAAAGGCAACTGTGCAATCCCTGGATCAGTTGGCACGATGTATAGTCACCGATGCATCATCATCGAAGATGGATGATATTGTTGCTCAAGTCATGAAGGCCTTGACCTCCGTTTCTCATGCGCGCGCGATTCCCGATCTTCTTTCCTTAACTTCTGCACTCCTCACGAGTTCGTACGGGAAGGGAAAGCGTACGTTAGACGATGTCATGGGGCAACGACTACTGGCTCTTGTAGTGCAGATAGGTAAACTGCGCACCGAAAAAGCCTTTGAATATAAGGAAGCTGCCGACGACACACTTTCCACTGCAATGCGCATGCTAGGACCAAAAGTTCTGCTTAATGTGCTACCCTTGAACCTCGAACCTGAAGACAGGTAATTTCTTGTCTCTCCTGTTTCAACGTCTACGCTCAACTCCCTCGTAGACAGGCTGGGTTGGAACCACGTGCATTCCTTCTTCCCTTGCTTGCTCAGCCTCATCCCTCTCCCCTATCTCACTTTGTGTCGTATTTTGTGCCTTTGAGTGAGAGAATGTTCGATCTACAGCAAAAGGCAGAAAATGAAGGTCGTCAGAGCGAGTCCAAAGTTTGGAATGTGCTCATTTCGCAGATATGGGCCGGCTTTCCAGCGTATTGTCATGCTACTCCCAACATAGAAGGTACCATGGATGCTTCTTTCTCGCAGCTGGTCTCGCAATTGCTCTACGGCCAACCGGAACTGCGCTCTGCTGTTTTGCGAGGTCTCAGACTTATCGTGGAATCAAACGTTGCTCTTTCGAATTCGGTGCCAGACACGCTAAATCCCTCAGGTCTCACCGACGAGCAAGCTGCACACAATGTCACATTCCTTCGAACCCAGGCCGAAAGTTGGTTGGCCGTCCTATTCAATGTATTTGGTACTGTGGGTCGTGACGCTCGTGGACCAGTAGGCGACGTCATCACAGCCTGGGCGAGTATCACTTCAGAACAGGTATGGGTTAACGTTTCATATGTTTCTAAGTGTCAGAAATAACTTTCCTTCAGGAAATCCACAAGGCGTACATTAAAGTTGTCGATCTTTTCAAAGGGCACATTGGCAAAACATCCTCAGCTTCGGGAAATGAAGAGAATATCAGCGCTACTGCTCTAGATCTCTTGCTCTTATTGCTCCCGTACCTTTCATCCGCCGATTTGACGGTGCTATTCCAAAATTGCCTCTCGTCGGAGTTCTTGTGTGCTAAAGACAACGCCTTACAAAAACGGGCATACAAGATTTTAACCAGGCTGACAGAGTCGGGTAAAGTGATTATTGACTCAGAGGCTGTTCTGAAGGAATTGGATGCATTATCGGAAGGGCTAACATCGGCTGCGAAAAAGGATCGATTCAACCTCTTCGCTGTCCTGATCCCGCTTATCCCATCTTCTGCGATGCACTTGATACCCTCAATGATTCCTGAAGCAGTACTCGGCACAAAAGAAACCTCAGACAAGGCCCGAAACGCCGCGTTCGAACTCATCATTGCGATGGGCCAAAAGATGAGTCAAGGTGGTGTTGTGAAAAGAGACATGCTAGAGGAAATGGATGAAGATTCCGCTGTTGAAGGTCAATTACTTCATCCATGTCGTTCCATGTCACACTGAACATGGTTATACATTTCAGCTACTGCAACCATCGATGAATATTTGACGATGGTGGCAGGAGGACTCGCCGGTTCGACCCCACATATGATCAGTGCTACCATCACGGCTATTTCGCGTCTGGTGTTCGAATTCAAGGGTAAGTCTTGCTCCGAATTTCTCCTTTGGATGAGCTCTCAAATAGAACATAGACGCGTTGTCGAACACGATGAAGAATGAGATTTTCACCACATTGATTGTATTCCTTTCTTCTGCCAATCGAGAAATAGTCAAATCAGTCCTGGGATATATCAAACTGTCTATCCATACCTATCCCGTTGACCTCGTACAGCCTCATTTAAAGGAATTGGTTCCTGCCCTTCTTACATGGTCCCACGATCACAAAAACCATTTCAAATCTAAGGTTCGACACATTTTCGAGAGATTGCTCCGAAGATTTTCATGGGAAGAAGTATACTCTGCAGCGGGCGAGGAAGAGGCTTCGAAGGTGCTAGTCAACATCAAGAAGCGGAAAGAGAGAGCGAAAAGAAAGAAGGCCAACAAAGAAGACGACGACGAAGAGGTGATATTTTTATCATTTATCAAATGGTTAGTCTAATGGTGTATCATGAAGGTTCCTGAAACCAAAGCTACCGCCGGTGATGCGTTTGAAGACATTCTCTATGGCAGTGAAAGTGAAGTTGATGCGAGTGACGACGACGAGGGTGCTGGTAGGAAACCATCTCAGCTTCGAACAAAGAGCAAAAAACAGTCGCAGGGAATGAGATTACGTCTAGATGACGATGAACCGATGGATCTGTTGCAGGGTGTTGCCTCTCGGATAACTAGTGAGTACATGTCTATGGTTATGCCCCTACGCCAACCTCCAAGCTCCTTGATATAGGCGCGTCTTCGAACCGTCGTCGCAAGCCTGGTCAAGACGCTGCACATTTCAAAACCGACGAAGATACAGGCAAGATGGTTATCGATCAGTCTGATGACGAAGACGCAGTGCCTCATCAAGCTTCGAACGACGTTTCTGGTACTGCGTACCGCGAGAGCATCACGTCTGTCGACGGGTTCACTAGAGGCCCCAATGGACGCGTCAAATTCAACAAGGATACCAAGAAGCGGAGACGGGAGAATGAAGATTTAGACATGATGGATGTTGACGAAAGTGACCGAAATCACAACCAGCAAAAACGGAAAACAGCTCCCAAGTTAGGCCATGAATTTAAAGCGAAGGTTGGTTTCTACCTTTTCATCGTAGAATTTGTCATGATATCCGTCTACAGAGAGCTGGTGGAGATGTTAAAAAAGGCGGTGTAGACCCTTATGCGTATGTAACGCTCTCTCAAGCCTCAAAGAAGGGCGGAGGACGGAAGAACCGTATCGGTGTGGCGGACAAGAGATGAATGACGTTTACATTGAATGCATAGATAGCTAGAACTCATCCATACAACGATTGATCATGAGGAGTACCAAACAGTCCACTCCAACTTTCAGGCTGTTTCCATTGGATCGAAGTGATGTCTATCCCCATGACTTGTGCGACGATTGAAGCGAGAGAATGTGCATCGGCTCGATTGTCGCCATCCAAAGCAAATCTCAGCAGCACTGCAAGTGGTATGGACCATGTTTCAGGAAGCGATGAGAGTATACGATGTGTTATACCACCTCCGGGGATGAATGGAACCTGAGATTCATCGTTGTTGGCGCCGGGCTTTTGAGGTACAGGGGAGGTGTATTTTGGTATAGGGAATTCGTTAAGTCGGTGCAGTGGGGAGGATAGATGTAAGGAGTTCAGCTGTAATTGATACGTCGGTGTGCTAGTGGAAGGAAAGTTGAAATCAACATCGGTCCAAACAAATCAAGAAAGACGTACAGCATCTGCTCGTCGGAACGATTTGAAAGATCTACCCCGGACAAAACCAACACACCAGCGATCCCAGATTTTTGGACAAAGTCAAATAAATCGTCAATGAGTTCCTGTTTCATGGCCTGTATATATCCGACATCGCTTATTTATTTCATAAAAGGCGAATAGAATGGGCATTGACCTTCAATATAGGAGATCTTTGCTGCAGGACGATTATGCCAAGTTCACCTTTGCCATACACTACTAGATGTGAGATGAGGTGAAAAATCATTTAGTACGGATTACTTACGTTCGAACGGTGTGGTGATACCTAGTTCCCCATTCACGCGGGATCCTACCAAAGGTATGAAATATTTCGAATCGAGCACGGCTATTCGGACCAGCCCGAGTGAAGAAATCAGCAGGTCGACTGATAGTTGAGCAACGTTCGCAGTAGATACGACGGGCTGAGTTTCTGATGTTAATATCCAAAGAGCGGCGGGCAAGAGCCAATATGGCACAGACAATTATGAGTGTTTTCCCAGAAAGGTTTTCAATGTTTAGTAAAGGCATCAGTTGTATCTGATGAATGAGTTTATCGGAGTCCTGTCGAGGGTCAGATCTTCAGAGCCAGCAGTTGCACTTCTGTGTAAGTCTCAGTCCAGTTTGGGCGCTTATCTGGTTTATTGAGATGTATGAAGTTAGTTTTTACGGAAAATTCTCGAGCTTTCGTGAGAAATGCTCCAATTGTATTGATTATCTCTGCTTCAAGCTTCAATCACCATCAAATCCTCCAACCTCCGTCCTCAAGTGTCCAAAATTTCGTTGAATTGCATCCACCATCCTGCAGATGCTCAGCCTTGCCTATGACACTATAACTATACTGTGCATATAGGCTGTCTCTCTTGATTAGTTTCTCATTGCACAATTAATTTCACTTCAGTTGTGTACTACACCAACTGAGAATTCATTCAGAATTGATTCTTAATAGCAGTGTAAGTGTTGATGTAAATTGCAGAGATATTACTATAAGTACTACCAGATCCATAGTTTTTTGTATAACTTTAATAATTTTATTTCCACTGGCATGGGTAACCACTTATAGTAAGTATCAAAGCAGAAAGTCCCCCTGAGAGTAGAAGCTCAAGAACATCCATGTCAATGGGGGAGGTATATAGCACATCATCTGCAAAACCTGGGTAATGTTCGCCAGCTCTTGGGAGCATTTCCCAGCATTTCCCAGCATTCCCAGTCCCTAAAGCAGCGAAAGAAAGGGTACTGACTGGAGAGCACTGGAGAGCACTGGGAAGTGCTGGGAAAAGCTTCAAAAATTTTGCTCTTTTAACGTAATTCACCCAACTATTCCACAGCTGGGAACAAAATACTTTCAAATGCGCAATCATTGCTTTATCAGATCCATATTGGGTAATATTTACAAATATCGGGATGATTACGTATTTACTGTCCTGGTTATATCTGCACCCGCTATCCCGATCCTGCTATCCTGATCCTGCTATCCCGATCCCGATCCCGCACCCACTATCCCGCTATCCCACTATCCCGCTGTTCCGCACCCGCTATCCTGCTATCCCGCACTCGCTATTCCGCGCCCGCTATCCCTATCCTGCTATCCTGATCCCGCTATCCCACTATCCTGCTACCCCACTACCCTGCTATCCCCACCATACCCGCCATTCATCTCACTAGGCCCGTCATCTTGCCAGACTATATCCACATAACTACTAGGCTGATAACAAGATATCGACAAATATTGGTGAAAGTCTTGCAAAAGGAGCACATATAAACAAATTTCTACAGGGAATCCAGTTTATTAGTCTGTGAAAGGGCGATTATTAGTTGTTGGTTACCTTCCAAGGTTATGAAAGGTCGATATGATCTGTTTGAGTCTTCCCTCTCTCTGTTAAGATCATGTACACCGTGTAACCGTGCCAAGGCCACAGGGTGTCTAAGTGCGGAAGACGAGTGGGACAGTAGTGAAGCTATTAACAACACCGCCGTTACGCCGTTAGTCCCCGGAGAGCGAGAGTAGAGAGAGAGGAGCTAAGTAGCAGCCAGGTCGGAGCGGCGGTATCGCCGATGACGAGGAGCGGACCAGAGGACGTTAAAGTCCTAAGGTCAAGGAGGACGTACTTCAAGGCGTTGAGCCAGAAGACTTAGAGAAGAGCTCAGTTGAGAAGGGAGATCTAAGTTGATCTAAGTTGATAATTAAACTGAGGAACTACAGTAGCGTACAGGCAGTATTTATATCTACGGAACGGCGCATCGGTGCGGAGCGCTAGACTAACTACTAGGAGCTATACGAGTAGTACCTGCAGGGTAGAGTAAAAGACAATAAGGAGAGACTAGCACGAAAGAGTAAAAGACAATAATGAGAGACTAGAACGAAAGGATATGTGTAGCGAGAAAGAACAATAGGAAGAGATTACAATAAGAGCAGATCTTCGGAATACCGAGCGGCGGAATGGAGGCCCGTGGCATGGACTTGACACTCTCCAAATTCGCCTCCAAACTGAAGCATTTTGTTAGCATCAAATTATCAACATCTTCGAAACCAACCTGAAACTAAAAGCCCAAGATCTCATATTCACGTTAAACTTAGAAGCATGATAAGGCTCCCTGAGCATGTTTATAATCATATCGCTGTATAGCTTGTGGTACTCGAGGTTTGAGGCTGTAGTAAAATCGATATTCTTGGCTTTTGGACCATCTTCGTACTTGGAGATACAATATCGTATCTGTAATATCAATAGTGAATCAAAAGTTGAGGCGATTATAGGCAGAGTCAACTCAACAAGCATAGAAGCTAAAACAATTGCTCCGTGAGGAACCTCCGCCTTGAAATCATCTGGAAAGGTTTTTGCTAATGCTTTGTTACTTGTATAAAACAAAACCTTTACGACTTCTTTGAGACATGGATGTGCAAAATTATTAACCCGTCCCTAGTAATTTTGAAATCAGGTATCACTTGAGACAAATATTGAGAAATTTTACGTTGGCATCCCGTCCATCTTGCAAGAAAAAACTTTTCTCCAAAAGCTTGTTCACATAAGCTACAGTTAAATCGTTAAGTTGAGAGGCATTGAAACCAGTAGTTGGCTCTTGTTCTTTCGGCAACGGTAAACCATAGTGGCTAACCACCATAGGTTCCGCAAGTCTCTTCAGAGTATTTCTGAAACTACTCTGGCTTTTATACAGCTAGGCGGTAGTCAATAAACTTGAGATGAAGATCAATGAGAAGACTTGCAAAAGTGATTATATCTTCGCGGTGCTCTTTGATGTAACCTGAAATACAAAGGATCAAAATTATGGAAAACCGACAAAGAAGTTTACAATAACTCACCTGCTTCAACATGAAGACCCTTTTCTCCTCTTTCCTCTATTGATCGGTCTAGACAATTAGCAAGTAGTGTTTCATGATTCTCCATTGTCAAAAAAGGTCCTTGAAGAACCATAGTTCTATGCATAAATAATTGTGAGCCCGCAATTACTTTTTTCACTTGTGGCGTATAGAAAGAGAGCTTTGTTGGATCTTTTGTAGAGTTAGACCTGCGTCCTAGACAAGATAGCCCATTCAGCATAAAGGTCAAAAACCTGGATAAACATACCTTTAGAAGCCTTTGAAGTGTTTGAAGTATCCTGGTCTATTTTGTCCAGCCAAAATTATTTTCAGATTGAAAATAATTGATATAATAGAAACAAACCTTTTGATGATGAAGGAACAGCCAAAATAGGTGAAACAGGATGAGCTGGCAGATGAGATACTAGACGAGAAGGAGATACTGGACGAGAAGCTTGACGAGAAAGTGGACGAGATACTGGACGAGATACTGGGCGTGAAGCCATACGCGATACTGGTCGCGAAGCTGGGCGAGAAGCTATACGCGATACTGGTCGCGAAATAGATCCTAATACTGTGTAAGTTACTTGTCGTCAACCTGGTTGAGAATAGAGTGCAAACTTTTATGAGCGTTGAATTCAGATTGGGGTACTGTAGAAGCATAGCCTATAGTAGGAAACATCAGAATACAAACTCAAAAAGAGCAAAACTACCTGCGTTTATATTCCCGAGATGTTAGAGTGACATCTTCTCCGTTATTATCGGCATCCTCATCCTCAGCGTCTGCATTCTCATCATCCTCATCATCTGCATAACGGTCATGTTCAAACTCAGCCAGTTCTTCGTTAATAAAGTCCTCTTCTGTAGTAGGAACATGGCTTTTTGAGTGAATCTTAAGAATTGCAGGGTTCGGAGGCTTCGGAAGATTTCGCTTTCTCTTCTTGAGGACTTCGGTTTCTCCCTCCACCTAGAGTTTATATTAGATAATTGGTTTAGACAGGCTAAAGCAAAAACGTACAACAGGTTCTGGCACCTTTTGGGTATCTGAGTGGGGGCTGTAAGCTTTCGTACTCAAAAATCAAAAAGAAACACATTCCTTTAGTCGCTTTTGAATCTGTTCCCTCTGAATGGAAACTCATTTGAGATTGTTCTTGACTTGGTATGTTGTCCACCGAAGAACTAGCATAGCCGACTTCTTTGTGGACCCCAACCAGAGCTTCCATATTCACACCATCTGCATGAGAAAAGGTGGAACCATCCCGCCGATATTCGTATCCACCTCCGTATCCACTTCTGTATCCACTTCCGTATCCCCCTCCATATCCCCCTCCATATTCGCCTCTGTATCCACCTCCATATTCACCTCCATATTCACCTCCGTATCCACCTCCATATCCACCAGTATATCCCCCTCTATATCCTCCCCCATCTACTCCCCGATAACCTTCTCCATAGCCTTGTACACCAGAAAGACTTCTTCCGAAGCTCATATTATGTCCAGCAATATATCCACCGTCATCAACCTTATCGCTTCTCCCTCCCTGACCATAGCTGTTTTCGTAGCCTCTATTATAGTCTCCAGAATACGCTCCATAGTTTCTGCCATGGCCCCCTCCATAACCGTCAAGATTTGCGTTACCACTACCAAAACCCACTACGGGGCCTGGTTGTGAGCCATAGTAATGGCTTCCACCGCTAGAAGCTGTAGATCCTCGTCCCATGTTACCGTTATAGTCAAAATCTCCTACATCATTTCCAGTGCGTATATCTTCGGGAAGTCTAAGGATCTGACTGTGATTGATGCTTGTAGCTCTTTCATTCAACTGTGAGTCAACGTTGAAAGAGTCACCTCCTTGTCCTAAGTAAACAAAATGACCGGTGCTTGATCCTTGAGTAATTTGCTTACCCACGACAAAGGAAGTATGAGCTTGACTTTGATTCTACATCGAAATCAGTATAGTAAGCTATGGTTTTCTTTCTGAAATTGGTATATTTCTACCGTATTGTGTTGTTCTCGAGCAATAACTTCGGCAATAGGTACTTTGGATGGTAGTGGAACTTGACGACTAGACAAAGGAGCAGGCGGAGGATAACCAGATGTTGGAGAAACCAAAGGCAGCATATTTGGAACAGAGGAAGAGGAAGAAGAGGCTGACGGTATTTCGTTCATTTTTTTTTGGCCCTTAGTTTGAGTGCTAGCCTTCTTGTTTCTTCCTCATTTCTAGCGGAAGAAATATTAGCTTGTAAAGAGAAATTCATTATAGTTATCTAAACAAACTGGTTTTTCCGGTGGAGGTGCCATAGGATTGGTTACAGCGTCCTCGGGAAAAATAGTATTGGCCCCTTGAAGAGATAATCGTTGAGAAAGGAACATTTTATCAGCTGTTTCCAGCATTTGATTTGCATGCCCCCCCTTCCCTTTGTTTGTGCGGCTGCTCGACCTCTGGATATAGTAAGAATCTAAAAAAACAATTACAAGAAACCGTTTTCACCTCTGTTTGAAAATGTTCAAAAACGGAAAATAAATCAATACAAAAACATACGAGGCAAAGGGGGGCCTGCGTTACTGTCAGGTCTCTTACTCATAAGCAAATAATTGAGCCACAAGGAAATGTAAAGACCAGTAAGAAGATGGGTCGCAAAGCGGAAAAATGGTAGGTCCACAAAGGTAACGTGCTTTTTGGGACCCACTGTTTCTTTCCCAAGGCCGGATCTTCTCGAAATGCTGCCTTTTATGCCCAGAAAAATGTTCGACACAACTGCCTTTGACTTTCAGATCCACAAGTACAAAATAACTCTCCTATTGTAAAATAAGAACAAAATTTCTTCCAAAATACTGTGATTGATCCCGCCTCATTTTTTTCAATCCAATACGAGACCTCCTGTAGCACCTCCAAAGCGATAAACTCTAACTCCTAAAAAGCTTGTTAGAATGGGAAGCAAATAAAGGGCAGAAATAGACAACCTTCGTCAAAGTAGCAAATTTCGGTATTTTGATCTTTGCCACCATCAGTAGTAGGTGGGTGAGGTTCGACCTCGTCTTCCCAGGGCTCACATATATCATCCTCATCATCGTAGGTATCGTTATAATCTAGCTCCATGGAGGGAGGAGTGTTAGGAGTTGCAGGGCAAGCTCCAACTGAGTTATCTAGCGAAAGTAACATCTGATAATGTGTATGCAGATAGACGAATGACTCTCACCACATCCTTGGATCTTATTCAAGATTCCTTCCATTTGAACAGCGTTCTGTCTGGCCTCAGAGCTTTCCATCTGAATTTTACTTAGTCGACAAAAATGCAATTCCATTATAAGTTTAGTAATTGCGATTTTCTGATCTAGTGCCGCTTGCTCAGCTGAACAAAGAGCTTGTTGAGCGTTGGCTATTCTGAGAAGATAATTAACTTCTTTTTCTGTCTTCAGAAATGACAATAAGCCACAAATTTTGCCCACAAATGAAACTCTTACTAATGATTCGTATGTTTCTCCTTCGCCATTGACCCAGGGATGATATGAAGATAGAGAAGAGGAATCTGGAGGAATTTCTACTTGAGAATTGTCAATAATTAACAAGATTAAAGAGATACTGTTGCACCTTTGTTGCTCATTTCTCGAACGAGGATGGAAGATGATAGAAGATACTGAAATGGTTTAAGACAATAGGTACAAATAAAACAATTTGTCATTAGGTAAGATAACCAGTAATTATCTATTTAAAGTAAATATTGTCGAACCAACCAAATCCATCTTTTTGATAGCTTACTCCAGTTTTATCTGCATGAATAACTATGGAACCCCTTGTACCACTATAAGGTAAATTGAAATGGGTATACCTATCAGAATGGAACACTACGACATCTCCGTTGCAAGTTTCCAACAAGAGCTTGGGTTCGTATAAACCTAGCTCACCTCCCTGAGGATTACCCACAGTGATACAGATGCAAGCTGATTTGTCGTTTTTGTCGCGGTGAGCTAAGGTACTCACATTAATGTTGAACACAATGCTTGTAAAAGGAGAAGCGGGGGAAGTGTCTTGTAAGGGAAGAAGATCAACGGTGGCGAAAATCTCATGAAAAGTATCGGGATGAATCTGTAAAACCTTTAAACTTACGTTAGAAATACAGAGTAACTCATGCAAAGAAGTTTCGCTCACCTTTTCTGAAACCCAACGTAAAGTTTCCTCCAAACTCTGTTTCAAATCTTTGAAAGGCCCGGAAAATTTCTGAATGTCTTCAGAAGGATGAACCAGAAGCTGACTGTGATTCATCTTTCCTCCATTGGCGTTGACAAGATATAAAGGATGGATATCCTTAGGGGCCTCATATCCCTAAGATAACGTCAGAAAAATATAAGCAGATAATAGCAAAAAACTAACATGAGTTAAATAGCGCGTTTGATTGGTGAAATGAAGAGAGGAAAAAGCAGCAGTTTGAACAGATGAAGAAGGATCTTGAGGTGTGAACTGTGCAGTGGTATCGGACAAGCAGGCCTGAATAATCCTTTCCAAGCCTTCTTTTAGGTGTTGAGGCATAGTGGTGTCCAACGTATAAAGTAAATCTTTGTTGTCATCGAATATCTGTACAAGTTTGCTATTTTTGAATTAGTAAAAAGCAACGCCGAAGTTGAGACATCTTACCCTTCAATAATGTTTCGATTGAGCTTCAGGTACCTAGAGTCGGAAAGCCGTCCCAAGCTATCGAAACGTCCATTCATCTGAAAATCTGTAGTATCAGAATTCTAAAATCAAGTTAAAATCGTAAACCTACCTTGCTAGCGTAACTCTCCAAAGATTCAGGAGTAACACAATCTTGAGCTAGAGATCTTTCGTTTTCCGTCCATTTGCTTCTACCTCCATAGTCAGGAGGAAAAGGTTCCTTAGTTTTGGCAGGTTTGTACGCCGTAAACAGAACTTGATGGATTCCTTCTGAATCTTGAGACTGGAAGCCCATACGATTAAAAAGAATTGAAATAGGTGGAACAGTTGAAGGCAGAGTGAAGGTCTCTTCTTCAGAGGACAGTTCAGAAACTGCAGATGCGTGCTGAGCAGCTCCTGTCTGTTCTGGAGAAAAGAGAAGAAAGCGTCTCTCCAAGGGAGATGTACTTAACAAAGTACGTTCAGATTTCATAGACACATCAAATTGCTTCCAGGCTTCCCAATCTCTAGGAAGAGATCTAAAGGTGCTAGAAGAACGTTATGCATAGATGTCTATAAGTCAGAGAAACCAATTACTCACTGAAAAAAGAAAGATCCAAAATAATTATCGTTTACCCGCAAATCTCCGCAATCAAAGGAACCAGAAAGGCCCAGATCTCTCAAAAGAGACCTATGATACAAAGTCGGTATTGAAATGGGAATATCTTTGCAAAGGTTAGCTAGAACCGGTATGAGGTTAAACCTAACAATTTCTCCCGTAATTCCTGAGTTAAAAATGGGTGAAATGTTTGTGTACTTTGAAAACACAAACTTACCTGATGAATCGGGTGCTCTAATTTTATTGCACAGAGCTTGTATGACAGTTACTGAGGCTTTCTTTCTGAAATATTCATCTTCTCCTTTGAAGGCAATAACCAGCAATAGATAAAGTGACCCTGTATAAAGCTGAGCTTAAGTGGTTGAAACGTAACTTATAGCTTACCTGCATTAGCCAAGAATGCCCATCTACTCCCAGCTGACATATAATCTTGACTTTTATGTTCAGGAATACTATGAGTTTGAAGAGACTTGTATACTTCGGAAGGCTTCGGTCGACGACTGTTATCTTTGAATTTCATCAAATTCAAACGACTATAACAGGTAAGGCCTAACCCTCTCAGAACATGGTAGAACCACACGTACCTATTAACTTTGGCAGAGAAGTAAAGCTCATGCAGCATATGGACAAATCTTGCTGTTCCGTCGACATTGGCAGCTAAATCACATCGCCGTGCTATACTGACTAGTGAAGAAACAGCCAAGTCCTTGACATTGTCTATTGTTCCCTCTATCATCCCCTTTAGATCCGACACCCAGCTCAGATAATCCTCATGACCAATAGAGGTTCTGGTGCCAAAAGAAAGTCTAGCCAGTTGCTTCATAAGGTCCACCGAAACATCTCTAGAAGGTTGCGCTGCAAGGTCCCCAACAGCAAAACGACCAGCAGTAGAGTCATCATATGAATACTGATCAATTCGACGCCTCTTCCTCGTACGTACACTTTTTCTAGGGCAATGAATAGAGGCAGGATCATCAGGTCCTCCACTAGATGTTTCCGTTGAGTTGACCTTGGATTTCTGGGTCCTGCTGCGTTTTCTCTTTGGTTGTGGCTCTGGATGCGGCTCCGGGCGTGAAACCAGATCTGGACGTGAATCCGAATGTGATTGTGAAGGCATGGGTGAACATGGATGTGGATGATGCAAGGGTGAACGTGAATGTGGATGTGAAGAATGTTGACGAGAACCCGAACCCGAACCTGAACGTGAACCCGAACGTGAACCCGAACCCGAACCCAAACGCGAATGCAAACGCGAATGCAAACACGAACGCGAACGGGAACGGGAATGCGAACGCGAATGTGAACGCGAATGTGAATGCGAACGCGAACGGGAATGTGAATGTGAATGCGAACCCAAATGCAAACGCGAATGGGAACGCGAATGGGAATGGGAACGCGAACTTGAATGGGAACGCGAACCCGAATGCGAATGCGAACCCGAATGTGAATGCGAATGCGAATGCGAACCCAAATGCGAATGCGAACCCAAATGCAAACGCGAATGGGAACGCGAACCCGAATGCGAATGCGAACCCGAACGCAAACACGGACCCAAACGTGAATGTTGAAGCGAACCTGAACCCGAATCCGAAGGCAAACCCGAACTTTGACCCAAATGCGAGGGTGGATGGAACTGGGAAGAATGAGAGGCTGAAGATGGGAAGCTAGCATCAACACTAGCTTCTCTGTACCTAGGAGTAGACTGTGTTGCAGAGAGATTCTGCCTTAAAAAGCCCCTTTGACCTGTTTGACCTGCTTGACAACAACTAGGACATAAAGCTTGTCTAGAGTGAACCTATGATTGGTCAGATCAAAAGGAAGCAAAGGAAGTCCTAGAATATTACCTGACTGACTCTTGGAGAAGTAGAAGAGGAAGAAGTAACTTGAGCTTGGTGATCATTGGCAGCAGAGGGAAGGACTGCAATAAGTTCTTGAAGGGCAAGAGGCAAGGTTTCTTCTCTGCTAAGAAGGTAACTCTGCAAAGCCAAAGCCTGGGCTGCAGATAATCTGAAGGTAGACATTGCCGGACTCGAAGTGTAACGGCCCCGCTCGGAAGGCGCTTAATAAGAGGCGCTTATTTTGAAATGCCTTGGACTTGGCTTTATCACCTCCATCACCGCCTCTACTTCCTCCACTGCCACCACCGCCACCGCCACCTCCACCTCCTCTACCGGCTCTGGATTGTGTGGTGGACTCGTGAGGTGGAGTCCACCACCTCACCTACCTCTAGACTGTATGGTGGACTCGCAAGGTGGAGTCCACCGCTTCTACCACCTCCACCTCCACCTCCACCTCCTCTACCATCTCAACGGCCTCTGGATCATATGGTGGACCCATGAGGTGGAGTCCACCGCCTTCACTACCTTCTCATGCGACTCGCCTGCCTCTACCACCTCCGTAAGTATAATCCTTGTACTTTGTTTGTATTTCACTCAAATTATTTACAGGATGACAGTGATTGGGAAGATAACAATATCCTTCAGTCTGGTGCCAAATCATCTTCTCCTCTCCGACCTTCACCTGCTCGCTCCAAAGGCCAAAAGAGTTCTGCGGGTCCGAGAAAATCACGGAAGTCAATGTCAGCACCGCCCAAAGTATCTCCCTCTTCCTTGCCTTCGAAATCCTCATTTATGCCGAACTTCTCACTGCCTCAGTCCAAATTTGAACCAGAGATACCTGGGTTCGATAACAGCCGCTTGAGCAGTCCCCCGCCGCGAGCTTCAATATGAAAATGTAGAAGTGCCCCTCCGCGATGAGGACGAGCCAGATTTTGGAGACCGATCTTCCGAATATGGAGTCTGAAGGTTCGGACGATGTATACGAGCAGAACCCTGTAATACAGCAATATATCGCTGACGGAGGCACAATTGTGAAGCTACCTCGCCAGTCCCTTCTAACCAAGGACACAAGTGCGGCAGACTCGCGAGGTGGAGTCCACTGCCTCCACTACCTGCCCATCCGACTCGCCTGCCTCTACCACCTCCATCACCACCTCTGGATGGTGCGGCAGACTCGCAAGGTGGAGTCCACCGCCTCCACTCCCTGCCCATCCGACTCGCCTGCCTCTACCACCTCCACCACCACCTCTGGATGGTGCGGCAGACTCGCAAGGTGGAGTCCACCGCCTCCACTCCCTGCCCATCCGACTCGCCTGCCTCTACCACCTCCACCACCACCTCTGGATCGTGCGGCAGACTCGCAAGGTGGAGTCCACCGCCTCTACCACCTTCTCCACCTCTTCTGGATCGGGCGGTGGACTCGCAAGGTGGAGTCCACCACCTCCGCTACTTTCTTATTCGACTCGCCTGCCTCTACCACCTCCACCACCTCCTCTGGATCATGTGGCAGACTCGCGAGGTGGAGTCCACTACCTCCTCATCTGTCTCACCCGTCTTCGGATCGTACGGCGGAGCCGTGAGGTGTACACCCCAAAAACTAATCAAGATGTCTTTTGATATACCAGGTTACCATGGTACGTATAGCTCTTTCATTTCCCTATGTTTGCTCATACTCTGTTTTGCTTTTAGGAACTAGGAGAATCGACTTTTCTAGAGTCAATGGATGGTTTGTTTCAACTCACGGTTGAGCCAGATTTACCCTTAGAGGATGTCTCTATAAACTTAACGAAGCGCAGCTACAACAAAGACATAGAGACAAAACAAAGAAAAGTGTCAGAATCGCGAGTCGGGAGATCATCTTACTGCGAACTTTTCTGGAGAGCTTTGGCAATATTAGATCATTCTCGGATACAACACTGGACAACAAGAGTCGGGTCTCCAATTCTGTATGCTATTCTTGGTTCTACTGGGACTGAAATTGACTATTGCGACTCCTAGGAATGCAAAACGTTCTGCGTCGAATCTTCTATCCATCAGCATACTGCTCCCCCGCCTCCTTTGCTACATCTATCACCCCCACAACTACTGCCTGCCCCACTTCTGCTTGGCTGACTGATGGCGATATTAAGAGCGGGAAAGGATGCATGGGGTAATAGTTAAAAGTAGATATTATTTCAAACTGAGGGAACTGGCTTTGAATCAATATCTATGGCTGCAGTTACGCAAATATATCTTTTTCATAAATCCACCTTACAGAATGTAAACCTTTACTTAAACTTGTTAACGTTTCTTCGCAACCCTTCCAAGAAACAAGGTAACGCCCCCTAGTAAAGAGGCCAAAGATATTCCCACAGTTTGTTTGTGTCAAGGTTGGCATCTGAATCCTGAATCCTCTGAATACTGGTCCTCATGTCTTTTACTTGTCGCTATTGTGGGCATCTATGTAAAACTGAAGCTGGACGACGTAGTCATGTCAAGCAAACACTCTGTAACTATAAGCCTGGTTTGGTACCTCTATCAACTTTAGCAGCCACTTCGGAAAATCCTTCTATCCCTTCAACCCCTCCATTGCCATCTCCTGGTTATGACTCACAAGGGAATTCCTCAATGGAGAGTTTCATGGATGTCGATAGTGGTGAAGCTACCTCGGGGCCATGTACGATACACTTTCCTGGGGCAGGTAAAGTTGTCAGCTGTGGGGCCACATATCTGGACGACTTCAATGATGATCGCTTCTCTGAGGAGAGAAAGGAAAATCTCTATTATCCATTCTCATCTAGACCTGAGTGGGAGATGGCAAGCTTTTTGCTCAATTCATCCCTGTCTATGCAAGAAATCGATAATTATCTCCAGCTCGAGCTTGTAGGTCTTACATTTGTATCCATATGATCTCCTAGCTGAACAATATAGACAAAACAGAATAATCTATCATTCAAGACAGCACAAAGATTGCATGAAATTACGGACCTTCTTCCTCCTGTTCCAACCTGGCGTGCAAGAGTTATGAAAACTACTCCACTCTATCCTTCCAGAACTCCCATCGTCCTCTATTATAGAAACGCCATTGAAGTTCTTCAGGACTTGATGAAGAGTCCTTTAATATGCGACTCCCTCAACTTCACTCCACTGCAAATATTCGAGGATTCCAGGAAATTAGTCCGTGTTTATGATTCCTGGCTATCAGGAAATAGAGCTTGGCAAATGCAGGTGAGTAGACCTCACATAAATGTTGAATTTTCTATCTCTGATCAAAATCTAGAGTCAGCTTCCAGAAGGAGCGACTCTGTTAGGCACGATCCTATCATCTGATAAGACAACAGTCTCTGTCATTACTGGAAATCGTGTAGCTCATCCCTTGTTGATATCTTTGGCAAATATAGATAGCGATCTATTGTCGAAAGCTTCTCTATATTTGTTTAATCTTCTCGCACTTCTCCCTGTTCCAAAATATATCGAAAGAAAGACCTCCGTGCGTGGCGTACTTGAAAACCGGCTGTATCATGAATGTTTGGATATCGTTCTGGAACCACTCAAAACTGCTGCTAGTATCGGCTGCTTGATGAGCGATCCTGTAGGGCAAGTCAGGGTTTGCTACACTCCCTTGGCTAGCGCCATTGTCGATACACCAGAAGCCTCTTTGATCGCCTGTACTGGTGGCAAAACTTCTCCTTTCACCCAAGCAATTTATAAAGATTTCGGAGATGGAAAACTTCACCCTCCTCATCTAGCTACAGCTACTCTGCAGGCTATAGATAGTATTCAAGCACGGAACATTTTTCCTCAGGATCTTCCCGCATATCAAAGAGCTTCAGTAACTGCACGGACCAATGGTGTCGTTTCTCCTTTTTGGAGAGACTGGCCTCTGGCAGAGCCAAGCGAATTTCTCACTCCTGAACCCCTACACCACTGGCACAAAATGTTTTGGGACCATGACGCGAAATGGGCTATACAAGCTGTTGGAGCCAGTCATATTGATTTTAGATTCTCAATACATCAGCCAACCGTTGGTTATCGCAGCTTCAAAGAGGGTATCTCAAGTTTGAAGCAGGTGACTGGTAGAGCGCAGAGAGATGTTCAAAGATACCTTATTCCCCTCATCTCTGGTGCTGTTATACCAAAATTCATCACTGCTCTTAGGGCGCTAATGGATTTTCGCTATGCTGGACAGGCACCGAGATTCAACCAAACTTCGACTCTTAGAGTTCAAACTGCACTCAATGAGTTTCACGAAAATAAGGACATTATTCAGGACCTGAAAGCTCGAGTTAATCCCAAAGGAGTTCCTATCGTCCACTGGGAGATCCCAAAATTGGAATTCATGCAAAGTGTTGCGCCCAGCATTTCTGCCTCTGGACCCATAATGCAGTGGACGGCAGACACTACTGAGCATGCTCATATTACTCTCGTGAAGGATCCTGCTAGATCCGGAAATAATCATGACTTCGAAGTCCAGATATGCAGACATTTAGATCGCCAAAGTAGAGTCAGAAGGTTTGATCTGGTGACAGCTATGGTAGATGCTGGAGTTGACTTCCGTCTCGACGATATTGAGGGTGATGAGGGTAGAGGTGATATAGGACATGATAGAGAAGAAAGAGATGAAGAAGACGAAGAAGTTGACACCAAGATATCGTCTTCAGAAGAACTGATGACCCGCCTTCACCCAGTATCCCAAAAGCTGTTTGGCTCATTCCGTCCCAAACAGAACTTCTTTCTAAAGGCGCGTCTGTTGAAGCAGGATGCCTCAGCTCTTCTACCTCTTCGTATCTTTACAGATAACGTCTCTGGAGAAATCTCAGCATTTAAGGTTAATCGTGATCCTGACCTCAAAACGCTCACGATAGAACAAGTCAGTGACCTCTATTCTCTTTCCGACTTCTCTGGGGCTTGTCTCGATTTCCTGGAATGGATTCAAGCAAAAACACAGACTTTTGTTATAGGGGGCAGACGGTCATTGAATCAGCCGATTTCATTACCCTTTACAAGAGTGAAAGTTTGGTCTAGGATCCGTATCCAAACAAAGACTTACTTCAACACTGATATACTTGCGGATTCTCATACTATATTTGCAGCTCCTCCTAGCCCTGGATGGGAATTTGGACGACAGAATGCTGCAGTTGTTAATATTAATTCAAGCTTTGAATGGCCAAGGAGTTCTTTGGAAGGTGGGCTTAATACTTACTTTGTTGCGTCCGTTGGGATTTAACTGCACTTGTTTCCCTTCTAGGACACTGTGTTGTTTTGGTGAAAATAATCTTTACTGTCGCTCAGCCTAGAAAGCCCTCTCCACCTGTGGATGGTACTCATAGGTTTTTGGCTTACTGTGAACGATTAGATGTAGTAAATCAGCCTCCTCCACCTCTTGAGTATCGAAGTCTTCCTGGATACAATGCTTGGCCATCACACTTTCCTGATTATTCCTCAGGATGTTTTATCCTCAAAAGAGCTAGAAGAGTCGATGGCACTCCTTTTGGTGATATTATACCTGTCTCTCAATTCCGCTCTTTGGTGGATATTTGCCCTCGTTATAGAAGTACTCCTCACGCTTCTTTAACAAGAAGTTCAAGCCAATACCATAGCGACGAATTTTTCTTGAATAAATATTTCAACAAAGAACTCTTTTTTACCTTGGATAAAGTTGATCCTTGTCTTACCAGTACAGCAAAATAGTGAAACTAACTGAAGAAAAGTACTACTACTAGGCGATTATGGAGGTCCAAGCATTACATGTTTACGTTTATGTTTATATCAACATTATTCTGTTATTTCCATGATTACTTTCTCTTCCATCAATTTTGTCTTTTAGATTTTAGTCAGTTTGAAAGCATCCAAAGCAGCTGAGAGCATCAACAACACTGAGAGCACTCAACAGATACTTCATGACGAGATTTTCGCTGGGAAGCGTTGGGAAAGGCTGGGAAGTGCTGGGAAATTTTTACCCGAAAATCCAGGTTTTGCAGATGATTCAGAGGCAGTTGTTGCAATATTAGACCCATTTTCCTTGAGACACTACACAAAGTTGCTTGAGGTTCGACGTCGGACGCTTGACAACTCATCAATTGAAACTCCGGAATTTTCCGTGAAATCTGCCGTCATAGAGATGTCCTGAACTCAAATTTTGCGCCCCCACCCCTCCTTCTTTCATTCTAGTGCCCAGTCTACATACTTGGATGGTGTATTCCTACTTACTTGCGCGGGGCATGTGCCCCAGGCAAAAACTTTGCTATCAAGATAGTGCATTTATACATCCTGATGCATCGTGCTCTTCTGGGTCGGTTAACCTACCTACCTACCTACCTTACTCTCTCCCACTCTGAGCTTGACTGAGTAATTACTTGTCTTATTCAGCGCGTGAGATAAATTATGGACTCTCACAACTATTCTCTCGACCAATGAACTGCCTGTGAATAGCAGCCGTTCAGTTCTTACATGTAAGAAGGTTTCCACATCATCAGCTTGGTACATGTAGTATGTAAACGGATAAATCATTTAATACTAATCCCTTCATCTCTCCAATTGCACTGACCCACCACCTCTCATCTGATAGACCATTGCCATGTCCAGCTCATCGCCATTCAAGCTGAGAGTTGCGATCTGGTGTGTTGTAGCAGCAGCCATCACTCATGCATTGTATCTAACTTGATTTGTGCCTATCAGTGGTGGCGGGATCAGTGGTCTCTGCCTTGCAGTCGCGCTTTCCCGATGCCCAAACATACAAGTGCAAGTATACGAAGCAACAGATCGTTTCAAGGAAATAGGTGCTGTAAGAGCTCGAAAACCAGTCTGAAAAACTTCTGACAAAATATTCATTATAGGGCGTCATGATATGGGCTAGAACCTGGAAGATCCTTGAGCTGTTGGGATTGGGGTCAGCGTTCTCCAAGATCGCACATTCTCCTCCGGACGGATCTATTGGTATGTGTAGTGTCTATCGACATACCGTGGTTCTACTTAATTAAAAATATGGTAGGAACTGGATTCGATTTTCGTAGGTCTGACCAACCTGAGGAAGGCTCACGATTCCATTTGGTGCAAATGCCCTGTAAGTGCATCCGTGGTTTTTACATTAGAATACCCAACTGGAGATCATTTCACAGATGGCTGTATACGTTTTTACAGGGTAGATTTCTTAGATGCATTCGTTGAAGCCCTTCCTCCAAACGTAGCTCATTTCGGAATGAGACTTGTTTCGTATTCTCAAAACGCCAGTGCCAGCGAAATTTCGCTCCAATTTTCCAATGGCACCACCGCCACTTGTGATTTGCTTGCTGGTTGTGACGGTATAAAATCCTCCATCCGAGCACAGCTCTACAGAGAGTGTTCCGAACGGTCTGGTGATTCTACTTTGTTGAAATTCATTGATCCTGTTTGGACGGGCACTATTGCGTACAGGGGACTCATACCGGTAGAACACTTGCCACCGTGTCATCGCAGTATTGCAGATCCGATGATGGTATGCATGCAGACCATTGTCCGAGTCGACAGCGTTCAAACTGACAGTACCTTTATACTAGTATTGCGGCAAGAGTAAAGTTTGTCTTTCCCTCTCAAATTGCAGTTGTCTTTCATAGAACGAGGATTACAGCATGTCGTCAGCTACTCGATTTCTCGGGGAAAGGTCGTCAACGTTGTCACATTCGCATCTGACCCAAAACGCGAAGGAGAACCACACAACGAAGACGTTTGGGTAACAAATTGTCTACAGCAGGAATTGCTTGAGTGCTATTCCAATTGGGAGCCAGAGGTAGAGCAATTGCTTAATGTAAGCTTCTGGGTCAATCCTTCAGACAGAACATTCCCTGAGAATCCCTATAGCAAATTGAGAATCCAACTAAATGGGCTATACACCACCTTAGGCCATTGCCATTTTTCGTGGACAGAAAGATCGCATTATTAGGAGATGCTGTCAGTTTTCCTTCAAACTTCTTGACGCATATTTTTCATAGAAGAATCGATAGTGTCATGCAATGGCACCGCACGAGGGCGCGGGTAAGAGAATTTCACTCAAAATTACCAATTTGAGGTTCATCAATTACTCGCCTGAAGGCGCAGGTCAAGCCATCGAGGTTTGTAATTTTTCTTTACCTGCTCAGAATAGACTGATGAAGGACCAAAGGACGCATTTATTTTGGCATCTCTACTTGAGCAAGTCTCATCACTGGAGACCCTTCCCCTTGCATTGGACGCATACCAGCGTGTTCGCCTCCCGTTCGCAAATCATGTTTTGAAAGGATCCTATGATTCTGGATTGATGTATGAGTTCAATAGCCAGTACGGGGAAGATTATGAGATTCTTGGGCCGGCGATAGAGAAACAATGGGACTGGGTGGAAGAGCCAAGTCCAGAAGAGGAGCGGCTACGCGCATTGCAGTATCTAAAGGATGCTATCTCTTGGTTCTGATACGTGAATTCTGTAATACAAATTGATGTCAAGGCTTATCGTTATTGCTTTAATTTTTCGATAATCTGGGGAACTGCCTCGTAAAGATCTGCTACAAGACCCACATCAGCAACTTGGAAGATGGGGGCATCAGGGTCCTAGATCGGAGATTGAGTATGGTTCAGAGCGAAGAATAACAGGATTCCCTCACTTTGTTCACAGCAACAATCATTTTGGAGTCCTTCATCCCAGCTAAGTGCTGGATGGCACCGGAAATACCAATGGCCATGTACAGCTCCGGTGCTACGACCTTCCCAGTCTGACCAACTTGAAGGGAGTTGTCTACGTACCCAGCATCGACTGCAGCTCTGGATGCACCAAGCGCGGCTCCTAGGACGTCAGCTAGGGGGTTGAGTGTCGCTGCGAAAGTCTCTGCGTTCTTTAATGGACGACCGCCGGAAACGACTCTGCCCGCTACACTGAGATCGGGGCGATCAGATTTGGCAAGCTGTGTGCTAATATGTTTCGTAGGACAATTCGGAACGTCCACGGGGTCAATTGCCTTCACCTCAATTTCCTGGCTCTCTTCGAAAGGTGCAGGGTCGAAGTTAGTAGCACGAACAGTGAAAAACTTGATGGGAACCGAGGAAGGCAGGCGGACGGTGGAAATAGCGTTTCCGGCATAGATAGGACGCGTGAAAGTGGTGCTATTGGATGAAGAGTCATGCTCAAGAGACGTGATCTCCGAGACTAAAGGCACATCTAGCTTCGCGGCGACTCGAGGCAAAAGAGATTTGGCGAGCGAGCTTGGAGTAGAAACAACGTGTGTATACTCGGAATCAGAAAGAAGTTTCTCGAGTAATGGTGAAAGGGTTTCGGGAAGTTGCTCGGCATATAGATCTGAAGTGGAGTGCAATAGCGAAGTCAAGCCTTTGAGCCTGCATCGCAGTGAGAAGATGAGATGAATAGATTGTTTTCCAACATTACATACTTTTTGACCTTGTCCACGACGGCCGGGACGAATTCAGAGCTTCCAACAACGAGACCAGCGACTTTGCCTCCCAACTGTGAGGCAGCAGTTAATGCAGAAAGAGATCCAGAGTCAATGTCTCCTTGACGGTGCTCAAGAAATACGAGAGCATGAGGCGAGGGCCCAGATGCATAATTTCTGGTCAGAAAAGACCTGAATATTACGAAGGAACGTCGTGGTAGCATATTGTAATTGCCTCGGAGCGGGGGGAGGGCAAAATGAACGTGAAATTCCGCCTTTGCCGGCCGGCAATACTGGTACCCCGCGTTCCTCTGAAGTGCAGTAATCAATCTTTCTTCCACCACCGTCATGTCCTTCCAATCTCTTATTTCTGGCTCTGAATGTGCTGCCCCTGCGAACCCGCTATCACAAGTTCTTAAACATACTGAGGCCGATCGCAGCATTCAACAGGTAGACCTTTGCACAGAGAACATATAACTTTAAAGCCGCTCATTATTAATCAGGACAGATTCGCGGGTCCTTCGTCTTCCAGAGTGCGTATGGGTCGGTCTTATAAGGATGATCGTAGCCTTTATCTATCAGCAGCTTCATCAACTACCCGGGACTTCATCTTCCGCTGCGACGGGCCATGATCTAGCTTTGGCACGCCAGTTTTTCGAGGCAAATCGTGCTAGTCCAGCCATTTTCGCCTCTGCTATCCCAGAACTTTCAAATCCTCAAATGAAAGATGCGTGGATTGCTGAACAGCAGCAACATATGCGTATTTTTGAGTCAAACAAGTCACATTCTCAGTGGACCGCAGAGTTTGACGGTGGTGCTATTCCCCGCCAAATTTCACTTCCTCAACAGCCTCAAACAATGAACTCTGATCGTGAGTTTTGTATCTGCTTAGTGCTCAGCTGCCACATGGTTCTCATATGGTAGCAGCGCCACAGATGGCCTCGTACATGCCACAGGTTGCAATGTACGGGAACTATGTGCCTCATAACAACTTGTTTGCCATGGGTGGTCCTCCTCTGATGCAGAACTACACTCCGCCAATCGTTGATTCCGCTGAGGGGAAAGGCAAAAATCGTGAAGCGGATTTCGATGCTGCTTTTGCTCAGGCAGCTGCTTTTCTACCTTCGCAAGAGGCCGGTACCTCTGGCATCGTAGAGGTAAATGATGGAGTCACAGACATTGAAGAAGGTCTGAAATCTACCACGCTACAAGATCACACAATTGAACCCGACTTCAGAAGGTAAGTTCTCTCCGGTGTGTTTTGAACGAGAGAATCATAGCATGCTATAGAGTCTGGGATCATCTTCAAAATTCGGATGCGCCTCCACCCGCTGAAGACCTTGCAAAATGGGAAACAGAGTTTCAGCAGCTCATGGATGCGCAACGAGACGAACTCAACTATGGGAATGCGATGCAGGAAGCTTGGGAGAACGGCCTCGGTAATTTTACAGATTCCACGACATTGGGCGATCCTCCGCTTAAGTTTGACAACGATGGCCTTCCCATCCTTCAAGCATACGTATTCGAAACTAATAACAAATATCTCGATCCGTCTAATTCCACTAGCTCCCCTTTGTCAGACGCAAAAGCGTTGCTAGAACAAAATGGCTCGTTGTCTGAAGCCAGTCTACTTCTCGAGGCCGCTATACAGAAGGGAGATTTAGGAGACGGAGGATACGAAGCGTGGATCCTTCTAGGAGAGACAAAGAATATGGACGAACATGAGGAAGCAGGCATGCGAGCACTCACCGAAGGTGTGAAACGCGCAGAGGCGGCTGGTGCATCGGGCGCTGGAATGATGGTACGATGCTTGAACTATTTCCGACTTTGAATTTTTTCTGATCTAATGTCTCCAAGTCACTGGCTATCTCGTTTACAAACGAGTCGATGGACAGAGCATCCCACGTTATGCTACTTCGATGGTTGCGCGCTCGGTTCCCTGATTTATCTGTTTCAGAAGACACTGTCAAATCAATGTCTACACACTCTTCGTGGGATACCCATACCAAGATTACAGACCTTTATCTTAATCTTGCCCGTCAACAGCATAGTCAAGGCATTGTGGACTCTGACGTACAAATCGGATTGGGTGTTTTGTACTATACTAACGGAGAATATACACTTGCCCAAGATTGCTTCGAGAGTGCACTCTCACAGAGACCTGGAGACTATTTGCTATGGAACAGGCTAGGTTCGTCGCTTTCAAATGGGAACAAACCTGAAGAGGCTCTGGGCGCATATCGGGAGGCATTGCAACTACGACCAACATACACACGAGCAATATATAATGTGGGCGTCGCATGTAAGTGGCAAGAATATTTTACTATCCGATTGCTGATCTTTCCAAGGTCTGAATATTGGTGCGCACAAGGAAGCTGCTGAGCATTTCCTTAGTGCCTTGGCACTGCAAGAGCAGACATCCGGGGATACTAGCGAGCAGCTTTGGCTGACTCTTAGGAGAGCGCTGGTCACAATGGTATGCGCTAAAGGCCATCTACCTCAAATCACTTCTAACATTCCCCATTACCCTAGGATCGAGCTGATTTGGCAGAGCATGCTAAACGTGAAATAAAGGGTAATCTGGATTTCTTTAGGGGAGAAGGATTTGATTTCTAGATTTCAACGTACGTGAAATAGAAATACGCAGAATCTTCAATTGTACAACGGATTCACGCTCAAGTGGTCTTGTGTGACAAATCACAATAGAGCTCTATACTTTTATCTATCTGGGTATGGATACGACTCACGTCACAAGCACATAGGTCGCAGGTGTTAATCTTGCACGAACCCTTCTCCCCACCTCGTGCTCCAAGTCGTCACGTCGGTCAATCGACATTTAACAATCTTTTCCTTGTGCTGTCTGTATCGGTGTTGAAGACAAACCATTAAACGCGGTATGAATATAAGAGAATCAAAATGCATACGTCAATATGTTGTGTAGCGAACAGTTTCTTGGCTAGATTCACGAGCAAGTTGAATCAATATCCTCTACCATATGACCCGCTGAACTTGAATTCTCCTGATTCAGAGTTGTAACGCACGTTGATATCGCTGGTGATCCTGAGCGTGTCGTATCTTTAATCTGTACATTGGTTTCGAGGCATTGGTGTTTATCTTCGGAAACGACATACCTTACAGATGCTGTAATATTACCGAGCGCATTCTCAAATTCATCCTTGGTGAATTTCTTCATCTTCCATGTGATTGGACCGTCTAGTCTCAGCACAGTAGCAAAGACATGCCTGTCAGCGCACAGGCCATCGTATGACCATTTAGATGAATTGGCATTGCAGCTGGGCTTCCACTGGGCACGCGAATATTTAGTGTACTGAAAAATCAGCGATTCATAAAGTACTCACCGACATCTGTTTCTTGATACCACTGACGGCTGCTTTCCTAATTTTACCTGCAGCCGCTGTGAGTTCAACTCCTGTCTTTGGCTCGGCTGCTGGAATTCCTCCCGATGACTTCAATGCTTCGCCCAAAGCCACTTCCAACTGTTTGGTGTAACCTGCTAGCGTAACAGCAGCATCGCTCGCGGCGTCCTGATTTTCCGATTTGGTGTAGAAATTCGCGCCATTGGCAAGCACAGATGAGGCGAGCTCGGAATATTGTTTGTTGAGGACGCCACTACTCGCAGATGAGCTTGAACTCGCAAATTTGGCCTTTTTGGAAGTCGAAACTCCGCTGGTGGATTTACGTTTGCGAGCGGTGGTCTTGGGGGGTTCAAAGGAAGCATCCGAGTCGTCGTGTGCTTCTTCAATCATGGTAAATATCACGGAAGAGTTCTGAATTTAACGTGTAACGGACGCGTCGAAATAGGTCTGTAGTGCGAGTGTTCGTCGTCGTAAGTTACTAGTAGTGATCCTGTCCCGTAGGTAAATATAGTATGCTGGATGATACGTATCATCGTGCATAAGGCAACGTCGTGTATGTGAAACGAATATATGTCAGGAAGAGTAAGTCATCTAAAGAACAATAAGAGTCAAGACGTTGAAGGAATCAGGGGAAACAAAGGGAAATGAAAGCATATATCGATCGTGCATGATGTATACTTATATGTTGTCCTGCATTATGGCGGCCTCGACGGCTGGTCCGTCAGCTCACTCTACAGGTCGAAATAGGTTGGAAATAGGCATACTTCATGGAGTGACTTGAAAGCCGGTTGAACGTTGTAAGCCGAGAATGATTCTACGAAAACACGATATTGATACGGATGCATCCTCTTTTAAAGTTCGTTCTCATGACTATCCGCTATCTTGCTCTTATCTTTTCAAGCTCGGAAAATTCAGGCCATGTCAAGGCTTCCAGCCCCAGAGAACCCTGGCGTGGTTGAAGGAGATGAAGACCCGTCCAAGTCCAGTTCTCTCGAAATCCAGCAGCCGGAACTCCAGAAGCGCAAAGGAATTACTTTTGTTTCATCAATAAGCAAGGACGAGCCAGAAGTGACGAGGCGAGAGTTGTGGGTATGTGCTAGACGTTCTCCTCATTAGCTATCACCTAACAGTCGCTCCGTTGCAGGCTTACTACTGTACTATGCTTTAAGATTGATCATGTTCTGATACTGGCTGACTACTTCCTCAGTATATTATAATGGAGACAATGTATGATGCAAAAAAGAGGCAACTTCGGATACCCTCATTCCGTTTTCTAGGGTGTCGGTCCAAATGGCTATTCCCTCACTCTGTTTCAACTTTGGGCAACAGCTGCAGGATATGACCGTGCACAAGGACCTGGTTCTTCATGCACGGCTTCTTCAGATTGTGTGCTACCATGGGGTAACGGTGTACGTTTTGAACCCATGCCCGATAATTCCACATCTTGATCTTTTATGTAGGTCAAGGCAGTCGCAAGTGTGGTCCTTGTTGCTAATGGCGTCAGTTTCGCCGTATGTCTTCGTTCCACTGTACGATCTTCCAGCCTGAATTGTTATAAGGTTATGACGTTCATATTCACGACAATCGGATCTGCCGCTGACTACGGAAGTTTTGGTCGATGGTTACTCCTTGTCATCACCTGTATCTGCTGGGGAGCTCAGTTTGCCAGTGTCAGCCTCACTTCTCCTTCACGTTGGGGCGCTGCTATGGCTTTGTATATGATTGGATTCATCTCTTACGGTGCCACTCTTGTTTTTTATGCCGCTGTCTTTCCTCGGTTGGCACGAAATACTCACCACTCGCGGGCGCTACGCGCCAGCTACGAAGCAGGTGAGATAGATCATGAAGTATACGAGACAGAAGAGAGTTTGGAGAAGAACAGGATTAGCAATATCAGTACGGTGAGTCTCTAAAACTTGCCCTCAGTCCTCTCTTCCTCTTCATGAGTAGTACTCATTCATTGCTCAGGCACACAGTAACATCGGCTACATCGCAACTCTCTGCCTAAATTTAAGCTTGCTGTTGCCTCTGACTAACAACCCGAAGGTCAACAACTATGTCATTGTTCTGTATGGCGTCCACCTTTATCAAGGACACTGCATCTGACTTTTCTTTTTCCGCAGAACAAATGGTTACTGGGTCCTTACAGGCATCTGGTGGTGTAAGTATAAGGCATGAGTATTTTCCAAGATAAGACTTATAATCCTCGAAGTCATTTTTCAACAACCTCGACCTGGCCCTCCTTTGCCTAAAGGCGAGCACTATTTGACTGTTGGATGGAAACAGGTTAATTCTCGTGTTTGAGTTCTTTCTATCTGTTGATTGCCTTTGCTCATAGATATGGGCTGCTCTAAAGCAATACAAGAAGCTTCCCTACACATTTACCTATATTTTTGCTTTCTTCCTTCTCGCGGACGTATGTATATCCCTTTTCAAAGAAATTCCTTCGCAAGTATTAAATATCTCAATCATCTCAACACAGGGTCTGAACACGACAGGGACTCTTGTTTTGATATGTCAGAACGACAAGTTCTCATTTAGTTTTCTACAAAACACGTACCTTGGTTTGGCGCAAGCTATCACATCTACTGCTAGCACATTTGGATTTTGGTATATTCAGAAATACTGGAAGATTAGCACAAAGAAGATGTTCGTTGTGACGAATGTTGTTACAATCCTCATTCCTCTATGGGGTATGATTGGGATCTGGACGAATACCATAGGGTGAGTGTTGGAAACTTGGGCCAGGAGCTCGCACGCTCAACGTCGCTTTAGGTATCACAATGTTTGGGAATTTTGGTTGATCTTTTCGCTTATATTTCCGGGAAAGTTATTTGACTTGAGAGTAGGTTCTACAATGTTATATTTGGCATTTTCCAAGCACCATATTATGCCTTCTCTCAAACCATGATGGCTGAACTCACTCCTCCCGGCTTCGATAATATGGTGGGTCGCTCCAGCATTTATACCTATTTCTGACTCTCATTGCTTTCAGTTCTTTGGTCTCTTCGGTTTATCAAACCGCGCATCCTCAATGATAGGGCCGAATGTTATACAGGCGATCATTAATAACAGTGGAAATAATTGGATGGGGTTCCCGTTCTTGTTTGCTCTCTGTACTGCTGCATCCCTGGTTATTTGGTTTGGAGTGGATATTCATAAGGGGCGACGAGATGCTGTAGCGTGGGCGAAGGACATTAGGAACAGTCAAGGAGAATAATGACAAATATCAACTCTGGAGTCTCAAGATGTCGTATCTAGTATTCCTGTGATTTGTAGAGTCTATTATCAGTCTATGTATACATAACTTTGTCTATAATTCTCTGAATTGGCCCACGTCGAGGCTTGAGCGCGCGCGCGGACGTGCGCAAATATATTGATCCGTTGTTTCAAACTAGCGGACCCCTGCGGGGCACGATTAACCTTGCTTGACACATGTTTTTGTTTAGCGAAAAGAATTACATGAGTACCAAGTAAGAAGAGTATTGACTTCGACAAGGAAAGGATTTAAAAAATTGCGCCGCATATTATCTTTTTCGAGGAATGGCTAACTATGTCCAAGTCAAAGTTACAAAGCGTTCCGTTGAGCTTGTGATGAAGAATAACATCGCCCAGTGCGCCCTCAAAAACCTTCGACTGAATACCTTCGTCTTGCCTTGGAATGCGTATAACCAGTTTATGTACGTTGGGCAATTTAAGGCACTCCAGTACGCAATCGACCCACAGACCCTTACATGGATTAATTGAATGAAAGTGCGTGCTGTTAAAACACTCACGACGACTGTGACGGAGCACCTAAAGTCTACTGCCAGCGTTTCAACGTTCGTGCAAGTGGTCAGATATTGCGACATAACGTGTCCAATGTAACCTCCGTTCTCTTGCAGTTCCATCTTCCGTATATTCGGATTTGCTTCAATAAGAGTTGAGAAGGTATCAAAGGCGTGACGACTTCCTGGGCCGCCGACGATTGTTAGTGAGTTGATCGATGTTTGACAGTGCGCCAACAAATAGTTGACGTTCGCAAGTGATCCCTTGAAGTGAGTTAAGCTCGGTAACGTACGCACTGATCGCCAATCTGGGAGAGGCAAATGATCAAAACCACCACATTCTACATGCAATGACTGAAGCAGTGGATGGCGTTCCAAAAAGCGATCAATGTGAATATGATAGGACATTTCTTTCAGTGAGAACAATCGGAGAGCCGGTAAATCGATGATTTTCCCATGGAAGAGGTCAGCGAGCGTCTTTGGTCGCGGGGTGCCATCTGTCTTCCAATTCACGACGTCTGTAGTTCGGGTGGCCAGTGATATCTTCAACTCGACCAAACTCGTCAAGGAAGGCAGTATCTGCATAATCATTTTGTTGAGTGTATATTCAGCCGCTATAAAAGTTCGTTAGTATATCGTAAACCAGGGTGCACACACGTACGTTGAGGAGCAAATGCGGGAAACTTCAGCGTGAGAGACCGTATATTCGGAGTGACAAGCGAACGCTATAGCAAGCAGTGTTTTTCTAAGTTGCAGTAAATACGTTATTTGTAGTCACCTACGACAATCGACAGCGTCTTCCTACTATTGATGTCCGACATGGGACATGCCAGCAATAGTTTAACAGGGCATAAGCGACTAGGACTGCCTTTAAAGACGTCCGCTAGTGTTAATGACGTTGAATAAAAGGCGAATGAACGTAGATTCGGTAATCGGACCATACGGTCGATGATGGCCAAACCGGATTGAGTTATTTGATTGTGTGTAGCAGCAGTTCCCCCATCTAAGGTCAAATTCCGAACATATGATGCTGGATGATAACGACAAAGAAGGGACGTCAACGACGTAGCGTCCGCGATAGTTTGCATTGCGTTACTGGTAACCCGCTTATACAGATATGGCAAAAAGATTGTTGCACAAAGTTTAGACGTTTGTATTAAGCAACACAAATCTCCTGGGGCCAGATACGATGCCACAATGTGCTGCAGGTCTTCATTCATACCCTGCATGGTGGACATGATAGTGGAGCAAAAGTGGGGATGAGGTATGCAAGTGAATTATTTGCGTTAACAAGTATTTCATACATCGTTGGGTAGCGGAGCGTTAGCCCCCATAATGATAAGCCATTGGCAATAGGGATCGGAAGATAACGCTGCAAAGATACGGCGGCTCCTAATTGAAGATCGTCAATCGGTGTTGGATGGGCGTCAGATCGAGTAGGTCAAGGAGAAAATCAAGGAGTAAGCCAACGTTGCCTAACGCTAAGTTGACTAGCACATAATAATAGTACATGGGCTGCTAAACAGGACGCCGTAATTTACATTTGCCCTCTATGATGGTTGATAACACTTTACGCGGAGGTATGGACGTCGGTACCAACAATCTTTGGCACCTTCTTCGTTCGAAGCAATGGGGACCCTTCGCGTTTATTGGTAGACCTCGTGCTAGAACGCGTGTTAAGTTCGGAGTTATTCTCTGTACGCAGAGTTAAGTGGGTATTGAAAGATGGATGCAATTTAACGCACTGTCGTCAGGTATAACGTGCTTCCCACCCGATTTTTTAGGAGCCTCAACCTGTGTAGGAGTGCCTTCGTCGTTTCTTGCATTTACAAGTGCTTGAACAAACGGAATATTAGTGAACGAGGTAGTGGGGTGAAAAGTAGGATGATACCTGGTAGATCGTCATCAGTGGTCCTATAAACCGAGGACGACCCAACCGGACGATCTACTCAAGGGTAAGCGATGACGGCATTATCAGTCAATGTAAAGTAAATATACCAGCGGCGGAGCTCGTCGACCCTTGACTGCTAGGCAAGGCCGGGAGCTCCACTTCTTCGTCATCTTCCGGAGGAGCAATGATCGACAACCGCTTCAGATCGAGTGCAAAACCCCATTTCTTGTCTGCCTTGAATTTCCAACCACGAACCAGAACATCTAGACCGACTGTAGCGCCTTCAATCGAAGATTGAACATCCTTGTTAGCAATCTTGCAACCTTCCATGTCGAACGCAGGAAAGTCGGTGAATGCAAAGCCATTCATTGCATCCATCCAGAAATCGGTATGTTCCTTTCCCGTAGGAATAACTTGAGCGATTGAAGCTAAATGCCAAAATCAGGTGGTGAAGCGTGAGGAATCAGAGCCCACATACAATCTTTAGTTTCGCCAGTTTTCAGAGGCTAACAGATATATTTAGTTCCACAGAAGTAACAATTCGCAATGGACCTACGCGAAATAAAGGAGATCCAAACCTCAGCGCTCCATCATTAGCGTCCGCGTCGTCATCCTGCCACAGGTATGCAACATCGTAGCCGTCTCCGTTGGTCAAACGACCAATGATGTCTTTGAGGTTCTGAATGCTGTTGTCCCAGTCCGAAGCAACACCCTCAACGTAAGGCCTGCCCAATAGGGCCGTTCGCTTTCCTGACTTCGCAGATGACTTGGACGACACATAGTTACCAGTCATGCCCGTATTATTGCCAGTACTCAAAACCCGGCCTGCGATGGTAATGACACATGGCTTTGGTTTACCATGGCCTTCCTGTCGGGGCAAAGAGTATACGAACATGTTCCCATCATGCAAAAAACTGCCGTCGTTCTTAATGGAATTTTGCGGATTTCCCAGATAGGATTTGAGACCCATCAGGTGGGTATGAAAGTCCAAAGAAGTGAGTAGTTCCATCCTAATATAGTGGTTAGTGAATATTCGGGAGATAAGTAAGAGGTTCGAACAGTTGAACAGGGCGTAGCTTGCGAAGACGGAATTGAAGTAGGTAATGATATATAACAAGCAGGAGGTGAAACCCCTGTTGAACGGGAGCCTAATCATCAAATTCACATCAGCAGGACAAAGTGACAATTAAGCGTACCTGGGCGGCGTGCGATTAACAAATTTGAACGGATATTCGAGGGTGAATCTCTGTTCTCGCGATCAAGATACTCAGAATATTCCTGGCGATTAAGAAAGTGAGCAGAAATTATTGACAAGTGGTATAAACTGTTAACTAGTGGCAGACGATGGAAGATATCCATATAATATTGAAGAAAGTAACGAAAGACACCATAATCAGAGTTTGTGCCGGATGTCATATCGCGTTCTCGTCCAGCGAAAAGCGTACAAAGCTATCAATTTCGAAACGACTGCAACAGTTGGGTGACGACGGCGTTCGTGAGATTCTTGCAAGGTTGGAGGCAACAATCCCTGATAATAATGGCGAGCAGGGAGAGGGTCGCCAGAGGCGCAAGCGTCGCAAATTGGTCCACGATGGTCGGTTACACGCTTTGCCTGTTGACGTCGATGACGTTGTTGCTGGCGATGTATTCAGCATACCCAACGAAAACGAGCGACAAAAGATTGTTAACGACTTCTTGGATCGTACTGGGACAGAGGCGACCAAGCTAAGCGTGTGCTATTCGTGCGCCCGAGAGTTGAGTTCCTCAGAAACCAGACCAATACTAGCGGAGTGCTTACCAAATTCGCACCTACTCACTCCCGAGAGCGCACATCCAGCACATACGTTGACGAAAGGCCTTTTGCTATATCGAGATCCAACGTCACATGTCGTCCCCCCCGATATTTGTTGTGAATGTTTAACCCAGCTGGCAAATAGTAAAAGACCGGTCCTGTCTTTAGCCAACAATATGTGGGTAGGGGAAGTTCCATTCGAGCTGAAGATACTTTCGCTGCCCGAAGTCATCCTCGTATCGCGTTACCTCGCGGCTGCCTACGTTGTTAAGCTGTATCCGAAGAAGAGATCAGCTAAGTGGATGTCAGGAGACCAGTTGACAAGTGCACTGAGAGGCAACGTCGCGTCGTACTATTTGAAAACGGAAGATGTCGCTTCAATGGTTGATGAAGGTTATTTACCACCTCGATCGACAGTATTGGCAGCCACGATTGCAGTGACCTTCATAGGTCAGAATAACATCAGTCTCAGGGCTTTGAAGACCATGTTTACGGTCGAGCGGCTGAAGGTTGCGAATGCCCTTCGCTGGCTGATTGCCAATAACAAATTCTATGCGCACATCAAAATTTCCGAGGCCAATCTTCAGAGTCTACCGATGAATGGGGTTCCTGTGGAAATCTTATCCACAACCAAATGGGCCAGTGACGCCGACGTAGGAGCAGGGGAGTACGAAGGTTATGTGCCACATAATGACGATGTTTCATCTGATGATGGCTTGGATGATGTTGAAGGGCAAATGATGAACCCAGGTACGACATAAGGTAGCGTTGAAAACCATAGCTTATTGGAAATAAACAGGGGAGGAAGACAGCGATGATGAAGAGGATGTAGTTGAAGGTCGAGATGGTGAAGGTAAAGTTGTTTTAATCTGAAACAGAGCGAAACATATGGACTGAAACCTCTTAGCTGTATTTCAAGTACAGGCCAGTGGCGTTCTAGACTTGGAAGGCAATCGCATTTCGCAAAGTGAACTTATAACACACGCGCTGCAGAATGTTAATGTGCGAGCTTCAGGAGACATCACTACAGATAATTCAGCACAGTATGTAGTGAGGGCCGGGGGATATGTGAACGAATATCCAAGGAGGGACGAGGAAGGCGTTCTAATTTCGGGAACTAGTGAAGAACCGAACCACCTACTTGGCTCCTTCCCATTGCTGTTTCCTTATGGCTGTGGAGGTTTTGAGACACCGCGCTCGCGTCCGGTGTCATACGAAGCTCATAGCAAGTGGGCCTTGCAATATGCTGACAAGCGCTTTCGTCTCGACCACCAGTTTATATTCCAGATATTCGGTGTTTTACAGAAAAGAGCCATATGTTCGTCCGCAGCAATGAAAATGACGCGAAGTGATTATGTTCGACACTTGGACTCTATTCAACAACTGACGGCGAAAGACTTCGAAATCGCGGCTGTTGAGGAGAGTCGTCATGTACCGTTTAGCAATCCGGTTATGAGGTCGCTCATGAAACATCTGCATACAGTTCGGTCATCGGTCGTTGGCACGGATTCGTCTCGAACGAGTGTACGTTCCAAGATCTGGTCCTTGATAGTTGCAAAGAACCCGCCAAACTTGTGGATAACATTGAATCCATCGGATATCAACAACCCCATAGCGCAAGTTTTCGCTGGGGAATTACTGGATCTCGACAACTTCAACCCGCAGAGAGCACTGAACGCGAAGTCTAGAGCACAAAATATGGCGCAAGACCCATACGCGGCTGCGAAATTTTTTCATTTCGTCGTGATAACGACATTAGAAACGATCTTCGGCATATCCGTATCTCGTGGTAACATATCCCGTTTAAAGGGTGTGTTCGGGAAAGTGAATGCATACGTGGGGATGGTGGAAACACAGGGTCGTGGGATGCTGCACTTACACCTAATCGTTTGGTTAGTAGGTGGCCCAAGTCCAGGGAAGATGAGGGAGTGCTTGAAGTCGGAGCAGTTTCGACAAAAGATGGTTAACTTCATAGGTGCGAACATAAGGGCAGACGTTGGCAAGAATGCGGAGCAATTTTTGAAACTTCCAGTCAAACCCGCAGTGACGTTCAATAGGCCAATACGTCCTTCTGATCCGCAGTACGTCACCAAATCAGACGAAAGGTTGAAAATGGTGTTGCGGGCAGTGCAGGTGCATACGTGTGAGATTGGAAGGTGTTTAATCACAAAGAAAAAACGCCTTGTCTGTAAAAATCGGGCTCCGTTCAAGTTATCTAACATGGACTGGGTATCTGAGAGCGGTGAATGGGGAATGCGTCGAGTCGTGCCATATTTGAATGGCTTTAATCCAACAATACTGGAAACTTTACTTTGCAACCATGATGTGAAGTTGGTCACCAATGGGGATGAAACACAGGATATGACCATGTACGCGACAAACTATTCGTCGAAACAACAACCTCGTACTTGGAACGAGAGCGCGCTACTTGCGAAACGACATGCTTTTCACAAAAAGCAGGAAGCAAAAACAGCCGAGGCGGACGTGGCGAATCGCAGGCTGGTGTCGCGTTGCGCCATATCCCTGAGCAGGGAGTGCGAGCTGAGTGCCCCCGAAGTAATTAGCCATTTGATGGGATGGGGAGACAGATACGTTTCTCACCATTTTAATGCGATATATTTGGATGGTATATCGTACGCGCTGCGGTGCGCGTTTCCAGTATTGCAGGAACGGAGGTGAGCGCTTAAAGCCGACAATGAACACGTAACTAAGCCAGCTATAGATGGGAATCAGTGCGCACGACAGGAGTTGAAGAATTGGTGAGGGAAGTCCCCTTCGACTGTGAATCAGAGGTAAGCTGCACAATGCAACCACCGATAATGAATCTGATAAGTATAGTTTGAACACGTAGTCATTGGTGTTGAGGAAGGCTCAGTAGTAATGAAGAGCCAACTGCAAGAATACGTTAATAGGCCGATGGCATTGGACAGTTACAATCTCGTCGACTTCTTTACGAACACATACGAAAAACATAAAAGTCACCACGAAGCTGCCCGCACCTCGAATGACACCATACGACGGGGGCGGCCATATAGTGAACGTCTGGCATATGTGAATGGCTTTCGTCCGAATCATGTTCGCATTGTGCGAACAGTGGCTCATGAGACGATCCCGCAGTACATTGGCAAATGGTTTCCACGTAACGATCGGGATGAGCTTCGCCTTCAATACATTTTGATGATGTTATGCGTTCTGAAACCTTGGCGAACGTTCAACGACCTTCTTGAAGGTGGAACTATACCAAATCAGGCGTGGTTGAAGTTTCTGCAAGAGAGCAATGGCAAATATGACGCCTTTATTGAAAATGTGCAGTATTTCTATCGATGTTCTGATCAGTCCTCTGCGCGAAGGGCCAAAGAGTACGAAGCTTACCAACCCAGCGAAGACAAGGGGGATGAAGACATTGCCACCGAAGAGCCTGTCCCTAATTTACCGCAAAGGGATGACTTCAACGACGAATACTCAGAAAACGACGTTGCGTTGGCGCAGGAGCAAGAGAGTATTAGGGAGGAGCAGTACGGAAAATCAGCGATGGAATGCGCATTCAATGCAGGTGTGTTCGAGAGGTCGTACATCACGAGAGGGCCTTTGAATTTATCCAGCCGGGCGACACCTAAAGACAAGGCAGTCTTTGGAAACTGGTCGTCATATCTTAAAGATCATGGGGAAGAGATATTGGCGCAAACAAATGGAGATCTGGGCGAGTTTTCCGAATCGGAAGCTATACATGAAGGACCCGAAGCAGTTGTGGAGCGCATTTTGAACACTTCACCACCACAAGGTGGAGCGATTGCGAAGTTGAAGCTGAACGCGGAGCAACGATTGGCACACGAGATAGTTACGAATCATGTACTAGCGACAAGATCTGGCAAGGGTCCACCTCAACTCCGTTTAATTCTTAGAGGAGAAGGAGGTACAGGAAAAACAGCAGTGATCAATGCAATCACAGACTCGTTTAAAGAATCAGGACTTTCGCCTATGCTAGCAAAAACCGCTACTTCGGGCGTGGCGGCGACGCTGATATCGGGTAAAACGTTGCATACTTGGGCAGGAATACCGATAATGGCGCCACGCAAAGATAATTGGTTGCAGTGTAGCCCCATTATCGCAGAGCGTCGAATAGGTCATATGAAGAACGCAGAATATCTCATAGTAGATGAGATTTCAATGGCAACGAAGGATCTTCTAGGGATGTTGCACGGTATAGCGTCGAACGTACGGGCGACGTTGGACAAAGAAGGATCTGAACTTTTTTTCGGCGGCCTGAACGTAATCCTTTGTGGCGATTTCCATCAGTTTCCACCGGTCGGTAATCCAACAGGTGCGCTATACGATAGTTCATTCCAAAATACAGGCAAAAAGTCGCGTTTCACCGAAAGCGGCTTCGAGGTTTATAGATCTTTCGACCGAGTTGTAACGTTGAAGGAACAAATCCGAGTACAGGACGAAGAATGGCTCGGTTTGCTGTCGAGACTGCGAGTTGGTTCATGCACCCGTGAAGACACAAAGCTGCTCCATTCACTTCGGCTGGACTTGCCTGAGAATGAAACACCAGATTTCAAATCACCAGGTTGGGAAAACGCTGTTTTGATAACACCTAGACATTCCGCCAGGAAAAGGTGGAATTCGGCCGCACTTCGAAGGCATTGTGCAAGAACGAACGAAAGATTGTATTCGGCGCCAGCGGAGGACACGGCGAAGGGGCAGTCGTTGCCCATGGCGCAAAGAATGACAATCGCAAAGAAAACAACAAAAGAGACAGCGAATTTAGCGCATCGGGTGGAAGTTGCGATAGGAATGAGAGTAATGGTGGTACTCAATATTGCTACAGAGTCAGATCTTGCGAATGGAACGCGCGGTACGGTCGTAGACCTCATATTAGATGACCGAGAGGAAGCCAACCCATTGGTTGTGGACGGGGTGACGATGTTGAAATATCCACCGGCCGCTGTTTTAATCCAACCGGATAATGCTACGAAGATCGAGCTACCAGGTTTACAATCGGGAATTTTGCCAATTATGCCTTCGAAGGGCCGTTTCACGATCACGCTGGCAGACGGGTCGGCGAGGTCCATTACACGTTTGCAGATCGCACTGACGGGCGCGTATGCGTTTACTGACTACAAAGGTCAGGGACAAACAATGGAGTACGTCGTAGTGGACCTCCGAGTGCCAACAGGTGGTCAAGGTGTGACACCGTTCAGTGCGTACGTGGCGTTGTCAAGAAGTCGGGGAAGTCGTACGATTCGACTGTTACGAGGATTTGATGAAAAGATCTTCGTAAGTCATCCTTCCGAAGAATTGAGGAAGGAGGACAAGAGGTTGGATGAGTTAAGTGAGGCAACAGCCACGCAATGGGCGAATGGGTATCGATTTACAAACGCTGTGTAATTGTAACCAAGAAGAAAAATAGTGTACAAGTGGTTATAGGAATGGTAAGATAGAACACGTGAGACAAGGTTTGTAACGAAATACATTACAAGTATTGTAATTGCAGGATGGTTTGTCGCAACGAATGAAGCCAGTCAACATGAGCAAGTTTGTCAATTTTTTTTGTGAATGCGAGCGAATTCGGATCGCGAACCCTACTAGCCACCATATAAAAACTGCGTACACTTTCCATCCCGTCCTCAGTGTCGAGCAACAGGTGATCGAATATTTGACCCTCACAGTCTTCCTCCAACATGGCCAACCTGGGCTTAATCGGTATTTGCTGCCTAACGACGTAGCCCATAACTCCTTGATTGTCATCCACAAACCAGTCGTAACGACGTTGTACAGGTTGCAGGTGAAGAGTGGGTAGTAAATCAGGGTTGTGTAGTAGGACCTCGTTCGCGACCTTGATTGTTACGCATGTAGGCGGAAAGCTGAGCTCAAGTGTGGTTGGCCTAGGCAATAGCACGTCCTCGCGGGAATCGAGTTGAATATCAAAGATAAAACCCCATACGGGTGTGGAGTCAATGATTAACGAGCAAGGCATGCCAATATAGATAGCCATTCTGCCAGGAATTTCCCCACAGTTGGCAATGTCGGCCTTGAGGTTTGTTAAGTCAGCTGAGGATAAGGTAGCTCCGACGGAAAAGGACACCGTATCAGACGCATTTAGAATATATAAAGTGGTACCGAGTGTGGTAGCTGCGTGGATAGGAAGTACGTAGTTGAATAGTTTGCATCGATAAGAAGAAGGGGTAATGATCGCGAAGTTTTCATGGGCATGGTTGCCAACAAAAGTCGAGGGGTCAACGTTGTGTTTGTTCTGATGAAGAAGGTCATCCGTATGAAGAGCATCCAAACGAATTCTATCCAGAAAGCCAGAATGTGGCAGAAGAGCCAGTGGTTCGCTATTCAGCCATAGTACGTTCGACAAAAAAGGACGGGTCAAGAAGTCCACCGATTCGTCAAGGCACCAGATGGCATTGAATCGATTCTGTGGAGGAGGACTTTGGAAGAAATCCGCGAATAGAATGATGTTCTTGCGACCGAAAATGGACGAGGGCGTATTGTGAATGTTGTTCAGCTGGCGTGACAGGCCTGACAGAACATTAACATCCAGGGCGTTGGCTACGTCGATGAAGAAGTATTCTTGTCCACAATCCATGGTAGAAGAGTGAGGAATGCAAGTCATGGGTACACCTCCTATCAAAGCAGCACCGTGATTAGTAGCCGCGCCTTTGAATGCAAGGGTCGGAGAATGGTTAATAGAAATGAAATCGAATAAGGCGGCAACCATCGTTGACTTTCCGGAGCCAGTGCTACCGTGAACAAGTAGGAGGAGTTGAGAAGCGGGATAACCCTCGCGAAGAGCCTGAACGTGATTTAGAACGACATTGTAAACAGAACGTTGCAATGGGAGGGGCACAAAGGGTGAAGGCTATCGTTATCATCAGTATGATATTGAAGAAGAGAAGCAAAATGATGCACCATTTAGATACTGATACGGGTCTTTGAATGAAAAACACGAACGTTGGATGGTAAATAAGAATAGTAGTAGATGGGTAGAAGAGTGCAATATCCAAAAATTAACTAAATATATTGGACGAAAACCTACGAGAATCGAAAAGGAACATCCCATAACATATAGATCCCATGTCAATTTTTACATTTGCAATCGTAGACATATACAGATAACGTATCGGTTTTTATATTTCCAACTGTAGACAAATAGAGCGCAACGTCGGACGCCCTTCGATCACCCGCTATTGGAGAGAACCTCAGACCAAATACCAAGGCGATATTTCCAAATACGATAGTCAACGACCAATTCAGTTATGGAAGGACAAAGCGACTTGAACGCGTAAAACTTCGCGAGAGGTACCCATTCCATCGGCGTAATAGACGCGTTGATTTCCAATTTCGTCAAATTTGGTCTGCTGTTGAGGACCGACAACACGAAGTTAAAAACATCAGTCTAACGACAAGTCAATCATAATAATGGTCTGAGTTTGAGAAAGTACCCATTCAATGTCATCATCTGCCATGATAAGAGTTAGAGTTGCCAATGAGTGCGAGCATTGCAGTAAATGTTTCAGAACGTCTTCATCCCACATATATGTGTGAATACGCAATGTGGTCCACGAAAAGGTCGTAGGAAAGTTGATAAAGGTGTTGTTGTCATATAAATCAAGGTCTGTTAAACGGACGCAGCGTAGGCCCCGCAACGGGTGCAGCGCGCTCATGAAAAGTAGCGGACCGGTGAACAAACCTAGATGCTCACAAAAGTGAGTCGGATTAAAATCCGTCGTGTTGAAAATGGGCGTGTCACCAGAAAGCACCAAAGAAGTGATGTTCCGAAAGCTCTGAATGAAAGTAGCGAAAGTTGCACGATGACTGTCTGCTGAAGAGTCGGAAGGCCAATCGAAACCGGTGACATCGATGGCGAGTCTTCGATAGTTAAGCAGGTCAGAAGGGTGGAGCGTTCGAATGGCGCTGTAGTAGGAGGTGTTCCACGTTAATGTCAAATTTTGACATAGGAGGCAACCGTTTATAAGCAGCGCCATTCGGTTCTGGTCATGCCAACAGGTGCAGATCAATGATAGGTCTCGAATGGAGGAGGAGCGAAAGGAAAGCTGATTGGTAGCAGCATGTACACAAACACGTTCAAGAGACAACACAGTAAGTTGTGATAGTGCCTCCAACATGGGAAACATGTCATCCCGAATTCGTACACCAACGATGGTGATAACGTTGAGGTTGCGGAAGTGAGAAAAGCGAATAGAGAAAGTAGCCCAGTTTAGGAGCAAGTCGTAACGATACGAAGAATGCGAGGTAGCGTCGCTATCATCGTGCGTCTGTATTTTTCCTAGGGATATTTTGCGAACTAGGTGGAAAACACGACTCCCTTGGGTCTCCCATGTTAGACATCTGTCGTGGAAGACATCTGGGGTGGGAAACTGGAGAGAATGATATAGACATTCATTTGAAGGGCCTGTATGTTCAGAAGAACATAAAGCAAGAGAAGTAAGATCAGCGAACGCAAGTTTCGCAATGCGAAGCCATAGTTCTTGAGGTAGTGATGGCATGGTGAATAAAAAGAGGGTAAGGCTCAGGTGCGGCGTCGCTTTTACTGCCCAATGTTGCTCATAATGCGAGATCAAGATCATAACCCCTATGAAGAGATTGTGAAGAAGAACAGTGACACATCCGATCAGTTAATATTGAGGCCCAGGACGCCAGGAGGTGCAAAGCGTGCTAGTAGGAGGTCCCAAAAGAACCGTTAATCAAATGTTGGTCCGGTAGATAAGGTGAAAAGGAGTTGGAATAGCAAATTGTTTACGAGCGACGGCGGACAATATTTAGTGAAGCTTGACCGGTAAAGCAAACGAAGACAAACCAATTTACGTGCTATGAATACTGTCTCTATCAAGGAGTCACCGGCGATGACGGTACCAATCGAGAACTGGCTGACGATATGCGAGATGTTAGGAGAAACGTCGACAGCACTGGCGCAGGTATGCAGGCGCACGCGTGCTCCAGCGTACGAGTTCATGTTCAAAGCGGTGGTGTTTAAAGACATTGGCGATTTAGTGGAAGCAGCGAATGCGTGGTCAGATGTGGGAGGGAGAGTGCTAGCACTCGTAAAAGAGCTGAATTTGGGCGTTCAGATTGAACGTAGACAGGACGGAGTAGCGTTACATTGCAATGGGCGATACGAAGCGCATTTGAACGAAATAGCGTTCATACATATACGGAGCATGCGACATCTCACGCGATTAAACATTACCGGAATCGCAATAGGGTCGAAAATCTTTTCGGCGATAACAGGACTGCAACAACTATGCGTACTCTCGTTAGAAAACGTTTGTGTGGTGGGAATTCTCGAAAAGTACGAATTGGACGTGATGGTTGCGCGACACGTACGGCTTGTGAACACTTGTTGGCATACCTTAAACCTGGAGGAAGGCTTGATACGAGGAAGCAAGAACCTGAAAACGTTGGAGATGAGTTGGCGCGGAGGAGGGAACAAGCCGCGTACAGGTAGCGAAAACTGGCAAAATGCAACCTGTGAGAGCCTAGAAATACATAGCAGACGCGGGGCATGGTCGACGACAAGGGAAAACTTACAAAACGAACGACGAGAATTCATGGCTTTGATACGAAGATTTAAGGCGATAAAGAAGTTGCATATACGGGGATGGCTGCCAAAATTCAATGATGCAGACGCAGGACACCAAACGCTGTCGGATAGTATTGCATACTTTGTCGGTCCCGTGCATTTTATGAAGCTTAGTCGTCGACTTCCGAACCTAGGAAGAATTACGTTATCGGACAATGGATTGAATAGAGGAGAAGTGAACGAGGTAGAGATGCAGGTGCAGAAGGTGACCATACTTGAGGTGAACGTGTACGTCGACGACAAGGAAAGAATGTGTATGATGTTAGCGGTTATGGCCAACGTCCACCAGCTCAAGCTAAATTTTTCCGATGATGTGAATGAACCGGTGAGCAACGCATCAAAGTTGTTGTACGTTCAGGCAACTGATGAAAGTAATAGGACGATATATTGAATAGCGTTAGAGATATGTTGGATTATAGCCCACCGATTAAACGATTATTTATAACGGCTGACGACCCATTCGTAACCGAAATACCCCAAGAACATTTCAGAGCGTTAAAGGCCGTATGCCCGGGATTGGAAGACATTCGGATAGGACAAAGGTGCTGGAGGACAAAGCAGGGATTATGGATCGAGTACATAGAACGAGACACAAATTAATTACGACGAAAATGAACATAGAACGCGAGCAACCCAAAAATTAGAAAGAGACGGCTGCGGGGGAAAGAAAGGCGCTTAACGTGAGAAAAAAATGCACGGGCGCTTGGCAAAGACGGGGTGGCAAAGGACCTAGCAAGCAAGGTGAAATGACTCTCATGTTCCTTTTGGGTTGATTTTCTCTTTCTGCCCCTCATGTTCTCTTCGACTATCGGTCCTAATGACCGAATAGAAGACCAACCAACTATCGGTATCATTGGCTTAGGAGCTATGGGAAAGATGTACGCGATGCTCTTTGCAAAGGCTGGCTGGAAAAAGTACGCTGTCTAAATATCACTTCTGTCCATCGATACTGATTTCCTAGCATTTCGTTTTGCTCAGGATTCATGTGTGCGACCGTCCAGAAAATTATGAGATTATTCGAGAATGGTGCTCTTCAAGTAAGATCTGATATCGTCTCGCAATGTCCCTTATTCAGATCTGTTGAATAGATATTCCGACCGTGCAAGTTTCGAAGGATGGTCATGCTGTCGCCCGTTCATCTGATTTCATGATCTACTCTGTGGAAGCAGAGTTCATAGGTCGTGTTGTCAAAGAATATGGGCCTTGTAGGAATATACCACCTCTGATTCTACTATGTTTCCATGACCCGCTGATTCTTTTTATACAGCCACTAAAATGGGAGCTGTTGTTTCAGGCCAAACCTCGGTTAAAGCACCAGAAAAAGAGGCATTCGAGAAATTCCTTCCCCAAGACGCCCATATCATCTCAATCCACTCACTACATGGACCAACTGTATCCACAGTAGGGCAACCATTGGTTGGTTCAAGTACAACTTGCGTTCACGTGTCGACGTCCTAAACTCATCTAGAGTCTCGTCTAGATCATAATTAATCACCGAGGTTCTGCTGATGCCCTTTCCTTGGTAGAGAACCTTTTGCGCTCGTTTCGGTCGCGCTATGTCTATTTATCGTATGAGGAACATGATCTAGTCACTGCCAACACGCAGGCTGTCACGCACGCCGCATTTTTGAGGTATTTTACCAACTTTTCACGGAATGCACATAGTGATGCGTACTCTTAGCATGGGGACTGCATGGGCGTCAGAGGGTTCCTACCCTTGGGAGCAAGGCCGGTACGTCGGGGGTATCGAAACCGTCAAAGTCAATCTTGCATTGCGCATCTATAGCAATGCTTGGCACGTATACGCCGGCCTCGCTATACTAAACCCAAATGCTCGAGAGCAAATCAATCAGTACGCACAAAGTGCAACGGAATTGTACAAAATGATGCTTGAGGCTGGTGGTGCTTTGTCGAACGGGAAAAGCGATCAATCCTCAGAATATGATTCGGAAAGAGAGTCGAAACTGAGGCAGAGGATCGAATGGGCCCAGGGTGTCGTATTCGGCGATCCATCGAAGACCAGAAACAGGAAGCCGATTCTGCTATCCGAGGACATACTGGACAAATTTTCGCTTGGACGTTCAAATACTGTTTCATCCGTTATTCCAGACCCTTGCGCTATGGAAACAGAATCCTCTCCACGGAAGGCAAACTCTCATTTGTCGTTATTAGCCATGGTTGACTGTTGGGCACATCTCGATATCAACCCATTTCACCATCTAGATCTTGCTGCTACACCGCTATTTCGCCTTTTTCTGGGCGTAGCTGAACATCTTTTCCTAAACCCAGCGCTCATGGATATGACGATACAGTCAGCTATATACGATACCTGGCATCGGGCAAATGATCTCGAGTTCGTGGTGGCTGCCAGAGGTTGGAGTCAGTGTGTTAAATTTATGAGTTTCGAGGTTTACAGGAAGAGGTTTGACGAGACACGCATTTTTTTCGAGCCCCGATTCGACGAAGCTGGGTTACTTGGGGGCGAGATGATAAAGGCTGTAATGGCAAGTGACATGGATGCAAAGTCAACAAAATCGTCGTAATCGTCCGCCGCGGTAGACGGATGGTCATCGGTCATCATTGACGCGATAAGTTATGTACTATTGGGGTGAGGAATGGTAATTTGTACTACTAGCTCTACATAAGGTCACAATGCCAATTGGATTGAGACTGAGTGTCGAGGACGTGCGAGTGGGCTTCGAACTCCGAAGTGAACAGGTATTCACGTTGCCAATGGTCGGTCTTGATCGGGTTTATCCCATCCTCCATTTATAGAGACAGAGGCCGTAGTACTCGAAATACGCTTCGTTGAGTCCTTGACGGTACGGGAGGTTTGACGCTCACAGAGCTTATGTATACATAATGCGCAGGACTCCATTGACGTTGAAGGGATGTTGAATTCTCCAGGGCAAGAGTCGGGGTCTATAGTAAGACCACGGCCAAGAAGTGTGCAAGGACTGCAAGTCGATCGCTAAGTACAAAAGTATTAGACCCTACAAGACCCCTCAAGTACTCACAGGCTAGAAGGCAACCGGCAAAGGTGCATGTAATCCTCGGAACGCTATTGGCTGCTATTGGAGATAAATAGTACCATGTGAGTGCTTTTTGGGACGGCACGGTCCGCACACCGATGACCTTGGATATCGATGTGTATTTAAGTCTGGGTGCAAAGGATTGTTGCAGATTTTTCTTCCACGGGCTTCAATATGTCTTCTGAAGGCGTACAAATGTAAGATCATGTCAGTACAATTCCGCTTTTTTTTGATAGGCCAATGGTTAGACACACATTGAAACCAAGTACTCCGCCCGCAAATGGCGTGAAGCTAAACAAGATCTCCTCTGAAATCACACAGTCCAAAGTGCGAATCTTTTTCCATCGTATATCTTAATTTAGTTATATGTTCAAATTATAGATCCATGGTGGTGCTCAAGCTATGCGTCAGTACCCTGTAAAATTATGTACGTGTTGCATGGCTGACCTGGCAACGCTGGGTAGTCTACGCTGTAGGTTTGACGGAAGAGGACATGAATAAGCCTCAGGTACCTCCCCGAAACTTGTGTTCTTCAGGTGTCGTAGTGACAATCATAAAGATTGGTATTTCTCCTGTTTGGTGGGAGGGGAATCCTTGTAATTCTCATCTGGTACAGTCTGACGCTGAAACGAGAGGTGAGAATATCGGCATTGATCATATAAATAACAGCTCGAACTGGGCAAGCGCGTCAAGGAAGGCTGCGCGCAGGAGGACTTGGTAGGATTGATGTTCAATACAATTGGTGTCAGGTACGACCAGTTGAAAGATCAGTCCCAGAGCTAAATATCTTTATTTACAGCGATGGTAAGCTCGAACCCGTCGATTTCATCGAGTAATATATTCTGAGCCTACGAGCTCAGCAATCACCATGGGCACGGATGGTATGCACTTGCGAACCGACTCTCGATAGAGCTTGTATGAAAACAATCTAGGAATGCGCTATTCGCTCCCCAGTCGAGACTTGATTGCGGATTCTATCGAAGGTTCTTCGCACAACCAAAATCTATAGACATGGTCACTGATTTACATCCTAGCGGTCAGTACACTCGCCCCCTTCATCACGTATACATAACGGTCATGTCCTAGGTCGTAATGGTGAGTGTACTGTCAATCGCTTCTGGTCCATCGAGAATGAACTCGTCTGCAGGGAATGAAATACGATGGAAATATATCAGTTCCTGGTTGCGACAAAAATATGGTGCTCTCGCATTCTATTTCAAGTATATATTTTAACGAGCGCGTGGGCCCTTGTAGCCGGGATGGTATGTTCATGCGCTATCAATTCTGTAAATCTGCTTATATAGTTAATCACTGGCATGCTATCATCATCCAGTTTCATGGCAGCGGTACGACACAATCGACCAACAATCATCGTATACGGTGGAACGATTGCTGCTGGTACCCGACAAGTTGGTAAGGGTTGTTTCATTTTTGGCTTACGCTGAAAGTTAACGCATCTCTCTCTCTCTCTTAGATTGTCCTTCGATGGGATATAAAGCCGGAGGAACAGTCAATATCAGCGATGCGTTCGAGGCCTACGGTATTTGTCATTGATCAGATTTAACATTCCTGCAATTAAATCCCATGCTTAGGAGCATATAGAGTAGGGAAGATTAGCGATGAGGAGCGTTACGATGTTGTGCGACACGCTTGTCCTGGTGAGTTCACAAACTCCGCCCAGGAAACTTCCTTACACTCTTCTGCAGGGGCTGGAGCTTGTGGTGGTATGTACACGGCCAATACGATGTCCTCCGCTTTAGAGGGTAAGTCCTAGAGTAATACGATGATTCTGAGCTTCAATTGTGTGCTTCAGTTTTGGGTATGAGTCTGCCTTACTCCTCAAGGTCAGTCTAATGATCATAGTCAAAGGCACAAAGCTTAATTCTCATACAGTACTCCGGCAGAGAGCCCAAGTAAATCAACGCGAATGCTGAATCGATGATGTTCTCTAATTCTCATTCGATCAGTCAAAATTCAGGAATGTTTAAAGGCTGGAAAGTACCTCAAACGCCTGCTTGAACTCGATCTCAAACCGAGGTAGTGCAAATATCTCTCAGTGCGTCCCCGGGGTATCTAATGCTTACGAATAGGGATATCCTTACGCGTCAGTCCTTCTTGAACGCTATTGTAATCGTCAACATCCTCGGAGGCTCTACCAATGCTGTAACACGATCACTTCCATACACGGAAATAAAGCGCTCATTACTTACGTCAATTTGAAGGTGCTTCATTTTCTGGCAATGGCTAGAGCGGCAGACATCGAGGTGAGTGCTTTGTATGAAGTATTTATAGATGGAGGTTTGACACTTTCTTCCGTCTAGCTCACCATCGATGATTTTCAAGCTATTTCGGAGAAGACTCCGTTCATTGCCGATCTGAAGCCTTCCGGTGGGCAAGTTTGCAATATTGAATCGTTTAACGCTAATTGATCGTATACAAGGTAAATATTATATGGAAGATGTAAGTTGTAGTCCGCTGTTGGTAGCTCAGACGGGCTCTCATTTCATTGACAGATCCATCGTATCGGCGGCATTCCAGCTCTCTTGAAGTACATCCTCAACCACCGCCCAGATCGTACGTTGTGGTTGCTTATGTCAACTTCATCCAGCCAAATCATACAAATATTTCTAGTCATTGATGGGTCGCAGCTCACAGTCACTGGAAAAACTCTCGCGGAAAACCTGGCTGACGTCGAGGAACTTTCGTTCGACAATCAGGATGTCATACGGAGGTTTGAAGACCCAATTAAACCTACTGGTCATCTCATGATATTGCGCGGAAACCTTGCGCCGGGAACCGCCGTTGCAAAAATCACAGGGAAGGAAGGCACTCGTTTCGAGGTAATGATACTCATTTTCATAGGACAAGTACTTGATCCACGTAATATCATCTTAGGGAACTGCAAAATGCTTTGACACGTAAGATAGTTGGTTAATTCGTGAAGATCATCTTGACATTTTTCGTTCACAGCGTTGACGAGTTTTATCCTGCTCTCGAAAAGGGAGAGGTCAAGGCGGGGATGGTTCTTATTTTCCGATACCAGGGGCCGAAGGGTGCTCCTGGAATGCCAGAGGTAAACTTGGTTTGCCGGTATAACACACTCATTTCACCTGAACGTCCATTTAGATGTTGGGACAGACCGCCGCTTTGGCTGGAGCCGGTCTGAGCAAGACCACTGCTCTGATTACGGACGGTCGCTTTTCAGGTGCTTCACACGGCTTCATCATCGGACACTGTGTTCCGGAGGCGCGCTTGGGAGGGTAAATGGTCTTCAAGTTTCTTGTTGCCAGGAGCTTTCATGACTCATATACTCATCCGAATGTAGACCCATTGCTCTCGTCGAGGACGGAGACAAGATCATGTATGATGAATCCGCTTATAACATTTACCTTCTATCTTGCTAATTTTTCTCAGAATCGACACTGAAGCACGACAAATTAATTGGATAGTGGATGAAGTTGAACAACAACGGCGAAGTGAAAAATGGAAAGCATCAGGCAAGGAAAAACTTAACGTCCGTCGTGGGATACTGTACAGATATGCTCGAGAAGTTCAGCCAGCGAGTTTGGGAGCGTTCTGTGATTGAAGGTGTACAACCAGATATTTGTATTGTGCGTAGTCCGACTGAGGAGTACCCGAAATGTGTAATAGTATAGGTGAAATAGTGTTTGTGAGGATATGATACGGATTTGGATTCCCAAGTTATTCTTCGTTTCTGTTTACACTATTTGCAGGACGCGCTGATGTATATTGATTGAGCGATTCATTGGAGGGTCCATCAGGGGATTTATCCGGGGGTAAGGAGGTTGCAGAAGGAGCTTCTGCTCTTTCGGATCTGGGATAGTGCTCTTCCGCCCGGCGACCGAAAAGAATAGCAGGATCTGGAGGTATGACGATCTTCTCTTGAGACTCTTCCTTCACTTTCTTCGACTCAAGAGGTGGCAGTTTGCCCTCGTTGCGCAATTTCCGTTTGTATCTTTTGCGAAAGTAGATAGCGAATCCGATGATCCATGCTAAACCCAGCACTCCTGATATCGAACGCATGAGAATATACCGAGCGAGGAAACCCTTTTTGAGATTACACACCTCCGCAAATGCTCCCTGCAATGATCGGGGTTTTGGGTTTACTACGAAGACTGAGCGACCCGAATGTGATAACTTATCAAACACACCTGTTTGAAGCAGCCGCAGCAGACGAGGAGACAGAGTCCAAGGTTTGGGCCAGTGAGGTGCCATTGGGTACTATTCTTGTAGTGTTTGTCAAAGAAATCCGTTTATCCAATAAATGTGAGCTAACCAAGCATGTTGATGCTCTTCTAAGTTCTATATCATCATAGTTCTGGGAAGGAAAGGTCAAAGCTGGTAATGTTACAGTTTGGCTTAGTAATCCCAAGCATCATGATTGCTTCTCTTTCTCTCGTGACATGACTCCTATATGACTTCGAAATCGGAGGGTTTGTTGAGGTTCTCGATTGTCCAATCGCAAATGATTTGATCCTTATTGTCACCTACTACTGTCACTCGGGTACCTGGAGACAATAACGACCGTCGTTTTGCGATGGGAACAGGAGGCCAGAGTTCTTAGAGGTGGTATTCTTCCGAAGTAGTGCGCTGACTTTTAATAGTCTGAGTAGATCCTCCAAGTCCAGCGAGGCGAGATGCATCCACTGTAGATAGACAGCCTAGCTATCAGGATCACCAGGGACCACCTTTGATCCTGAGGGCCACTGCAAGAGTTTGTTACATCCATAACGCCAACCCGAGCGTTCCTATCCCTCTCCTATCATGGTAGGGGGGATGTTTCCAATGTGCGATTTTCAGTGATAATTTCTATGTAGAAAGAATTGGCACGATAACCATACCGCAATTGAATGAGCATAACAGGGGTGCAAAGGGGTGCAAGAACTCTGCGTAATGGGTTTTTTAACCCAAAGACCGTCAATACTGAGAGTATCTTCGGTCATGAAAAGTGAAGAAGCTGTCGGTATTGTATAGTCGGCCGTCCTGCCATCGAGTTGGGAAATAGATATCCCAGTTAAATCGAGAACCACATACTCCCTATGATGCATTGATGTTCGATGAGCAATGTACAAAATTTTGCAGAACCTTTGCAAGCAGTGCTCCCACGCTTTTATCTCATCTCATCTCATCTCCTCCACGAGCAACCAAGGATTTTGCTTCTCTCGAGTCTTTCAAACCATGGCGAGATTACATCTTTACTTCAAAGAATAAACGTCCTCGTACAAATACAAGTAAAACAGAAGTTTCAAAAAAATTCTCTGGTGAGACGCTGCTAATTATAGTGCAAACAGTGTCGACCCTACAATAATTTCCATATCCTCTATTAATCTATATGCAATTTCCTCCAGGTCTTCAATTTCCTTCATTCTGACCTGGCTAGAACTCATCGGTTTCGGTGCCAGGACTTCACTAGGGATCTCGTCGACGATCCAAGGTGCGTTAGTCTGTGGGATACGTTGATGCACTATCGGATCGTGCTCGCGAAGAGGGACCATCAAGGAACCTCCTTCGCACTGGATGGAATCGACCGCTTGAAGGTCGAAACCATGAAAGCAAAATCGTGGGCCGGTTTTCCAACAAGACAGAACATCATTCCAGCACCCTGGAGACGGGGACTGTGGTGTGGAATATCCTTCCTGGCCATTCATGTAATACGCGTTGTTTTTGTTTTTATCCTGAAAATGAAATCAGTGAGTATTAGGTGCAATGGCCAGGGGATATCAGTAATACTTACCGTTGTATCGCAACGGACAAAAATGTGTTCAAGAGATTTACTGTCATCATCCAGGGCAAACATTGCCACGTCGCGGGCAACTGTTCGTAGGTCCGATGCCGCCTTCGAAGTAACAGGGAATTCAGTTTCAGCAACTGACTCATGCGAGGTCGGATGATTCTCCCATTCGAGTCTAGTACCATCTCTATCAGTGTCTGCATATTCAATGTCACAGATGAATCTGGCAACTGCATCAAGGCGGGCATTGACAGAACTACTGTGAAGGTCCTGCGGATCAAAGGATATCCCAGACAGTGGAGAGATACCGGGTGGAGGGGTAGATGGTAACAAATCAAAGTTTATCAAGTTCGCAAACCCAGGGACCGGTGGAGGAGATTCGGAGGAGATTGGAGAGATTGAAGATACAGGGCCCGATGAGACTGGAGTTCGAGAACCACTGTCGATTACTGGGTTTGGCCGTTTAACAGTGAGCCATCGGACTGTGGCCTACATAGGATAGTGGTTAGTCTTCTGTGTCATCGTCCACATCAAGTTGCCACACTTACTATGATAGGGTGGACCCAAGCAGATAATATTCGAGATGAGGGCATTGCAGGTTGCAAAAACAGTAAGAGATGGCAATGGGAGAGAAGCTTTGCCAGCACTACGCCACAAAAGGTTTGTCTTTTATACCGTTCACGGTGTGGAATCACTGAATGGAATGCATGACTAGGAGTCTAGGACCCGCTATGATTCTCACTCTACAAATTGGTTTTCTGGCGAGTTGATGAGTTGGAGATAAACAACATTCTCTCGTTGACTCGTTGAAATACAATATTTACGCATGAGTCCCTTGTTCTCTGGTATCATCTGTCAACTGTACACTCACAACGTGTATTCTCGTATTGTATCGGTTTCTTCCAGAAAGGGACTACGTTTCGAGTTCTAATACGGACCATGAACAGCTCCAAAATCGTACTTGGTATTTGTCTGGTCGAACCGCTTTGACCTTAGCTTGTTACTTACTATTTCGCTTAACACTCATTTTTTCAAAAATAAGCCTTTCCGAATTCTTCTAGACTTCTTGACCTGTTAACAATCTTTTGACCCTCTTTTGACCTTGTCGGAATGAGCTAGCTCAACTCTCAACACTTGCTCGATGCCCAAACCTGCGCTTTACATGCTGCAAATGTCGCCGTTCACCGCCTCGTCTCGCGCTCGCGCCACATTTCTTTCGGAGCCCCCGTACGGTGTAGTGAGCAAGCGGGTGAGTCTTTCTTTCTTTCCTCGTTTTTACTATCAGCTTCAATTCATCTAACCTGATCTAGCAAATCAATCGTATATTCACATCACATTCTGTTCGTGGTTCTTCGAATTTCTCCACGCAATAACGATTCGGCGAGACACGAGAAGGAGCTTTAGCAGCAGGTTAAGATTCTTGGAACTTGTCAACTGATGGGGGCATGTTGGGATGTGACTAGTTGATTGACTACAATCCTAGACCCACAAGTAGACGAAAAACTCATGTTCTTTCCCAGCATGCCATGCTGCAAGTATGTTCGCAATGTCAATTTTGGCAGTTGTATATGAGGTGGAATAGGTCTATGAGACAGGATTTTTTTCCCTTCATAGAGGAAGAACAATCAATCACCAACCGGAATTTCTGGAAAGCACAACCATCACAGACAGATCTTTTGAAGTTTGGAATGTCGTGGTGCCTTCGATTTTGTGGAGATAGATAGATAGATTAATACACGGCACCGTCTCGAAAGACGGGGTCCCGTCTCGGAACAGCCGGTTATGGTAGGACAACAATAGCGAGCTCAACCCGCAGTGAGGGAAGGTAGACTACTGCTGACGTACCGCGCACGAGTGAGAGAGTGGCAAACGAGGACAAGCAAGAGTACGAGTACAAGAGAGACACGAGAAAAGGCCAAGCAAGAATACGAGTACGAGAGTGTATGAGATAGAGTATTCATAAATAGAGTACAGGTACGAGATTGAATGTACAAAAAAGCGGGCAGAGGGGATGAAGGAACAATCGGGATCCGGCTATGTTGAGTCGCCACCCACACTTCCATTCGCGGTGTGGTCATCGTTCTGTTCGGCAGGAGGGAGAGGGGGATGCAGAGATGACCAGTGCATGGCAGCCTCGTGGATGAAGCGCGCAGTACGAGAGGTGGAGGACGTATTGAAGATGAAGCGTTTGAGATAGTGGAGAGCTTCTGAGTTTGAGAATAGGCGATTACGAGGAAGAGGGAATGAGAGCGATATGTCGTCAAGAAAGGCAGTCCGTAGGCCAACAATTGTGTGGTCTACTGCACATTGGAGGAAGATATGTTGAGGGGATTCTGGGTGGAAAGGTGACTGACATGACCGGCACTGTTTTGTGGGCACCTCTGTTGGTAGCAAGGGATCAATTCTTGCTGGCGATGACCGGAAAGTGAGGGGAACCATGTCTCCACACAGTAGTCTGGTGAGAGAACGGCGGTGGGAATGGTTTCGGACGTGGATCAGGTAATGGCGGAGCGTCCGAGCAACATATTTGGATGGGCCCTCTTTCTGCGGTTCGAGACGGCCGTGGAGTAACGCCAGACGATGGCTGGAGTCTACTTGGGTCTGGAGATAGGTGTCGGACTCCTTGGAGATGGAATTGATGAGTGCGAGGAGTGATGGTTCGGATAGTAGTGCTGATGCGGGGAGGGAGAGAGTGGAAGAAGGCAGATGGCGAATTGCCCAGTCGACATCTGAAAGCCAGCATTTCATGCCGGAGTTTCGAAGGTTGAAGTTCTCCTGCAGTGCAAGGTGAGCGTAGTGCTCCGGTCCGAGTTTTAGGAGGTAAATGAGGTAGCGAAGGGCAAGAATGACACGACGGGTACGTATGGGCATAATGCCAGTCTCTGTGAAGAGAGGTGCGAGAATGGAACGACGGGATAGACCCAGCATGCGGCGGAGAAAGAGCAGTTGAATTTGCTCGAGCATGGATAATAAGTGAGTGTCAGTGTCGATTGCAATTTCGCAGCCATTGATGAGATGGCAGTCCACGAGAGCAGAGTAGAGTTGCTTGGCTATTGGAGGGTCGAGCCGTTGGTGTCCAATGAGAAGGTCACATCCCGCGATGCCACCCGCGGCGGTGAATGCGGAATCTCGCTTGACCGTGTAGTGTGCCGCGAGTAGATGACGGTGTGTGGATTGGAGATGAGCACCGACGTAGCGTACCGAGTCACGGAATGACAGGGCTTCACCACCCAGGAAGAGAATGGGCAGAGGTGAAGGCAGGCGGCCGAAGACCATAACCCAGGATTTGCCAGCGCTGATGGTGAGGTTGTTGGAGTGACAGTAGAGCTCGAAGCCTCTCAAATGGGACTGTAGGCCGTGTGCAGAGCATGAGATCAGGGCGATGTCGTCAGCGTGTTCGAGATGGGATATCACAATCCCTAGCAGGTCGAGGTCATTGGGGTCATGAACAAGGTTGAACGTTGAGAGGAAGATGTTCCACAGTGTGGGAGAGGAAGGGTCACCCATCAGCACCCCACACATGGCCTGGAAGCGATCGGAGATGTCCCCGTTGTGGGTGATCACATATGTCATCTGGCTGTAGAGGGAACGGAGCCAGTCAAAGTATTTGCCGGTGAGCTGATGATCAGCGAGCTTGTTCCATAAGCTGCTCTGGTTCATTGAGGGGAAAGCGTTTGAGATGTCCACAAAGGCGACATACAGGGGATCACCTAAGGATTTTGCTTTTTCGATCAGTGTGCGTAGGATGAAGACATTGTTGTTAGTACGATAACCAGCCCTAAACCCGTTTTGAGATGCCGGGAGAATGTGAGCTTCTTCCAGAGCCTGGCTAAGTTTGAGATGTAGCAGGAGAGAGGCAAATTTGAGGATGCAGCTTTCCAAGGCAACTGCTCGGTAGTTGTTGGGGTCTACAGAATCCTTCCCTGGTTTGGGTATAGCTACTATGAGTGACACAAGCCACGATGTAGGAAATTCTTTGAGTTGGAAGGCACGGTCAAAGAATGAGGCAAGGCGATCATTGTCGATGTCTTGAATGATTGAGTATGTGATTAGGTCGGCGCCAGTGGAGTCTGAGTGAGTTGTGCGTTTGAGATAGCTTTTTATTGTAGCGATGTCATTTTCACATATAACAGAGTTGAAAGAGGGGAAAGCAGAAGGGGGCGATGGGTCCGGGATTGCATTAGCACGGTTGGTTTCTTGTTGAAGTATCAGTGGGTCAAAGGAAGTGGTGCGAGGGTCAGGAGGATTCATGCGAGGGATAAAGCAGTTGGTGAGTTGTTCGAGTGTAACCCTTGGCAAGGGTTTATCCGAGTTACTCAAGGACTTGTAGAACTTCCAGAAGGCAGCGCCGCCTGCCGCTGCTGCCGATTGGAGGCGGGACAGGTTAGTATCTTCCAGTTCACGACGGTGGGTGCGACCACGGTGACAAACAGCTGAAGGGGTGTGGACCAGTTGAGGAGGAGGCGCAAGGGAGCGAGGATCTGGAAGAGAGGTGGAGACCTTTGGGATATTCGACAGTAATTGGGGAAGGTGGGGTGAGGGAATTGGACAAGAGATAAAGTCGAGTTCTGAACCTTCATGGGGTAAAGGTAGACAGGCCCCAGCTTTTGCCAGTTGGTCCGCAAGTTCGTTTTGAATGATACCCCTGTGGGCGCGAACATGAGTAAATACGATGGTTGCGGTCCGGGCAGAGATCCACTGAGAGAGGGTGTTGAGCAAGTCTCCATTAGGACAGTCCCAGCCGCACTGGGCATTTTCCGGAGCATTGTACACAATGGACTGAATGGCGTAGGATGAATCAGTGTAGATTTCGAGTTGACGATGCGCCGAGGTCCGTTGGATGGTGACGAGGATGGCATAGAGTTCGGCGCGGTTGTTTCGCTGAGGTCCCAGGATTCGTGCTGACAGGTTCAGGTGGTGATTAGGACCAATGTAAATACCCAGTCCAGCGCATGCAGCAGCTGTATTGTTCCTGAGGCAGGAGCCGTCGGTGAAGACTTTCAGTGGAAATGATGATGATGAAGTACTAGAATGGCCGTAGAGTTTGAGTAACCGTTGGGGGTGTGTAAGCTTTTGGGAGTGTAGCAGCTGTTGCTGTAGATGGTCAATTTCCGAGATAATGGGGATCATGATGTGGGGTCGTGGGTGTTGGGTAGGTGGCAGTCGAGTAAGTTCAGGACCAGGTACCAACAGGTCCCATGAGAGGTAAGCATGATCAGACCATTTGGTCTCAGTGCTCACAGCCAGCTCGGAGATGAGTGAAGCCGAGCAACGTCGTGTTCGAAGATGAACCGAGATTTTGCGAGAGACCGTAGATGACTCTTGGAGACTGGAGGGCTTATAGGCTTTGGCAAGAACAAGAACGTCACGATGATATAGTCCTGCGATTCATGTCGTCTCCTGCCAGTGTGAACTTTACATTGCAGATTCAAGAGACACTACCGGTGAACAAGAACCAGCAAAAGTTGAGAACAAATTAAATCTCATGATGATACTTGGCAGCTAGTAATAGTCAACTTACCACAAATGCTCGCAATTTGGCAATCGCTTTTTACATCGATTGTGGTACACAAAGAAACAAACGACGTTAGATATGGAGGGTTTCTACATAGAGATGTGTGATACAAGAAAACAATCGTAGCGAGGTTTTGAGATGTTACAAAATGGGAGAAATACAATTACCGGAATGTCATTTTCGTTCGTTCATGAATAATGATCTAGCAAGACATTGAAGCAAGGCGCCCACGACGTATGCGCCTAGGCTCGAACACCACCAACAACTTCTTCCCATCTCCTACCTTCGCTCTCAGCTCGTTTCACCATTTCTTGTAGATGGTCCTCTCTCTTCGAAATTCGTGTCTCCATACCCATTATCAACAATCTAACCTTTTCTATGTGGGCGGCGAGCATTGCGGGATCCATCCCTCCACCGCCGCCAGGATGTAAATCTGATTCTTGGGTAGGCGAAGAAGTCAAGACATGTTCAGAGGTGGATCGGGATATGGACGGTGAGTTGGCCAGATGGGGAGAAGAGGGATTGGCGTTGGCGTTGATAGATGGATTGAGAGGAGACGATGAGCTAGCGGAACGGCCTGAAGAAATGGAGGAAGAGTCCATCCTAGTATTTGTCGGGGCAGTATTCGATCGCTGGTGGAAGGCGGATGAACGGCCAAGGGTACCGATAGCAGCAGGAGGAAATGGAGAAATATCCAATGATGACTACGATAGTAGATTTTGTGAGTAAATCGAATCAACAAGATGAAAAGAAACGAGGATTGGAAGAAGATGAACACTAGCGTATGGACGAATAAAAAAATGAGAAGTAACGGTCGTAGAACCAGGATGAAAAAACAGAGTCAAGCTGAACGGCAACCGACGACATGTATTGATGCCATTGCGGTAGCAAAAGTCCAGATATGCACAGAAAAGGATAGAGGGTAAGTGAACGCTTCTCACCTGCCAATTATCCCCCGCCAATCTTGCCAACTCTCTCTCCAGCATCTTCTCGCGGATTTTCATTCTAAAAGCACATCAGTCATACAATAGGGACCGTAAAGGTGAAAGAAAAGACCAAAAGGAAGATGAACACGTTACGGATATGCATCATTCGTAGAGAAACAATGAGTTCCCCCGATTACGCCGCTGAATAGCGACAAGATTCGGTAGTGCCAAACTCACCGCTCCATCTCTCCCATACACCGCTCGTTCTCTCTCTGCGTTCCTTCCAGCAACAGTTCAAGATCCTTGTATTCTCTTTCCAACGCTTGAACATGTTCTACAGGTGGCCGAAGGCTAAGTTGGGATTGAAGCAGTGACAACGTCGTTTTGAGCTGACAGAATAGACAGATACATTGAGCTGGATTGAATTTGGTTGAGCTTTCAAAAGGACTTGCACGATCACATTCCCTATCCTTATCTAGCAACTGCCTTCTCAGTACATCAGCATCACTTTCGTCTCCTTCACGAAGAACACCCAAATCATCTGAATGAAGCGCCAGTTGACTTGTTCCCGGGCCCATACTGCCAAATTGGCTAGTGTTGCCTGCTGCAGAGGACATAGATGCTCTGGTGTGGTTTCGAAGTGTTTGTGATCTACGCATTATTCGCTTCTACCTTCCAACGAGTGTTCGAATTTCGGGGCGACGGTACTAGTAAAGCTCGAAGAGGCGCACGATCCATGAGGTTCACAACACGAGATCGCGTGGCAATCACGTGTACCCATGACTCTTCGAGTCTGGAAAATGGCCTTGGATCTACGGACTGTATCTGTATCGTAGCTCTTGTATTCGACTTCATACCAACTTATAACCCATTTTGCTCTAGCTGCTTCAAGTCATAATTGTTCATTCAAGTTCTCGCAACCTTGAATTCAAATTTAAGATTTCATGATCAAGCTCCACGGTGCGTTTTACGCGAATCACAAACTATATTAACCTGACGAGCGGATGTTCCGGAGGTGACGCTCGTTGTGCACTTTTGAGTCACTCAAAGTGGGCGGTTGAGAGCGTGCATCATGAAATCAAGTACAAGGAGTGTTAGGTTGCACTTGCTAGGGCCGGAATTACATGTCGAATCTGTTCTGGAATCAAGTCGCGAGGTAGTAGAGCTATAGTGTCTAGAGGAGCACGCTTTGCCAGCGCCAGCAAATTCAAACGAATGTTTCGTAGCACAGGATCTTCCTCTGTATCATCGACCTTCATCTGAGTTGCTTCTACCACAGAATTTTGGGCGCGCCTTTGTCTGTCCAATGCGGTAATGGCGTTGCCTACGTAGGAAAATACTCGGTCCAACTGCTCCATGGTTCCTATCGTCGTCGAAGTATTGGGTGAAGCTTGCGTATCAACCTCCATAGAATCTTCCTTCTTGACCTGCTCACCAGATGCTAGGTTCCCAAACCATTCCTTTTCGCTTTGATATATTTCATCTGGAGCCCGTATCAAAGAGCCCATATCGATGGTATGAGTACGCAGCTGCAAGAGTAGTTGTATAATCCCGTAGACTTTGGGGTATACATGCAAAGATCGTGAGATTTGAGAGGAGACTGGATCATGACTTTTGTGTTCTTGCGCTGAATGGGGAGATATTGAAGTTGAAAGTTGTCGAGCAGTTTCACGGAGAAGAGAATGTCGATTCCCAGTGAGAGGGTCGATCACATTGTTTTCTACCCATTTTAGAAGCGGCGCCCCGAGGGCAGTGTCGTCCAGACCATCAATGTCCTGGAAATTTCATTGTGTATATAAAGTGGGGAAGCATCAATGACACTCACTTCAGGAGGAGTAACAAACTCAGCCAAACTTCGAACATAGGCAAAACCCTCTGTGCCGCCATAAACAACATCACGGATGTAGTCTTCGGCGTCAGGAGCTTGTGTTGTAAACCATTGTGATGCGTCGCGTGGTACCGATGCTCCTATAGTTACATTGGTAGCTGAAGCTCCGCAGTCTAAGCTCTCTTTGATGATTTCGGCCGTCATTTGCTCGTCGTCCCCTGGTATCCCACGTCGCTTCATCTCTTCTGCCAATTCACCTGCCAGCAGAGCGAACGATCCAAAGTCCAGAGCGTGTGCTTCTCGAGAAGCCTTCCAATCGGATTCAAATAAGTCATCCATTTCATCCTCCTTGTCTTTGCCTCTACGGTAATTCGTATTACGCGTAACAACCCAATGCCGACCTTTATGAGGAATTGGTTTGTACAACGGTCGATTGATAGGCACGGTCGTAGGAATCGGGAAGCTGCTAGAGGGTTGTGGTGTTTGAGACTTCGAAGGATGATTGGGTAGGGACTGGGTTACGTTGGTTTGTGATTGACTCGTTGAGGGAGAGGTATATATGGGTGTAAGCAGAGGCCGAGAAAAAGGAGTAGGAACGAGGTTCATGAACACTAGAAACGGATCTTCCACTAGAAGAGGGTTAGAGCTGTGGTTAGGAAAACCAGTTAAACTTACTGTTATAGTAGTCTAGACTTGCGTCTGAACGAAATGGAGGCCCCTCCTTTTCTATACGCATTCTCTCTTTCTTCGTCTTGTATCGCTTTCCTGAACACGAAGTCTGAGGAATTGTTGAGCCCCAAGAGATTATGCAAAGTACCTTTCAATTTCAAATCCAGCATTGTTTTCGCAAGATCGGACCCCGGCGGAAACGCGCCAAGGCCGTCCTTTGAGCCTGGAAGTCTACCTTCTGCATCGATGCTTTCAAGGACACCTTTTTGTGTAGTAGCATTTGTTGCATTGGTCTTCCTGTACGGTCCACGAGTGCTCCGTCGTACGCCTGCTATTTCCAGTAAGTCGGAGGGACCGGGAGTGCTCATATCTGCAGAGGCAGCGGAAGGTACAGTTGGATTATTGTCATCGTCAACATTGACCTCGCCAGCATTATCCTTTTCGGGATCGAGGTTCCAGTCCAACTCGTACTGTATCACAGTGCCCGATGCCTTCTCGATATGATCAAGTGCCCAGATCTCTAGTTTCTCTGCTTCTGTATGATAAATAGTGCCCGGAGGGTTAAATAGCTTCGCATTTGACGTTACAAGGCGGACGTCATTCTAAGGAAGTTATGAGTACATATGGCATTAAGAAGTAGACGTGCAACGTACAGTGAAATCGTCTAGTGACCGGTACTTGCCTCGAGCAACTTTGTTGGTGATAGTACCAAAATCCATGGGATTCTTTACCACATCCGTGTAACCAGGGACCTGCTCGAGGTTGACAGGTACCAAGAAAAAGCCATAATCATCTTTCCTGTGTACTCTTCAAAAGAATGTCCAGATAAGGATGATTCACGAATTCTCACTTCTTAATATTGGCTATAAGTTTCGTGAGCACCTCTTTCAGTGGTTTAAGTTTCGCAGGACGCGGTGGTTTCTTCGGTTTCTCTTCAACGTATCCAGTGAATGCTGCTTTGGATTTCCCTTTTTTGATTCCTTTCGCCTGCTGAAGGGATTTAAGAGATGGGAGGACAAGAGTAAGACCTGTCCCAGTTCGTTTGTCGGGTTCTTGAGGCGAGTCTGGGCGGCTTTCGATGTCGATGTCATCTACAGAAAGAACTTCCTCCTCGTCCATCATAAGTAATAAAAAGGTGATTGGGGAGGGTGGCTGTGCAATAAAATGAGATTAGATTACTGGCCGTGCATAGATTCTACTCCGTCGTGTATACAATTTTACAAAGGTCCCTACAAATATTCTAAAACCGATCATAGCATCGAGGTGGCATCGCCATCTATGTCCCTTGTGCTTCCAGCGACCTGAAGGTCATGCACACTTTGCAGCGCCACCGACCGCAAGATCTTGCCCAAGCCTTCCGTCTTCACTGCTTCCAATTCACGTTCACTTTTTACCAATAACATACCAGCAAAGCCCATCGAATTGACGCTAAGATCGTCGCCAGTGCTCTCTAGAGTATGATTTTCGAAGCGCCTGGGAATAAGATGCATATGCTCCAACGTCAGTATAACGTTGTACGAAGGAAGACCCGCTGGGTAAGTGGGATCGTAGCGAACAGTCGAAATAACCAGGTCTAATAATGATATAAAAGCATCTGCAAGGATAGGTTCACGTTTATGAACAGGGGAAGAGGGCAAATTTCTTCCGACAACTCAGTACAAGGATATCCAATCACTGCGTGTCCACGTACGACGGAAAACGAAAAACGTGGTTGGCCCATGGTAGCCGCTCAATTGAAAAAGGCTTGCCTAGAAAGGGGGGATGTCAGAAAGCATTTGGCTATAACTCAAGCTTATACCAACCCGGGCTTTCTAATGATATTGAGCCTGCCAAAACTTCGATCGGGGGTCCTTCGTCTTCGGTTTCGATGAACTGAAGATGTTTATGTGGTTGACTGGCTCCGCTGAGGTCTCCGCCTGACAATGATGCACTCAGAAGCAAGAAATATCTAACAGTTAACACTCACAATTGTAAAAGGCAAACATCTTCTTGCCTGCTTTCTTTCCCGCGACCAGCAGCGCATAAGCTTGTAGAAGATCGTCAGGCATGAGAGGCGATGTTTGCGATTGGTATTCTGTAACCCAAAGACACGTTAAGTGAAATCCAGGAAGGCAAAGAACAATTATGACCCTTGGTGATGAGAAGGAAATGTCGTGGTACGACACTGTATTTGTTCATCTTGAGAAGAAGGCTAATTATCAATCTGCAATCCGAAGCGTTTTCCAGAACTAGAAAGACACACCAATACGACATACTGCTGGGAGATCTCTTCGCTGATAAGCTCTCCTACAAGCAACCCCGGGTCGTACGGCGGAGCAAAAGGATCGACGTTGGCCAAAGGTTCCGTTACAGGTTCATCTGCGCCGCCGTTAAAGTGCGGCGTAGGCAATCTAGGTTTCTTCTGGAGTGCAGGACATAACCGTATCTCAAACTGGAGGAATTGGGGTCAACCCTCATTAGTAACAAATATTACTGATCAAAAGTTAACTCATCCAAACTCACATCGACACCAAGTTCATTATGAATATTGACGGTAGAAGGAAAGAAAAAGAGGGAACCAGATGCTAAGCCATTGTCATAACTGACCGGGATTTTGGAGATGATTTCAGAAGCCAACATGGTGGAGTCTACCCAAGCTGCTGATTGTGAAGACTCATCACGAGCGCTTTCCGTTATAGCCAGAGGTCTACCAAATCTTTGGGGTATTGCTACTACTACAGAAACAATTATTGGTGTAAAAGAAATCTCAATAGTTGGATGTTTGGGAACGTGTAAGGAGTAAGGATTGAAATTTCAAGAATAAGGTGTTTCCAAATAGCAGAAAAAAATAATGGTATGGAATGGAACCAGTCCAACTGCATCAAACCAACAATTCAAATTGAACTCGAGCGACGATCTAAAATCAGGCTCGCCCGCCTTTACCCCGATTTTCTTTTGCCTCCTCCATGACTTCGCCTAGTAACTGAGCGCGTACATAACATCCAATGGCTATCAAAGACCAAAGAGAAGCATTCGTTCCCTGAGAGGTCCTTTCAGTATTTCAACCGGAAGGCTGTCCTGTACACTGACCTGATAATAGAGGATACAAAGGAAGGACTGGAAAAAAAGGAGCACGATCCGGACGACAAAGCTACGATATAGCGCCAGTCCTTTAACCAATGGCAGAGAATACTCCAAGGCAACTATCATCATTCCAAGAATCATAGCAAGTATTTGGATAATGGGCGCTTTGACGATAAGTGTGATGAACACGGCGGCGCCTGGAGCTGGTCTAGTAATGGATGAATATGACCTACAGACGAGATAAAGGATAAGGTAAAGACGTACTGAATACCTCCTGGGTCACGCAAGGTTCCACCTACAAAGTCCCAGAAGAACTTGCGGTAATAAAATCCGAAGAAGCTTGACCATACGGCGTCTGGTAGCCAGAGTGTCATCATTGAGAACTGGGGCGGCTCAGATAAATAGAGAAATACTGCTCACAAACGCTCGCAGTGATCGAGATAAAGCGACCCAAATCATGCCATATCAAGTTTCCCATTGTTTCGCAGAGATAATTGGTGTGCTTAATATGAGGGAGTGGAACGAGCGCTGCTCAATCGGAAGGGGAGAAAGTTGCTGTTGAAGGAATCGATGGGAAAGGTTCGTGCAAGATGGGAGACAGAAAGCAATATGAATGAATGAGCAAGAAGAGAGCGCAGCTCAGACCCAAAGAAAAGAAAAGACCTATGTAAAGGAAGGAAGAAGATGGACGTTTGCAATAAGAAACGGACTACTTGTAGTCAGCTTGTCCAGGCCCGGCTCAATTCAAATCCATTGATCTCGACGGTTTCCACCGCTACAAACAAATGATGCATGTCGGACCAGTTGTCGGTGTTAATCTCACTCTTCAACCTCTGTTCAAAATTCATTGAAGATAAACTCAAATGTGCTACTACTACGACATGTAGATTCCATAACTCAAGAAACAGGCAGTTTTAACGGAGGCGGACGTAGGTTCGGTCTTATGGGAACGTTCTGGATTGTAATATGTCAGCTCGCACGTCCCAAACCCCTGGTAAGAAAGCACCGGCAGCAATCATAAACGTACCGAACTTATGGAATGATCGCGAGTGGCAGGAACAGCACTGCTAGCATTGATGGGTGCCGTTGAGGAAAATGATTCAGCGGTGCTAGCATCCCGCGAATGTCCTTGCATGAAACCTTCTTCTGGAGGAGTGCCACTATAAAAACTTGACATAGAATTTTGCGACAATCTGGATCCACCTGACCGAGTGGACAGACCGGCTTCCAGCATATCAGGATTCTGGATGGGAAGTGTCGGAGTGAGAGGTGACAAGTCAGCTTGGCCCTGTCGTCGCCAACGTCGCCAGCGTAATAGAAGTAGAAGCAGAGCAAGGAGCAGTAGGAAACCAAAAATACTTCCGACGATTATACCGACGATGGTCTTTGTTGGGAGTTTGCCAGACGAAGTCATATCACTGCATGAAACATTCATCATTAAACCGGAGACTCGGATAGGATGGGGAATGGTTTAACTTGCCGTTGGGAGCTCGTAGAAGTAGGTTTACTAGAGCTGGTAGTAGACCCCGGGATCGAAGAATACACAACGACAGCGTCAACATCAATGAAAGGACCAGTTCCGGATTGAGGATCTGCAGCAACCACCAAGCTATGTTGATTTGACCCGAGACCTTGCGCGTAATACTGGAAAAAAAGGGTATGAAGGTCAAATCAAGGGAGCACGCGGATGGAACACACAAGGAGAATCTTGAAAACAAGCATGTCAACAACGCTAGCGATGAAAGCGACGACTACATCAAACCTGGCTATGGAGTGTAGAGGCGAAACCATTGGCACCAGCGCCAAAAGTGACATTTTGACCATCTAATGAAAGCTGGATGTCTGCATGGTCTTGAGAAACGGTGCCGTACAATGCAACTGCCTCGCCAGAGAATGTGACGGATGCACTGGCGCCAGCACTGGAAGTGTAGCTATAGACTTGGGGTTTACCATAAACAAACTCCGCATAATGTAAAACTGCACGTACTGTAGTGTGTCATTCATGAAATAATTCTGGTCATTGACACTCCACTCTGAAGCTGGAGTATAGATAAAGCTTGGGTCGCTGTCATCTACTGTGGATTTCGTCAACTGAGAGCTATAGTATAAATATGAGATTCAAAGTGGACATGACTATGAAATAAAAGACGCACCCAGTTTCTCCGATCTGTGTCTGTACATTGACATAGTCGATATCGATTGAGGAAGCACTGGAGCTCGTGACGACAGCGGTGTGTTTCTCATTGCTTAATCCAGAAACCGTTCCTAAAACTTGCTGAAAGACATCTTGACCAGCAGAAGATTCGGAAGCAACGACAGTCTGCCCATCCACGGATATCTGGTATGTTCCATAATTTTGCCTATGACCCCCAAATATTGTAATTCCTATGCCTAAATAGAAGGAGGAATTGATCGGCTTGCGCAAACATAGATCATGGACTATGTTGTACCAGTGAACGTTATAGTAGCTGTCGCGCCTTGAGTGGAGGTGATGTGGTATGAAGAGCCAGAATAAGACTAGGTGTTGCTTCAGATACGCTGAGGCTACGACATTTCGCGAACTCACAGAAAGTAAGGTGTCATTAGCGGGAGAATCTGACCAAGCACCAGCTGGTGAATACGATATCAAAGGCGAGCTATCTTCAACTATGAAGGAAGATGAAGAGCCGACATTGCACATGATGGTAAAGTCTTACCAGTCAAGTTGAAGGAAGCCATCTAGGCTCCACGGATACTGGAGAGCAAAGAACGGAAATTGGAGGCGAAAACAAGGAAATAGAGAGGGACAGAGAATGAGAGCTCTGAGAACATCTCGGAACAAATTTGTGGATGCCCTGAAGATGCCGGCATGACTGGCAGTAACCTTGGCTGCTTCGACCGAACATGAAATGCACCGGTTTCGCTCGGCGGTCAGTATGATATATGACAGGTCCGTGATAAATCGACGATTGATATGTAGATTGAAGAGTCAACAAAAATGGTAAACAGCGGCCAAGAGTCAAAGCAGAGCGACATTGCCTTTTTAAGTCAAACAGCATAGCGTGCGTCTAAGACAAAATCAATTGATCAAATTTAATAAGGTGTTCGTTATCTTTTACTCCCATCTTCATGGCTCCCAGAGTCAATTCTGGCCCTGTCATAAAGACAGGAAAGCCTAGCAACTCTCGAGATCTTATTTCTACCGGCCCAAAGGATGTCCAGAAACATCATGGGAAACACGATGAACGCCAGAGAGAAGTGAGACCTACTACTGAGCGTGCTCTTGTGCTGCGCAATGGCAAGTATGGTGCCCAAGGAACTGGGGAATTAATCCTCATGACCAAAATGACGGGAAGAGACAAGCTGGATCTACTTGCTGGTGCGTTTTCTCCGGTATCTTTTTTTTACCTTTTCTTCGCTAAAATTGACACTTACGCTTCAGAGGATCTCATGGAAAAGGCTAGCAAATCATTTCTGACGCCTTTCCGTCTGGAACTTTGTATTAAACTTGCAGAATCTCAACTGAGCGGTACCTGTCGTATGTTGTTGCTAGAAGTTTCTCTAATTAACAAACATGCATGTCCAGAAAATCTCGACGATATCGCGAACTTGAAAGATCCGGACCTGTTTTTCTCTATCATTGAGAAGGAAATCAAATCTCGTACAATTGATTACAAGCAAAAAAACGAGATCGACCCCATGAAGGATCCTTCTTATATCGCACAAATCATTTCCAATAGGTAATTCAATACCTGTCCTTCGCATCAACCCCTTTTCAGTTTCATGGCCTAGGATACATAACGTGTACATGCTTGGGTCCGCTTGGAAGATCGTTGTTGATATCCTCTACTCCTTGCAGGAAGGCGGTTTGTCCGACGAAAGTGTAGTTCCTACGCTGAAGCGTGACGAAGGCCTTCGTTTCCGATATCTCGTCCTGTATTATCTTGTAAATACGCTGGTTGACCTTCATCAGACAAAATTCTCTCTTCTTGCAACAACCACTCGTGCGGTTTCTACTTCGGCTATTTCAAATCAATGCTGAAGTTTGCTGCAGCCCACTACGCGTGCTATTTCAAAGAGACGACTAATGAAACAGGCGATCAAGAGTTCGTCTTCGATTGGTCTGAAACCCGGAAGGCCTGCTCTTCTTTTCTTGATTCTATCGTCGTGGAACTTTGTTTTCCCCGTGCACCATATCCGAAGGCTACCTTGTATCAACTCCTCCATGATGCTATCGAAGAATGCCCGAGGGAAGCTAAACGCTTTCCCCAGATGCTTTGGGATTCTGTCGGGGATCTATCGGTACATCTTTTTCACTTACACTGTTGCGCTCGTTAGATCCTTACTCCTCTTATCTTGTGCCTAGGTCGCTGTGCAGCTGCAGCAAATCCTGGAGACACCATTGCTATCGCCTGATGGCAAAGAGTGGAATACCGATGCTCATGAGAAGTACGACCCGTATAAGAAATGGGTCGTCGCACAATCACAGTCCCAAACTGCCTCTAATAAATGGGCAAATTTTGAGGAAATCATTTCTCCATTGCATCGAACCAAGATCAAACATGTTCTTGATACGATGTGGAAAACCATCAACGGTGTTCGTGGGCCTTTACTTCTCCATTTCGCATACTCAGTAGTCTTTGTAGAACTATAAAGGGACATGCGGCAAGGACCTCGACGCTCTTTGGGGCTTATCAGAAGTTTTGAATGCTACCCCTCAGTGGCATGCCTACGGTCTATTACTAGGAAGAGGTGACGACGACGACGAAGACAATGACGGCCCTCTAAAGCTCAGTGGCAAAATAAAGAAGCCCCTTGCAATCACGTACGGCGGGGAGAGCGACGATTCTATGCCTTCTCTTCAGGAAGTTTCTGATTCTGATGATTCTGATGATTGGAGCGAGAATGAGTCGGAGGATGATGACGATGACGATGACGATGGCTCCGACGATGAAAGTGGATATGACACCGACCAGGAGGACACAGTGCGAGATCTGCTTCGCGAGGCGATGGACGCTGTCACTGCAGTCAATTGGCAGGAGCCGCCCGTCGCAAACGACGAACTTGACCCTTTTAATGCGGAAGATTCCAAGAGAAATTCGTTCTTGAAATTATTGGGCTCCTTGAGAGGTGAGCGAGAGAGCAATTATTGACCTCCATCGTCCACCCTTATAACTGCTCAGGACGGATGTTCAGCAAAGACTCAAAGTTAAAGACCGCTGCAGCTCCCAAATCAGCCACTAAGCCTACTGTAAATGCCTCTGCGACTGGTGAGCATTTTCATTCAGGAGATCATTTCCTTTGAACAATTGTCCCAATTTCATGATATCAGTCGATCGCCCCAAGGCTGGAGTCACCATCGAGGAAGTTTCCGATGAGGATGACATCTCCCATGCAAAGAAAAAGAAAAAGAAAAAACCCAAGAAGAAGAAGAAGAAGCCTACTGCCGCTGCTGACGGGGAAGCGCCTGTGGAAGATAATGCTGCAACTGCTCCACCGCCTATTCCAAGCGCCACTGTTTCTCCTGCCCCAAACGCCCAATCAAAGGCTCCTGCGAAACCTAAGGCTGCGACTGCTGCTTCGCAATCAACTACTTCCTTTTACCCATCTGAGACTATTGCTCAATCAGCTAGATCGTACCTTCAATCTGAGCAACTCGACGTTCTCAAGACCAAAACAAAATCTAGGTCTGCCCAAGCGTCACTGTTCTCGTCTACCAAGGGTCTCTTTGATAAATTTGGTGTGGGGCAAGAAAAGAAGAAAGATACTTCGGCTGACAAAAAGGAAAGACGAAATTGGTTTGCAAATCTTGGAAAGAGAACTAGGACATACATGCACCAAATCCTGAACACAGCTGATGACGAGACCCAGGGTAAGGCTGGGATGAAATGGGATATATTTGTCAAGGTCAGCCATACGTTCTCGCAGCACCGTGACGACAGTTAATCATATCATTCTTCGAGGTACTGACCGATGTCGGCTTCAAGTACGTTCCTAGCACCGCTGGTTCCAGTGTTCGCTTCGATCCTCCTAGTTCTAAAGATCGTGTAAGCTTCTCATCCTTGCTTGAACATTCATGACTCAAATGTCCTATAACAGTCGATCTCCTTTCACAAGCGTACGTCGGATCCCTCCATTTGTGACCCATTATCTCTACTAATGCCGCTGTTCTCCAGCTCACCCTGACAGCACCATTGGACCCGTCCTTCTTAAGGAATTCAGCAAGAAGCTTCGCAGATACTATGGTTGGGATTCTTCTGATATAGCGGATTGACCCGGAATGACTGCTGAACTATTCGTCAATATTTTGACACTTGTCCTATCTTGCGCAGACTACGTCTGCAACGAAGTTTTTATTATACCATATACAATCAAATACATACAATACGATTCTTTGTAACATCTATCTTTAACGTCTTGTTCCCTGCTACATATTCATTCATCCGTCAATGTAACCTTTCACCTTCCACATCGACGACAGACTTTCCATCTTTGAGCGAGCGTTAAACTGTTGTTGTGAAGAACCTATTCAATGTACTGACCAGATGAACAAACCCGTCCTCTCGAACGACGTCTCCTACCAACTTCTCCAGACTATGACGGGGCATGTCGTATAAGGATGTTGCTTCGCGCAGAGCGAACACGAACGGGTCCGTTGTTTGAACCTCCTTCTCTGAGCTTTCGGCCTTAAATTTGCTTTTGACCGGTTTGATTATTTCATTTCCTACAGTTTGGGTGAAGGCCTGTTGATTTACAGAAGTCGACTGGGAGTAGTGCGGATGTTCCGATTGGGTAGGTGTCGGTGTGAACGGAGCGGATTGGGAATGCGCTTGTGAGCCGCCGAACTGAAAGGGAGGCTGGGAAGACGGTGGTGGGAGTAGGGGAGGAGAAGAAGACTGAATTTGATTTGGATGGTCCATCAGCATTTGAGAAGAAGGCATGGGCATTCCAGAGACGGAAGCGTAAGGAGCGCCAGGGTATGGAAAGTGCACCGTGGGATAAGTAGAAAGCCTCTGCGATGGAGTGACAGGGAAAAACACGTCGGTTTGATTAAGGGGAATATTATTATTGTGCATATTATTATTATGCATATGACTGAGAGGAAACGCAGCAGAAACAGGAACAGTCTGAGCATAAGCAGAATTGTTCAGAATAGGCGGCTTTGCAATTGGATGGTGCAACACTGGGGGCACCATGGAGGGAGCACTCATCATTTGGGGAATGTTAGAAGGACCAGCCGTAGAATTCGCTTTGCAAGGGCATATTGAGCTAATAGAGTCGATAAATTGAGATGCATCATTGGCCGATGAAAATGTGATTTGAAATCGGCGAAAAGTCTTTGCAGAGTCAGCCTGACGCCTCAATTGACCCAAGTACTTAGAAACGCTCACCCCATTTGACGCGTTGATATATCGAATTCCAACGACCGAGTCACGATAAACGGCTTTCAAAGGAAGACCGCCTTGCTGTCTGTCTGTTTGACGCGTCGAAAAGGACGAGAAGGAAAGCAGGTCGAAATTCTCCTTTTCTCAAGTCATGGGTTGTAGAAGACGCGATGAATACGCGAAAGTTTGCTCACAAATGACACTTCGCTTTGGTCTTGTGCATACGAGTTTTCCATCGACCAAACGATACGCAAGAAGACGGACTCAAGTTCGCCTGTGGTTAAGGACTTTTTCACGTCCAAGATAAGCTTCAACGTAGGCTTTGTATAGTGTTGCCATTCCGAATTAGCATCTTGCGCAGAATTTGGATAGGATCTCGAGTATTTGACGAGTGTATAGGTCGCTGTAGTTGTTGTTGAGTGCGACATGAAAGTAAAAGGTAAGATAGAAATCGATCTACGTAATGGATCACCGCTTTCAAGATACTGATTTCCCGCTTAGTACTACATATGCATACACACTCGCAAAGTGAAAGAAGAGGAAAAGACTGTAAAAGTTAATATACTATCTCAACGTTAGCGTGTAGTTAGTGGCTAGGGCGCTACGAGCTCACCTCAGTTGGTAGTCAAACAACTGAGGGACTCGTAGACGCATACGGAAAGGGTAAGTCAAAGCTTTGTATCGTACGTACGGAGTTCATGCTCCAACAAAGACGACCCAGGAAAACCCTCGATGAGCGAACCCGAAGGGAAATGCATTTTATTCAGGTCAGCCTGTGGACTTGTCGAACAAGCCGAGTGCTGTTCTGCTCTGACACATCGACAAGCAACCATAAGGTGAACGACTCAAAGGTCTTGGGCTCGGTACATTTCATTAGAAAATTTTGGCAGACTTGCGCAGGGAAATAAAATAACACATTAAAATGGCTGTTCAGCAAGCATATCCTCCACCTTGATTACCAGCTCCTTTTTTGACTTGAGTACAGCCGAAAAATACCCCTTCGCACCACCGATACCTTTCGTCATTATTGTCTGGACTAATTTGTCAAATGCTCTCTCTCCAGCACCTACTCCGGGTGCAGAAACCCCGCCTATCTGGTCCTTTCTGCGTATTGTGCAGACCAGATCGCGGTTCTTGGTATAAATGAGCAGATTACCGTGTGGATCGAAAGAGTTTGAATCGAAGGTCATGCCATACATTGCGGTTGGCTTCATTGCAATCTGGACTTTGACGATGATATTCTTTATATTTGATTTTCCAGGCTTGGTTCGGGGGACACGAGCGCCACGATTTGTGTTTTTGGGAGTGGGGAGATGTTGGTCATAGCCAAAGACAGATCGGGCAAAATTGGCCGTAGATTGAAGTGAACCAATTTCATCGTAGTTCGGTATGAGCACAATGGTGGTGCTGGTATCGAAAGGCTTGCAAACCTTCTTGTGTTCCGCCCAGGCCTTTTCTATGTAGACGGAGTAGGGGAATTGAATTCTTTGTTGGCAGAAAAGGAGATAATTGCACGCACTCTGACATTGAGTTGAGCAATATCTTTCCACCTGACAACGTGAACAAATCATCAGAGTACTCTTCCCATCCTTTTCTCCTCCGGGCTTGTCGCACCCAATCCAGCCGCATCGCTTTTGGCCTCCCTCGCGCGGTGCGTTGATTCCTTCACGTTTTCGAATCCACTTTGTAACACAAGATGTCACCTGGGGACCGTACCGAATAAAAGTGTTTCGAGGCGTGAGGCCGTCTGCTTCAGGGATATCGAGGGACGCGCCATGTTCGAGCAATATATCGATGAAATCGACGTTGTTCGTTGGAAATGCGAGGAACATTGCAACTTCACCGTATCGATTCTGGTGATCGACGTTAGCACCGTGCTTGATGAGCGTCCGAAGGAGTGGGGTCATTTTGTTGGTCTGAGGAATATGTGGAATTTGCACAAGCCTGGCATAAGTTGCGGCATCCATGGGTTGCTGTGGATCGTATTTAGGAGGCTCGTTTGTTGTCTGGATTGTACAAGCGTGTTGGAGGGCTGTAAAGCCGACGATATCAATAGAGTTTGGAGAAGCTCCGCGAGACAAGAGAAATTCCAAGGTTTCAAGGTGTTTGAGAGAAGGTCCGTGGCTGGACCTTTGCGCACCGAATATAACAATGCTAACGTAGTCCCAATGAAAGGGCGTTTCATGCGAGCTGAGAGACGGCGCTTGACCGGATTGTACCATCTGCTGCTGTAAATCAAAAATATGGGCATAGAATGACCCGACTTACACTGATAACGGCTTCCAGCTCGCCAAAATAGCAAGCAAGGCCGAACATGGAAAGCTTTCTCGCACTCCAGTTTGTCGCTTCTATAAAATGGATAAGATCTTGAGATTTTTGAGGTCGAATATACCGCATATACTGACCATCTTGATATAGCTCTCTCAACTTTTGACCACCATCTTGTATACTGTGTAGATACTTTGCAGGCTGCTTCAAGATAGAAAGCATCTCCGATGTCATAGTGAGCCCTCCAGTGTATGGGCCAGTATAAAGCTTCAGTTCTTCGCGGTCCATCTTGGTTGTTTTGCAGCTGAGGACTTTGTTGAGACGGAAACCTACAAGGACGATTATGGTTATCGCGGCCCGTTGAAGGCAGTAACAATGTAATATTTCCCGAAACGAAAACCGCCGCCCACCGTCGACCGACCATGAATGTATGTAACAGTGGGCAAATCGTTAATAAAATAATTTTAAAAAGACCTCCACCCGAGATGGCTGCATATGTATAGAAATACAGCCTGAGGACACCCTTACAACTAGTTCGGCGTCACATACGAGGACTACGCAAAACTCAATGTCAATCCTAAGCCCTAAAGATTCCACTCGTTCAGTCCGCCTTTGCTTTGTTCATCAATTTTCCACCCCGTCGATATTCCATTCCACGCAGTCGATTCAGTCCACGAAGAAGTGATCTTTTCGGGATGTACCAGGCGTTGTAAAAGGACTACAGAAAGCAAAGCAAATCATGATAGGACAGGCTATATACACACACACAAAAGAAATCGTAAGCTTCTTCAAAACGTCACTCCTGAGAACGAACGGACCATGGTAACAAATCGCATTCACGAGGACGCAAGAACGGGAAAAAATTGCTCTTCGTATCTATGCAGGAGGCGGAGGAGGAGCCTGGCTATCAGGTGGCGGTGGCGGAGGGGGAGCAGCGGCTCCGCCTGCTCCTACTGAAGGATCGTATCCAGGATAAACACCTTGAGTTTGAGCTTGTTGTTGTGCGTAATACTGTTCTGTCTGTTTCGCTTGTTCCGCCACCCAAGTCTTGAATTCGGGCGAGTTGACGTCGTAGCCATACGCCGCCCTATACCGGAAATGGTGGGGAGTAGAGTTAATTGGGGAGTAGAGTCGAAACGAAAAAACGAACCAATAAGCAGCATATTGCTCTTGTGGCGTACCACCAGCGGAAGCAGCAGTAACGGCAGAGGGATCGCTACCTCCTCCTGAAGGGGGCGGTGGTGGAGGTTGAGAGTCGCCCGGAGGTGGAGGTGGAGCATCACCTGGAGGAGGGGGTACATAACCACCACCATAACCACCTGCAGCACCCCCAGGGTAACCACCACCTTGGTATGATGCAGCGTAGGCGGCATACTGTTGTTGGGCCTGAGAGAATGTAGCAAAAGGCAAATTTAGTGCTAGGGGTTTCACCAACAATAGTCAGTAAGGAGATTGATACCTGATGTAGTTCCATCTGTTGGGCTTGCACTACGGCTTGCATTTTGGCATGTTCGGCGCGGACGACAAGAAGCAGGTCTTCTGTCAGAACTTTGGCTCGAGCGACTTGAGATTCTTCCGGGCCGCTGGGAGAAGTTGAAGTTCAGAGGAATGGGTGATGAGAGGAAGGGGAAAAGAAATCACGTTATATGGATGTAGAGTGGGTCGTCACTCTCCCGACCTGTTTCCTGCTCTACGAATCCAGAACCAACGCCCTTGATTTGAACACGAGTACCTGTCTCTTGCTGAATATATTTTACGAAAGATCCCTACAAGAACCGATCGTGTTAGCGCGTACATATAGAAATAAGCTAAACGCGAGAAACTCACACTAGGCCCTACAACTTTTGCTCTCAGATTGAAGTTCCTAATGCTCTCCAGCCCCACAGGCATTTTCTCTTCCGGCCACTTCCGTCTACCACCCATCTTGTCCTTTTTATCTTCGACCAAACTTCCCATATCAATCGCCAGCAGTTCTTCGACTTTTTTGATCGCCTTGTCAAGAACTTCTTTTGTCGGAGCCATAATGTGAAGATATAGCGGTGGGTCTCTTTCGGTAGCTTTTGAGCGATTCGGGTGCCATGTTCCTTTGGTTGATATAGATGCTCCAGTGTCTTCTTGGATCTGAGTAACGTATTGGTTAGTTATGGCCGGGTACAGAAAAAGAAGAAAGTACATCTTGCTGAGTAGAGCTTTTACACAGCATATATCTATTCCTTGCATCGTTAATATCGATATCGAACGTGAACGCTGCGTCGTTCAAGCTGCCTCCCATTGAACCAGCGCCACCTGAAGCAAATTGGGCTGCAATTTTGGCTGCAATGGCCGCAGCAGCAGCAGCAGCTTCCGATGCCTGTTTTGAGGATCCACTGCCAGCAGCAGCATTGGACGCAGTTGGCGTAGACATGGAAGAAATGATCAAAAGGTGTGGGAGAAGCCTGGTAGTTTTTCCACGCTTCGAATCTTGTCCTCAGCTCCCCAACATTCTTCATTAACAGTCCTTGAAGCATTAACTTGCTTCTTGGTGTGTGTGTGTGTCTTTTTTTGTCTTTCTTGTCCTCGCAGCTCTTTCTGTAGTCGTCGTTTGTCGTCTCGTCGCCACCTCACTTGTCGAATACCGTCGTCAACCGCAAAAGCCTAAAAACTATTTTCAAAGCCGTCGACTTGCGTTATATCTCGGCTATATTGTGATTACATCGCTTCTCGAATCTTTGTTCTTCAATAATTTGTATCGAAAAATCTAGTTGGCGAAATGACGTCTCAGATCACTCAGCAGTACGCTTGTGAGTTTTTGCTTCCTGCTTCCCCCCCTCAGTTTTTTCTTTTCTTTTTCCCTTGTATTTGAAAACTGACGAAACTTTCCTCTCCTAGTTCGTGCACAAAAATCCCTTGCATTAATTGGAGGGACACCTGATTATGCACCGATTGCCGGGTTCGAATCACCAGAGGTTCCTGCGAGGACCTACGTCTATAGTGCGGATGGGAGGTTATACGCTTATGCGTTGCCGAATGTGTACGTTGCCCTTTGTAGTATTCTTTCGCACTTGGCTGATAGAATCCTCAATTTCTTTTTATCTTCGTGCCATCGATACATCCCACTCTCTAGCGTCCGAATCTTCCAGGCTGAAGGTGCCCAGCTCCTCTCAGAACTTCCTCTCTCCAACGTAATCGAGCTCTCGTTCTCACCTCGCGGAACGTATCTCTCGACCTGGGAACGCCCCATCAAGTTAGACGACAATCAACAGCACAAAAATCTGCGCGTGTTCTCCGTTTCCACCGGCGAAGAACTTGTCGCGTTCACCCAAAAGTCGCAAGAGGGATGGGATCTGCAGTATACGATTACTGAAAGCCATGCGATTCGTCTAGTCGCTCAGGAGATCCAGGTTTTTAGGCCAACAGAGTGGGGGAAGGGAGTTGTGGACAAGTTGAAGGTCGAGGGAGCTACCAAGGCATGTCTGAGTCCAGGCTTGAACCCATCTGTGGCGGTATTTGTTGCTGAGAAGAAGGTCAGCAATACGAAACCAATTCTCATATTGATTAATTTGCTAACGATGTGTTCTTTTAGGGCGCTCCAGCCAGCATCAAAATCTACGGTCTCCTCACCCTCTCCGCATCCCCAACCTGCCAAAAAACCTTCTTCAAAGCCGATCGATCAACAATTAAATGGAACCTCCTCGGCACCCAGGTCCTACTCCTCACCCAAACCGATGTCGACAACACCAACAAGTCGTACTACGGGGAGACTGGCCTGTACCTGCTCAGCGCCGCAGGGAACTTTGACTGTCGTGTGACCCTAGACAAGGAAGGGCCCATCCACGATTTCGCGTGGAGTCCAAACTCGAAAGAGTTTGGTGTCGTATACGGGTACATGCCTGCGAAAACGGTGATTTTCGACCAGAGGGTCAGAACGTTGTATGATTTCGGCGCCGCGCCTCATAATTACATATCCTTTAACCCTCAAGCGCGGCTTCTTGCTCTCGCAGGATTCGGTAATCTCGCAGGGAAGATCGATATATTCGACCGAAGGACACTCAACAAACTATGCACAATCGATGCTCCAAACACATCGTATTGTGATTGGAGTCCTGACGGACGCTTCCTCCTTACTGCCACACTCTCTCCTCGACTTCGTGTTGATAATGGCATCAAAATATGGCATTGCACCGGCGCTCTTATGCACGTACAACTTGTCGAAGAGATGTACCAAGCTTCATGGAGACCTACCCCCGTGGATAATGTTCCGCCGTTTCCTTCACAAGGTGGTCCTCTCCAGTCTTCACTTGTACCTCCACCACCAAGTCCTTCCGTATCTCTCTATCAACTTTCTCTCAAAAACAGCGGTGCAGGTGGCTCCACAACCTCTCTAGACGGAACCCCTACCAAACCAGCTGGTGCGTATCGGCCTCCTGGAGCTCGAGGAAACGCTACGCCCGCGATATTCAAACGCGAAGACGAGGGTGGATTTTCGAGGACGCCGAGTGGACAAAATACACCTGTGAGAGGGTATTCGAAGAGTCCCGCTCCCCCTGGTTCTGCTGGTATGAATGGACCTGGAGGACCAGGTGGACAGGGAAGGGGAGGGAGGTATGTACCTGGTGCCCCGCCTCCCACGAATCAGAATCAAAATCCATCGAGACCTGGGGCTTTGCCGAGAGGTGATTCGGGAGGGCAAGGACAGGGACAAGGACAAGGACCGGGGAAAGGAGATGGTCAAGCGAGGAAAAGGAATAAGGGTGGAAAGAATAAAGGAGGCGAGGGAGAAGGAGGAGGAAGAGAAGGATCTGTGGGACGTGGACAGCAGGGAAAGAACGGCGCGAATGGACAACAACGTGCAAGTGGAAACGGTATCCAGCAAAACGCAAACACGAACGGTAACAGCAAGAAACCCACCTCCATCGACTTGAATGGCGTCAACGGTAAAATCACTACTTCTACCTCTACCAATGAGGCGAACGGTGATGGTAACGTTGCCAAAGCTGCTTTGGCATCTGCAGCTCTTACGCCTCTGGACACTGCATTGTCGACGCCTGTCACACCTGGGCTGGATAGTGCATTGGATCCCATTGCGAAGAAGGTCAGGAACTTGAATAAGAAGGTACGCTTTCAGTGATTATTATTTTTGTTTAGTTATGTTGTTACCTTCATCGTTTTTGCTGATATATCCTTATTTACTCTCTGCTATCTCCCTGTTGCTTTCATTCGCCCTCGTGTCCTTTCGTTGTTGTTGTACACTAACACTTTCTCTCTTCCCTGCACTCCATCCGCATCTTCTCCGCATCTTACAGCTGAAAGCTATCGAAGAGCTCAAGGACAAAGCTAAACGCGGCGAACGGCTCGAGGCAACCCAGATGAAGAAGATAGACGGTGAGGCGGAGATTAGAAGGGAGTTGGCTGGACTGGGCATTACAGATTAGTTACTTATACGGATATACTGGTTTCTATATATGAGACTAATGTTATCAGGATCTGTGATAATTTAACTTCTTGTAGAATATCGGGCACTTGGCACAGTTGGTAGCGCGCACGCTTCGCATGATATAGTTGAGTGCGTGAGGTCAGGAGTTCGACTCTCCTAGTGTCCAATGTATTTTTTACGCTGAGCTCGACGCAGTCCGTGTAAATTTATTGAAATTTTTCGGTCAATCTCCAACTCATTAAGCATGTGCATGTAGATTAGATCACCAGGATCCCAATATTCGAACTCGGAGGAATTCCAGCATACTATTATCATAAATAAACACTCTAGAAGCGCGCCGAGAGGAACTGTTCGTTATTCTTCGTTATTGCGTTTGCGATGTTGTTTATAATCGCTTTGCCTGTAAAATAGGACTATGGAATGTGGAAGCTGATGATGGCGCTAGGTTTAATCCAGGTTTAATCGCTACAATCACGTCAACTTCCGCGTTGCCATGGGTGTTGTTCTGCATTTTTTCTAATGACTTTTCCTGGTTTCGTTCGAATCCGAACATTAGACCTCGTGGGACATTTACTGCACTGTACTCTAGGACAGCATTGGAATCAATCCTGGGAGTCAGAGGCATTGCTGGATGATCTTCTCAACTGCTGTTGGGCACATTTACCGCCTGTAGTTTGGAAATCACCGTTGAACAAGCAACGATCACGTTTTCTCACACCGGCCAACTCGTACCTTTCAAGTTGCCATTGAAAAATTATTAATATAATTCCATCCTTGTCTGCTTACATCCACGATCTAATTTCTTTTGTTTTCACGATGCCTTTTGGTAAATCCTTGGGCTTGGGATTCGTCTTCCTGGCCACTTCAATCGTTTCAACAAAAGCGACAACTTACACGCTTTCGCAAAACCTCACCGGAGAACAGTTGTATGTCGACTGTAGTCATGTTATTATTCTGGAGGTATTAACCTGAATAATTTTTCCTCAGCTTCAACGGGTTCAAATTTAATGAAAGTGCCATTGATTTTAACAATTTCGGTGAGTCTTCGAGAAGGATGGGTTGGTGGCGGGTTCGGGTTAACTCATGGGGATGATATTAGGGAACGTGCACTTCCTTTCTCAGTCCGCCGCTCAAGCAGCGAATCTGAGTTATGTCGATTCGAGTGGAAGGGTAATCATCAAAGTCGACAACACGACGAATGGCGCAGGAGACTCTTCTTTTGGACGTAACTCGGTCTACTTGGAATCGAACGAACTCATGGACATTGGCAGTCTGCTGATTTTTGATGCAAACCATATACCTTTCGGGGTATGTTTCTAGTCCATCTGGGTCATTGACAATTCTCATCAAAAATTCTTTTTTAGTGCTCCGTCTGGCCCTCTTTGTTCACGCAAGGTCAAGTATGGCCACAACAAGGCGAAATAGACGTCATCGAGCAGGTCAACCTCGCGACAGATAATCGTTATTCCCTCCACGTCGGTGTAGACAACTGCAATCAACCCACCTCTGTAGCCTCCAATCAAACCGGCACCATCTCTACCGCTGTTGGTGATATCTCCAACTGCACTGTTACGCCCACTACTGGACAGAACACTGTCGGCTGTGTAACGACTGAAACGAAGAGCAACAGCTTTGGGTCTGGGTTTGCGTCGCAAGGTGGAGGGGTCTATGCTATGTTGTGGGACACGAATGGAATTGCATTGTGGTACTTTGCTCGAGGCTCTGTGCCTAGTGACATTGGTGTCTCTAGTTCGCCGGATCCAACGACATGGGGTGAAGCCAGCGCCTGGTATCCTGCAAGCGGTTGCAATCCTTCCACAGCTTTCGGTCCTCAGATCATCACTCTTGTACGCCTCGTGCGCTGCCTTTACTAATAACTCCACGACTGATCTATTTTTACCAATAGTACATCGACATCTGCGGTGCCTTTGCCGGTGAAGACTCTGTATTCGCACAGACTTGTAGTTCCGTAGCGCCTAATTGTACGTCCATGGTTCCCGATCCTACCAACTACGACAACGCATACTGGGAAATCAACTATCTCCAAGTGTTCACAAAGTATGTACTCAATCTGCCTCTTACGACTATTCTCTCTCATGCTAAATTTAATTCAATCTAGCGGGCAATCAAACTCTTCCTCCACATCATCTACCTCTGCCTCTGGTACGAACTCCGGTGCGGGCGCATCTTCTACGGGAACGGGAACAGGATCATCCAGCTCAGGATCAAGCAATTCAGCCATCGCTTTCGCTGTCAAAGGGATCTGGGAATATCTCCTTGTTCCTGCATCAGTGTCTTTCCTGGGAATGCTCTCTATGATATGATTACCTGCCACTTGGAGTTTGTTTTTCTTTCTGGGACAATGCCATCAACCACCGACACTCGTTAGTTTTAGTACCTACATATGTAATTGACTGAGTACCATGGTTCAATTTACTGTAGGTCATGTATGTATGCGCATAGACAATTAATTTATACCCAAGCAAGTTGGCTTCTACCAGCGCCCCTCTCTCAACATGACTTCGTTGACTTGGAGAATGACCCCTGATGAACTGAAGGAAAATCTTACTCGATTATTTGTTATCGCGCAGAAATCAATGGACCATGCCTCTCACCACAAACTGGTCAACCAGGATTTAACCCTACTCAGCCCTACTCCAACCCTACTACGACAAGGCTGTCGTGCAGTGGGAGCGTCACCGGTTAAGGAGAGTTCCAGCTGTTGTTGATTCCGACGCGCGCCGCAAGTGGTTTTCCTTATATGAAATTGACATAAACTCGTTATTGTGCAATGAAACCAACTTCTGAAAATGACATCATGAGCGCCACACAACATGGTGTATAAATTGCGCTAAGAATTTCCTATTCTATCGAAATAAATATTAGTATCCGAACTCAGGAAATGCCTGAATTGCACAGACTCTCATCTATTACTGGTTCGTAGCCTGTCCTTTGCATATTATTCGATGTTTACATCTCCATTTTCACTGTACAGGAAATCCTGACGCTGATTGCGACATTGATCTTGGTGCTGACCGTCCCTTGTCCAACCTCCATTCTTCCGTGAACGATGCTCAAAAGACCGGTGACGAACTCGACATTTGGACCATGTCTGGAACAACACTTACTACAGATCTTCCTGCCAGACCAAGAGAATGGCGCTCCAAATCCTACGACCAGAAACTACACGGGCATCCAGATATGAAGAAAGAGATTGCAGACCGTGACTGTGGAATATGGTGAGATAGGTGTGGTTTTTTATGGGGATTTCTTTACGCTAATGTCTGGTCGGCAAAGCTTTGAAACCGCAAGGGCTGCTAGCAGGACTCCTTGTTGTGGGTCCTTGTTTTGTCTGGAGCATATTTCCGAAGTAGGTGTCATTTAATAATTCGCAGTATATCCTGTTCGCTGAATCATCATCATTTACCAGTGGTTGATTGGTCCTTCGTCCGATGGGAAATGTCCATCTTGTGGGACGCCTTGTGCAATGAGATCCAACGGAAGTATCGCCCTGGCCAATGCACCTCATTCTCCACCTGAACTTGCCCATACATCCTCATGCGCGCCGTCTCCCTTGCCTAGTCCATATACCGGTCCTCATGAATCGACTGTTGACGTGGAACCGATTGGAGGGAATTTTGAAGTCTAATGACTGAAGTGCGGATGATTTAGCAATTGTACACGCATAGGATAGGATTTTTCGCGTAACTTTACATAATTCTGTCCAACCATAGGTTAGACACGATCTACAGAAGTCTACAGACGTGCAATGGTCTTCAGGACCACTGAGGATAACTGAGAGAGAGAAACAATTTGAAGTAAGAAATTAGCGCCTTGACGATCAAAGCGCCACGTTAAACCGGTTAATTCCGCGTACAACCTTTCCTCAAATCCTACATCCTTCTGTGCATTGGCGTCCCCGAGGCTGGTTCTAACTCTCTAGCGATGCTACCATCTGCAATGGCAGAAAAGAGAAAACTCATTCACAGGTTAACCAAAACCATAATGAAATCGCACAGGATGCGATTGCCCAACCATCACAACTTGCCTATTCGTCTGCGACCAGTCAGTCTACTATTATTCATCTCTACAAAGGTTCAAGACTCTGTACTCAGTCGCTATAGTGGTTCATCGTCTTTACAGTGATAATTATGCTCTGTTTGATGTTCCTGGGTTTCACCGACTTCTCCCATTCTCTCCCGCTCAATGACAAATTCTTGCATTTTATATGCTTCCTCATCGCGACGACGGTGTTCTACTTTATCTTCGATGTGGATGAGTGAGTGTTCGATTCATGCCCTTTGTTTTCATTCATTCTAGGTCGCTTTCTCTACCTTTATTATGCTGCGAACCCTTCTGTGAACCTCACGCATCACCACTTACAGGGAATATCGGCGAATCTGGTTCTGGCGGCACTCTGGCCTGATACTCACAGGATTTATATGTTTTCTCTGTGGAGGGATTCTCAGTGAAGTCGTTCAGTCGTTGCTACCTGTCAGTATCACTTTGTACGCCGCCAAGATCGGGTCAGCTTCATTTTCACTTTGAATGATACTCATTATTATGTATCCCGCAGTTCAAGGAATTCCAAATGGGGGACGTGATAGTATGTTGCTGACTCTTGATCCCTTCCCCGGCGTTCAACCTCATTCCTTCCCCCAGGCTAACTTGCTTGGCTCTGCCATTGGTTTATATGCTGCATATCACACGGAACGCTACTACCGTCATAGAAGAGAGGTACATTCCTGATCCCATCTATGTACAGGCAATCTCTCCACTCACTAGTTGAATGTGGCTGCTATAGATATCTCGATTATACCGACCTTTAGACACGGACGCTCTTTCCGATGAAGATGACGACGATGCATCGGGAACCCAGCTCCTTCCAACACACAATCATTCACAGCAGCGCAGTAAAGGTTCTTCTACTACAAGCAAATCCGTACGATTAGCAGACGTGTGGGACGAGCGGGAAGAGTTGTTTGGAATTGGTGAAGACAGTGATGTTGATGAGGAGGAGGGTGATTCGAATGGATCTGCTCCAAGCAATACTAGAATCACTTCTCAGACTCATCCACCGTTGCCGAAAGTCGTAGTCACCGCGAGCAGTTCGTGATTGATCAAGTCATCATATATGTAGAAGCCGCTGTCTTTTGCATTCGACCTTTCAGCCATGTACGAGCATGTACGATATTATTATATTTCGAGAAAAGCTGTATCGCAATATAAAGCTCCTGTGACTATTTTGATTACCAAAAAGCTACAGACGATAGTGCAGGGATGATGAAAGTTTATTCGGTGTGCAAGATGTTCTGAGGTATGAGTATGTACGGTAGATATTGTATTGCAAATAATGATATATATTATTCCGAAAAGTACTGGTAGACCTACACAGTTTTAGATCTCTCAAAGTCGCTCTGTATGCTCTTCAATTCGTCTCGCAGCTGTTCAATATCCTCACTGATTTTAGCTGCTATTTCTGAGATACGTTCGCATGCCGTTCGTGGTAAAACCGTAACCTGCTCTGTCAATGCACGGTCCAAAGTAGCCTAGGGAACAAAGACATTAGTACGAGATATAGATATGCTGACCAACGTCAGAGCGTTAACACACCGATAGATCTCTTTCAAGACCTTCCCCAACCCGATGCCAATCGCCCCACCAAATCTTCTTCGCTCTTTCCCATTTTCCGACGCCCCAACGAACGCCCGCAACGGCTATGAGCATCCCGAGACCGATAGTTGTTGTACCATCTACCGCCACAAGGCCTAACAGTCCCTCTCCTGACCCCGTCAGCCAACCTATCCAACCTACCCAACCCAACCCCATCCCAGTGAAAACTGAGGCGCCTGTGCCCATTACAACACGTTGTGCAGCGAGATGCAGTCGGATTGTGGGGTATTGAGCGATTTGAAACTTCCGGGAGTGTATAGGTAGGGTGAGCGTTGAAGGTGTCATCTCGTATGATGGAGAGGAAGATATTTGTTGTAGGGTGTTGCGGAGGACCGGTGAGTCAAATGATGTAGTGGGCGAGAGAGAATTAAATGCACAGTGTGTATAGTGGTGTTGGAGACGGCTGAGTTTTCCAGTTTGGAAGATTAACTGGGTAGAATATGATGAGCGACTATGTTTGTAGAAGGGCTGAGGATATTTACATGTTGTTCTAATTCTTTGCACCAAGTTTCGTCGACAATCCTATTGACGACGATATTGATCTCGTCAATATGTGAAAACATTTTCAACAGAGTGAATCGGCTCATTTGAGCTTGAACCAGTCGCTCCGAGGTAGCTAGAGCTTTTGTCACAAGGTTATCTTGTTTTGAGTCTGACACACTCGCGTTATAGACACCAAGAACTTCACTGGGTATGCGGTTCAAGTCCTGTTCGTATTCCTGGCGTAATTTGCTGATATCTGATAACTTCTCTTTGATTTCCAGCGTGGCTTCATCTAGGGAGCCTGAGATACTGTCGAATGCTCCGGAGAGTTGGGTAGTTAATCGGCGTGTGCGGAGAAGCTCGAGCGTGACGGGTGAAGCAAATGAGTTTTTGATGTGCGATGTGAGCATAGGTATACCAGAACCGACATAGTCATCTTGATACCGTTGTACGTCTACTTGCGAATAAGAGGCATTGCGCAAGGCAGAAAGACCGTGTACTGCGCGAAGGGGATCAATGAAGATCGTCTTGGGTGGATGATCACTCTGAATCGGGGTTCCGCTGGTGAGCACGCGAATCGTATTAGGATTTTTGAGTGGCGAGAAAGGCAGACGATCTGTTACAGGGTTGCAGAGGACGACCGGAATATCACTATTGAACCACGCCTCTGGAAGCAAGCCTTCGTGTTCGGAGGAAGATGTATGATGTTTGGGAGAGTATTCTTCGATTTCGACTGGGAAAGGAAACTGGAGAAGGAAAGAGGAGGGAAGATAGAGCGTTGAGCCTCGCCATTGAATTTGTTTGCCGTAGCTGGAGGAAAATCAGACTGGATATCAGACATTTAACAATCGAACTCACGCAATAGTGATTTTTTTGTCCTCTCGCATGTCCCATCGACTGCGAACAGCTTTGTTTAACGAGTCATCAGGTAGAAATGGCTGCTCAAGCAGCGCAGTTACAAGTTGTTCTGTCCCTGCCCATTGGTCAGTTCCAAAGACTGTAATACGGGCTGGTGGCGGAGGTTGATCTGGTGGCTCAAACGGTGGAGACACAAACTCGTGTTTGGAAAGCACTCGAGGTAGTAAATTGGAGGTTCTGTGTAAGGCAGTGAGAAGAGAGGACCGGGTTGAAAGGCTGGATGAATTTCTTATAAGCGCTTTCCGCAGCATGAATAGTCAGTTCCAGATCGAACTTAGCAGCGAACGAAATAAGAGCCCCAGGTAGAAGTAGAAGAATATTTATGTGCTAGTGCCAGTGAATTGGTGGGATTCTTGCTTGGGGGGTTTAGGCTCGCGCAGGTGGGCTGCACACGGCTATAAAGGAGAAGGCTAAGCCTGAAGTGTTTTTTGTTTGAAGACTGAGTACTGAACGTACTTGAAAACAGAAAGAACACCCACGGGCGCCTCATCTTATCTTTTGCCGCCCTTATCTCATTTACGTTACATTCGGAAAAATCCTTTTCACTTACTTTCAGACTTCATCATATCTTACCTCGGACTGTTGAAACGTTATTTAATTCTTTCCTCCATCATCTTATCCCAATCTTTGGGGCGGTACTATGTCCTCCTCGTCAGCCTCTCGTTCCCCAAGTCCACATACTCCTTCCCCAGGCCCTGTCGACCAGGTTGCCGTACAAACCGACTTTGACCGGCCGTCCTGGTACAATACTTCTCCAGAAGAACCTTCATGGACATCCAGTCTCAAGTCAGAGGATACCAATATGCTGCAGCTAGATGATTTAATTGAGCAGCATGCTTACGAAGAGTCGGTTGTTCTCTATGCTCTTTTTCATTGTCTGACCTGCACATAGTGTCGATATCACCCAATCACCCAGGCCAGTTTCTGCCAGCTCCTCAGTTGCTCATTTCCGCAGCTCTATGCCTGCAGGCATTCAGCCTATTCCCCCACCCGCTGTATCCTCTCGCAAACCTGAAACCCCCTTTCGAGACCAGAAGGTCGTTCATCCACCCAAGGAATCATGTTACAAGTATCTATCAACTTTACTCTGGGTCATTTCCTCTTCTGACTTGGCATTCAGTTTGCCTATCATGTTTCCTAGCATTCCAGAAAGCGGTACCAAATCCCGTGTAGAGACTCAAGTCCGTGTCACAGTCGACTTGGCCGACCCAAGTTCATCTATAGACCCTCATATATACGATCGTGTTGGTTCGTGGAAATGGCTTAAGCTTCCTCCAGGTACTGCGACCAAGAGACGTACCCGCAAGCAGGGCAAAATTGGTGAGCAACCAACATTTCTTACGTGGTATCTTTTGCTCACTATCAATCAGACCCTGACTCTCAGGACATGCTTTTTCTCACCGTCAGCGTCTCCTGCGCGAGTCCTCCGCATAATCGTGTTCTCAGTTGTTCGAGCTGCCAGACTCGTGAAGCAAAACGTGTTGCAAAGAAGATCGCTGCACGTGTGAGGCCTGCCCGCAATTCAGATGTCGACGAAGAATATCCTGATGATGCCAACAACTCTGGACCTGCGAGAAAGAGTGCTGCTTTGTTGGAAGATACAAGCAGCATCATTCAGTTCAATTGCGCGGAAGTGTTAGACTTTTCCACAGGCTCTGCCGTTCTTCCTATCAGAATAACATGTTACTGTCGACATCATCGCGAAAAAACTGGTTTCAACGTCAATCTTGTCATGATGGACTCTGCGGGACGGACAGTCGGGGTTGGAAGTTCGAGCCCAATTATGATCACAGATGACCATAAAACGACTTCTGCTCCCAAACATGCAGATCTGCAGCCTTATGATTGGTGTCAACCTGGAGGCAGTAACACAACCTCTGGGGCATCTTCACCCGTAGGTATTGTCAAGAAAGCTCCCTCAAAGCGAAAGACTGATGTCGGCGGGAAAAAGAGGGTTAAACCGTATGACTCGTCTGCAAAGCCAAACAGGAGTTCTCGAGAAACCAGCGTTGTATCGAATGCTCCTTCGCCCACTGCTTCAGACCCACTATCCATTACCACCGCTCCCTCTCCTCCTTCGTATCCACCACTGACTTCGGCTGACCCGCTCTCTGCAACTGAAATTCCTTCTCTTCAATTTTCGACGCAAGAATCGGATTCCTCACCCGACGTCTTGACGACACCTCTCGATATCGATATACCCATGTTGCCTGAGAGTATCACAAATCTTGAGGACCTTTTTACAGCCGCAGGCGTCGCACCCGACGCAACTATGATACCCCCTTCGGTAACATCTGCTTCCTTACCGTTCCTATTTACCCCTCCGCCAACCACGATTTCAATGCCAATCATACATCGACTCATACCGAATTGTGGCCCGACTCACGGTGGAATTGAGGTCACCGTCCTCGGAGCCAACTTCCATCCCACCTTGCAATTCAATTGCGTCTTTGGCGATATGCCCGCTAGTTCAACTCAGAGGTGGAGCGATAACACTTTAGTGTGTATCCTGCCTCCACGGGCCACCGCTGGGATGGTCTCAGTTTGGTTTGATGGTTTCCCAAAGGTGGAAGAACAGCCTCCCTCGTTCTTTACCTATTCCGACGAATCAGATAGAGCGCTGTAAGTGAACCTCAGATATTGACATTACTGCGATCTGATCCGCTGTCTTCAGGATGGAGCTAGCCTTACAAGTCGTTGGACTCAAGATGACCGGCAAGATAGAGGATGCTAAAAACGTTGCGATGCGAATTGTCGGTGCCGGAGAGGGCACGGACTCCCAAAACTCTAACGAACAGAGCGCCAGTAACAGCATGAACATGCAACTCTCAACTACGTTATCGGCCTCTCGCGATCTACGTTCACTCATGCTCGTTCGTGCAGGCAATAGCGAGGATTTCGAAAGCCTCATTGCCGACTTTTTGAAATTGATCGATACTCCCGTCGATCATCCATCCGCTCAAGTCGTATCTGCGTCGAAAGCACTATCGCATATGACGAAAAGCGGACAATCGTTGTTGCACCTCTCTGCGTTCCTGGGCTACGCAACTATTGTGGAATTCCTCGTCAAGCATGGGATCGATATGGATTTGAGGGATCGTAATGGGTATACTGCTTTGCATTTCGCTTCCATGGCTGGCTCGAGGGATTGTGTCGCGAAGCTTCTCAAGGCAGGAGCGGATAGGGAGATTGTAAATGCGCTTGGGAAGACGGCTGAGGAAGTTGTTGCGAAAGGAATGGGCAAGGCTGTCTTTGAGGAGATTCTAGAGGAGATCTCGGATTCCCAAGAGGGTGTTGCTTCGGATGATGAAGAGGCGGAGTGGGGTGATGTAGAGGAGGAGGTTGAAGTGAAACCAGTTGTAAACTCGAGCCGGCGGGCGAAGATGGATAGACGTGCACGTCGGTCAAGAGCTGCTTCACGAAAAGCCTCCCGCGAGGAGCTTAGGAGCCATCATACATCCAAAACTCCCAGTATGACACCATTAGCGACTGCTGTTCCTGTCGATGGAAAGAAGGAGAAAGAGGCTGCTGCCGCAGTAGATGATGAGAAGCAGGCGCTATCGTTCATTGATATGCTCCAACGTACCATGGCTCAATTACCTGGTGCCCCTCAATTACCCTTGCCTCACTTCCCCCTCCTCCCCGGTGTGCCTGCAATGCCTTGGGAAGCGCTACACCAGTTGAATCAGTTCCAATTCCCGATGGTGTTCCCTGTAGCTGTGCCTCTCCTACCTGGATGGTTGAGCGGTGAACATCGTCAGGATCAGGATGCAGCAGACGTAGCGGACGACAATGCTGGAAAACTCGCAGGACCACTCAAGGCTGCACAGGAATGGAGAGCGTTGTGGGAGAAGTGGCTGGCTCATGTTCCATGGCAAGCTACAGAGATGCTGCCACCGCCTCAGTACACACCTCGAGCAGCCCCAACAGAAGAAGACTTGACTTCGACTCCCTCACAACTTGTGAGGCGGGCATCTTCTAGGGCTTCCGATTCGGAATCAGTAGCAGCTCCCCGTCCTATCGCTTCTGGCTCTCGACCATTGCCGGATGCACGAAGACGGTACGACTATAATGCAGTATCAGTCACCGACCAGGAGGTCAAGGCTTATGCATATCAACCTAAGCCACAGCAGAAGAAACGTAAGTCGCGCGAAAGTCCCAGTTTTCCATCATCGTTAACGTTGTCTTTTGCAGATGATCGAATGCTTTTACTTTTCTGGTTACCCATACTGATGAGTTAGTGTATTCAGGTTCGAAAACCTCGTCTTTCGCTGATTTTTGCCTCCCACAGTCTCTCTACTATGGGCTTGCCATACTGGCTTACAGTTCGCCATTCGTGCATTCAAATCGCCGATGGCTGCTAAGAAAGTTCTTGGTTTCTGATTCCTAACGTATCTATTAGACGATCTGCATATCTCTCTCCTTTCCTTGGGATTCTTGCCCTTTCTGTTCTAAATTTTGGATTATTGTGAACGTCCTCAGCTTAGCCTTGTAATTTATACTGTAGTGCTTCCATTTTTCTACCAAGTAGTGTGTTGACAAATCCATATATTGCAATATCCCCACATCCACCGTAGATGGCGAAGGGGTGTAGGTTGCCGCTATGAACTGTGATCCTGTACAGGCTGTATAGCTTTCAGCAAATTGGAAGGGAACTAATCCGGCCCGAGAAGAACGACATATTATTTGTGGTTGTTGTATAAATAAACGCGTTGTTTGCGTGTTTGGTCCGGAACGCGTTCTTCAAGTGCCACAATGAAGAGAGGTGCTGAGAAGCAACTAACAAAGGATAATCCCGACGATGTACGTGGATTTTTTTGTCTTTATTGACAAGAAATATTAATTTGAGCTGCCCAGGAAGACTCGGAGTATGGAGGCCAGGTTGGCTTGCAGAAAGCCGAGGATTCAGTGTTGGCCACTAGAAAGTATGGAATTGAATCGATATATTACACCGAGTGTCAATTCTAATTTCTCTAATCCTTTAGAATAAAGGGACTGCCAAAAAGATCTACAGGCTCTGTCACCAGCTCTCCGTCTTCAGAGTCTGTCGCGGTATGTGCGCATTCCGTTCGAGTGGCTTTGCAATTCTTAACCCATATATCTAGGATTCTCGGCCGAATTTCAGTGCTTTTGGAGGATTTGGAGCAGGCTCCACCAGTTCTTTCCAGTTCACTCCCCCAGCGTCGCCATTTTCCCCTTCCCCGTCCACTACAGCCAGTCCGTTTGCAAAACCAGCTGTATCCAGTACGGCTACCAATGCTGCGAGAACATTCAGTAGCCTGATCGCCTCTTCTTTCGAGCCGCAACCTTCCTCTTCCAACCCCACTCCCCTTGCCTCTCAGCCAACTCTGCCCGACTTCTCAGTGTCCAACAGAGATCCTACTGTCGAATACTACAAGTCCCTGCGAGGACTGAATGCCTCTATACTTACTGCCATCACGAAGTCTGTAGAAAGGGATTCATTTGCGGATGTCTCTTTCCTCCTGGAACGATACAAAACATTCCGGGCTAATGTACAGAACGAATACGACGAAAAGTCAAGAAAGGATAACAGATCGAGTCTCGCCTCTCTTTCCACTGCAAGTGTGGGCTCGTTCTCCATGCCTACTCCGCCTTCGTCGTTCTCTGGCTTCGGAGCAAAGCTAGCTGAATCTTCGACGGTGACCGGCGGTGGGTTTACACCAAAACTAGACAGTGGTAAATCATTGTCTTCTCCGTTCTCCTTCCCTTCGGCGAATGCCTCTTCGAATCCTTTCTCGTTCCCTCCCGCTGGGTCTTTGGCCACATCGACCTCAAAACCGACTGAGAGTACCACCAAACACACAGAGTCCAGCACTACCATGAGCCTCTTTGGCTCAAAACCACCACCGGCTTCGGCTTTTAGTTTTGGTACACCGCCCTCAACCTCTGGATCCACTACAAATCTCTTTGGAGCACCACCATCACCCAGCGTCTTCGGAATGCCTTCAAATAACAATCCTTCAACAAGTTCCACTTCTGGAACTGCCCCAAAATTTGGTGGATTCGGAGGCTTTGGTATAGCTGGGAAGAGCAGTCCATCTGCGGGCAGTATAGGAAACCCGGTTGGATTCGGGTTCGGAAGTCCTTCGAAATCTGGAAGCTCATCCAGCTTTTCTTTTGCAAATCCACCACCAAGCTCGGTTAAGACTGAGGAAGAGACAGTGAAGACGGAGGCGGACGAGAACAGCGGTAGCCAAGCTACTCAACCAGATAGTAATGCAGATGATACTGGTCCCAAGCCACTATTTGGCGTCAATCCTCACGATGAGGAGGGTGAAGGGGAGGAAAACGAAGAGACCATTCATTCTATTCGCTCGAAGGCGTTCCGAATGAAGAAAGCAGACGAAGGAACTTCTGGGTGGGCCGATATGGGTACCGGTCCGTGACAATATCCTTTCTTATGTTCCAGCAAGTCTCTGACTTCTCCGAATCAAGGTGTACTACGAGTTAAAAAGAATAAGTCGACCGGACAACGGCGGCTCCTTTTACGGAATAGTAATACTGGGAAGATTATCATCGTGAGTGTCAAACACAGTAGTATTCTAATGTAATAGAACGCTGATTCGTCCGTCCTTGCTCAGAACTTCAACATATATAAAGGTCTTCAGCCTACTGTCAACAAGAAAGCGCTCATGTTTGTCGGACACGAAGGTGGCGCCTCGCAGACGTACAACCTTCGCACGAAAACGGAGGATCAAGCGCTCGAGCTAAAGGAAGTACTAGACCGCGAAATTGCTTTCGTCAAAGCAAAACAGGACAGTTGATCTCTGATGATTATTGCGGGGTAAAATACACAGCGAAACCTTGTATTATACACTCTTGACGATCCGCTCCGTCGAATGCGATTCGTACTACAGTTATTTTGAACAGTCGGGTCCTACTACTTTCCATTAAAATGACTCTGGGCATTGTGCCATATCGAATTGAGCACGAATGCTTCACTGAGCAGCATCTCGACTTCGTGGTCACCCCATCCTTGTGTAGGTAGAGATTGTAGGAACATGATGATGCCCTGCGAGACAATGAATTCAGCAAGGATTGATGACAAAATTAAGACAGATACCTGAAAGTCCATTTGACGAAGCTTTTCACTCCACTTAACTAGAAACGCCGAGCAAACATAGAGATGGAATTGCGAAAACGCGTCGGGGCCTTCCGCCTGTATTATATGAGCATCGATGGGTTACAGCGGTGAATGACATGACATACCAGATACGTGTCCCACATCCGGATAGTATTCTGAACGCTAATCTCCCGCATCAACAAGCAATTCATCCATCGGAAAGCGAACTGCATAAATTCGACATTCTGAGATTCGAGATGGGAGGACAAGGGTGCTTTGGGTAGCATGAGTGACCAGAACAGGAAAGTAGACAGTACGCAGGCAATCTAAGCTCAAGCTCACCATCAATTCTTGCGACAAGATCTGCCATTCTACGTACACTGCGTTGGATGCCGGGCTGAGCGAATATGTAGTTGTCTTGTATGCCGTCCAGTAAACGAGAGAGACACCAAAATGAGTCAGCTTCAACCGCGTTGAAAACGCTCTTTGGGAGCAACGCGGGATCGAATTCCTCCGGATCAGAATCTATGAGGGAGAGAAGTTCAGGAGGAGTGCGGGTTGAGATAAAGCGCTCAAACCGATATATGCGGACAGGAAAACTTGGAAGAAAGGTGTTACGAGATCGTTGATGCCTTGGACGTAGCCACTAGCTGGATGTCGGATCGCCCAGACGTAGAGAATTCGTTCCAGACTTCGTTGAGTCGAGCCATACATCCAAAGACGAACACCAGGACGTGTACGTGGAACGTCTATCTCAATCTGATGCCATATCTGCTGGTCTACACCTTCTCGATCGCGAGCAAATGCTACTTCTACTAGAGATGTATATTCGTTCCGTTTTCGAGCAAGGGTAGCTGCGCGGAGAGGACTGGCGAGGGGTAGGTAGCCCTATAAAATGATTGGGAGAGCGTTTCCTTCCAGATAGACTGTGACGCACAAGAAGTAATTGCCATGCCATTGGCCGAAGTTCGTTGGGTATCCCAGCCCATGCAAGTTTCCTCAGCTCGGCTGTGTGTGTTCATATAAATTAACAGGGAAACAAAGACCAAGTCAAGTAGTTACACACCGATATTTACATCCTGGTTAGACAAACAATCCACAAATTTGTGTTTCCTATTCGTTCGTATCGACCGCTCCCGCATGAGCTTGTCAGACCTTGCAGGATTTGTGGCGATGGCGTCTTTAGAACCTCTGGATATCGGGGCAGGCCGACGAATGCCACAGAGGGGATCTACGTATCTGTATGAGGAAAACATACCATAATGCCCACAAGCTCGTACCATTGACAATAGTTTCTGCATCTGTTCGTACTGAGGTTGATTTCGAGTTTTCTGGAGCGGTCTGTGAAGGTTCTCCTGCTGCTGGTTCAGGGTCAAGATCACCGAGGATCATATCGCCTTCAACGTCGGCATCCCCATCTGTGCTGGGAACATGATCAAAACTATCATCCTGGTTAGAGGAACGCGTATCAGTGCTTGATCGTCGTCCTGGCACGGTTCTAACTATTGTCCAGCCATTTTTTGGAGGTTGAGGTGTATCTGTGTTACGAGGAGGATATGAGCTTGGATTCGGAGCATTCAGATGCGTATATGAGAAGGCGAGGGAAGTTGAAGAAGGATTATCAGATGTTATGGGTCTTGGAACTGGCTTTGGTGCTGTAGTCGAAGCACGGCTCCAACTAGGAAAGGTGAAAGTGGATTGGGCAGGCTCCTCGCTGTCTGATGCACTATCCCAGGCATCATCGTCAACGGTATCGGAGGGTTTAAAGAAAGTAGACGGTCGTAGAACTATATGAGGCCTTGTCGGAGGAGCAGCCATCCGACGTTTTACTTCCTTGTAGGCAATACTGGTTGGTACAATGTCAATGGAGATTCGTGTGAACTTGATCGAATGTCGCTTCTACTTCTACGTTCTCGTACAATCTTCAACAATTACACAAAATACGGTACCAGAACGATGTCTGCTCTGTCTTCATTTTCTTCTTGCGAGCTTTCCGATGCTCTTTTGAAGCTCGGTGTCGAATCTGGGGGTTACATCCCAGACATCAGCCAATTCTCAGGAAAATCAATATGTGGCCCAGCATATACTGTGAAATTCGTCTCTTCTACCGACACTGGTGCTCCAAAGCTCTCTGAGCATTTTGTGGACACTGCACCGTCAGGTTCGGTCATTGTAATCGATGTTCCCCAACGTTCGGTCATTCGCCATCTCCAGCTGATAATCTTGATACTGACCTCGGCATTAGACGCCAAGAACGCTGTTTGGGGAGGATTAATGACAGCCGGTGCTCAAGCGCGAAACGCTATCGGAGTTGTCATCTCTGGTCGCTGCAGGGATCTTGCAGAACACAGGGAGCTAGGATTCTCAGTATTCGCTCGTGCTCATTCTACAGTTGGCCAGTCTCCTTTCACTCGACCGTCTGCTATAAACGTTCCCCTGGAGCTGGTTCCGAGAGGCGATACAACGTTCCCCTCGACAACAGTTAATCCTGGAGATTGGATCGTAGCGGACGAAGACGGTGTGGTATGCGTCCCAAAAGAACTGGAGATAATGGTTACAGAGCTTGCTGCAAAATCACATGCAATCGACGAAAAATGTATGGCGGATATCAAAGACGGAAAGGGAGTGAAGGCATCGTTTGCGAAACACCGAGGGACCAAATAGAAAACTGCCGGTAATCCAGATGATAATGATATAGCCTGTAATGTTAACGTATGATACATATATGAGATGCAAGGCGAAGGAAATTTCTACTTCCACCAAATACAACAAATATCCGACCTCATTTCCGCTTACCTCTTGGTTTTGTCTTAGAATCAAGGAACCTACTCCATGCCTGCGCTTGCAACCTGGTTTTGGCTTCAGCTTCCGCCGAATGTCCCTCCGCTTCTTGTATCGCTTCCCGGCTTAAACAAAAATCAACATGAGAATTAAGCTTCCGGTTGTCATTTGTGTCTAATTCTGTACCACAGACTGGGCAGAAGGTCTGTGACTCAATAAATCGTTTTTTCCCTGAAGCTTTTGCAGAGATTGGTATGGAGGCATGTATGATCGCGTTTTCGGGAGCAGAAGAGCGCCTTGAACTAGATGTTTCCGCAGATGACAAAAGCTCATCGTTCAAAACTTGAACGTCATCCTCTTCATCGTCATCGAACCCTGGTATATGATCCTGCCATGTATGGTCACCAACTTGAATGTCGTCAGAGTGTGTTTTTCGTTTTTTTCTAGGAGACGTTTGTTCCATGGGCCCGCCGAAGTACTGTGTGCATAACAAATATAACCGATTGGGATGTGGATGTGTCCGAAAATGGTTGGAACACTCACTCTTTTGATTCCAGAGTCAGCGGATATCTTGAGGTCCTTGAGTTTGGTGACCCTCAATCCGATGAGACGTATCTTTAAAGGCAGCTCAGCGAGAAGAAGTTCTGTTCCAATCTGCTCATGCATAATCACGTCAGTAAAGAATCATTGGACAGTAGATAAATCACGGACGGCAAGCAAGTCATTCTTTTTGGTGATCCAACGTTCGAAAGATTTTGCGCGGGTAAATACTATTTGATTGTGAGGACCTGCAATCAAGAGGATGAACCTATACCTACCTTGATAGTTCTCTAATTTATACTTCAGAGTAACCGTTCGGCCAGCCCATCCGGTCTCGGTCATGTCGTTTTCCAATTCCTCCGCAACCTCTTCCAGCTTCTGCAGAATCTTGCCCTTGTCTGCTAATGGGTGGAATGTTCTAATGTAGCCTCGACTTCTCAGTAAATCGCACAAGACCACAAGGGTAGTAACTTACCGTTCTGCTCCAATACTTTTCCGCTCCTCCCGGGAATGCGGACGAACAACATTTGATGCAATGCCCAGATATGTCTGTAACATGAACCGGAGGCCAAACTCCTTGTCCAGCAACGCAATACTGACACGTTGTGTGAAGATATCGCCGCATGTCTAAAATACGGTGTTAGAACGACAATGGTAGCGTAATCAATGCCAAGATGAACAGCAACGTACCGTGACACCGATAGACTCAAGCATCCGTTCGTGAACTCGGCCAATTCCTGGAACTTTTCTCACAGGTAAATCTACCATGAAGTCTTTAATGGTTTGACTATCGGGCGGCAAGTGAAATTGGCCGTTGGGTTTATTCTGGAAAGTCCGCCAAAATTACTGCGATACCGAGACGGAGCTTGAGGGCACTAACCTTGTCTGAGCATATCTATATCGATTAAAGTTGGAGGTAGATGAAGAACAAGAGCATAAAGTCTTCACCTTAGCGAGCATCTGCAGAAATGTTCAAATCGTATGAGATGGGGAGATCATGAGATCCCGTACATACCCTGTTAGAGGCTATCCCAGCGCTTACAGTAAGTTTGGTCTCTTCTTGAACGATCCTACGCATTTCAGAAACACATTCGTCTGCGGTGAGATCATGCTGTTCGCAGTATTCCGTGATACTAAGATCGTTCATTACTTCGTGTGTGAATGTTAGGCCAGACTGACATACTTAAGATAGGCTTCATCACAGCTAGCAACGAGCATGTCTGGATCGTAGCGTGCCAAGATCGCCATAACTCTTTTGGACATGTCTGAGTAACGCTCGGGGTGAATGGAGAGTAGTATCAGCTCTGGACAGAGCTTTTTGGCTATGAAAGCTGGGGACAATATGAGTGGAAAACATGAGCACATTGTATAATGTCATTCTGACTAGAACTCGCCTGCCATTCCTGAACGAACGCCAAATTTCCGAGCTTCGTATGATGCTGTTGTGAGCACACCCTTTCCTACCTGAGAAGGCGCTGAGCCGGCTGTGGGTGGAGGATGAAGGGAAGGATAAACTTGCCCCGAACGCCTTTCCTTTCAGTTCCGGATTATAGAGCAGTTCGCAGTTCGCGAAAAAGGCGTCGGCATCAACATGAACTATGATTTGCGAAGCGTCCCTTAGCGATTCGAGTTCTATCAGCTGTGTCCAGAATCAGTGCTCAATACTACCAAAAGAGCATTATCCACGCACCAGATGTGATGTAGTAGATTCAACCTGCACTAATGCGATGCACTTCGACCTCTAATTCTGGTAGATACTTCTGAACAAACACACCCAGGTCAGCTTCTTTCATGGCAGTATCCCGCGTTTGCAATAGCCTCTCGATTCTTTTCGTGAGCTCCTTGTCTTTCTTCTTTTCATTCTGGAGGGTCAAACTCGTTCGGACAATTCCAATAACAGATTTTGTGGGCTTCCGCTTGCCTCGTAGAATTTTGAGCCTTTAGAAGCTTCAGCAATAACGCGGTTTATGTCGGATTGATCAGTTGTGAGTCTAGATGGACTTTGTTTGAATAGTTGTCTTTCTGGGATGGGAGCATGACTTGCCCGGCTTTGGCAGAAGACGGCCCAGCTAAACGTTTCCATAAACTCTTGCTCTGCGAAGGAGCTGGGGCGGTGTCGGGATCGGCTGAGGTCATTCTCAGTCGGAGTCTTGAGCAAGATCTGATTTCGTAACTTAACTGATAGAATAAAGTCACGTGCAAATGACTCAACTTCGCGTTACGCCATGAGAGTCAGACGGCGTTTGCCAATGCCCGTCAGTCAATTCAGGACGACAGCTTGCGTGCGGATTACACGTCGACAAAGAGAGGTATGTCATAAGTATATTGCATAAATTAATAATTACAATAAGTAAATCAGGCAATCCGTCGCAGACGGTGCTATCTAGAACATAATACGGAAGCCAAATCGATCTCAACTTGAACCCGGGCCCTCGAAATGGATTTTTTCTGTAGTTATTTCATCAAAGGAGCAAGAAGAGGCTTCGATGCGAGAATAGCTTCAGCAGTCTCGATAAGCTCAGACTTAGTGGTAGAATTCTTGATATCGGATATACTGACAATGCTGACAAATCGAGAAGCAGCAAGAGGCTTGTGTAAAGCTGCAGAATGCAGCAAGGCTCGAAACGCTTTTATTAAGCGATAGGAAGAAGGGTTACGCGGAACACGAGCCCAGCAATGTTTGGGCAACAAGGATGAGGTTTTGGTTTTCCCAACGCACCAAGTGGGGTGGACTTGCTGAACAGTAAAGGAAGCTAAAACGGGGTTGCGAGAGCCAACATAGTTGTGACCATGAATTGAAAACTCCCCGCCCTTCTCGATGCCGTGTAATGAGCCGAGCTCAATTCTGATCCCTTTTTGGAGATGAAACTGCACAGGAATGTAACTGTGGTCTTGAGTGAATGGTATGGAATTGAAGAGGCGGGCGGGGTGGACGCCTGAACAATAGACACTTTGGCCTTCGCCCATCCTCCGTTTGATTTCTTCCAGGAGATCAGAGAAAGACGTGTCGTGCAGCGCTACAGAGCGCACAGTCTCAAGGAACACAGAAGTAAGTTTTCCTCCCTCCTTTCCTTCGAACGCCGTAGCACCAGGTCTGCAAGCTGTGATGACGGTATGGGTTGTCCAATGGCGGTTGTAGAAGCTTTCGTTACGCTTTTGGAGTCTGGGACAGGGAAGCTGTCCGCGATACAGATCCTCAGCAACTGCTTTGCCGGTTGCAGTCCAGCGGATACAACTACGGTCTCGAGAGCTCGGAGGAGGAGATGTGAAGCAAGCATCCAACATAAGCGTGACGTTGTTTCCCTTCAATTTCGATAGGTCATGAATAAACGTGTGCATTGCGCGAGCGGATATGCCAGCTACCCGACCATCCGGTCCTTTGGTATCATGATCGTAAGTACATAGTACCTCGACATTGCAGCGCAAGTTTTTCTCTAGCAGCCAATCACGGGGTGCCTTCAACGTACTCCCATGGCCAGCAAAATAGATGAGGATCGCGTCACCCTTTCGAATTCTGCTATTGTTCAAGAGGTGAGTATTGAGCGTAGATTCGATGTTCTGCTTTGTTGCTTTTTCGTTGAACAACATGGCTATCTGATGCTTGGGGACACCAAGATCATTCACCAACCAACGTTTCATTGATTTGGCGTCATCGACACAAGCTTCTAGGTTCCATATGTCTCCCGACTTGTACTGGTCGATGCCAATGATGACAGCGAATACACGATTGTCCATTTTGTGACGTTAAACTCTGAAGGCCGATTTAAGCGATGTGTACCACTGGGAAAGTAACCAAGCTGATTACCTAGTGTTCCGAATGCAAGTTCTAGCTTTAGAATAGAGGTGGTTACGGAGCTGTTCACAACAAAGGCGCAGGTTTTTAAGCAACTCGCAATTGGATACGACAACCCTTGTCGGTCAGTCGCGTCATGCATCTCTGGGACGCATGCAATCCCTGTGGCTATCAAAGTGTAAGAAGCAAAAGCTTTCATTTACCAGTCGATGTGATGACGATCGAGTTCATACCTGTAATAAAACGTTCGAGTTCGGCACCACTACCAATCCCCAGTATTATTGGGATTAGTGGACATGATTAATAGAGAGTTCGGACACAAAAGGAAAAACGGCGCCTAAATTCTGATTAGCAATCAATTCTGCCTCGACACTAATTGTGACTAATCCTGCACTCATCCATGATGAGCAATCCGTCTGTTGTCTGCCAGCAATGTAAAGAGCCCCTTCAGGTAATTCTTTTACCATTAGAGAGTTGTTGATAGTCATAATGTGTGCTCACAATACAGTTGGATGCATCACTAGTTGATTTGGCTCCTTCCGCCTATGACACGATCATAGCGTCGCTCCCTCCGCGGTCGTCCTCGACACACCTTCGACATGCGACCGATGCTGAAAAGGTGGGACAGCCCTCAGCTCCTTCATCTGTTAGGGAGGTATGGCGAAAATCAAAAGGCTCTCCGAGTTCCGCCGCTTCTTTGTCTCCCAAAACGCAAGGCAAGGAGCCTCAAAATAGCACCATGTCTCCTCACGATTCGTTTGTGCTGCTGCAAGACAGTGTTGTTCACCACACTCCGTCTATATCCACCCCATCTCGTTCCAAAAAAGGATCGATCAAGGCGAAGAATTCGGCAAATCCAGCATCTGTCTCCAGGCCCCCGGAAACAGTCGTACAAAATTCTCCGCTTTCGCACCATCTGCGGTCAACTGTGCGCCTCTTCAATCTAATATCTTCTCGCACAGATATCGATCATCCTCTTTGCACTGAATGCACTCAAGTTTTGCTTACATCATTGCAACGTCAGTTGGATGAAACAAAAAAAGAGCGAGACGGATATATCGCATTCGAAAAGGAAGTTAGAAAGGAGCGTGAACGAGAATCTCAGGGGTTGACCAAAGAAGAAGCAGAGAAAAAGATTGAAAAATTGAAATTGGATGAACAGCTGGCAGTAGAGCAATTGAAAGAGGCCGAGAAAGAGAGGTTACAATTAGATGAAGAGCTCAGAGTCCTCGAACAAGAAGAAAAACTGTTGGAACTCGACGAAGCAAAGTATGTTCTCCACAGAATTTCTGCCTAGATACTTACTGTTGTGTTTCAGCTTCTGGAGAAATCACAATGACAATATACTCTCTGGGGAGCAGAAAAATATGCAGCTCGCAACTCTTCGAGCTGCTTACGCGGCAGATTCAGCTGTCCTTGAGAAGCTTGAACGTACAAACGTGTACAACGACGCTTTTTGCATCGGCCATGACGGTGTGTTTGGGACTATCAATGGGCTAAGGCTGGGAAGAGTACCTGGAGTTCCGGTCAGCCGTTATGTCGAGTATCTTAGGTCATCTCTCAGCTGATATTCCACAGGTGGAATGGGCTGAGATTAATGCGGCTTGGGGTCAAACTCTTCTTCTCCTACACACGATCGCGAGAAAACTTGACTACAAGTTCGAAAAGTATGTTCCATTTTCTGATATCCCCAGCCACTGATATCATCATAGTTATCGTCTGGTGCCCATGGGCTCGTTCTCGCGTATCGAACGAACTTCAGGGGACAAAGCGAGCTATGAATTATATGGCTCTGGCCATTTGGGCAGGCTGCTTCATAATCGTCGCTTTGATTTCGGGATGGTTGCGTTCATAGATTGTTTGAAGTGTCTAACTGACTATATCAAGTCTCAAGACCCTAGCGTTGATTTTCCTCATCTGTAAGTTCTCTAGGTACAATTTTCACATTTCGGTGGCTGAACGACTTACTAGAATATCAAAAGACAAAATTGGGGATGTCTCTATAAAGCTGCAATTCAACCAAGAGGAAGCTTGGACACGCTCTTTACGGCACGTCCTTCTGGCTCTGAAGATATGCTTGAAGTGGGCTACAAATGGTGTGAATGGATAATGGCTATATACCCAGTACAAAGATGTACTTAAGTCCAAGTTTTAATGAGAATTACCGGTGAAACCGGTGAATGATAACGAATCACGATATGGGGGTGATTGGAGTTGCCTTTTCGGGAGTTGTGATTTCCTTTTCTAGCACATCGGATTCGGGAACGGATACGGAAGATCCGGAAAGCTCTTACAAACCAAGTTAAAGAATAATTGCGCAATTATCTTCCTACTCCCTTACAAAGCACATATCGTGTTCTCTTTGCGCTTTTCTGTTGAAAAGTAGCTTGCATTGCATATACATATACTTGTCTTCCCGTTTTTTCAACCATGGGTTTGTTATCTGCTGGAACGCCCCTGAGTTGGGATGATACCAAGAAAGTTGCCGATCACATACGAAGCCATGGGATCACCCAATTCCTGCATATCTGGGACCGATTAAAGGACAAGAATGGTGATGAGTTGCTCTGGGGCGACGAGGTACTTGCTTGTTTCCTATACTTGAAATTATTCACGAAATTTGGCCTAGATTGAGTACATGGTCGTCGTGCTCGATGACAAAACGAAGAATGCCAAACTTTCCCTTCGTCAGACTGAGATACTCACCAAACTCAGTTCCATCGTGAACAATTTATCGTTAGAGACTGAAGACGCGTATGTTGTTGTTAGATGTCGCTTTCATTCTGGCTGAATTTGGCTTAGTATCGCAATACCAACCTTCCATCCAGAATATGGACGGTACATGCTGGAATCCACTCCTGGTTCTCCATTCACGGGATCCATCACCGATCTACTCTCAGTTGAAAAGAACATGCGCTATAGGTAAGGCGATCAACTTCAATGTTCCAATAGCGAGCTCACCGAGGAAGCAAGGAGAACTCTGGCTCGGAGATACCTAAAACCAAATGAAATACCGTTAACTTTGACTTCCTTTCCCCGCCTCGGTTCCCCTGGTCAATTCACGGAACCTTACCACGACCCTCACGATGCTGTTTCAAGCCATAGCTTATTCCTCCCAGAGCAGATAACTAATCCACATGCCCGATTTCCGTCAGTACTCGAAACCATTCCCATCTCTATTTCATCAAGCTCACACTCCATACAGTACCCTAACTGCCAATATTCGCCGTAGGCGAGGGTCCAAAGTAGCTATAAACTTACCGATCTTTGTTGATGAGAAGACACCCCGCCCTTTCATTGATCCAACGATTCCATGGGACCGTTCAATTTATGCAGAGGACCCAGGTGCCGTTGATTCTGTTGCACTGCTTAAACCTATCTCATCTGTTGCCTAGAGGCTAAAAACGGAGCCGCTCTTCCCGACCATATCTACATGGATGCTATGGGTTTTGGTATGGGGTGCTGTTGCTTGCAACTAACATATCAAGCTTGCAATGTGAGCGATGCCCGACGCTTATACGATGGGTTAATACCCATTGGTCCCATTATGGTAAGCCAACGTGAATCTATTCCTTGGTGCTCTCATAGAACAAAACTTTCAAATCTAGTTAGCTCTGACTGCTGGAAGTCCAATCTGGCGGGGATTTCTTAGCGATGTAGACTGCCGATGGAATGTCGTAGCAGGAAGTGTAGACGATCGTACGGTAGAAGAACGAGGCCTTAAGGTGCAGCTCAGTCGTATCGTTCAGAATGAAAGTGTACTTATGCTTTGGATTACAGCCCCTTGAACATGACCGGTTTAAAATCCCGAAGTCGCGCTACGACAGCGTGGATTTGTACATTTCAGAACATTGGAGGAACAGACCGGAATATAATGACCAGCCTGTGGTTATTGACCCCTGCATCTATAATCGTTTACGGCAGCATGGTGAGTGGGTCCAAATCTCTGTGAATGAGGTCATTGACCCAATCCAGGACTCGACGATTTGCTTTCCAAGCACATCGCACATTTATTCATCCGTGATCCACTGGTGGTATTTTCTGAAACTATAGATCAGGATGACAAAGAAAGCAGCGACCATTTTGAAGTACACATTCATCTTGAGTAGAACGCAGGTCTCTCATAAAAGATTGACAGAACATTCAATCCACTAATTGGCAAACATTGCGATTCAAACCTCCACCTCCCAAATCACCCATCGGCTGGCGGGTGGAGTTTCGTAGCATGGAAGTCCAGATGACTGACTACGAGAACGCGGCCTACGCAGTTTTCATAACCCTTCTTTCGCGTGCCATCTTGAGCTTCAATCTAAACTTTTACATACCAATTTCGAAGGTCAGTTCATCGTTCGTGAAACACGGACTTCAAACTAACTTCGAAATTGAGGTGGACGAAAACATGTCGCGCGCGCAAGGAAGAGGTGCTTCGCAGTCAGAGAAATTCTATTTCCGCAAGGACGTCTGCCCGGGCGGAAATAGTCTAAAGTCATCTGGCTCCAGCTCGCCAGTCGATGAATCCCGACCAAAGGACAGGAAGATGCGGAATTGCTTTCCGCCTCCAGAAATACCCGAAAACGGTGTGCCTAAGGGACCTGTAGAGGAAGAATACTCGGAAATGACCATACACGAGATAATAAACGGAAAGGTCAGACCACCATGTGTACATGAAGGGGTAGAGAGCTAATAAGTGGGTGAAGGGAGACTCCTATCCAGGTCTCTTAGGTTTAATATGGGCGTACATCGACACACTGGATGTTAGCCAACAAGAATTGTCCAAGATTCATAGCTACCTTGATCTTATCCGTCGTCGGGCGAACGGTCAGCATCTTGTTACGAGTTCTAATCATTTGTTGAATCTCTGAGCAGGTTCTTTGCTAACACCCGCAACTTGGGTTCGAAATTTCGTCCGCACACATCCGGCATATGCTCACGATTCTGTTGTGACACAAGAGATAAATTATGATCTAATAGTGGCAGTCGATGAAATGTGAGTGCGTCTTCTTGCACTCCAGGCTGCTTACTCACCACGTCCTTCAGCGAGCGCGGCGTACGAAATGTGTCTGATCTTCTTCCTGAAGATTATACCGGCGGAGAAGCTGATGGGGGCTCTATATCCCCTTGATATAAGTTGACCACGCACATATGTATTTCTAACCTTATGGCAGATGAAGTTATAGACGCAAGTACAGACCTCTATTCCGGGTGCATATGTATCAGCTCGTATCTTGTATATCTCCTTTGATTGCTACAAAGAAAGGAAAGAAATCGGAATGTCTCCATCCAAAAGGTGGTCTGGGGGTGACGCGAAGCCCATCTACTATTTTGAACCCAGCGCATATTGCAGCGACTCGTAAACCTCTGCCTCGATACGTGCCTCTAGCTTGTCTTCCTCAGAGCCATTTCCGGAAGCCACCTTGAGTGCTTCCTGAAGGTTGACGCGAATGGACTGCAAAAATGAGAGTGACGAATTAGTACGACTGAGAAAGATATCAGATGGACCAGATGTGCACACCTCAACTGAGAAATCCTCCAAAGGTGCAGCCTCCACGGCGTTGATTGTGAGTTTGTTGTTTGGGTGAACGGTGGCGAATCCGCCAGAAACTAGAAACATATGTGAATCAGCATTCTTTGTACCCCCTGATATAACGTCGACATCACGCACTGAACCATTTCTTAGAACCAGCCGATTCGATGACCTCCACGACACCAGGGCGCAAAGGCTCAACAGAAGGAACGTGATTCGCGAGGATACCCATATCACCAGTCGCGGCACAAAGGTTTACCTGGACAACATCGGTGGAGCTGAAGATGGACTGAAAGAAATTTGAGTCAAATTGTGAGTAACAAAGACAGACCACGCAACGCACCTGATGGGGCAGAGCCATAGAGAGCTGAATTTTGTCGGAAGCTTCTGCATACCCACGTTGTGCGACGCGAATAAAAGACGGTGCTCGTCGAGCTGCAGAGGTAGCGAGTCGTAAGGAAGCCATGTGTTGAATGCTAAAGTTGGGAGGTGGAGGTTTTCGGAAAGTTGCCGGGATATGCCGGACCGGCGCCTAAAAAATACTTTACTTACATCCTGCTTACATCTCATTCGAGCGTTAAAGTTCACTTTTCTCGTTTTCGTGCACGCGTGGCTCGAGGAGGAGGACATGCTCCATAGCAAGAGAGCATTGGAAGAAGATTCCGAACAACTTTCTGTTAAAACAATCAAGCTCACCCACTCAAACTCTGATAATCAACTACTGGAGACTCATCATGGTCATACGTGTTTCCCAACGCCTTCCGAGGGCCGAAAATTCGAGAGCCATGGCTCTAATGACCATGAAAACATAAGCGCGGAGAGGCCATTTATGGATAAACAGGGTAAAATGCTCAAAGCAGACGTTGCTCTTCAAGAACTTCACGTTATGCCACATATATGGGCCGAGGTAGGAAACATATTTCCAATCTGTGACCAGGATGTTTATCCTCTGAATCGAATTTAGTCACGACAAGAAGTATGCGAAAGCTTTGATTGGTTTCGCAGCTACCAAGGGGGTGTCTACTTCGCGAACAATATCACGAAGGGTTACTTGTTGAGCGGATTCCCTGCAAAGTAGATACTCCAGTCCATCTGAAGCGGCGTGTGCCTTCTTATCATACGTTGTATAGACGTGATGGGTTTTTCCATAACGGAAAACTGATAATATCCCATGGGTAAGAATGTCCATAATCAAGAGCTTCACCTAATGTATTTGCGATTCAAATTTTAGTGGAGGGAAGGCCGAGAGTGTGCAACAATTGAAAGGCGAAACGAAAGTCAAGCATGCGGAGGACCAGAAAGCAGAAGATAAATCTGTTCGCGCGCTATTGACAAATTACAGACAACAGATTCCGCTTGTCTTACTTATTGACGATAGATACGCCCTGTTTCCCTACAATCTCGGGGGTAAGAACATAACCTATGCTGTCCTCGGCGTTTACAACATTACTCATGCCTGGGGTGCGTATAGCCCTTTTTGCCTAATCTTTGCAATCACAGACGTTGTCATATAGCCGAATACGAGACTACTAAATCCGGCCAAAAGCATGTGCGCTTCAAGTTTTCCTTTCAATGGTGCAAAGAACAGGTAATAATGACTTGGAAGTTGTACTTGGCCGCTCATTCTTATCATTTCTGGAGGGGGAACCGTGGTGGCACGCGACCAAAGATAAATTTACGGAGGAACGGGCTACTCTCATGCCCGTAGTATCATCAACTGAAGATACTACATGCGATGCAAGTCTAGAGAACGATAACGCACGAACATCTGAAAGCGACTATGAAGAGGCCATGGATATATCCCCTGATGACGAACGTATTCCTAGTACTACTGCTGCTAGTCCAGGAAATGCCGCTCCAAAGTTCTCAAGGCGTATGCCAGGTATTGTCTTCCAACACTAAGTCTGTGAAGTTCTAAATATTCTTTGTGATTAGTAAAGAAGACCGAGTTTCTACTTTCAGAAAGAATGCGGGTACCTCCTGATTCTAAGAAAAACTGTATACTGAAGTTCTTGCAGACCAGCCTCTGCAGATAGGAGATGCATGTATTGCGGCATGCGCAGCCCAGCGGTTTTCTCTGTGGGCTGGGGGTGCCTCAATGCTACTTGCACTTATTTTTGGCGTCTACCCGAAGCGGGCAACGACCCGATCCCTGATGACTTGACCTTTGACGAAGGGTTCCTGCAACTGCAGACCTTGCTTCCCCTCGATAGTGGATTTAGGAATATCAATCCCTCTCAGCCTGTAACGAACCCTCGAGATAAGATTACCACCTTACAAGCATTCACTAGAGGAATGCACTGTATCAAATGCGGTAGACTGTCTTGTCGGTGAGTACTGGCATCGTATGACAAAACAGTCCAGTGATATTTTCCAACAGCTCCAAATGGGAGCATTGGGAGTGCGCCAACTGCCAGGTAAGTATCTATCTTCTTGTTAAGTGTGGTTTCATTCTCAGATTCTCCTTTAAGAATGTGTTGGCGGTTAATGGGGCACCCCGTCCTGTGAAAGTTTTGAAAAGCTTGAATCCGGGAGTCAATTTTCAATGGTATTTTGTAGGGAAAGACGCTGGTGAGATTCACTGTGGGTTCGAGTTAGAAAACGGATATCAGTCTGACTATTTGTAGGTATAATAAAAAGTACTGTGAAACCCTTTGGTGACCACCAAACTGCAGGGAACGTTCTAACATTTTCCTTCCCCGAAGGAAGGTACGTACGTGCTTTGCGCCCTCCAGCGTGGATTTGATCTATTCACCTGCGTAGGGGTCAGATTCATCATATTCAGCACAACTCAATGGGTCCTCTGGTGCGACTGGATACTCTCTTTGAAGAATATCAAATGCAAGCTGCGGATGGAAGTCTGCCATTTAGAAGATGGCCTTTGCGTAGTGTAAGTTCAATATGTCTACTGAGGAAGCGACTTGTTGATTCGTAGATAATCAGCACAAACGTAAGACCCTGAAACTTATATCTTCATGAAGATCTCAAATCTTCTGCGTAGTTCGAGGTTCACTCCTCACCAACTACTTTTCCCAGAACTGTTCGTCATTATTTACTTGTTGTGAACGGACGTTTTTGACCCAAGTCAGAAAGGCGGAGTGCCTTATCATGTGAGATTTCTCCTCTCTCCCTTGATGCCTCAATACATCCTCATTGGGCTATAACAGTATGTTGGAGGAACTGCCAACACGCTTACATGGGAAGAGGCCCCCACAGCTGTAGTCAAAGCTAAAGAATTCATTGAAGAACGCACAAATTTGGCCCTGAATAAACAATCTGAGTTCAATGAAGTACTCAGCGCTGCGTACATGGAAAAGCAGAAGATGTCTGTGCGTCACTGATGATCTTGACTTCACTGGCGCCGCGTAAACATGTTTACAGTTCCACACTGATGATGAAAAAGGTTTGGGATCTGTAGTCGCTGGATTGTCATTGGGATCTCCTGCTCTCATGCATTTTCGACGACGAAATGTGAAGCACGGACCAGAACGAAAGATTTGCCTGAGTATCGTTCTACGCCACGTGAATGCTTTTTACAAATTTCAATCATGGATTTTTCCCTCATATTCTTCTTTCTAGGGTGATGTTCTAGTCATGGACGGCACAGGCGTCCAACAATATTACGAGTAGGATCATTCTTTGTTCCGATTTCTTCGTTGGATGTCCTTATATCTGATTTACAGACATATGGTGGAACCCATCAATTTCCGTATTGCAGCTACCGCCAGATATATCAACCCAGATCGAAAATAAGCAATCAATCTAGGAATTTTATCTACCCTACATTCGCATTATCGATCTCTATATTCATTATTGTGATACCCTTGCTTTGTGGAATTACATACCTATGGCTCGGACTAATAAGTAAGCCTTGTATGTGAGGAAGATACATCAAGTAGTCCAAAATCAGGATCCGGTTCTCCGGCGACGCTCGGGGCTTGGTTGCGGCGTTCGAAGACCTCCAACACCGCGACCTCTTTGCGGGGTAGAGTAATTTGAGAGGGCCTGTTCAAAAGCAGGAACTGACCCAGACTGGAAGAACGTGGGTTGCGATTAATTCGAACAAGCGCAAACAAAGGCTTCGACCCACTCACCGGAATGCTGCCATTCTTTGCCTGCTTGGAGTAGAAAGCAAAGAGATCGGCGATCTGGTTCTCAATGCTTTGCTTTTCCTGGTGTAATCGTCCAACTTCCTGCGTCATTCCATGAACCTCGCGCTTCAGCTCCTTCTTGAATTCTTCTACGTGAGCTAGAAACGGACATTTTCAGTCCCAATATGGTATTGCTTGAGGGATTTTCGCGTACTCTGTACATTGATCGCAGTAGCCTCTTTCATGGCTTCTACGAATCGCAGTCGTTCGCCCTTGATTTCGTTGGACAATTCTTACAGAGTTTGTTTGATCAGCAACTGGACAGTAGACCAATGAAATGATGAGTGGAGAAAAACGCACCGTTGGTGAGCAATCGCATAAGACCCTCATGATCTTGCCGTTGCCGTTCTATAAGTTCGACTATGGCTTGAGGAGCTGAAGAAAGCCAAGGACCGTTCAATACAGTCGTCGACCAAAACGAGGATCTCACACACATATCGGGTCTGAAGCACCACCTTGACAATTGCGAAGTCCAATAGCGTTATTCAAAGAGGTCTGCAGAGTGGCGTCCTGGTTGCCTCTTTGTGCTTGATCTTGTACGTCGTGGAATAGACCAGGTATTGTGCTACCGTCTTGAGAAGCGATCACTCCTAGCGAATGAAGAACCTGCTGCAATGTAGTAGACAGCACCTGGATCTGGGAAGTCCCGCCGTTGACAAAGGTCTCAAGCCACTGGAAACACGGAAGATGAATAGTAAGTACACGAAATCTGTGGTCAAGAAATTATACATACAGTATTGAGCTCGTTTAGGTATCGCACACTGTCAGTTTGTAGCAGGTCGCGCTCGGTATTTTTTTCGTTCTGGTCACGCAAGAGTGTAAGTATGTCTGTGAACTAAACATGGCGAATCAGTCTTGACATGGTCTCTTATAATCATAAACCGCACCTGGGCCTGGATCTCCATGGACGCGACAGTTGATTGACTTGTGATTGATTCGGGAGATGGTCGGCTCTTGGATTCTGCTTCCTCCATTCCTTTCAAGATATCGACAACGTTAGAAGTTAAGAGTGCTTGTAGTCCATGTAGGGATTCATGAATGTCCGCTAGATCTTGCGCGTGAGCATTATCAGACTTATCTGAAGATGATTTCGATACAACCGAGTCAATGCAACTTTGAAGTCCTTCTAATCTTTGATCGATGGATAACAGAGTACGGTCTGTGTTAGATATTTTCTTGTCTACGCCGGATAGCGTGTGGCGGAGGTGATTCAAGGCAACCGTTTGTTTAGAGTTCTGAACTTCTTGAGCTGCAATCAGATCTGCTGTATCATGGTATGGTTGAGGATGCATCGGAAAGTTTTCAGACGTTTCGACGTTAGTCCTGGAGCGATACAGAGTTTCAGCGCTAGTATCGACACGCAGAGGGATAGCATTGTGCAGAAATTTGGCTTCCGTAACTTCCTTTTTAATATCCTCTGCTATCGGAGACACGGCGGGTCGAGACCAAGGAAGACGCGCACCAGTGCTCGCAGGAACAGTTTGATCCGAATAGCTGTATGAATCAACTATCGAATCACTCGTATTTGTTTGCTGCATAACCAGAGTTGCGCCTTTGAATTCGGCATGTTGATCTTTACTGGGAGAAAAGGGGGAAGGAAGAGTCCTGCCCCTTCGCGGTGAAGCGGGGGGAAACTTGGGTGAATTCTGAGAGTGATCTTGTTCCATTTGAGCGAGGCGCTGCTTGACCATCGATCGTTTGCTTAAGTTGGCGATAGAAGTACTGCGAAGAGATTGTGGTGAAGTACAAGGGATTGATAGACTATGAGCAATGATAGGCGGCATTGAGCAAGATAAGACCTCGAGTTCAGGCTGTACATTGAAGAAGTTGTGCGACGTTTCCAGAGGTGTCGCACAAGAGAACAGAGAAGCATCGTCTATATCACATTCACTTGAAGAAGGAAGGGCAGGCAAACTTCTTTCTTCTACAGGCGGAGGGAGAGGTTTAGAGAGATTAGCGATAGGCGTGGTCATGTCATACTCCAATCTGGTTGAGTGAAGCTTTTCCGAATCTTCAAATCTGTAGACGCTTTTTGATTCTTGCATTAAGAGGATCGAATCCCTGTACCATCCCAACGATGTAAGCACTGCTTGACATCCACGATGGAGTCTACTCACCAAATTGTACTAACCCAACTCGCTCTGTCCGTTACGGATGGAACAGCAAACTTTTCCACTGCTCCATCAAAGACGAGTTCGAAGACCCTGGGTTCCCCAGGTAAACACGCAGTAGTGCGCAAAAGCATCAATTCCTCGTCGGGAAGTTCGCACGTAGACAAGGAACGGACGTCGGAGCAGTGCTTCAGCTGTATAGGGAAAATGTTGCAGCAGTTTTGAGGAGTCGAGTAAGCGAGTCGAAGATTTCCGCTTTCGAGTGTCGCGGTGCAAGGAATCCAGATTGTACCAGCTGACTCATTTCGTGAGAGGTATAGGAGGGATCCAGAAAGGCGCGACCCAGATGGTGTAGATTGTAATGGCGTTGAATCACGTAGTTGTCGAGTAGATGTTCCTTTTTTGAACAGGCCCATTACCTTTGAAAGAGATTGTCGGATAGGCGATTTGTCTTTCTTTTGGCGAGAAGGACTGGGAGGTTTACTAAGAGAAGAAGAGGGAGGAGTAGAAGGCATAGTTTGTTGACGTTTTTCACAGATATCAATGAGACGCCTAGCAGAGCCATTGCGTTGATGACCACTGAAGCTCCGCCGCGAGTCTCGCGACCCTAATGGACGTGGCCCCATACTTAGTGACACCAGGGTCAAAGCTGAACATTTCACGATGAAAATGGTCGTGTCACATGATCTTGTCGTGGCCCCGGGCCGGATTCTCCTGGCTCTCCGAAATATATCCCCAATCATGCTTCCTCCTGCTTCCAGTCCTGCTCAGCAGATCTTTATTTTTCCGAAAGCGGTGTAGGAGCTCTTTAAGGTACACCGAGAAACCTCCCAAGCCATATGCTCACTGGCTCAGCCTGTGCTTTTATACTGAGCCCAAACAATGCATTGTAAGTGTTTCTCTATGTTCTCTCTAATATTTCGTCTTACCTCCATCGGAGTCCCTGTTCTTCAGGCGAGCTTAGCTCTCGCTCAAACAGCACCAGACTATGGACAATGCGGTGGCCTAGGATGGGACGGCGCAACGACTTGTGATTCAGGGTAGGGTCCACAAGCAGCTGAAGCGTTTTATCCTAATGTCGAAATATGTTAGTTGGTCCTGCGTGGTATCCAATCCTTATTACTCGCAATGTGTACCAGGCTCTTCTGGATCTTCTGGCTCTTCTGGGACATCTACATCTACATCTACTGCTTCGACGCCTTCCTTGACCGGAATTGCCGCTACAGCGCCAACGACGCCGCCTTCAAAACTTACCGGAATGCTACCGGCTCTGGGGTGCTTACATCGTTACTCATTTAATTGCTTTTCTTACATCCCAAATCGATAGATGGAACCATTGGAATGCATACGGTTGTAGCATCAACGAGACCAAGGTTCTTGCTGCTGCCAATGATTTCATCTCTCTCGGCCTCAAAGATGCTGGCTACGAGTATATCAACATTGATGTATGTATTTCATTCGACATGTGCACGCTCACTGGACTCGTAACATTTATTCATAGGATTGCTGGCCACTCATGCAGCGGGATCCAACAACTATGCAGATTGTACCGGACCCTTCAAAGTTCCCCAACGGAATCAGCGGCGTTGCTACCCAAATTCATGCTCTCGGACTGAAGATGGGCATATACAGCGATGCCGGAACTGCTACTTGTGCAGGATTTCCAGGATCTCTTGGTATGGAAAGTCTCGACGCCGCCACATTCAGTTCTTGGGGTATCGATTACCTGAAATATGGTTCGTGTGGTCCTTGGCTTACTCTGATAACACTTATAACTTGTGTCAGACAATTGCAATGTGCCCGCTAATTGGACAGATAGCTCAGTGAGTTGCATCGAACATATCGGGATGAAACCATTCTCACAGCCTTGAACATCAGACCCCTCAAGACGGTGACTGGTAGTAAGTTCATCACACTTCGAGCAAATCGTATTTTCGATCCTCATGCCTATATCAGCAACTCTAATTCTGCTATCCGCTATCGCCAAATGGGGTGTGTTCACTCGGCCCTTGACTTGCATTGAGGCTAGCTGTTAAAATCTCTCGTTAGGGGGGCCCTCGCTGAACAACCCAACCCTTTCCAATTTGATCTATGCATCTGGGGGGCTGCGAACGTATGGGATTGGGGAGCTCGAGTCGTACGTTGTCTCGCGTTCCTTAAAGTTACAGTCTTTCGTACCTCTTCTAGGGCCATTCTTGGAGAATGTCCGGGGACTCTGCGTTCGTTGTTCTTGACAGTGTTCTTCGAAGTCTATTATTGACGTTTTCCTCCAGCCCGACCTGGCAATACATCACCGAAATCATAGGAATTAACGTACAGCATCTGTCCTCCATCAACTTTTTCTCGCACAACGACATGGACATGATGGAGATAGGTATGAAAAATCCTTCTCATGAGTCCGAATCACCACTAAAACCCGTTGATTCGTCAGGAAATGGAGCGCTCACAATTGAGGAGCAAAGAACTCATTTCGCAGCTTGGGTATTTTTGAAAAGCCCGATTCTTCTGTGAGTGCAAGTGTCTGCAAAAAATTAAATATTTGACTGATCATCGGAGGCAGCGGCACGGATGTGAGTTCGAGGTATTGATTCCGTTCGTAAGAATCGCTGAAACTTCCACCTTGCAGTTGAGCCTCCTCAATAGCACGCAGATTTCCATCATCACCAATTCGGAACTTCTGGCTTTCTCTCAAGATTCAACAGTGGGCACACCGGCTGCTCCATTTAACGCAACCGCGTCCTTACCTACTACCTCTATCCCTGAATACTATTCCGGCGAATCATCAAAAGGAGTGCACGTTTTCATCATCAACACTTCATCCTCCTCCGCAACGAAGTCTTTCGCATTTGCGAATGTTCCTGGGCTTACTGGAAGTGGGCCATTCATCTTGCATGATATGTGGACAGGAACGGATTTGACAGGAACATACTCTCTGAGTTCAACGTTTACTGTGACTGTGGCAAGTCATGATACAGTTGCATATCGCATCACTAGTTCTTAGTTGATATCGACTACTTACTATGAAGAAAGAAATCACAATGTAACATGTAGGTTCAAACAAGGGTGTGTCTAACGCGGATTGTAATAGTCACAATGCTTCTTTCAAAATGCTCATATTCCTGCACCTCCAGTAACTTCTAGGCAGTGGCCACTCACATAAGAAGCAAGAGGTGACGCAAGGCTAAATAAATGGATCAATACTGGGAGGAACTTTTGAAGTAAATAAGACTCACAAAAGCATGCTAGCCGCAGCTTCATCTGCATTCCCTCCTCGTTTTAGCGGAATGAGTGGGTAAGCTTCTCCAGACTGGCGTGCAGCATCCGTGGGCGGTTTGGCTCCAGGAACACCAAGTGCGACTTTCTTGCCGTCGATCTCCATCGTAGCCCCATCTTCCTTGGCCGCGGTCAACCTAGTATGGATTAACCCGAACGCAACGGTATTGGCGCGAACACCGAATGGCCCCCATTCCTTTGCAATAGTTTTGGTCAATCCAATGACAGCTGCCTTAGCAGCAGCGTAATTTGCTTGACCGACGTTGCCGTGTAAGCCAGAAGTTGAAGAGACATTGATTATAGAACGGTTTTCGCGTTGCTCTGGCTATGACAGTGATTGGAAAGGAGACAGCGCCTGAGGGTAGAAATGGACTAACCTTGACACGGAAGTATGGAGCTGCTTGTCGGATAAGCCGGAAAGGTGCTCGGACATGAATTTTCATGATGATATCCCAGGTATCATCAGGTGTAGTGTGAAGCATCTTGTCGAAAGTGAACCCAGCTACAAGAGTCGCTATATTAAGATAGAAAAGTGAAATTAGTGAAGAAAATCGACGGACCATTGTTGACAATGTGATTGATTTTGCCGTATTTCCTAACATGACGGTTCAGGTACTTTGGAAACATATGTGTAAGTTGAGTGACCACGTACGCAACGGTAGCATCCACAATTCGTTTGGGAAAGTCGTCTGCCCCCACGTCGCCTGCTACGGAGATGGATTCACCGCCTGCGGATTTGATTTCTTGCTCTACGGCAGCGAGCTTCTTCGCGTCGATACTACATAAGCATACCGCGTATCTCAGCATAAATCGAACAATGTATAGTCCGCATTCCACTCACTCACTAAGCACGACCTTTGCTCCTTCGTTGGCGAAGATAAGAGCAGCACTACGTCCTATTCCCTACTTTGTATCAGCAAGGTGTTCCATGTATATAAGGAATTGTTATAACCTGGCCAGCACCTGATTGTGGAAGAATTGATTATAGACATGACTTTCCTTAAATCTCAACTCACCAGTGATGATAGCGACTTCACCGGCTAGAAGTCCTCGACCGTATGTATTGGAAAGATGTCCGGACACTTGAGCAAGTCGGTCTGACATGATAGTTGGAAATAAAGGTTGCTATTGACCATCTTTCACATTCAGATTGGCCGTGAAAGGATACGGAGGTTACGGCTATTCCAAAGCCGGAGACATTGGCTCGTGATCAGCCTATCAGCGAATTCAAGCTCGGCCCAAGCTGTCTCCGATTTCTCTTCACAAGTTACAACGCGTCGCGACAACGTCGCGAATCCCGCTCTTCTACCACCAGCTCTAATTAGTCTTCAAACGATTTACTGAAAATCGGAATGCAAGTTTCAAGTTTTTATACGGCGTTCTGCTTGTAGACTCTACCAGGACTCTACGGATCCGTGCCAGAAGGACGTACCTTTCTATGGACAACAACATTCATCATGCGATTCTTATTGTGCCGTCCATGCTCCGTGTCAAGATTAGATTCATTTCATCTCTCGCAGAGGGCGTTGACGTGAAGCAGACGTGAAGCCTCTGGAAACCAACTTGAACTGGAAACAGGTGGAAACGGGGGAAGTTTCTGAGCAGATTGACAGCGGTGAAAACTTGCAGGAAGATTTCTCATTTCTGTTACAGATTAGCCTGCAAAGGTTACTACCTATACCGATAAGTACAAACATAGTTAATCTTAAATCAGACAGGAGCTGCAACCTGCAGGGCTTTGCAGGGTCATGAGCCCGAAATAGCAGCTTATCTCATGACCTGATTCTTTAGCTGGTAAATCAATTAATAAAATATTCAACTTTTCCTTCTTCTCCAATGGCTACCGCGATATCCTCCACATTGTCAGCAGTTCCGTCCATGGTTTCCAGCTCTGCCAGCTCTTCTGATTGCTCTCGGGTCGTCCGCTTTGACGACGAGTGTGTCCTCATTCCAGAGCTGCAACCCATTAAACGGCCCATTATCATCACCAAGAGCTACACCCTGCCTCTGTGGAGGCGAAAGACTTCAGACGACGAGTTATCAGAAGAACCCTCTTCTCCAGTGCTCAGAGTCCCGTTTCCCAAGTCAGTCAGTCTTATCATTGTTTGTAGACCTTCCCCCTCATTGCCTGTCAGTTTCAAGGCGAAAACCTCGAGGTCCTCAAGTCGTGGTCGAGATCCAACAATTCCGCTAAGTCCATGTCTCGTTCACAGATCTCCATCTTCTTCCTGTGCCGAAGGTGTTCCACATCGAAAGTTAGAGCGTCGTCCCTCTTTACCGAGTTCGCCACTATTAGACAATGCAGGAAAGCCGCTTCCAACTATTCCCTTACGCTCCTGTTGTCTAGATTGCGTCTCAATCACGGAAGAATGTCTGAAGGAAGGCGAAGCCTGGATTGAGAAATTCACTCGTGGTGCTCGCAGAAGACGCAGCTCTAGCGGCGAGTCAGACTGCGGGTTCACACCTGTAGCGTCTATGCACCAAGGTCACAAAGATATAGCCGTCGTCAGGCTCGGAAGCTCTGCGTCCATCAATGTTGACGAAGTCGACAAACGGCGCCGGTCGCGCGAAATTGATGCCGTTCCAGACTTTCTAGCAACTTCCCCTTCTTCGCCACCAATCACTCCCCATGTTCCGTCCGCTATAATCGAAGAAGATGAAGACCAACTTTTCCCTCTTCCGTCTCCTCGGCGCAGTCCCAACTCTTCGCCCGCCAACAGTACCTCCGCTTCTCCAATGCCTAGCCCTAATGCGTCTTCCTCGCATCTATCCCCAGCCGCTTCCAGTAACTCTCCCACAATTCCCGAAGAAGGCATACTTGCGAAATCCCTCATGCGTAAAGGCAGGTGCGAGAAGGGTCTATTAACTCCAGAAGCTGATGCAGGACCCACGTTGTCTTCCATCTCTATATCTGTATCGTCGGAGGGTATACCATCACTATCCTTATCAGTATCCCCTGACGCTACATCATCGCCTACATCACCTACGTTTGTTGAATCAGCACGAAATATGTCCTCAGACCTTCCTCCAACCCCAACCTCGCCTCGTCACAGATTTCATTCACAATCCCCTGAACACAGACGGGAATCATTTACCAAAGAACGACGTTCCTCGTTCGGCTCGACAGTGCTGCGAGCTACGGGCGATATAATTAAAGGCGTTAGCTTTAACTCTGGCACCATGCACGGGGGGATGTCAGTCTAACTTTTTCAATTCAGTTGCAAAACCTGCATCATACGGATGATACCTTTCCTACTTTATAACTGTCTGTTATAATTTTCAAGAGTATTGTACTAACCTTATCTTATACCCAGTGCTCCCTCTTTCCTCTCTTCCTCTTTGCGTTTATACTTTGTGGATTATCTTCTCGCATTGTTCTGCTGTTATTCTGTCCTCTGTAACACTGTATATACAACACGAACCAAGATTTCACAGATTGGTCTTGGTGAAATATGTATTTGGCGCATGCACATTACCCAGTGGACAAGAGTGGACCACCGACCATTCAAAATTTCGTACTGGAAGTGATGAAGCATGCATGTATGTTGGCAGGTTGACAAGAAAGGCTCAAATTCATGCTATCTAGTAGTATCGAGGTAAAATTCTTCGAAACTAAATTTGGGAACAAGATGTATTATTGGTAGTAGGTCCTAGCACATACCCTCATAGTGGACATGCAGAACCGGCGGCATCCGTGACGGAAATACTTTCGGTGTACAAACCATGCGCCGTGTAATTGAAATCGACTTTTCTTCCCTTCTAAATCCCATGTTGTTATGGGTCATTCAATGAAGTGATGAAGCAGATCCCGCTTTCCATTCTGGCCGGTTCACACCAAGATTAGGTTCGTTGATAGAAGTATGCAGAATACAACCAGACGTCGCTAATGTTAATGAGTGCTTGAGCCAGGCTTGAGCGCTGAGCGAAGGGATAAGAAAAAGAAGGTCTCATGCGTTGCGCGTCAACGCTGAGCAACTTTCATCCATTAGTATTAATTTTTGTGAGCGCCGGTAAGACTTTAATACTACGACCACCAGATATCGCTGAATTCCCATTCTCCCTTCTACGCACACTTGCCGGGCCTCACGCTCCGAGTCACCATCTCCTTCACTCCTTCGCGAAAACTTCAAACATGTAGCTGGTTCGCTACTTCGAGCTATTATTCTGGACATAGCTCAACAATTTGGTGCGATTGTGATTAGATTCACCGGGATCTTGAAGCGATGGACAGTCACTCATGGCCCCAGGGAAATTCTGTTGAAAACATGCCCTCCACAACTTCTCGAACCTGTGGTTGAACAGCTCAGCTTGTTTTAGAGACCCAGAACGGAAGAATGCGAGGGGTCGAATCGACTTAGCTTGAGCAGCAGACCATCAGCGCCATCTCTTCGCAGTAACACCCATCTAGGCGACGTCGTGGATACGATAGAACTTGATCTATGTAGGTACATCAAATAAGAGAAATGGATTAAACACGGTCATTCATCTGACTTTTGGGTCTGCTGTACCTGTCAATCCGGTTGTGATTCCAGTAAACCAATCCATATTAAAATCCTGTTCATGAAGAATCATAAACAAGCGAGATTATACCGCGGCGGTTTTCTAGCGGTTTCTCTTGCTCCGGGATTAGTGGTCCGGAATACAGTGGGCCCACGGTGTCGAACTTCTGGAATCAATATCGAGCAGACATACAGTAAGCATCGCATTATAAATGCATAGTAAGTCTAAATCACAAATACCATCCTTCGCTCCGTGCGCAAACAATGAGTGAAGGACTTTCAAATGCAGCACGAGTTTTTGCCAATTTTTCAAATATTTGTGGGTCCAGGATTGTAGTCAGTCATTTCGGCAAGCCACCATCATGAGCCTGTATTCCAGCAACATTGCCAGCCGTTTGCTTTGTTCCAAAAATCAGCTGCTACCGTTCCTCTCGCCGAAAAGACGCGTGATCATTTTGCGAATCACTATGCTAGTATTGTGTTTAGAAGCTGGATGTTCCACAAATAAGGATGGGATAGCCGTGGTATGTTCTGATACATCCGGTTAGATGAAATGAAGCTGACAGTGGTATGAGCAGAACGGAGGACGGTGGCATGAGAGAAAAGAACAAAAACTCACTTTGCTCACTCCGCCGTGCGGGGGTCTCCGAGAAAAATGTGGCGCGAGCACAAGGCGGTGGACGAAGGTCAATGACAGCGATCACTTGCGAAGATTTCCAGGAAAGAGCAAAGAGATTACATAAAGGTACGGGGATCATTATTCAGGTGATAATCTATCGTTCTGAATATATTTGCAGCATGTAAAGCGCAAGTTGAACAAGGGTAGGAATTCGGCGGATCCAAGGCGGGCGAGAACTGAGTTAGCCAATTTCGGTCAGGTCAAAACAGGTCAAGAGTTCCAAAGCTCTAGAAATTTTCGAAAAGGCTGGTGGAAGGTGTGGGTGGTAAGCGAGGTTGTACTAACGAGAAGTCGAAGCTGTTTTACCGCTTTTTGGGAGCACAAATACCAAGTGCGATCTTCAAGCTGTTGGGCTCCTTTCTGGGAAGAAACCGATACAATCTGGAGCAGCACGGTGGGTACGCGTTGTAAGTATATCATTTATTGACAGTTAATACCATGGAAGAAGGTACCACTTACGTGTATTGCATTTAGACGAGTCATCGAGAAAGCGAGTGATGTTTAATTTTCAACTCATCAACTTGCTAAATGACCAGAGTAAGGCCTTGGAGCGGTAGAGGGTCCCTGATCATGCTTTCAATACAACGGTTTCATACCATGAACGGTATAAAAGACTAACCTTGGGGGCGTACTTTTGGCAAACCCTATTCCCGGACTACTAATTGACACAGGTCTTTCGCCAATGTGTACATCTCAGGTTACAACTGCTCCGCTTTTCACAACAAATTCAATATCTGTCCCACCCATTGTGGTAAGTGTAGCAACTCGTCGTTCAACGATGTTGAACAATGAGACTGATCAATAGTCTAGGGCAATGGTCCTCCATTCAGACGTTTGTTGTCCGCGAATGAGGCGCTGCGACTTTATGCTGATTGATAACAATTTTCTCCCGTCGTTCTCCTCAGACCCTCCGCTTTCCGAGTGCTCGCACTTGACGAGCATTGATTCGATACTGTCCATTCCTCCGCACACTGTCTCGCTCGGTGTTGAAGGATACAACCAGCAGGCTCTTCGCGCTAAATCCAAAAATGTTCAACATGATGCAGTAACGCAATACATCTGCAATGTCGGATTTGGGGGCACTGGTAAGAGTGATAAACAAGGGGATTATCCTACTCCGCAAGGTCCAGTCGCCAGGACGAAGGAGTCTCTTGGTACCTTGAAGCCAAGATCGGACGTGCAAACAATTTTCGACATGATTCGGAGGTTTCCACTTGACGATTGCGATGAGTTTGCTGAAGATGGTTTTGTCCGTTGGGAAACAATGGTGAGCATTGCTGATATCTCCTGTCCACCGCATCTAATACTCAATGATTTTGTTTCCAGGATAAAAACATAAACACTGAGTATTATATGCAGAGTCAAGGAGGACATCCCACTCAACAGCCCCCATCCCCCGGCTCCTTAGATGCGGTCCTGTCCTGCTGGGAAACTTGTCCTCATTTTTCCTATCATGGGTGCAACCTGGGAATGTTCGGCCCCACCCCTTGCCAAAGAGGTTCTTCGACAATCCCTGATCGCGAGCACGATCTGATTGTGCACCAGCAATGTTACACTTCACCAATAGAAAACAGTTGTTACGCACCGCGTATGAACCACAAAGTCTTGACGCCGGACCCATTGAATATACCCCAGGTTCAGATGAGAGAAGTTGAGGACCTAGATAAGGTAAGAAATAGGTTAGTGACGGGGGTACCAGCAGGGTCGCTACTGTTTTCCACTTAAATTCAATCAACGAATGTTTCAGAATTAATTTTTGAGAATCTGTATGAGGACGGAGAACGTTCGAGTGCCACCAGTGGAGGCTCGAGGAAAGCGATCTTGAATCTTCGTAGAGGAGATGAGAGGAGATAACACCCAGTGAGAACTGGTTCTGGATAGATCTGAGAGATGACAACAAAAGCTGAGGATAAATGAAGCCAGCTGAGAATCCTGGAATCAGTCTGGAACTGGTCCGAAATGACATCACATGTACATCGTATATACGTAACGTACGAAGTTGATTCTTTTCTCAACGCTGATATGGTCCGTCGAAGAGCTTGTCCTTGCAACCGCTGTGAAAACCGAGTAGTAAGCTATGAGACATTTCGACGACATTCTCTCGCTGCTGCTGCCACTGTTCCTGTACAGTCCTTTGCTCAATACCAGTATGGACCATCCGATGCAGGAAGTGAAGGGGATGATGAAGAGGATGGCGAGGAGGAAGAGAACAATACAGTACCCGAAGACATGGTATGTTGTGTTCTACTACACATACAAAGATGAAAATCAACTGATTATCTCAACCTAGGACGTGGATTTGGATGAAATTAATTACATTACCTCCGTATCTACTCAACAAATATCAGGTGCTTCGAGAAACTCTGTAAACGAGCGTGAAAATTCAGGATCGGATTCAGGATCGGACCCAGATGTACACAATCCAGATGGTCGTGACAGGCTCGAGCAGATTGACCATGTTCGCCGCACACATATGCTGGGAGAAGAGTCTGGAAGTGATAATCATAATGAGACCGACGAAGAGAACAACCCGCCACAGCAGGATGATCAGGAAGGACTCGATCCGGTCTCTGCCATCGAACGTATCAGAATAACACAGGAATTTATACGTGAAATTAAAGCCAGTAAATTGGACAACGGAATACTCAGTGAAGATGACCTTTATCGTCTGCGCAGCCCAACTACAGGTCTGGTTGACATATCTGATCCGGATACTCGTCTCTCAATTGATATCTATCTGGCCACATCTTCGGCTTCAGAGGAAGTCTACCATCAGACCCGCACTGCTGTCATCCGTCGCTATCCAGATTCCTCTATTCTCTCACTTTATGAAGTCAAAAAGCTAGTTGCTGAGATCAGTGGTGTAGTTGCAGTCAAGGATGATATGTGTATCAACTCCTGTCATGCCTTCACAGGTCCGTTTACAGACCTCGAAACCTGCAGTGTTTGTGCAGAGCCTCGCTTTAATCCTGTTATACTTGAACAAACTGGTCGAAAGGTCCCTCGCTTACAAGCATGCACATTCTTGCTTGGCCCACAGTTGCAGGCCCTACGAAGGTCGAAAGAAATGGCACTCGAATTGCAGTATGCATACTTGAAAACTGAACAGATCCTCCATGACGAGTCTTCGGCAGAAGATTTTGTGTATGATGACATTTTTTGTGGGTCCGACTTCCTGGATCTTGCGGAAAAAGTGAAGCTCACCCCGCACGACATAATGGTATCACTCTCCGTTGATGGTGCTCAGTTATACCAGAACAAACAATCCGATACTTGGTTTGGTATGTGGAAAGTCGAAAATTTCAAGCCTTCACTTCGGTTCAAACAGAGATGCGTACTCCCAATGTTCATCATTCCTGGGCCAAATAAGCCTAAAATCATCGACTCATTCACTTTCCGGAGCTTACAGCATCTCTCGGCACTTCAAAAAGAGAATAACGGGAAAGGTTTGGCAATGTGGGATGCTATCACGGACACTATAATCTACGCACGCATTTTGTTCCTACTAGCAATGGCAGATGCAGTGGGATTGGTTGACCTCGATGGCCGTGCTACCCATCATTGTGTTCATGCATGTCGGATCGGATGCCCAATGAAAGGACGCCACAAACCCGGAACTCCTCATTACAATCAAGTCCATCTTCGGCCAAATGGTCCCTTACCTCCTGAGTGTGCTCACGGTGATGTCGATATACGAAACCTTGAACGTCCATCTGTTCAGCAATACTATGAAGATTTAGATAAGGTCATCCAATCTCCAGGGCCCACCGCATACGAAGCCAACCGTAAGGCGACTGGGATCAGTAAACCCTCCATCCTCCTAGGCCTTTCACAAGATCTCATGATCCCTGTTCCACGATGTTTCTCTGTTGATCATATGCATCACCTAGGGCTCAATTTCGGAGAGTTAGTAATCTCATTGTGGAGAGGAAAACTTGATTGTGGGAGAACGGATGATAAAAGTACATGGACTTGGGCTACTCTTACAGGAGAGACCTGGGAAGAGCATGGGAAACTGGTCGCCAATGCACGCAAATACTTTCCGTCATCATTCCATCGTCCTCCCCGTAACCCTGCTGAGAAAATCCACAGTGGATTTAAGGCAACGGAATACTTCCTCTACATATTCGGCCTTGGTCCAGGTTTTTTTCGCGCAGTTCTTCCGCGAGAGAATTGGATAAGTCTTTGCAAGGGACTACATGGAGCACGTTCCATGTTACAGCGCTCAATAACTGGGAGAGAAGCTCAAGAAGCCCGTGTACAACTCATTCAATTTGTGGAGGAATATGAAGCCATGTACTACCAGCGCCGCGTAGATCGCATGCATTTTTGCCGTCCCTGCATTCATACTCTTGTACATCTTCCATCAGAGATGATTAGAATTGGCCCAGGAGCAGTCAGTTCTCAGTATACTCTGGAGCGCCTGATTGGTGATCTAGGCCAGTCAATCCGTCAACCTTCGAATCCTTTCTCCAATCTTGCTCAGCAGGCTCTGACCCGGTGCCGTATCAATGCACTGAAGAATATGTGTCCAGAGTTAGACCCAAAATCAATACCACATCAGCCAAGGGGTTCATTGGATATGGGTAATGGTTATCTCCTTCTACGTCCAAGAAAGCGTTGGCCATCTGTACTGCTCTCACCAGAGATAGATGCTTTCGAAAAAGCTGGATTGTTCATAAATCATATCCGTAAGTGGGGTCGGTTATGCTTGCCGAATGGACAAGTCGCACGCAGTCTGTATAATGAAAGCAACAAGACTCGAGCTGACATTAGAGTGACTCGGAATGTCAAAGTAAGTTCAAATACATTGTGTTTTTTTTATACTTAATAATATTAGGTCCATGTGGATGGTGTCAAAACATATGCTGAGGTTCAGTACTATTTTCTGTATGCATTAGATCCAGAACAACCAGACAAACTCACAGCATATGCCCTGGTATCCCTATACTCCGATCCTTTGAATGATCTTCTTGTCGAATCCCACAATGAATTATGGGCTTGCTTCTACCAGGGAGACTCCAGTCTCTGTGTCATCAACACACAGAATATCTTATCTACTGTATCGATGCAGCCGCTTCCTCAAATTCCAGGAGATCCGGAGGGCCTTTGGTTTGTAGTTGAAAAGACTGGTATTGATGATTCTGAGATCGTTGGAGGGGATGAACTTGGTGGTGTTTTTGATAGTTAAACTGTTGAGCATCGGCTGGGAATATATCTAACTGAATGAAATATGTAGAGGTACTACAGTCAAACTAAAGCTGAGTTCACCCAAGCAGCGAGAATGCGTGGGAAATATCACTTATGACAGAATCGACAAACCTGTCTTGTTGCCTTGTTTTCGCCACCATCACCCATGTATTCTTCTTATAATGCCCAACATAACTCTTCCTCTGGGTACTTTCAAGATACCGGGCAGAATATGAACAACTATTTACAAGCAATATCTGTTGCCGACCATGATGTCCTCTATCAGGCCCGTAATATTGCATACATGTCACTTGATAGAAAATGCATACAGCTTGAGGCTGAATTAGCAGCGGAAAAGTATGTTCCCAATTTCACCTCTTTCAGCTAACAGCTGATATATACTCAAGGAGATTGAATGAACGATTACTATCTCAAATTTCAAATGCTCAAGTTCTGCCTGTAGCGAGCGTGAACACATCCAGTGCGAACTCACAGGCTGTCATCAGTTCCCTCGAAACACCTCCTTCGATTCCCTTCTTTGAACATGATGATCACCCCAAGGTGATGTACTGGACGGATACCCAGTGGAAGGCTCACTGTGAAACCCAGGCGAATCGAGGCATCAAAGTTCCGACTCTGGATCTACTCACTGATGGACAAGGAGTCAAGCTCAACACGCAGGCATTGAAATCTATCTCCCAGACATTCATGGCAGCTATGAATCAAATCCACCACCATCGTCTTGCCCCTCCGAATTCCACCAATCTCGCTGTCGAATCTAGGCGTTATCTTACAAATACTTTGCTCAGTGCTCATGAAGAATTCCGATATGCGGAAGATGCCTGGAAAGTACGGCGTTACATTATTCACAAATATCCGGACTGGAATGCAAAGGACAAGACAAGGCTGACTCGTGCGCTATATGCTCTCATATATGGTTCTATACTTGACATATATTTTACAGGTGCAAATCCATCGATTGACAACGCAAGTAAACGGAAGGGATTTGAAATTTCAAGGATAGAACGGAGTAAGAAACGGAAGAAGACAGCGCCTCCACCAGGAACGACCTTTATCAATCTTGACAGTGATGACTTGTCTTCGTCGTCTACCACTACCATCAACGCATCAAGCAACAGCTCGCCTCCACCCTCTACCACTACTGTCAACGCACCAAGCAACAGCTCGCCTCCACTGTCTACCACTACCAACACTCCGGATGAGTGTCCACCTTCGTCGTCTTCCACTACTGTCAACGCACCAAGCAATGGCTCGCCTCTGCCATCTACCACTACCAACACTCCGGATGAATGTCCACTTTCATCGTCTACCACTACCATCAACGCACCAAGCAACGGCTCGCCTCCACTGTCTACCACTACAGTCAACACTTCCATTAACGGCGCCGTTTCAGCTATTTCCTCCCCAGTCACCGTAACTCCACATGAGACAGCTGTTGTCTCCACGCAGATTCGTGATACCCGACGACGCGTACGTCCTACATCTTTTTGCTTGATGTTCTTACTCTGATGGCAGATTCTACTTCAACAGGGTAATCCCTTGTAAGCCGTTCTATGACACCTACTAGCTTCTGACATTGCTGACTGCATGCACATAGAACCGGACTGAATATTCCATCAACAATTGCTCCTCTGCATTCCGACCCGAGCTTGTCAACTCCCGCGTCGGCGTCGGCACCTCCCATGACTGGTATACAACAGAAGTTGGCATCAGTGTCAACAACAACGTTTAGCGCAAGGTAAATCTATTCTCTTTGATTAATCTCATATTCTATTCATCATTTGTCTCCTAAGGAACATGTTTCTCGAAACGTACTTAGCGGATCCATCAAACCCACGTCTATCCACCAATGAATTCAAGCTCCTGTGGGACAAGAAGAAGAACGATAAGGAACTTGTTAAGGTGAGTTCCCTATTTCCTGCTCTATTCCCACTGTGAGCTCACCATCGTGTGTCGTGAATGCGCGCTTCCAGAAATACACAGACATTGGAAAGCAACGCAAGGCGGCCAGCGGAACCCGTACCAAGGAACCGACGGATGGTTAAAACAGTACGTGGATCAAATCGCATAAAAGTGCCCTACCTAATATCATCATCTTCATGTTTCTCAGCTTCTCCGACCTTTACTCGACATATTCGGCAGCTGTTCTCGCGTTCGCTTCTCGACTTTTCTCAATTGCTTGACTCAAGCCTAGGGTTCTTGCTCTCTCTCTCTCTTACATTGGCCTGAGATGGACATAAGTAATGTAACATCATTGCGACTCGATTACATCTGGATATTTCTACAGTAATTTCAGATGTATCCAGATATCTGTACCTGTAACTACCCCCAATTCAGATCCATATTTACCTAGAAATACCCTGTTAACACCGGATATGACCAGCTGTCACCCGAAATTCATCTGGAAAGGCACAAAAATCTGGAAGAATCCGGGAATATATGATGTCTTCCGATTAGTTCTGAATCTGAAAGTATTCCAGCTACGTCCTGTTCGTTCCATATTTTTCCGGATCGATCCAGTGTAGGTTTTGACTGGGGATAACAACTTGAAGGCGTGGGAGTGCCGATGCAAAGTTTCAACATTGCTCATCATGGAAGACCGAAGATAACTATTTTAGGACACGCTTTATGTGTTCAACGGTATATCTTGCCTATTTCTCCATGCACCGAGATGCGGCTTTTACCTCCAATGACTACTGCTCATAATCATCAGTGAAAGTACCGCTGTTCTGCATTACGGACCCTGCTTTCGAGAGTCAGGTCAGCTTTCTGTTCTGGCCGTTTCACACCAAGATCAAGTAGGTTCGTTGATAGGTGTATGCAGAATGCAACTAGATGCCGCTGATCTTAATGAGTGTTTGAACACTGAGTGAAGAGATAAGGAAAAAAAACCAATGACTTGATTGATATTCTTATGGCCACGCAAGAACAACTTTCTGATCAATGTGAGTTGAACTATGTAATCCACTCTATTATAACTCATATCCCTGACTAGCCACTTCGGATTCGACCCCCCCGACAATTCTCCTCAGGTCGATTCTCAGAGGTCTCATACGTTACATGTCAACGTTGAGCAACTTCCATCCAATGATTTTTGTGAGCGCCAGTCAAGTCTCGCTTTGACCATCAGATATCGCTGAATCCATTCTTCCTTCTACGCACACTTCCTGGTCTTCACGCTCACAATCTCTTTCACCCCTTCGCAAAAACTCCAAATATGTAGCTAGTTCGCTACTTTGAACTATTATTCTGGACATAGCTCAACGATTCGGCGCGATTGTGATTAGATTCACCGGGATCTTGGAACAATGGATGGCGCTCATTGCCCTAGGAGGGAAACCCTATCAAAAGCATGCCTTCCACAACTTCTCGAGCTTGTGGTTGGACAACAAAGCTTGTTTCAGAGACCCAGAACGGAAGAATGCGAGGGATCGAATCGACGTAGTTTGAGCAGCAGACAGCAGCACCATCTTCACAGTAACACCCATCTAGGCGACGTCGTGGATACGATAGAACTTGATCTATGTAGGTACATCAAATAAGAGAAATGGATTAAACACGGTCATTCATCTGACTTTTGGAGTTTGCTTTACCTGTCAATCTGGCTGTGAATCCAGTAGACCAATTCCATGATATTATACCGCGGCGGTTTCCTAGCGGTTTCTCTTGCTTAGAGATCCGGTATTAGTGGTGCGAAATACAGCGGGCCCACGGTGTCGAACTTCTGGAATCAATCTCGAGCAGACATAAGCATCGCATTAAAATATTAATGCTCAAGTCTAAATCACCAATATAGCAAAGTACCGTCCTTCCACGCTCCATGCGCAAACAATGAGTGAAGGACTTTCGGATGCAGCATGAGTTTTTGTCCATTTGTCAAACATTTGTGGGTCCAGGAGTAGTCAGTCATTTGGCATCATGAGGCTAGCAACATTGCCAGCCGCTGTTTGCTTTGTTCCAAAAATCAGCTGCTATTGTCCGTCCTCGCCGAAAGGACGATTCATTGTTTCGCAAATCACCACATCAGTTAACGTTTAGAAACTGGATGTTCCACAAATTGAGGATGGGATAAACGTAGGATGTTCGGAAACATCCAGCTAGATAAATTAAAGCTGACAGTGGTATGAGCAGAACAGAGGACGGTGGCATGAGAGAAAAGAACAAAAAATGACTTTGCTCACTCTGCCGTGCGGGGGTCTCCGAGAAAAAATGTGGCGCGAACACAAGGCCGTGGACGAAGGATAACGACGGCGATCACTTTCGAAGATTTCTAGGAAAGAGCAAAAAGATTACACACAGGTACGGGGATCATTCTTCAGGTGATAATCTATCGTTCTGAATATATTTGCAGCATGTAAAGCGCAAGTTGAACAAGGTCAGGCATTCGGCGGATCCAAGGCGAGCGAGAGCTGAGCTAGCCAATTTCAGTCAGGCCAAAACAGGTCAAAAGTTACACAGCGCCAGAAGGTTTTGAAAGGGCTGGTGGAAAAAGATGGGCGGTAAGCGAGGATGTAACAAGAGGTCAAAGCGGTTTCCCCAATCTTTGGGACAACAAATACCAAGTACGATCTTCAAGCTGTTAAGTTCCTTTCTAAGGAAACCGATATGATCTGGAGCAGCAGCACGATGAATACGCATTGTAAGTATATTATTTCTTGACAGATGATACTATGAACAAGAGGTACTGACGTGTATTGCATTTCGACGAGTCATCGAGCAAGGGTGTGATGTTGGATTCTCAACTCTTCAACTTGCTAGATAACCAGTCTGAGGCCTTGGAGCGATAGAGGGTCCCTAATCATGCCTTCAATACAACAATTCCATACCATGAACAGTATAAAAGACAAACCTTGATGGCGTATTTTTGGCAAATCCTGTTGAATCCTATTCCTGGACATCATCTTCTCGTTCGACACAGCAATGGTTTCATCTCAAGTTAGATTTGCTTTGCTTTTCACAACGGCTAGCTCCATAATTACCCAACCTATCACAGTAAGTGTGGCAACTCTTCGTTCGACGATGTCGAAGATTAAGACTGACCAATATTCCAGGGCAAGGGTCCTCATTCAGGACACATGGTGTTCACACCCGAGGGGCCGACAGCGCTACCGCTGCTGTTCATGCCGCATGATGATGATTCGCTGTCTCCAATCTCCTCGGGCCCTCTTTCACCACTTTTTAGGTGCTCGCACCTGATGAGTTTTGATCTCATACCATCTACCCCTCCACCCACCGTCTCGCTCGGTCTTGAAGCATCCTACTACCTGCAGGCTCTTCAAGATAATTTTGAAGATGTTTGACATGATACAGTTACACCATGCCTTGTCGGATCTGCAGATACTGGAAAAGGTCAAGAACGGGAGCATTATCCCACTTTCAACAATCTAGTCGCGAGGATGAGGGAATCTCCTGGTACTTTGAATGCAGCATCAGACCTACAAACAATTGCCTGTGACATGGCAAGGTTTGCACTCGATGAGTGCGACGAGTCTTTTGAGAATGTTTTTGTCCATTGCGAAACAATGGTGAGTAATACTGATATCTCCTGTCCACCACATCGAATACTCAATGATTTTGTTTCCAGGATAAAAACACAACCATTAAGTATTACATGCAGGGTCAGGGAGGACATCCTCAACAGTACCTATATCCAGATATTGCCCTGTCTTGCTGGGGAACCGGTACTGAGTTTTCCTATCACATGTGCGACCGGAGCACGGTCGACCTCGCCCATTTCCAGTGTGGTTCCTTGGCAATCCCTCATCGCAAGCACGACCCGATTGTGAACCAGCGTTCTCGACAACATTACGCTTCGTGGACTGTCAACGACATACCCAACAAAGTCTCGACGCCGGAACGGACGGATTCACCACAGGTTTGATTCAGGAAAGTCGAGGACCTGGTAACAACAGATCATAAGTTAGCATGGGAGACGGGGATACCGGCAGATTCGTTACTGTTTTCCGTCGTTTGAGTTCAATTTACACTTCGCCAACATGTTCCAGGTTTATCATTGCTTGCATTTATGAGAACGGAGAATATTCGAGCGATAGTGAAGGCTCGAGGAAAGCAACGACTTGGATAATCGTAGAGGAGATGAGATGAGATGAGATAACAACCAGAAGGCGTGGGAGTACTGCACAAAGTTCCAAAATGTTTTGTTAATGTTATGCAAAGTTTCGACATTGCTCATCATGGAAGATCGATGATTACTATCTTTGGACACGCTTCAAGTTTTCGAGTTTATTCCCTTTCTGCATCGATATGTCAGGCAGCTTTTACCTTCAATGACTGCTCCTCATGGTTGAGATTCAAATCCTACTTTCGTGGAGTCAGTCTCAGATTTCCATTTTCTGTTCGCGAGGACTCTGTCTGTGCTTCAAGTTCGTCCTTAGTTCTCCTATATCGTCACCACTAGCTACAGACCATGACCCAAGCCTTTCAACTCGTACATCCAATCTGTCCCCTCTTCCACGGAGCAACGCTTCTCATTGACTAAATCCCAGAGCTTTTTCAGCTTTTGTCTTATCATGCGACAGAGCGTGTTTGTGTGCACTGTGATGACATTTGATGGAGGAGGATGGAGGCTGCATACGCAGAAAATACAGGAAATACGTACAAAGACTAGGACTATTGGGCTAGAACTCAATGGACACTTTGCTGCTCGGCCTGGTACCGCTTGCAGCTTCTATATTCAATATTTCCTTTCTTGTTGAATACATCGCAGGGAGCCGTCTGGTGAGAGGAGGTGGACGGTGTAATAGCCATAAAACCTGGGTGCCTAGGTCTTCACAACGCCTAATAACAATTTGCATGAGCTCTAGATGGAGAGAGATGGAGAGTTGGAATGAATAAAGATCCCCTCGTAGTGAATTCGACAAGCCGTTTGAAGTTACAGTGCTCCGTGAGTTCTGTCAAGACTTCTGCATTGGCCTTGTTGTGCGCCAGATTTATAGATTGCTATTCAACCGAGGAATTAACTCAGCGGTATAGTGGATGTCGATGAAGAGTCATTCTTCAGAGTGTACAAGTTGCTGCCGGTGTAGACCCCACTACGCGGCTAAGGGTTGAAACAACATCTTGTCTCTGCTTCAGAGCTCTTATTTTGAAGCCAGCACTACAATTGTAAGTGTGTCATCCTTGAAGGCGGGCCATCGATGACAGGCGACAAAACCCACGGAAATTCAGGACAGGACTCAGCTTATGACTCGGATTGCTTGGATTGAGGATGCTGTGATGTAGACTGATGTAGAGAGCTATTGACATTCAAGTTGAGGGATCAACAAGACTAGGATAGTGGATCATCTGAATGCTGAAATATCTGCAGAAACTTGTACATACTGAAAGTGCAAATAAGCAACCAGAAAAATTCAGGGCTGCTGAAGTTTTCTGAGTGAGCTTATGTCTTGCCATCCATTTCCGCGAGAAGTTTCAGCAGTTGAAAATAGAAGGTCGGTCAATATTTGGGATCTCGTCCCTCAAGCAAATGTGGTACAATCGATACTGCTCAGGAAAGTGTATTACACTCTCAAGTCCTTGACCTAGAAAACCCTGTCAGGACTCTTTGAAAATATCACAACACCCAGTCGGGCGCATCGTCGAGAATGCACCACAGATAACACACCGGTACCGGAAAGAGATTATATGAGAGCAGAACTTGTACAAGCCATGAGAAAATTGAATGCAAGCAAGGTTCGTGCCCCGCTAGTTTGAATTTTTCCTTCGTGAATTGCCATGAACGTCTGCAAATAATTACCACGGAGTCGGATTCTGCCGCGATTTCGACGCTGTACCTTCTGTAACCGGCCCCAATTGTCCATGATATTATAGTCACTATCCTATATTTCTTACTCTGCTCGCACTCGATCCTACGCTGTAATGCAAGCAACTTTTGACGCGTATTCCCTGAAGCGTGAGTCAAGTCTTTTGACCGCGATCTCTTTTTGTCAAGACGCGTCTCTAGCTTTCACCAGAGCCCTTGCTTGCTTATCCAGATATGGTGAAGAACTCTGCATATATGCCTCCTCTGAAACTTTATCGCTCTTCTGCACCAACTCGTCTAAATCCGCATACTGTCGCTTCAAATTTAATAAGGAATTCTTTTCGAAATATCGGGTGGGAGACCCAACAAAAGGGGTTCAAGACGGCGTCGTGGGACAGCTCATGGCGAAGGTTCGAGGAGAGAGTGCATCTGTCCAACTGAAATAGCTGACATACGACGTGATTAGTCTCTGCTTTCAATCCTGAAACACAAAACAGTAGAGTCGACGTTGGAAAGATGCGAGATCTCAATCGTAGAGGGAGTTTCTGCCGAAGAAGCTGCTGATGAAACTCAGGATGGGCTCGAGAGCAAACTTGTTGTCCGATTGCACTGCAAACATAGTACGATACTTCGAGCGTGTCTTCTGGGCTTCTCATCATACTTTATCCAGGTGTAATCAAAACACACAAGCTACTCTTACTAGGTTCTACGACTCTCATGGCTCCCGGGATACCCGATTCTTCGAATGAAACACTACTGAGGATTGGCCCTAGAGCAATCCGAGATATGATTGAGCAGTTTTCACTTCCTAAAGGCGCAAAATCCGACCCTCAGTTAATCTGGACTTTTGGAGAGACAGATGTGGAAGTCAGAAGCCTTGAATCGTCGATTGACACCAGAAGTATGGCTCTCGACCCTTCTATACTTATCACACTGACTCTGTGTAGGTAGAGCGCAACTTGCCACAGAATTGACTATAAGCGCGGATGAATTCGATTTATATAATCTTTACGAGGCTCCCACAACTATAACATTTCACCTTCGAGAATTCAACGTATGTGAACGATGTTCTTTTGCTATTCCTGCTACTCAATGAAAACCTCCCAGGCTACAATTACATTTGCAGAGATATGTGGATTGGGCCTAGATATCCGATTTACCGACTCAGCAGAACCTCTCTTTATTGACGTAGAGGGCGATAATTTTGAAACCCTGTTCGTCATCTCAACCAGCCAGCCTCCCGGCTCTGCTGCCCAGGCTCGTCTAGCGTCGACTGGTCCTAGAAAACGTCTACGAGAGGACACGCCCACCGACTCGTCTAGATTCAAAAAACCAATGAAGGTGGTACAGTCCACGACTGATCGCATGTCTATTGCTCGCGATACTGCCCCCGCTAGTAACCGCCTTTCTTCATCAAGGCAAATGCCCCCTCCAGCTACTCCAGTCACACCTTCACCGGGTCATCAACACTCAAGCCATCACACTTTGCATGCACCTCAAATCTCTGCCTCAGTTGCTCCTAAATTATCACAAGAACTTCCGCTCTTTCTTCCTGGATCATCCCAGCTTTCTATTCTGGACGAGGTAGCACTTCGGGAATCAGGTTTAGGAATAGAGCATATGAGTGCAGAAGAATTCAACGATATGTTCGAGGCACATGGGGAGGAAGTGAACATTGAAGAAGTGCCGCCCAATCCGAACTCTACAGCACAAACTGACAGAATTGGGGGAGGTCTCGAAGAAGATGCGATGTTTACTCCGACTCAAACCGGGGATACATTGTCAAATGACGAGCCTCGAGTGAGTTTCCTTGGAAATTGTGCAATGTGTCTTGTTCTTAACGTTTACCCAGGCGTTCTATCCGCTTTTCGAAGATTAATCACGAACCCAATCTCTGGATAACAATTCGTGTATACATTACATTCAGGCATACAATCTAGGACAGCTTGTATGTACATTTGTGGTTTATCATATGTGTTAGGTCGTCACTGACAGAAGGATTTCCGCAGTAACAAAATGTTGCAGCCAATCGAAGAACTTTATGAACGACCATTTACTATTGTCCAAATCAACAATCTCTTCGTCAACGAGTCTCTGCTGTAGTAGTTCTCTCAAATCAGACCGTTGGTCGGGATTCAACATGAGCACTAGTGTCTGTGGCTCTTGGCTCGTGGATAACGTGGATTGTATTAGGTGCAATGGGGCGAGGCCTAAATCGCGTATAGATTCCGACACAACTCGGAGGATTTCGGAGGGATTGAAAACCATATCCATCAGCACTATCTCTTCTAATGATGGAAACAAGACATAGATTTTGTTGAGTTTCAATGGCGCGAAAGCGGATCCACACAAGGAGAACGAACGGAGGTGGGGAAGATCATAAGGTGCATCCAGAAATGGATCGAGGTCAGAATCTTGAGCCCCTTCTAAAATGAGAGATTGTAAAAGTGGAGCCTTGACGGTAAGAAGAATACCACTGTACACCTGGCCATGTAGGCTGGAGATACCGAGGCGCAGGAGCTTCGGAAGGACAATGACCGTACGTGTATGGTTGCGAGGCATGGATTCGATAACTACCCCATTGATGGAGAAATTTTCTAGTGATCGAGCTTTCGTCAGTAATTCTCTGAACTCGTCGTAGTTAAGCGGAAGATGCCCTCGATAGTCAAGATGGAGGCGAGTGACGCTGGATAACGGGGGTCGAGCAAAATGCAAGGCGAACCCACGGAGAGTTGCCTGCTTCAATCTGGGACAGCCTCCGTTCAAAACAGGCCGGCCTTGCCATATTTCGCCGAATCGTCTAGCTCTGTCTGGAGCTCTGACGACGAATTCAACTCGCTCCAGGTTAGGAGCAGCAATAGGAACTATCTGGTTCATAGTCCAGCTGTCCAACCCGGCCTCGATTATGCAACTCCGCCAACGAATCGAATCCTGAAACAACGCGGACAATATGTTGGTTGTAATCGATGTTTCCGGGCAATCACGAAGCTGGATGTCGAGGAGGCATTGTTTCGAACGAGAAAAGTAAGCCTCGACACTCTCGGAGGAATACCCGGGCTGGACAACGAAATCCGTCCACAACTGGCCTGTGTTAAGTGCCACAGATCGCCACCGCGCGTTTACATGGGACACTCGGACCTCGAAGGGTGATGACGGTCCTGTAAACTCTTCTTCATCAAGGATTTCCATTTCACGCTCTAAACGCTCGATGGCTTGGCCGATGAGAAATATAGCAGAGTGTAACTCTACTGGCAAATTGCCCACAGGACAATCAAACGGTGAGGTTGAAGGTGTATCTCGTTCCATTAGTCGAACTGGAACTGCAAACATGAAAGATAAGTGGCTAAAAACTGTAGTGAAATGTGCATCTATATAGGATAAAATAGAAGGATTCGATTCTCAGAAAACCCATGCCCACGCACGCCAGGTTGTTTGTAGCTTTATCCGCGCTTATTCCCCGTAGTGATTACTTACCAACGATGTCTTGTCAGTTAAACCCTATAACTTTAAGTGAAGGGAAGTCCATTATCTTCCTTTGGGAATGCTTTATGTATGAGCCCTTGATTCGAGCGTGTCATACTTACTAGTTCTGGACATAGCTCGTACTAAATCGTACGCTCACAGTAAGTGAACATCCATAATCTGTGCATCCATTGCTTATTGTATTGGAGAACAGTTTTAGTTTAATCGCAGTACAAGTACAATTCATGTGGTTACGGGCAGGTAAAGTTAAAGTGAAGTAAATATTCGTATTACTTGCGGTGGAGTCCCTGTGTGAGTTGGATCTATGCAAATATCAGGCTGAGCACTACATCATAAAAATTACACAAGCCGCTCAAATACTCACCTCCGCGGAGGTGATGGTTCTTAATTCACCAGGAACACTGACCCCTCCGGTGACAGCGTTAATTCCAGTTTCCAATGCGCGTCCGACAGTGCCTTTGGTAGCGATCCAGTATCGAATTTCGTCCGGGACAACTTCGATAATGGCTACTCGTGGATCATTTTCATCGCCTTTGTGGACACCGTCTTTCAGATCTCCAAACCAAGCAGACAATCTAAAGGAATCAGTGAATACGATACATTGGTTGCATGCATGAAGCAAACGCACCCAGAATGCCAGTGTCGTTTGATGAGCTCTTTGTCTTGGGAGATCTAGATACAATAAAAAAACCAATGAGGATGACAGACACGCTCATGTACAGCAGTTACAGATACCTTGGCTATACCAGCGTACCTACGAGTTAAAAATTCAGTTGAATGACGACGGTCAAGCGTGAATTTGACATACGATGCCCAACTGGTGGTCTTTGCATTATTAAAACTGACATTGACGTGTGCATCGTTCTCAATTTCATCGAACTTTTGCGAGGCATTGTTTGCGAAAAAGATCAAAGACGTCTGCGTATCACTTTGAACTGTATAGAAGCATTCAAAACTGTCATAATCGATGAAGTTGTGAAGCGAGACGAACGGGCAGTTGGAACCATGGCTCGAGAATGCATTTGTCCGTTGGAAGCGCGCGTTGTGAGCATGCCGATCTCCACCGATTTTATAATTTCATGCAGGTCTACCACATTTTTAGACATCTTCAAGGGAAAAGAGCTTCTTCAGCAAACCTTTGATTTTCTCATGCGGAGAAGCATTGTTATTTTCTGCTTTGGAAACGTAAGGATCAAGATTTGGTTGAGCTGTGGAAGTCATTATGTTGGGTGGTAGAAAGAAAAGAAAAGAACGACGGACACCCAGGGAGCCCTTTATAAAGGAATCCAGGACGTAAGAAGGGTCATCGTGAAGCTATGATGATGTCACTAATGCCAACTGTGACTAGTGACTAGTGACCTAGTGACCTCGCATCCCAATGAAATGCCATTACCCTTTTTGATAACTGCTCGCGAGACCTCTTCATTAGCTTGTTTAATAAGCCTATGCTCATAGTAAAGCAGATTGAATTAGCGATAGGTAGCAGATTTTGTTTACAGTATGTGCACTGGCCCTTGCAGGTATAGATAGCATCGAAACTGCTCTATGAACAGTTACTGGCTCAGATAGACGTCTAAAAGTAAACAGTGTGGGCTTGGCCAAAAGTATTAGATGAAACGGGCAACCTATATCAATGCTGTACGTTGAGTGGGGTAGAAAATCGTTGTATATCAAGTTATAAAGCTGGCGCTGGTGATTGTGGGGACATTGGCGCAGGTACTGCCAGGCACGAATGAGCATATGATATGATATGCATACGATTCAAGTTAAACACTTACGTGGTGGCCGTTGTCCCTCAGCGAATACTCTTGATAAAAGAACACCGACTCCTTCAAATACACCAAGAAGAATACCACACGCTACAGCTGAACCCAGTGCAGATCTTGGACCGCCTGGAAATAGATTAGAAATCAAGGTCTTAAACGAGCACGACAGTAAAATCTGCCTACTTCGGGCTGCCAAACATCCACCAGTCTATGTCGCATGTACAAGTGTCAGCTTTATTTTCTTGTAAAAGCAGTGAATTCGACTTGCTAGAAAACCGCTGGCAATCGCATTGAATGCGTCTTCTTTCTGTCTGATGCCTTTAATTGCACAATCAAACGTAGAAAACATCCCTCCCCATATTCCGAAATTACCGCCCGTCACTGGTGCGCGAGCTTTCATGGAAGATATTGCGCCAACAAAACGTTCCCCCTGAAATTCGAGAGACGGTAAGAGACAGCAGGGAAGGAAAGTAAGCATGGTAAGACGTACCCTCGGAGAATTTCGTGCACCCTTAATGCTGTACCATATTCCTCCACCTACAGCTCCCATAGCAAAGGCACCGCCAAAGTCATTCAGAATTACCCAAGGGCTGGCTGAATATCAGTCGCAGTAACAAGAAAGCTGAAGAAACTTGCCAGGGATCTCTAGTGTGATCTGCAGAAGCCATTAGGAGATATTAGACCTTGTTGTTTTTGGTTTTGATACGATACTGAAAGAGTCGACAAAAATCTTCGGACCTGCTTTTTTGGTTGCAAGAATCAAGAAGAGAGTATGCTGGATTTAGAGTATATCAAGGAGTACAGGGCGTTGAGCTGGAGTATATGGTGTGGGAAGGCGAAGCCAAGTCTTCTAAGTGTGGAATTTGGCGAGGACGGTGTAGGAAGAACTCGACCGGGGAGACCAAAATCCGGCATCAAAGCGGCAAATTTTCGAAATGTCCCACAGCCATGTGCCTGCTCCACGTGATGGTAACAACGATCCTCAACCAATGCAAGTCGCGTCTCAATTTCCAACCACTATCATGTCGACGACCCCATCATCATCCATGCCTGTCTCATCCGTACGGCGGTTCAAACAAGTTTACGTCGAAATACCGCCTTCCCCGCTTCATACTTCTCGTCGCCTTTCAATTCCATCGGTACCTTCTCGTCTGTTCTCCAGTAATGTTAATCGTCACAAAGGAAACACGCCTGTGCAGCATTCCATCAGCAAACATGCGGCTATTCCTTCGCAAAAACGTAAAGGCGGATCATCGTCCTTACAACTGCCAATCAAGAAACCCCGAATTGAACATATGAATGAAGTTGGTCGGGGGATAGAGACGGAATTGCTCATTCGGTGTCATGATTGTAGAGCAAAGCGCCACCCATCGGGCGAGTACAATATAACAATATCAAGTTCAAGCCCTCATCATAATATCTCATTGTAGAAATCATTCAATGCACCTCCCTCTATCAAATTCCCTACAAGATCCCGGTCACTCGTCGTTGTAGGACTAATTATTGTCGAAACTGCCTCAAGAACAAATACAATGAAGACTTCCATCGAGTATCTTCTGCTGCTTCCGCACAGAAAGAGAACGGTGAAACTGGAAATGCGTACATGTTCAAGTAAGACTTAATGTTCCTCATGTCGAAAGCATGCGCTAAGTACAATCAATTTCAGATGTCCTAAATGCCGTGGACACTGCAATTGCTGGAATTGTAGGCATAAAGCTGCCCCGAAGTCAGCACCAGCGTAAGTATCGGCGCATATATGCAATCTCAATCTGAGCTTATCTTATGATTCAGGTTTCCCCAGGCCAATGTCCCTCCGGAACCGGCTCTTGCGACGGTCAACGATCTTGGTAGTGCCGCGGCATCGAAAGGCAAAGCGCACAAAGTAAAGCTTGCTCCCAACGTCACTTGGTCCCCACTGCCTACTCAGCTCAAAGTTAACGACGCTGAAGACCGTATCTTTATTCGGGAATTCATTCTACGTTTCTCTGGTATACCAGGAATGGCTTTAACAAAGAACCAACTTGAGGAATTGGAATTCATCGCGGGTACACATGATTTGAGTGACGACGAGAATGACTATGTTGACTGGGTCAGCGAGACTTGCGTTAAATCCCTGGTAATTTCTCTTATCGGCGTGCTGGCTGCTGAAGAGGATAGTAGCGCTACATTGGTATGTTTTTGAGTTCTCGATTCATTTGGTCTTGTTGATGAATTGACATATCTATTCGTACTTTTCAAGGTCATGAAAAAAGCCATACAAGACGTTCGTAATTCGGGAGCGAATCTCACCAAAATCTGGACCGCTCTTTCCTCGCTGCGCGCAGCTTTGGGTCGTCCTGAGGAGGTCTCGGTGGGAAAATTGCAGGCAGAAGAACCAAGTGACGATGACGACGAATCGTCCGAAGATAGAATCATCCTCGAATATCCGGATCCCTTACCTGCTCCAGCAAACCATGAACATAACGTTCGGAGCACCCGGTTTGCTGTTGCAGATATTTCCCTTGTTGTTCACAGTGCTCAAATGATTCCTGTCATCCTCGGCTTGATAGATGCTGTCATGGAGTGCCATGCTATTCGAGTCGAGCTCGATAATGGCACGAAGGAAGGAAGAAAGAGATTTCGCGAGTCCCGGGAGGTTATAAAGTTAGAGAACGAGTCGTGGAAGAGTTTAGAAGAATCGCGGGAGCCAAATGTCACGGTGGGTACTCTGTCAAATTCATGTGTCAAGAGATAGAAAACTCAACCTTTTCAAGCCATCTGAGATAACAGCCCAACGACATACTCATAAATCAAAGGTCCAAGACATTGAAAATGCCGCCAAAGTCCTTTCATCTGCGTTTTCTCCGCGGTTCAGTCCTCTTGGGTCCGATCCTGAAGGCAGACTTTACTGGGCGCTGACTCCAGGTGTATCCGATCGCGAGTATGCTTTGGACTATATCGTTTCTCGATTACCGAACGCGCCTAAATCCAAGAGGCCCCGAAATCGCAAACAACGACAACAGAGAGAAGAAGAGGATAGTCAGGCGCTCAGAGAGTGGTCGTGGTTCATAGCTGTGTGGGGCAAGAAACTCCATGGCAACGGGGTCAACGAAGGAGGAGACGAGCCCCAGTGGTGGGGTTTCTGGAATCCACAGGAGATTCGTAATCTGGCAGAGTGGCTCAGTATCACAAACGGTCTGAAAAGTGACCCTTCTGACGGCAATTCGACGCACTCTTGCAATGACTTGAAGATTCTAGTGAAGAGACTCACGGAGTACGCTGCTTCACTGGAATGGAGAACTCAAGGAGAAGAGAGGTAATTGCCTTGTTGGGTAGCTGTGCTCGGTCGGTCTTGCTCCCATCTTTCATGATGCTTCAATTATTGCCATTACTTAAAGCTTCACATTATTTTTTCTTTAACACCCTTTGGTTGTTCCCTAGAGTACTCACGTACACTTTAATTGTTGTTCTCGTTGTGGCTCGACAATGCTGTCATGTCAACGCTGATAACGAAGAGAGACGCTGGTCGCAAGGTAATCAAGAGATATTTGCTGCCTAACACACAAACCAAGACGAATCGCGAGACGCGTGGCAAGAACATGTTTACACTTATTACCGGGAGATGAGAAAGCCTGGTCGACGAACATAAGAGGTTGACCCACCATAAGACTTTGCCCTGTTTCCAGAACCGTGAAGTTGAATGCGGGGCAAGTACAATAACTTGACATCAGTGTCTTTGGAAGACCAACATATACGATATGAGTGGCAGTCGAGCTCAGCACCTCATATTCAACGAAACCCCAAGGGGTTACACTCTCGGTCACTACGATAGAGTAAAAGTAAGGAGGTACGTATGCAGGTTTGTCTTGGTATAAAGTACAAACCTTTCCGCTGGTCAATCAAATCGAGGGCTGCCAGAATCAGGGAATCTGGAAAGACGTCGTGAAGTTTATGTAGCGATTCATCGGTCAAGTCTTTGCAATAATGATTAGATACAAATTGAAGAAGAAGGGTAACCATGACGGTACATTGCGAAGAGTCGAGATCTAGGGAATCGATAACAGTATCAGCGAGACGAAGGAGTTCAGCAGGAAGCAACATCAATACATGGCACGTGAGCGCACAGGTGTCTCTTCATTCTACGATGTCGAAATACCTAGTTGTATTTGCTCAGGCGCACCAAGAATTTCGTGTCCCAGAGCTCGAGTCGGTTGCTCAGCTATACAACTTCAAAATATCATTGTCAGATGAACCAGAGGAGCGCGATCCTAGTCGTCCATTCATGATCATCGAGCTGGAATCAGAAAATCATGTACGGCTACTGGCTAGAAGATGCATTCTTATAAAGTGAGAGTACTTTCATTTTGCAATATGAAAAGCTGAATTTGATCCAAAGTCATCAGGTCGATATACGAATTTTACGGTAGAGGGTCTACATACGAGGAGTTACACCTCCGCAATCGTGCAAAACGACACATGTGGGAGCGTTATATTCCTGAAACTTCCTTCAAATTCATCGTCGCCGCCTACAACCACAAGATCCCACAACATCGTCAGAAAGAGGTTGTGGAGAGTTTTGCTTACATGGGCTTCATGGGGAAAATCGACATGAAAACCCCTGAGATTACATTGGGTTGCTTTGAGGAATGTCCGTATGAAGTCGTTGGAAGTGGTGATCATTCTCTAATTCTTCAGTTGACAAGCAGATGCCACTCGTAACGGACACACTCGAGAGCGACACGAAGGAGATGGCGATTTTCTTCAAGTGTACTTCGGTAGGTTGGTGCGTTGATATATTTTGCAGGTGTAATTTCTCTCTTAAGAACCTCGTTTTCAGATAGAGGAAGGTACTGCTCGTCCGTTGGTCCAGCTTTTTGATGTGAAGAAACGGTCGTACTTTGGGAACACGAGCATGGAAGCAGAGATATCTCTGCTTATGGCTAACCAGACACTAGTAAGACAGCCCTCCCTTACATTGACATCAGAGTCAATATCTAACAAAAGTTTAGGCATGCTCAGGAAAGTTGATCTATGACCCGTTCATGGGTACTGGAAGCATGGCTTATGTGGGTACACGGAAGTCTGATTCAAGATCGACATTTACAATTTACAGCCTGTGGCATATTTTGGAGCGCAAGTGATGGGTTCGGACATTGACGGTCGACAAATGAGAGGAAGACGTACGGTCTCTGGTGCTGATTTCGAACTTTCGAGAGCTCATAGATTCTTTCCCAGAAACTACACCAGGTGTCTTCCGTGCAGCCTCCCAGTATGGCGTAGCATCACGTATCATTGACATTTGTACCTTTGATGTGACGAATAACCCATGGCGTTGTGGCGGATTATTCGATGCGATTGTGACAGACCCACCTTGCAAGTACTTCACTCTCTTCGTTGAATCTGTTTTCTCAAGAATTTTTTATGGTAGACAGACGGAGTACGAGCAGGAGCCAAACGCCTAGGCCGTAAAAAAGAGCTCGATGCTGATAGGCTAGCGTTATATCATGAGCATCGCATGAATCCTAAGCCGTATGTCTTTCTCAAAGGCAAAAAACAGTTTCTCAAGTTTGGATCGTTCATATGATATAGTGACGATTCTCCCTATATTCCACCTACAAGGCCGTATGAATTATCAGATCTGGCAGTAGACTTGGTTTTACTTGCACGGTACTTGCTCAAGCCAGGAGGCCGACTAGTTTTCTTTCTGCCAACAGTCACCGATCAGTATGAAGAAGTGGACATTTACACGATGCTCTGCGACGGCATGGAGGTAATAGCTAATTCCCTTCAAGATTTCGGGTCCTGGGGGCGAAGGGTAGTCATACATCATGTTTTTTTTCACTTGGTGATTGACTAACATATATTGCCAGCTTGTCACCATCCGCAAAGTAACTTCCGAACTGTATCCACCGCCGGATTTCTCGATCAGAGATTCAGAAGGAGAGGATGAAACACAGCGAGTTCCGGCACATCGACATTTTCGTGAAAAGTATTTCCAGGGATTTAAGAAAGCGGAGGAAGTTGAGGCAGAGAACTTATCTCATCTACCGTAGTAAATTTATCGTGGTCATCCCATTGTGGTCGGGATCGGTGTTATCTGCAAAATGAGAATCAGTAAATGCGGCTAGAATGTCGACCTTCATAGCAGGTGTCACGGATAGGATTAGGTTCGTATTTGAATGGAAAATAGCAATCGAAGTAAAATTCGATAAGACAAGATGAATGTAAATAAACCCAGGCAACGTCAAACGCATATAGAGAACGTATTTCTCAAGACAGCTTTCTCTTTTTATTGGAAGCCTCATCGTCATCGCTGCCGCTATCACCAGCACCATCATCGCCCCCATCTTCAAAAGCCCCTGCTTTGAGTCCCTTCATCTTCCTCGTCTGCAACCTACTCAAGTCCTGCTTCCCCACGTGCACTCTTCCTCTCAAATCACCCATCTCATCAACATCCAGATTCTTCCTCTTCTTACCCAACCCCTTCTCTACATCTGTCTTCTTCAACTTCGGACGCCTCATAGCCTGTTTGAGTAGCTCGGGATCAGGGTTGGTGTGTCTTCTCAGCACAAGGTCCATCGACGGACCCATAGGAGTAAGCTCAACGCGAGGGATCCGAGAACCAGAGGCAAGTAAACGAGTGGTATATGTCCGTATGTGGACTTTTGGTAAGGGAGTCGCAGACTCGGTTGTGGTGTTGAGAGTAGCGGGGGTTGGTGCTAAGGAAACACTAATAACGTGTTCCAAGCCTTTTAAATATATTGATTCGACGACTTCGCCGTTGAAGAGTGACATCAGCATCGATTTGAGCTGAATAAAGCGAGGATGGGTATCGAAAAGTTCTGAAGCAAAGTGCATCAATGGTTTGTGACCTGGTGTTGATTTCGAGCCCTAAACAGCATTCAGATTTTTTTTCTTGAGAAAAATTTTGCAGCATAAAACAGAAAGCTCATACCGGAACAGATTCCATGCTAACGTAGTTCTCCACTCCGGCTTCGACGATATCCAACACTTTACCGTCGAACATCCTCACAAATGTCAAGTCGTTTGGGCGTTTTTTGGACGTTTGTCCGATGACAAACATCGATGCGTCGTTTTTAGATGACCAGAATTCCAAGGAGGACATTGAAGAGGAACCAGAGGCAGTATTTTGAGCGTCAAGAGGATGGATCACATTTTTCTTGGAAAAAGATATAGCATCGGGTCTCTTAAGGGCCATCTAAAGTAAAGGTTATGCTGAGTTCCAGCAAAGTACTAAAATCTGAGTTGGAACATACCATATCTTTCATTACACCATTGAGAACTTCCCCAGTCTTCGTACCCTTCACAAATATCGCTATTCGAGCATCTTCAACTTCTTTTGGCTGTCGAGCCTCCATGGCTCGCTTTGACCGAGCATTCTTTGGTTTCCTAATGCTAAATTGAGCCTCAAGATAAAAGAATTTGCACGAAAAGCAATTACACAGTCCGTAACATTTTGCAACTTGGGAGTAGATGAAAAAAGAACAATCACCGGAATTCCCGGACCGAGTAGCCTCCAGAAACAAAAACAAGCAAAAATATGATCGCCTCCGCGAAAATCACGGCGGTTTTGTCTACTTTCAGAAATGACGGTTGCATCGGTTTATGATTTCTGTTTATTTTGACGCATGTCTTCATGGCGGAAATCAGCTTCCTCTCGTCTTTCCTCTTTTAAAGGCTACATCGCTCAACAAGATTTGCGCAATACTCTGCCTGAAGCCATTTCACGTCAAATTGGTGCTGGTAAAGAACGAGCAGGGAACTTTAAAGAATGGGCTGGCCAGAAGATCAATAGAGGGTATAACAATAACGGTCAGACGAATGCTGGCACAGAGAAAATCTCGCTATTTCCTGGATGGGCAGCGCGTCGGTATCCAGCAACTGGACAGCAGGAAGGTGACTAACTTATCCTTGATTCGCGCATAACGTTCTCAGTTGTCCTTGATAGATTCCTTTGAGATTGAAGTTTTCATCTCCGGATTTGCTACCTCTCGTAGATCGGCCGATGTAATCAGTCGTTCCCAAAGGGCATTCCTAAAGCTTGCGAAAGGCAAGGGCGAATTACTTACATCCTGTTATAACTAACTGTATATTTGATTCCATAGGTTTCGCCGCTCTCCCAAAACTTGAAAGTAACGATAATGAATCAGCTACCACAGGCGTCCTGTTAGAGCCGCGAACCTTAAGTCATTCGACGGAGGATCTTTTGAAATCAGTCAAGCTTCCTCCTAGACCAGAAGACATCTCAGAAGACTATGAGGTGCAATTGCTTGAACGCAAATTTCAGAGTCTTAATGGTATCTCTGAAGATGCAGATTCGTTGCACTCTCCTGTGTATTCGCAATCATCATCCCGCGCTAGTTCAGTCAATGACCTTACGTTGCATGACAACACCCCAGAATCTTCTTACCTCGGTACTGTCGTAAAAAATACAGCAGCAGACGAACTCCGAAAGCTACATGCGAACCTCGAATCTCGTTTACAACCTTTCTGGTCTTCCGTTGTACCCAATAGAACCGTGCGCCTCCGACTATACACGTCCCCGAATCACATCTCGACCCCTTCGAATTCATCGGTGAGTATGGACAACGGGCCCGTATCAATCCAAGATGTTGTCACGGCACCAGATGGGAGCTTCCAAGCACGCTTCACCGTCGGATGGACGGACCTAGCGAATCATCCTGGTGCCGAGCATATTGCTTTTGGTGATCCTGCAGAAGAACATGAATTGCTCGTTGCTGCCGAGTTACTCCCTCTTCCTTCGCCTATATCATCTGTCGCTTCCTCTGCCGCGTCCTCGACAACTGATTTCTCCTCATCGTCACGCCCGTCGAAGAATAATACAACTAGATCGTATCAATCAAATTCTCCATACGACTCGTCAGTGACACTACCGTCAATACCGCCTACCACGCTTCGTATTCCATTAACCTACTCCCCCGTCCGTGTCATATCTGACATCGACGATACTATCAAATATTCGAACGTCACAGGTGGAGCACGCGCAGTGTTTCATAACGTTTTCGTGAAAGAACTGAAAGACCTTGTCATTCCCGGAATGGGGGAGTGGTATGAAGAGATGTGGAAGAAGGGGGTGAGGTTCCATTATGTGGTACATTGTGCTCAGGTTGTTCTCGTAATCAAGAATTGTACTGATTGTCCCTCTTGTAGTCAAATGGACCATTCGAGCTTCTTCCCTTGATTGGAGAATTTTTTCAAATATCGAAACTTCCTCCTGGTAAGCAAATCGTTGGTTCATATACTTATTGCTCCAATGTCGGGCATTATTAATGTCAACACTATGTATCTGCACTGTATAGGTTCAGTAAAACTTCGTTCCTACGCAGGGAAGTCTCTTTTCAGCGGTCTCCTCTCTGCCCCATCCGCTCGTAAACGCGCGGGTGTGCTCGAGATCCTCGATGCGTTTCCAGATTCCAGGTTCATCCTGATAGGTGATTCGGGAGAACAGGATTTGGAGCTTTATACAGAGTACGTTACGAGCCGACTTTTGAAGTTTACTTTTTGTCATTGTTCTGTATAGTTTGGCTCGGGAACGAGCAGATCAGGTGCTTGCAATATTCATTCGGGATACGGGCGAAGGAGAACCGCTGAGTGATCCCACCGGGGATTCGTACGATAAGATAATACCACCACGATCTGCGCCTTCAAGTTTCGACGCCCCCACGTACCCTATCTCCCCTCTCCCAGGAAATTTCTTCAACTCTGCTAATTCTCATTCTGATTCCCGTCCTCCATCGCGTTCTCTGACTCCTCTCAGTATGAATGCTCCCTACACTGCTCGGTCGAGGAAGACTCCTGTTAGTGGTGGTGGACCTAAATCAGCAGACTATTTCAACACGAAACCTCTCACTGCGGAGCCTGACCCGCTTATTGATTTCGGGGATTCTCCAACCACGGCGCAGTCTGCATCGTCTATCGCGCGTCCTCTGACTCTTGGTTCTTCTGTGTCATCATCTATAACACCGTGGACACCCGCAACAACTGCTTCTTCTGTTACACCGAAAACACCGAAAACACCTTGGCTGAATCACTCTAATGCCTCATACACATCTTACACGTCTTTCAAATCTAACAAACGTGGATCCGTGGGATCTATAGGGTCCACCACATCGACCGTGGCCACTGGCCCCGTCGCGCTCGCGCGGATGACGGAATCGGAAAAGAAAGGATACGAGTTGCAGATGAGGGTGTACAAAGCGAGAGGGGTGTTGCCGTTTCGAATAATGTTGAGGGTGTTTAGGGAGCCGGGGGAGTGTGTGGAGACGTGGGATGTTGTTGGGTAGTTGAGGGTTAGTCCTTTGGTGTTTGAGTTATTGGGAGATTAGGGTTTTTGAATTATTGGATGTGTTGTGCCAGTATGTGTCAGTAGGATGGAATGGGACTCTATCTTATATCAATAACTTGTATTTCAGGTATATACATGAGTGGCGTCAATATTGAAAGGGTTTCATTGTATGCAGTTGTACAACAAGGTGTTTTGACAAATGTATCAAGTTCCTAATCAACTATGGTATTCCGCCTTCATGGAAGGCACACTTGCAATTGTAGTGCACTTCAAAATAAAAGCTCTGAAGCGGACAAGATGTTGGTTCAACTCTTAGCTATGCAGTGGGCTCTGGACCATGGCCTGCACTGCGTATGTCCAAAACATTCTCTACGTCTCAGCAACCAAGATGCTTAGCGGCTATATTTGGAGCTTGGAGTTCACCAAAATCATCGGATGGAAGTTGGGACCTATAAGGATCGACTCAAAGGGAAGTGTCGCGGGAAACAATATCGTATCCGAAGAGGCTAAGTCGAGCATATGAGTTACAATGCAGTGGATATACAGTAGGATGGTTCAACTCACCGATTTGAAAATTGTCCTTGCGTGGTTATACAAATATCGATCAAGTCATTGAGAGTCATTGACGCTTTTTCTTATCCCTTCGCTCAATGTTCGAGCACTCGTTAGCGGCGTCCCGCTGTATTCATGCCCATAAACGAACTTAACTCAGGTGTAAATCGGCCAGAACAGAAAATGGAAATGTGGGGTTGACTCCACGAAGGTAGGATTTGAATCTCAACTATGAGGAGCAGTCATTGAAGGTAAAAGCTGCCTGACATATCGATGCAGAAAGGAAACAAACTCGAAAACTTGAAGCGTGTAGCAATCCTCGATCTTCCATGATGAGTAATGTCGAAACTTTGCATAACAAAACATTTTGGAACACTTTGCAGGCAGTACTCCCACGCCTTCTGGTTGTTATCTCATCTCATCTCATCTCCTCTACGATTATCCAAGTCGTTGCTTTCCTCGAGCCTTCACGATCGCTCGAATATTCTCCGTTCTCATAAATGCAAGCAACGATAAACCTAGAACCTTTTGGCGAAGTGTAAATTGAACTTAAACGACGGAAAACAGTAACGAATCTGCCGGTATCCCCGTCTCCCATGCTAACTCATGATCTGTTGTTACCAGGTCCTCGACTTTCCTGAATCGAACCTGGGGTGAATTCGGCCGTTCCGGCGTCAAGACTTTGCTGGGTATGTCATTGACAAACCACGAAGTGTACCGTTGTCGAGAACGCTGGTTCACAATCGGGTCGTGCTTGCGATGAGGAATTGCCAAGGAACCACCTTGGAAATAGGTGAGGCCGACCGTGCTTGGGTCGCACGTGTGATAGGAAAACTGAGGACCAGTTTCCCAGCAAGACAGGGCAACATCTGTATATAGGTATTGTTGAAGATGTTCTTCCTGACCCTGTGTGTAATACTCGGAGGTTTTGTTTTTATCCTGGAAACAAAATCATTGAGTATTCGATGTGGTGGACAGGAGATATCAGTATTACTCACCATTGTTTCGCAATGGACAAAAACATCTTTAAAAGACTCGTCGCACTCATCGAGTGCAAACCTTGCAATGTCGCAGGCAATTGTTTGCAGGTCTGATGCTGCCTTCAGAGTATCGAGAGATTCCCGCATCCTCGCAACTAGACCGTTGAAAGTGGGGTAATGCTCCTGTTCTTTACCCTTTCCAGTGTCCGCAGATCCGACAAGGCATTGCGTACTTGCATCATGTCGAACATCTTCAAAATTATCTTGAAGAGCCTGCAGGTAGTAGGATGCTTCAAGACCGAGCGAGACAGTGGGCGGAGGGCTAGATGGTATGAGATCAAAGCTCGTCAGGTGCGAGCACTCTGGGAGTGGTGCAAGAGGGCCCGAGGAGCCTGAGAATAGATGTGCGGAATCGTCATCGGGCAGCATGAACAGCAGCGGTAGCGCTCTCGGCCCCTCGGGTGTGAACAGCATGTGTCCTAAATGAGGACTCTTGCCCTGGAATATTGGTCAGTATCAATCTTCGACATCGTCGAACAAAGAGTTGCCACACTTACTGTGATAGGTTGGGTATTTATAGAACTAGCGGGTGTGAAAAGCGAAGCAAATCTGACTTGAGATGAAAACTGCAAAGAAATCGTGCTGATCTACTGCTCAAGCTACGTCGATTTGACCCCTCTCATTCTTCTGTCCTGGCTCTCTGAAACACACTTCGTTGTCCAGCCACAGGCTCGAGGAGTTCTGGAGGGCATGTACAGGGCTGTCCTCCAAGATCCCGGTGAACCTAATCACAATTGTGCCGAATCGTTGCGTTGTGTCAAGAATAATAGCTCAAGGTAGCGAACTAGCTACATATCTGGAGTTTTTGCGAAGGAGTGAAGGAGATGGTGACTCGGAGCGTGAGGCCCGGGAAATGTGGGTAGAAGGGAGAATGGGGATTCAGCGATATCTGGTGGTCATATTAAAGTCTTACCGGCGCTCACAAAAATTATCGGATGGAAGTTGCTCAACGTTGACGCGCAACGTACGAGACCTCTGAGGATCGATCCGAGGGGAATTGTCGGGGGGATTGTATCCGGAATGACTGGTACAACTTGCGTGGCCATACAGAGCCATACAGATATCAATCAAATCATTGATGCTTTTTTCTTATCCCTTCGCTCAATGTTCAAACGCTTATTAGCAGGGTCTCGCTGTATTCTGTTTACGCCTATAAACGAACCCAATTCTGTTGTAAATCGGCCAGAACAGAAAATAGAAATGTAGGGCTGACTCCACTTAAGTCCACTCGAAAGCAGGATTTGAGTCTCAACCATGAGGAGCAGTCATTGAAGGCAAAAGCTGCCTGACATATCGATGCAGAAAGGAAATAAACTCGAAAACTCGAAGCGTGTCCAAAGATAGCAATCATCGATCTTCCATGATGCAAGATGACTCAGATGAGCAATGTCGAAACTTTGCATAACAAAACATTTTGGAACACTTTGCAGGCAGTACTCCCACGCCTTCTGGTTGTTATCTCATCTCATCTCATCTCCTCTACGATTATTCAAGTCGTCGATTTCCTCCAGCCTTCACTACCGCTCGAACATTCTCCGTTCTCATAAATGCAAGCAATGATAAACCTGGAACATTTTGGCGAAGTGTAAATTGAACTCAAACGACAGAAAACAGTAACGAATCTGCCGGTATCCCCGTCTCCCATGCTAACTTATGATCTGTTGTTACCAGGTCCTCGACTTTCCTGAATCGAACCTGGGGTGAATTCGGCCGTTCCGGCGTCAAGACTTTGCTGGGTATGTCATTGACAAACCACGAAGCGTGATGCTGTCGGGAACGCTGGTGCACAATCGGGTCGTGCTCGCGATGAGGGATTGCCAAGGAACCACCTTGGAAATGGGTGAGGCCGACCGTGCTCGGGTCGCACGCATGATAAGAAAACTGAGGACCGGTTCCCCAGCAAGACAGGGCAACATCCGGATATAGGTATTGTTGAGGATGTCCTTCCTGACCCTGTTTGTAATACTCGATTATTTTGTTTTTGTCCTGGAAACAAAATTATCGAGTATTAGATGTGGTGGACAGGAGATATCAGTATTACTCACCATTGTTTCGCAATGGACAAAAACATTCTCAAAAGACTCGTCACACTCATCGAGTGCAAACCTTGCCATGTCGCAGGCAATTGTTTGTAGGTCTGATGCCACGTTCAAAGTACCAGGAGATTCCCTCATCCTCGCGACTAGATTGTTGAAAGTGGGATAATGCTCCCATTCTCGTCCCTTTCTAGTTTCCATAGACCCGACAAGGCATTGTGTACTTGCATTATGTCGAACATCTTCAAAATTATCTTGAAGAGCCTGCAGGTAGTAGGATGCTTCAAGACCAAGTGAGACGGTGGGCGGAGGGGTAGACGGTATGAGATCAAAGCTCGTCAGGTGCGAACACCTGGAGAGCGGCGACAGAGGGCCCGAGGAGATTGGAGACAGAGAATCATCATTAGGCGGCATGAACAGCAGCGGTAGCGCTGTCGGCCCCTCGGGTGTGAACACCATGTGTCCTAGATGAGGACCCTTGCCCTGGAATATTGGTCAGTCTCAATCTTTGACATCGTCGAACGAAGAGTTGCCACACTTACTGTGATAGGTTGGGTAATTATAGAGCTAGCCGTTGTGAAAAGCGAAGCAAATCGAACTTGGGCTGAAACCATCGCTAAACATGCGCTGTGTCGAACGAGAAGATGATGTCCAGGAATAGGATTCACCAGGATTTGCCAAAAATGCACCATCAAGGTTTGTCTTTTATGCCGTTCATGGTATATTTGTTGTATTGAAGACATGATCAGGGACCCTCTATCGCTCCAAGGCCTCAGAGTGATTATCTAGCAAGTTGAAGAGTTGAGAATTCAACATCACTCCCTTGCTCGATGACTCGTCGAAATGCAATACACGTAAGTACCTCTTGTTCATAGTATCATCTGTCAAGAAATAATATACTTACGACGCGTATTCATCGTGCTGCTCCAGATCATATCGGTTTCCCTAGAAAGGAACTTAACAGCTTGAAGATCGTACTTGGTATTTGTTGTCCCAAAGACTGGGGAAACCGCTTTGACCTCTTGTTACATCCTCGCTTACCGCCCATCTTTTTCCACCAGCCCTTTCAAACCCTTCTAGCGCTGTGGAACTTTTGACCTGTTTTGGCCTGACTGAAATTGGCTAGCTCAGCTCTCGCTCGCCTTGGATCCGCCGAATGCCTGACCTTGTTCAACTTGCGCTTTACATGCTGCAAATATATTCAGAACGATAGATTATCACCTGAATAATGATCCCCGTACCTGTGTGTAATCTATTTGCTCTTTCCTAGAAATCTTCGCAAGTGATTGCCGTCGTTATCCTTCGTCCACCGCCTTGTGCTCGTGCCACATTTTTCTCGGAGACCCCCGCACAGCGGAGCGAGCAACAAAGTGGTTTTTTGTTTTTTTCTCTCATGCCACCGTCCTCCGTTCTGCTCATACCACTGTCAGCTTCAATTTATCTAGCTGGATGTATCAGAACATCCTATGTTTATCCCATCCTCAATTTGTGGAACATCCAGTTTCTAAACGTGATACTGACATAGTGATTCGCGAAACGATGACGCGTCCCTTCGGCGAGAGGGACGATAGCAGCTGATTCTTGGAACAAAGCAAACAACGGCTCTTGATGGTGGCTTACCGAAATGAGTGACTACAATCCTGGACCCACAAATATTTCATAAATGGGCAAAAATTCATGCCGCGTTTGAAAGTCCTTCACTCATTGTTTGCGCATGGAGCGTGGAAGAATGGTATTTTTCTCCATTAGTGATTTGGACTTATGCATTTCTAATGCAATACTTACAGTATGTCTGCTCGAGATTCAAGATTCCAGAAGTTCGACACCGTGGGCCTGCTGTATTCCGGACCACTGATCCCGGAGCTCTGAACAAGAGAAACCGCTAGAAGACCGCCGCGGTATAATATTGCTTGTTTATGATTCTTCATGAACAGGTTCTTGATATGGATTGGTCTACTGGACTCGCAGCCGAATTGACAGGTACAGCAGACCCAAAAGTCAGCTGAATGACCATGTCTAATCCATCTTTTCATTTGATGTACATACCTAGACTAGGTTCTATTCTGTTCTATTGTATCCGCGCTGTCGCTTAGCTGGTGTTGCTGGTCTACCACTCAAACTACGTCGATTCGACCCCTCACATTATTCGGTTCTGGGTCTTCAAAACAAGCTTTGTTATCCAACCACAAGCTAAAGAAGTTGTAGAGCATGTACAGGGTTTTTCTCCTGGGGCAATGAGTGACCGTCCATTGTTCCAAGATCACCGTGCATCCAATCACAAAGCGCCGAATCGGAGGTGAGCTGTGTCAACAATCACAGCTCGAAGTAGCGAACTCGCTCTGTATTTTGAGATTTTGCGAAGGAGTGAAAGAGATTGTGAGCGCAAGGACCAGAAAGTGTGCATAGAAGGGAAGGAAGTGCGAGTAGAAGGGAAATGGATTCAGCAATATCTGGCGGTCATATTGAAACTTGACTGGCGCTCACAAAAATCATCTGATGGAAGTTGCAACGTTGGACGCGTAACGTATGAGACCTCTGAGAATCGACCCGAGGGGAGTTGTCGGGGGCCATATGAATATCAATCAAATCATTGATGCCACTTTTTTTTTCTTATCCCTTTGCTCAGCGCTCAAGCACTCATTGACATCAGCGGCGTCTGGTTGATTCTGCATACTTCCATCAACAAAGTGCACCGGCCAGAATAGAAAGCTGCCCTCACTATCGAAAGCGGGATCCGTAACACAGAATAGCACAGAATATGTACAACGGCACTTTCAGTAATTATGAGCAGTAGTCATTGAAGGTTAAAAAAAGCTGCCTGACGCATCTCGGTGCATGGAGAAATAGGCAAGATATACCGGTTGAAAACCTTTGAAAACATAAAACGTGACAAAAAATAGTACTTATCTTCGATCTTGCAATATGATGAGCAATGTTGAAACTTTGATTTTGGAACTTTGCATTCGGCGCTCCCACGCCTCCAACTCGTTATCTCAATCTCATCTCATCTCCTCTCCTCTTCTCCAGTACGGATGGTTGCTCTCCTCGAGCTCCACTGGGATCACTCAAAAACGCTCTTCGTTCGTCCTCATCCAGATCCTAGAAAACTAATTCTGCAACATCCGTTGATTGAAATTCACAAGGAAAACAGTAACGATCCTGCTGGTACTCCTGTTACTAACCCATCTCTTCCCATAACCTTCTCCAGGTCCTCAACTTCTTTTACCTTAACCTGGGGTATATCTAATAGGTCCGGCGTCAAGACTTTATTGCCGACGCGCGGTGCGTAACAGCTATTCCGTATCCGTTGAGCTGCATAACATTGCCCCACATGCTGTCGCACAACTGCATCTTGCTCACGATCCGGAATCGACAAGGATCCCCTTTGGCACCGTTGGCAAGAGATGGGGTCGAATGCTTCCAGGTTGCACCCATGATAGGAAAACTGAGAACCAGCTTCCCAGCAAGACAGGACCGTATCTCCGGAGCTGGGATATGGGGACTGCGGATGGTGATCTTCCTGGCCCTTCGTATAATTCACGTTGATTATCTTTTTATCCTGAAAACATAATCATCGAGAATTAGATGTGGTGATCAGGAGATATTAGTAGTAATGCTCACCGTTGTTTTGCAACGGATAAAGACGTCTTCGGAAGACTGGTCGGGGTCATCAAGTTGAAAAGTAGGAAATCCGACATTGCATATGTATCGCCCAACTGTGTCAAGATGAACCTCTTTAAATTGAGGGTGAAGAGCCTGCTGCTTGGCCATGTCAAGACTGAGCAAGACCGGCGTGGGCAGAGGGGTAGATGGTATCGAATCAAAGCTCGTCAAGTGCGAGCACTCGGGAAGCAGTGTCAGAGGGTCTGAGGAGAATGACGGTAGAGAATCTTGATCAATGAGCATGAAAAGTCGCGGCGTCTCATTCGTGGACAACAAGTGTCTGAATGGAGGACCCTTGCCCTAGATTATTGGTCAGTCTCATTCTTCAACATCGTTGAGCAAGGAGTTGCCACGCTTACTGTGATGGGTGGGACAAATGTAGAATCTGTTGTCAAAAGCGGAGCAGTTCCAACCGGGAATGAACACATTGTGTCGATTGAGAAGAGGATATAGTCTAGGAATGGGTTTTGTCAGAAGTACGCCACCAAGGTCTGTCTTTTATACCGTTCACGGTATAAAGTTGTTGTATTGAAAGCATGATCAAGGAACCTCTGTTGCTTCAAGGCCTCAGACCGGTCATCTAGCAAGTTGACGAGTTGAGAATTAAACATCACTCGCTTCCTCGATGACTCGTCGAAATGCAATACACGTGAGTACCTTCTTCCATGGTATTATCTGTCAATAAATGATATACTTACAATGCGTACCCACCGTGCTGCTCCAGATCATATCGGTTTCTTCCCAGAAAGGAGCCCAACAGCTTGAAGATCGTACTTGGTATTTGTGCTCCTAAAAAGCGGTAAAACAGCTTTTACTTCTCGTTAGTACGACCTCGCTTACCACCCACATTTTCCACCAGCCTTTTTGAAAATTTCTAGAGCTTTGGAACTCTTGACCTGTTTTGACCTGACCGAAATTGGCTAGCTCAGTTCTCGCTCACCTTGGATCCGCCGAATTCCTACCCTTGTTCAACTTGCGCCTTACATGCTGCAAATATATTCAGAACGATAGATTATCACCCTGAATAATGATCCCCGTACCTTTGTGTAATCTTTTTGCTCTTTCCTGGAAAGCTTCGCAAGTGATCGCCGTCGTTATCCCTCGTCCACCGCCTTGTGCTCGCGCCACATTTTTCTCGGAGACCCCCGCACGGCGGAGTGAGCAAAGTGAGTTTCTGTTCTTTTCTCTCATGCCACCGTCCTCCTTTCTGCTCATACCACTGTCAGCATCATCTTATTTCACCAGAGGTATCAGAATATCCCACGATTATCCCATCCTTATTTGTGTAACATCCAGAGCCTAAATGCAACACTAGCATGGTGACTGCGAAACGATGACGCGCCCATCCGGCAAGAAGGATGATAGTAGATGATTCTCGGAACGTAGCAAACAGCGCCTTGACATATTGCTAGAATACAGGCTCATGATGGTGGCTTACCGAAATGACTGACAATCCTGGACCCACAAATATTCAACAAATGAACAAAAACTCATGCTGCGTTTGAAAGACCTTCACTCATTGTTTGCGCATGGAGCGTGGAAGAACGGTACTTTGCTCCATTAGTGATTTGGACTCATGCATTAATGCGATGCTTATGTCTGCTCGGAATTGATTCCAGAAGTTCGACATTGCGGGCCCGCTGCATCCCGGACTACCAATTCCGGACCTCTGAAGAAGAGAAACCGCTAGGAAATCGCCGCGGTATATCGCTTGTTTATGATTCTTCATGAACAGGATCTTGATATGGATTCAAGGTCTACCTGAATCACAGCCGGATTGACAGGTAAAGCAGCCCCCAAAAGTAAGACGAATTAGCGTGTCTAATCCATCTTTTTCATTTGATGTACATACCTAGGTCAGGTTCTATCTTATCCACAACGTCGCTTAACAGCGTTACTGCGAAGAGATGGAGAGAGATGGAGCTTCTGGTCTGCTGCTCAAGGTACCGAACCTACGTCGAATTGACCTGCCTCGTTATTCAACCGGATTGATGTATAGACAATCGCTGGTGTGGCGCTCTGAGAACAGACGTGGGGATCGAGTGTGGTATCCTCTGCAATAATTTTGCACGTTAAGATGACTTAGTATGGCAGCCTTCTACTGTAATTATAACTGGTTGTAGTGGTATGATCTAAATGAGCAAATTGCCTCGCACTCGAAGTACTGCATTCCTGCGAACAGTCCAAATAACTGAGTAGACGCCTGTAGACGCTGGTAGCTAATGGCCCCTATGTAGCCATCGATGGCGAGAACAATGTGCAAAGAAAAGTTTGACATTCTCACGGTTGTTCTTCGTTCCTCTCATTCACCATCGATAATGACCGGCACTCAACTTCAAACTACTTAAGCTTGCGCCGCAAAGTCTTCCAAACAGATCTTGTTTCATGAAATTTACTGTTCATAATACATAATGCATAGTGGACATGAAGTCAAGGATGTAACAAGACTGAAAATTTCTAAACCACATATTTTGTGTATCAACAAAGGCATTCTTTTTCTCATAATCGCTCGAGGTGAGCAAGGACCATCGCAAGAGGGCTGATGATCGGTTTCGGGGTCCAACTTGGTGGACTCGAAAGACCAGGACTGGGTCTTATGTTAGGCCGGAGTCGTTGGAGAGTTCGCTGGCTTGTCTGCTCAACTATCGGATCGCGTGGATCATTATTGGGATTGGGTGAGAACCAGTTACTCTTCCTATCTCTGCTAGTTTTCTTCAAGGTTTTTGGCAGTTTGTGAGGCTCGAAGGAAAACTTTGGACCGGTTTTTTTGCAGGACAGGTCGACGTCGGGCTTGAGTGGCAGGGACTCTTGGGTGGGATCGGATCCCGTCCACTGCGCGTAATATACGTGATTGTTAACTTTGTCCTGAAATTAACAAGCACGTATATTAGGTGCTGTGGTTGGAGACATTTAGTGGGACATACCATTGGAGGGCAACGGACTAGCGGTTCACTGGGAACATCAGATAACTTGTCGCGATGCCGCGCCAAAACAAAAACTCGATGGCCGTGTTTGCGAGCTTGTGGCTCATATACGCTAGGTACTTTGGATTTGGCAGTAGTTTCGTGACGGGCTGAACCATACACAGGACCAACATTGTCGTTAGGCCCATGCCTTTCTTGAAACCGGCGAACATAGGCCTGCGCCTTAAATTGATATCGTTCAATAGGCGGAGGTGTTGGAGGTGCCGATCTCATCGAGTCCGAGCTTCCAGATGAATGGGAATATGCCAGTGACGGAGGGCCGAACGAAGAGCGAATGGTCAGTGATGACTCTCGTGATCGCGTCGGTGGCGATAAAGGCTGCCCAAGACATCCATGTATGGTGCAAGGGCACCATCGGTACAAATTCGGATCCATATCCTGTTGTGATGAAGGTCAGTCACTGTACACGAAGACGAAAACGGATCACCACTTACTTTAGTCTGACAGTGATGAAAGTTGAGGCTAGTCATCGCAAGGTAGACGACGAGTCAAAGTCGAGAGGCTCTTATCCGATGGCTGTTTCAGTAGATCAAGCGACGAGGAATCGGCTGGAATTTGTTGTAGCTTTCCTCGCACGTAGGTCTCTTTTATACATTTATGCCTCGCAAATTCGCTAATCAATGTGCAATTTACAGGTGTCTATAATATTATTTATTTTCATAGCATTGCACTGAAGTTTTTCGCAAATGTGGGATCAGCATGTTCGACCATATGTCTACGTCTACATAACAAACTCAGACTCATATATTCACCTCCATTTGCCTAAGTCCGTCCCTGGCTATGGTTCACTCGAATTCAGTCAGCACATGTCTATTTTTCGTCGGGGTTTTTCTCTCCAACACGATGCAAATATGTTCAAAGTGTCAATTTTTGGCAGTTGCGGAGATATGCTATAGGTCTAGGAGACATTCCGGGATTCTAACGCTTCATGGAAGGCACGTTGAAGCTTTCTAACAATCTATGATTTACCGGAATTTTAGGAAGGCACTTTAATATGTCGTCAAGCCTCGAGTGCGGAACGTCGTGGTACTTCAAGCTTGTGATTTTGTAGTGTCCAAGTCAAAGTTGCGCCTACAGTTGCCCACAGTGTCATGTTTGAACATGATACACGATGAACGATTTGCTAGAGATGAGTTTAGGACGCTAGGCTGCTAACAAGAATATATTAAAGAGTCATGTTGATAGGATCCCACTAGGGATTGAAGGTCATGCCGATTCTTGGGTATAACGTCTTTTTCAGGAGAAGGTAATTTGGGTCCAAAAATCCCTCAAAGACTGGTTATAGTTGTCGGAATCCCCAAACTTTGTACAGGCGATCGCAATATCGTGTAACCATTCACATTGCTCAGGATTGAGGAGAGGAGTCATTGTAAGTAGTTGTTTTCAAAATGCTGCTCAAACCCAGTACTCAGCCAAGAAACAAGAGAACAGTGATCAACCTCTTATCTGTGATACTTCTCACACTCATTTCGACAATCTGGCAGTGTGAATGGATGAACTTCAGAATAGCTTGGATCACATAAAGGTAACATTTCTGAGTTCATTCCTTGCTCCCCGGGCAGTCCTGAATATCCTATAAAAATCCCGATCATGACCGAGGAGCGCTGTTGTCTGTTGTCTCTAGTCTTTCGAGCGCCGTATGCTGCCCATATGACTCATGCACTCATACCCTCATGGTGACTTGGATGACTCAGAACAAGATCTGGAAGCTATAGGAGCTTTTGTACCCACGACACGTTAAGACGGGTTCCTTCAAGGATGGCTTGATGTTGAATTCTACCCTTAGCCAGGGCCGCGCAGTGGACTTTGGACCGGGCAACACCCACAACTCTTTGCTTCCCAACGTTAACGACCATGCCTCCAATCTGGAGAATGACTCCCGATGAGCTGAAGGAAAATCTTACTCGACTGACTGTTATTCTTCAGAGGTCAATGGACCATGCGTCTCAGCACAGGCTGATCAACCAGGTAATTCCACTCCTACAACCCTACTATGACGAGGCTGTTGTGTTATGGGAGCATCACTGGTTGGGGATTGTCCCTGCCATGGTTGATTCAGACGCGCGCCGCAAGTGGTTCCAAGATGTCGACGAGGCTCTCCGTGAAGATCGAGTTCCTGCACCTGACGAGTGAGTTTTAATAATACAAATAGACTGAACTAATACTCTCATAGTATCACGTCGTGGTGTCTCCGTGCCTTTGTCGCTTTTGCTGCACTGCAGGCTATGCACACTCATGACATGGGCTATTTGGATGAACGAGTGAACGGGAGCATTAAGCAACATGTCATGAGAGAATCGTAAGTGTATATTTGGGTCGTCCTCAGGCTCACAGATCAGTAAACACACTCCTTCAGCTACATTCAGATCGCAGGAGGACCACCACCGACCCCGGTTCCTCAGCCCATTCCACAAACTGGAATAAACCTAGTTGGCACGAAGCTTCATATGAAGGACTTGAACACAGGACACGATACAGAATACGAAGTCGTCGACTATGGTCACGCTACTCTTAGTGGTGATATATATATTCTTGAATATATGACGTTGGGAGGGCCTCAAACTCGCATCGTCTCACAGGAGGAGTTATTAGAGGAACTGGCATCACAACAATCATCGCGTCGTTGAATCCCAGTCATTCCCATTGTTCCCCATCTACAGTCTACAAGTCCTCTAATAATATCTTTATCTTTACTCTCCTCATGCGATCGATTTGCTCTCCACTCGCTAAATATTATCCACACTGGTAAGCTCGGGGTGTTGTGTCCCTAAGAACGGAAGCCTTGACCTTGACCTCGATTATTGGAAACGCGCTCTTTTTCCGATTCTGGATGTGAGCTTCGGGATGCGGAGGCGCACCAGGAACATAAGGATGGTAGATTAAAAGTTCGCCAGGAACTGGGGGACGAGAGTGTCGAAGAGGTTGAGGACGATTGAGGATAATGATTGGAGGGGATCTAGAAGATTCTGAGAACGAGCCTATTGGTGTTGTGGAAGTTGGGGTAGGAGATTCGGGTATCGAGGATGAATGTGAAGGTTCAAGCTCAAGTGAAGCGTGGGTGAGTCGAGATTTCCAAGAACGAAATGGCTGATAAAACGTGGATGAGCAGAGTGGACTTGAGGGCACTGATGACAGCCAAAAACACATGAATGTTATCATACTGACCAGTTGTGTTTTCCTAGATTCTGCTATAACCCAATCATAATCAACCGCAACGGCTTTCGCGCGTTCCCGCCTCTTGACACTGTCTTCTTCCGTATCCTCATATGTGGGTTCCCGATATCTTACAGATTGAGGATCAATGAACAGTTTGTATTCGTCATTAAAAAAGACATGTCGGACGTACTGAGGCGGGGGTTTTGGAGGTGGTGGATGGATATTGATGAGTCTTGGTTCTTCGGTACCAGCGTTGGAAAGTAATTTGAATACTGTGGTTTTTGTTTGAGTAAGTATCTGTACGATATCAATATGGAAAACGCGTACAAATGGGCTCTAGATTCGAAGGAGCACTGGGTTCGGAATCGACATCTGTTGAATGTTTTCCTTTTCTTCGTTTTTTTCGAGGAACGTCGACCACCGCGAATTCCAATGACTCGTGCAGTCTTTTGTACAGGATGTTTTGAAGCAGGGACCGGTATTCGCTATCGAGCTCGTGCTCAGAGGTAACAGGGTCATCGTCAAAGGTAATTTCAGTGCGGGAAGTTTTCTCGGTGGGTGTACGAGTAAGATAAGGATTGACGAAACGCGGTAACATGATGGTAACAGAAAGACCGTGGATTAAGTACTCGTGACCACGTATAAAAAACGACTTTGATTTTAGCGTGGAGGAGAACACTAATTTCGTCGATCTAGTCAGAGCTAGAGCCTGGAGATTTATTTCTGTTAAAAGCTTCTTCAAGTGCTCGAATTCATACATAGTGGAAGGACACAAACTCGGTCGTCAAAGAAAGGGCCTTAACCTCTCGAAAATCGGGTCAAATTGAAGCCGAAGATTGTTATACGTTTCCTCCAGTTCCACACACGTCGCTTCGTGTTCCGCTATTTCTATCTTGTGTAGTTTCTTCTCCCTTTCCAATTCCATTTCCAGATCCTCTATTTTTTTGCTCATTTCTCTCTCCTCTTCCTCTGCTTCCCTCTTCCTCTTCTGCACCTCCTCCTCGTTCCTTTTCATATCCTCTTCCAGCCTCTTCTTTTTCTCCCTCAATTCCATAGTTTTTGCCTTCCAATACCTAGACTTTTCCCGAAGATTGTCAACAGTTCTCTCCAGTTCGGCTGTTTCTGCTACCAGTTTCTCGAAATTGCCCTTCTGTTTGCTTTTATCTTCGTCGCTATCTGCTTTAGAAAGAGGATGAGAAGGTTGTTTCCTTTCTTCGTCATTGTCGGCTTTGGAAGGGGAAGGAGGAAGTCGTTGTTTTCTTCGAGCAGCATGGGCAGCAGCAACTCGGGCCTGCCTATCTGCCTTTGAAGTCCTTCGTTTACGTCCAAACCCGAGTTTAGAGGCTTTATCTAGCTGTTTTTCTATGTTCCGCATAAATTCGGTGGAGTCGGATACGTTGAAAATGGTGTATATGAGTAGGAGCGAGGATTCGACGCGTCCGCGAACAGAGAAATGAAATGCGCGCCTAAAGTGCCCAGATTAATTGCTTTATTGAGAATACGAATAACTTCATAACTTATAAGCGCGGTAGGCGCCGGTCGACACGATTGCATCGGTCTTGTTGCACGGCAAAAGCACAAGAGGAACAAAGGCGCAACACAGCGGTGGTAAGAGCTTAATCAGCCTATCCGCGGGGATGATTATTCCTTGTGAAAAGTTTATTTTGCTTTGTTCGCCCAGTGCTTCGCAAGTGTTTCGTTCAGTGACAACTCGTACCGATACTACTAATACTATCGGCTATTATTGTCAACCTGAATTCAGAAGAGTTCAGCAGATGGATCAAACGGACGGGTCACTAAATTAAAGCAACGAGGGCTTTCAGCCTCTTTTGGTCCAGTGCCATGCCAATGAAAGCACTTATAATAAGCTGTCTTCAATACAATAGCTGTTGATTCTTCCTCGATGGAGGTGCACGGCTACGGACTAAGTGCTCATCAGCAACTTTAACAATCTTTCAAAAAAGTAGACCTCTCGCAAAGGCTTCAACTTTCAAGTTAGCCCTGTTCCAAACTGAGCTCAAACTTGAAAGCTTTCCATGAATCTGATTGTCGCTGCTTGACATCTAGGCTGCTTTGTGACTGTCTCTTGCTGCGCTGAACCTCGCTGAGCTTGAAACGGAGTATCCATATGTAGCAAGCTAGTGATGTGGGCGTCAGGATCGCGCTCATGGCCACACTCTGTCTCAGTACTTCAAGTTTTCGGTGTACAGTAGTTCCTGCTTTTGTGTTTTTCCCCGCATCTTCCGTACTTGGGTATATCCATACCGAACATGAACAATTACAATGATGTGCCAAGTTTTACCGATTGCGTACCACAGTGGAGTGTACCATGCGGTACCGTTTCTTCCTTATATGGAACAGTTCCGCGCCCCCACGAGGGAACACTGGGAGCACGAGGAGAGGCGTCTAGTAGTCATCGATTCAGGTCAGAATCACAGACATCATAATTAAAAAGCAGGCAAACTTTGATAAATAGACTCATAATGACTTGTAATGAGAGCCTCGAGTTTTGATGGGTTTTTATGATAGGACTTTTGGAGAGGAGAAGTCGGAGAAGGTGTTGTTTAGTGCAGGGTGTGTTTAAAAAGGCTTGGGTAAGGCTCGATCGATCTTGGAGTTTGTTCTTTGCCACAGAACTTGCTTCTTGTCGTTGCGTACCACCACACTCCGTCTCTTGCTATTCCCTTGCAAAACCTCGAGAACGAGGTGAACGTTGAACATTAAACACATCAATCAATACCCGAAGACTGTGTCTATCATCGATTAGCGATATAGCGGTAGAGCGGGCTAACGAAGATGTACGCCACATTCTAGCTTTATTCACCTTCGTTTCATTGACCTTTCATTTCGTTCGTTTCATCTCCCATCTCGTTCCGTCACGGTCTCGTTTCATTCACCCTTACCTATCGTTCATCTCGCACCCTCACGTTACGTTCATCTCCCAAGGTCTTTCTAGTAAGTGGTTTCAACTCAAATAAGGACCTACAAGGGCCTATAACTGGCCTTGGCCAATCAATCCAATCATCAGTCCATCATTAATTGATGATTTAGCTACACATACGCACCGTCTTGGAATTATTACGCTTCTCCGGGTCCTTGGACTGGGTCTTTACCCCCGGCACTGACTGGTGTATCAAATGAACCGAATACACTAGCACCGGCACCGGCTGTACCAGCACCTCCACCAACGCCTTTCGAGAGACCCACTTCCATGGATCATCGATATTGGACTGGTCGAGCTGCGACTCCTGCTCCTACACCAGTCGCACCTGCACCTGCTCCCACTGCCACACCCGCACCTGCACCCGTCGCCCAAGCAGCACCCGCAGCCCCGGCAACAGGCGGTCCCCAAGTCTTTCTCCGCTCAAACAGACGTCCCAGACCCACCCCGACTCCACAATACATCCCTCCGATTCGGCCTGATCCAGTTTGGGTTCTACCTCCGCCGCCGCCACCGCTCTCGTGGATGGCGACGCCGGTATGGACACCTTCGACTGTGTATACGCGATCTATGGTGTATACTCCCTCGACGGTGTATACACCACTTCCGACTCCAGCGGTTCCGGTGACGCCGTTGCCGGGGTATATGGGATGGTCGAGGTCGAGTTGTTGTTCAGGTTGTTGGTGAGTTGGGAGTCGAACTTTGGGTTGGGAGAGAAGGAGGAGGAGGAGATCGTAGAAAGAGATGGAGCAGATAGAGGAGTGTGGTGTCTAGAAGGGCCAGTTAACGACAACTGAAAGTGACGATAGACAAACATATCGCATTCGATTTCTTGATTGACCCTCGATTTCCCTCCGACTTTCGATTCAGAGTTTTTTGGTTTCTCGCAAGTCCTTTTGGACGATTTCTTGAATAACAAACTTGTACACCTTTGTGCGATCACCATGGATGGATTCTGGATAAACCATTGTACATATACTTTACCATTTACGATAGATAAGCTGTATAATAACCCTTGTTTGAACTTGTAAAGCTCTTGGTTGTACATCAAACAGCGCGCGGATTATCTGAATAGAACGTTAAAATCAAGCAGATAGAAGACAATTTACAACGCACCTATTACAGATACTAAGGGTTGAACGTTGAACGCTTATTCGGTGGCTTATTTGTAGCCATCCGTTTTTGGATACATGTGGCGGTCAAGAGAGTTGAGATTGAAAACGCGGTTGTTTTTTTTGGGCGTTACGCGACTTTGTAAGCGCCGAACCGAGACCAACGGCGATTACGATGAAAGCTCTTGATTCATGAAGTTAGAAATTGGATAAAATTTCGATTGATGGCCATGGTGTTACCCGTCAAATGAAGCCAACTCTTACATACAGATGATGACACAAGGTGGTACTACAAGCAACTATTAGATCTCAGTGATTCAGCAAATTACTGATGTGAGGATTCTGATTCGCATTCTGCAGCATACTCGATACACTTATCCTTGGGGGGTAATCCGCTGCGCCCCCACCCTGCAAATTGGTGTCAGGAGTGTCGTGTGCCGGCGCCTGCTGTGTCGAACCACTGCCTCCTGAAGGAGGAAGAGAAGAGGAAGCACCGAGCATAGCGGCATTTGTCTTCCCCGCCCTAGCGAGTTGCAAAGCATTCATCATGTTGCCGTACGTCTCCCTGTTGTAATTCCCAATAATACCTTTCGCCGCCATATACCCCAACAAGACACGGAAATAAAATGTGTCCATGTCCTCTCCATTGCGTTTCTTCAGTCCAGTCTCTTTCCTGATCTCATCAGATGAATCCTGAAAGGAAATCACATCCTGAGACTGAGCTGTTAGACGAGTCGGGCGTGATGGATAGTCGGTGGTACGCATCTCCAGAGACTCCGTTGTTGTCTTTCCTTCGCCTAGGGCTGGTATGAATGACCGTACCGATACTACCGCCACCACCAGCGGTAGTCGTCGTTGTCGTATACCCAAAACAATGGTTCATCCCGATGCAGACAACCAACACCCCCTGGCCAAATTTCGTCGTTTTACCTCCCTGTGAATCGTATAACCCGACTCGGAAGAGGAACCCGGAGGTTTTGGCCGATGAGCATCTCTCGAATTGGAGTATCCGGGATGGCTGAGGGATACCTAGAGGTACTGGGGTGGCTTCGGCAAACGTAATGACGGAGTTGATGAGGAAAGCAAGTGAGAAGAGGAAGAGGAAGCGAAGAGGATAATAGAGGGCCGGTGACAAGGATGATGGGGATAGGAAAATTCGGGTGAAAGATAACATTGATCCAACTGAAAGACGATGGTACAAAGAGCAGGGCTATGCGACAATTCCGATACAGCAATACATAAGCGTGTGTTGATAGCAAGAGCAAGCACAGTGGACATACCAGACACGTATCGATGTAAATAGTACAATTCTTGACCAGCAAAAAAAATACCAACTGATCCGTGTATGAGGGTTTGCAACGAGAAGAGTCTGCAGATACTGCGATTCGAGTCTTAAGTCAACTAGGAAAGAAAGACTGTGAGTTCGTTGGTTGAAGAACCTGGAGGCATAACATACCGAACGAACCAGCGCCAGTCGAAGGGTATCTTTTTTTGTGCCGCAGGTTGTTTAAGAGCAAAAATTTTTGATCATTTAATAGGGCTGCTCAATTCTTGCCTCACCTCACCTCACCTCACGAGCTGTCACGAAATTCCGCTTTTGGATGTCCGATTGATCGGCACCATATGTGTAATATACAGTAGTTGCAGCAAGACTTTATATTCATTATGCCTCAGTCTCTCAGATTACTTGTGCAGAGGTGCTGAATGAGTTGTTCAATGTCGCGCAAGCCTTTACTGTTGCCTACTGTTGCCTCTCACCTCATGGAAGCTCATGGAGGATTCTGATAACTCCAATGATGATTCCTTTCAACATGATAATGGCTTTGAAGATGAAGAAGCACAAAATTTCGATGGAGAATTTACTGATAGTGTTGTTGTAAGGTAGGTGTACCAGCTACATACCATCAATGAACGAAGATGAACCGGTGGAGTAGGGTCTCTCAGGATTCACTATCTAATCTAGTATCTTATCTATATCAGTGTTGTTCATTGTTTGTTAGCGTCGGTACAGTAGATATCAGGTAGGCAGACAGAGACAACAATACAACGACGAGGAGTCATAGATCAACAATCAGCAGTAGCGACCAGTCCATCTTGGTGACGACAGCGGTTCGATCCACGATTTTAGAGCATTAGATATAGTCCATCCAGTCACAAGTGCGGTTTTGTTAAAACTCGCATAGTCCAACACCGACGGCATCCTGGCTCCAACACGAGATTCCACCGGCCGATTCGTCTCAGCACCACCCTCAAGCGCAGAAGTTGATCCCACGGAGGAGCCAGTCTTCGGAAGATTCAGCAGTGATCAGGATTTAGGCGATTGGTCGCCTCTAGACTCGCCCGTAAAAATTTACTCTGAGCGCCAATCCCGCTCGCCAAGTCCTACGAAGTCGAAACAACCCAAAACATTGACCCCGAAAGTCAACCGACGACCCATGGCCACTCAGCAACCACTTACCAGATTCTCTGGTGACCCAGATGATCCCATACAACCAGCCACATTCCTACAGGACTTCGAGGTCAGAATGACCGAGTTAATGACCCCACGAGCGGATTTAGCTAGCCGAATCAAACCCTACCTCGAACGCGACTCCAGAGCTTGGGAGTGGTATACAGAGGACCTCACGGCCACGGACCGTACTGGCGCTTGGGAGCCTTTCGAGGCCAAGTTCCATGCACGGTTCCCGTCGCAGAAAAAGGAAAAGAAGTCAGCGAAATCATACCTCACCAGTTTGGAAGGAGAGAGGATTACACATGAGCTGATCATGACAACAAGTGAAGACACCAATCAGCCATACCACCAATGGTGGGCCGACCGTTTGCTCCGCCTCGCGAAGGGTGCAGAAGTGGAAGCAACGAAACAGTCCATAGGCACTGTTTGGAAGCACCTTCCCTACGCGCTGAAGAAGGCCATTGACGAGGAACACGACAATTGGGCTGAGTTCACCTCGGCGATTAAAGCGGTAAAATGGAGTGTCCTGAAGGTCGAAGCAGAGCACGAGGCCAGCAAAGTGGTTCCGAGGGCGGTTCCGGAGACCCCAAGAACTAAGCTCACCAGTAGCTTTGCGACAGCGCGCATCAGCACCCCGCCATCTCCTTCACCGGTTCGGATGAAACCCACTTTTGTCAACCAGGCAGTGAACCGAAAGCCCCGTTGAATCTTCACCACTCTGGACGAAGGGAAGAAAGGTGTACTGCGTCGTGGCATCGCGGCGAAGACCCAGCACCCGGACACGCCTGAAGGGTTATCGGCATGGAAGGCAGAGTTGCTGGAGTGGGCCTCCAGGTACGGAGTGGATGGGGCCCTGTCGGAAACCACCATCGTACCATTGAAGCCGGGGACGGAGGAGGTTTGCTCCGGGGAATGCTTCCGATGCGGAGGACCTAGGCATGGGTTCGAGATTCCCTGCCCCAGGCCAGGTACCATACCAGCTGTGGAATCTGATTGGAGAGCGTATTGCCAATGAGAGCTTGGAGGAAGAACACCAAGAGTGAATGCGGTGCAGATTTTGGGGCCGGTGATATGCTGACTCTGGGCTATGCATAAAATGCTAATGCAAGCTTTAACACTCACACCAACACAAACACAAACCATCATCACACACTAAGTTCAAGGGGGTTTATCATTGAAAAAGCAAGATCACACTGCAACTCTACAAATATCTTCATCATGTGGGTATAATGTTAAGGTTGAATAGTTTTTCTTCTCGAGATTCTATCAAACTCGGGCATGCTAAATCTTTCTTCAACTTTATCTGAACTGAACAAAACCTCTGATTTTGTATTATACACTACAAGTACAATCCACAGAAAGAGTGTGCACTACTCACAGCACTCTGACTGCTATTAACTCTGAAGCATAATGGTAATCTGTGACTTTGAACTTTCTTTCTTTCTGTCTTTCTTAAACTCTAACTTGTTTAAAGTGAAAGTTAACACTGTATCATCTTTGTTTAAAGTGCACTTGTCACTATAGCCAGAAGCTACTAACCAACCAACCAAATCCTTGCAGAAGTGGGGGGGGGAAAGTGCTTGTTTTCATTTAGAGGCCAGCACCCTCCTTATATATCCTCAAAACAACCCTTGACAACTGATATCAATCATTGTAGCATGTGGAATTCTTGTAGCATGTGCTGATTTTGATGGAAATCATGCTGCATCTCGGAGTAGCATGTGGACCTGTTGTACCATGTGCTACCTTTGATGGAAATCATGCTGTACCTCGGAAGGCTTTCCGGATGAGGGATATATGCTAAATCAATCCTGATATTCTCGGAATTAACTCCAGAGGTCCAGAATATTGTTATCTTTCAATCTTATCATTCAGCTCTATTGAAATGCTATACAAAGGTGAAGCTCGGAACACTTTAATTCTGCAGATATTGTCATAGTCCAAGTCAAACACAAGTGTGGGTTTTAGTATTAGAGCTTTGTTACTTGAAAATACAACTCTATTATGCTATGAAGACCCACTTAAGTGTCATTCAGATGCAATCACTGTGTAGATCTGTGTAATTTCTCTGAATACAATGTACTGTCCAATCTCAGTATCACTGATAGTACTTTACAGTTGAAAATGCATAATTACTGCATTATAGACTCAAATAAAAATGGGTCATATCATCCCCCCTTTTCTTAATATGAACTGTCCTCAGTTCACTGAACTATACAGGTTCTGGGGCTCTGACTTTCAACTATTTCAATACTAAGCTTGTACAATACATGGAATAACAAGTGTCAAGTTGAACTCATTTTCTCTGCTGTTGTTGAATCCTCCAAGTTCAGCCTCTGCATTTTACTAAAAGCTTCAAGCCATTTTAGCACAACATACTGTTTACTCTTTACTTATTATTTAGCTTTCAATTATCAACCTTTTTCTGTATATCAGAAGCTTTCAAATCATGCATAACTATCAGTTACTGCACCAGCTTCCACTCATAAGTACTTTATTCAGTTCTGACAAGCTTCAGTGCTTATTTTCTTATTCAGGCAAACTGCTACTTTGAACATTAACTGACTTTCTTTGCAAATTACATCTATCCAAATTGTTCAATAGCTTAGGCTTTAGGCTACTGGTACTTATTGTGACAAACTGAATTGTGCTTTCAAAGTCCTACTATGCTTTTAAGGATTGCTCCATATTATATTTCTCAATTTCAAGCTACATATTTCTGTTCATGTTTCCTTTAGAGTATAACTTCCACTTAAGATTATTCTCATCTCGAAGTTTTTACTTTTCAACTTTTGACCTGGATTTTATATTCAATCTTGTGCTCAAAATACTGTCTTTCTAGCTCATTGTTTGACACTAGTTAAACAATGGACTATTCATTCTTTATTACAAGACATTCTTTTCAATGGTTTAGCTCAAGTTCATGAATACAAGACATCAGCAAATAATTGACTTTCTTCAAGTCCTTCTTAACTTTGAATTTGAATGTATGTGACAGTTGATTGCTTATGCACTTGCAGCTTCAATTCAGAGTAATGACATTGAGCACTTAAGCTGCTTCTGCACTGTACAACACTTCACTCTCAGAATTCAGTTTTCTGGATTTGTTTACTGTGATCAAACTATCAATGGAGACTGTAAATCTCTGAAAGTTTGACAGCAACAGAACTACAATGCAATAAGTTCTTCACTTGTCTGGACATTAACATCATTATACTGTTAATTGTGTATCTGAGTCAGTACAATTGAACATGATTTCTGAAACCAAGTTGCCAAACTTTGCTCCTGCTTTTTCTTCTTGAGCTGAGTCTTCCAAACACTGCTATCTTACATTTTTGGAACAGCCAAGTTTGAATTACATATGGCTGTGCTTTTCATTGCCAAGTTCTAGTTCTTCAATTCTGTGTTCATTCCATTTTCAAGCTACAATAACCTTTGGTTTTTGAAAGGGTTCTTTCTCAGAGGAGTTCTACTTTCTTATGCTCTGGTAAGGTAAACCTGATTCATGTTCATGATATTTATCTGAATCAATCTGAATGGGTTCAACAATCATAAGTTCAACAGTGTTCCATATGTACTTGTCCAACATCAAAGTCATTCAATAAATGCTGTCTATATACAGACCAATCTGCACACAAGAATATGACAAACAACATATATATACCACTGTTCTTGTGATTTTTCTTCCATTTCATTTTCTGAACATGCTGTTGTTTCCATTCAAATCTTCTCAAAGACAATTTCTTCACTCTACATGATTGTTGTCTGATTAAGACCAAGATCTTCTTTATCATGCTGAACCATTAAGTTTTGGATACAACAATCATTCTGTTGAGCATTTACAATTTGGGTTCCAATGTTTAATTCCACTCAAAAGTTGCATAAGTATGAATCTATGCTGACTCTGATATCAAATAGAATGTAACACACATGTCAACAGGACTATCATTTTCTACAAGCCTTTTCAGGGTATTGCTGTAACAATTTACAACTTAACAGTATATTGTTGATTTTTATTCTTGAGAAATCATTCAGTACTTGGTTATAACTTCAAACTTTGACCAAGAATTGAAATCAAACCTTCAAATCTTTCTCCACAGGCAGAACAATCAAGAATATAACAGACAACAAAGCCAAGTCTTTGTGAGTTTTCTGCCATTTCAGTTACAATAAACACAAAGTTGTTCCCATTCAAGCTTTTTGTTTCGAAGACAAGGAACAATTCTTTCTCAATGTTTTATTGTCTCATTAGGTCCGGGTTCTTCTTTATTATGCAGAGTCCTAAGGTTTCAAATACAATGACTGTTCTGTCAAACATCCACAACATAGTGAATTCATATTCATGATATTTTCTTCAAGAAATCCGAATGGACACTTCTCAGAGTTTCCCAAAAAGATCATAAGCTCAATATCCGATGTATACTTGTCCATCATTTCATTTGCAGCAAATGCAATAATGTCCTGCCAGAGGTTCCATTCAAATTGTTTCAGAAAATGGAACAATGCTTCAATGTTTCTTTGTCTTGACCAAATTCTTTTCTATTATACAGGACCATCAAATTCGGATATTTGTTAAATTTCTACAGCATGATTTCCATGTTCATTCACTTTTAAAGTTGTATAGATACAAACTATGCTGACTTTGATATCAGATAGAATGTAACAAATTTATGAACAAAACTATGATTCATGCATCTTCTCAAGCCTTTGCTGTGAACAATTCCCAACTTAACACTGTACTGTTGTTTTTCATTGCCAAGTAGGATTGTGTCTATAGCTTTGAACTTCAACCAATAATTGATGGGAAGTTCTTCTCTTGTGTCTCAATTCTCAAATCTTTGTTTCAGGATTTGCAACAAGTCATGCTTTTCATTTTCACTCTCATATACATGTATTCATTATACATTTCTTCAATACATCTTATGAAGTCCATGAACTCAAGACCAACTTCAGATTCAATTCCCATATCAATCTCATTATTCATAAACTCTATTCAATATCTAATCATTCCTTGAACTAGAAGTGGTGTTGCTTTATCAAGGAAAGCATCAACAATCATGAAATTGTTGAATATTCAATTCAAAAAGATTTTGAATTCCCGAGGTTCAAGTTTCTTGTCTATTCAAGTTATGTACTCAAACTGATTTTCAAAATAACAACTACTGACTTGTAGTTTTCTAATCAAGGCCTCTTTTGAAACATCAGCTTTTCTGTCTCTCCAGATTAACTTCTTCTCTTAGATACAGAACATGCAAAACAGAGTCCAACATTCATTTCTTCTTTCTTCTTTTTGTCAAGTTGCATTAAAACCAGCTTGTCATTTCCTTGACATGATTTCCGAGATTTGTTTTCTGGAATGCATGTTGTGAAACTAAGGGTCAGATCCCATAGTCTCTTCAACTACTTCTGAACTCGGAAGTTCACCTGATTTCATTCTGGACTTTCCAAGCATTAAACTTCAAGAATCAACTCTATATCTTGCATGCAAATAAATATAGCATAATTTAACTTGTGCTGGTCAATGTGCAGAATTAAATCCTTTGGGATATAGAAGCATTCATTTCCTGCATAATGTACTGTAAAAGCAAGGGACAAATCCCATAGCTTCTCCAATTTCATTTTCTACTTGCTAAGCTTTGAACATTGAGGTTCTTCTTTAAATCAAGCATTCTCCAATAAATATAGCATACTCCAACCTCTGCATGGTAAAAGTACAGAGTTCTATTCCTTGGTATATGAAAGCTGTTGAAGCTAAAACAATGCTTCATAATGTTACAACACTTGATGCTGTTGAAGCAATCAAGAATCAAAGAGAAAAGTACAAGTCAAATCAATATTTGGAGCTTTGTTGCTTTTTCTGAGTGTTTTTGTGCTTTGCCAGATTTTCTTGTGTTTTTATTCTTTTTACATCAAGGATTTTTCCAATGTTTTTGGTGTCTTTGGTTGAAGACTTTTCAATACTGAGTACTGAGAGCAATATGGAATAATTTCAGGCAATTGCAAGACATAACTGCAACAGCAGTATGCAGCTAACCATTCTGTGCAATAGAGGGGCCCCAGCAGGGGGTTTGAAGGGCAAGGAGTTCGAAGCATTTCACTATGCCTAGTGTTTTATTTTCCAAAGTAGTTTAGTTTGGATATGGTGGACATGTACAAGTTGATTGGAGCTTAAGTAATTCATTAACAACAGGTAATGCACAAGTTGGACAAGATGTGTGGTTCAGCTCAGATGCATTGTCTGAAGTATTGCTCAAACTTCCAAGTTACATGGACCAATATGATGTGCAATATTAAACAAGTCCAGAGTGAACTTGTCATTGCTTTTTGGATGAAGATAATGCAAAGTGCAAGTATTTTCTGCTTTAAAACCCCCTCGCGGTGGGCTCCATATGATATGCTGACTCTGGGCTATGCATAAAATGCTAATGCAAGCTTTAACACTCACACCAACACAAACACAAACCATCATCACACACTAAGTTCAAGGGGGTTTATCATTGAAAAAGCAAGATCACACTGCAACTCTACAAATATCTTCATCATGTGGGTATAATGTTAAGGTTGAATAGTTTTTCTTCTCGAGATTCTATCAAACTCGGGCATGCTAAATCTTTCTTCAACTTTATCTGAACTGAACAAAACCTCTGATTTTGTATTATACACTACAAGTACAATCCACAGAAAGAGTGTGCACTACTCACAGCACTCTGACTGCTATTAACTCTGAAGCATAATGGTAATCTGTGACTTTGAACTTTCTTTCTTTCTGTCTTTCTTAAACTCTAACTTGTTTAAAGTGAAAGTTAACACTGTATCATCTTTGTTTAAAGTGCACTTGTCACTATAGCCAGAAGCTACTAACCAACCAACCAAATCCTTGCAGAAGTGGGGGGGGGGAAAGTGCTTGTTTTCATTTAGAGGCCAGCACCCTCCTTATATATCCTCAAAACAACCCTTGACAACTGATATCAATCATTGTAGCATGTGGAATTCTTGTAGCATGTGCTGATTTTGATGGAAATCATGCTGCATCTCGGAGTAGCATGTGGACCTGTTGTACCATGTGCTACCTTTGATGGAAATCATGCTGTACCTCGGAAGGCTTTCCGGATGAGGGATATATGCTAAATCAATCCTGATATTCTCGGAATTAACTCCAGAGGTCCAGAATATTGTTATCTTTCAATCTTATCATTCAGCTCTATTGAAATGCTATACAAAGGTGAAGCTCGGAACACTTTAATTCTGCAGATATTGTCATAGTCCAAGTCAAACACAAGTGTGGGTTTTAGTATTAGAGCTTTGTTACTTGAAAATACAACTCTATTATGCTATGAAGACCCACTTAAGTGTCATTCAGATGCAATCACTGTGTAGATCTGTGTAATTTCTCTGAATACAATGTACTGTCCAATCTCAGTATCACTGATAGTACTTTACAGTTGAAAATGCATAATTACTGCATTATAGACTCAAATAAAAATGGGTCATATCACCGGAGGCTATCTTTGAAGGCATGGTCGAGTCGGGAAATGGGGAAGGGTCAGCGTTCTGAGTGGCGAACACTTGACCCTAGGTACTAAGTCGGTTGTGAACAATGTACAGTCTGTTTTGGAAGAATCCAATATTCTTGACGTTTACAGTGTTCATGACAACGACAGCCACATTAGTTCTCCGTTCTCGATAGACATTAGTCTCAGAGATTTGGAAGGGAGGCAAGCAGAGGTGGAGGCAATGGTCGACGATGGAGCGATGGTCGCAGCGATGGACATAGCGGTGTATGAAAAGTTGCGAATCACCTTGGGAGGATGGGAACCAACGGAGAGGAAGTTCCGCATGGCGAATGGGAGCATCGTACCGGGGTTAGCACGCTGGAAGGGCTGTATCAATGTAAAGGGTGTAGAAACGGATAGAGAATTCGAAGTATTCGACAGCGGGGGAAGTTGGAAGTTCCTGTTTGGGAAACCCCTCCTTGAACGGTTTTCGGCAGTGCACGACTACCACCGAGATACCATCGTATTCAAGGAGAAGCAAGGGAAGTGGAAGGAAGTGTTCAACAAAGGATTGGGGGTGGCATTAGCTCCGGACCCCACAACCGTGCTGGAGGAGAGAAGCCAGCAGGAGATGCCGAGCTCGTCTGCCCAGGTGCATGACGTTCTCGAAGATCGCGAGGGACCATCCGGCGGGGTTATCGTGCAGGCCTTAACCCCGCTGAGCAGGGAAGTTGATGAGCTGAATCATCGTCGACAAGAACCCCATACTAATGAACCTTCCCAGTCCATACCACAGGTCGCACCGCGTCGACATTGCCAAAGACCGCGAGTCGAGGAAGTACCAGACGAGGAGTCTGGGAGAGGGAACTCACACCAAGACCTGTATCCAAGTACCCAAGAGATGGACTTCGGCAGCGAAGGGGAGGAATGGCTGATCACAGAGCGAGAGCTGGAAGAGTGGTTCAGAGAGGAGCGGCGGTTGCGGAGAGCGGAAGCTATCAAGCTACAGGCCGAGCTGGAGGTACGACAGAAGGAACGGCGAGCGGCCTCAGAGAGAGAGGAAGCACAACGGGAGGATGAATGGAAGGAGTGGCTGAGGAAGCGGCGTGCAGAGCCGGGTCTCCGCAAATGGTTCTTTTGGAGGAACCGGCTGAAGGAACCGCACCCACCAAAACGGCTGAGCGTGGACAAATTGGGGGGAAGTAGCGCATCCCCCTCGAGGGAAGTACCTACGGAGCACGCATCTAGGAATGACCACAATATTGACCCAGTCAGTACAGATCCAAGGAACCGAGCTGAAACTTGCACACCTGAAGGAATAACGGCAGAAGAGGTTGGGGTAATGGCGGAGGGGACTGAAGAAACTTCGGTGGAGCGAAGCGTCGAAACCGTACCAGAGGACCCACGGGTGGACTCAGTGGGGGGATGTGAAGTGCCCCCCTCGAGGGGAGTCTCTACTGATAGTTGCAGTGTTATTGAGCAACATACTGACAACGACGCAATAGCTCCGATTCAAGTGCTCCAGCACGAACCTTTCGAAACCTTGGATCCCATGGGACCAGACTTCTTCCCCGATGCACTGGACCAGAGCGACAATGCCAACCTATTCACACGCAACGAGGGTGAACAGGGAGCGTTCCAGCCAGGGCGCGTGAGAGAAATTCTCCGTAAGGTCAAGATTGGGCCTGGCCTTTCCGAGGAACAACGAGCACGAGTCGAACAGCTCCTAAGTGCATACGCCGATTGCTTTGCCTTGTCTGTTGGCGAAGTAAGGCCGGTCAAGGATGCTATACATAGGCTAAACATACCGGAGGGTGCAACGTTTCCCAAGAAAGTGAGACAGAAGTCTCTGACACCACCACAGAGGGAGTATCTCCACGCAAAGATTGACGAGCTGCTGGAGGCGGGAGTGATCGAACGGTGCAACCCGGAGGATGTGAAGTGCATATCGCCATTGACACTAGCGCAGAAAGTACACGAAGGTGTGGGATTGACAGTGGAGGAACTAATGTATAAACTCAACGATGAATGCGTGGCTGCGGGCCTTCCCGCATCTTTTGATCTTCCCACTTGCCCGGTAAAACCTCCGAGCCCGACGGAACGTCCTGAGTTGAACAGACCTGCCAAATGGAGAATATGCCAGAACTTTATGGCAGTCAATAAACTCACGGAAATCGCCCCGATGCCACAAGGCAACATCCGATCCAAGCAACAGTCGCTCAGTGGACATAATTACATCTGTTTGTTCGATTTCGCGTCCGGGTTCTACGCTTGCGAGATGGAGCAAAAATCCCGCCCTTACACTGCGTTCTACGTGGAAGGGAAAGGTTATTTCTGGTGTGCGAAGTTACCCTTTGGTCTTACAGGTGCTCCCTCGACTTTTGCTAACATGACGGCCCTCCACCTAGACGACCTCATTGCAGATGGCACCATCGAGCTGTTCGTAGACGACGGAGGATCCGCGGATGACGACTTCGAGTCCATGTTCAAAAAACTCACCAGAATCCTCGAACGTGTACGCGAAAGGGACCTTTCACTGTCCGCTGCAAAATTGGAATTCTTCATGTCAGAGGGCATCTTTGCAGGAGGAAAGATTAGCAAGGAAGGAGTCACTGTCGACCCGGCAAAACTCACAGCCATTGTGGAGTGGAAGCAGCCCTCCGACGCCTTGAACCTGGCTTCTTTCGTGGGGCTCACAGGCCACTTCCGAGACCTGATTCGCAATTATGCACGGATCGAAGGCCCGCTACGGAACCTGATCAAGTCGGTCCCACTTCCACAGCATTACACGAAATCCACCTATAGAAGAGCCATGGAATCCTTCAAGCTAGACGGCAAGTGGACACTAGACCACACGAAAGCGTTCCTAGCATTGAAGAAGGCGTTAGTCACGGAGCCGGTCCTGAAAGCACCCCGATGGGACGGCTCGAGCTTCATTATAACAACCGACGGTTGTAAGGAGGGATTCGCGGCGGTAGTAGCCCAGCGGTTCGAAGTGGTACACCCGAACGGCTCCACGACGTACAAGACACATCCTGTGGGCTTCGCCTCGAAACGAACGTCAGCCTCGGAACAGAACTACAAACCGTTCTTGCTGGAGTTCGCGGCATTGAAGTTTGGTCTCGACAAATTCTCTGATATGATATGGGGCTTCCCTGTCGAGATCGAAACGGATTGCCAGGCGCTGCGCGACGTCATTGCCAACGACAAGCTGAATGCAGCGCATTGTAGGTGGCGGGATGGTGTTTTAGCGCACCACATCGTGGACGTGAGGCATATTCCAGGTAAATTAAACGTGGTGGCGGATGGCATGAGCAGAATGTGGGAAGGCCAAGATCGGGTGGTGGGGGATGGAAGTGAGTGGACAGTGAGTGAGGATTGGGAGGCGGTTACGGGCCTTGTTAACAATGTCTTTGGAGTGGATGTAAGTGGGGAGGCGCTACAGGACGAGGGGACGACGGATTGGGCAGCGCTGTCCAAACGCTTCCTGAACGAGCCGGTGTTTACGGAGGTGGTTGAAGTGCTAAGGGTACTAGAGGGGTCCGCGAGTGACAAAGTCAAGCAGAAAGCCAAACACAAAGCGGCGCGTTACATGGTAGACGGAAATCGGTTGTGGAAGGTGGGTGGTAATGAGGGTATTCGGAACCGTGCGCGGGTGGAATGTGTAACAAGGCGAGAGGCGGTCGCACTAGCCAAGGCACAACATAGCGAGGCGGGTCACTGGGGAAGGGATTCGGTGAAGCTCGCGCTAATGGACAGGATCTGGAGTCCGAAGTTAGACGAGTCCATCATGGAGGCAATCACAGGTTGCCCGGAATGCAAGAACTTTGGCTCCACCCACCTACACGCTCTCCTGAACCCCATAACTCGA